CGCCTAAAAAACACTCAAGAGGAGTGCGTAGTTGACTCGAAGCGTGGGAATATGCCTCTGAAAGTATTGGAGATGGCTCTCAATCTCTCCAATACACGGCAGACTCCGTGCGCCTTTTGCATGTTGGCCGATTTCCTGTCGTGACGAGGTAAAATAGCCTTCCGCTATCGGAGAGACGTCGCCAATCTGTCATGCTGAGTTCTTGCAAAGAATACAAGGATCCACTCTGTGTGAACTACTTTCTGGCTGGTCAGCATTATGCCTTGCCTTTGGCTGCCTTTATGGGCAGATGTGGTCAAAGAAGCATAAGGGGCCACTCATATGCATTCTGATAACTCGCACTCGCTACCTAAGCGATAGCCTTCTCATCCTGCAAATCCGTGCATACATTCGGGCCTAAGGTACTGGCCGCTCGTGCCAATCTGGCCGCGAAGAAAAGCCTACCTGGATGACAGCGGATTCACGTGCACAACCAAGATTGAACCCAGGAGACTGTGGCTTAGATGAAACAATGGCCCAAAGACTAAACAGCCTCGATGCCGCTTCCTCCGCTTAAGGCTGGAGAGGTAACACACTCATTCGAGTCCTTCCGCCCTCGAGCTCACTATCATTATTCAGACATACTCTTCATTGACAGCTTCCTACTAGGGCAGATAGGTGCAAGACTGGGAAAGCATATTGAGAAATCAAAGGAGAAGATAGCGGATGAGCAAGAGGTTCGCCGCTCCTCCCACCAGGGAAGGTCTGGGAGTTGGAGGATAGGCTAGTACGGAATTTCTCAACTAACAGGCTGATGACTCGAAAACCCTTTACCAATAAGTGCGGCTTTTGTATGTTCTGTGACCTGACTTTGCATACAAGATATTTAAGTCAAAGGATACGCAAAGCAACATTGAAATACTTGAATTGAAGCTATGTTGCTTGTGTGATGAGAGGGTGATTCACACGTCGCATTACCCTTTTGAAGTCCTCGGCCGGAGTGGAGACCGAAAGAGCACGAGAGAATTACAGAATATACGCTAGTATCGGGAAATTACCCTCTTGGCCTTCCAAAGGCTTCCCTTCTCATGGTCTTTGCTGGGACAACGAAGCCAGAAACTGGAGCCGGTGGACATGCTGGAGACTCTTTATCGACGATCCATGCCTATGTGGCTTCTTTGTAAAAGCTGCTACACAGGCGACTATCTCTTCGTTAGAAGAGCCTGACAATACGGCTAAAAAGAATTATGGCGATGCTTTAGGCCTACCTTTGCCTCGTTGCTCATTTTATTTCACTGTTACACGCGCAGGTTGTTGGAATCAAAGGCGGCTTTCCAATGTGATGGTCACGATACGCATTCAAACTGAATGGTCATTGGATGGAGGCGCCATAAGAATCAACAGTTGGGCCTTACAAGAGTTGGAGTTTCAACCACGGATCAGCAAAGAAAGCCCGAGCAGAACTTGGAAACAATGCGAAGATAGAAGCCTTTTGAAGAAAGGAAGAGGACACTTTTTGCATATCATGCACATGAGTATTGCCCGTACCTCATGCTGAATAAAGAAATACATCCGCAATATATTCAGAAGAAAAGAACAGCGACAACAAAGTCTACAATCAGCAGATCTAAGACAGAAGAATGCAAGAACTTCACTAGAGACACTGAGTTACGCACAGATCACTTTCTATGTGTCTTGCCATGGAATGAGGACACCGTTCCGAATTCCTACAGATGCAGCGGCCTCATGGTCTAGCGATTCAGAATGAAGCCCGTATGTTTCGCGGACGCCGCTATGATCCCCGAGCTTATATCGACGATATCGTGGTTTTATCTAGTTCCTTGGATGAACGCGAGAAGCATCTGCAGAGCCTTTTCCAAGAGCTCTCGGAAGTCAACAACTCGCTCTCGCGGAAGAAGTCATTTTTGGGTATCTGTCCCTGCAGCTCCTCAGGCAACGCGTCGAGGCTCTCGGTTTTGCTTCTGATACAGACAAATTTACATCTATAGCTCGGATTGATCTTCCCAGAATTTTTTATCTATTTGAATCGCCATATCACGATTCTTTCAATAGAATCATTCGCTTCTCTTTGACGTATTGACCGAGACTTAATTGTCTCCTGTCTCCAGCACCCCCAATGCATCATCAGAATGCGCTGAGTAAGGACGAAGACTTACGTTCGATCCATCCCAGGACACGAGAGAGTCACTCTATGACAAAACACTTAATCACAGCTTTCGACGGCGTTGTCGTTGAATGTGGCAGAGTTCTGAGCTTCGCAACAAATCTGAACAGCTTCAGGTTTGACTTTCGCGTCCACCGGGCATGTTCGTGTTGCTCTATGACGCGAAATCTTTCAAGAGTATTGCAAAATGTGGCATTGTTAAAGACGCCAAATTCATTGGGATTGGCGCACATGGATAGCACAGTACAACCATGGGGACAAATCGCGATCGCTATTGGGCGGTTGTCAACACCTCTTCCTCAAACTGATAGCATCATCACAGTTTTCAGCCATCCCATCCAAACCATCATGACTGACCGCAGCTTTAACCTGACGCGAAGGACGCGTACGGTTCGAGGACTACGTTCGTGTCTTCGATGCCGATATTGGGCCGTTAAACGATCTACAAGCCGTGGCCGACTACATGGCCGGTTATACACCATCAACACAAGAACACTATCGTGTTGGCGATGTAAACAGTTGGACTTGCCGTGCACTTCGTATATCAAAGGGCGTATACGACGCTATGTGCCACTGGAGCCTGGCGAGAGTCGACCCTCGTGGCTCTGGGAAATGAACGCCGCAGAGCACTCCGACCTCATCGACATTGCGCGGGTCTGGCAGTCGAATCTGTCAGCAGTTGTTGATCGCCGACATCTTCTGGAGTACTACTTCCAGAACAATGTTGACCACGCCTACTACAAGACATTTGAACTAAGTTGCCAGATGCATTTATAAACTTGATATCTCAAGAACAATCGTCTTTCAATGCCAAAGACCTTTTATATAAAGGTTGAAAGCATGAAATGGCCTTTGTTCCGTTACAGAATAAGATATAGTGGAGCGGACACCAGACACACTCAATACACCATTTTCCACTCTGTTTGCTATCGATATATCATCTCCAAAATATCAGCAATGATTGTTGTGTGTGGTTTTGCGGTGTCCCAGGTGCGATGATCAACGAGACATGATCTCTTTAGGATGATCACTGTGAAGTTACTCACCTAACGTGGTACACTAGACAGATCTCTGGAGTGTTATAAAAGAGAGAATCGGACAATGCCCTCTTGAGCTGGAGGCCAAAGGATTTGAAATCACTAATCGGCTATCACCTTCTCCACGATAACTGATTTTGCTGGTGTGCCTTCTTCTGAATGGGAGAGGCTCCCTCCTACTGATTCGAGATCTACTACGACGAGGGTACCGTTAAGGCTGCACCGATTCCCTGTTTCCTTGGGAAAGCAAGACTACAGTATTAAGCGGTGGTGATTGCCGGCTACGACAGCTTCAGCGATGGCTTCGACTCTCTCGCACCTTTCATTTGGGAACCAGCCTATCTGGCTCTCTTCAAAGCCGAAGTGGCGATCAATAGACTTGGGTGCTCTCACGTAACGAGTTTTGCTAGAACCTCAGTATTGTCACAGGATAGATTCTGGATACCTGGGTCGACCAACGAGCACAAGCTGCTTTATCCTGGTCGGACGATCATAGGTACGAAGCACAGGCGCTGTGGACAAATACGCGAAGGACAAGTATTGGATAGACAACGACGGAGGAGAACGTTTGCGCTTACAGAGCTAGAGATATGGGCGCAACAAAGGAAAATACCTGGTATTATTATGACGGACAAAGGTAGACTTGGAGTAGACGGAGTGACAAGGGTGACGAAGATGAAATCCGGGCTCAAGCTTACACAAAGTTGGCGAATAACCAAAATGCATCGAGTCTCTAGACGCCTATCCAGCACAATAAGCAGATCTTCATGCTGAGGGGATTTCGATCCAGGTACCTGATCTGACTGCCGCCGGATGAATATTGGAAACCGGAAGATGTTTACTCTAGCCCCAACTTTAGCCAAGGGCGAAGTCACCAAGACAGTACTAGATGTGCTCTTCAAGAGTCTATGCCAGCAAGGGTCCTCGACGGAACTTTACTGGCTTTGAACTTGATCACATACCAATATGGCAAATCTTTAGTGCCGAGCGTTTCGCAGCGCTGGTAAGCGGCACCAATCCTCATCAAACAGCTACGATGCAACGTGGCTGTCATGACTCCTCCACTCTGGCACCGTGACCACCTGCTGCTAGGAGAACCTTTGACTCAATGGGGGCCGGAAAGCCAAGTCCAAGGTATACTCTTTTACTGATATGATACTGTCAAGAGCAATAAAAAGATGGATGCATCGTCGTCTACAGATTTTCGAGACTTATTCTGCCGGTAAGTGTTCTTCTGAATTTCAGCATGTCATCATCATCAATCGAACACTTTTCGTCGAAGCTTGTAGCAACACCAACGTGATTCCGACAGATCCAACATCTTCGTATCCACTAAACAGTAAAGTCGAGACTCGTACAAAACCGCAGCACCTGAGGCAAGAGATATAAATTAACATCAAGCGGGTTTGTAGCGTCAATTCCAGAGTGGATTGAACAGGGAAGTGGAAATGAGCACTTGGGTCCTAGTTTCCTTGAAGATGAGAGCTGCGGGATTCTTCTCTACATCGATGACCTATGTTGGAGGACGACTACTGAGGACAGCAGTCATTCTCATAAGGGGGAGACCTGAAGGAAGGAGCTCCTGACCCAAGGAGTTTGGCGGCAAAATCTTTTGGTTCTCCTTTGTTGATTTTTCTGTAACTACAGTCATTACCATAGACACAATCCTCTTCTCCCTCCTTTCTTCATCCCTCCTACAAACGAAAGCCTGCCTCACCCTACTACACCTTTACATCCTCCTCGTATCTCCCTTCATCTTCTCCATCGAGATCCTCCTTTCCTCTTCCCTCCTCGCCTTTTTATTCTCCATCATGTGCAGCATCTCGCTTGCCTGTATCTCCATTGCTTGCATATCCCTTGTCTGCGTCTTCCATGCCTGCATCTCCCATGCGCGCATCTCCCTCAACTGCTTCTCCAACGCCTCTTCATCCACATTATCCAGTTTACAAGAGGCCGTCTCTCTCACAAGCTCGACATCGATCCGCGAAAAGTCAAAGACTGGAGATCTCTTTGCCTTGGGTGGAGGAAGCGGGTTTCTGTGCTCGTTGATTTTTGCTACTAGGGCGTCGACTCGTTTGGTCATCATGAGCTCGAATTTTTGTCGTGCGAGATCGAGGTCTTCGTCAGTTACTTGTTTGCAGACGGGGGTGTTGATGAGAAGGCGGCGGACTTCATCGTCGGAGTTTGTTGGGGGAAGAGGAGGAGGGGGAGGGCAGGGGCTGCTGGATGAGGAGGTGCGTTCGTCGTGTTGTGGTACAGGGGAACTGGATGATGCGTGAGGTGATGAGGACATGGTTGATCGTTGATAGTATGGAAAAATGAGTATATCTCAGAGTGCGTTTCTGAGGTGTAGTAGATGTAATGGAAAAAGAATCTGAGAAAGAGGCCATGTTTTCAAGGGCTGACTCGTTCATTTTAAAAACTGGGCGCAAGGTATGTGAAAGCAAAAAACAGAAGCCATTGCAAATCTTTCCGGCAATAGAATATATCATTTGACATCTGGCGCAGGCAGACAGAAAGCCACGAAATTCTCTTGAAGTATTGACTTTAAGAAACGCCACAAACACAAACGCAGTGCCATCAAGGTTTAGAAAATCAAAACACTATGCCCTAATGACTAAACCTACTGTCTGATCATGCAGATTCTTCTGTACATACATAATGGAGGAGACAACCGCTGCTTCGCCAGGAAAGTCATTGCATCAATACGCACAATCTTCCAAAACATACCGATCATTGACTCATGCGAAGGTATTGAAAAGGAAAGTATTTTTAGAGAACCCAGATCATCTGCTCATCATCTCAGTCCGCTATAGGGTAATAGAATTCAGTGTATGGTAGTCACGCAACAGAACTTGCGAATTTGAAAATTACAAGTATCCAATTACCAGACCATGTGATGCCAAAGACGCTGGTCTCTTGGACCCATCAAACCGATCGCAAAGAGAAATTTGTCGGAGGAGAAGTCATTGGATCAGCATGGTCGCGCGTGCACTGTGTGTGGCTTATAATATTCTCATCGACTATTAACGAAGAATGGCAGTATGACAATTGACGTTACCTGGTGATCAGGCGCGAGCAGCAAGACAGGAAACCTTCACATTGAATTGAGAAAGGAGGAGATTGAGGCGTAAAATCTTACGATGCTCGTTGATGTCAGGCGTTTGAGACTGGGTAAGTAGCATGAGCAGCGGGTCGATGGTTTGGTGGGAATTGACGTCTTCTCTTTCCTTGCATTCTGCCGCTGTGTTGTTCACCAGTCCTGCGGAAACGAGGGTGGCACCAGGTGGAGAGGAGATTGAGTCCTGGGATGAATCTGAAGTGGATGGCTTCGATTCGGAGGTCTGGATTTGGGAAACTTTTTTGGACACTGATGATGATGATCTGTATGAAGGGCGATGTTCGCCTTGATAGACATTTGAGCAGCTTGAGTGGCCGTCCGGACCAGGTATGCAAGGCCAGGGAGATCTTTAAGGCGCCATCGCTGTGTTAATCAATTGTATATTTTGGGAAAGGCGGGATGATTTGTTATGCGCAGCTATGCCGGGCAGCAGCACCGCCTTCTACCATTGCGAGAAGTTACTGTATCTCCCTTAGGGTGATTGGAATATTTCCTGTCTTCTGTGGAACTGATCAGCGTTTTCCCGTCCTCCCTGCTCGGTGCCAAGCTCGCATTTCGGATTATATAATATCCGATCTTGGCGCTCTGTTTCCCGCAAAAACTCCTGGTCCCTCGGGTGTCTCTGAATCTTCCACCTTGTCCATCGAACAATCTATGATCATCATCTATTCGATTGCGTAGACAGACGTTAAGTGCCCTTCGATATGATGCTTACGCAATGTTCGAACGAAACACCGCGAGCCCGCACAGACCGCTTGCTGTCTGTGCTTGGCGGGAGCGAGGAAATCATCGGGCACAAGGCTACAGAGCAGTCTTGATACCATACGATGATTAAGCCAAGCATATAGCTCTAGAAGCTAGCCCGTTCAGAGCTCACTAGGAAGAGCTAACATCAGCCATAAAGCACCCAATTCACTCTTTGGGCGCAAAGGGTCTACCCCTAGGCGATACCTAGCCTGACGGAGTATAGCGGTTCACAAGTTGATCACCTAGCAGACGGCCCAGCCCCAAATCGAACATATGCAGCTAAAATTGCAGGCTGTGTCATTCGTCAGCCTTGTGATTGATGTTTTAGCTCGGGGACTTCTGTGCATGATCCCACGCCGGCAACATGCAGCTATCTTCAGCTGGGAACTCTTAGATCGACCTTCAAGGCGATCGAGGCCTTGAAGCGGTCTAGATCAAGATAGCGGGGTGAAATATTGCTCAATTGAGCTCGAGAGGCTGGAAGGTTGATGTGACAGCTGCCTGACTTATACTTGACGTGCCCATGCACTCGATGTCAAAACTCTCATCTCATCTCCAGCTTGCTAGGCTCGCGCACCAGTCTTCAACTTTGAGCAAATATCTGAACCTCCCACAAAATGGCCAGCGCAGAGAAGAAAGGGATGATGGATGCAGAAGCCACGGTCAAGAACTATACCCCAGACCCAGATAGCCCTTTACAGCGTGATGCTGCTGATGCAGCAACTTTCCGAGATTCCCTTCCTCGCGGACGATTCGGACCCTTTATCGCAAGCTTCATCTTGTTGGCGATCGCGCTTTTCTTGGCTGTTGTTGTCTTTGTCCCTGTCAATCTTAAGAAGCCAGGCTCGCTGTCAGTCGCTGGTCACGCATTATACGTTACTGGAACGACCATACTGGCCAGTATGGTTGCGTTGTATTGTACTCGCCAAGTGCGTCTTCTCTGGGTTCGCCGAATTCTTTATCGGTCCTATGATGGGACCCGCTGGCCCTCACATCATGATGTGGCAGAAGTCCGGACATTGCTTGGCCTAGGCACCTGGCGAGAATCTTTTCGGTTTTGGTCTACAGCTGGTGCGCTTCTTCTCGTTGGTCTACTTACAACATCGATTGTGTCTGGGGTCTCTCCGTTTGCTAGTGGGCTGATACAGGCGGGCGACGGTGTCCTTTACACCAAAGCTTTCACTCCATGTTTTTTTCGAAGCAATGACGCTTCAAACCACTGGTATATGTGGACGCTCGCCAACGGCACGGTCATCAACTACAACACTACCTTGAGGAATATCGACGACATCAGTTGTCCGGTCGAAGAAGTAACCGATCTGCTATCCGCTTCGAGCGGTATATTAAAAGATTATGCGTACGTCGCTGGAGGCGTACCTGTCTCACGGAACGCCACAGGAACGCCATTCTCCTGGAACTCAGGAAATACTGGGTTCTCCGATGCTCTTGGTATCTATGGAACCAATCATGACAAGGGCGATAACTCTCAACCTGATTATGGAGCGTTAGACTCGTTTCAAATAGCCACTGCGTGCTCACCAGTCGTCTACAACAATCCAGTACAATGTCGCAAGGCAGGTGCTCTTGCTGTGAATCAAGATCAAATCGAGGTAACAGCCGATGGCTACACATTTCAATCAACATTGTCAGACAGAATTGATCCTACAAAGCAAGGTGCTACAGCCATAGGAGTCGCTACAAACGATACACAAGTTGGTAAAGCGACAATTATTATGGGCGCTGTGAACTCTCATGCGATCCGACTCTCCGAAGTCATGTGTGATACCGGAACAGACTTTCTTGACTCGGGTATTGAGAGCTATACAGTCGCTTGCACAGTCGATATAGCCCCTTCAATAAGCTCGCGCATTGTCTACTACGGTCGCGCCCAGCAACAGACCGTAGTAGACTATTTTGGATACTCGTTCTTAGTTGAAAGTGATGACGAGCACTGTATACTTACAGGTGACGGCGACCCGATATCCAAGGCTGATTTAATCACGGAAGCCACACTCGCCCATGGTGCAGCTGGGGCTTTTCATCTTCTTCAAGAAAACCTGTACGACGATGGCTGGTGGAACAAGTTGCACCTACTTGCTGATCGGCGCCTCACCTCCGTAACTCACCAGCTTGACAGCCCTGTTTACGACAACTCCGTCAACGCCCTCGAAGATGCACTCGGACTAGCAAGTGCTGCTTCACTGAGCTTATTTTGGGCAAATGACCCTCATCCTCATAGCCCGGATAGCGATGTCGTGGGGTGGGATTCCGGCATTGCAAACTTTCAAGGCACGCGAATAGGTCCGGGTCGACACTGGGCCATACTCTATGTACTACCTCAACTTTTCACTATCGCCCTGCTCGGATACCTCTGGTGGAAGACACGTCATATCTCGAAGTTGAGGCGCTGATCGTTCATTGCAAGTTTTGGACACCCAATGTTATTAATGATGAGTTTATAATCTAATGCCAGCACCTTTCAAGCGTTATGGTACACTACAGACGTTATAATCTATAATGAGCCTAAACCCACAAACAAAATAATGAAATCGATCAGAGTCTCCTCCCTACGTCATCTCCATGGGGAGTCTGGATCTAGGTCCAGTGGAAATAGTTGTGTCGGAACTTGTACTAAATGAAATACTTTCCATCTTCACCTCCTGGCGCCCCGTGGGTCACTTCTAGCCCTGTGAGGCCTGATAGCTCTTTGCTCCGTAGCGTCTTCCGATTGATGAATATCTCTTGGTTCACTATAAGCTCTTGGCTTCTGATGATCATTTGCTTGACCAAGGTGCCCCGGTTCACTTGTTTCCATTGGTCCACCGTTGTCTTGCAATTGGCTGACGTCCGTTGATTGACCAGCGTCTGGTGGCTCACTAGCAGCTCTAGGATCTCTGTCGAGTCTTCCTCCAGTAGCCTCTCTTGGTTCGCTCGTAGCTCTTGGGACCTCATCATCTGTTGACTGGGCGAGACCGCTTGGCCGACTGGTATCTCTTGATTGACTCGTATTTCCTGATAAGCTAGCATCGCTTGGCAGGCGAGCGATATTCGGGTGAACCCATAATCCAACCAGGAGCCTCACGAGAATATCAGCAACATTCTCTTGCACTGCAGCTGGTATATATTGAGGTGGAATGTGGTCTATTCTAAGCTGCACTCTCATCAGTACTACCGATCATCGCTCCATGCGTCATCATTACCTCTTTGAAATACACGTCCATTTTTCTTACGTCCAGTGCAGCTTCAGCAGCCATGTATTCTTGTAATTGCTCCATCACGGGCTAATATTGGTCAGCCATGAAACGTTGCCCATGATTTTACTTTCTCCACCAGCCCCTTCTACTCCTTACATGCCTCATACGGCGGTATAATTGAGGAACAACTCACCATGTAAGTAGGCAAAGCCATAGTCTCAGGGGCACACGAGAGCATCGACAGCATGAAAATCCGATACGGTCTCACCCGGTACGGCCGAAGAATAGACGGGAGAGTCTCATTTAGATCAAGATAAACTTCAGTGACGAAAGCGAGGAGTTTGCTATGAAGGTCAAGCTTCGCTTGTGCAGCTCTCGCATACGCAGCTGCAAGCCGTTCGCGTGGGGTGCGTGTATCCATGACGATTGTAGTAGCAGCTATCGCGTACGCAGCTGCAATCCGTTGGAGTAGGGTGCGTGAAGCCATGGCTGTTGTAGTAGAAATGTTTTAAGGTATGAGATGTGATTTGCAACGAATGATCTGCTGTATAGATGATGATAGATGAAAATCGTGCGATGATCTGTGATTCGATACTGAAGAGAACGACGTGGCAAAGAAATATTGTTGTTGCCCGAAGAGTGAATGACACAGTGGCAATCGCTCCTTCCAAACCTGATTTTCAGATACCAATTAACCACAGATCTTTGTCAACAAACACGGACATCTACAATAAATCAATACGGCTTGTACTTCCACCAGCAGAGTGCGACAACATGTCTTCGCTGTTCCGAGCACTCACAGAGCGACGGTCCAAGGAGACCCTGCCACAGGACGATTCGGCTGGTTCACCCTCCTCCTCCTCCTCTTCATCGCCATCGCCATCTCCAACGCCCAGCAGTCCGACCTCTCACCGTGAGCCCCCCTTCTCCCTCTTCCCCTCCCTTCCCTCGCCCTTCCTCACTATCTACCAACCTCCTTCCCTACCATCCCCTCCCTCCCTCCCTCCATTCCTTCACTCTTTCACACATACAAACCCGCTAATCCCCCCTCCTTGCCCTACTAGCATCCCCCCCGCCCCAACCCCCCAGCTTCACCACCCTCTCACGCGAGAATCCTTCCGCATCACGCCCCTAGCCCGAGAACGCGCCGCCTCGACCCCGGGCATCACGGGCGCGCTCAAACGGCTCATCATCGAGATCTTCGACGGGCAGATGCAGGCGCAGTGGAAACTCGAAGCCGCGCTCGCCTCGAGAGATATCTGGAAGATGAAAGAGGCGCTGGAGGCGTTGAAGGGGTTTCAGGATGCGTTGAAGGAGGTGCCTAATACTACGGTATGTACTAGCCAGGGAAGTGAGGGGTAAGGGAGGGGTATGGGAGGGGTGAGGGGCTGACATTGTTGTTGGGGTGCGATAGGCAGTTGCGAATGATATTTTCGAGTACTGGGATAGTAAGATGGACGCACTGATTGAGGCATGGCCGGAGGATGTTTATAGGGAGAAAAGCCCTTTTCAGGTGCTGAGGGAACGCCAGATTGAGGAGGAGATGGAGCGGGATCAGGCCAGGGCGGGTCAGAGTGCTGTTGAGGCTTGTGGGGAGGTTTTGGAGCAGTAAGTCGTCGTGTGTGTGTGTGTGGAGTGCGGGGTGTGTTGACTTTTGGCTAAGGGACATAGGACTCTGAGGGCTGTAGTGAAATTGCCGGGGGAGCGGGTTTGCAAGTGAGGTTGGGAGGGTTGGGAGAGTTGGGAGATGAGATGGGTTTGAGCGGGATGGAAAAGGGGTGGTGGGGGATTGTGGATTTGTGATCAGAGGGTAGTAGAGAGGGTGTCAAAGGGATATTGGTATTGGTATTGGTTACTGCTAGATGTATCTTACTCTCAATGGGCTCAGTATCATGGGAGATATTCTCCGCCTCTGCGTACTGTTCCAGCTGCCCCTGAATGTCCGAATGGCGCTAATTACAAAGCAACTAGCGTGCCAAGCACTGTGGCTGCCAGCGGCCTCGGCCTCCGCCATTAAAGTCCGTCCGACCAATTGTTGAATCTCTCGACCACCTACTGATGACGAATTGAAAGAGAAAGCCACACCTTGCAGATATGGAGAGCTAGGTGGGAAGCACTATCGCCGACGACATGGACACCGAATGATTGCGAAGCTTGGTAATGATGCCTAGTCCACCAATGGCACATACCACTATCGTCATATAAAGTTGCATTGAGGGATACAAAATCCAGATCCGGGATACCAGCATCATCTTTCTCTCCTAATTAAACCAGACCAGACCCTCCAGATCACCCAAATAAGCTCGTCCAACAAACAAGCACCATGACGACCTCCACCTCCACCTCCACCTCAATCCCCTCCACAATGCGCGCCTACCAATTCACCACCACCTCCCCAACCCTCGAGCGCAACCTCACCCTCAACCCCCGCGCCCCCCTCCCTCCCACCGCCACCTCCCTCGCCCCCTCCACCGTCCTCGTCAAAGTCCTCGCCGCCTCCCTCAACGCTTTCGACTTCAAACTCCCCGAACTCCGCTACCTCGGCCGTCTCGCTGTCGGCAGGCCCAGTGTGCCTTGTATGGATTTCGCGGGGCGTGTCGTAGCTTTGGGAAAAGAAACAGGTCTGGAAGTGGGGGATTTAGTCTATGGGAGATTGGATGGGCCGACGAAGTTCGGGACCCTGGCGGAATACACGGTCGTGCCGAGAGCTGGGTGCGCGAAGCTGCCGGAGGGCGTGAGTGTGGTTGATGGTGCGGCGGCTGGGAGTGTGAGTTTGACTGCTTATCAGGCTATTGTGCCGAAATTGGGGGTATTGGTGGCGGGGTGGGGAAGAAGATTTTCATAAATGGCGGGAGTGGTGGGACGGGGACTTTTGGGATTCAGATTGCCAAAGCGATGGGGTGTGAGGTTGTCACGAGCTGTTCGACGGGGAATGTGGGGTTGTGTGAGAGTTTGGGTGCGGATGTGGTCGTTGATTATAAGACGCAGGATGTGTTGGCCGAGGTGAAGAGGATTAGTGGGTTTGATTTGGTGGTGGATTTTGTGGGGACGCCGGGGGGTTGTATTGGGAGGGACCGGCGTTTATGAAGGAGGGGGCGCCGTTTGTGCAGGTGGGAAATGAGGGGATTACAGTGGGGTTTGTGGCGGGGATGCTGTTTAAGACTGTTTGGCCCGGTTGGCTGGGTGGAGGGAAGAGGCCATGGGAATTTTTGGGGTTGGTGAGTAAGAGCGAAGATTACGAGGTTATTGGGCGGTGGGTACAGGAGGGGAAGGTCAAGGTCGTTGTGGATGAAATTTTTGAGTTTGAGGAGAAGGGGCCTGTGAAGGCATTTGAGAAGTTGAGGACGGGGAGGGCGAGGGGGAAGATTGTTGTGAAAGTTGCAGACCAGTGATTGAAAATGCACGTTTCTCGTTAGATCCTCGGGCTACTTTCATAATTGTGGGTGTTGCATCACCTCGCCCTCCGCTTTCTCCTGCGTTTGGATTTTACCTTGTCCACACGTTGAGTGAAACGTTGGTTCTCTGTTTCTTCCAACAAGGGTAATTTGGATTGCTTGATGGCCCACAACCGAAAGCTCATTGACTGTTTACGGATGCGGGGAGTTGATCCGACGAATTGAATTGGTGGGCTTCTTGATCGAGAGGGAAAGAATTGAGCCTTAGCGCTATGATTTTTGTCTGGGCTTGGGCTTTTAGATGTCAGGCTCTCTGGAGAGATCAGTCCGGACTTGTTCTGATAAGTCGGTCTCATGTCGTCGGGTGCGACGGTCTCTTCACCTTCAGCGCCAGCTGCAATAGATATGACTTCCGTGGTATCACGTTGTCGGGATGCTGGAGTTGTTGGGCTGAGCTGCTTGTCTTTCCGCCTCGCTGAAGCGTTTAGCGTTGATGGATTTCGTGGGTGCTTCGATGTCGGCGACGACCTCTCTTTGGAACCGCTTTGACGATCAGTCGTCGCCTTTTTGACTGCGCTCTCTGATTCCATTGTCTCTGTAGACGATCTTGGCTCTCCTTCCTTCGGAGTCAATCTCTGTTTCTTCCCTTGACTACCTGTTGTCGCGTCTACAAATGGCTTGTCATTGCTTTGAGGTCGTTTGCCCCTCGTTCGACTCTCCAGCACTTCGGCCTCAAATTGCTTCCTGACTTTCTCCTCGTACTGATGTCGCTCAGATTCATTCTGATATTGCCAGTTCCTCCACTTCCTATGGCACGGTGGGCAAATCCACTCTCCAATCGGCGCTGTTTCGATATCGACGCAGGAATAATGATACCATTGAGTGTCGCATCCTTTTTGATCGCAGCAAATCATGTCATCAAATACCTCACCATCGCAGATACATGAGATCTCGTCGTCCGCCGCTTCTTGTGATACACAGCGCGGCATGTTTAGGTCGGTTGACCGGATTATGACTGAGATTGAATGAGGCTGGTATACTTCACTTCATTGAGTTTGGGTGTGAAACATGAGCAAACGTGTTTTTTGGAGAGTGAAGTGATCAAGCGAAAATTGTTCTAGGCAGATTAAGGTAAACGAGGCGTTATGCGTCGGCCTTTTGCTATCGGTGAGAGGACAAAGAAATGGTTTAGTCATCGCATACGGCTGCTGTGTTTTCATGTGCATTCTGCGCACAGCTCTATCATTTCCACTGCATGCAAATATCCAGGAAGTCCATGAGACAGCGGCACCCTTGCAAATCACGTGTTGTTTTGACCGCGTTCGGCTGTGGAATGCAATGAATGATTTCGGCACAATTCTTGCGCTTGAAAATACATCGCTGCAGCAGAATCGCTGTGAGTAGAGAACATCAATGCCTGCTTCACATAGAACAACGCATCGCTTATCCCCGTATGCCATCCTCCATCCTCCGCACGGGAGGCTGCACACCGCCCGCACAACTCTTATGTGTTGTCCGGAATGGAAAACTCCATTCCCGAAAACATGTTCAATCCAGATCTGATCAGACCATTAGTGACATGACTTCTCAGCTGCTAAGACTTAGCATCCATTTTCACATGGTGCCAACGGTATCAAAAGGCCTTGCCCTTGAAGGCAACTGGTACCTACCTTTCTACCTGCCTGAGAGGCAAGAAAAATGTCTTGGCAATAAGGGGTCAAAGCTAGTCTCAATATAGTTAGCATACTTCGTCCGATCTTTTCGCCCAGAAAAGACGAAATGATCTCCACCATTTTTGCCATTTGAGGACGCGCAGATAGCCATCAATGCATTGAACCAGAATGTATGGTATCAATACTAATTACTGGGACACTAGCCTAACTTAATGTGGCTCCATGATGATCCCTGTGGCCGGCAGATTCGCTTCGCTGCAGTATGTACACAAGAAGCTGAACATGGCTTGAAGGAGTTGAGGGATTCCACTATATTGGTACTTGGCCAGAAGGAGTTTTATGTTTTCGATCTTGACAACAGGCCAGATTTGCACTAATGAGGTGGCATACTCAGGCGTCGATCGAACGGGCAAGGATATCATGAGTCTTGCTTAATACCCTTTGAGCTGACTACGAATGAATTAATGCCTATACATGACTGAAGCTGAGTACCAAGTGTTCTGACGGCGCAGTCACCAATCGGCCCTCAAACAGCGGAAGAAAGTGCGTTGGCAGGATCGTAAGGTTCGAAAACGGTCAAAAAGCATGGGATACGTACCTATGACCCTTTACGCCCGCCTTAATTCTACTGAAGGGAAACAACGGCTCTATTGGTGGTGTGGTCGATTCAAATCTTTCTACTCTGCGCTGCTATTCCATGCTTCGAATGTTCCTATCTTGCTTCGTGTTAACAAAAACGGTCCTGGTGTTGCAGTGTAATTCTTTGTGCGTCAAACACTGTTTTCTTCACGATCTGAGACGTCAAAAGGATGGAGTTCATCACAATGTTTGGTTGTCATGAGTCGAGCGACGGTGTGTTGATCTCAGGCTGTTCCTGCATCACAATGAGACAAGGCAAATCCGTCACTTCATCAGGCGGGGCTGTGCCTTCAATGGTTATCCTGCCGTTCTGTACCGCGCGTCCACCTTCAGCGCCAAGCGCTCAGTAAGTTGTTTCGTTTCAATACAATGGGTTACCCTTTCATAAGAAGTAATACGCTGCCGCTGACGTCGCGTCTCGGAGAATTTACACGTGGGTGTGGACGGGACGGGTTACTCCGCTGCAGGATCTAAGGCCACGACAGCTGATGGAAAGTGGCCCTCTCATGCCCTTATAGTCGCGGAATCTGTCGTTTCACTACAATCCTTGCGGGTAATGATGGATCTCGGGACTAACCTGCAGCTTTCAGCTGAATGTGACTTGCTAGGTTGATGAATTCACTATCTTTGATCTGTACCAACGTGGATAAAAACTCCAAGGCCATCCCAGTATCTTATAGTGTCTTAGTTTCTTTCAAGGTCTCTTCTACAGCTTGTACGCGCGTCGGACAGACCCTACACAGGTTGCCACCCCAATATTTGATCATCACACCATCAAAATCTCGGGATGCATGAATTGAAGCAGGAAAATTGCTCAAAAGAATCCTTCAAGGCTGCAAAGATGCTTCACTATGCGACAAGCGAGCAGTCGGTTGTGGTCTATTGCACACACAAGATGGTCGTAGACCCACTTGACCTCGACCTTATTCTGCCAGAGATTGAGATTCTATTAGTTATTTGATTCGAATCCCTGGTCTCTTCAACCGCCAATCTATTCTTGTAAAACTTTCTACCCCCATGACCTCATTTCAAAATTCATTGTACTCGTCTGTTCTGAATATAAAGCTCCTGCTTGAGCCTATCTCTTTCCCATGCCATCCTCTTTGTAAAACGTTTCATTCTCTAGAAAATCCTGCAAAACCACCTGCACAACATTCCTCACCCCATTACGCTGCTTAGATCCTCATAATGCCTTTCTCACTCAAAAAGCTTCTTCCTCTTCTCCTTGCCATACCGTCTACCTTCGCAGTCGGTGGAGGTTCCAACACAGCAATCACAACTCGCTACTGGGACTGCTGCAAGCCCTCCTGCGCCTGGCCTGGCAAGGGGCAGACCCACGGGCTAGTCGGTACCTGCGACATCCACGGCAAACCCCTTACCGACCCCAACGCCGGATCAGCCTGCGATAAACAGAAACCCGGGCCCGCCTTCTCCTGCTCCTCGCAAACCCCGTGGGCAGTGAGCGACAAGCTAGCTTACGGCTTCGCTGCGGTCAATGGCGCGAAGCCAAACTGCTGCTCATGCTACAAGTTGAAATTCACGACCGAGTTAGTAGGGAAGGAAATGATTGTTCAGGTCACAAACACGGGTGATGACGTGGGAGACGCGCAATTTGATCTTGCTGTATGAATCCTCCTCTCACTACTCGATAATTATACAGCTCTCAGCTGACATGATATAGATGCCCGGAGGCGGCTTCGGCGCCTTCGACGCCTGCACGAAACAATACGGCGCCACGCCCGCCATCTGGGGCGACACCTACGGCGGCATGCACAGCAACATGTGCCCGAAGATCCCGGCCGCCGTTCAGCCGGGCTGCGAGTTCCGCTGGGATTGGATGGAGGGGAAGAGTAACCCTAAGTAAGCAAACCCCTTCCCCCTTCCCCCTTCCCCTACTCCTTTTCCCCCCAAGCCTCTTCATAACACAAAATCAATGCTGACATCCCTCATCAGCGTGTCCTACGAAGAAGTCGCCTGCCCCGCCGAACTCGTCAAGAAATCTGGTTGCGGTATCGCTGTAAGCACCACCCCTAGCTCCTCGACTCCCTCCAACCCCAACTCGTCCACACCCTCGACCGTACCCTACCCAATTGGCAACAGCACCGTGCCCGATAGCCCCACAGGTACGGGCACGGGTACGGGGACTGGTACGGTGCCGTCGGCTTCGAGCTCGGGCGGCGTGGGTGGTGTGGGGGGTGCGGGTGGTGCGGCGAACGAGACCGCTGACGGGAGCTATAGGCTAAGTCCAGAGCGTTCCGCGCATAGGGGTCGGGAGCATCGGGGTGGTGAGAGAGTGCCGGTGAGGAGGATGAGGGCTTTTGAGCATTAGGTGAAAGGGCTTTTTGATCTAGGAGACGGGGATAAGGGGAGGTCGGTTGGAGGAAGGGGTGGGGGACGATGGGGGGATGGTGAGGGGAGGATAGAAGGTTTTGGCAGTGTCACTCGTTTGAAAAGATTGTATACTATTGGTACGACGCCTTGCATTCTTTGGGAGGTTTTAAGGCATTTACATCTGCATTGCATGTGCATAGAGAGGGTTGTAATTAGATGTTTGAAGCACCTCGCTGGCCTGAGATCGTCTTGTGTTATGATCATGCTGGTATTTGGACGTTGAATTCGGCGTTGATGATTCCATCTTTGGTCCGTAGACTGTCCACGTCCATTTCCTTCTCCTTCTGCTGTCCATATGTGCTCGAAAGGCTTAAAAGACTGCGTAAGGCTGAGTATATAGTGGGAAAAGCTGGTGCTAACTAGATCGAGCGAGATCCGTGCTAAGAAGGTACAGCCGAGATATCTGCCTTGCGACGTCGCGCGACCTTTTGTATTGATTTTTGTTCTGAATATAGCCAATCATCGTCTTGTCAGCTCACTTATATATATATCGTCGCCTGTATTTGTTTCATCACTCTCAAAGCAGTGACTCTTTTCGTTTCCAGCGCTGGAGAGTTCAGGGGTCTCAATGCCGAGTCTTGTACTTTTTGAACAATTTTTCGCCGTCCACATCATTGTCCTTACCGAGAAGTCGATATGTCTGGGTCCGTCAGTCCACAGGTGGACGTTGGTGCTCTCAGTATTCGCGGCTTATCCACTTTTGGCCCTCTGTTGGCCGCTCTTTCTGCAGACAACGTTGCACCAACCGCGGCGATCCAGTTGGAGCAGCTTGGTGCAATGTTCCTCATTAGCGGCAAGCATGCCGCTGAAATACCTGATCATTTGCAGCGATGTTCTTCTATTCCTATCGGCCGCTTAGCCTTGTCTGTTGGATGGCGTAAAGGAGATACCGCGTCCGCGATGGCATCCTCCGCAGGTGGCCAAGCAGTAGCTTTGCTCTCTTTGTGCTTATTCAACCTTTACAAGGATTCTCACGCTGGAGAGATTCTCTTTGGGCTAAGTCAAAGGGTACTACCCGCCGCCCTTAGCATCTCTAGTGTTGCTCAGCTGGTAGACGTTGGCAAGCTCCTTCGCGCTAAATTAGACATATTGGGATTCGGCAATGAATTAGCATGGCAGGTCGTGAGACTTCACAACGCCTATGAACAGCAAGGCTTGGGTGTTCCAGACAACCTTTTGGATCTTATGAGTGTAGAATCGATGATTGATTTGTTGGAAAATATGTCTATAGCTCTTCGTGATGACACAAAACTTGTGCGAATTACCGGCACTTATGGTCTTGGCCAAGTTCTTGGACTTACGCTGACCATGTTCCCTCAAGATACATTAGTAACCGTTAATGGAATAGTGATTTTTGAGGGCTCGGGGAAGGCCATTGTGTTAGAGTTCGGCACAGGCACCAAAAATGCTGGTACCTCTCAATGTGTACTTGAGTCACGATCAAATGGAGTTACCCCTCTTCAATCTATCCAATTTGGAACAGGCCCCGAGCTTGACTTCCCGGCATTTACATATACCTGGATAAATTGGGTGAAAGACCACCTGCAGCTAACCTTTTTGAAATTGGGTGTGACCTGTTCTACAAGCCTTCTCGCAGCATGTGCCGAGATCTCGATTGCCATTGCGGCATCTCCAGAGCTGACTGATAGATCTCCGGTTAACAGAACTATATTACCTACTGGCCCAATTTTGGACCCTATAGACTATTGTAATCTCCAAAAGATGTTTGACTGCTGCCATACAGTCCTCGGAGTGACGCCATCTGGATCACAGCGTGATCTACAAGTTACATATTCGGCTCTCATCAGCGAAGCAAGAGTAGCGTTAGCGTCCGTTGTCTGCTCTTGTAGGACAGCATTCACTTTTTCCTACGGATGGGACTTCCATTGGCAAAGGGGAAGTAATAAGTCATGCAGAAAACATCAACTCTGGAATGCGATCGGGTTCAGTCTGGATTATACTTTCTTTTCCTTTTTCATACAAACCAATCCTGGGACCATTGTTCGCACCCCTAATGTGTTTGACCAAGTAATTGTCACTGCAATCAACAAACAATTAGGATTTCGCAATGAAAGACCATCCTTTGATTGTGAACGGCTCTGTGAAAGAATGTTCAACTTATTTTCTTCGAATTTCGCATTTGGTCTGGCATCAAGCTCTGGTTCGAGCACCATCTTTCTCTCAGCTCTCCGAGATGTTCAGCTACATAGAGGGCATTCTATAAGTTTCGAATTAAGAGAAGGATAGTTGATGTTCAATGGTCGGTACTACTGTCATTTAAGGAGTTCAGGATCACCGGAGCGGTCTAGGAGTAATACCAATCTTCTGGCACCTACATCAGAAATACTTCCCACGAGCTCAGGTGAACACTCTAGTCTATAAATTACGATTCGCGAATGTTGCAATTACCTAGAATCGAGAACTACCGCCAGAGTATTGGGTCAGGATGTAAATCTCAACCTCGAAACGATTCTCGTTGCCTCATGCGGAGTGCAAGAAACGGATTCTTGCGAGCACTCCCAAAATACCCCTCTCGATTTAGGCTCTAAAGGTGTGACAACAACATCGGTCGCGTCTCCGCTTACATCCGCGAAAAACACGGCTATAGCGCAGACCCAACACAATCCAGTTGCACGACTGCTGTCTTGTGAGCCTGGTATGATTGCCGTTTTACTTAAAGATTGCTGTCTAAATTGCGCTTTGAAGCAGATTCTGCATCGCCAACCCTTCCTGCAGCCATCAAAATTCAGATTAATCATCGTCTAAGTAACAAAAGGCCCAACTCCGTAGTCTGGCGTGGTGTCTATTTTCTTATGCCCCAAAATAGCAGCCCAAGTGGGCTTTTAAAGGCACCGGAAAAGGGCTCCCACGAACAAAACCTGCCTCAAAAGACGCTAGAAACCCCCTTAAAGAAAATGGACACCATCATTGCCAGAATGTAGGATCATTACGGATCACCTTTTATTGATCAGGCATCCATTTGAAGCCGCTTCGCAACTTTGACATACCCAAGAAGGCTATGTGCTCTTTCCAACGAATTATTTACATGAATAACGTCAGTCTTCTGCTCAACGGAAAGCGCACTCATCAATCAATCTACAAGTGAAAGATTCCATCTCAACGAGTAATTGCATGGTGTCATCCCCCCAAGGCTACGATAAAGGAGGTGTGATAGCAACCTACCCCCCAGGAGAAATTAATCCCATTAGAACTCTTCTAATACCACCGTCGTGAGCACATAACATGCTCGAGGTTACCTCAACTCAAAATCTATTTGATGATCGCAAGCCAAAACGTCGCCTGACCTAGAAGTACCGAGTATATCCGTCGTATCGGAGACTGTCGGACGGTGAACATCCAATCCCAAAAATGTATTTCCTCGGACGGGGAAAGAACTGCAGATCATGGTTCACACACTACTGGTGTAGTTCTTGAGCATCACATCATCGCGTTCGGACAGATGGGAAGGGTTGTCTTGTCGTTTTAGCTTTGAGAGCTGTTGTCCCTCGTTCTAGATCTACGAGCGCAAACAAGTACCAAGTGGGTGCTCGTACGGTGAACTTCGGTATCGTAAAATGACGTCCCATCAATCGGTACTCAACGTAATAGACGTGCAGTACTGTGAGAGGAAATATTAAAGCCCCCCTCCCTCCTTCCCAGAAACAAAATATCATCCATCATCTATACAGCTATCAAAATTCCAACTAAACCTCTATCCCCTTTTCAACAACCTCAAAGCCAAACACATCGCTCTCAATAGGCTAATCATGAAGGGTGTCGCAGCCCTTCCCCTATTTCTCTTGCTATCAGCTAGTATCCTTCATGCGAGCCCTCTCTTACAACCAAAGGAATGCGTCAAACAAGATCGACCTTGCACCGTCAATCCAGATGATTGCTGCAAAGATCATCATTGCTTCAAGACAGCGGGGAACACGGGGATTTGCTTGAAGAAAAAGACGGCTTGAGGAACAGCGAGTACGGAGGAGGGACGTGGATGATTTATTAACGGTGCAGGTATGGATGAGGCTGGGAGTGGTTTGCGTTTTTCCGAGAGCCGCAGGGGGAAGGGGGGGAGAATGTTATGATTATGGTAGGAGATGGGCGACGGAAGTCTAGTGCATCAACACTACCAGCGCTCTCATTGTTGTATAATGATTACGATGAGTAAGGAAGAAGGCATATCTAAAAAAGGACGCTCATTTCATATCTTTTGATAGCCTTACACAGTGCTATAAGAGGATTATGTCTGCCACTGCCACTTTAGCCCTGAAACCAATTATCACAAATACGGATGCAACTTACCGTTTATTTCTCCGCTCATATTCCTCCATGTCATTTTCTATTCGTCCCACAACACAATTCAACCTTTACCCGACGATGATGTGACATGTGTATCAACCGGGCTCAATTGTAGTCGACATGTAATCTTTCAAATAATCGCAAGTTAGATTATCGTCTGACCTAGAAGCACTAAGCATATCCGTGGTGCTGGAGACACTCGGGCGGTGAACATCCAAATCCAAACGGGAAAAGAACTGCAGATCATAGTTCATATGCTACTGATGTATCACACCCTCTTCTAGGGATTCTCAACAATCCTGCCTCGCGTTGGAGCAGAGGGGAGGGGGTTACGTTGTCATTTTAGCTTTGAGAGCTGACAATTCCCCGATTCACGGCCCCGTTCCCGGTCCGCAAGCGAAGAGTAAATCTGCATACAGTGAACTTCTGTATTGCATAATGACATCCCATCATCCGGTAGTCAGTTTTAAGGAGGTGTAGTGCTGTGAAAGGAACTATTAAAGTCCCGCTTTGCTCCTTCCTAGAAACAAAATATCATCTATCATCCACCGATATTACCTCTATTGAATTTCAAATCAAACCTCTATCCACCTTTCAACAACATTGAAGCCATATATATCGCTGATAGACTAGTTATGAAGCATATCATGAACCTCTCCCTCTCTATATTATTCCTCCTATCGGCCAAGTGCCTATACGCTAGTCCTCTTCCAGAAGCAGAGGAATGCAGCGAACTAGGTAGCGTTTGCGTAACCGGTCAACAGCCTTGCTGCAAGGGTTATGAGTGCTTCGGAGAAAGTTTTGGACCAGGCCTTAGTCTTGGGGTTTGTGTTGATACATCTGGCAAGATGAGTTGAGGGACTTCGAGGTTACACAGTCACGCTGGATTAAGAGGGACAAAGACAATGTTTAGGATAGTGAAGTTGTGGATGAAGCTAGAGGTTGTTCGCTTTTCTCAGCAGGGGAGGGGGAAACGAGGAAGATTGAAGTAGGAGATGAGAGACGGAAGTCTGCGGCATGAACACTACCAGCACTGTCATTACTGAATAACGATTATGATGGGTAAGGAGGGATATCTAAAGAAGGACACTCATTACATTGTTTCTACTAGCCTTACACAGTGATGTATGTGTAGAGCAGAGTATGATAGTTTTGATACGCCGAAAAAGGCTACGTGCTCATTTCAGCAAAGTATTTACAAGAATGACATAATGCTCTTCTTCAACAGAGAGCATATTCATTCCTCGAAATACGCCCAAAAAGATTACATCAGGACAAGAACATACATTCTGACATCCAAGGTCACGACGAAAGAGGTGTGACAGCCACAACGGAGAAATTGGTCCTATCGAAACACTCCTTGCACTAACACTGTAGCGCTCTTGATGTCCGATGTTGCCCCCTTCCCTCAACTCAGAATCCATTGGATAATCATAAGCCAGCTTCCTTCCCCCTTATTCAAGAGGTCGTCTGACTCGCGAACACCGGGTTCTTCCACTGGAGCAAATCGGACTGTGAAGAAGCCAAAAGTCCACTTTTTTTAAGAGGGGAAAAGAAGTGCCGGTCATGGTCTACCTGCTAGTGATGTATTTCCTACGCATCGCCCTCGGTCCGAATTTTTCAGTTCGTACCTGATCGAGATCTAATAGAAGAGGGGAGAGGGGGGGAGAGGGCATCTTGTCGCTCTAGTCAGATTCATGACCCTTCTTTCTCGATCCGCAAGCGAAGACAAGGGCTAGGTAGACGCAGGATTTCGGCATTACGACGTCCCTTTGTGCAGTAGCCAAATTGAATCGACGTTCTGTGCAATAAGAGGGGTTACCAACCCCCCTTCCTCCTTCTTCCTTTCTATCTCCCCCTTTCCCTATAATATCATCCATCACATACATAATCCCCTCACCATCAATATTCCGCCTAAGAATCAAATCCCCTTTAAACTTGATCCTCTTATCAACGCCCCTCCTCCTCCTTCTACCCCCTCTCAAAAGCCAACTATACTACTCTCAACCCCTTACCTTAACTATGAAGCATATCGCCCCCCTCGCCCTGATCCTCTTCCTATCAGCTACGATCCTACACGCCAGCCCTCTCCCAGAAGCAGAGCAATGCGGCAAAGCACTTGCCTTTTGTGGTGACGGTAAACACTATTGTTGCAAGGGGTATACGTGCTTGGGTGGTTTTGGTGGTGTTTTTGGTGGTGGTGGTCCCCAAGTTTGTGGTGTTGCACCTAGCAAGATGAGTTGAGAACTTCAAGGTTACCCATTTACCTCGGGTTAAAAGGGACAAGGGCAGTGTGTCAGATAGTGAAGTTGTGGATGAAGCTGGAGACTGTTTGCTTTTTTCGGAAGGCGAGGGAAGGACGAGGAGGATAGTAACTCAAAGCCTATCGGATAACCACAAGCAAGAATCTTTTTCCCCTCTTCTTCCAAAAGGTCGTCTGACTCGTGAGTACCGAGCTTTTTCGCTATAGCAAATTGGATAATAAATTACTTACCCTAAAAGTCCACTTTTTTAAACAGTAGAAAGAAGGACTGATTATAGTCTATCTATTAATAATGTATTTCCTAAGCGTTATCCCTCCCTGAGGGTTTTTTAAGTCGTATTTTATCGAATTCTAATAGAAGCAAAGGGTAAAGGGGGCATCTTGTCAGATCGATGACCCTTTCTTTCTCGATCGGCAAGGGAAGACAAGGTACTAGGTAGACGGAGGATTTCGGCATCATGCACGTCCCATTATCCGGTGGTCGCCACTTTGAATTGATGTTCGGTTCCCCCCTCCCCACCAAAGAGAAGCCATAAAACCTCCCTTCTCCCTTGCTCTCCCTCTTCCTCATAATATCATCCATCATCCACGCATTCTCTCCTTACTTAAAAATTTTCCACCTAAGACTCAAACCATCTTTCATCTTTATCCCTTTATCAAACCTACCGCCCCCCTTTCAAAAACCAACTATCCACTCTCAGCCCCCTAAACCCAACGACCATGAAGCACATCGCCCCCCTCTCCCTCTCCCTCCTTCTCCTCCTCTCAGCAAAATTTCTGCACGCCAACCCTCTCCCAGAAGCAGAGGAATGCGGCCAAGCAGGCGACAAATGCAGCACTTTGAACTCGGATTGCTGCTTCGGACTTGCGTGCTTTCCAAATCAATCTGGCGAGGGCGATATCCTTGTGGGGAAGTGTATTTAGAACAGGGTGAAGGACGCTAAGTGAAGAGTAGAATGGGAGTGGGGGGGGGGGGGGGGGAAAAGGGTGGGAAGGGGGGCTTACTTTCATTGACAAAAGAAAAGGAAGGAACTAGTGGGACTGGGATTAGGATGAGACGCAACACCACCAATGCACTGGTAAATAAGAAAATTTGCAGTTAATTCTTCACCCACATCCCTCTCCATCCTTCCCTCTCCATGACACAACCCGCACCCGAGAGGAGAATTGCATGTGAATCAGCCTGCTTCATTAGTATGCGAATAGACTACAACCCTTAACCTCATCAAGGTTGTTGACATACTTTTCTCCCCTCACCTCACCTCACCCTTATCTATAAGAGCAAGCTGTTGCCCAACTGTCAGAAAACGCAAACATCTCGATTGCACAGACTTCCAAACGGACTTTAACGACGTCAATATGCAGGGATTTGATGTCAGACTTCTGAAAACCCCAGATATGATTGTGTCAAAAAGCATATCTTTCATAAAGAGAGTACCGTCAGCCGGTCAGCGATGTGCAGAAAACGGGATGGGGTAGAACGCCAGAGGCTTCGCTGAGTTATGTAACGTATGTCGAGATGAGATCAAAATAGAGATAGAGCTGGTTTTTTGAAGAACGAAAGCGGCGTTCGCTTCGATCATTAGCATTACCATTAGTACGTATGTCTATGTCTTTTTTCTAGGACTGCTGTAGTGGTATCATTAATAAGACTTTTCCCATTTCCATTTCCGTTCCCGTGCCCATGCCGCTTGTAAAGACCATCCCGTCCTGTTCCGTTACTTCATCGTTACATTCCATATTACCATTTCCCCCTCCCACCTTCCTCCTCCACCTCCACCTGCACCCACACAACGCTAAGGTTTACTCAACTGCTCCTTCCGAAACCACCAAAAGAACCCCACGGGAATGATCAGCTGACTGCCCAAGCCAACCCAAAACCACGCCTTCCCAAGCCCATCCCCAATATCGCTACTAAAATCCGGGAAAACATCCCCGGGCCCAATCTTATTCGGACTAGTCGCCCTCGCCAAAATCGTCGCCACAGACCCCAGCACCTGCGCCGCCAACAGCGTAAACAGCACATGAAACCTCGTCAGCGTCTGCAGTAACACCATGCCAAACCCCACACCCTGCAAGGCATCCAGAACGCCAAGCCAAAGCCACAGTGCGCGGCCCGCCAAAGCGGACGCGAGCGGTCCACCGGCCCAGGGGAGGGAAGCGCCGATGTTTGAGGTTGACCAGAGGAGTTGGGCCCAGCGGGGGCGCCGAGGCCCATGGCGAAGATGGGCAGGATCCAGGAGTGGGAGTTTGAGAGGAGGGAGAAGGCGTAGAGGAAGAGGGCCCAGATGGCGATGAAGAAGGCGAAGATGAGGAGGGTGATGGTCCAGGCCGGGGTGGCGGGGGAGGACCAGAGGTAGAGCCAGTTGCGGCCGTAGGGGGCGGAGAGGAAGTAGTTTTGGAGGAAGACGGTGAGGAAGAACCACTGGGAGGGGCTGGGGGTTAGTGATGGGATGTTTTTGAGAGTGGGTAAGGGGAGGGGAGGGAAGGGAAGGGCAGGAACTTACGCCTATGATCTTCCTCTTGAAGAGGCTGGAGTAGAACGAAGGGATATTGCCGGGCGCTTGACGGTAGTACTTCGGTAGTCCGATGAAGAGGATCACACCAATCGCCCACATCAAGCACGCTAGCGCCACCCCAACAGGAATAATGACCAACTTGTTTGCGCTAGCGCCAGTCTTCCCCATCTGACCCGCCGCAGTACTCTTCGTCAACTGACTGCCCCAGAACCACAGCGCTACGACGTATATTTGCTGTGTGCCTTGAATGACACACGCTCGATACGTCCACGCCGTGACGGGCGCTCCGCCCTCGTCGCCAAAGTTTACGGCGAAGTAGATAGAGCCGGAGGAACTGGCGACTGCGTACAGGCCCGTGGCTACGTTCTGGATCCAGCCCCGGGCGTTGAAGGAGGGGCCGAGGGGGGCAACGCCGATGAGGAGGAAGGCGAAACCGTAGAGGATGAATGGGGCGGACAGGACATAGAGAGTTGCGAAGCGGCGGTAGAGGAGCCACCAAAGGATTGAGGAGGCGAGGTAAATGGAAGCGACGGTGTAGAGTTTGCTGGCAGGTTGGCCGACGGAGCCCGTGAGGAGGGTTATTTGATAGGAGTTTGCGGCGAGAATCTGGCCCTGCGTACGAGGTCAGCGACTTTGATCATAGTGAAGATTGGGAAATCAGGGCAACTTACTAATGCAAGGAGAATAGAGTAGATAGGCCAGTCTCCGATCTTCACTCTGAGGATATGTTTCAGTCCTGTCGGTGGCTTGTAATTATCACCCAGGAGGAACTCATCAAATGGGTCGTCCTTCGACTGCGAAGGTGTTCCCTGAGAGCTTGTCTCTACTTGTTGCTTCTCTGGATCCGCTAGTTGGGCTGGATTGGCGCTATTACGTTTCGAGTTGAATTTGCTGGGTGCTGGGCTAGGTTTTCGTGAAGGAGTTTTGCTTCCTAATTCTGCCGCTCGAAGCATGCCGAACCACTTCTTCTCGCTTTTGGTCAGATACTCTTCAATGCAAAGAGCATCTTCAGATGTCTTTCCGTCTAATTTCTCCAGCTTTTGCCGGAAGATATCCGTGAATTCTTTCTTGGGGTCGGTGAAAAATGGAGACACGTTTTGTAGATTGTAGTCTTTTCTATCTCCCACAATATCTGGTAGACTGAGCATCGAGACGTTCCTAGTATTGACAGCTGTAGCTGAGGCTGTCGTGCTGTCACCTGGCATATGAGCAGGTAGAGGTTCCAAAGAAGAATGCACCGGGAACGAATTGGTGAATGGCCAATTAGCGTCCGTACTTGGAGCTTCTGCAGCCGTGGTAGGGTTTGCCATAGACGATGGTAGCTGAGATCTCGAGAAGCGCTTGCGTTGTCGACCTCTGCCCCTTTGCGTGTCTTCGCCGCTCTCATACCCTGATTCCTCTTCAGACACATTTGATGAGGACGTCCCGTTCGGATTCTTCTTTTTCAACCGATTTCTCTTATTGCCTGGACCTAGCCTACTTCCTAAGCCTCCATTTGGTAAAGCAGGAAGGATGTCATCCCTCTCAGGGCTTGCTGCTCTGCTCACATTCCGAGAATGCGCCGGCGTTGCGTGGCAGGTTTGCGTGGGTGTAGGCTTCCTCGTCTGCACCGGTGTGTTGTTGGTCGAGACAAAAGAAGCAACACTCTGCCGTGAACTTTTGACCCTTCGCTTATCGCTAATATTGATGGCTTTGTTCTGGAGCTTCTCAAGATCTTCCACCCATTGCGCAACAGGAAATCGTTGCTTGGCGGCACGCGCTCTCATGATCGCTCGAGTGTCTGGCTTTGATGCAAGTGCACCTTGAATGGCAGTCTTGAATTGTTGCATGAAATGCTTTGTCGTGGTTGATTCGATCGTGAACCACCAACCGGGCATGTGCCCAAGACCTCCAACCCTGGCGCCAACGCACAAGGCACCTTTCCGACCAAATTCAACAGCGACCAATCCAAAAGGCTCATCTCGGCTAGGCATCAGTGCAAAGTCTGCACCGCTGAATATACATGGTGGTAGCTGAGTAAATTCTGGTTTCGAGAAGACGCGCCCGGGGTAAACTTCCATCATTCTTCCTAGCTTTAATGCCGCAAACGCGCCGTATAGGTCTATGACGGGACCGATGCATATCAGTTGGACATGTTCGTTCTGCTCCAAAATGGATGGAAAGACATCAGCGATTGAGTCAACACCCTTTTGCATCGACCATCTTCCGACGAATACGAAGAGATCGGCTTCGGGGTCCTCCTTGAGTTTAGCCCATTTTTGAGCCTCCAATTTGAGTGCAGGCTTCGCAGCTTCCAATTCTTGATCGACGTGGATATCTGAAGTCCTGACTTGCTCTTTGTTCCAAGGTGCCGTATCTGTGGGATCAGGATTTGGAAGCGCACCAACGTCGCTCATGCCCCAAAGAATGGGGTATCTTGCAAAGGCTCTTTTGCCGTACTTACCAGACACACCAACCGCACCGAAGCCCTTTTGATGGACACGAAGGTAGCTAGCCCCAGCATGTAAAAGATCTAGAGTAAGATGCAGTCAGTACCTTAATTCCGTAGACGGGGCTTGTTGACGACTCACTGAAAACTTCGCCGAACTGGACATATTTGGAGACGACGTGAGGATCCAAGTCGAATACATTACAGACCTCAAGACTCTCTTGTTCTGTCCGCATTGGCTTAGATGCGTTAGTAAGCGCCATTGGTAAATTCATCACATATAAAGAATGCTTACCCAAAGACCTTGGAACTCTGCATTATGCAAGCTCAGCACGCACGGCACAATCTTAGGTAGCAGATGCAAAGGCGCCACTGCCCCATGGTAGTCATTGATATGGTAGAGATCGATCGGAAATCGTCTCATCATCTCGGCAATGCACGAGTTCCAGGCAGAATAGTAACAAGCGGAGTCTAGGTCATCCATTCTGGGTGGATATGGGTCTTGTTTCGTCTGCTGCCGAAAGATGGGCGCATCCAATAAGACGTAAGTAATGTTTTTCAAAGTGTGATATTGTATCTTGACCTCGTAGAGATTATCTAGAACGGCGATGATGATGCTTTCTCCAGGGCAATCAATCGGATATTCGACACCGCCGACACAAGGGATAACCCAGATGATATCTTGATGTGCGAGGTTTTTGCTCATGAGGTTGGCCATGACACCTAGTCCGCCAATCTTGATCTTGATGCCCCAGTCTTCGATGTCATACTCCATAGTGGCGATGAGGACCGTTCGACGCTTCGCCGGCGCGGCTATATCCAAGGGATTGGCTGGCATTTCTGATCCAGGTGTTTGCGCTCCCGGGGTGTGTGGGAGGAACATTTGCGGCGTACCGGGCACGGCAAGTGTGAGTGCAGAAACCGAAGCTGGATTTTGATTTGCGAGCGTCAACTGAGTTTGCGCGCTATCCCTGGCAGGCTTGCGCCTCATTGCGAGAGGAAGATATGGGGCATAGCTTTTCTTCTCCGTGATGCCGATCTTATTGAGTTTGACGCTGTAGAACGACTTCATGAAGAGGACGATACCGAGAACGCCAGTCAAGATCGGCATGATCCACAAAAGGGCGTATAGAACCAGCTGAGCCCACCTTGATCCGACGGGAATCAATTCGTATCGTAGATTGGCATCGTTCACTGCGATCTGCCAAGCTAGATATGGTGAAGGGGGGCCTCAGTGATATTGATTGTATTCTTGATGAGGGATAGCGGTGGTATGCGATCGAGAACGAAGTCCCCATCGATGTCACCATACACCGCAGTCTGATCAGGTTGACCATCAGGGTTCATACCCCAGACATTGAGAGATGTCTTTGCTGGCCACTCTGTCATGAAATTGAAGCGCCATATAGAATCAAGACCCATTTTCATCTGGTTGGCAAACCCTGCATCAAAGCCGTACTGATTGAAGGTGCCCTGCAGCCAAAGATGAGGCCATCTCCGAGGCTGTTTGTGTTTGAGATCACCATGCTGAATATGGGCGCTACTTGCAGCAAGTTGGCTCCAGTACTGGACTATCACATGTTCACCTCCCCAGTCTTGCGCTTTGGTCCCGGACCAAACCTTAGGAGCCAAAGTTGTGTTTCCACCTTCATTATAGGGCTCCCAGTCACTGTATGTGGTGCCAAAGTTTAAAGAGTATCGAAATTGGTCTGCGCCGGGTGCCTTGTGAGAGATGTAGAGTTTCTTGTCGTCCCCATTCAGAAGGTCAGCACTATAGTTAGCAGATTTTGGAAAGACTAATGGATTGTCTGGTTGGCCGACACGAAGAAGAAAGTGGTCTACAAATTTGGTAGACGCAGACCCGTCTTTTGTGCTGACGTTGTTGAGAGTAATTTGATGAACGCCTTCAGATACTTGCACCAGATTCGCGCTAATCATCCATGTAGACTCAACACTGCCAACCCAAGGTATTGGATTCTCATTCACAGACGTCAAATCCTTGCATTGAACGCTGCCACCATCAATTTGTGCAGTCTTCCCATCCGCGGTCGTAGAATTAATTACGATCGACTTCTTTAGCTGATCGCAGTCCATCGACGCAGAGAAATGAAACTCTATTGGTATTGAGTCTTGTGGAGGGAGTCGCGTGTCGTGACCAGGCAAGAATCTTGTAATCACAGGCGAAGGTGCTATCCACTCGTCTTTCGGAATAAATGCTTTGAAACCCCATGCTGGGAGTTGGATCAGAGGTAGGCAGCCTTGCGTATCGTTCTTATCATTTGACCATTTCGCTTTCTCGATGGTATACTCGTCGTAGGGAAAAAACATGTTTTTGACGACGGTCGTCGCGTTATATGGCGCTATGAGAGCCGTGTCTGCATCGCTGCAGTCAAAGTTGTATACCTTACTCCGGTTTTCGTTCCCATAGACCAACCACGCCCGCTGATCGATCTTTTGGATATTATCTAGGGAAGCGCGCTCCATGCTCCAAATACCAGTCTCTGTTGCGGTGCCATCGCTGCCTGGGAGGTAGATATTGAAGGTTTGTTTCGATAGCTGGCGCAGTGAAAATCCATCTTGGATAACTGGATAATTCTCCCTCATTTCAAATGAGCTCTTAATGATATTGCGGACCGGATGCGAGGGGTCTCTATGATCCAAGATGACGTTGTCATCTTGACAGCCGTAGATCCCTGCGTCGAGAGGCCATTGGTAGTATTTCTCATTATTTCCTTTGAAGCAGCCATGCATTCCCCACGCTTGCGCCGAGGTCATAGGTGACCGACCAAATACATAATTGCCGGCTGTACTGTCCAGCACATAGAAGGATTGTTCCTCACCCCAAACCAAGGTTGGAATGCCTGGTAATAGCATTGTCATGATGAAGTGACCAAGCAATTGCTTCTGGGTACCGTTCTTGATAGTAGGCCAACGGAAGACGTCCTGGTTTGTAACACCATACATATGCCTGGGATCGAATTTGCCTGTGTTCGCATTAATCATGTCGTTGGTTTGGATTATGGTTGACCAGAATGCCTCCAGGTCTGTAGGCGGGTCGCCTTCGGCGCCAAAGGTTCCGTCTAGACCGAGAAAGCGCGTAAAGAATCTGTACACGGTATAATGGAAAGCGGCGCCGTCAAACGCGCTCTGCCCCAGATCGCGAATGAAGTACTTGTCGTCGGACTCGTTCGTCATGGCGACGGCCTGAGTGACATTCGTAACGTAGTTCTCGGGCGACCTCCCTCGACCGATATAGACTGAACCGAACGTGTTTCCCGAAACGATTTCACCTGAGATGTAAAAGTTGTCCTTCCCATATTTCTCAGCACACTGCCTCACGGAGTCGGACCAGTGAGCTTGCGCATCGACCGAGATCATGAGACCTTTATCCAAGCGATACCCGTCTATATCTAACATTGCCAAGGTGATGCAGGCAAAGTGCTCAATCTTCGCTAAGACATCCGGTCGCCATTCACGAAGTCGGTCTTGTACGAAGGCAAACTTCGAAATCTGTCGTTGCCACTCGGGATAATTTCCAAAGGCAGCTATCTCGCCATATTGGTCGTATTCAGAGTCCCTGCAACCCACCAGCTCTGTGGACAAGTTCTTGACTTCCAACCCGTCGTCACCGTAGAATCTAGGGTATGTACAATGGGGCAATTCGTTATTGCCAAACGCAAAATCGTGGTACCTCCGATCTGACTTCCATAATGCGTTGTGCTCTTGCTTGTTAAATGGTGTGGAGGTGTTGAGGTAGCCCTCGAAGCCAATGAGGTCACCCATACTGTGCGACGTATGATAGTCAGCCTGCGCTCAAGTGCGTGACAGACAAGGACTCACGTCGACATTGTATTGTCCAACACCACATACATTCCCCTTTTGTGGACCTCTTCGATCGCGGTCTGCCATTCTGCGATGGTGCCGAAGTGGTGATCAAGCAGGGTCAAGTCAACCGGACTGTAGCCATCCGCCGACCAGGGTTCATTGATATGAGGGCTGCCAGCAAGATAGAGCACCTATACAAGTCAGTGACATATCATTCGGGATGAATGTAGGACACACCTTCACTCCCATGCCTTGTATGTAGTCCAAGCTATCCTGTAGTCCTTTGATATCGCCGCCATGCCGTAATGACGTCTGTGTAGGGTCATGTTCAAACTGTGTGCCGTTGGCGTTGTCGTTACTTGGGTCTCCGTTGGCGAAGCGGTCGAGCATGACGGTATAGAAGGGTATCCTCCAGTTGTCCGGTGAAGGCGTAAATGTGTGATCTTCCCATTCTCCGCGATATTGCACGGGATCGACGGCATCTTGGTCAGTGTTGAGGTTCCAGGCCACTTGCTCTGGATCATATCGTAGGGGGAATGCGGGGCGAGCGAGGAGGTAGAGCGTGTATGGAATGACACCCCAATACCGGGTATACATGCTTCGGGGAGAGCCTGCAGAATTAGTATCATGTGACGTGACCTATCCTTTCGCGAGTATAGTCATCGAGGACAAGGTGCTCTCAGACAACTCTGGGAAAAGAAAAGGAGGTATCTCGAGTGAAATTCGCGGGGGGATGAGAAACGAGAGTGGAAAATGCTTGACCGTGTAATCTGAAACTATCCAAAGGACCAAAATGACAAAACGAAGGTTGGTATTGGACCAGCTTGGCAACGAAGAATATCAGTGACGAGCGTTGGGCTAAAGCAAGAAAGCAAGGAACACTGCTCTCAACGAAAATCAACAAGCTAAGCTGCATAGGAGCTTTGGAAGAGCCGCAAGAGTATGTCTAGACACAGACCCTGGATGTGTCACGTCACCCAAGCTTGCCCCAAACCAGTACTCGACGGCTGGAATAGGAAATCTTTGTGGCAACTAACACATTTCGAGACCGACGGGTTTCAGGCATCCGTAGCATGAAGCGTTGGGATCGTCCCGTTATCACACCACGAGCTTACTCCCAGGATCTTCCAGGTTTTGGGGTCCGGAAAGATCCCCATACCTCGTACGTGGGACGTGGTATAGGCCATGGCCACGGTGCCAGGAAGCGCTTCGGTGGGTCTCATGCAGGTACCGTCCGACAAGATACCCACTTATATTCCCATCTCGCACACGCAATGCAAGGCTCTTCATGCAGAGCGAAGCTTGTCTGATTCTAGATGGGGGTGATGTGGCGTCGGAGGTGTCAAATAGGTGATAAGCACAGTACTGTTCTCTCGAAACGTTCTTCTGCGGATAGGCAAGTTCAACAGGAATGTCGGGACCCGGGTGAGTGTCCAGGACAGCAGACGGAAGATGGTGCCGCTTTGCTTGTGATGACATCGTTTGAAAGACTGCTGGGAGTAAGGCAGAGAAATCCTGTCAGGACGGGGTTGACACGTCATCCGGCCTGTGGTCTGGCCCAGTGGGCAGGAACGTTGGATGCGGCACAATCAAGTACTAGGCCAGAAGTGGCGCGCCTGATCCAGGAACAAAGGCCTATTCAGGAGCGTTGAGACAAGAATGGCAACGATCGTCAAGGTGCTACCCTGATCGAGGACTGTTCCACAGTGTTGGAGTGGCTAATCAGATAGTCGAACGCACACACGGAGTGTTATCGTGGCGTTGAGGTGTGGGGGGCTAAAAGTTCCGTTGAAAGCGAGGAGGATGCGCTCTGCAGGGGTTTTCTGCAGCAGCAACAACTGGAATTCCCAAGCGTCAAATCGGATGGATCGGGCGGCCACCCTCGGAGCTCCACCAGTATCCACAAGTGTGACTATTTTCAGCCTTGTGCATTGCTGACACGCGTTGGGCAAGGCCTTATCTTGCCAGCGGTTCAGGCTTGGAAGCGCGGTGGGAGTCTCTTGGCCCAAGCGCATCTCTTGTTTTGGCCATGCTCGTGTCCCTTGCATTTTCTGAAATTGCGAGTTAGGAGCTCCTCGGCCGGTACGTCCAAGCAGATATTGGAGACTGCTCCAAGCTTATCAGGTGGATGGAAAGACAATAGGGCTTAATTATTGCGACCGGCCCCGAGATAATGGAAGGACCATTAACGGGCCGTCCTTAACCTTGGCGCGCCAATCGGTACCGGCACGATCGTGACGTGACGGGCGATCGGACCCTCGGAAGTCTGTGCAAGATAAGGACCCTTGTTCTCTGTGGCTAGAGCTGCAGGAGTAGAGTGGCTGTGCATTTCTCAATTTCATAACTTCGAAAACCCTGCCCGTTATCATATCGCTCCCAGCGCAGATTGTAGGATGAATGGAAGGATTCCTGGAAGGGGACCTGCTGTTGCCTCGAATCTTGTTTGACTAGCTGATTTCAGTGTTTGCGAAGTCCAGCGTTGGGCCCACTGATAAGCGTATGAGGTGATATTCGCCCAGCCTTGCTGTGGATCTAATTAGCGCTGACGGGACGTCCTCGACCATATCATTGGCCGCATTCCAAAATTTCCCAGAGGTGTGTCTTCCGTTGGACGGCAAAACCCTCCGCTGGAACGCTCCACATATCAGACATTTCTTTGGTTGTTGGGAAAAGTCAAACGGAGTCTGAGACCAGCAAGTACCGCGACGAACAGCACTGTGGTGGAACAAACAGAGAGATTGACGATACGGCAGGGAGGTAAAAAGCCTTGGCGAGCGTCCTGAGCTGCGATGATGCAAGCAACAGGCTCCCGGTCTTTCAGGTTCCCACCACCCTCACCTATCGACCAGCCTCACCTGTTGTTTCTCTCACCCGCTGGTCACTCAATCAGAAGATAGCCACGCCAAGTCCAGGGGTTTTGACTTGGGTGTGTGCCTTCCAGTCCTCTGTTTCCCGCCGTTCCCACCATTCATCTTTGTCGTGGGCACCCACCGATTGACCATCCCTCGGCCCCTCCATCCTTCCCATACTCCTTCAACGCGAGTCTCCCAGCTCCAGGGCACAAGCAGCGAATCGTTCTTCGTCCTTGCCATGCCAATGCGATCATGCGCTGTTGCCAAATGATTCAGCCAAGAGTCAAAACCTGAAAATTTCGAGTGCCAAGCCTCCTTGTTCTGCCCCTGGCTAGCCTTCTTTCAGAATTCTCGAAGTCCAGCATTGGACGACTGGCCATATGGCAGATTGGCCATTTGCTAAAAATAGTATAATTTTGTATTTCGCTTTGAAATGGGGTCGGTACGTTGTGTCGTATGGGATTGGGGGTTCTCAGAGCAAGAAGCACCTTGATGCTCGGTTTGATATTGTAAGGATCCCCTGATGTCTTCTGAGTGACAATCATAACATCTGAACGGAGACATGACCTTTTTGCTTTATTTGTGAGAAGCATCATCTGGCGCAATCACAACCCTCATTCTCGTCGTCACCGCTTTCGCTCTTCTCTTCTTCAAGTCACGTGCGCCCCACCTGTTTGTCTTTTGCACATGTACCTGCTCGATAAACAAAATTGACCCACATGAAGACTTTTCCTAGGCGATTCCACAGGCATGAAAGATTGCATAATGACGATTCAAATCCGCGAACTGGTAATGTCGAAGTGTTCGAAAGATTCCTATACCTCTAAAGCACGCAGTTCTTCAATGAAAGAATGATACCTATTGTTTCGCTCGTGCACCCTCCAGCCCCTCCGTCTTCCTCCACACATATCCCCACTTCCTCATCACAACACCCTGTTCTGCACCCTTCCTCCCCTTCTTAACCCTCACCAATTCCCCCTTGACCTCTCTCCACACCGTGTTGCATAGCCCGTTCTTGCCCCTCTGCCCCTCCGCGACCTCTTTGGGATCTTTCCCCGGAACCTTCGCGACGGGGATGGCACGGTCGATCATATCGAAGATCGTCATGACGGAGTCGCTGGATATGGTTTCCTGCTGGCCAGGCTCAGCGTCTTGCTGCACGTCTTGCTGCACGAGCTGGACGGCTAATTTGGCTACTTGGCGGGAGAACTGGTGCCGGTCAGCTGTTCTTCTACAACACTTACGCCAGAAAGGGCAGAGAGAGAAGAGAGGGCTGAGAAGGGTGGGGAAGGGGAAGGGACTACCAAAAGCTCCGTCTCGCACACTTCATCGATGAACTCGATGACTTTCTGCAGCGTCGCCACAACATCTGCTCGCTTCTCCTCCTTGGGCGCCTTTTGTTCGTCGAATTTCCGCGATTTTTCTAAGAATTCTGTACGGGAACACGTGACCTGGAGTGTTACTGTCTCGGCATCTTCATGGAGGACATGGACATCTGATTCTGGGTATGACGGGACAACGCTGTCACTCATAGATTGATCCATTCCTAGGTACAAGGAATATGCTTGTGTGAAGATGTTGAGATGATTATAGCAATGTTGAGGACGTGTGTCTTGTTGTAAAAACTATTCGCTAGTGTCTCGGTCCTCCTGAAACCAATTTCCGAGTTCATTCATGCAGGCATGGATGTTTGCCACAGCTCGGCTGTTTAAGATACGTGGCAGTGTCAAGATACCAGAACGAGCAACAGATGATAAGCTCGCCTGTCCCGAATGGGGATCTGTGTTGTGTAAATGAATGCGTGTGAAAGTTATACTTATCAAAATATCTTCAAGAAAGTGCTGCTATTGAATACTCCTCAAATTTTACTTCGAATGGAACGAACTCATCGAAGCTCCATGTTACCAGGGGGACGCGACTAAGGAAGGGGGAACTAAGTCGAGTTTCCAACGGGAGTCTTGCTCCTGGGTGCAATCAAAGCTCGTTCCTTCCTTTGGTAGAAAATACGCATCTGTGCAGCCCGTTGGCTGAAAAGCAAAGAGCGTGAATAAACTCACATACCGAATCCTCAAACTACATCTCGGTCATCCTTCTCGTTAATCCATAACCAACCACACACTATAAGATCCCATATTCCCTACCGCAAGTTCTCTTCCATCTAGGAAGGAGCACCACATCCGCAGCAAACTTCAATCTAGAGAATATTTCGATACCAGCCAGAGGACTCCCCAACCCCAGAGAAAAAGGGATGCACTGAAAGACCCGTGACATCCCCCCCTCCAGAATACCACCCTCGCGGATCCACCCTCCTCTCCCCCCGACCCCAGAAAGCGCACCTTCATCACGACTGCTCGCAACAACCACCATCCTACAGGGCCATCTTGCGTTTCCCTTTACTCACATCCCGCTCAGACTTATCATCTTCGCTATCCTCCCCCCATCCCTCCCTCCCTCCCTCCCTGATACCCACATCGAGAAAGCGTCATCAAGAACTTCCTCATCGCCCACACAGCCCAGACAGAACAATCTCCTCACCCCCTTCCAAACCCCTACCTTCCCCTTCATTTTAACATCAAGCTGTTCTCCCATCCCGACGCCCATCACCAATTCCAACCTCAACGAGTCCTAGCACTCATCATCCCCCACCCCCTTCTTCTCCTTGCCCTTGCCCTTGCCGTTTGGATGAGGGTTCAGGAAGTGAATCTCCTGGATACAGCTCGAATTGCCGACTTACTTGCCCAGTACTTCGTTCATTACGTGTGAAAAGTGGAAGTGCCGAGGGGGTGAGGGGTAGCACTGCAATCCTCTGCTTTGCCCTGCGGATGGGAGATCAAACGCATTTCGTTGTCTTAGTCCGATAACTTATGAAGACTGTTAATTATGTTGGGAAAAAGCTGTTGAGGAGTTTTGTGCACGAGCAGCGAATTCTTGATTCACTCGCTTCGCTTACTGGGGTGGTTTGTTCTTTGAGTTTAATAGAAAAGATTCTTTGAATTTAATAGGAAAGAGGGGAGGGGTGGGGGGAAGCCTAAAATCAGGCCTTTCCAAGATCATAGCATTTGAGTATCTAGCTGTAAAATGGCTTCTTGCATGTATGCATGTATATCTCTCATTCATCCATCATCCCGCATGCTCATTTCTCCATCCCGCACATTTGATCCCTCTCCAGCCCTCGATTCCTGTACCAGAACCTCCCCCTTTCTTCCTTATCCATAATCCACCATTCCGACCTTCCAATTCCCTCTCCATTTCACGTCACCAGTAATCCCCCTACCAAGCCGTACTATCAACCTCACTCTGTATCTGCACCTTGATAGCCCCACTCTTCACATCCGCCGCGGTCTCAAACGCCTTCACCGCATCCTCAAGATCAAACCTATGCGTGACCAACTTCCCCAAATCCAGCACCCCACTCTCAAGCAGCCTAATAGCTCTGGGCCACGTATTCGCATACCGGTATTGAAACTGCAGATCTATCTCCTGCGTACTCAACCTCATAAACGGCACACTCATATTCGGTTTCCCCACCCCAATCACAAACACCTTCCCCCCGAACTTCACAGAGTAGATGGCAGCATTAACGCTAGACTCGACGCCCGTGCACTCAAGCGCGACCTTCGGCTGCAAGCCAGCGGCGTCCGTGATAGTTTTCGCGGCCTCCTCGACCGAGGCGCCAGGGGCGACTTTGACGCCGCGGACACGGGGGCAGAGCTGCCGCGCGACTTCGAGTCTGCTTTCTTCGATGTCGGTGATGACGATGGGTTCGGCCCCCGCGGCTGCCACACACTGAAGTGTGATTAGCCCGATTGGGCCAGCACCGCAGATCAGCACTGGGTCACCGAGGGCAATTTGCGCCCTCGCGATGCCGGCGAGCGCTACGGATAGCGGTTCAAGCATCGCGCCGTTCTCGAAGGACATGTCACCAATTTTATGGCACCAGACGGCAGGGTGGTTTACGTAGCGGCGGAGGAGGCCGTCGACGGGGGGCGTTGAGAGGAAGCGCATGTTGAGGCAGCCGTTATAGCGGCCTGTAAGGCAGGGTTCGCAGTTGTAGCAAATCAGGTCGGGCTCGATAGCGACGCGGTCGCCGATGTCGAGTTTGGTGACAGAGGGATGTTTGGCGAGGATTACGCCGGCGGATTCGTGACCGAGAATGTGGTTGTTCTCGACAATCATGGGGCCGATTGCGCCGGCTTTCCAGAAGTGGATGTCGGATCTAGGAAGGGGTGGTCAGTGGTTTGTTCAACTCTTTCAACTTCACAAAATATAGGTCCGGCAATATTTCTGGATCGTGGGGGAGAAGACCTCGATTTGGAGTGCAGTGAGATGACAGGGACGGGCACTTACCCGCAAATGCCTGTCGATTTGATGCCAACAGTGACTTCGCCCTCTTTCAGGCTCGCCCCACTCTTCACCTCATCTAGACTTGGGCCCGACTCGGACACCCATAGCTTATGTTCAGGATCAGTGAAGACACCGACATTGGGCTTTGAGAGGGCGCTGATGGGGTCTGCGTGGGTGGCCATGCCTGCCTTGGCTGCGGCCGACAGCTTCGTTGGTGGTGGACTACTACGTGGAAGCGTCAGCGTTGAGGCTGGCGGGTATGTAGTCTTCTTGCTCGGAGAGGCAGCTTTGGTGTTGTTGAAGGAGGAGTGGGAGCTGGCGGGGTAGACGCAGCTCGAGCAGTAACGGAGAGGCGCGCCAGTCGTTGCGAGGGCGGGTCTGTTTAAGATCAATTGATTGTTAGTCTAGCCTGGGGGTTTGTGCTCTCCAATTGAGTGAAGAGAAGATTGCTATCTTGTGATTCAGAGGGTAATGGGGCGTACAGGAATCGTGGACGTTGCGTAGATCCCAAGAGCTGCCCAAGACGTGCCCCACTGTGGGGTAAGCTTAGCCTGCGGGACATCCTGATGACGTTCCCAGCGATCAGGGCTCCGTGGGGGAAGGGTCGAGCAACGGTGCGCCTCTTCCGTTGAAGCTCTGCTCAGGTACTGGAGAATGGAAGAATTCGAAGGTAGAGGCTGAAGGTCAGAAAAGCATGAGATGAGGGTTTTTGTTGTATTTGTAGGCCCTTTTTTGCCTTTGGGAAATGTGGGTACCTTGAGACAGCTTTCACCCCACACAACTCACCCGCACATGCGCGACATAACCTTCAAGCTGTTCTGTACCACCCTTTTCGAGCTCCATGATTGGGGCGCATCTACCCAGCTTGCTCGAGATCGTTCCGCCGCACCAAGATCGAATTGCCATGCTGTGCCTAGACTGCTGCATTACGTCTCCGGATCTGTGAAGCTATTTGTCTTGCGTATTTTCGTCGTCATTTCTGTCGTGAGAGTAGCTTGGAGAAATGTAGTCGAGACCGAGGAGAGAGAGACGGCTGAAGAGACGGCTTTCCGGCAATCGCACCTGATGACGGTGACCTGCACTGATCAGTGTGGGTGGCCGACGTATGCTTGCGTATCGCGAGAGACAAGACCAGCATGGATGGGTATGACTAGTGTTCATCACGAAGCTTTAATAAGTAGGAACAGTCCTAAGTTGAATAACATAAATCTCGTTTGTCTCGTTCTGTTCATCTCCCATGCTGCTGCCCATCAACGCCTTGCTCAGATGCTTGTACCAAGATTGAATCGCTCGCTCCCATCATAAAAGGACATTGTATTCAGAAGAAAAGCTTTCTTGCTTCTTCTGGCCGGCTCTCGTTCGGACAGTACGGGCACTTGAACTTACTCCCTCTGCTCATCGTTGCCATCGTATCTTGCGCAATCACATGGCCGCAAGGCATCATCATGGGTGGGTTGTCGTCCGTCGTCTGCGCCTTACTGACCGGGCACACGAATATACTGTGGTACAAGTAGTTTTGAGGCAGAGCTACTTCGTGCGGAAGTTCCTGGGCAGTCGTCCATTCCGCACGCTTCGCCAGCATGACATTTTTCATCTTCAATACCATAGGCAGAGCGATTGCACCCGCTGTGGCTGCTACGTATAGCGGTGATTCAGCGGATAAGCCTAGCAGGCTGCAAAACTCTTTTGTAAAATTTTCTCCAAGATACTCCCACGTGAGATTATCGAAGTACATCTTCCTGTAGGGTGACGTGGCAAGGTTGGTGTGGTAAGCCATCAGGGTCGCGAGACTAGAGATCTCATGCAAGTAGCGTGATTGAAAGTGGGAGAAATGACTTCGCGCATACGCGAGCGCGTTGAAGCGGCCTTCCTGGGACTTAGTGGCACCTGAAGGCTCGGCGCCGCCAGTGAAGAGATAGATGAATTGTAATTGACAGAGCTCGAATTCCAGGTGGCTACCACGTAACTCAAGCCTCTCACTATTCTCTCGCGCCCAGTCGATCGCTGGCAGGAGATTGCGGTTGTGTCTCATTTCATGGACAATGTGATACATGTTCCCAAACGACCTGCGAAGGTCCTCCGATTTCAAAGGCCCGATCCCAAGAAGTTTATCAAGCTCGGCTTGAGTGTCTCCGGAGTCAATTTCCATGTGCTGCTCTTGCCGGTTCTGCAAATATTGATTCTGAATATCAATCAAGAGCTGGGATGCCACACTGAATTGTCCTTCGCGAAGGAAGTGCATCGATATAGCGCCATTTATGTGTCCGGGCTCGGCAGATAAGGCATCACTGTCAGCGCTAGGAGAGGGTTTGTCTTTGAATTTCTGCATTGATTTAGTCAAGGGAGTAAGTGACTGGGTTGAGCTCATACCAGATCCAGGACCTTTTGATACTGATTGTGGCCTTTGTATACTTTTTTGACCTCACTGGTAGCATTCTCGAAGCCTTGCTTGATTGGGTTCTGCAGCCGTGCCAACGTCACGGATGCACTCGTAGGATCTAAACGGATGAGCCTTAAGCGTACAACATTTGGGCAGCATTACCGTCTACTATTTGGTTCCGCGCATTGTGTAGCTGATCAATGATATTCTGTATTTCCCTTATGCTATTCGAGAGATTGGCGCTGGTAGACAGCTTCTCTTGCTCTTTTATCAACGCGTCCATTGTGGCGATCTCGAGCTGAGATAGCTATCAATAAAGGCGAATTCACGGCCAAACGAACAGAAGAGTTGAAGATTGAACCCTAGCGTCCATGACTTTGTAAAATAAATATACAACACACAAATCGACCTGGCTTAATGGATGAATATCGTCGTGCGGCGGATGAATTGGGGAGGTGACGAGTAGCACGGGTCGTAGCTTAAGCTCAGATCAGTCTGATCTCCCAATTGGGCCTAGCCCAGCCCTACCCGGCTTGGCATGGCTCTAGAAGATATATATTTAATATAGTGTAATATACTATTATACTCTAATAGCTGTTACAACTGTAGAAGGGGGCTAGAGTATTAGGAACTATGTGTCGAGAAGCTCCTTACCCAATCACCTGTCTCAAGGTCAAAAGGGTCATGGCGTGTGAAAGTTATGAGCTAATGCGGATCTCACTGACTCTGACGGTGGGTTTGATAATGATCGTACTAGTGATCTTCTATGTGTATGTCTATATGCTGTGGAAGACTATGCAGAGAGGGTCAATGCTCAAGTGTATAGTGAGTGACGTCGGAGATTGCAGAGTGTAATACCGGTATTTTCGCTAGCACTGGGAAGCTGGCGGTCTGAGAGACTCGTCTAAAAGTGAAGGACTGGTGCAATACTAGTTGCCACTTTAGAGCTAGGCTTGCAAGAGCAGCTGACCAGGAGCTAGATAGTCTAAGCATTGTTTCTTTCTCATTTCTGACAATGATATAATTGCCAGCTGTACTAGCAACTCACCGGGGCTATGCCTGCAGTTCATAGGTAAGTACATGAAGATGGTAATTGCTCAAGTGTTATAGCTAAAATCGATAGTCCAAGAGCGAACGAATAGCCGAGTCTGACAGATTAGGAATTAGTTAGTGGCCGTGTATAAGAAACCAAGATTGAAGTGTTGGTATAGAACTGGTTGCTAACACTTTGAGTGTTTATTCGCGAGACTAGCCGTCCTATTCCTCATTTCCTTCGACCCTTACACTCCCCCCCCATTTTAAACAGATCCACTGAGAAACACTTAAGCAGTACATTCCCCCCTTCTTTCTTCCTTCATCCTTCATCTCCTAGTTCTTTTTGCTACAATTTACTCCTACCCACTCCTTTATACACTCAATCCAGAGCACAATGGCACTTAACGTCATGGCTCTAAGCCTCCACAAGCACTCCTTCCGCTGGGTTCTAGCTATTGGCATCCTTGCTCTACTGCTGTCTCCGTTTGTTGTGACCCAGGATAGCCTCTCAACGGGCTCAAAGAGCCTCAAATCCCGTGCAGTCTCTCCCATCTCGTCAGAGATCGTGAATCCGATCGCAAAGGTTGGGATTCGTTTTGGAATTCCCGATGGAAATCTCACGCTTTCCGCCCATGTTTTGGAAAAGCGAGACTACTGGTAAGCCTACTCAAGAATATCATGACCCGGTTGACATAGAATACGCTTTTTGCAGGGATGATTCCGTCGCAAATGGTCGCAAAAAGCTCGACTTGTTGGATGGGCAAACAAAACAAACTCCACTGAATAAACTCGACGATCTTGAAGCTAATGGATGGTCCTATGGATCAGATCCCCTCAGTCAATTGTTGTTTGGTGATGCACCATGGACGTCAATCTTCAGTGAATTGGGAGTGGACGGCGACGAGATGGCCGACATTGTAAACAAGCAGAATCAACCATTCTCCAATTGCCAATTCGAGAACATTGTCAGTGGTAGACCATTCATTTACTTTGTGACGTCACTATACTGATACTGAAACTTCATGCAGCCAGCGACGAATGGGGAATACATAAATAGGTACAGCTTCGACGGTCGAATGATACTAGCGAACTCCAATTTCGCCCCCCACGCTGTGACGAAGGATCATGCAGCGAATAGTGCTATCCCCGATGTACCGTACTATCAGCGAATGCCCCTTGTGGAAAAATGGTCGTCCATTGTGGGAATTGTGGCCACTCATATTGCTGAGGCCAATACCAAGAACCTCAAATACGTCGTAAGGGCTGGAATTCTCACGGATGCCACCCAGGACATCATAAATGGGGCAGCTAAGAGACATGACCGCGGCCAAAATCCTAGATGGCTCAACACGGATTGGCCGGGTATCGACTTTTCTAGAAACGATGAGGCCTATTTCGCTTTGACAGGGACCGCCCATGGCGTTGGCGTTGTTTACCTTTTGAAAGACCATCCAGATCAATTCGGTGACAAACGAGTGGACTCAATCAAGATCTGGAAAAATTACAGCGCAAAGGAAAGCCCAAGTGACGAGAGAAATACAGGCGAGTATGAAATGATGTTCACCCTCACAAACTAAGGTATCAACTTAGCGCATACGCTTTTGCGTTACCATAAAGCAATTGACGTCTCGTCTCAGACGGACGATGACTATAAGAAACGGAAGTTGAACCAAACATGCATTTGACTTGGACACAAGCCAGCTTCAAATGATAGCAAGGTGAATATTGAGATGACGTGAGATTCAATAGAGGACGGAATTATGACTCAAGTGGTTTGCAATAGATGTGAAATAGACACTGGTAAATCTACCATCAATGAAAACTGTCAGCTTGCTGGCATTACCTACGTCATATGACCAATTCTTTCCGATGTGCATTGCTAGCTCTTTGCAAAGCGTGTCGTCGCCCCTTGAAATAGGCTCTTGCATTTGTCGCTTGAAAATAATAGACCAGCAATATGGTATGGTATATGCACTTCTGAGTGTTCATTCAACACAATTACGGGTTGAAAAGAGATTCTTGCACCCACCTCTGCTCCAACATGAATGCCATTACACAGTAGCACTTACCGACAGCGGTCAGGCTTTGGAGCCCTGAGGCATCCCGTATTGTTGAGTGAGGCGCAAACGTGATACTCCACCTACTCCACTCCAAGTGGATACCGTACCCCAACGGTATTTTGGACCTACATATATAAGTCTTCCTACAGCTAGATAGAAGATACATATCTAATATAATGTAATACATCATTATACTCTAACATCCCGTCCGTCCCAAATGACATTTTGCTGGGGATTGTCGGTGCTGCCGAGCTGGGGATATATAATGATGCCAACACCATTGTTGACACACCTGAAGAACTTGATGCCAACCGGCGACATGGTCTCAAAGCTTTTCGGTGAAGTGGAAAGAGATTTACACTGTTTGCTGGTCTTTTGCGGCCGTGTGGTACGCCCATTCGTTCGAACTTTTTAAAGCTTTGAAGTGGGGCTACAATCGAGACCTTGTAATCAGATGGCAGGCCGTCAATGATGATAATTTTATGGCCTAGACCTGAGCGTGACAGGTGGTTCGGACCTCTGAGCCTAATAACAGCTTTCTGCAGATCCCTAGCCCAAGCCAGCCACAACGGTTTCTTGAGAGCTGATGCTTGCTGCACCAGCCTAGTCCACCAGGCTAAACCAGAAATTCCCCACATCTGTGGAACAATTGCATATGCAGATCGCGGTGTGACTGTTAGTGCGGCCAAAACAGGCAGCTCAAAAACCACTAGTCCTCCGTCAAGGTCTAGAACAAGCCAACCTGGTAAAGATTGCCTTTAACCATCGCAAGCCTGATAGCTTTCCACTGACTGTATCAAAGCAGCATCGCCCAAGACTAGAGATCACTCATCAATCAATATACCTATTCCACGATTCATCAAATTGAGCAATGAGTCCGGCGCGGACAGCGAATTTGCATTCTTCATAACAGCGCCCGTGACCTCTACCACTACAGGGAGCTTCTTCGACCACGTCTGGCTTTCAGCTTTCGTCCCCGACGGAGGTTGGTATGACATCCAAACCGATGATCATATCTACGCATGTAAATTCCACCAACCTGACAAGCAGGGTTGAAAAGACATGCTGATATTGAATCCAGGGACGGGAACAGCCCCACAAAATCTTGGCCCGGGCATCGTAGTTCAAGGAGGCGAGGGTAAAGTGGCAAAGATAGCTACCGTCGACCACCCAGGCAGTAAGTAAATCCAACCATTGCGGCAAGTTGGCTTTCCAAAGTAACAGCGTTCGCTCCTGGGCAAGTTTCCCATGGCTGTCAAACAGGGCGCCGCTGAGTTCCTGCCTGATACCGGAGATAATCAAACGCCTGGCAGCTTCGAAATTAATACTGACGGCTCGTTCACACATGGTGAAAACTACCTCTGGCCAGGGTCAGCTCGACAAAAACGGCCAGATTGTGCCCATAGTCTCGGTAAGTGGCTCCCTGGAACATTGTGATTGTTGCTGGATCATTTGAATCGACTATAGGCGCAGTTCCCAGCTGAACCAGGCATGAGTTACAAATTCAATCCGGTAGCTAAATACTATGTTGCCGATACATCGTATGTACAGAGCAGTGCGGTCGATATTGGTACCGGCTCCTTGAATCCCGGAGAGATTCATTTCAGCTCCGGAGAAGGACAGGGCAAGGCGACCGCTATCGTCACGATCGATTCCTCCAACAATTTTACGATCGAGTACGAGTAACGTACAAGGTTTGCCAGGGATCCAGCAGTCTTATTCTCGGTCGATTAGATACTACTAGCGTGGCTATATGGAGAAAGAATTCGAAGGACTCTGGGTTTCTCGCTCACCCTGCGTAATTAGCCATGTCAATATTCTACTATTTCTAGCACACGGTATATAAGTAGAAATCGGACAGGTGATATTGAGTCGTCGATCGCACACACGTGAATCATGAACTTTCACTTACGTATTTTGAATAAAGCAATCCGAAGCGAAGTTCGACATCGATCGTGCTCAACATGGCGTAAGATATACCTTCCGCCTCGACCAATGACAGACGGCACCTAGTATGGACCGGTCGTACGGTCTTAGAATGAAGGATACCTGGGTGGCTTGGGAAGTCACAGGTCAGGAGCAATCCTAGACGTCAGCTAATCACCACCCTACGGTGGGAGTGGACGACTGGATGCAATCAGAATCCAGTACCTTGGAGACGCCAGATGTTGACCAAGGGAGTCCTCAGGCACGCAGTGAGTCTCAGTGACCGCATGATCGGCCATTCTTGTGATCGGCCGTCCGTGACTGATTCTGCAAGTAAAGCATATTAGTGTACCGAGTGGCGAGCGACACGTTTGGCAGCCGTGACACAACCTTCTTCTCCGCACTTGCATGAATGTACGCTGTATTGCATACTGTAATCTAGTTGTCTTAGAGAGTAACAAGACTAGAGCTTAGCAATATCCGAAAATATCAGGCTTTAGGCTTGTGATATAAAATAAGACTAGATTGAGTAAAGCTACGAGTGGCAAAAGCTTTGCGGAGGAAGGCGCCGAGGTTTTCCCGAGAAATTTTGTTCCGGACGCGACAATCGCAAGCTTTTTACGGAGGATATCCACGGGGCCTGAGGATTAATTCTTTTTCAACCCTCTCCTCATCATCTTGCGGGCCTTCGATCGAGACCAGATGGAGATTTTCATTACATTTGCCGCCATACTCTTTTACTAGGGGGCAAATGAGAATGAGCAGCTCGTGCCAGAAGATGTGATGGGATGGACTTCGAATCCTTCAGTCAGAAAAATGCGGGAAGTGGACCTCTGCGACAGGACAAGACACTGCAGCCTCAAAATGGTCAAGCCAGTCCTGAAGCCAAACCTTCCCATCATCGAATTGTCCTTGCCGATCCTGTAGCTTTCAGATACCTGAACAAAGATCCATCGACCAAAAGCTTGGTATACAGAGAGCGGCTACATGGGTACGAGCTCTACGCGGTTGAGCAATGGGCATGCTCCAGAAAACATCCGACATTCGTGATAGTCACGTACACAGGACAGGAACAACATTCGGTTGTATGCTATGTCTTAAGCGTACCTGCAGATGAAGAGATGTGGTCCCCAAGACTCCGAGTCTACATAAAAGCTGTCAGAAGGTATCATGCACGGGCGAAAGAGACACCTTTAGGGACGATGATGGTTACAAATTTGAGTTCCTTCCCTTCAGCTCTGACCGTGGTCGCAATCCCAGACGGCGACCTGAGGAGTCACAGAGAAGCTTTCGTTCTCAATGAAGATCTGAAGCGTCTGGGATGTACTGGCCGTGCTGGATTGAACCTCTCGCCTCCGATCGGGGCTACCCAAGCAAAATTCAGGGAGCTATATCATACGAGCGAGCAGATACCAATCGCTCCATCGGTGGTAGAACTAGTCAAATTATGTCAGGCTGCGCTCATGATCTTTGGAAAGCTTCCTGCGGAGTATGCAGATGGACTGCTCTGTGACGTTACAGAGGAAAAGATCAGTGATTGGTGGGCAGACATTGGAGCAGACTTTTTTGATATAGATGCTACTGATGGTATACTTGGGCCTACGACGGTCGCAGCGTTACTTGGGCTTCTTATGGGTGCTAGAGGTCGACTACATTCGTATGGCGCTCCGGTAGCCAAAGATGTCTTCGATATAATCGCCACCAAAAAGCGAGCGATCTCATATTTTCAAAAGTCGCAGAAATTGGAACGGACGCGCAGGCTCGATCATCGGACTCTCGATCGTTTGCATAAAGTGACAGCCAAAGCAGCTAATTCTGAAGGACGAGCTGTCCCACGTGTCGTCAAATCAACGGTCGCCGAGCTGAGCGGCAAGGGTAGAGACCTGATTGACGGCAGAGAAGGTGCAAGTATCGTCGACATCGAGACCTTCGACATCGACGAATTCATCAAGCTAGGTTATGGGGAACGTTTCAAGTGGCTTTGGCATGGCAAGCCGCGCAAGCATGAGACAGACTTGCTGACTGGCCTTGGCGACGACCTCGTCTTCAATGGCGATGAACAAGGCGGAGGTTGGGTCAGTAGCAAAAAGCGAGGATCCGTTGATGATGATATCTCCGTGCGGCAGACATTGTCAGACCGTTTGTACATGACATCACATGGTTCACAAACAAGTCTTGATCACGTTCAGCCACAGTCATTGAGGAAGGCTGCGGCAAGGAATATCGCTGGTAAGCATGATTCTAGAAGCGGCTTGGGCAAGATCCGTGATGCAGTAGCAAGACGAGGACATCATCATAGAATGTCCAAGGACGCGGATGCTTTTGATAGCCAAAGCTCAAGATTGATGACCCCGCGAGATAGCTTAGAGCAGGCTCGAGACGACATTTTTGACACAAACAACAGCAGGAAACCAGAGTTTGACTCCGGTAGCCAAAGTCGTTCTGGCTCGCAAAGATCATCCCCCCGAGACAGTCGAATGATGGGGGACAGTCAGTCGAAGACTAGGCTGCAGAAGTCAGTTTATGGAGACGGTTCCGCTGCTTCCTACAGTCTGTCAAGCTCTAGCGTCGATAATCCGATCACGAATGACGACAGTGAGGTGAATGAGAATTACGTCAAACTTCTTAATCAGGCCGATGGCATTACTTTCAGAGATAGAGCGCACCGACCGAAAATGCCCGATCGGGACGGAACCATGACTGTTGATGACATGCAGGCAGTAGACAACATGGAAAGCTTTGATTGGGCTGCCTCCAAATTGCCCGGATTGCGAGCAACAAGGAGTATGTCCACACTCTTCAGGAAAGCAGCCGGCAAGCATTGGGAGCGCCGTTATCCCCGTCGGATGTCTTTCTCGATTATGTCTGACGTCCTTGCTCACGATTTGAGTGGTGACGACGACGACGAAAGTATGGATCCTGATGCTCTACTAGCCCATGAACTTCTTGCCATACTAAGGGATCGACGCATGGATGACAAGTTGTATAATCTCAAGAACCAAGAATCAAATTGGATCGAGTCCAAAATAGGCCTCCTCGAGTCGTACGACGAACAAAGCGGCAAGACACAATCCAAGATAGACGAATTTTACCATCAAAAGGTGAACGAAAACCATAGTTTGCATAAATCCATCGAGGCTTTGATGACTGAAAAGAAGGGTGCGTTGACGGACGGGATGAAAGACATCGAGATTCTGGAAGCCAAGCTCGAGTATGAGCTGCAAGCTTTACAGTCGAAAGTCGAGGACGCAGAAGATGGTGTAGATGAGTTTGAGAGACAGATACTGCAGCTCGAAGCCAGGGCTGCGGAGCTGGATGAGACGCCTCCGCAAAAGCCGTCCATGTTGCGGACAGTAATGGGGCTTGGAGTTCTTTGAGTGGCGCTTGAGCCATATGCATTATGATACCCAAGGCACTGCATTACTGGCGCGTCCCACTTCTGTAGAGTTGAAATTCGATGTATATTTGTACAAAGCCCCACCTTATAATGCCCATGGATGCAATAGGACAAACACTTCTTCAATGTGTCCCGTCTCCCCTTCGTCTACCGTTCCTTCTATGCAATATCCTGACATATTCTCCAATCCCTCCCTTTCCCCTCCTGCTCCTTCTCCGTCCGACTCTCTATTATCTCTCCTCATCACCACTCCCACCGCACTCTCACATCCCAAACATTCCCCCACCCCCACCACCTCCACCTCCGCCGCCCTGCCGCTGAGCAGCCTCCCCCTGCATCTTCTCCGAAACCTTCATATTGATCTCAAAAAACTTGCTGACACATCTATCCAAACACACGCTCTCCCCTTTATTTAATTCGCCTTCGCGGTATTCGGAGGGTATGCACTTCGCTGTGCAGGATTGTTGGAGCCTGTGATTTGTTCATTGAGTCAGCGATATCGCAGCTGTAGCGAGCGGGCAGTGGAGTTGATGAAGAGGATTGGTGGAAGGGGAGGTCACGGGGAGGAAGACTTACCGCGAGTACATATCCGACATGATCTCCAGCTCTGTCTCTGCATTTGAAATTTTTTGCTCCGAGGAGAGTTGCGGGCGGCCGCCACCGAAGAGGAAGGACATGCTGGTCTTTCGTATGGAAGTATATGAGAGGTCGTAAGCTGATGATGTGGCGCGCTCTAGGGGAGGATTGTGACTTGGATATGCAAGGTATTTGGTCTTTTGATTTGAAGATGAATGCTCCGAAAATCAGTACCGGAGGAAGGTTGGTCCGATCCGAAATGCTTGGCGCTCATCTCTGTCCACAAAAGGATCAGGCTGCCGGACCCTCTTTCTATACTTTGCTTGGGCTTGAAGATAGTAACATGCACTTTATCTTGTTTGATGCTTTGTTTTGATGGAGTAAGCGAGTGGACTTAGAGAATTCGAGCGCAGTCGCTTACATTGAGGGCCAAGTCTGCAAAAGCCCAGGGGCTGCAGAAAACGTGAGAATTAAATCGACAGGGATTGCTCCTCACCATTTAACGCGCATCATTACGTTTCTATGTTTCCATTCAGTCGTCCATAGATTGGCCCACTCTCACTTCCCGTCACGAGAGGATTGCGCGTTTTGCAAATTGATAGCGACTTTATATTGTCCTACTTCGACGTGATCTCAAAAGTTGAAGGCCGCGATCGGTTTCGAACGAGAAGCAGCAATAGAAAGCTGTATCATATATCTCGGTCGTTGTCATTTGGTGCAAGCTGAATGATACTTCTTGAGTCCTTCAGAACTTCTATTCGGCATTCTCAGAATTGCTTTTTCAAGTTCAAAGATATGGGCTCACACGGACACCAGACCCTGGTTCGTTCTCCGAGGCCGCTTTTTAACAGACGCGTACAGTTTGTGCAACAACAAATGCACACACTCTTACAAGGCGCAGTATCAAGCCGCGAACAGGCTTCGCCGCTCACGTCGTACTTTCAGCTCCAAGCGAGCGAATGGATCGCCTTCGATGCCATACTGGTGCCTACAGGATCTACATGATCGACCTCAGCTCAGCCTTAACAGTGCATCCTTTAAGATGTGCAATTCGACTTAGTCGATTTCTCTCGTCTTTTAAAAAGGGACACTGAAGTGCGCAAACCATATATGCGATAACATTATCATATCGCACGCTTCTAGGACGCAAAACCCTTCTAGTATTTTGGCGCTTTGAGTATGCCATCGTTCTTCAAACGGCCCCTAGATGAAACTGGGGTCTCCTTCTCCGAGATCTATCCAAAGCTCCTTGAATTAAGCATTGTACAATCGGACTGCCCCATACACGAAGACTGCGATGCAAGCTGTGATGGTCAACCCAGCCTTCACGAGCCGCTGAAACAGTATTATTGGATCCATGAGATGAGTGGATTCAAGCCCAGGACACAGCCAAAGCTCTTAGCTCCCGATACTGTCTGTCATGATGAGGCTTGGCTAGCAGCTCAAAATTTCGAAAGCTTCCAGTATACGAGCATCGAATCGACAAAAGCCAGGATCCGCTTGTTGATAATTAAGCCCGCAAACTTCAAGAAAGATGTCCTCGAGTGCGAAATTATAGATGCTTGTCTTGACGATGTTACAAGCTATGCCGCGCTCTCTTACTGCTGGGGAGCCCCATACTTTGATCACAAGATTGTTTGCAATGGCAAAATGATGGCCGTCACAAGCAATTTGCACGACGCGCTTAAGCGGTACAGAGAGGATTATGAAGGACATAAGGAGAGCCTCCTCTGGGTGGATGCACTCTGTATCAATCAGGCAGATTTGATTGAGCGAAACGAGCAAGTCAGGCTTATGCATCGAATCTACAGTCAAGCGGTCAATGTCAATGTTGACTTGGGTCACGTTGACAGGTCATGGCTTCCAGGCTTCGTACTCTTATCGAAGCTGGATATGGCTCATGAAATCGAAACAGAAAAGGCCAAAGCGGGATTGGGCCCACCGTTAACCGGAGAGCAGCTTTTCGAAGAATACGACTTCCCGAGACAGGAAGATCTCGTTTGGCAGCTCTATATTCGAGTGCTTGCTTCGCCCTGGTTCTCTCGCGCATGGGTTGTCCAAGAGATTGTCGTAGCTCGAAATGCGACAATAAGATTTGGACCGTTTAGTTTCAGATGGCAAAAGATCAATACCTCGCTCGAGACTATAAAGCAACTCGGCGTGAGCCCTTTGATCTTTATCATGCGAGATCCCTCACTGGATTCCACGATGTCCGTCTCACTCATGAACGCCACCAAGCTTCGACGTTTGCGCCACGAATACCACAACGGCCGGCAACCCCTCTCCTTACTGGAAGCTATGACTAGGACCCGTGATTTTCATGCTTCTGACCCTCGCGACAAGATTATTGCTGTCCTTGGGCTTGCCTATGCACGTCCAAATATGAAGGAAAAAACGGATGAAACATTATTTCAAGCCGATTACACGCTCTCCACAGAATCAGTCTACTGTAATTTTGCTGCTCATCTTGCACAATATGGGTATGCAGCACAAATTATTGATCTAGCTGGAATGGAAGGCAGAGCTCCCGAGCTCAAAGAATTACCATCATGGGTACCGGACTGGGCACCACGCAGGGAGGAAAATAATTTCATTCGGTTTGGCAGGACAGAGAATGTTTCCTACCATGCAACTGCCGATAGTGTTTCTTACATGGAACTGTCATCGCGCTCGGACAGAAATCATCAGCGTGTCCTAGGTATGGAAGGAGATCAGATCGATATTATAGCACAAGTCACGCCAAGCTTCGATCCCGATAGAAACAGATCAGAGCACAAATCTCGGACTCGAGTTCTTCTGGAATGGCACCTAGGTGCCAGAGCTCTGGTATCTTCAGGTATCACAAAGAATCAGCTGCACCCCGATTACATAGACATTGACGATGCCTTTGCGAGGACCATCATTGCAAATGACCTGCTTGATGCCAATTTCGGGGACAGCGATCCGAGTCGCCCGAGTCCTATCACCAACCCGAAGGAAAGTTACCGCCTTGCCATACCTTCCTCAGTTGACGACGTTATACCTATGGGCCAGCGTAGCCTGCTGATGGACAGCGATGAGGACGTCCGCAGGAGCGCTGTGTCGACCTTCTACTTCCAGGCTATAGCCGCCTGTGGATGTCGAAGATTTGCGATAACACAGAGAGGATACATGGGGCTCGTTCCGTCTCTTACTCAGCCTGGAGACACGATTGCCCTCATCCTGGGATCGTCTGTTCCATTTGTTTTGAGACCGAATCCACCCACTCGACATGTTCAGGGCAAGGAAACTACCAAATTGATTGGCGATGCTTATATCCACGGCATAATGGATGGCGAGGGTATGGACTTTGATAGCTTTGCTCCTCAGATGATCTATATGAACTGAAATTATTCCTTCGGTAAGTCGTCAACGTTCAGGATGTGCAAAAGAACACTCTCTCGACCTATTGGACAGGGTTTCGCCAGTCTGAATATTGTTCACACTAAGGGAGTCTCGAGGGCCACGGAGAAAAATATCTCCGATACCTCAAAGCTTCACAAATCCTGCTGCCTACCTGATTGTAATGCCCTCGTTAATCACCACGCGAGACAAATTCGAGATGAAGCTAGTTGCACTTTGTTGGACTGGAAGCAACGCGCAGCATCTACTTTTGATCCTTTAGAACTTACTGCGCATTGTTCTATTACCCTCCGCGCAGGCAACGGTTTACTGGACCGTCAGCGATTTTACCAAATCGACTACTTGGTTTTGCTATAAATTGGTCCCATTCAAGGGTCAATTCAGTTACCGGCGGTCCAGGATGAGGCTCAAAACCAAGTAATATAATCAATAGTTCAGATATTTCTAATTCCTGTTCATCCAACGCCAGGAAATAAGTCTTGGAGATAAGATTTTGCCATTTTTTGTATTAATTGGTCAAACGCATATTGGAAGGCTTGGTGAATTGTTAGTCAAATCAGTTCAACCTTTAGCGATCCAATTGCACCTCCAAACGGACTGCTAAACTATTAATTCTGCTACAAGCAGTCCCTTTAAAGCTTCAAACTGGGACCGTTCGAACCGTTTCCTACGCCATACTCGTCTGGCTCAGAATACAATGGCCTCCTCAGCACTAGGCCTTGTACAGGTAAGCGAGCCAGACAAAAATTTCCTCTTTGAAGAAGCGATCAAGGATTCAGGGCATTGTATCAAAAGATCTCAGCGTGCGCTTGCTCAATTGAATTCATTTCAACCCTTGCTCTCCCGCGATTTCGCTATCAGGGAGTTTGGAGGAGCCAAAGCCCCCTTCCGTCTACTTTTTGATCTTCCTGTGCTCAATCAACATCCCTTTGGTAACACGACCAGATCTTTCATCGCATTGAGTTACTGTTGGCATGACGGCACATGGGAGCCCCATCAAGGCCTCGGTAGACACCAGAAACCCTGGCCAATAGCCCCCTCGATGCTTTCAGCACTTCGAGCGGAGCGTCTGTCTTTGGAGGAAGGAATCTGGATTGATCAATTATGCATTGACCAAGAATGTGAATCGGAAAAGCGACACGCTATTGGGGAAATGGATTTAATTTACAAAAGCGCCCGGGTGGTCGTGGCAGTCTTGGAAGATATCATCGTTTCCTCATCCGAGGAGGTAATACTTCACGGTCTTCTGAATGACAAAAGTCGAGACACACAAGATCTGTTTGACGACCTCAACAAGCATGCGAAGGAACAAGCAACTTTGGTGCTATTTCGTATTTTGTCGGCTAGATGGTTCCGGAGGGCTTGGTGTTCCCATGAGCTGCAAGTCAGCACGGCTTTGATATTCATCCTACCGACACCCAAAGGCACATATAGAATGACTACCCAATCTCTGGAGGACTTTTACAGCGCTACAGTCGATTTCAGGACCGAGTCAGGCTTGGAAGACAAATACTATAATGTCGAAAGCTATGATTTCCTGACTCGATCCTTCTATGACGAAGCTGACCGAGGAGAAAAATCACTCTTGTGTCAATTCTCTGATAATATGAAGCTCGGGAGTACAATCGAAAGCGACAAAATAAGCATCTCGATGAACATAGTTGGTCTCCAGTTAATCTATTTCTGTCCAAGGAGGACTGAAGACCAGTGTAAGTGGATTCTTGCTATGCTTGCTTTGTCCTCTGGCGAAGCTCTTGCGCTATGTGGGATTGAAGAAGCTTTGACGATCGATAATCCTCATGCTCAATACCCGGCAGAATCTTGGCTTCGTTGGTACGATGAGATCGAGGATCCGATGAGCCCCTTTGGTGGTTCAAGACTTGAGCAGCCGTCGTACATCGCCGCTATCGATGAGCGTTACATAAATCTTGAACTCTTCTGCATTCAGAAATTGAGTTTCCTGATACCAACAGTCGACTCCTTGCAAAGGGCAGGAGGATTTGTGAACGAATTCCTCAGTCTATGTAAGGTCAAGCATGAATTTTCTCTCATGAGTGTGGACTCCATTGCTGGTAATGGCATAGTCACTCATGAGCCTTTGATCCAAATACTATCGTGCTCGATCGAGTGCGGCCGTCGTTGGATGGTGAAGCAAATGGCATCCGTGAAGGAAGTGGCAGAGCAAATGAGAACCAAGCTTAAGAAGCTGAAATTTGATCTCTGGCCAATTGTTCATAAAATGCTGGAATGCACAGCCATATACCAATCGACAGATCGAGAGGGATCACTAGCGTCGATCAATCGCTGATTCTGGAATATATCACCTTCATCCTAATGTACTATCAAGAAATTTCTCTAAAACACTCACAGTACAATTCTGGTGTTTATGCGAACGGTGAAGATATCGCGTCCCAGTGGATGGGAGTCAAGATTGGCACAGACAACTGGGCACTGGTCCCACGCGGTACTGGCATTTCTATGCCTTCTGCAACGACCAGGATCTGTGTAGTACCAGTAGCACTGAGTGGTTGGTCTTGCACATTGCTACGTCGATCCTGGATTCTGGACCTGGACCTGAACCCTGGGATAAAGGACACATGGAAAATTGTGCAAAAGCTACCTTTCTTCACTTTGACACCCATTCTGGCTGACGAATCGTGTGTGGTGCGACTGCGTAGCCAAACGATTACGAGCTAGCTAAAATAGTAACGGAACACATCTTTAATGAGATGGTTCCTCCCGGCACATTTCGAGCAGAGATCCCTTACCGTCCGTCAAGGTCAATGATCTTGCAATACTCGAGCTACGTGACTAAATGATCGCTAAAGTAAAGAATTCCGACCGAGCTCAACTCAATCGTTTTCCAGTCGCTGCGTATCAACATCATCACCCTACCTACCTTCTACGCTTTTAAAGGAAATCCACCCTCTCGTCATCCCTGGAGCAATACCCAATGAGCCTCCGCCATGACCTATCCTGCGGTATTGTCACAGGATAATCCTTTGCAGGCGAAAAAACCTTTCGACCCCGAAATTTTGCTCTCGGCGAGCATCTGATGGCGTATACCTCCTTGCTTTCGGCCGCTCCGCATTTCTGAACTCGTAAACCGATAGAAAATAGTTATACTTATGTGGATCGACTGTTTTCATGCCCGCAACTGCGTAGAGTAGGAACCTTTCCGCGTAGCTCCTGGCCAGAAGCGATGGAGAAGCGCTGGTGTAGAGTCATGGAGCAAGGGAAGGCGTCGCTGCGATGCTTTCACCTCGAGCGGGAGGTGCGAGTTGTAGATATGGGACGTTGTCGTTGCGGATGGGTCTGGATCGCGCATGTATGTCAGGATATTGTAGAAGAGAAAACAGATGCATTTGGTTTCCTCCGCTTCGACGGTGAGGAATCATGTCCAGAAACAATGCTCGTGTTTGAGCCGCTTGTCCCAGTCTCGGTCTGTTACAATGGTATCAGTGGCCTCTGCTTGGTGGAAAAGCTGTGTATAGAATTGGAATCGCAGAAGTGCCCGTCTGATACGCATGAGCTCATCTGCTGAAAGGGGAGCTTGTTGCCCTGTGTAGACGCGTGATAGGAACATAGTCTTACAGAGGTGCACAAAGAATTCTACACTCTGTATAACGGCGTCGAGTCTGATGAGAGTCTCCGTATTCTGCGGTAATGATGTCGATATTTCTACATGTTCGTCATCCTCAACCTCGATGAGGCTCTTCAAACCCCATTTCAGCTTTGGGAAGGTAGCTAGAGAGTTTGTTCCCTACTGTGATCTATGTATCTGTATCCTAGAATAATTGGCATATCTCATCCATCATGATAGGTGCCTTGAGTAACATTAATATTGCCAATGAAGACTACCAAAACTGCAGCGTAAGCAGCTGTCGACATGAAGATCTCTGCGCGTTTAGCATTGGTGAGAAGGCCGACGACGGCAGCAAAAAGACAGGTGAACAAAACGAGCATCCCAACGCAAAGACCTAGGCTCTTTTCAGATGTGTAGAGGAGGCATACGATAGCGCCAATGAGGAGAATCGCGCTCAGGATCGTCGTTATCACGAGGCCGGCGTACTGTACTCGACGCTCTGGGAAATAGTATAGCCCGTCGGCGTTGGGCTTCGTTCTAATGTCTCTTTCCTGTCGCAGTGTGAGTTACAGAAAGCTCCTGCAATGACCCAGCTTCAAGCTGCCAAAATTTGTTCGTCGACTTGAAGGGCAACATACCTTGAATAGAAATCCAAAGTAACTCTTCAGGAAAAGATTCAACCGGTCGGTATCAATTGGCGCCAATGCCACCAAATCGCGTTCATCATCAAAGAGCTGTTCATCTCGGCCCCAGAGGCTTGGAATATTGCCAGGTTTGAAAGATCTACGAAAGTCTCTCAAGACGCGTTTCCGTGGGGTACTCAACGCGAGAACTTGATTCTCGCGAAGCAACGCTTCGTCTATACTGGTCAGCCATTTCTTTTGAAGATGGATTTACGTACGATATTGTTTCAGCTTCATCCTAATCTTGGACTGCAACCCTCTTCGCTTTCGCGCCCTTACATTCGTATTCTTCGCAAAGTGTTCCCAACTCACAGCAGCCTGGCGAGCTTCCTGGTCATCGATATTTTTACTATCCTCGCGATCTAGGTTCTCAAGTTGTCCTTCAAGCTCTTGTAGTTCACTTTGTTGGTATAAAAGGTTTCGAGCACTCAAAGACTCAAATTTTCGATAAATGGCGGCATCTTTGTCTCTGGCAATGAAGTCCGCGAAAGTAGGATACCCCACCAGCTTTTCTGGCGGCCGGCCTGCTTCTAGTACAGTATCCGCCATTTCGATGTCCACATCTCTGCGTCCTCGCGGGGACATGTCATGACTCTTTCACGTTTAGTCAAAGGTGGAAATATGATGTCTGCATGAATGAGATGACGGAATGATGGGCGAGAAAGGTTGGGAGTGCCTAGTCTGCCTTGCGTGAGGAGCTGAACAGCGCTAATGCGGCGACAGCACACAGCCACCACCAAATTTGTTTAGCGTTGCCTCACTGAAATTTCCCCCCATTTTTCCCATCATTTTGATCTTCTCTCCTCTTGCAATTCTATATCGAGGGCATTATGACTGGCGGTATAGCCGTTAACTCTGCTTGCTTGGTGGCAAGTCCTTGACAAAACCTCCAGTACCCATACGGGTTGCAAGCGATCTGGATCGGCACGGGGAAATCTCAGGGCCGTGAATTCGTCATGCCTTGCCTTGATGGATTGTCGGTGAGCATAAGGGAAGCGGTGCCCATGCAGGAGAAGGGTTACATATCACCGGGCCGCGATGTCCAAGCAACGTGGTCAGTACTGATGCTCTGTTTTCCGCATTCGCAAAGGCCGTAAGCACTCGTGACATGAAAGAGGATTGTCTGCTGCCACAAAAGCCTTACGTTAATTTCTCCCATGCATCTGATCCTTCGAGATGTCTATCTAATACACCGCTCATTGTATGCAGGTCGCTAAACGGTCAGCGGGCGCCAGAACAAAAGTCGATTTCAAGGTGTCCAAATGCCTGTGTCCTCACCTGGCGCGGGCACATTGAAACCAATAGAGAGGCACTCTTAATCTTCCAGGGCTGCTTCGATGGCTCTTTGTCGCACTACTCCCGTCGCCCTCAAGATAAGGAGCGTCATTCATCGATCACTAGCAGCAATGGTCTCATCGAAGATAAAAATACTTCAAGTTTTCAATAATGGGCGGACGGCATTCCATGGTCATCTAGCCGTATCCTGATTAATTTTCTAATCTATCGCCAACTTACCAAATCTATGTCCCCACGCGAGCGGAAGCGCGCATACAAGATCGCTGATGAAAAGGTGAAGAGAGCAGAGAGAGAGGCCCAAGAATGTGAAGAAACTCGAAACCGCGAGACAAGTGTATTAACAACAGCGAGAACGAACGCTTCGCTGATGAAGACGTAAGCAAATATCTCTCTCCCCTCCGAAATCTTGAATTTTGGGAAAATGGCAAGAGTTGAGTCATCTGGGGTGGTAATTGTTGATACCGACATTAAGGAATTCAGATAATCAAAGAAGCTGACTGACTTGAAATCATTAGGTGGAGAGCGATTGCGCACATCTATCAACAGCTTCTGATTCCTCCATCTGGGCCCACTCCTGAGATGCCCACCCATTGCTTAGGCCCAAAACCTTTGCGGGACAGCGAGGCCAATACTCGCAGCGGACCCATTTGGGCCGACGAATGGGCAGTCACTGTTCAAGACTCACCCTTCTTTCCCTCTGATTGGATGCAAATTGTCGATGACGCGATCAATGCTGAAATTAAGCTCTCTTTTCCGAGAATCTCTTGGATTGAAGGACTGTCATCACTAAGGGCCTTCTCAAAGGGCTTCCATTTCATGCGAGAAGTCTTTGCGCGCCTACAGCCGCCGTCCATTCCTGCAAGAATATCTTTTGAAGCGGCGGGTTACCAATTATTTGTGACCAAGGAAGAATCTCGTAGACGCTTGACGACGCTGTGGTTAACGGCATGTTTATCAAGCTTTGAACACCTTCCAACCTTTACCTCGTCAAACAATATCTCAGTCTTGGAATCGAGACCGCATACTTCTAAATTTGATCCTGGATCTCAGAGTATCGTCGGAAGCAAGCATGATCGATCTTCGAGATGGCGTGGAGGATTGGGCCAGGTAATGAAGAAAGTGAAAAGGGTCAAACGAGGCCTAGCGAGTCTTGTTAATGGTTCTAGGCTGTCAGTGATAGCGGACACTGGAGCAGGCCAGAATATGATGTCAGCTCTATACGCAAAGCAAAGGAAACTTTCTGTTGACAGTTCATCGACTGGGAAATTCAAGATTGGCAACTCATCCATTATCACCTCAATTGGTACCGTCACTATTGACTACGCCTTTGCGGAGGAGCCGTCAAGACTATTTAAGCTTACGTGCCATGTCATTCGCGACTGCCTCTACGACCTGATCTTAGGCAGTCCATTTCTCACTCATACGCAAACGATGTCTGAGTATAGGCGTCGGCTTACCGAGTGCGTCTTCTCTATTTCCAACTTCTTTCATATTGGGTATCTAGGAAATAGTAGCCAGCTTTTGAGAGGCGCTATTGCGGATGATTCTCCAGCTTTTGCGGTACCAGACACTGGGGCTGAACGTAACGTCATGAATCTCAAGTGAGTACAAGGTGTCCATTCACTTAAATTGATGCTGATTTCGATCGCTAGTTATGCTTCCGGTCTCGGTCTTCATATCGACGACAGAGAAAGCTGTCGCGGGTATCTTCGTTTCGCCGACGGTAGATTTGAGAGAACTGCCGGTCAAGTCAATACCTTCTGGCAATTTGATTCCGGCAAACGTATTCCGATCACTTTCGATGTGTTGCCAAATTGCTGCTCTGATTTGATCATTGGAGACGATGTACTTTGGGATCACAATGTCTTCGAAGCGCATGCATCCTCTTTGATCGATGTCTTCAATCCAGATGAATACTGTCCTCTCGCGCCCTTTGGGTATGAGACAGGGTGGCAGAAACTCACCAACAAATTCAGAACGAAGCGGAAAGGTAAACAAAATTCACAAATACCTTCATTATCCAAATGCTAACAAGAACTTCCTGTAGACAACACCTTGACGGAAGCCGATGTACTCTTTCTCTCTCAAGATCAAGAAGAGAAGCGACGTCGAGAATGGCATCATCGCTATGGATTCGACGGAGCCAGAGCGGACGCGGAAGAAAAAGCAGCAGAAAGAGCGCGCCGAGAACGCTTCATAGCGGAATCGCAACAAAAGGCGATACCGCTAATACCGAGTATACCAAGTGCACCAAATCCGCCAGCTGCCCTAGATAAAGGAGAGCACAGACGTATGAAACCTAACATCAACCCCCAAAAACATGAGCCAAAAAATGACGACAGATTCATAGAGAGGCAAAGTTTCTAATCACGCTTGACTTTTTACAGTTGAGTTGCATAATCTGCGAATCTGGGTTTGCGTTCACTATCGTGGAGTTGGTTTCAGGGGATTGACAACAGTCATAGATGAGGAACGGCACGATTCCATATCAACTTGTACAATAACCCTAACGACGCAATGGCACAGTAATTGATCGATCACAGTGTCTCTCCTTCTCGCTTCATACCTTGGCACGTGCAGATCTCCTCAGAGCCGCTCGCCTCGCCTCCGACGGCGCCTTGGCCTGCACAATATTGCTCGCGTGACCATGCAGCGCCTTGCACGAAAGTACGCGACGGCTGATTGATCGCACCGACCGAGCGTCAAATGGTCAAATCATAAAAGCTCCTCTACTCTTCTGACCAAGGCTCAAAAACACCTTGCCCACCTCCGTCCACGCCCTCCATCTTGACAACTCATTACTATCAGCAAGTAGAATTAGACCTTGTCATCCTAGGACCTGGAGATTAGAAGCGTAATGCACACCTCACTCACGCTCTTCCTCCTTCTCGCCAGCCTCGCGCTTTCCCTCCCGAGCCCCCTCACCAACCTTTTCACCACTACACACGGAGACAAAGCCAGATTGACAACACGCGAGACTCCTTGCGTAGAGAAATGTAATGACAGGTACTATGTGTGCTTAAACTCCGCCACGCCGAGTTCTGCCTGGTATGTCTATTCCTCAGCCTTCGTATTCCAGTCCCTCGTGTAGATATGGGTAGAAGGTGCACTGGGAAAGAGCAAAGCTGACGATTTTGCTTGTGTGCAGTGAACTCGCGAATGATGAATGTGTCTTTTTGTGTACGGGCGAGGCTTGAGGGGTTGATGCGAGGAAGGATTTGGAGAGGTGGATGTGGTTGTTGATAAGATGCTGCTGATCTCAGGTTTGAAAGTGGCCTTGCTCTTGGGGATGATGAATTTCGTAGATTCGGGGCCGTGGATAGCAACGGTATTGTTGATATGGGTGGTACCATTTGTCTGGCAGTGTGACTTCGATGTTTTTCATTCTGGTATGGGTTTCGGCTGAAAGTGCAACCATTAGAGACGTGGTGCTGTCTCATAGACAGTTCGTAGGCTAAGAGATTAATAAGAGCGGTTGGGTTATGAGAGCTGCGATCGCTCGTGTCTACCCGCGCGATTAATTAGCTGCTTAGGTGATTTGATTGACGACACACCTGCTTTGATCTTGCCGTTATGTACATGCAATCGGTGCAATGATGCTACTTCCAGCTCATATTCGCTTTTCTACAATCCTCCTTGTATGACTTGCAGCTCTACTACAAGCTCATTTCCATGGGGTCTCATATGATGGCTCACATAGCGTTCCTAGGGTATTGAATATGCTCATTACTCCTTGCTGCCAGTTTTCTACACGATTTGGTGCGTCATGAGCCTCGAAAGCGCCTACTATTCTTGTAGAAGAGGGGCAACTTTACCTGGCCTGCTTAGCGAAGAGTCCCGATGCAGGGACAGCGTATTGAAGGGCGCCCGATCCTCTTTCAAGTCTAGACTGTAATCTGAGGTAATCATACCCAGCCTTATCTAGCTTCTTCGCTCCAACGACATTCGAAGAACCAACCTTTGCATTCGTCGATGTGAATTTGTTTTAGGCTGCAATGACTGATCCGATTTCGATTACCGGTAGCGTGGTGGGTATCCTCTCGCTTGGCATCCAAATCACGCAAGCCCTTGTCAAGTATTACACCTCTTACAGTGGGCGCAACTCCGAGATTGACCATACATTGAGGAGATTGACCTCCTTAGTCGGCCTACTAGAGCTTCTTGAGCGTGAGATAAATAAACGGGGTGTCGATGAACGAGATATTGTCCATTTGATTGAGGAATCCATCGATGATTGTCAAGAGTCAATCCACGAGCTTCAAGATGAGTACAAGAAATTTGTAATACCGTCTAGCGGTGACTTCAAAGCTGCGACAAGATTTGCAGGTCGAAAAATGACATATCCTTTCCGACAAAGTACTCACCAAAGGCTTCGTGAGAACATTGCCGATATATCCGATCAGCTCTCGTCAGCAATGGATGTCTTACAATTGCAGGACAACCGGACGCTTTCGGACAACGTGGCGGAAGTGACCAATCTCCTGGAGTTGGTCAGATGTGATCAGGTATCGAAGAACCTACAAGATTGGCTGAATGCACCGGATGCTGCTGTCAATCACAATGCTGCAGGTCTGAAAAGGAATCCCGGTTCTGGAGCATGGCTTCTCAACGACGATCGTTTCCTTAAGTGGTCACGCGGTGAGCTACATCTATTATGGATCAATGGCTTTGCAGGCTCGGGAAAATCAATTTTATTTTTCACGGCAGTTCAGTCTCTTCTCCGCCGTCGGAGCTCTGATACTTCTGTTGGCGTTGCCTTTTTCTACTTTTCATTTACAGACAAAGCGAAACAAGATGAAAACGGTATGCTAAAGGCATTGCTCTTGCAACTGTCTTCTCAGCTTCAGAATGACAACACTGATCTTCAGCAATTGTACAGTCGGTATGAGAAGACATCACCTCCCTCTTATATTCTGCAAGAGTATCTGCAGCGCTTAATTGGAAGATTTGAGCACGTCTACATCATGCTGGACGCTGTTGACGAAAGTCCTCGATATGAAGCACGTTCCGACTTACTTGACACTTTAGTGTCTCTCAAATCCTCAAATGTGGATCATCTTCATATTCTTGTAACGAGTCGGGACGAGCCAGATATCCGCGAAGTACTCAATGTTCACATTGATCAGGAGATTCCGATGCGAAATTCAGGGATTGAGGGAGATATCAGCAAATCCATCTCAGATCGACTCAATTCTGATCAAAAATTACAGAAGTGGGCTCCTTTTCGTGACAGAATTGAAAGAGCGTTGGCCACCCGTGCAAAAGGCGTGTGAGTAGAGAGCACTTTAAATTGTTCACCTGTAAGACTCACAATTTGGTAGGTTTCGATGGGTGGAGTGTCAATTCAGGTCTCTATCGGCGTGTCCACGTAGCGAATATTATCTCAATTCCCTGCTTGACTCCCTTCCCGAGTCACTGGATGAAACATATGAACGAATGCTAAGCAACATAGCGACCACTTTACGCGGAGATGCTCGACGGATCCTAAGCTTAATTTGCTTTGCCGAAAGACCGCTAACAGTACAAGAAGTAATAGACGCCATTGCTGTGAAAACAGCAGAGCCTCATGCTGGGCTCGACCGAAGTCGTCAGCTTTTTGACTTCAGTGACATCCAACAAATATGCCCAGGGTTCCTTGATATTGTGTTAGAAGAAGATCAGAGGGCAACATATCTCAAGACCGACAGGCCCGAGGTTCCAATCGTAAGAGTCGCACATTTTTCGGTCAAAGAGTACCTGATCTCAGATCGTATCCTAAAAGGTACCGTTTCTGAGTTTCACATCAATAGCGATCGAGCACACTCCGAGATCGCGAAGATGTGCGTGCTGTATGTGCTCGAGCCAGAGATTCAAGTGAATCCCACGCAAGATCCAGAGCCCATTACCCTGGCAGCCGACAAGGCGAAAGAAGCAGAATTCCCTTTCATAGGGTACGCGGCAGTTCATTGGGGCGCCCACTACGAGTATATAACACACGCGGACATATATCTGAATACTCTTTTGTACAATCTCCTGTATCAGAGACAATCGCGCTATATTTGGGCAAGATGGCGAGGAAGATCTCTCTCTTATGACCCTGAATTATCAGCACGGGAAGAAGAAGCTCTAAAAATCGAGTCACAAAACCCAATCTACTACATTGCCCACTTAGGTTTTGAGAAAGTATCACGAACTTTGGCTACCGTTCAATTCATAGACTTTTTGCCCTCGTTAATTGACATGCCTAGAAAACACACCAAATTGTATCGTCTCATCAATGCACGGAGCGGAATATTTGGCGACGCGTTACAGGCGGCATCACATGGGGGCCATCTGGGAGTTGTTGAATTCCTTCTTGAACAAAATGTTAATATCGACGGCCAAGGCAGTGAGCACATCATACCGGGTGAACTCCAGCTTATCGAAACCGAACAAGAATTGTATGCTTGTCCGCTATCAGCAGCTGCAACAAAGGGGAATTTGAATGTAGTCAGACTCTTACTTGCGAAAGGTGCGAATGTTAATGCTCAAACACAACGCTTGGGTAGCGCACTCCACATGGCGGCGTTTTGTGGCAATCTAGGCATGATAAACATTCTGATCGATCATGGTGCCAACGTGAATGCTCAATGTTCGGTGTATGGTAGTGTGCTAACAAAAGCGTATGTGAATGAAGAGGTCGTGCAAATATTGATCGCAAATGGTGCTGAGGTGCAAGCATATCAAAATTTCGTGTTGCGAAAAGCTGTCCAAGAACATGACTTATCTGTTGTGCGACTCTTAGTCAAAAGCGGAGCGAATAGCCACCAACGGATAAATCCTTCTACTCGTACTATACTAGAAGTCGTAGCGTATTTTGGAGACATTGAGATACTGCAAGTCATCATTGAGAGTGAGATGAGTAAGGCAAGCAACTACGATAGCCATCTACGGGAAACCCTCCTTGGAATTTATGAAAAAGCATTGAAAAGCACAATACGCGAGAAAATCGTATACTTTGACTGGATAGACGCATATAGTAGTACGCTCTTCCCTGGAGAGCTCTTGGATATTGACTTTTCCCGCAACTGGGATATAAGATATGCGCCGTCAAAATCACCGACAGAGGACAATCATCACATACAATCAGAATCACAGCAAATCTTAAGTGCAGAGGAAATTGAAGATTTAAGGACAGATGATTCCTCTCGCGCTGAGCTATGGTCTTTCTCTGCTGCTTCGATCAGAGACTGCTACAAGAAGGTCATACAGCTTTTACTTGAACAAGGCGCAAACATGGAAAAGGCCTTGGAGGAAGTCCCAGATGAAATAGTGCAAGTGCTACGTGAAGAAGGTTTCATCCCAGATTCAGGAGGTGCTACAGAAGCACAGGATGATACCGATGATCAGGTCCAACAAACAGTATAAAGCCCAGTAGTGACCCTTTTTATCACAAGTATGTTCACCGATAAGACTTCAACATCTTTACCACAGATCAGTTACCTTTATCCATCATCCTACGCCTGGAGGACACTCAGAGCCTGTAGATTCCGGGAAAACCCCAACTGGACTGACTCTTTGCCTGCTAAAATGGAGAGCTGCCGTTCCTTGTATGTATCTTTAAGCACCTTCCCGTATACCTCTTCGTGTTAAAGCCACGAGATCTACAGACGTATGTACAAGACAGGGTAATAGGGTGCATGGAATACACACTGCGAGCAACATCGTCGAATCACGTCTATTTTGGAGAAATTATAGATTCAAGTAAAGCCAAGACGCCTAGTATACATATATACATATATCTAGCCTTTCATGAAGCTTGAGTCATAAGGGGATTCGAACTCGTTCAGCTGGATTACAGAGCATGTAATTCGAAAAGTATGACGCGATCTTCCGATGCCTTAGAGATTCAGACGCCTAGGAAGAGGACGGAAATAGAGCTTCATCCATTACATCAATTGCTTTGTTACTACAAGTGTTCTGTAGTATCCTACACCCGGTAAATTTTTTTTGATCGATGATTTCATATAAACCCTAAGAGGTCAGCACCGTAGCGATCGTCACTACCGGTTGCAAGGGACTTGATGTATTCCACTGCGAAGTGTTTGATAGCGAATACAGCGGATTCTGTAAATTCCATATCACACTTTTTTCTCCCACATTCGCACCTGTAAATTGGCGAGACTTCTGCAGGATGAATTTCGAGGCCTCTGCTGCGGGTACGGTCTGGGGCGAAGTCGGCCACGGGATCTTTGACAGCCCAAGGAAGTAAGCGACGAGACCTCCAACCTGATCACTAGTCAGCAAAGTCGTTGTGCTCTTCTCGAAGGGGATGATGTACCAAGGGTGCGGAAAATGACGTTCCATATTGGACGACAGTTCCCTGTGTCCCGCTACCCGCAGCGCAGATTATCTTGTCGCCTGGAGCCCAGAAAGTCGGGCGTTTGAGGGCTTGTGAGTAGCTGCTTTTGTAGCCTCGTTGGGTGGTTGCTCCTGCTACTATGATTGCTAAACCTGGGTCCTCTCCAAATTGTGCAGGAAAAGTATCGACGTATTCGGAACGGGATGCGTTGTTGCCAGCTGAGAGCACGATAGTCGCGCCATATGTGACTGTCAGGGAGTCAAGATATCGTCTTAAGGTCTTCCATGGCGCTGGAGGCTTTTTCCAAGACTCGAGTGGTACGGGGTTACGAGACGCCAAGGAACATACAATCACCGACTGAGAGGATCTTTTGTTCTCAATGATATCATCTTGCGTGGCGAAGAATGCCTCCAATAGATTACTGGAATCGAGCACCGTCTTGACAGGGATAAGTCTCGAGAACTTGGAGACCCCGTCAGCATGTCCTACTGCTTTTGATGCCACACACGAGCCGTGACCATCCGGATCATCGTCGGTATAGGTCCGCTTGGCATCAGAGGTGAATAACCAGTCGGCAGGGCGAGGTGGCTCATGCATCATAGTAAAGTCCTTAGAATTAAATGATCTTCTTATCTTGTAGACGCCTCCGTAAGTATGCTCACCTGATGGGCTATATTAATACCTTGGTCGATGACGTATACAAAGGTATCTTGGCCATTTTCGTTTGCGAATTGATATGGTACATCGAGGCCCGCTTCGGGAAGATTAGCAAGTGGTGGCCATGACACCAATTTCAAGTCGTTTGGAGCGTCATATTGGCGTGTGATGGCAAGATTTGGGTCATTCACATCCCTCAATACTGTATTTGTGCTTTGAGAAGTAGATATGAGGGCTTCGTCCATGACAACGTCCTCAACCTATTGCTGCTTTAGCCTTGAACCGTTCGAAAAGTTTTCGCGTCACCTACGCCATTGATCTGTCGGATCTGATTCATTTGGGCTTCAGTACCCCAGACCTTCCAGAACTCGATCGTGCCAAAGACACGACTTCCAATGGGCTCAACGCGAGTGTCTCCCAGAATGGCGACTAGTCGAGGCCATATAGTGTGCTTGCGCCTGGCTTGTGGGACAAGATCTCCTGGGAAAACGAGCCACCTATCTTGTCCAAAAGCCAAGGAATCAGATACCGCCAGCCAAAAGAAAAGGGGCAGTAGATAATGCATGGCATTCAGGATATCTTGAGAGAAGCTTTGATGAATTGCAACAATCCTGAAGCTGGAGAAAGAGCTTCCTTATATGCGATTTTATTTCGCTTCCTCTATTTGGTTTGTAGCCACTTACCCTTTCAGTTTCAAAAAGCATGTTCGTGATATCGAAAAACTCTCAAATGATAGTGGAGCGCATGCACTGTTGCGTCCTGCTGTCTATTCATATAAATTCGCGAAGATGGGCTCCACCAGGTCAGTCTTGATGAGCCCTGGGAAACGCATGAGGTTATCGAATTATTGCCGACCATAAGTCTGGATTGGTTTTTCTTATACTTAAGATCGAGTCTTCTGCGTTGAGTTAAATTTAGCCACTATGGGATCAAGGCAAGACCACTCATTGAGCACAGAGAACATCCCACGATGCTAATTATGACACAGTAGTAACCCTAGTATGAGGCTAGTCCCAAGGATATAGGTGAAGGCATTGCGTCTATGCTAATGCCCCCGAGCCTTTCGCGTGTGGTTGTGTGAGGCTGTAGAGCGCTTTGAGCTACGTGGGATGTATACGCGACTGTCTGCTCTCGTCGAGCACGAAGAGTTCAACAAAGCGTATCACGAAAGGGGAGATTAGAGCAATAAGTAGCGTGATCTTGACATCCAGGCTTTGATGGAAGTGCTTCCAGGCCATGCAGCCTTTGGGCCCTCTACGAAGTCCATGGACAGTGTATGTGAACTGCATTCTCCCTTGAGCTCCTGATGTCACGATAGAGTCAGGAGCGACTGCGCACCAAGTTCGCTGCCTTGCATGAGGTCGATAGGCAGAACATCCGCCATGCATATGGCGATGTACTAAAGTTTCCATTACAAGCAGCGACGCCTCCGGATCAAGGATCCGACCCCTAACGATCCTCAGTCACTACACATCGCGGCTGTGGGAAAGTGAGACTTCTCGGTGAGCTCAAAAAGGAGATATGCGGCAGTCTTTGCTCGGCACTTGCATTGACTTGAAGGTCTGAGCACAAGGCAAAACTCACCGAAGATGAGGAGCACTTTTGTTCGGCGAGGAGCACAAATCTGGGATATCTTGACTTTGGTTGATTTGAGAGCTAGCCTGGCTGTGCGCAAGTCATCCGGTTAGCTACGCTGACGTGGAGACGAATGACTAATGCACATTTGTGCGCGATAAATAGATGTTGCTCAGCGGAGGTACTCGCACCTGATCAGCTTGGTCAAGCTCGGTCTCACATCTAGACTCCACAGCTTTTAGGACTTCCCTCTGACCACTTTGCAAACAATTAACCCAGTCACTCAAGCCCCCTTCGATCCGACAACGCTGGAGTCGCTGCTCAATCGTCGCAACATTCTGTCATGAGGCTCACAAACGTTTGGCTCTTGCTCGCAGTAGTAGGAGTCACCATTACACAAACGGGGCCGACGCTATGGCAGGACTTCTCTGGGCTGCTATCGTACCTGACAAGCTCGGTCAAGGATGCCAGTCACAAGGTGAAAGCTGATGATCCAAAGGATACTCTCGTCCTTAAGGTAAGATGCTACTAAGTTATTAATTCTTGAATGAAGTGGTCACATAGAGCGGAATAATGCTGAGTACAGTGATGGTAGAATTTGGTCACTAAAAGAAACAATCTCATGAGTAATTGAACTTTTACCATCTTTATATCAACGCCGTCCACGAGGATGGAGAAGCTATCCACAATGATACCGAAACGAAAGATGTCGCGAGACAGTTCATGTCGGTAAGTCTCGACAACTACGACAGTCCTTTTGAGAGGTATTGACGTTGACCTGCCGGTCGCAGTACTCCGACAGCGCCCGCATATACATCGATGCCTAGGAGAAGGAAGCAAACGACCTATTCAATCATGGTGTACCTTTCGCGGGGGTTGCGGAAGCGAAGAAGACTCTTCAGGATCTCAAGACGTCTTATGACGTGAGTTGAAAACCCTTTTTACATACAAACATCGACGGATGTACCTGCTTACTACTCTCGAAATCTTAGGCCTTTTCCAAAGACGTGGACGACAGACTGCAGTCTCTAGATGAGAAAGTCAATCTATCGATTCGAAATGCAACTAATGTCACGGATCATTCCTTCACACAAGCCGTCCATATGTACTCGGAGGTACAAAAGCGGTGTCATGGCTGTGAGCTGTAAAACGCTCCTCTTGCGCGAAGATGTCGTGTTAGACTTCAAGTAGTAGGCTCCCAAAAAAAGTATCGTATCCTTTAGTGAAGCTACATAATAGGCAGCATGTCACGTATGTCGCAGTCTTGGATCGTTTTGGCACCATCGAACAATTCGTGGTAAATAGCTGTCATTATATCGTTAAGATGACATCGAAAACGAGGCTTCGCTCATTGAGCCCGCGCAAGTCCTATCTTTCATTCAAATATTAGTCAAAGTCATTGACAAGGTATCTCTTGCCCATTCCTCTGATTCTCCGTCACCATCGAGCTCCATGAGACCAATGCGTTTGCGGACCTTACTACTGTTGCTCGTGAATATGCTATGGTACCTTTCGACGAAGTCCAATTGGTTGACTGGGTTGAGGCTTTAAACTCTTCTCCTGCGAGTCATAAATTCGTTTATCTCTGTCTGCAGATCGATTGGGATATCGTTCTTGAACTTGCTTGTTGAGGGGGCTGCTAGAGACGTTCCTTCCACATTCAGCTACCGACCGCCTTGGGATATATACTGCTCTGGATCATGGGCTTCTCCATACTCCAGTAGACTCTTGCCGCCACGTGGCAGATGGTCATGCTCTAGAAATGCCAAGGAAATGTTGCGATCACTACAAACTCTGACCAATTCTTTATATGTTTGCATAGAAATACTCGTAGAGCCTGAAACTTCTTGGAATATGAGGAATGCAAGCTTCTGGAATTTGAAATTTTGCATAGCTTCAAGAATCTGTTGCTCAAACCTCAAACCTTCTGGCCGATTTGCATAGATCGTCAAGGATCGGATTGACACTGGCAATGTTTCTTGCAATCTAAAAGACGCCTCCCTGATACCATTGAAGCCACCGACCAAACTCTGTTGGAGGATACGTAAGGTGTGGAGACGTTCGAAGCCATCGAGCTTGCTCAAGTGAGGCTTCCACAAGAAGCTGGATCGATCACAGTCGGCATCCTGGTCATATATGTCGAGGTATTCCAGACAGTGTTTGTGGAAGGATAGTATACGCCACAATTCGTCATTGGGAATAATGTTGCTTGGTAATGTTTGATCTACCATCGACGTGTATCGAGGTAGAAACACAGTCAGCGATACCAACGCCTGCGGCTGTTTCAGGCACTCTCTCAGGGTAGTGCGAGAATCTTCAATTAAAGGATAGTCACCACCAGGGACTAGTGTAAGGTCTGTGATGCTGGAAGTCCGGGCCGTATTTACTTCGATCAGATCAGAGAAGCAGGAAAGATGGATGTCAAATATAGAAACTTTGCGGACGGTAGGCAGAAAGAAGAGCCTTCCAGCGTCCTTGACAAACATTTCTCGGTATCCGATATCTGGATTCTGGTCAAATGGCGACCCAAAAACAGTAAGGCTCTGCAGTTTCTGGAGGTGACTCGACTGTGACAGTGTGCTTCGTGGGAGCCATCCTGGGGAGAGATACAGGGTTGAAACATTGGGCAGACAGGCCATCAGCACGTCAATGAATGCTTGACTTCGTCCCTCATGCAATGCTTCCGAAAGCTCACCAGATGTATATCCTAATTTACTGCCAACATTGAATAGATTTTGAAGTTCCTGCCTCCTTTTGCGCCCGTCCTGGAGATATTCATCTTGCATTTGGGGGGCTACGGACGATGATGAGTCACGAAAATCTAAAAGTCGAACATGCGCGCCTAGTTGAGGGTTCTCGACGACTGTACGAAGGAACAGCCAAAGGTTGAAGAAAGATTCTGTCTCCCTGGACCATCGGTACTCCTCGTACAGCCCCGGGGTGTAGGCATGGTGCCAAACTCGGCTCACGAGGCTGCAAGCATAGAGCGTTACTATCCTTTTCGAGGTAAAATGTGGTTTTAAGAGAAATGCGACACTAGGTTCGTTTGTGCAAAGATGAGACAGCACCAGTTGGTGGAGCTCTGGTGGAAGATCGTACATCTTTACAAATGAACTCTACTCGGTAAGAGAAGAGTAGTAAGTCACAAAGAGCCTGATGGTTCTTCGAATTTGATGATCTCCTTTGCTTACAGGAAGAGAAAGATTAGGCAGCACGAGGGTCGGTTAGTCTGAATATTACCGCGTAAAATTTCTGCGCTAGAGTTTTAAGGCCCATCCTAAAGAGGTACAGCTTATAAGCCCTGGGAAATTTATTTAGCGCGGTAATGTTCCGACTAACCGACCCCCGGCAGCTGCAAAAAGTGTCTAAAGGAGATAAGATGTGGTAGAGCTGTGGTGCACTCCCTCACAATTCTTGTGAGATGAATAGCTGTACGTGCGAGAAATCATATGCTGAATTGGCAATGATGGCTTAAGTCTGGAGCGTAGCACCCCGTACGGACGAGGGTGTTAAAGGAGCAAAGTCTCGATGAAAGCGATTATCATCTTTCTCTGGACGGAAAGAGTGCCGCATAGATTTAGATACATCACAATATGCACAGAGGGTATGATATCAACAAGTAAATGTCCATGCTTACTTCTAGAGACTATCGTTGTAAAAGACACGCAGACTCCGATTGCAGTCGCTTCTCCCACTTCTACACAGTCTTCTTGCAAAAGGCATTCGTGTCTGTAGACATCCGCTTCCGTATTCGCCCCTGCCACTGCTGCCACAGTACCCATGTAAGGAAAACGCCAAATGTCAATAGAGTGGTCGTCACCCAGTAGTACCAGAAGCGTTCTTTGATGACTGAGTGGCGTTTGGGCACCTCCCAGTCGAAGAATGGAGTCGTAAACAATGCCTATCAGTCTCGTGGTCAGACTTCTCGAGATTTCTCAATCACATGCTAAACGCTTACCGCTATAAAAGTCCCAGGGAGAAAAGCCATGGTCAAGACCGCAATGGTCTTCAAGGCAGCAGCATCCTGCCGTGAATGTTCTGCTATTCCTGTCGACTCGGATGTAAGTGCGATAGCAATCTGGTTGCTCTTCTGTTGGGAGAAATGGTAGATCTAAGCTCTTTATTAATCTCTCACTGTCTCGAAAAGCTCCCTAGATCGACTTACAACGGCTAACTGTATTTGTATGCGCTTCTGTTCGAATGCAGCTTGGAGCAAAAGATTATGATTACTGTTCATAGTCATTTCGAGATGCTGCAGAATCGCATCGCGGCTCTTGTCTAGCAATGACACTATCTCTGGCGGGGCATCTCGGGCATTTGCTTCAATATAGGTCAAACATTTTTCCAGCACTACTTGTCGTGCTTGTGTTCTCATCTCCATCATGCTCAGAGTTCTCGCGGTTCCATTGAGAGCTGGTGTAATCGTTTCGAAGTCAGCCCGAAACGGATCTTCGCGCGGCTTGGACGAGTACGTGTGTTGACCAAGACTATGCTGAGTAGAGTCAAGTCTCTGCCCCTGGTGCTGCATCCTCGTCATTGTCATGATCAAGAGCAAGTGCATGAGCATCACAGGCACGAACATTGGCTGCGGTGCAAGGTAACTATTACTTCGGAGTAGAGCGAGAAGTCCTGCAAAGTCGAAGACCTCACTTTGAGCTAAGATAATAGCACAGGTCATCGCTGTTTGCCTATGATACTTCAGAAGAACTGTGTAGAATCCAGTGGTGCCGATGCCCACTTTGAATAAATAGGCTGCACTCTGGTCAGCACATGGATATCCGATGATGACAACTTTACATGCCATCCGATGAGACGGCGTGTCCTCCTCCGAAACTATATTGAATTGGTGATTGAGCCACGTGCGGTATGCTATGAGTCAGTATATCGATAATGTGTTGTGGAGCGCACATTCTTTGACAAATCCCTTTGAATGTCGCTTGTGACCAAGGCATGATTACCGTCTTATCTGCTGTTGAGGTCTTAGATGCGGAAAACAGCAGCCGGAAACAACCTTTAGAGATGTCTTGTTGAGCAGCTTGAGCACGTTGGCCATCCGGATTACTAGGGAAGGGGGGCCTGGGAAGAGCCATTCCTCAACCTGGTCCGGGTAAAGAAAGCCTTCTCTTATGGTACTTGCGCCACTTGGGTCTGGCGAGATCTCAATATAGGAGCATTCCGCCGGCTCGAAGCCTAGACGATAGTCTATGGAATGGTCATATAGAGATGGGGCGTAGTTGGTATTTAAAGTACTGAGAATAGGAGCCATCAATTGAAATTTAAATGACAGAGCTTTCAGCTGGAGTCCGACGGTTGCTCGAAGGTCCTATCGTCAGGTTGTCTACATGCATCTGGAGCAGTCTCAAGGGAAATGAGTCCAGTGTGTGCATCTACACAGTCCTTATCAGACTGGAGTAGCGTAAGGCTGACACTTACAGAATGATCTCTTCATGCAGGCAGATCACATAGTCTCGCTATGTAGCCCGATCTGCCCCACTTGGAGCTGCATGTCAGCTCGTCTCTAGATGCAAAGCCTTATTATGACTACATTATATCGCTCAGCGCTTTTGTGTTGGCTAATTTGAGGTAAAGCTCGCGGCCTCTCTACCTTGGGCGGTTGAAGTCAGAAATCCAGAGACGCTCCCGTCTTCTTTGACCAGGGCAATCTGCCTGCTTCAAAGCTGTTGCTTGCCGGTGGGAAGAATGTCTCCTTTCCATCAGTACAAGTTCCGCATGAAGGCTTGAGGTCTTTCCTGGGTCTGTTGCAGGCTAGTTCCCACCGCAAGCAACACACATACTGAGTTGTCGGCGTTCTGGGACCTAATATTCCTAGAAATTGTCCATCGGCATGCTTTCCTACCGACTATGAACCAAATGGTCGACGCTATCAGTGATTTGGCTATTCCATCTAAACCACTTGATGAAGATCAAGGACCCTCTAACGTATATGAATTTGCAAGGTCCTAGGCAGTTGGTGACTTATTAGGCAACCTACGTAAGCCCGAGTACGGTGTTGCTGAGTGAATGGGCGGCCAGCACTTGCACTGAAGCTCTACTTGCCATTCCTACAGAATTCAACAATTCTTGAGATGTTGAGAGCAGCCAATAGCATCCCAGCTGAAGCTTACATAATCACTGGCGGTGGCTGGGATGAAATGTGACGTAGGCGCCCTGTGCGCGTGCAAACCTGCCACATCAAGCCTTCCAACACTTACAAACGTTTTCGACAGCTTGCGTGTACACAAACGTTGTCTACGTAAAGTCACGAAGCTTCACTATCAAAAGCAGAAGCAACAAGTTGGACGATTTTGACTCTTCACACGTCAACGGGTGACGTAGCAGACACGTTCCGTTCCTGCCTTGGTTTTCTTCCAGCATGACTCTCTACTACACTCTGGTACGTTTGATCTGACAAACCTCACTCCAGAACATCTCTTCCTTCGGCGCAATCCAAAGCACGTACAACCAACCCAGCTTCAAGAATGCCGTCGTTGATCTACGCTCCGGTTCACACCCTGCTGCCTAGGCCTCTATACCACGAAGCTGACTCGAGCTCTACAGGTGTTCGCCCTCCTGATGTTCGAGATGGGCCTCTTTGTCGTTCTTATCCTCCCTCTACCACACTCTGTCAAACGCAAACTATTCGCATTCATCTCCGAGAGTCCTCTCGTGGCCAAAGCACAATATGGCTTGAAGGTAGGCCGCATCAGCTCCCATTCCGTACAAAAGCTCATGCGGGCAGATCTGCTTCATTTTTATTCTCATCCTCTTCGTCGATAGCGTCAACCGCGTCTACAGCGTGCAAAACGAGCTTTCTAAAACCAAGAGAAACAACAAGTATGGCCCCTATACCCCACCTCCTACAACCTTACTAAGAATACGTCAGTCAGGCAATGCTTGAAGGCTCTGGCCGCATGGAGGTGCAGGCCCGCAAGTTCTATGCTCAACGCAACATGTACCTCTGTGGTTTCACTCTATTCCTCTCCTTGATCCTCAATCGCACATACGTGATGATTCTCGACACACTCCGTCTGGAAGAGAAAGTTAAGCGTTACGAGGGCGACCCATCGGCAAAAGGCAAGGCTAGCGAGCAACTTGCACAAGCTGGCGATGCTGGTGAGATCGGCAAGCTTAAGAAGCAGCTTGCGGCGAAGGATCGTGATATCGAGACCTTGAAGAAGCAGACGAATGGGTTGCAGAATGAGTACAACCGCATGGGAGATAACGTGGCTTCCTCGGATGGGACGCCAAAGAAAGATCGCTGAGGAGGGGTAGCTTTCAGCTAGATCCCTCCAACACGTGGCGGCTTACTACACGTGGGGTGATCGTCGTGCAAAATTGATGGTGAAGGTCAATATGACAAGTGGGGCGAAATGGACTGGATTCTCTCAGTGAGACGAGGATTGGTTGGTAGGGGTAGGATTTCATGCAAATAGCACTCGGTACTATTGTTGGGTGCATCGACAGTTCTACAGAGGAAGGCATATAGATTTGTTTTGTTTCTAGTCTGCAAAAGCAATGATCTGACCAACATCTCTCCCGTTGTGACTGCTGGCAGGGCAGAAGCTTTCGTAGACGCTCCAAGCTGCCGCAGAGCAGATCCACGGATTTGGTTCAGCCGACAAGCCTTCCGTATGTCTCTCCGTCATCCACTGTCTCGGTACCCAAACCTCACTCCAACATCGCAGTCTTCAGCCATGATTCGTAGAAGTCACGATGTTAGTGCTGATGGTTCTGACCGTGCACGCTCCCAAAGCGATGGTCCCGCCAAGCCAAGTCTGAAGCTCCCGCCCTGGGCGGCTACGGTAGGCCGGTTCACCTATCACAGGAACTGTGACGAGAGCGGATTGACGAATGGAATGGTAGGTGGTGGGTAGGTGGTGGGTAGGTTGGCAACAACAGCATGGCAATTGCGTAAGAGCTAGAGCTTGAGAAGGCCTGTTTTGAAGGTGGTGAAAACACACCGCATATTATTGATTTTGATGGCTTTGGACTACTTGTTAGCTGTCAGCATTCAAAATGGACCGTTGGTGGGCGTTGAAGAGAATTGGTCTTAGGGGCGCTGCCGGCATCCTTCGCCAACTCTTGGTTCTTCGCCCTATTCCCTATTGATCCGAATTGTTCAAGCCATTCTATCGCGTCGCGGCAAAACCAACACTTATCCCTCCATTCTTCATAGGTCATGACTTGAGTCAAAAAGGCATTGAAGCGAATGATGAGTACTGACAGCTAACAGGACTGTTGCATAAGAGGCCACAACAAACATCTCACTTGAATCCTTCGACAACGAAGACAATAATGCCCCGCAGCTGAACACGCTGCAGCCTTACGAAAGCTACTTAATTCTCCGATGCAAGCCATCATCCTTCCATTGCATGCCCTTTGACGTCTGCATCTACACCCACAGCGACTCTGAGCAAGCGTCGCATCTTCAATGCTCGCGCGAAGCCTTCGACCATGGCACTCAAATCACCTATGATGCCTTCTCCTCACAACAGCGCAGTCTCTGCCTTCAGCCCATACTCCGAATCTCCCACCTCCCCGCAGAAGTTCGGTTCACCAATCAGTGGCCACAAGTATGGCGATCCATCCTGAAGTCGGCGTTTCACTGACAAAGTAGCTCGTCAAACCGATCGAGTCACCTCAATCCTCAATACAATCACCACTACTCTCCTCTGTCAATGAATAGCCCCAGCGATTTTGCGGACCCTTCACCCATCGCGACCTCCTCTACCGGCACCGATACCACCGATATAGACGATGTGGTCCAAGAGCAAGAGCAAGAGTCGACCCAAGAGCCAGAGCCAGCGCAAAGCATTACACCAGGGGCTCCCAAACCTGCCAGACCAGGCCTGGGGGTATGTACAATGAAAGGTCGAACGACTCCGCTGACAGAAGTAGCTCGAGACTAAAATGGCAGCAAAGCAAGCCCAAAAGCCGCGATCTGATGAAGACGAGGAGCCAAGCTCCGTAATACATGCCCCAACTGGCTTTGAGGCATTTGTATGTTTGCTGTAAGCTGGGAATGATCAAGCTGACAATATTAGAAACGAGCAACGCCGAAGTCGCCACCTCTTATCCGCCGGACCACTCCCACCGCTCAACAGCGATCAGAAATCATCGTTTCTCCTCCAGAAGATGAGAAAGAGAAGGAAAGCCGACCACCTCGGCCTACTACATGGCCTAATGCTGAGTCTTCCGAGGCTTCAAGTTCTCCTCCGCCGATACAGACAACCATACCCCCTGCGAGAGATTGGTCGGCGACGCCGCGCGCTCAATCGAGGGCTGAGATGGAGCTCTCTCCGGACGAAGACAAGAAGAGACCTGTTTCACGGTCAAGCTCACGAGCCAGCAACTTAGCAGGTGCGCTGATCATACTTGGTGTCAGAATCGTGCTAACAACGTCAGATATTCCTGAAAATGGTGAAGACAACCAACGAACACCAAACCCCAGCAGCTCGCTGTTTGAAGATACGGTAGAACGACTTCAAGAGCAAAATGACGAAGTGGCAGCCCTAAATGTCGCACTGAAAGAGTGCTGGACTCTTTGTAACACTTTGGCTGGCCTGAGCTACGTGCATCGTGAAAGAATATTCAGCTTCTCAGGGAAGGGAGATCGACAACAGCAGGCCTGGAAGTCATGTTGGAAGCTCTGCCAGAAGCTTTACGATACTAGAGATGAGGAGTCTACTGTACGGCCAACGCTTGACTTGTGCCGCGAATTCTGCCAATGCTTATTCGACATCCGACGAAGAGACAATGAAGCGGCCGATTCAGTCTTGCGTGTCAGTTTCGAGATGAACAACCATCTCTATAATACACACGACCGGACTTTACCTGAAGCTTTCCGAGAAAGAACTCTTGACTTCTACATCACACTCTGCCATCGTCTTATGAAACAACGTACGGAGATGGCACAGGAAACAGATCTGTTGCTCGGCGCTTGCTGGTCACTGGCAGAGATGCTGTTCAGTCTGCGGCAGAATAAACGAGATGGTAAGCCTGCAGACGAAGAGCTGCTTGGCTCTGCCATCCAGGCATGCTGGGAACTATGTGATCTTTTCCGTGAAGGCTGGACCCAGATCCGGCCCGATCGTGGGACGCCTAGGCCAAGTCAGACCACATTTACGCAAGCTTTCCAACAAGCGAAGCAGAGTCAAGCGCACTCAACCGCGTCCTACACCACGGTGCCAGAATACGAGGATTCGGAAGACGAGGGCTTTAGCAGCCTAAATCCGGAGACCCCAACCACCATTTTCGAAGACACAAATCAGATAAGCCCCGACGGTGATGAAGGACCCACTCCCAACATCCTCGTTCTCGGGCCCAACGACCAAGACACTCCCCAAAAGCGGCCCCCTTACAACTCTTCCACTAGAAATCTCTCCAGCAGCAACCTCTCACAAAACAACAAGACCGTCACATCAGCCTCTTCAACCTCCACAAACACAATAAAAAATCATCAAAACACCCTTCTCACCAACGGCACCCCCAGCAAAATGGCAATCAAGAAGAAGATCCCCATCTGACCTGCCTAAAACTCCTCCTCATCAAAGCCGCCACAAATGTCGGCTACACCCGCGCCTCCGGCATCCCCCTCTCCAGCTTCATCAAATCCATCCCCTCCAACAGCTTCGGAAGTAAACAATGGCAGCTTTCCCTCCTTGACTCCTACAAGAAGCTCATTGCCTCGGAACCGGGGTTCAGGGCTAATGGGGCGGGTGTGACGGGGGTGGCAAGACGGGCGAGGGCGCCCGATGTGGCGAGGAGTGTGACGTGGTTTTGCGCACAGGATCGAAGGTTCGAGTGGTTGAGAGACCTGTATAGGTGGGTATTTGGGTTTTTTGTTGAGGAGGGAGAGGGTAGGGGGGATGTTGTTGTGCAGAGCTAGTCGTTCGACTAGGGTAATTCACCCGTGTGCGCTGAGATGTTGATATTGGGGGTACCTTGGGGAAGGAGGGTAGGAGTAAGAATACAGGCGATCTTGGTCAGGGTTTTGGAAAAGTGCTGGGATTGGATTACATCGGAGATCCAAGGATTTTGATCCCAACCCTCGGCGGTGGCTCTGTTACTGGAGCTGGAAGGCATATTCATCGCATCTATGCTAGGAAGGGAGGACATGGATCTTGGATTCGGTGGCAAGAGCAAAACGCTCAACTGGTGGCTTTTTTGGTAACAATATACCCTCAACAGTCGCACACTCGATATACACTTTTCGGAGGCACCATCTTTCTTGGTCTTGGAAACAACGAATGTCCAGCAAGCAAGCGAGATACCCATCCGTATATTGTACTAGAGGTGTATACTTAGTGGGAAGGCAATATTACGATATTATGATAACTCGATGTGGATCTCATGTGACGAGGTTGCTACTCTTCCCCTGCCCCCTCCTCATCACTCGTCACTCTTCCACTCTTTTCATTCAGGTCGCCTTGACCAAGAACATCCCATCCGCTCTCGCTCCTACGAGGAGGCGTTCAGCAGATTCTGTAGAGAAGGGGGGATGGCAGCCTCTTCCTATATCTAACGTTTCCATCAGATTCTACCGACCGTCAATCTCCATCATGTCCCACGGAAGCTCTCTAATTGGCTTCAACGCTAATGAATTCGGATCTTGGGTAGATGGGGGCAAATTAATGGTAGCATGTTAAGATTCAACGCTTGTAATCCCAACACAGGCGATATCTCACAGCCGCATCATCTGATGCTCAGCTTGTCGGAGGTTTGCTCGAACGCTGCCTTGCCTCAGGAAACTCAGATTTTCTCGCGGTAGAAAATCTTGCCACCTCTCAAGAGTTGCGTAGGTTGTTGCTCACGAAGACTATCAGCACGGCCGTATATCTGTTATTCTCAGCACTTGAATCAGAGTTCAACTCCGGAGGATCTTACGCAGCAGAAGCACCAAGTATCTCCGCCCTCCTCGCATTAGCAAGAAGCCAGCAGAGGTCTTCGATACATGGGAATGGTGGAAATATCAGAGCGACTCACGATGCATGGATGGACCGGCCTCCAGTATACCGAAGAAAAGCAGGGTATGTGGGTACATACCCGGCTATATGGGGCTCCATCGACCCATCAGTCCATCGGCAGCTTAGACAAGGACGCACCATGTGTATATGTCGTTGGACATTGTTGAGCCTTAAGTAGGGCATGATTGGACTACTTAGGGGCAGGTCTGGGCGTGGTGGGGTAGAGTTTCAGGAGCCGCTGTCTAAAAAGCTTAGCCTATCAGATCTGGCTGGGCCTGGGGCGGCGTCATTAGCACCTATTTATTCCCCAACTTTCCTACTCTTTACTCTTCCATTACTATTGTTTCTTGATCATCTCTACAGTCAACCTGGTACGGGCTGATTTGAGACTATTCCTACAGCTGACACCGTCAACTCTCCACCTCTATCCTCCCTAAGATCTTCTTCAACTCTCTGAGGATCACTTGGTACTTGAACGACCCCACTTCGAACTGCGGAGGGTTACTTGTACAACCTTCACCATTACCACTACCCTCTATTTCCCAACCCTCCCTTAACTACTTCTCCAACTACTCTATTCTTAACCTTTTCCTTTCCATTCTTCGCTCATTTCACCACACAACACACTTTCCCCAAAGATCCACTAGATCCACCTCCGAGGATGTCTTACAACGCCCCCTCCGTCCCGCCGCCCTGGGTAGCCGAATATGACGACCAGTCTCAGCGGTACTACTACGTGAACCGCGACACGGGTGAGCGCACTTGGGATGCGCCCACCGGCAACTACGGCGGCGGCAGCGGGTACGGCGGTGGTGGAGGATATGGCGGGGACAATGGTGGCAATTATGGCGGCGGGGGGTATGGTAGTGGTGGTGGTGGCTACGGCGCAGCGGGCGCGGTTGGGTATGAAGCGCAGCAGATGGGTTCGTAACCAAGCCTTTTCCTTCCCCTCCCCTCCTTTTCCTTCTTTTCCGTCTCGAAGGTGTGGTATGTGATGTTCTTGTGTCACGTATCCGCCATCAAGCATGCATTATGATCTCGAGTAAATCTACCCTGGGGGAGGCGCAGCTGGCTTACAAAAATGACACAGAAAATCGATATGACTACGACAAAGACCGTACCGAAGGCTACGTCGAGAACAAAGCCTACGACGCCGAGCAAGACGTCGTCAACGCCCCCGATAACGCCGCCCGCTGGGCCGGCAATAAGGTCCAAGACGTAGAGAACATCCCGCAGGATATCGAGGGCGGGTTTGACAACGCCGAGAACCGCGTCGATCAGGGGTTCGACAATTTTGGGAATCGCGTGGAGGGCGGGTTTGAGGGTGCTGTGCAGGATGTGGAGGACGCGCCTGAGGATGTGGCGGGTTGGATGGGTGATAAGGTTGGGGATGTGGAGAATTTTGGGGATAGGGTGGAGGGGTATGGGGATGGGGTTGAGGGGGCTTATGATCAGGGGAGGGATGAGGGACGGGGTGGGTATTAGAAGATAGGGGGACAATGGGGAGGTGGGAAGGGAGGAGGGGGTGGTTCAAAACGAAGAGGAGATTGATGAGACAGGGCCGGGCTTAGCATGCGAATAGAGTAGTCTAAGAGAGACATTAAATAGCTCTTCCCATAGAAACGTGCATTTGATGGTGATGTCAATTGTTATAAACCACTGCGTGAGCGATTGATTGCGGAGCGGTGTCTGGATATTGGAAATGCTTCTATCCAGCGGACCAGATCAGCGGACCGGCTTTTTCACTTTCACGAATGACTTGGCCAGCTCCATCGCTATCGCTCGCACTTCTTTGATCTGGAACGTTCCTGCTAAATGATCCGTAGCCCAATGACGATAGTTGGCGTGCTCACCCCAAGGTAATGATCTTCCTCGTCGCCTCAGCCTGCGCCCAGGCATCAATATGCATCTTGCCCACACCCAGACGATACGCAACACCATCGATCCACTCCACCAGCATGATATTATACATACACCAAGGTTTCTCGCCATCATAACGCTGTTGGTCGAAGTGACCACCACTCTGATCGATGTGCGGCCTGTCAGGAAAAGATTGTTCCTCCATCGTCGTCGCTTCTGAATCTATCAAAAGATCTGGATTTCCTTCTCCCCTGGACTCCTGGGTATCGAGTTTGCATCGCGATATCATGACGAGTGCGTATAGGGATTCTTTGAGATCGCGCTTCATTGTTGTCGCTATCTCGCCCGGGACCAGGACGTAGCCTCCGACCTTGCCAGGCGAGGCTGCCATACCTAACGGGCACATGATATGCTTGTCTTTGGTGCATCTGTAACTTTGTAGACTCATGGGCCAGTAGTGGTCATCGCTGACGGTACTTGGATTGAACTCTGTTGTCTCGGCCTCGAATACTAGATAATTAGTCCCCCTTTTCAGGTTCGGTCCTAGTGTTCTCTGTTCTTCGGGTGCTGTGGGATGGAGGAACCAGAGACGTGGATTGTCCCGTTCCCAGTAATATGGCACGCCGTCTTCTAGGTTGCCTTTCCACTGCGCGCGATATTGTTCGCGCCTGGTAGCATCTTGATTGACGGCCTTCGGATAGCGGAACTCTTTGCTAGAATATCGCTGGCGGTCATTCTCAATCCACTCTATTCGCGAGAGATTTTCGTGGGTGTTGCATTCCACGGGACCCTGCCATCCTGCCCAACTCCAGCTTGGGAAGAGCGGTTGGCTGGACACAGGATCACGTCTTCTTGTCAAAGGGCCAGTCGGTCTCCATAATAGTTGGGAGTGAGTCTATTTCAGATCGGGGCAGTCCGAAGACGAAGTCGCTCCTGAAAAGTGGGCGAAATGCAGTTGCTATGCCCTCAAAAGCGTTGAGGATATCAGACGCGAAGGTCAACTGCCGCGAGGTGTATGCTTGCACCACCCTGTTGTACGAGAGAATGTTGACGCTTCCTGAGGATGGCATCATCGTGGGTACGCCACTGGTGAGAACCTCCGGCATGAATTTCTTGTCCAGTCCACTCTCTACCACATCTTCACCCTCTATGAAGGCATCTTGACGGTGTTGACACGAGAAAAAGCACCTTTGTTTGCCGATGTAGAGTACTCTGGGGGACAGTAACCTTTCTTGAAGCGTCCAGGCTCTGGAGTTCCATACGGATTTATTGATTGCCTGTGAAAAATCGGCGGGACGATTAGCTAGATAGATATCTTGGATCTTCTCAATGTGCTGACAGAATGTCCGTGGATTCGATGGCATGCCCGCCAAATACGCGTCAGCTGTGTCTCCTGAGGCAGCCGCAATGGTCAATACAGCAGAGCTGTAGATCAGATCCATGGCAGCAATTTGTTGTGCTTGATCTTCCGGGTCATCTTGGATTACGCAGAGACTATCTACCCATAGATAATGTTCTCCAAGTAGTTTTGTCAGAGATATTGCATCCTTGATGGCATTCGGGACGTCTGTCGCCCTTGCAGAGAGAGAACCCTTTTCCTCTAGGTCTTTTTGAGTGTCTTTCTCATTCCGCAAGGCACTAGCTACTCCCCAGACATAGCTCAGAGCGACATATCGAGGCTGTTGAATAGAGGAGACGATACAATCAGACTCGACATTAATCAATCGAAATCTTTCAGGCAATTGTCTTCCGTGGGATTGATCAAGATTCGGTCCGCAAAGACCATCATTGCAATCGTTGTACCATTTTTTGACTAAGCTGTATTTGATCTGAGGCAAGTTGATAGACCGATGGCCACTTATCTCGTTCACTACGCTCTCGTCCTGTAAAGCCAGACTGTAAATTGTCTTCATGCCATCTACTCTCGGAGTAGGTTCCACGGAGAGTAGGAATTGACGTGTACCCTTAATGTTTGTTTCTATAGGCAACGTCCTCATGCTACACATGACAAGCCTTCCATCAATTGTGGTATCAACCTCCGACCACTCAGACCCATGTCGAATGGTGAACGCGAGGAGGCGACAAAATGCACAGGATTCATTTTCAAATATTTGTGCCAAAGGATACAAGTGGATCTCCTCAAGCGCTTGTAATCAAGGGCTATTGACGAGATATTCGAAATCGATATGCCGGCAGTTTTCGCAGAGATAACCCTGCTCATCTGCCTGCAGTACCGGCGGACTCTCAATCCACCACCGTTTGGAAGGGGCCTTGAATTCCTTTTCGGTGAAATCCTTCAGTGGCTTGTCCAGCTTTGGAGGTGCCGCCTTTGGATAATTCTTTCCATACCATGTCCAGTAGATATGGTCAGCTATCATTGCTCTGTCTGGAGCCGGTGATTCGCTCCATTCTGTTATTGTACGGCCTAGAATCTTGACGTCTTCCTTGCCATCTTTTGGAGACGTCTGAGCTTCTGGTAGTTTCCCCTCATCGCCCATCTCGATGATATTTCGTCGAGTCGACAACCTCGATGATGCCTTTCAACCTAGGAGTCCGTCCTGATACCCTTTGTTACTGTGTTGTCAGCTATGACGAGTATTGTTATCGCAGAATGATATCTCAATACAAATCCACTGTAGCTTTCGACGCGAGAAGATTGTGTTGTACATCGCTTTCCACGGTTAATTAGTAAAGAAGAGATGATTCAAAATGTATTACCACTGCATTACGCATTCCATATGAAATCTGGAGGCAATGCGCAAGGAGTACTCCTAAGCAGGCAATTCATGTGCAGCAAGCAGGTAAACAAATTATGAAAGGGTTCTGAGGGGTTTGCCTTAACAGTCAACGCATGTTGTTCATGGTCCGACCTTGCTCTTCCCCTGACGCTCTCCAATAGGGCTCTCTACTTCCAGTCATAGTCTCAAGCAATTGCACCTCCTGAGAATACAGACTGCTAGCGTCTGAAGAGATTGAATCGATGCTATTACTCGCAGTTTGCAGAGGAGGGGGCAGGAGATTCCTCACGCCAAGAGTCTCGCAAGACTAGGCTCAATGCGCCTTAGTGGCTTTTTGACGTTCTCCCGAGGCTGGAGGGTCCTTGGCGTTCCATCAAATTTTCATGTCAATGTTGTGGGCAGTCAATGAATACTGTGAAGGTGGAAAGCGAGGGTAGGCAGTGTCGAGTTAGGGGACCCTAATACTCGCAAGTTACGGAGGGCTGTGAGCGCTCCCTCACCACCTATAGCAAGGATGTCAAAGGCGTCGAAAAGATGAAGCGAAAGATCTTCGATCTCTAAATGATCATCCATGTTTATGCCGCAATACTGCATCAAGGATGCTGTGCCAAGCCTCTGGCTCTTCGCAGGGCAGTCTCTTGCGAAGCTCAGCCTTGTGCTGACCTGCATAAGGCTATGCTGACGATATGTTCAGTTTTTGTATCTGTATGGCCCTTCTTCTTTTCTGCCACATTTCACTTTTGTCTAAGAATCCTCTATCTTCTTGATTGTTGGTCAAGTCTCAGCTGCGCTCCGCATTGCAGTTGTATTGACTTCTTTGGTCAAGTGCCGCAGGCTTGACGCTCTTCAAGATGCCTAATCAAGGCTCGCAAAGCAGAACGGCGCAGTTGCCTTTCCAACAGCTATTGAAGAATAATGACCTAGGAATCATTGAGAATCCATTACAGCGTGTCGACGAAGTGGATTTGGATGAGGACATTACTAATTTCTATGCTGAACACCATCTTGGTAAAGTGGTCGACCTTGACACACTGATCCGTGCTGGACACGTGGCAAGAGATGAGAAAGCTACAATTGCAGAAGGAATCCTCAACGAGGTGGAATTACGCGCACTGGAGAAGGAGAAGACCACTCGTTTCTGGGAAGAGAGTAAAGAGCTGAAACTCATTCTCCTCACATGTTTCGTTGGGAGCGTGGTTCAAGGATGGGCCCAGGGTGCTATCGTAGGCCCAAATCAAAAATGGCCCAGCGATTTTCATCTCAAGATTGGTAATATCAGTGATGACCCAGCTGAGACTCTAAGGAAGACAGGAGATATCTGGCGATTCGCTGCGACGAATGCCATTGTTTACTTCTCGGCAAGCTCACTCGGGGCTTTCTTGTGCGATCCAATGACAGAGATCTTTTGGGGTCGACGAGGGGCCCTGTTTGTGGCCGCAACGACAACATTTGCGTCCTCAATAGGCCAGGCTTACACGAAGAGCTGGCACGCACTGTGAGTAGATCTTTTGTAATCGTCATCAAGCGTCAAGGCTAATTGCGCTGCCTTTTCAGCTTTGCTTGTAGGGTTATATTAGGCATCGGAATGGGAGCAAAGTCCTCGGTGGTGCCAGGTAGGCCATTGTTCATGTGAGGTCGGCGTAGCAGCTGATTTCTCGACCGTTCCAGTGTTCGAATCAGAGGTTTCTCCCGCTAGATTAAGAGGTATGATTCAGAGCTCATTTCAGGATGAAGCTGATTTTACCTTCTTAGGGCAAATATTGACGTCTTGGCAAATTGGAACTGCCCTTGGAATCGCGTTTGCCGGTGCTATACCACTCATAGTGCCGGGCAGCTGGCGCTTCCAGATATCCAGCTCTTTTATACCTGCCGCAATGCTTCTGGTACTAGTTTACGCTGGATCAGAGTCTCCTCGATGGTTGGTGAAGAAGCAACGATACCGCGAGGCCTATTCTGTGTTCCTACGACTTCGGGAGAATCCACTGCTTGCGGCGCGGGATCTTATACATATTCGAGCTCAGCTGAATGTTGAGACCATCCTATTTATGCGGACAGCCCGAGATGTCGAAGAAATAGGCAACGAGGTCCCGCATCTAGATCCGGCCGTCTACAGGCGACAGATCAGCCTTTTTGGTTATGGGCGGCGCATCACCCAGCTATTTACGATACCTCGAGTCCGGCGAGCCACACTGGCATCTTTCGCTGTCATGAGCGCCCAGATCCTGTGTGGGATCAATGTCTTTGCATTCCTCGCCTCGACAATCTGGCAATACGCGCGAATTAGGCGTACTCAGGGGCTTTGGCTATTCTTCGCCTTTGGCTTGTCAAATTTCTTCTTCTCGGCAATCGCCTACTGGTTTATAGACACCAAGGGGCGCAGGTTCTTGTTGATGGTGTCGCTGGCCGCAATGTTTCCTCTACTCTTGGCAGTAGGCTTCAGCTTTGAAGTGGAGAGCAATTCAGGGAGACTCGCTGCGGTGGCAATTTTCCTTATACTTTACATTCTGGCATACAGTCCTGGCGGAGGCGTGGTCCCGTTCCTGTACAGCTCTGAAGTCTTCCCATTGGTCCTTCGTGAGGTGGGAATGGCGTGGGCGTCGGGTGTGCTCTTTATGGGAGCGGGCTTGCTGACTCTAGTGGTACCTCAGCTCATTCATGCAACAGGGCCAACAGGACTGCTTGGCCTTTTCGCAGGGCTCGACGCCTTTGCGTTCATACTCGTCTGGCTGTTTGTACCAGGCACAGAACGCCAGATATCGACAATGGAAGACATGAACTACGTATTTGGGGTCAGCACTAAAAGGCATGTGCGATATCAGATTAAAGAGGTGGCTCCCTGGTATTACAAGCGTCACGTAAGACGTTTCAATGTTGCTGACATGGATTCTTTATATCAATACTCAAGATTAGAGGACAGGACTGCAAATGGACAGCGTGGACAGCAGAACGGTCACTAGCTTGTAATATTTAACAGCATATGAGAGGTCAAATTGGGACTCAATCTTCTGTGTGAGAAGAGTGCGGTAATCAGATGTAGAACGATCGGCTGACAAGCTGAATCTTCTGTCTGTGTGAATATCTCTCTCTCTTGCTGCGCCCGCCTGCGACTTTTCAGGCGCCAACTGACTGGCTAGACCCTGCGTCACCCACACACCAAACCCTACCTAAGGCTGCTACTGATCAGCCGCTAAGAAGCAGCTGAGGGGTCCCCACAAGTTCTCCGTCGCAAAACAAGGAAATCGGGTTGGATTTCCTCCGAGTCTGTCGTGATCTCTTATTGGGGAATTTGACTCTCATTATCCATATCACTCTGTTACGCGTCTATCCTAATTTGCGGGCTCTCATGGTTGCCTTCCACTGTCTTCTGCTCTGAACTCAGACCTATCCAAATAAGTCGCTACACATGGAAAGCGGGGCCTCCTAGCCCTCGGAGCCCTACCCGCTTATCAAGATGGAAGCCGTTGGTAGGTCCAACTCTATCAATCCTCGCCGCCCCACCTACTAACAGTTCTTCAGCAAGCGTCATCACCATCGCTGGCCTAGCCTACACCCTTCAGAAGGTCGTGCACGAGATCAAAGAGGAGGATGAAGAAGTCCAAAGGCTGGAACGTAAAGTTGAACGGCTGATCGCTGTGATTGATGAAGTGAAGAGGCTATATGGATCGCAAGAGACCCGGCCTTTCGGTTCGACAGACGAATCTGAGACCGCCAATGTCCGTGCTCTCGTAGAAGATACCACGAAAGCTTGTGGTGACGACCTGAAACGATTTCAAAATGATCTATACGATCTCATGGAGAAGAAACCGACCTTTGGGGATCCCTTAGTCAGAAGATGGAGGCAGCGACATGCTGCTCCAACTTTTGCTCGGCTCGAGAAACAAATTGAAGGCCATCAACTCTCACTGCAACTCCTGATCAATACTGAGCATGGGTACTTCTACAGCATCCTTCAACTCAAGCCGATTTGCTGACATTTTTTCAGCCACAGTCTGGCAGAGACTAGGAAGGCCATGGCGAAAGGATTCGCAGCAGTCCTCGCATCAAATGGCCTGATGTTCACCAAGCTTCAAGAACTTGCAGATCCACCGCAGTCCTTGGATCGGCGGGACACAGAAGCTACCCTTGTACCTGCACTCGACGAGACCGAGGAGGGGGAGCAGCCTGCCTTCGTGTTTGAAAGTGACAATCCCCTTCATGAATTCCTGAAAGGGTTATTTGCTGTATGGACTAAGGACGTGAAAACTGATGACAGCTTCACCGATCCGGTCCCGCCTCCAGACCGAAGCGGTGAACACCTCACACCTGGAAATCAGCACTCTTCTCTCAACGTGAAAGATTCACATTTCGACGACTATCGAGTGAGACTAGGACAAGAAAGGAGAATATCTTCCCCGGGAGTTGATCCGGCCAACAAGGATTGTCCATTGACACCGTCAATGTCATCGGCTTCGAATGGATCTCGAGCTTCCCGCTTATCAAATGCCTCGACGGTAACAACAAGTACTAGCAGAAGTTCTATCTCAGCGTCTTCTCAGCCCTCCCATCTCGATCAGAAGCGTGGTAGAGCTCGACAGTCTGTTGAAAACAGGAAGAATAGGCGCGCTCCCCACATAAACGTTGATGAGCCCACGGAAGAAGATCGGAACAGCTGCGACTCTAAAGACGTAGGGAAAGGATTTGAGCTCCTCCAACATGTGCAAGGAGGCTCTATTGAGCATGTTGAGGCCCTCATCGCGGACAATGCTAGTTTAGAAGAGATTGACGACAAATACGGGAGGACGCCCTTGCTGCACGCCACATACAAAGGCAGGAAAGATGTTGTAGATCTGCTTTTGCGGAAGGGAGCAGATTTGCAAGCTCAAGACAATCAACAGAGCACAGCCTTACATCTCGCGATCAGGAGACCGTCCGCCCATGGGATAGTGCCTGCATTAATCGACGCCGACAACAGGTTTCAACGGGATTCGCGTGAAGAATTCGAGAGACTGGTGAACATTGGTGACAAAATTGGCAGAACCCCGCTTCACGAGTGTGTACGGCTTGCTGCATCAACGGAAACAACGATCGACGTAACCAAATTACTGCTAGCGGAGAGCCCTGACATCAATGCTCTAGATGATCAAGGTCTCCCACCCGCATTCTACGCACTCGACTCTCGCAAAGTTGACATCGTTGATCTCTTGCTCGCACACGAAGAAAAGGCCGAATTCGGTTCGTTCTCATGGCCAGAACCAGACAAAATCACCAAAGAAATTGCGCGCTCCTTGGAGAGCAAAGGCTACACGAGGCCTGAAACACGTAGTAAAGATTCAAGACAGAGCATTGCGAGTAAGAGACCAAGTGTAGGGCGCTCCTCACCATCGATATCCAAGAAGACCAGACAGCTTTCTGTAAGGTCATCTTAGCACAAGCCTTTCTTGCAATGTCTCTGAGCCTACGAATGGCATTTCTTTGAGCGAGATGATTGTAACGATTACAATGTCAATGAGGACTACAGCTTGATGACGTTATGATTGTATCAATGGACCCGTTAAGAATCTTGAGCAGGTCTTCTATCTCTATTACTAACACCTCTTCGATTCAGTAATACAACAGCACTTGGCTCCCTTTTGTCTGCAATCCAAGGGCAGTCTCTGCAATTACCATCAGCATGCGACCCAAAATGCCTTGGGATAAAGACTGGCGTTATTGATAAAAGTTAGACATCAGGTATTTAAAATGGACGCAGTTCTCTGGTACGACATCCACAGGCAGACGGTATCTAGACTGCTTAGAGATACCCTTTGGTCAAGTTGCTTTCAGCCTGCCCTCCCGTAGACCACAGCACGTTCGTCGTGCCATTAAAGTTCTCCAATGGGTTACTGTCCTGTGTAGGGTGGAGAAAGATTTTCGCCTTTTCGTCAATCGGTTTCCGTCCGTCGAAGCGTCCCTCTAGCTCCATGACAAAATATCCTGGCCACACCTGCATTGTACTGTCGAAATAAAACACTATCTGGCCTTGATAGCCTGGCCTCGGAAGGACATCACTGCTGGCGGCGCGAGATGGATTGAAAAGCTTGTTACAATGGAGGATTAGCTGGTGGTAATAGTCGAAGCCGTCAGCACAGATACGGCTGCCCAAATTATCGTAGTAGCCTCTGATCTGTGGAGGCCAGAACAGTCAGTCTGCAATGTTCCTTACCGTGAGACGTGAAAAGGGGAGGATTAGGCTAGGGCCAATGCTTACTTCAATGCCATAGACGTGGAGAGGAAGGTAGAAGCTAGTCGCGCCATAGGGTGGCGGGAGACATACCACTCCCTTTCTACTACCTTCGGTACTAGTCTCCAGCGTCACGTTGGTTTGCAGGGTATCCAAGGGCAGAGATCTTGCACAGCCGGCTAGTAGGGCGAGATACACAGCAACAGGAAGCCATCGCCAAACCATTGTCACTGCCGTGGACAGGCAGGATGCGTCTTTGTGGGCTTGGTAACATCCCACAAACAAAAGATCGCAAGCGCAAGTCTGCATTTTAGGTGATATGTCGGAATCGCGGGAGGACTTTTCCCGTGTTCCTCTTATAGACTAAGACATCAGTCTTGAGGAAGCCATCCAGCTGTACGTATCGTTTGACGCACGATCAAGGGTCCCCGGAAGTCGCATATCCGGGATTAAATGAGCTTTTCGTGGAGTGTGCTTCACATCCGCGAATCAGACGCGCCTCAACTCATCGATATGAATCGGTAACGCTTCTTCTTCTCTCTAACAAGTCCCGCCCTTTCAATCAAAGGACTGTATTTCCACACGTCACGATGCTGTCTAGCTGCCTCCGAAGGCTGGACGCTGCACCTACATCTAGTTCAGAATTGACCAGTGCATCGGAGGCTCCTTCCATCTTCAGGGTTTTTTCGACTACCCAAAGGTGGTTGCGGAATACGACAGATATTGAGCGTTCTGGCAACATGGAAGGCACGGTCCATGACTTCGGCCTACAGTTGAAGTGCGATTGCCCAATGGAATTGTTGTCGGACGAGTGAATCAACATTTGAGAAGCAAGTGGTTTCCCCGCCAAAAGTGGTGTCAACCATGTGCCCTGAAATGTGAACAAGACTCAGCAACTTCACTTCGTTTCAGGCCATATAATATAAACGTCACGATAATAGCATAAAATTCTTATTTGAGGCAATCATATTCACTAATGGCTTCGCCGCGGGCTCTTCAATACTTCATTGGCACGCCAAAATCCCTGCGCAGTTGGCAGATTGAGGATCTGAACGACGCTTTTTTCAGAAACACAACGTCTGCCAGGATGGGATCCACGTAAGAGCACGTCTATTCGACACTTTTCGTACTCACTGACACAAGTCTAGCAACCCGGAAGATCTAGAGGATCAGATCAAGATGCTGTCAATATGTGAAGGCTTCTATCGTAATACCCATGAAATCATCCTAGAAGACCTTCTCATGCCCCTTATGGATGTCGAGATAGACGCGAAAGAAGCTTGCGCAACTCAGCTGGCAGCTATTAACCCCCTCGCCAGTCACTTTGACTCGTTACCAGTGCCACTTGATAGGACATCTGTTCTTCGATTGCTAAGGCAAAACGGGACCAATTCCCTTGAGAAATCCAAGGAGCTTCTGAAAGCCAATGCTCTTTGGCGACTTTGTAACGTGAACAATCAATTGAGGCAAAAATTGCAGAGTCTTCTTTTATATGCTATTGAATGTTTGGATCGAGCATCCCAGGAGACGCCCGATACGGACTCCGCCTATGGAGAAGCCGGGTTTCGCAATATTGGCTATGAGAGACTCACGAGCCTCGAATTTCAACGACAATTCTATTTTCGAGCCATGATCAACCTGCATATTCTGACTATGATCAAGTGCTGGCTTCATGGTTTCGGATTGTTGGCCAGAGCATCGGTCGATCATTGGCTGGAAATCAAAAATGACGTCGAAAGAGAAGTCCCGGGTCTAGCAAATATGTCACAAGTGGAGAGAGATGAATGGATCGAACGCCTCTTGCAGCATATGGCCCCTTTGTTACCTGACGAGGGACCCCGAGTGTTGGACCCGTTTGTGGTAAGAATTGGTGGGGTGTATCGATATGTAGGCATCTGCAAGATTTTGAAACAGATAGAGATGTGCAATCAGATCTTGTCCACGACTGGTGAACTCTGCAGATACATAGGGCGTCACAACGCAGAGACGTGGCCGCACAGGGTAGCTTTTTACAATCCTCAGCTCAAGAACGTGGACGCTAATTGTGTGCCAGGCACCTGGAGCACCACACACGGGAGAGGCTCTACCAGCGACACGAGAATATGACACGGGGACACGAGTCGTTCCGCCGGCGCTACCAGAGTTTCGAGGGCTAACACTAGAGAAGTAGGATGGGACTCAGAAGAGGAGAAATGCGATATCCTCGGCTCTGCATCGAGGAAAAGGGGTGCTTCATGCCAATGTCAAGAAGGGAAACGTGAAATCTTCGTCTGTGCAAAAGAGAAAGAAGATTGTTCGTGCCAGATACAGAAAGGCCAAACAGATAGCACTATCAATTAATTGAGAATAACTCTCTCTACGTAGGTGATGCGATGCCGCCGTCACCTCAATATCCTGCTCTTTCCTCTTCTGCAAGCAGGGGAAGAGGAACGAAAGACACACGCGAGACAGATACGTGTCTCCGAGCCACCCTCCGATGACAAGCAGCATAGCTGACAGCACCTCATCTACCACAGCCGCACTAAGAACAATCTCAAGGCAACTACCCATCTTCATATCCCCGATCCCAAATAGCCAAATCAGCACCGTGCACGTCTCTTAAGGCACAAACCTCCCTAGCGCCCTCGCAAGACATTCACGACACGAACCCGCTAGTCCCCACTCTAGCGTCCGTCCGCCCCAGCCTAATGCACGAAGACGAGCGATTAGCAAGGGGCCACTGCGCCATTTATAAAAAGCATATCCAGGCCGTCCCCACGTGGGGAAACCCGAGACGGCGAACTCGTGCTAGACCGTAGCACGAACGAATGAAAGTGGACGTTGATGGGCTGAAACGAACAAGCAATATGCATGGACGGCTTGTAGTGGCGGGTGGTGGTGCTCTATTGGCGCGCTTTCACGATAGGACAATTTGAAGCTGGGTTGAGCCGTACTTGCATAAACTCGTCGTGAACTCTATATTTGTTACACGTCATGTTTCTGGGTGAACGGCGGAGATGGAGATGGGAGGTGGGAGAGGAAGACCCTTCTTCATGCCATGTGGTCCGACTTCTTTCCAAAAATATCTCGCCATCCTTTATCCCTACATTCTTGGCAGGGCATGTGCGTTTTTCGAAATTCTGATGAGTGAAATAGATCGATGAACACTTCCTCACCATGGTCTCGGCCTCGCCATGGAAAGACTCGTTGCACGCTGGGCCTGCGGGGCCGATGTCAAATGCGCTCTTCGCCACCATCGTGACCTTCGACGCGCTTGCCCTCTGGATGGTATTGGAAATCAACCTCGGCGTGAGCCGCTTGTTCAAGAAGTACAACGGTCTTTACTACTGGAGCATCCTGATCTCATCCTGGGGGATAGTCCTGCATACTGTGGGCTACATCCTGAAATGGTGGGCCCCCGGCAGCCCGTGGGCTCTCAACACCTGCTTCAACCTTTTCGGTTGGTCCATGATGGTCACATTCCAGAGTCTGGTGCTGTACTCGCGGCTCCATCTCGTCATCCTGAACTGGAGGATACTGCGTGCGGTGCTGATATTGATCATTTTCACGGCAATTACGGTTGAGACACCGCAGTGGGTGACGAGCTGGGGCGCGACGAATCCCCAACTTAGCACCACGAAGCACTGGACCCCTATCGACAGCATTATGATCCGCGTCTCGCAGGTCTGGTTTCTACTGCAAGAGGGACTGCTGTCGGGCCTCTACATCTGGGGCGCGATACATATGCTTACGCCGAATGCTGAGCTCAGATTGAAGAAGATAATGTGGGAGCTCATCGCCACCAGCACTGTCCTCGTCGCGTTAGATCTAATCACCGTAAGCCTCGCCTACCTCAACCTCCACGTCCCGAAGGAGCCGCTGCAGGGCTTCGTCTACGCTCTGAAGCTGAAATTGGAGATCTTCATCTTGAACCAACTACTAGCGGTCCTCGACAAGAAAAAGAACTCCTTCGGCGGCTATCGCTACCGGTATGGCACAGACTCGGAGAAGAAATCTGGAAGCAGGACAAAGTCGGCGACAAGGAGACATGATCTGGAAGCCTCGGTGGACAGTGAGAAGGAGAGATTCGGACTGCCTAGCGTGGCGCGACTTTCAAGAGGCCGTCCGTGGTTTCCGTCGCGAGAGGTCTCGAAGGAGGATAGTGGCGGCCAGTCGTCTGATACGAGTACGTTTGGGCTGCCTGAAAGCGCGAGAGATATGCGACAGGCTTCTTCGCCGAAGCCTGGGTTTGCTGATGAGAGCAAGATTGCGTGGGTCAGGCATGAGATTGAGATCGCTAGATCGTCGAATGGGAGATGATGCTCTTTGTGGGGTCGGGGAGCTCTTTTTATGATGACACCTTTGCCGGATGGGAGCAGAGGGATTTCAATTGATAGTGATGACGACTGGGTGTACCTGGGTAAGACCGATGCGTACGTGGCACTCTCGACCACAAGAGCCATGAAGTCAATAATCAGTAAAGATGAAACAAAATTCCAAAGTAGGCAAAAGGGCCAGTGGTCAGTGAACTCTTGGGTCGGAAAACGGACTGCTTCTCGTCCTACCTCCTAGGGAAGGGCTTTTGCCAAAGAGCCGGAGGCTGGAAAAGGCCTCTTTATCAAAGTTCTGTCTTGCCTCGCCCCCAACAATGCGGCGATGCAAATCAGAAAGTAACCATTTCACGAATTTTTGACAAGCAATGAGAGGATCCCTGACGGGAAGTCCTACACACAATGGACTTGATCCTCATCAGTCATCTACTGTTCTGGTCTCGCCTTTGACAATAACGACCAAACATCCTCATGCTGGAAAACGCACCACAAATACACAAGAGAGGCTCGAAGGGCAATGTGGATCTATGTTTTCAGGAGTAAGAAGCATGGATTAGAGTCCAGGACTTGCGCGGGGCTTACGCGAAGGCTGAGGTGACTACTCAGGGGATACGCGGGAGTTCTCTATGCGGACTACGCGCGAAGGGAAGGCTCATTACGCAGGGGCCTTTGTGGGGGCAAACGTTCTCAGTCTCTCATGTCGATTTTGCAAGTGAAATTCCTCTACAGCTTTCGCAATCACAACCGAGGTAAGACATAAGAGGGAAGCAAGAGATGTCTTGTCCCCCCGTGTAAAACAACATCATTTTAAAGTCGATTTCAAACCTTTTCAATGTGATACTTTGATCTTATGCGTCCTTCTCCAAGTCATCGCGTACGTGGCCTCTCTTCAATTCTCAAATTGACGAGTGCTGGCCTCTTTAAAATCCTTGATTCTTGTGATGGCTTGAGCCTACCGCCGTCACCCTTCAGATAACCAATGCCAGAAATGCTCTCAACTTGGTTTTGCCGATAGGTATTTATTTTGCTTGACTAAGACACTTTCCGCATTGCTCCAATCTCCATCTCACCAGATTTTGTATCGGGTCAACCATTTTACTTCGAGATTCTGGTCCCTTGTCCAAGTCGTGCACCCTCAAACAGGTCGTATTCATTCATACTCTACCATACATTGTATCGTGATCATTCAAGATCTTCGCGACCATTGGTTCGTCTAGTTGTTTTTGTAGCATTTTGATCTCGTCTGCTTACTCTTTGCACTCCTGCTGCGCCTCCACTAATTTTTTTGCACATTCAGTTCCCGCTCAGGTGATGGTCGACGGCAGTTTCGTTGAGCCAGAGGCATATTCCCTTTTAGGCTTCTGCGAATTCAAGAACTGGCTCATACTTCGTCACAGCTTTCCCAGGGATTGATCTCACGAAACTGGCTAGTTTCTGCTGGAGGTTTCTCATGGTAGACATGATCTCCCGCGCCTGAATCGCTCGCAGTGGCGTTGTTCGATTGCCAAGATGCTTGAGGCCATAGCTTTCACTTGGCTTAGATTTACTGGTATGTTGTCACGGATCCCAGCCTTGGATCTGACAATGAAACTCAAAGCGGCGTACTTGTCTTGTAGTCATCGATGTATGCCGTCATGGTCTCGTTGAGACGCGCTGCCTTATCCAGTCCTCTCTCTTCCTTTGCACTTCCGGGGTCACTGATCTTTAGCGACTCCCTTAGCTTCCTCTAAATACTTCCTATAGTCTACTATTAAGGCTTTCCGTTGATCTTCCTCTTCCCTTGGTTTTTTGCAAAGAGCTTCAATAGCTGCTTTTCGCCTGTATAATATTATTTGATCACAAGCCCGTAGACTCTTAGCAGCTTCGAGTTTTTGGTATATATTAAGAATCTCTGCCTCATCTGCCGCTATACGCTTTGCTGTAATGGCAAGGGCTTCCTGGCGGCACCAAAGGGTTTTTCCTCAGCGGCCATGTAATTATTACTGTACTCTCGACATACGCTGATGAGTTTCTCAGGTGTTTTCACCAAGAGCTCATCAATCTTTGGGTCTGCTGGTGACATATCGGACTCGGATCCCATTTGCTGAAGTTGGTCAAATATTTGCCTGGTGGTAGTAGACTCTGCTAGCATCACCTCTTGGCCCTGGCGATTAGCTTCACGCAATTCTCCTTGGAGACTGCTATTCCGAGTTGTGAGACTGCTCTTCTGGATGGTAAGCCCGGGTCTGTCTAGTGCATTGTAGCTCGCTACCTGTACGGTATCACAAGCTCCGTACCTCTTCAGCAGGATCGTTCGAGCTTCCTTCTCCACGGCCGTGAGAAATTGAACCCGATATCGTCCTTGGGAACAACTAATCTTTCCTGAGGAAAGCTGCCGCTTTGGTGATTTGTCTCATGTATATTGGCAAACTCATAAGCCTCATCAGCCATGAACCATGCAAGCAGCCCCCCCCCCAAGGCCGTCTCATGGGGCATAGACTGGTGTAGTTGACAGTAATAACTGGAGATTTGTCAGTTAAGCCCCCTTACCGATTGAAGTCCTGCAGGTTGGATCCTGGAGGGCTACGGACTTTCGCTTCATTGTGGCCCTTCGTTTCTTGAATTACAGTATTGGGCCCCGACGGTGTGCTCACTTTGTGTTCGCTCTTTCTTCATCTTCTCCAGATTGTCTCTTTCGCTTGACTGCTGTCGCACGAGTCTGTTGCTTCTTGAAGTGAGAGCAATAGAATAGTCCTCTCCTATGAGACTTTAACGGACCATTGGCTAAGTGAATCTGACATCTAAGGCTCGTCCGTCCGGGCACATGTTGTAGTATATATATTTAGGTAGACACACGAAAAGAACAATGGCCCCAAATACCATGAATTGTTCTTGTCATGAAGATTTGTGGTTTTGAAGGCTGCGGTATCGTGTGGATGTGACGGTTGTTTAGACGGACCATCTCTAAAGGGACCATGGCGCCTAAGATGGTCGACTGATTGATTAAGAAATATTGTCAATTTTCTTAAACATTAATTACTACCGACTAGAGCTTGAAAGTTTGCGGTCCCTGCTATTGTTGATAGAATTTCTGATTCTCTTCTCATTTACGAAGAATCTAACATACTATCGGGTCTCAAGTAATCGCACACCACCTGAGATGCGACGAGTACATTCTCCGGCCGGATGTCTCGATGCATGACTTGTAGAAAGATCCTTCATATGATTGCAAGAAGAATTGTGAGACATTGGCGTCCAGAGGATTGGTGCAGCGAAAATGAGCCTAGGCTTGTCCAAGAGCTGAATGCTAGGGCGGTAAGAGCAACCAGAATCCCTTTCAGCAGATGTATACCAGGCTATCGCGAGTTGATATGTTCAAGAACCTAGTCCTCACGGAGACCGTTTGTATCGTCCAAAATGCCTGCATCCACTGCAGGATCTGTTTATCCACTTGGTTTGTACTCTGATCTTGAATTTTTAACACGCCTTGGTATTGCGATGGTACGCTGATCGTCATTCTTTTTGTAGTTTCCTGTGCAATCCTATCTTTAGAAGATCGCATGGAGTGTCCAGGATGTAGCAGACATTGCATCTGTTGAAGCCTGAGATCAGTCTGCATACCCCGTTGCGCTGAATATTTGATCCCAGAAAAAGCTCGTCAAAACTCGTCCCGAACTCAAGAGAGCCACATTTGTATGACGTGGGAGCCTTGTCCGACCCATTCGAGGGTTCAAGATTATCGGCCAAAGACGTGGGTGTCCAAGAGCGAGAGAAGTCTTGAAGCAGGAGTATGCCTCTTTCAAGGCTGTTGATGTATATATATATTTAGAGGTTGTTGGATGATGAAGGACGAAAAAAACTTGCGAGAAGTGGACGGTTTGTATACCCGACGACGCAGCGTGTAAAGTTCCTTTTTGCTCAGCGTGTCTCACAGACAAACACTTATGGCTTTGCCACTACAGACTTCACGCATGCCTTCGACAGCCATTCCTGAGTATTTGAGACTACAGGGTCTAAGACACGAAACATCACCTAGACATTATATGTAACACCCTCTTTTCGTTCACTCACATGGCTGTGAAGATAATGTTTTTACGTGTCTTTCACCGAGTGGATAATCATCTCCAGGATGACACTATCAGTCTGACGTGGTAGAGCATTTTTGTGTCACATGACGTTGTGTTACTCTCACACAGGAACTCTCGACTATTCGAGGGTGATGTTAGCTTCAGCCATAATGGCAATGCAAAGAAAAATCTTGAACTCTAAAAGCTTACTAGATATATATTCTAATTTACTATCAATATTGAATAGGTTTTAAAGATCCTGTCTCCACAACCCACCAAGATTATCAAATCTCTCGTACAGCAAACAGGCTATTGCGAGTTCGAAACCCCACCAAGAAAATTCAAGAATTTCATACCAGCGAATTTTATCATCGAATGTTTATATCCACCTTGTTGCCTTCTTCTTCTGTCTTTGGCATTTTGTTCCAACCCTTCTATGGAGCTAGGAAAATGATATTCACAGTTGCTCTAGGGCCCACAGGTCTTCACGGTATACCTGACTCCCTGTGGTTAGGATCATGTACCCTCCGAGGGTTCCGCCACCTTGCGCCCCTTCAAGTCCAATACTTGCTCTATATTCTGGCAGTTTGTCTTCGACGCCCATGAAAGATCTTCCGAGTTGGTTCGAAGGGATGGCCAACTCAATGGCTCCAGTGATGAAACGAATTTCGACCTGGCCTTTCGGCTTTGCGTCATCGACCACTGCTTGTAGTACCAATTTCAAGGGCGCCCAGTCGTGGAGTGTGTATGGCTCGATCATGATTACAATGGTGTAGACTCTTCGGCTGTGCTAGAATTCTTTCGAACACCGTATATACACATCGAGGACAGAAGTTCATCAGCAGGTTGTTCCAATCAGAGCACAGAATCACCAAATACCTGTGGAGGTTGAGGGTAGTCCTAAGTGGAATACGAATGAGACCACGTACCCAATTCTCCCAAGCATCAGTCGTACATCTAGACTCCGGTCAAACCTTGCATGAAGATCTTGCTCTCCACGGGCCAGAGGTACGGACCCAAAAGCGCCGTCTGATTCTTCACAACCGTAACGCTTGTATAGATGAACACATACACACGGCTATATGCATGACGTTCATAGTCGTTCATAGCAGTGTTGTCCCCGAGAATGACTAGTCCGTTACGCTCGCGCCAGGAAAGCCGACCATCATTGGCGTCACGATCATAGCACAGACTGACTAGCTACTGTGCTTTTAGATCAAGACCAATGCGATGAGCTTGCGATTCTGAAGTTTAACACCACGAACCCACGACGCGCAAGGTGACTTTGGGCAGAAAGAATGAACGTTGCAAGGAGCACAGAGCTCTCACGCTTTATCGTTACCTTCTTCTGCCCTGAGTCTTCACCACATCGGCGCCCTTGAGTTCCCTACACCCCTCCATCCTTCCTCTTCCTCTTTCTCTTCTATTCACTCTTCTCTTTCGTGGGCCTCCGAGTTGGGGACCTCCCACGAATGACCGGGATCCAGCTCCTCTCGAGAAACAATCTGCCTTTTGCGCGTGAGACCCTGTTGGAAACTGCCCCAACCGTGAATTTTCAGCCGGAAAAGTCGACCGTGGCTTTGGGTCTTGTGCTGCTGTCTACCTCAGGCTGTGTCTTTCTTTTCGCTAGAGGCTGTTCAAATCTGTTGTGATTGTTGAACTCCTTTTTCGTTGCTACATGTTGGTGGGTTTGAGGGTAGTGTTATTAGCTGAGGAGGTCGCAACAGTCTCTGCTTTCTTCGGTATGAGTGCGTTGTAGCATCTTCAGCACAACCATTCACCGAAGACTGAATATCATAGACCGGCCAGAACAGGAAAATGGCAGTGAGTTTGCCCTTCGTCGTTCCTCATGTCGACTATCTTGTCGCTTTGGGGTAAAAATCCGAATATTGAGTTTATTCCTCCTTATCCTCCTCGTAACTTGTATTCCTCATTAATCTTGACATCGTATAGTCAGGTTTGGGATCCTTATCCTTGATGGCATGATCAAGCAGGTGTTCGTGCTGATGTCTGATCTCTAGCACGAACCCTCTCAGAAAGTACTTGATCATATAAATACCAGCGATACCCCAATATTGTGCTCCCAAGTGGTCCTTTAAAGAGTCAACCTTGAATTTTATACTAAATTTGCTCGCTTCCCAGGCCACGCGATGACAGCAAAAAAGGCGATGAAAATAGATGTAACGTGCGCGAGACCGGTGGTCTGAGCTGAACTTGACATGTTCGCCATCTTGATGGATGGATACATGATCTGGAGCCCATAAAAAGACAGATTACAGCCGGGATTCCTTGGTCTGGTCGCCGTTATGACAAGCTTGCTCATATGCCACAGCTGAGGTAGACATGTCGGGAGAGCTTTTTCGCTTGGAATCCGAGAGACTTTTCAAAGGACGAGACAGGGAGAGAAGTATATCCTGAGGCACGTGACTTGGACCCTCCAGCCTTGGACGACCATGGCTGGTGCCATTGATATTTAAAAAGAGAAAAGGAAAGAAAAGGCAAGTCAAGCCATTCTTTACCAGACACGAGAAGAATAAGCCTGAGAAGAACCATCCATCTGAAGTTAGTTCCTTGAAGCCAGGACTGTTTGACCTTCCTCTTGCTGTGCACGATGTGAGAGTTCTGCTTTTCGGTAAACGTGAGAGAAGATCATCTTCGTCAATCTCGAGGTCTGCTTCCTGAATATCCAACAACGGATTGAGGTTTCGTTCTTTTGTATCTTGGACGAAGACAGGAGATGGGGTTCCAGGCAGCAAAGGCAGCACATGGTTGCACTGTGTGAAGCCACATGATCCTGGATTGAGGTTCCATCTGAAATCAAAAGAGGCAAGTGAAAAGGCAGGACGACACAAGCTTTGTTTCGGTCGGCACAATTTGGTTTTACATCATATCACCAAACAGCAAGGCATGACTGAGCTATGTGGAGTCATGTAGTTGTCGATTGTGTCTTTTGCTTCCCTAGGTAAGTCTCGATGTATATATATAAACCCTATCAACCCTCTCCAAAGAAGAAAGGAAAGTAGCTAGAGCATGTAGAAGAGGAGAAAGGAAAGAAACTCAGAGGAGGAAGAGCCTTTAAATACCAACACCCACCTTCCCCAGCCCCCTCGCCTCGATTCACCACACCCGCTCCACCACACACGTACTCATAAACTCACACACTCACTTTCTCGGTGAATGGTACTGGGGCGTAAAGTATGTCTTAGACCCAGCCGCCCCTTTTCTCCACCTCTTCACCCAATCCCAGAATTCACGCGTGTTTGTTTCAGCCACCACCAGTCCTACCACCACTATAAGTCAGATATGTGAAAGCACGATCAGTACCACGAAGCACAGGTCGGGATGAGAGGAGAGGAATGCGAGAGTGGGTGACCAACTCGAAAAGGTAAAAAATTGTGGCAAGAACGCCGTGGCGTAACGGATCAAGCAAGCAAGATGTCTCACCCACACATCAATCACAACTCTCACTCATCTGTCGCCCGCAAAGTAGGAGTGGTGAATAGTCATTGTGCATAAGTGAAATGATGGAGCAAAGGGAATAGAATCAACGTTTGAGATACCACCACCACCATCACCGCCACCAAGCCTCTCCCCGGGCCAAAATCAGAACTTACACGTTCAGACACAGCCATACCAAAAGTTACTCACGGCAGATCCCTATCACCTGTTATGCAAACACCCCCGACCCATCCCATATACCACCCGTCCACTCTCCATCTCCACCCCATGTCCCGGTCCATCCCTCTCACCATTCCCCACCCCATATCCCTCTTCATCCCCCTCACCCCACCTCTCATCCCTCACCCCTCCACCCTTACCCGCCCCAAGCACCATCAAAAGTTGCGAGTGCCAAAAGTGCTGTGAGGGGACGAGCAGGAGGTGTAATTTCACACCCTTTTCTCAACGCGACATAGGAGCCACGCCACTCCGGGGTTTTGGGAGTGAAAAGCCGGGGGGCAGAGACGACAGGGGGGTGTTTGTGTTGTCCGGGGTGAGGTTAGAGAAACGGGTTGGGGGGGTGAATAGCACGTAGACGTAGACAGATATGCAGCGCTGTAGCGGAAGCGTGTGGGATAATTTGAGGGGGTTTTCGCCTAGCTAGCAGTGAAGGGGAGTGGGAGTAACAAGTTGGAGTCTCTTGTTGAATCAAAATTGGAGGACACAACAACAGCATGAATTTTGAAAGAATATTGAGGCGAAAGTGTCCACCTACTGCGTATCCGATTGCTGAAAGCTTAGTTTTATAGCTATCCTGCAACTCATTTGTAGGAATACGCATCAGCGTCGCCATCCGCTTCGCCAACAGCACGCATGAGATTGCATGCCACATGTATCGTTTTAACGCCTCGCTGAACGCATAAAACCCTGCCTCCCACGTCTACTACGTACGTTGCCTCATTGCCCCCCGTCCTTCTCACCCTTTTCAATCCCTACCCTCTCAAAATCACGAAGAACCCTTCCCTGACATCTTCCTCCTAAGCTTCAGCAACGCAGTCCGAATCCTAATCCAGAACAACGCCCACTGACTCTTCGCCTTCTTCCCCGTGCTCTGCTCCTGTTTCTCCCTCGCCCTCCTAGGAGACGGATACAGCGTTGGTGGCTGGCCCTCAAGAGCAGCGCCCGGACTCCCCGTCCCGGTCCCAGAATGAACAGGGAACTGCTCCCTGCTCTGATCATAGCCGTAGCCAATAACACTGCTCTTTTCGCTGTTGGCCTTACTGCCCGCTCTCGACCGCTGTTTCTTTTCTCGTCGACGCTGTTCTTTCTCCATTGCTTTCTGCTCCGCTTCCTGGTATTTGCGGTCTTTCGCCGCTTCTTTCTCTTGAAATTTTTGGCGGAGATGCTGCACGCTAGCTGCTTGCTGGGCGGGGTCGGTTTGGGCGGTGTTGCTCCGGCTGCGGCCTTTGCGGAACGCGGACTCGAGGGATGAACGCTGCGTGGTGGTTGTGGGAGAAATCATGTCGTTCGGGTTTGCGGCACCGAAGCGGAGGGAAGAGGGTGTGCCCGGGAGATTGGTTTGCGAGGAGTTTGTGAAGTTACTGCCGGTTCGGATGTGTAGGGCTGGTGCAGTGATGTTCCGTCTTGATGGGGGAGGGTGCATGTATGGCGATTCTTCGCTTTCGAGGGATGTTTTGTAGGAGCCCGCTATTGGTGGGGTGTATGGACGCGGAGTCTGGCGCATTGGATGGACATATCGACTGCTTGAGGCGGTATTGGTGGATATCTGAGAGGTGCCACTGGTGGTGCGATTGTGAAAGCCCCTGGTAGAGCCACTCGCTGTACGACTTGGGACTATGCTCTGGGATGATTCATAGACCCCGAACCCCTCGTTCTCCGCTGCTGATCGTGATAGGTCGATGCCCACTTGCTCTTGCGAGGTGAACTTGCGGAGGAATGGTTTTATCTTGACCTTGCTCTTTGGCTTTTCACTCACAAATGTGTCGGCATGAGCAGAGGAGGGGATGGATGATCCTGATGATTGAAGTAGGTAGTCTGGAACGAAGGTTGGTGAGGTCGGGGTGGCAGTGTTTGAGGGCCCCTGCTTCGGAGGTCGTTCTGCAGGGCTATTGGTGTCTGGAGATGATTTGATTTTGGGTATGCGAGGTCGTGCCTTCCGATACCCGCGCTTGGAGTGAGACTGGCCATAGTCATCGAGGGTTGTCTGGGATGCGATACTAACCATTGCTGGGTAGGTGTGATCCTCCATCAGCCTCGCCATGGTGGTCGAAGGTATTGTGGGTGTACAATGGCCTGATGGTACGGTGATCAAAGGGCCATAGTGATCGAGCAATACGAGGTGCTATATTCGTTGTGCTGCGTCGATGCGGATTCAGTCGGTAGTAGAACCGAGACCAAGCTGAAACATCGAGCCCCCAAGCCCCCTCACGTCCCGCACTGGCCAACAATGACTAGAGTGCGGCGCGACAACTGAGTCGGTGATCAGTTGGACTGCATACTCGATAGAGTATGTGAGGATGTCGACGTGACGGGGGGAGGGTGGAGAGGAAATAGAAATGAACAATACGAGTGGTCCGTAAATGTGGAAAGTGGATTATCAGGGTCCCCTGATTTCCCTCTCGGGTCTGTCCGCCGTGATCGAATTGTTGATAGCGTCCAGATAGCGCCAGAACTTCTCCACCCAGCCACAGGACAAGATACAGCTGATGATAAGCCCAGCGCTTACAAGACCCTTCTCGCTCTACTCATGCATACATGACGCAGATGCAGAACATCAAGAGTGGCGCACTTCATCTACATGCACATGATCAAGATATAACAGAAGCACTGCCAAGTTCGACCTGCTGTTAATAATAAATGCAAGATTCTTCCGCTTGCTTTTTCAAGCAGGCATTGTGGCGTAATATTGGAATTATTACGCGTCAGTGGCTCAGCGGAGTCTCTGGGCATCATCGACTGGAAGAGTGGTAGTGGCTGAATATACGGCGTTGTGTCTGCTGCCGCTAAACTTGTTACAGTAAGATGGCAGCAAACGAAATGAGAGATGAGTAAGAGGAATACCAATATCGAGGCATTCTTATCTGTGCCCTGCATCTCTCAGTCACCCTTATAGTAATCCCCTTCTGCCATTATGCTCCAACAAACCAGAAACACAACCGAAGTACATATAACGACCTCCAAGGCCCACCGCAGGCTATGTTACATGCACCCCTGCTCCAACTGATAATCAATATATGTATATCTCAGACGACGCGCCTCAGCCATGCACACAAGCAATTCTCCCACACACAATCCCCGCCCCACGCCAAACATGCCTACCTGCCTATGCAAAAGAGTTGCCAACCGCCCTCCATAAATGATGGCCCGAGAACGCCTCGCCCAAACGCGTCTGACTAGCTGAATGAGGTAAGAATAATCAATACTGACATGTATACAAAGGAGAGGAGCGAAAGAAAATTCGACCGCCAATTTTGTACATCCCTCCATTTCTTCTTCCAATTTGTTCATAGGCCTCCTCTTCAAATGCATCAATTTCTGACCTCGATGGGTAGTGAGGGGAGAGCAAGGAATAGCAGAGCCATCACATCACCATCTGCTCCCCCTTCGGTCCCACCTCCACCGGGATTCGAGCCCCCTCTTTCTCCTCTTGCGTAGCCATAATGAGACTATTTCTCTTACTTCCGGCCTTACTCACTCTGCCTCCGCCTTTGATGTTGGCCCCTGCCTCACCGGCCGCCACTCCGTCAACGCCTTTCGGGTAGCAGATCTCCGGGTCGCACCCGCTGCTGTGTGCCTTGTGATATTTCAGCCCGTTCAAGTTCTTGTATCGCTTTCCGCAACTCTGGCACATGTATGGCTTTAATCTTTCCATTCCTCGGGTGCCTTCAAAGGGGACGAGGGTGTCTGGATCGACGATGCTAAAAGTGCCGTTGCTGTTGGATTGGAGGGTTTGCGTGTTGTGGCCGTGCTGTTTGTGGTATTTGAGCCCATTTTGGTTCTTGTACGCTTTCTCACAGCCAATAACCGGGCAGTGGAAGGGCTTAGGAATCCCATCCGCTGAGGGATCTGGAACTCCAGCGTCGGCTTGTGCTTGTCGGATAGTCTTTGCGAGAGTGCTGTTTTCGCTATACTGACCGTCGCCAAGTTGAACGGCAGAAGCAGGGGCTGACGAAGTCGTGCCCGAGGACGTTGGACCGTTGCTCGATGTCGCCGCAGTATTTGTTGTAGTGATTGGTGGAAATGAAGACGTGCCATCGTTACGAGCAAAGAGCCGCTTGGCAGGTTCGTCGATACACAGGTCTAGCATCTCATTATTTGGTTGATAATTCCAATCGTTGAAGCCGGTCGCATTGGGCAGGAAGGACATGCTCATCTGGTTCATGTTGTCGATGAAGTTAGCGTCGAGTTCCCGTGGTGTGCCGGGAGCGGAGGACTGGGGGGTGTAGAATTGTTCTTGTTGCAAAGGGTGGTTGCTGGGACCTGCAGTGAGCGTTGGAGTATTTACTGAAGAGACTGTAGGATTATGTTGATAATATGGTCTATTTCCGTTCGCTGGGGTAGTAGGCGAATGTTTAAGACCTTGATGCTGAAGGTACGCATTGTTTCCATTTACAGCGCCCATATCAAGCTGGGGTGTTCGTTGTGCCGGCTGCCCGAATTGACTTCTTTGGACCGGTCGTGGTGGGTTCATCGCATACTGCTGCATCTGAGGTTGCGAAAAGTCATCATCCATCTCCATAGTCCCAACTGTCTCATCTTCCTGACTGGATTGAACGGCAAAGCTCTGCGTCTGTGTGGGCGTCTTCTGCGATTGTATAGGGGTATTTGACCTTTGCGGAGTCGCAGTCTTTGGAATCTGTTGTTGGGATTTCGGGTCTTTGATTGCGGCTGCTGCGTTGGTTGCAATCGCAGCCTTTGGATCTGGGAGAGGACCTTCGGTGGAAGAGCCGCGCATTTGTTGGTGATGATTGTCTTCATAATGCTCCAGTAGATCGTGTAAAGATGGTAACGTCAATCCACAGCACGAAAAGTCGCGCATGAAATCGGCTTCGAGCTTGGGTTGGTACGACGATGAATGAAATGATTGCGACTGATGGGAAAAGGGAGAAGTGCCTTGCATGATGATGCTAAGCGTCATTAGCAAGTAAAGATCAACGTCTGAGGATGACCTACTCGTCCCGTATCCAGCTTCCAACTGACTGACCTCCCCAGCTCATCCCTGTTACCATACTCCCTGCCAGACTCTCTCGCCGCGGTTTGTTTTGACCAGACATGGATATAGGTTGAGCGCCACTGATGGAACCTCTCGAGCCCCCTCTTCCACCATACCCACTTCCTATACTCATGGCAGACGAGTGCCGCTCACCACCCACACCCTGCATCGCAGTAGACATGGCAGATCTGTGCGACCCTTGATTTTGTGGTGCTATATCGATGGGTGTCGAGCGACTACCCATGGCGAAATGGCTTGTCGGATCATCGAACAAGGGGAAGGTTGAGTCCTCCAAGTCCGACTCTAGTAGCGTGGAGTCCACGTAAGAACTGTTGTTGCCCCCACCGAAGGCAAAGTTCCGATGCCAGGAGAACGGGTGTTCCTTCTCTTTCTCCGCTTTCCTAGGCAGCGAAGCGCCAGTCGCAAAGCCTCGAGGGGTGCCTATCGGAGTGGTTTCGGCGGTTGAGGAGCGATCACTGTTGCTTACTGCAGGCGAAAAGTGCAGAGGAGGTGGTGTATTTCGAGAATCCAGCTTTACGGATGAGAGGGGCCGAAGGAAGGTGGAGTCGTATGTGGCGCGATGGGTTTCAGGTCAGGAGGGGCTGTATGTGTTGATGCGAAGATGGCGTAGGATAGAGATGGGGACGTTTGGATATGTAAGCGATGATGTTTGAGTCAGGACTCAGGAGGAAGGCAGCATGCAGTGAGTATGTATTCGTGACGTGGAGGTGCAGTAGTGAGTTCCCACTGGGTATAGATGACAGGAGTAGTCCAGATTCAGAGTAGAGCCAGTAGGGTCTTCGGGTGCATTAATGCATTAGGATGCAGAGGCGTTAGGGAGGCACCAGAGGGAAATGGAGATGGGCCGAGTGGGTGACGGCAAGACGGTTTAATCAACTACGCTCTAGCCGCATCAACCAATTATTAGCAACTATTAGCAACGAAGGGGATCAAGACATCCGGCATCTAAGTGGCACTTGCACCGCTTCTGGTGCTTGATTCCAGTCGATCCAATATACGGGCCTGGGCGTGGAAATTAAATCGTATTTATTTGATGTCAAGAGGGTGGCATCTCTGCCGTCGATGACACGAAGCAATAATGAGATTAATCGCAGATCCAAATCAACCCACCATCATTATTCCTTGATATTGCCACCTTCTCGGTATCTTCCTAAGCTTCCATCCCCCCTCTTCCTCCTTCTGGGCCGACCGGAAACGTGTCCTCGGGCCCCTAAGGCGGCAGCTTAGCATGCTAAATGAGATAATCCCTACTCGCCACGAGGTCTAGTCTGGGGGCTCTTCTGCTCTAGCTTCATATCCCTGGTTGGGTCGGTTGTGCTCTAGATCTATCACAATCTGCCCCTCGGCCCTCAAGCTGTCTGTGCTTGATCAATAATAATCATAGTGCACGTCCTGCCTCGTCCCGAAGAAATATATCTATTCTTGTAGACCTGGCATTACCCAATCAGTATGGAGGGTGTGTTAGACCCAACAGATCCCCCTTCCAACCCCATAGAACCAGGCGTCAAGTTGGAGCCCCCAACTATCGTCGATGGGTTGGAGCAGGTTGTTCAGCCTCAGCAAGTGGCATTCGTCGAAGACTCTGCGGTTACAAAGGCTGAAAAATACGAACATCATGGTGAGAATGTTGCCGATGCTCCGTCTAAGCGTATCAAGTTGGAGCACCCAGAGATTGAGATTCCAGCTCGCAGTGAGCGTGTGAAGGGCATGGCGCCCATCAAAGCCGAGTTTCTTGTTCATGTCTCTGCGAATAAAAGAGACGATCGCTCTACCGTACACAACGACGATGATGATGCCGCTGAAGGTGCCGCTCATCATCAAGGTGGCGGAAGAGCCGAGCGTGGCAAAGGCAAAAAGAACAAAGGCCAGAATACAGGCCGTCAATTCACGAGAGCTTCAGATGAGGTGGGTCTATGCTCGAGTCGAGCTTGTGCGCCCGAGTTCTCCCCTGAGGAATGTCAATTTGGCGATAGTTGTAGGTTTGAGCATGATATAAGAAAGTACCTGCGAGAGGGTAAAAGGGAAGATCTTAAGACTTTCGAAGGGGTATGTCCGGTGTGGAAAGCCAACGGTAAGTGTGATGTGGGCTGGAAATGTCGTTTCGTCGGGTCTCATATGCAAGAAAGAGATACTGTGGATGACAAGAGAGAGCTTGTTCTTGTTGAAAGAGAATCAAGTCAAGATGGAGTCCCTACCACCGCCCGTGGTAGCATTACGAATGATGTATCCCCACAAGCGAGGACTGACCTAACAAAACGACGCTTCAAGACTCCCAAATCCGACATATACAATCATGATCTAGAAAACAGAGAAAGACAGCATAATACCAACCAGGTGATGCAAGTCCATCACGACCATCACTACCATCGCAACACCAGCAGCGAAGAAGATGCCTCGCAACAAGACAATCGAGCACAATACACTGACCCTCCTCTCCTTCCATCTGAGAAACGTCCCATCTACTTTGGACCCGAAACCCCCGTCCTCGCCCCCTTGACAACACAAGGCAACCTTCCCTTCCGCCGCCTCTGCGTCTCCCTCGGTGCTCAAGCCACATACAGCGAGATGGCCATGTCATTACCCCTAATCCAGGGCTCCCGCTCCGAATGGGCACTGATGCGCGCCCATGCCTCCGAAACCCTCCCACCCGCTTACTCACCGCCTCCCACTACCTCCGCCACCAACATCGTAACCCCCTACACCAACTCCAACGACCTCAAATTTTCCGCCCAAATCGCCGCCAATAAACCCTGGCAAGCGATCAAAGCCACCGAGATCCTCACAGCCCTCTGCCCCCACCTCCGCCTCATCGACCTCAACGCCGGCTGCCCCATCGACCTCGTATTCCGCCAAGGCGCCGGCTCCGCGCTCCTCGACCACCCAAGCAAACTCACAAAAATCCTGCGCGGCATGTCCGCCGTGTCCTCCAGCATCCCCATCAGCGTCAAGATCCGAATGGGCACGAAAGACGCGCGACCTACGGCCCTCAAGCTCGTCGACCGTCTAATCCACGGCACCAGCGACGTCGACGCGTTCGATAACAAGCCTGCTGGTGTGGCGGCCATTACTTTGCATGGGCGGAGCAGGCAGCAACGGTATACGCGGAGTGCGGACTGGGGCTATATCGCATCTTGCGCGGCGCTCATTGATTCCTACAATGAGAAAGCCGATGCGCTGGCCGACACAGTCCGCGAACCCGATCCCCGCCACCAGCCTAATGGGAAGGCGGAGAAAGTCTTCTTCCTCGGCAATGGCGATTGCTACTCCCACTCCCACTACACCGACCACCTCCGCGACGCGAAAGTCGACAGCGTGATGATCGCCCGTGGCGCCCTCATAAAACCATGGATATTCGAGGAGATCGCCACGGGCCAATACATCGACAAGAGCGCCTCGGAGCGATTGGGGCTGGTGGAGACGTTCGCAAAGTATGGGTTGGAGGTGTGGGGGAGTGATGAGAGGGGCGTGGGCGTGACAAGGCGATTTTTGCTCGAGTGGTTGAGCTTTGCGTATCGGTATGTGCCGGTGGGGTTGTTGGAGTATTTGCCACCGAATTTGCAGGATCGGCCGCCGGCGTGGAGGGGGAGGAATGAGTTGGAGAGTTTGTTGGGGAGTGGGGATTATAGGGATTGGGTTAAGATTACGTACGTTCTGTCATTTTTCTTTTTCTTTCTTCGACGTTTGGAGTGGTGCGAAGGGGTCATTTGAGTGGAAAGATGGGGTTGGTAAGAAAGCCGCTGACGTTCTTGTATCCAGTGAGATGTTCTTAGGTCCGACACACAAGGACTTCAAGTTCCAGCCGAAGCATAAGAGCAATAGTTATGAGATTGAGGCGGAAGGGTAGGCAGAAATGAGGATGGACGTGGTGTGGTGGAATCAGGGGCGGCGGCCTTGTGGAATTGCTTTGAGGTGAAAAACTGAGAATGAGAATACTCCGCAGGTATGGGAAATGTATATTCACATATCAGTCATGATGCTACACGCACGAATAAATATCGTGATAGTAGAGTCATCTTAGTCGTCTTCACTCTCTATCTCCATCTCCCCATCTATCTCCTCTTCAACCTCTTCCCCTTCACCTTCCTCCTCTGCTTCCTCGTCATCATCATCAACATCCATCTTCCCACTTCTCTCCCTTTCCCTCTCGTCTTTCTCTTCCTCTCGTTTTTGGTCCTCCTCCCTCCTTCCTCTTTCCAAAAGCTTCTCTTTCTCCTCTCTTCGCGCCCTCAATCCGTCCACAAAAGCCCCCATTGGAGTGTCCTCCAATGCGACATCCCTCAAGAAGTCGTCGACTTGGTCTCTATTCCCTGGCCCAAACGAAACGTTCTTACGATACTTCTCGATGAAGGCTGCATTCTGGTTCATTTTGTCAAGAAGCAAAGAGATCGAGGCGTTGAATTTCTGATTCTTGTTACCGCTCGCAACGGAGCTCTTTCCACTGACTTTACGGCTTTTACCATTCGCGAGGTGGCTTCTTCCGTTTGCGAGAGGGGTGGTAGAAGCGGATGCAGTCTTGAGCCAACGTTTCAGCATCACGGTGGGTGGAATGATGAGTTCCGGAAACGCTATGCTTTTAGCCCAGCAGCCGAAGAATTCGGCAAGGAGTTCCATGCACTGCTGTCCGACGCCATCTTGGTACGTACGGGTGCGGAGGTAGGATTTTGGTGCTCGAATAGTAGTGGTGAAGTCAAGTGGAGCAAGGGTCGACGGGTGGGGTGGTTTAGAAAGTTCTGGTGATTGCAGGACTTCGAGGAGGGAGGGCGCCATAGGGATGTAGGTTGTGGTTGCCCGGGAAAGCCTGAGCAGAGACCGCGTGAGGTGGAAGCGGAGAGGGAAGTAGATCGGTGTTGGTATAAGACGAAGAGTACCCAGAGTAACCTGGACAAGTGGGTAGATGAGTGGGTGAAGTGGAGAGTCGGAGGATTTTTTGATGATGGTGTTGACGGCAACGTTGCAGTGCGTGCTGAGAATCCGGGACCAGAAGTCGAGACTGTGAATGTATTGCCAATTGTAGATTTTTTTGTAACTGTCCTTTGTTGGTTGGGCGATGCTGCTGCGAAGGTGGATTGCGAGTTGGCGGATGAAGGAGAAGCCAGTTGTGTAGCCAAGATTCAGGTCAACGCCCCATAGCCCAACGCAGCTATTTTTCATAAGGTTTATCGAAGGTAAAGTATGAGCATTCGTGACTCGAGAACCTTTGACGAGGCCCTGATATGTCTCCTTAAGGACGGATTCTCGTATAGAAGGGTCAGAGACCACGGCCAGGCGGTGAAGGAGCAAGAAAGCCGTGACAAGAGTTGCCTCATCTTTAGATTTAGAAGAGGCATAGATATTGACGACTGTCTTGATGAGTGTCTTTAGTATCTTCTTGAATGAGAGGAGGCATGGCAACAATGGTATGAGAGATGAAAGTGTGAGTCTGATTGTTGGAGCGTCGGACAGATTGGAGAGCAGGTGTAGAATCGTTGCTGAAAAGGAATTCAAGAAAGGCGTGAGGGTACGGAATTTCTTCGAGTCAGTAGCGACTCGTATTCTACCTGCGACGGTCTCTTTTGGCGCTATGTGGTGATTCACGACAGAAGGAACATGCTGCAAGGCGGTGATCAACACATCGTGATAGACTTCCGAGTTTGGAATTGTGTATCGTCGCTTTTGTCCGTCGTCAGAATTAATGAAAGCTGCGGCTCTGAAAGCAAGGACAATCTGGCGCATAGCATTAAGTGAGTTTTGTTCATTCATGGCTGTCCTCCACCTCTCGACTGTATCTTTGCTCAAAGGCGTTGGCTCATTGGACTTCTTGATTTTCTTATTCTGCTCATCCCCCTCTTCATCCTCGCTTAACTCAAGCAATTTGCCATCGTTTTCAAAATCTAGGAGCTCCGAGTCGTTTTGCTTCAAGAACTCATAGAACTCAGGATCTTTCTCTGCCAGCGCCTCAAGATCTTGCTTATGGGAGTCTAGCGCTGCGTTCGAGGCGTCCGAAGCACTCGACTGTTCGTTTCCAGACCCATCATTATCTTGATGCATCTCTGTTCCGTCCATCCCACGTTTTCTTTTCCCAGTCGCTAATCGTGTGGATCTTGCCTTACCCTTCTTCGTTTCAGGAACTTCAAATCCGCCTTGAAAGAATTCATCCACACTCATTTTGCTCAGGTCTTTTGCAACGCCATTGGCCCCCTCCTTAATTTCATGCAGTTCCCCCACGTTGCCAAGTCGTTTTCCATTCTCAATCGCATGCCTCGCCTTTTTTTTGGCCTTGAGCTGTTGTCGTTGCTTGGTTTTGGCAAATTCTTTGCGATTGTCGAGTGTATCTTTCAGATGATTCTTTTGAAATTTCTTTGTGGCCTTCTTCGCACCGCCAGCCATTTCAGAAAAGGTGAGCTTGACGGATTACAAGTGATTGTCAAGAAATGCCAGAGATTTGAGGAACACAACCGGTTTTGGTGGTTCCAGTGGGCGGAAATTTTGCGGAGCTTGCCATCAGCCCTAAGATGCTTGGCACTCAACCTTTCTGGAAATCGAGCTGCAGCTTCAACATCTCGCCCTTAATATAAGGGGAGAGCCATTGTGCTTGATCAGCGCTCGAAACTTTCTACTCACGGGTGAGTCTACTCGTACCTATTCCTGTGCACATTGAGCGGCTTCAGTATGATGAATAGCAATCACAAGAACCGTTGCGAATGACGCTTGCTTCTGCCCGCGTATGATCGAATATGCCTTTTGTCTGATCACTACAATCGCCTACGCTCGCCCTTTAGAGTGGAACTCCATCGAAAGAAGCTAATGTGTTCATAGAAAATGAGCGCACTCCTTCCCTTCTTACGGCCTTCAGCCGCCAGAGGACGTATGTCGTCCATTGCCAGGCCTTCCCACCTCCAATTCTACAATTGTTTCCAAAACGCAGCGTTAGCAGACAAAAATCATAAAAAGCATGAACCAAGGTCTCAAAAAGCAGCCAAATCAGCTGAGACGGCTCCGCAAAGTCCGATTTCAAATCCAAGAATTCGAGTGGGAAACAATAAAGAAGGCACATATAACGTACTCTGGCCTAGGATGCCAAAGCAGGAAAATGCCGTAGATATTAAACAATTTCGTCTCCTCAACTCAGACATTAGACGAGGTGATACAATAAAGGATGAAGAGGTAACCGTTCGAGGTACTGTGCCTGTGATGCCACAGCAGCCCATTCTGACAAATGCAAGGAAGAATCTGGTCAATACGGACTGCTGGATCCAAGCTTGCCTTTTTAGAGCTTGCTCAAGAAAGATTTAAACTGCAATGCGTCGTCAATTTCCAAAACATGGCAGACGACTCGATAAAGGGATCAACATTCAAATCGCTCCTGGGGGACCTTAACAGAGGAGACATCATAAGTAATAGTGAAATCTCCACTTCCTAAAAGCACCGCTCATACTCCTTAGGCGTCACAGGACAACCTCACCGAACAAAGTCCGCTGAGCTCTCAATCCTCGCCACCGAAATGCCGGCGCTACTTGCGCGATGTCAGCGATCTCTTCCTGAGAAGATAACTGATCAAGAGACAAAGATTCGCAGCCGAAGCGTAAATCTCTTGCTGAATCGACGAGCCTCCGATATTCTGTGCTTGCGATCTGAACTTTTGAGATTTTTGAGGCAATATTTTCTCGCTGAAGGATTTGTCGACGTGCAAACTCCCATTCTTGCAAACAGTGCTAGTGGTGCGATTGCAAGACCCTTCAAAACTTATGCTGCAGGATTCAGAGATAGCAAAGTAGAATTGCGTATAGCACCGGAGTTGTGGCTAAAAAAAATGATCGTTGGAGGATTCGACAAGGTCTTTGAGATTGGACCCTGTTTTCGGAACGAAGGTGAGCGCGTACCCTTTAGCTAAACAGTTTCTCTGATCGCGATAGGTATCGACTTGAATCATAACCCGGAATTCTGGACGTGCGAGTTCTACAAAACATATGCCGATTTAGATGAGTTGATATGGATGACAGAACATATGCTCTACCTATTCTCAGGGATAGCTCGGGACCTCGAAGCCACAGAGTTGAGTGCTCTTGAGTGGGGCTTGAGACAATTCCAGACACCATTTCGTCAGCTGGACTTTATACCTGTTGTTGAAGCTACTCTAGGCAGCAAGATGCCTGATTTGTCATTACCAGGCGCTACTGCTCAGGTTACTCAGCTCCTTGTTGAACATGGAATACCGATTCCTACAAGGCCAAACTTACCGCGTCTACTCGATCAGCTCTCTTCTCGTGTCTTAGAACCTCAATGCGAAGCTCCCACGTGGATTATCAATTATCCAGAGTGCATGTCTCCACTCTCTAAATCCTTCACCCATCCTCAAAATGGCCAAGTCGTGGCTGCCAGAGGAGAGCTCTTCATTAAAACGCAAGAGCTTGTCAACACCTACGAAGAAGAGAACTCGCCCATTGAACAACGTCGCAAATTTGAGAGCCAATTGGCTTTCAATGACCCAGAGGATCCACGCCGCGACGTCGATGAGGACTACATCCGAACCCTTGCGTGGGGAATGCCACCCACAGGCGGATGGGGCTGCGGTATAGACCGCTTGGTCATGCTTTTTGCGGGCACAAATCGGATTGCTGACACGCTTTCTTTTGGCACGCTGAAGAACGTTATCGCGAAGCCACAGAGCGACACGAAAGTCCTTCCTCATCAACAAGACTTGATTCTTCCTGATAAGGGTGCACAGTCAAAGGGCCATGATAAACCTGTTTCTCAATCCCTCCTGAGCAGGGTGCAAAGTTAGAGGGCTTTGTGTAACTTCGTTTTCTGGTGTCGCATTAGAAAAGTCCCTCCCAAGCTTTGATAAGAGCGACCGATGACAAATCAGTATTCCAGCATCCCCTACGCCATAATGGCTTTGCGGCCCTCTGGCTTAAACAATACTTCGTGGTGTAAGGCGCCCTTGATCACGACTCGGCTCGCTGTCAGTCCAGTTGCCTTGCAAACACTCTCCAGCGTCTGACCATGAGACGGAGGAACTAGCTCATCATTCTCAGCTGACACAATCAAGACTTGGGTGCTCTTGCCCTTGACAGTCATCTCCTGTAAAGCTCGGCAACTGTCCCAGTGGTTCCAAAGGAAAGGATACAAGTATCGATAAGGCAGCCATTTTTGCGGGTATAGCGTAGCCAGCATATCTCGGACGGACGTGAACGGTGTCTCAAGAATCAACTTGTCAATTGATGGTCTGTGTTGGCTCTCCGCTGCCGCAGATGTCGCTACCCCAGCACCAATACTCTGTCCCCAGAGTGTCAAAGAAGCGCCCGGATGATGTTCCGCCGCCCATTCTATAGCGGCGGCAGCATCGAGTTTGATGCCCTTTTCCGACGGCCGCCCCTCGGATTTCCAGAAACCACGATAGGAGAGCGCGACAAGCGTGTGTTTGACCTCACCTCTCTGCCTTTCATGCAATAGCCTCAAAACCTGCGAGATGGCAGGAAGCCGTGGTGGAATGGACCCACCGTTTCTATGGCTTGTAAATACTCTACTCCCTCGTACATAGACCTTAAGAAAACTCACCCTTGAAAATAAACAATAACCCTTTCCTCCCTCTCCTTCTCACCCTCCCCCTTTCCTGCCCATTCTCTTCGCCCGTTCTATCCCCTACCTCCCCCACCACCAACGCAACTTCCACCCCATCCCTCGCCCGAACCCGTTCCTCCCTCCACTCCACCCCTCCAATTACCACCCTCCCCCTCCCCTCTCCCTTGCCACTCCCATCTCCTTCCACCTCCACCCTCGCGCCATAATCCTCAATCCGCTCCCGCCGGCTGAACGGCGGCATATTAGGCATATAAATGATATGATTCTGAAACACGATCATCATCAAACATTTGTACGCCCAGAGGCTTAGGAGGAGGGATGTGAAGATCAGGGGGCGGAGATTAGGGGGGATACTGTGCTGAGAGGGGTTAGAGAGAAGGAGCGGGTGTGTGTGAAGGGCTGGTAGGGCTTGTGGGGATGGGTTTCTTTTTGCCATGGGGTCAGACTCTGCTGAGGTTTCGTACTATTGTGGCGGGTTGAGGTTGAGGGTTGATTTTTTGATGCCCGACAAAGGATTGGGATGGGGCTGGAGAAGTGGTGGCGTTCAACCCGGCACCGGTAGCGCAGAACGAATCTAGAGCTTTGTTGGAGCGTGTAGCGAGACATTGGTCATTGTTGCAGTCCTAGGCTTTGTCGACTGAAGAGTTGGTTGGATAATCCGGCAGGTGAGGAGCGGAAGTAAGCCTTGGAAAGTGCTATTATGGCATGGATATTCTTTGAAGCCATCTAGTACTTTCAGAGTCTGTGTCTTGCAGGATTTTGAATGCTACGTCTTACATTTCTGAGATTTGATTAGAAACTTTAGGGGCCTGTTTGGAAGAATAGGACATGAAAACGAAGGCGAGAGATCAGGTCAGCATCTCAGTGCCGGGCATTCAAAGTGCACTCCCAGCGGTTCTACACCTGCCAGTGGGTGGTTAATAGGGGCATCAAATAATTATATACAGTTAAGTTGAAGATCATGTCGTTCAAGTACCTCCTTTCTTGAGAATATGGTTGATCTTCCCTGGCAGCGTAACCCTCGTCACCCCATCCGGCCACTGGAAATTCTTCTTCTCCATCTCTTCCTCACAGCGATGCCAGAAAGTCTTGAAGTCGAACAAGCCTGCTGCATTCGCCCAGTCCACCATGTCGCCATCTCCGTTTCCTTAGACGCGCGATTAGCTATCACCTCGAACGCCACAAGGGGTTGGGTAAGACTCACCACATAGACAGGGCGGAAATTCATAAGTCTGCTCCCGCATGCTTTTGTCGTCGGCGTAATTCCAATTCCAAGCAGCTCCCCAAGTTCCCATATCGCAGACAGGTAGGGTCCAAGAGCCAGGATATCGACACGCCATCTCGGTGATTGCTGTATCACCTGGCGGACCGTCATAGGCCTCGCTCAGGAACAACGATGAACCTTCTGGGCCTGGGAAGTTGTAAGGGTCGAGACCGTGCGCCTTTGCCAGCCGGTAGCTCTTGGCTGAGGATTCCGTAATCCACTTGGGTATATTAGCAATGACAACTGTATGTGGGAATTGGTCCACTCACCCTCATATCTATGTCGTGCTTGGACGCGAGATACTCTTCTGCCCCCCAAGGGAAGTTGACCCCACCTAGCTCGTCAGAGTTCACAGTGGCTGCCTGAATGAAATTGTAGGTGTAGTAAACGCCTCCACCTGCGCAGTACTTGAGAGGTTGCGGGCCACTCGTATCGGCCTGACATTTGGTACCTGCAGCATCGTCCCCGAGATCGAGGAAATTGACCCACATCTTATTACTTGGAGCCGTCTTCCACATCGCATTGAGCGAGCGACAAAGTAGTTCCTTGTGCATAAGCTTGCTCATGTCGCTGACCTTTGTTAGAGCTTGATCGCCTATCCAGCCGCCCCCTTTCATCATGCTTTCAAGGCTGAACGATACGTCGCCCTCGCCAATAGTTTCGCCATTGAATATCTTGACAGCTCCATCGTCCAAGCGCTGCACTAAGTCATCATAGAAGCCGCCAATCACAGTGGCGAAATTTTTCTGCGCGATATCAGGGTCCGACTGTGAGGAGACAGAACTACTGATGAAGCTACCCGCTGCAGAAGCTATAGTTCCGGCTGCGGCCAGAAGTTCACCGCCAGGGACGAAGCCTCCAACAATACCAAAGATAGTGCTCATACCTGTGATGGCGTTTTGAAGTTTGAACCCCTGATCCGGACTGGGAAAGAAATCACCAATCGTAAAGGTATCAAGAGCCAAACGATTGAGGGCGTCTTTTAATTCACCGTACTGGTTAAAGAGCTGTTGACTTATCTTCTCTAAAGCGAACAGAGCGTAAAATCCCCATTGTGACTTAGCAACGGCCGTGGGAGTGGTCCCTAGTGCGATCATGGCACGCGAGCCGATTTGGTTGCAATCAATTTGGTCGGTACATGGAGATTCGATGTTGCATTCTAAGTCGGGGGAACCCTGGAGTTGCGAGCCCAAGGCCTTTGATAGTGTTTGCTTCGACAGGTCGGCGCCTGGCCACCAGATACCCTCAGTGTCAATGCCGCCTTTCAAGAAGGTTTGCAGATTGTCATCAACGTGGTAGTCAAGCCACTTTTGGGGTACTAGACTGTATTGATCACTAGTGCAAGCATAGCTCTGCCTCAAATCCTTCTGAGCGTTGTAGAGTTGTAGTGGACAGTTTAGTCCTTGTGCAGTGTATTGGGTGGCAGTAAGGGTTTGACTGACGCAACTGCCAAATCCAAGGTTTTGGTCCGATGGCGTAAAGAATTCCTTGAAGAGACATTGGTAAATTACCTGGCAAGCGGCTGGATCGGAGCACTTTTGGTCTGGGAAGGTGCACTGGTGAGGCTCTTGGAGGTAGGGCATCCTCGTAATTACGTCGGCTGAGCCAAGCCATGGACGAAGTGTGGAAATCATCTGGGGAGTTTTGTTGTTGTCGGGCAGAGGTCCCTTCGGGAAAGTCCATGACAGAAGCACATCGAATGTATCGAAGGGAATTGGTTTCTCGAGCGGCTTTACCTGTGAGCCTTGGTTGACCGGATACCGCCCTGAAACATTCCAGATTACATCCCATGAAAGATCGGTCGTAGGAAGGTCTGGGACTGGTGAAGTGATGATGAGTCTTGAAAATAGCAGGCTGATTGCCCAAGTGGTAGTCGCACGCATATTGAGCTAGTGAGGGAAAGGTCCTTTGCTGTAGATTGGTGGTTCGATATCTCTCGTACACGTTCTTTTCGACCAAGAAATAGAGATCAAAACAGATCAAGGACAGTAATGATTGGCTTGACAACATGCAAATAAGTCGCCGATGAGTTGTTAAAGAAAGACACCGCTAGCTGGTCCCTGAGCTCCGGTTCCTATAAGGATCGTGGAACGTCGAAGATGCTCGTATGCCACGGGAAACATGGGATGGTAGCCTTCTTATGCTTCTGACGCTGGTATAGCGTCGCGAAGAAGACTCTCATACCCGTACTGAAGCCTATGGCCTCGGTCATTCCACTTCTTGGCTGGTGATGCGAAGAGGTGGTCAAAGTCCGAGACATCTTGGCAATGAAAGTATATCCAATGTTTTTGGTCAGGTTTGTCGTACCAAGTCGTGAAGAAGGGGCATAGGACCAGGCACTTCGGGGCTGTGTGGCTGGATAGCGGCTTTGATGTTGGTAAAGACGGGAAGTAGGAAACACATAAGTGGTCTTCCATTGGCGTGCCGTTTATCATGTGTGTGGCAGCTGGGGCATGCTGGCAGTGGGAGATTTGAGTACCATACATTGGAGTACTGTGTGACCCGCATTTCCCCAGAGCGGACCTTACTTCGCCTCCCAATCGGATATTTGAGATATCAAGAGCGTTAGCAAGGCAATGTGTCAAGAACTCGACTGGCTATGTTTCAGACTCATGGATCCATTTAACCTTATCTTGGGACAGGGCGCCCGAGCCGTTTCTTAGCAAAGTGCACCTTTTGGCTATTAATATCCGAGTTGGTGCCAGAGTGTGTCAGAAAGGCGGATCGCCCCGCGACATTGGATTCATGACGAGGGAAGATGTTGTAGCTTTCTCGACGAGAACGATGCGCTTCAATCAAGATTATGGGTCTTGTAGATTAGGGTGGAAGACACCTAATGTTAAGGAGAACTCTGAATATGCGCATAGAATGACGCTTTGTTGTAAAGCTTCGAACGATAAGCCCTTTGTAACAGAAGGATAGAAGGGGCTTGAGGGGTATGAAGCAGTACATGCAGCGCACGACTGATTCCTGTAAACTTACCATTACAGGTCGTACTTCTAGTACATCGAGTCGTGAATCTGGTCGTGGTTCCAAGGTCAGATGTAATCTCCGTGCAAGAAGGAGATACAGTCCTATTAGTGCAATCTGAGTTCTGAGTGGTCAAGTCAGGTCGGAGAGATGTGCCGTCGTTACCACCTTCCCAATCATCATCGCGATCTACAAGACAGGGAAGACATAGACCAGTAGAGCCGCCAAGGTTGATATCTGGACGACCGCATCTAAACACAGATCCGGGCTCGTCAGGATCAATAGTTCCTACCTTGGAGTCGCAAGCCTAGAAAAAGTCCGGGAAGTGGCCCATATACGGCACATCCAGCTGGCAATCTAACAATGTTCAAATAGAGCCCAAAACTGATTGTGTGGTACTCTTGGTCGTGCCTGTCGCAGTCTCAACGATGGGTGTAGGTTTTGTAATTTCCGACCCGACCCGAGTCATCGTAAGAGTGTTTACCGCTCTTATGAAAGGCTTGACATTACTATTGACAGCTCATCGCAGTCCTCATGTTGTTGTACCCTCACAGCAGCATCTGCTTAGAATTTCTCGTGCACCTGTCATTAAGACAATTCTGAAGGCCATGCTGAGGTACTTAAAGTCCTCCAGACAGACTCACACTCATGATTATCCTGTTGAAAGATATTCAGTCAATGAGAGAGTGTGTTATCAACTAAAGGCATTGAGTTTTATCAATATTATGGCAAAATTGCCGGATGTGGTTCAGCCGAGGTATAGCCGATGGACAACTGTCTTGGCACCCTGTAAGGCTGAGGTTAGGCTCGCTTATCAAGCCCGCACCTCAAACCTGAACCCAGGCCGACGACCGACCCCAAGACCATCACTGTCGTGTCGAGAATTGATATAAGCAAAGGTAATTGCATTGGCACTCTCGTACTTGGGAATGACTAACATTTGTAGATGGGTAAGCCGATTTTCCTATGCCGTGTCCTCATGATGGGGAAACGTTTCACTCTCCTATCTCCTCAATTAGAGGATTCGTCTCTGAAGGCATTCGTGTTATCTCTACGATGCCTAACATGTGGAAGAGAGAAAATGCAATATACCTGGAGCGGGAGCGAGAGAAGACCGCGATTTGCGATGAAATCGTTGCGTTAGAGACAGGAGCAGAGTCATTGGTCCTTTTCAGGAGCATAGCTGACAGCGCTTTATCTAGGGCGCCTCAATGAGTACCAGATCATTGGCCGCCATCTGCCTACCGAGACCAATCCCACTCCTAAGCTCTACCGCATGCGCATCTTCGCTCCCAACACAGTTGTTGCCAAGTCAAGATTCTGGTATTTCTTGATGAAATTGAAAAAGGTCAAAAAGGCGAATGGCGAGGTCGTAAGCGTCAATCAGGTACGGAAAGAAAGTTCTAGATTTCGCTGGCCGATATTGACGGGATCAGATACACGAGAAACGACCTACCAAAGTGAAGAATTTCGGCATATGGATTCGCTACGATTCTCGCTCGGGTACGCACAACATGTACAAAGAATATCGAGAGATGTCGCGAGCAGAAGCTGTGGATGCTTTATACCAGGATATGGCAGCAAGGCATAGAGCGAGATTCAGGTCGATTCATGTATGAGGTATCCTCCGTTGATAGCAATATCGCTTACTCGCACAGATCTTGAGGGTTGTTGAAGTTGAAAAGACGGATGACGTGAAGCGTCCATACCTCAAGCAATTACTCACCAAGAACCTGAAATTCCCGTTGCCTCACCGAGTGCCCGCCAAGACGAAAGGGAAGACATTCGCCCCTCACCGACCTTCGACATTTGCATAATCTAGGAGGTGATAGAGGTGTGGACAGACTTATTAGGTCATAAGAAGTACTTGACTGGAACGAAGCGATTTTCAGAGTCATTCAAATGGGATGATACAATAAATCTTGCTCATTCGACCGTGCTCTCTGTGCTTTTATCGATTTTTTCCACGAGACTGTAAACTTCCCAAACGATACCGTTCCAGCTAATGATCTCGCGGATATATTCGTTGCTTAAGCGCCTTCGTGAGATGGTGTCCTGTCTGGGCTGGACGGGAGTACATTAAATGCTAGCGCGTCTTGGCGCAAAACCCCTGCTCCTGCCGAAGTTCGTGGTGTCCTTTTCAATGTTTCGTTTCTCACCACACCTACTTTCTCAACGTGGTTCTTCCTTCGTGATCAGGCAGCAGAATTCAATCGCACACTAGCTGCCTCTACATCCCTACATAATAATCATCATGGTTGGATTCCCTCACCTCGTCACTTTCACAGTCCCTAGAGCTTGCTGCAAGGCTCCTGCTTCCCCCATCATTTGCCATTGAAAGATTCAATCAGACTCTCCATACTAAAACGTGAACCTATAGTCTTCACCCCGCCCCTCCTCCCCCACATCACCATCAAACACAGGCTCCGTGACCTCTGGCCGGCAACTTTCACCTCCAGGTGGTCCCAAGACAGCGATACGGCGGAAAGCAGCAGCAGATCGAGCAGACAAAGTAGCAAATGCGCGACCCACAAGCACGAGAGCTGCAGGCGCGGGCGGAAGTTCAAGTACAATGTTGAGTATGCTACCCCACACTCTCATGGAAGTCGGTCTGCAAGGGTGGGAAAGATGACAAGACAAGTTAAGGGTGCAAAAGGCAGAGGCGAGCAAAGGGAAGTAGAAAGAGAGAGGAAGAGGCTGTCAGAAGGGATAATGAGGTTGGCTGAAGAGACGCTGATCAATTATTGCCCAACAGGATTGTACACAGATGAGTCGCCAGGCTTGAAAGTCGATCCGGTCGTGGTGTTCGTCTTGAGCTTAGGATTCATTTTCAGCGTGGTCGCGCTGCACAGTACGTTCCCTAGCTAAAAGGGAGATTCGATGTGCTGACGGAGAAACAGTCATTGCTAAGATTTCGAGGAAATTCTCATAATGATACAGGGCGTGTTCGAGAAGTGTGAACTGGGTTTCAAAAGCAATATGTGTGTGATATCAGGATTTGTTCATGCCAGGGGAAGCCACAGTATGATCTGAGGCATTTGGAGGTGGCTACGGGCGCTCGCATAGCGGGGGTAAATAGATACCCATGTACTATTAGTGCGGCTTGATATATCTCAAATCATACATACCGCAACTACTATCTGCCTCGATCGATCGTCACTTCAAGGGCATTCTGACGATAATGCGCGCTGACAAAAGCATTTTCGATTTTGGCATTTCCGTTTCGGGAAATTCAATATTTATTCCGCCTCTGACCGTCCAGCTACAACTTCCGTATCTATTGCCTTGATCTGCCCTGCATTCCGATATTTCCTGCGTAAGCCATGGCAGATGCTTCGCAACAGGACAAAGACAATGGAGAAGCACTCCCAAAGGATTCGCATCCCGCAGTCAACGGGTCAGGACCCCGAGACAGCAAAGGATGGGACGGAAAGCTACGAGTCGAGAAGCAAGCTGTGCTAGCAAATCCCGAAGCTCTTTCAGATCCAGACTACTCGGGCGAGGACGCTCCGCCGGTGGAACAGATAGATGCAGACGAAGGTGGGTCTTTTCCAAGGGGGAATGCTCTTGGGGCACTGAGCGCTGAGGTCGAACAGACTTACTGGAGGATTACGAGGATGATGCCGACGTACAGATCACTTTTGAGCTCACATGTTACAAGGAAGCTGATGATGATTCTCTAGGAGATTGACCTCGTCCATTGCCGCATATCCTCCATTCCTGCATTACGATTAGACCGCTTCAGCAAAGTTGAAGTACGCTAGAAGCCTCCAAAAGTGGTACACCTTGGCTGAAGATTGCACATAGAGACTATGCCTCCGACAAAACCAGATCTCGCACATTGAGTATCCCTCCAACATAGGACCAACGTTAAAAGAGCTCGACCTCTACGATAATTTAATATCTCACATCAAGGGTCTAGAAGAGCTGTCACATCTTACGAGCCTGGACTTGAGCTTCAACAAGATCAAGCATATCAAGGGCGTCAATCATCTGAGAGATGTCAAGGACCTCTACTTGCTTCAGAACCGAATCTCGAAGATTGAGGGATTGGATGGCATGACCGTTGTGAGAAATCTGGAGCTAGGTGCGAATAGGATAAAGGTGGGTCGTGAGACGATTCCACAGGACCTCGTTGACCAGGAAACAGGAGATAGAAAATTTGGAGAGCCTTGCAGCGCTTGAAGAGCTTTGGCTAGGAAAGAATAAGATTACAGAGATCAAGGTTTGTCCGGTCCATCTTGACAGAGAATGCGTCTAAGTTTCGAAGAATATATCGCATCTGCAGAACCTCAAGATCCTCTCAATACAGTCCAACCGCTTGCGACATATATCAGGACTCTCCGACCTTTCAAATCTTGAGGAGCTCTACATCTCACATAATGCTCTCACGGAAGTATCTGGACTAGACCAAAATCAAAACCTGCGCGTGATTGACATATCAAACAATCAGATCGCACACCTGTCGGGCATGAAACAGCTCTCGAAGTTGGAGGAACTATGGGCATCATCGAATCTCCTCGCTTCATTTGAGGAGGTTGAGGATGAGTTGAAGGACAAGAAAGAGTTGAACACAGTGTACTTCGAAATGAATCCTTTGCAATTGAAAAACCCAGCGTTATATCGGAACAAGGTCAGGCTTGCTCTACCGCAATTGGAGAAGATAGATGCCAGTAAGTTTTTCTGTTCGGGAGACAGCTCGAGAATGGGTCCAAGTCAGGAAGCATACTAACGCAAGGCAGCGTATGTACGATAATGACTCGAATGTATGGTTATCGAAATGGAGCGAACACCTTTCTTCCCACTATTCCCTTGCAAATGCGGGCCATATCTGTGAACATACAATTGCGACGGTGTCGACCTGGATGAGTTTGTTGCAGTGCGAGCCTCTGAGCCGGAATCAGGAGCCGACCATTTGCCGCGTTCCAGCCTTTCCTGTTCCTGAATGATGCACGTCATGGTGTTTGCGGGGCAGCATTCGGGCAAAAAAATGTTTTAAATGCGGGGTTGGTACCAGTCTTTTTTCGTCACCTCAAATCCCCAGTCCATGAACATTACCAGACCTTTCACTCGGTAGGCAATCATACGCAATTACTGGAGTGCAAGCAATGACTGAATACTGGCTCTAGTCTATCTCCGCCTGCGAGTAAGCCAATCATCACTTTTACCTTTCGTTATACAACGCGCCCGTCAAGGTCTTACTCCAGTATGACTTCGCCCACTGTGAAGCTTAACAGTGGCCATGACATGCCTCTTGTAGGCTTTGGGTATGTAGTCAATCGTTGTTCTACCTCAAACCTCGTATCGAATCTGACTCGCCAGCCTCTGGAAAGTCAACAATGACACCTGCGCCGACCAAGTCTACAACGCAATCAAGGTAGGCTACCGTCTCTTAGACGGCGCATGTGGTACGTGCGACCCTCACTCCCACCTCACCTTACCCTACCATTCCTCAACCCTCACTCAGATCCTACCATCTAGACTACGGCAACGAGACCGAGTGCGGCCAAGGCGTCGCTCGCGCCATCAAAGACGGCCTCGTCAAACGTAGCGACCTCTTCATCGTCTCCAAGCTTTGGAACTCCTTCCACGACGGCCCGCGCGTCGAGCCCATCTGCAAAAAGCAGCTGAAGGACTGGCAAATCGACTACTTCGACCTTTACATCATGCACTTTCCCATCTCGCTCAAATACGTCGACCCAGCCGAGCGCTACCCGCCCGGCTTTACGGACGGGAATGGAAAAGTCAACATTGGAAAAGCGACGATTCAGGAGACATGGACGGCCCTGGAGGGGTGTGTGGATAAGGGTTTGAGTAAAAGTATTGGAATCAGTAATTGTCGTGGGCAGCTTATCATGGTACTCCTTTCCCCTGCCCCCTTCCCCTCCTGCTCATTTCTCCCCCCTGCCCTATTCACCTGCGAGCCCCCCTTTCCTAGCCCGTTATCCCGTTTACTTACTTAACTAGGACATTCTCCGCTACGCCCGCATCCCGCCCGCAACCCTCCAAATTGAGCACCATCCATACCTCGCCCAGCCCGGCCTCGTTAAATACGCGCAAGCCCAAGGCATGGCAATAACAGCTTACTCGTCCTTCGGCCCGCAATCCTTCCTCGAGCTCGACATGAAGGAAGCGAAAGATTGCCCGCCATTGCTCGAGCACCCCGTCATCAAGAAGATCGCGGAGAAGGTGGGGAAGAGCCCGGCGCAGGTGCTATTAAGGTGGGCCACGCAGAGGGGCGTTGCGGTCATTCCGAAGAGTAATAATGAGGGGAGGTTGAAGGGAAATTTGGATGTTGCCGGGGGGTGGGAGCTGGAGAAGGGGGATGTTGAGGAGGTTGGGGGGTTGGATAAGGGGTTGAGGTTTAATGATCCTGTTAATGTGAGTGACGCTTTTTGTGGGTTGGGGAGGGGTGCGCGTGCTGACAGGGTGGCAGTATGGGCTTGACTTGCCGATCTATGTCTAAGGCCAATGAATGGCGACAAGGAGAGGAGGGTATAGGAGGTCGATTGACGGCCTTGAGCGCGCTTTAGATTTCAATAACTTATGGAGAGAGGGAGAGCCGGAACCTGTCTCTCAAGGGAAGGATGAGATCGCCTGACGCATCAGAGACATGAGACGAGCAGAGTATATCTGATGTAAAGCTCTGAAGCGGGCGAGATCCTAGGCGAGATAGCAGATATATTAGACGATCATTTGTCTCGGCAAAGCATACTTCCATTATTTCATACTACAGAAAGTCGTGCTACAGGCTAGAATGCACTTATTTTTGGCTCTAGCTGACTTCCATCCATCATTTCACTCATCTCGCTAATTCTTGTGTATGAGAGCTAGAAAGCGACAGGCTTTGTTCACAAATTCAATGAGATGATGTCCAGATGAAAGATCTTTGGCGTTCCACCTCCCAGTTCATCAAGACAGCCATATCAACCCACCATTCCCTGCCTATTTGATGTCAAAGACATGGTAAAATGCTAGCAAGCGGATGCTTCTCTAAACATGTCTCCTTGGGCGTAAATATGGCAGTCCGTAAGATAGCTTCCCCCTAATGATGCTCGTACATCCCTTCTCGTCCTCGTCGTCTGCATCAGATCCCTCACATCTGGCTCTGTCGGCTTAAAGCCTGATCTTTAGCCAGCGCATCAAGCTCAGGCTGACACGGCCGAACGGCCAGCCCTTCATGGCGAATAGGATCTTGGCCCTCATCACGTTCAAGGCTGAAGCGGTGCAAGGCAGTCGCTTTATCAATAATCTCGAATGATTTGATGGTGTAGAGACCATCGTATCTCAGCCCCTTCTTCGGACGGTAGGTAGTATTCTTGCCTTTAGCTGACCTAAGAACTCGGAGGGATTGGTGTTCCTTGTGGGCCGTGAGCATGAGCTTGGTGCTGGATGATGGTTCTGGAGGGTTGCTGCTGACGGTGCCGCAGTATTGAATGTGGTCGCCGTCATCGATGTCTGCGTAACCGGCACCGGATATCACGATGGAAAGGGCGCCTGTCTTGTTGAGGCCGTGGATACCGGCTTCGATTTCTCCGTGAGCTCCGTCGCGGCCGGCGCAGATCATTAAGGGCCACCATTGGCCGACGTGGAGGTCGCCTTGACCGACGTAGTTGCACGATACGCGGTGTTGAAATTCAGTATCGATGGTGTATGTGGTATGATTTGCGTCTTTTTGAGTCTTTGATGTGGCTCGTTTGATGCCGCGCATGAGGTCAGGATCTGTATCTCCTTTCCACCACCGTTTCTGCAAATATTCTGCGGCCTGGCGGATATCGATTGGCAGCGTACTATGATTCATAATGTTGTGAAGGGAGCCATCTACCAGTAATCTGCTTTTCTTGATGACCCCTTTCTCTTTTCCCTGAAGATTGAAAAGCGCCATCTTTTGCAAGTAGCTGCGGAGAATATTCTCGGGTCCATTTTGTGGCACGGGAGAATCAGTATAGTTATTGAACAGTGTGTTGACTCTTCGTAAAGTCACGCTCTCACTTCTGTACGCGTTCTGAGGAGCAACAACGGTCGGATACCAGGCTGGTATGATGACCGAAGCTGGCGCCTCATCTTGCAGTATTGTAGATTCGGTAGCCGCAGGTCTAGTCTTTGGAGCAGTGAGAGAAGCACCTGTTTTTACTGCTGTCCGTTCTGCTTGCTGCTCAGGGACTTTCCACTTTTTCTTTGCTGGCGCAAGGGCGAATACAGCGGATAATTTCGGCTTTTTAGTCGTCGCTCCCAAGTCACGATTCGTATCTGCTGTTTATTAGAAATGCTCACCATCACCATTGACTTACTTACCAGGACTTTGGGTATTATCAGTACTCTTATTCTTGACTTTCTTGACTTGATGTCCCTCTGATTCTGTGGATCTTGCACGCTTTTTTGTCTTCGCAATGACGCGAGAGATTCTCCGTGACGATTCTCGATGCTCGGGACTTGGCTCGTCTCGTGTAAGCACAGGAATCCTATCTTCATCGTGTTGGACGGCGTGTTCGCTGTATTCGGAGCCGAACAATTGCGACGAAGTATCCGTACGATAATCGACTGGAGTATTTACCTCATTTGTCAGCGATTGAACAGTGCTCTTGTCCGAGGCTGGGACAATTGGTGATGAAGACAATTGAGGCGGACTACTATCGCCTCCATCCAAATCTACAATTACAGGGTTGGTAGCCGGCCGTAGCCCTCTTGAGAGGCGACGGCGGACTGGGGGAGCCGCATCAGGAATATCAGGAGCATCATCCTGTGCTTCGTCATCAGAAATAGGAGATGGCGGCAGCCCTTTTGAGAGACGGCGGCGCACTCGAGGGGCTGCATCGACAGTATGACGCTTTGTTTCTTCATCGAGGACGGCAACCGCTCGCTTAGGGGTCACACGCTCTGTATCGTCGGTAGATTCTGTCTTCAGCGCAGGGTCTGCTTTTGGCGATATGAGCTCTTCCAATCCTACTGTAGTGGAAGAAGAACCTTTAACGTTAGGAGAGCCATTTGAAGATAGACAACTCATGCTCAACTTACGGATGCTGGAATAATCCTCAGGTACTGCGGAGTCTTCTGGCTCTTCACCCCTCTTTTTGCCACGATTGGCCCAGTACTGGGCCTGCTTAGCCCAATGATCGACTTCACAAGCCAACTCCTGAGCTCTCTTGGACCATTTTTCGGCTTCTCTGAAAAGCGATTGGTTGTGCTCACGAAGTAGCTGGACCTCTGCCAAGTTTGCTTCTCCCTTAGAGGTATCTGCGTAGCCTGACTCAGGGGCTTCAGAAGATGCTGCCATTAAATGAAGGCGTGAATGTCTTACCTCGATGTGAATGAGGGACAAACTTGTCCATATTGACTCAGAAAGAGTGGCTTGCTAAGATTTGCGGTCAATGAATGTGTCGGTCTTAGGTGAAATCTCTGTCACTTCTACCACTACATCAACTAGCCTTCTTTGCGATAGCCTTCAAAGGTAGAGCGGCTAGTGCTTTTGATGCTATGAATTTCTTGACTGGACTTGAGATGAGATAACGAACAATTTGATTGGGAGAAAAGCCGGAGGAAGAGAAAGCAGGAAGAGCAGGAGATTGCAAATTGCACGACACCAAATGAGGGGCTAATTTGGAGACTCTGCACAGCGCTTGCGTCATTCGCCACTATGCAGCACGATCCTGAACTTCGTACATCAGAAACATGCTCGTATCTCAACAAATAGCAAATGCGACCATTCAAAGGAGCAACCAGGTAGTAGAGTTAGATAAGTTTGCATCTACAATTCGTCCTGATTTAGAATGACTTAGACGACATTTGAATCGCCTGCCGACATAGCAAGCCTTTCGGCACACTGGAAGGGTGCGTTTTCTCACGAGTAAGAATGCTCTGATTATACAACTATAGTAGACGCATTTGAGAACGAAAGGCGCAGGACGCGCCAGATATCGAACACCAGCAGCGACGCTAAGCCTCCTTTGGCTGCCTCCAGATGCCTTATCTAAGGTACAACCTACAATTCTCCGCAGCCAGCATCACCTAGATTAAGGACTCAGGTGCAACAAGGCTTCGAGCCCCAGATCGAACCGTGAACAAGGCATCGCTAGAAAGACTCAGTACGGTTTCGTGTCAGACGCTATTCTTCAAGGATTCAATGAGGCACGCTTGCGCCAAGCCCTCAACCGAACATCGAGTGAAGCTATCGCAACTTCAGTCTTATTGTTGATACTTTCGATGCGCTTCTTAGCATCTTCCTCTATTTTTTCAATCCTCTCAACTGCCTTTCGCTCGACACTTCCCGTTGCCTGGAAGCCATCAAACCCTGTTTGCTCACGCTTTGCTTCAAGTTCTTTGATTTTCGCCTCAGCTTTTGCGGCCCATGAGCCCCGTGCCGAAGCTTGAGTGACTTTGGCGCGAGAGGAAGCTGCTTGAAGAGGGAGCGTTGAGGATGTAGATGACGCGTGACTAGGCCAAATAGGAGAGGCCACAACTGAAAACGGGCCGCTTGGTATCCTAGTCATTGGAAAGCATCCTTCCTCTACTGTAGCTACTACGAATATCAGCCTGTATTATTGGTGCCATCAGAATGAACAACCAACTTGGCGATTGCTCTTTCGCGAGTTGCGCCTTAGCAATGCCAAATAATCCGTTCATCCGATGCTCGGGGTGTTTCTTTTTGAACTTCTCGAGCCGTTTGATGTATGATTCGGCAGTTTTCCTGGCCTTTCGCCGCTGGCTTTTAAGAGTTTTGAGGTTGGCGAGTAGTCGCTTGTGCTGGGTTTTATCTCCGTCGTTCTTTGCTTTATCGGCTGCCTGACTCAAACGACGAATCTCTGAGTTACGGTCCATAGTATACTTGTCGCGATGTCGAGTGTTGTTGGCTTTCCAGAAGGATGCAAGAGAGATCAACAGCACGAAGAAAATATGAATACCAGTTTAGATCCCCTTCAAAGTAAGGAGATAATTTGAACTTGTAAATGCAGTCACTGCGGACATTCAGCGCTGACACGCTACGGTAAATACAGATGCTCGAAATAATTTCACTCAGACCGTTGCGTCGATGTCAGATGTATGCTAGAGAAGGTGGAAGACGGCGAAGGGGATCTTGGAAAAGGAAGTCGCAGAAGTCTTGGCAGCGACAACACCTGGTCAACAACGACCCTGGTAATTACAACGCCGCATATCACGGTCCCAGATACGTCCTCTCTTGGTGGCAAAAGACAGCTCTGATTCCTCGGGGCTCGACCAACTAGCCATGGTCTTTCAAAGATGAAGAACCCCGACTCCGTTTGAAGGTCCACCCCCATTGAGCCCTTTGAGAAGGCCGTCAAGAAAAGCATGCTGCACAACAGGCAGGACGAGTAGGTAGAGCCCTTCTTTGTGGCTCTGCTGAATCAATCTTCGCGTACGTGGTGCCTCTGCCGAACCCGCCGTGTTGAGGTGAGGATGCGAACCACATTCTTCTTCAATGCTTTTCGCTTGGTTTGCCTCCTCACAGCAACACACGGGCCGGAAAAGTACCGTGAGCAGGTCTCAGAGACCTCGTTTCAGACCCCAACATCCCCTGATTCCTTCATATGTCTTGGTCGGCTCGATGAGGAGGTAGGAGCAGAGGGTATTGTATGAGTTCAAGGCAGGTGGCTTACTCCCGAGTGTTCCTAGGAAGACATCAGTATGCTTCACTTCGAGGCAAGACTCAAGCTATTGGGCACACCTCGTTGGGTCTTGATGGAGCCTCCATGTGGAGGCTAGAGTTGAGGTGCGCATTTCACGAAGAGTCATGTCTGGAGATGTCATTGTGCTCTATGCTTCGTTGTGACAATCTGTGAAGCTTTTGAGATCATGATGTATGCTAGGCGCGAAGAATGATATTGCTGAACACGATCGTTTGTCAAAAATTGTGATGCAAATGGCACTTCAATACCCCCTGTGGTCTTGGCGTCGTTGACGGCGGGATCTAGGATATTATTTTTAGTTCCTAATATTCAGCCAACCTCTACTTTTTGCTTTCATTTCCTTTCCTTCCCTTCTAATCATCGTTTTTCCACAAAACTCCTCTCTACATGCGCATGCCATTACTTTCTTCCCTTTACCATCACCATCTTCCTGAAATTTAGGTCGCTCAAGGGATCCGAATGTTTGTTGCCGATTCTTTGATTGACCGTCAATGTCGAGGCTGCATTTCCGAAGAAGCAGGACAGGATTCGGGAAAGTCAGTGCTGTATTAGTGACAGGCGAACAGGATAGAGTGTCTACGGTCCATCTCACCACCGACGATGACTCGATGTGCAGACTGTCGAGGGATAAAATTGGTATTAAATTATGATTACCTGGTGGAGCGAAGGGGGTGTAATCCCAGAATCACACCACTAATCATTACGGAACGAATATTCAAGCCACGATGACTTCACCAACCCAGTCGTTCATTTCCACCATCACTTTTGTCCCGTCGACCCTCTTCCTTCTGACGCAACCATAAGCGATCCAAATCACTCTTCCTCCTCCCAATATCTCACCATCATAGCGGGCCGAGTTGATAGTACGCAGCTTTCGAGGGATCACCACCAGCTGGCTGGGCGTTGGCTGGCTGGCCGGTGGCTGGTTGGCCGGTGGCTGGCTGGGCGTTGGCTGGCTGGCTGGTGGCTGGTTGGCCGTTGCCCTGTTGAGTCGGATCGCCACCACTGGCATCGCCAGTTTCTGCTTTGTTCTGGGTGGGTTTGACGGCCTTAAAACTTTTGAGTTGCCCGGCTGGCTGAGGTTGCTGGGAAATTTGTGGGGCGGGCTGACCAGTAGCTGCTGGTTGCTGCACGTCTTTAGGTTGCGCGGTGTTATCACCACTACCACCGCACTCAGGTGGTAGAGGTTGGCCATTCGTCTTGATGTGGGCGCACATCTCCCCAACCGTTTTGCAGCCTCTGAAAGGACCGCCTCCATATCCGCAGACGTCGCTGCCGTAGATGTCTGTGCCACCTTGATTACTTGGTTGAGTAACCGGTTGAGCACTGGGTTGACTAGTTGCTGGCTGAGCACCTGGCTGGCCACTGGGTTGACTATTTGCTGGCTGAGCACCTGGCTGGCCACTGGGTTGACTAGTTGCTGGCTGACTACCTGGCTGACCGTTCACACCAGTACCTTGTATGGCATTGACAGCATTACTATAGTCAGTGCCCTGTTGTGCCGTACCACTGGATCCACCGCGCTGGGTACGATCCCAGTCAGCACCCTGAGCCGTCTGCTGTTGGTGTTGACATTGCGTCGCCAGCGTATCGTCGTTGTTCAAGGCATCACATCCTGCCTGGTTGAAGTCACCACAGAGCCTGCTGTCAATACCACAGCAACTGCCAGCAATGTTGGCCCCTGGAGAATAATCATCAGTCCGGCGATTTGCATTCGACAATGGCTGGGGAGTACATACAGTTGTTTTTGTACGTTCCACAATTTGCCGACGGGCCAGTCTTGCCATCGCCCGCTTTGTAAGAGTTACCGGTGCCATCACAGCCGCTGTTTCACCAGTTAGTCTTTCTTCTGCGACCGGCAAAAAGATGGTCCTTACACCTCCAGCTGCTGGATAGACAGATCTGTATTTGTCGGTCAACATGCAAAGCTCCAATAGTTGAGCGGGTAGCTTTGATCTGGCTCATACCTTCAGGAGTCGCGCCGTCACTCTGGAGCGCAGCTTTTCGCGCTCCGCCATCCGGACATGTATAAGTACCGCTTTGTTGTGGGTTACGCTTTGACATTATGGCAAATGACGTTGGCAAAGCATGAGTAACACATGCTTGCAACGCGAGGATTGCAAACAGGTAATGCATGGTGATTCTCAACCTTGTGGAGTACCTTGGAGGAGAGGAAAGCTTGGCAAGCTTCTTGAGGCTGGCTTCGGAAAAGTGAAGTGTCTATCAAAGACTTACTCGGGCCAGCCGTGGTGCACAAAGGACGTACAAGGGCCTGTCTTTATACAGACAGCGCATGGGATTTCATCATCTACTGTCTCGGTAGGTGGGGGTAGAGGATCCCCGTTCTACCCCTCAGTGTATCGTTTCCAGGGGCACCTTGAAAACTTTTGTGATGAGATGGCATTCGAGCATGGCAAGGAAGGAATGCGGGCCAATTGAAAATCTCCGCTCCCAGATCCATAGCTTGTGTAGGGATGGTTCCCGTTTGACATGAGCGGGATGGTCCAGAGGTAGCCACTATCAAGGTTTCCCGCGTGTATCCGAGACAAAAAGCACGGAAGCCAGTGCCTGCAGGTCACCATTAGGCCGATACTACCCTAGTGACCAGCTCGCACTGATGTCAGCAGGAAAGACCGAGGTGAACCACTTTGGTTTCCCTTATTGGTTTGAAACGTGGAGGATGGTAACATATCCGAACTGGTTTGATGTGACAGCACGGTCCATGGCTCTTGTGGGGCGAGCAGACTTGCATCAGACGCGCAAGCAGGCGGATCGAAGCTCCTCTACCACCTCTGTGAGGGCAGGCAAGTAAGATGCCAGGCTGCTCTGTACATTGTTTAGTCAAAGGTATTGCGTCAAGGTCTACTGAATATCGTCATGCTAGCTCAAACGGTCGACTGGCAAGTTTGCTGGAATAGGTTGACGTTCGAGACCTGTAGGCCCAAAAGTGGTCGTCGTTGACTCGAAACTGATTCTAGCCGCATCTGTAAGCGGCACAAACGGGCCAATGCGGTCAGCGCTTGCGCTTGAACGCTTTGATTGAAGCTCGTTTCAGCAGAGCCTTCGCTCAGCAGGGATTCATCTCTGCCCTTTTTTTTCAAAGATTGTGCTTATTTATGGACGCAGCCAGAGTCGCTTCTGTGTGGTCGCGTCTCTTGCGAGAGGGATTTCATTGAGACGATTCAAGAAAAATAACCAAGAACGGAAGAAAAAGCTCACTTGGCATGCGGGTTCATAAGGTGGGGTGGTGTAAAGGTAGACGGCAAGCAAGCCTGTTTCATATATTGGCTCTCGCATGCGGCTGATACGAGCTCTCTCTTATTGGGTCGAGATCAATGCTCTTTCACGTCATGGCAGTCTAAGAAAGCGGCCGCGAAGAAGGATGGCTTCCCCACAGAAATCCGGCCCTAGAGGCTTGCTCGTTAAGCAAGGTAGAAGTTACTTAGCCTGGCTCATCCACGAAGCCCCTTGACTCACGGACAGACTCCCACGCGGTTCATAGACATCAATCAAGTCTCTGTGAGTAAGAACAGAATTTAAGCAAACTTCCTCAACCAGGACCTCCCTTTCACCGACCTGCCGTCTTGGCATCAAACCCCCTCTCGCATTCCTCCCCCATCAAAAGACTGAGCTTTTACTTGAAGGATTCACAAACACCGAGTAATACCCAATTGAGATCCTGCAAAGAAGATTGTGGCTTGTCCAGCGTTTCACTGGATCAGATCCCGTCTCTTTTGGCGGAAGGAGCCCCGCTATATGGAAGCAACGTCTGAAACCTCAAAGGTTGCAAAATATCACTCTTCTAGCCAGCTTCGTCCGTGGTGTCATGGGCGGGGTCATGCGCCCTCCCGATGTGGTCGCTTCTGTGCACACTCACACTCACACCACACCACTTCAGAGAATTCAGAGGATCTAGAACCAGTCCCAGCCTTGATCAGAGCTTCAGTGTCTCCTTCTAGGGCGTTTCGCATGGCCATCTCTCTACGTCAGCGCTCGCATAGTGAGATACCTTCCGTCTTCAGCGGTGTGTATTGGGAACTCCTGATTGTCGCATCGTTCGAACGACGTCAAACCCGATCGCAGTGGCGTCATTGATCGACTCTTATGGACCGAAGCCTTGGTCGTCTGAGGGCCAGATATTGAACTATGTAGCAATGGCGTGCAAGAACAGTACTTCGTTTAGAAAACGTCGTGATGTCTACCTTGCATTTCTTCTCTCGTCGTCGGACTGTGAGAAATACTATATAACAGAGGGGATTTCGGTGGCTCCAAATGGGACCCCGCTTTGAGACCCGGCTTGGTAGTCAAGCTGAGCTGTTACAGCTTCTCGTATTCAGAACGAATGCTTTGAGCTAACATCTTGAGCCGTGATTGTTGAGGCTTTAAATGAAGTTGAAACGAGTACGATGTCATGTTCCCCACTTAATCCTCATAGCTCTGCCGCGAGTCTAAGGAGCTTCCGAGAAATGACACCACGACATTCAATTAAGTTGATAGCTGGGCTTCATCTTACGTGTAAGTGTATTCTGTAGCTATTGAGTGACACCCGCGTCCAATTTTGATTGCACTGGCCGCTGGACATTAGTAAAGGATTCAGACTGGATGCACTCTCTCGAAAGATAGAAGCTACTTGACTCCATCACTTCTTGAAAGTCACTTGTTTAGGGAAGGCCTTTCATCCGTGCTCTCTAGGTGCCCTCAGGCTCCTGATAAAGCCCTCGTGTAAACGGTAGCTGTGAAGCTCGGTCTCATTCCACGAGAGCGGGAGGCCGAGGTCTCGGATATTCAGCCAGAACACCCTCTGCATATACGTGAAGCCTCTGACGGTAGTAGCACTTCGTATTTCGGGCGTAGTTGGCAGTCCGACTTTACTCGACCAGTCTAGTGAATCTATTCCCTCACCAAAGTACACGAAGGACATCAAGCTCGCCTAAGGAGCTGGAAGCATTCTATGTGGTTTCATCTAACGAGTTGTGCACCAACGAGACACGCCCTCGTTCCCTTCGTTGATTTCTGCTCGCAATCATGCGTCTCATATCACGAGCAAAAATAATCTCAAAACTTCCTGCAGTATCTACCACGACAAGAGATTTACTTTCACTCAATAATTGATCTACCGACATCACAGCACCATGTCGTGTAGCGTTCCTGTCTCAATTCACACGAAATATCATCTGGCCGGAAACATGGTTCTATCCGAAGGGCATCGTGTGCGAGCGGCTACATTACCTTTTCGCAATATTTCGGCTTATGCTTTGATAAATATTCGGAGAAGGGCAAAGTATGGAGCTGCACTTTGACAGCTGAAAAGAAAAGATTGATGCAATTTCAGTGAAAAGGTTGTTCAGGAATGATGAATCCTGGAGCCGCTTCAATCTCGACATGCTGTGCTCATTGGCCAACGGTTTTTATTTCATTATTTGATACTTCGCGATATTATCAAATAATACCTTTCATTGGGCAAAAAATAATTCAGATGTATCCAACGTTAGGACCACCGGCCCCCAGACAGGTATGAACGACGCTTCCCTTGTTAGATTACTTCTTTGCATTCGCACCAGGGCCCATTAAGACATCTTTTGCCACATTCATAGCCAGGCCACCCATTGCACCCTGGAAGCCTAAAGCATTCGTTAGTTCTAGATTCTTCACATGTGATTCTGGCCAGGGAAAGAATCATCTCTCCATGCCATATACATACTCTGAGGCTTAGCTTGAGCGCCTGTGGCAGCCCTGGCTGGAGGAGCGGCTGCGCTCTTTGAGGCTGGAACCGCATTGACCGGACCACCACCTTGGGCTAGAGCTCATCAGTTCAGTTCAGTTCTTAGGGTAGTGAGAATTTGCGGAGAGACTTACGGAGGGCCGGTTTCGCCGTGGCAGCAGCTCCACTGCCAGGTTTCCCTATTGACACTGTCCTTTTCCAATAGTTCGCAGTGGACCAGACATCATCTGCACTTGGTTCGTCTGGATTTGGCTGTGCACTAGTAGTCTTGGTGGCTGGTGGTTTTGACGGCGCGTTAGCTGGGGCTGTCGGTACTGGTGCTTTTGCTGGCGTCGACATGCTGTAGAGCCTTTGGAAGAAAGTGTTGTATAGGGACTACAGTCTGCAAGAAGGTTTTATTTTATGTCGTTTCTAAAACTGGGTACACGTTCACTCAAGGCCTGACTAGACCATGTGGACCTCTGCCGAATGCTGACAGAGCTGTAAGCGAAGGGCCAAATTTGGTTGCGCCACTCAGCTGACTAAAGCACCTAACAAACCACCAATGGAACTATATAGCGAATTGATGGCCGACTCGGCCCATGCAACAAGGTAGCATTCGGAGTCTTGCTCAAGGCGCAAAATCCAACAAAACGCCACCGCCGGCCACTCAAGTGACTAAGGTCATTCCAACCAAATAGATAAGGAGGCAGCTTCTCGGGATTCCCCAATTCTAAGGTAGTCGAAGCATCTCCTATCCTACACTGTGGTACTGACTTACTCCTCCACCTTCAGCAATGGCCAACATCCAGGCCCGAGCGTACGCCTCACTGACGCAGGCACAACTCCAGCCAGCCACTTTTGAAAGAGCGTACCAGCTCTCAATTTTGGAACTCATCCGGCGTGAACTGCATACAATGCTCTCAGCCAACGATATCGACACTCTGGAGCAGCATCTCATCGACCCACTCGTAAATTTCTACACCAATCCAGCGAACGACCAAGGTCATCTACACCTCGCCGCCAATCAAGCCGTGACAGTGTTTCAATGGCCTGTACTAGGAAATCAAAGCAAACGGAGCTACCCCATGTTCAACGTCTATGATCGTGAGCTATCCCAAATCAGGAACAGAATTCTCATAACTCACAAAAGCCACCAGTCCTCGCCGTCGCCCACACCATCTTCACGAAAAGGTACGGATTTCTCCCCATAAGCGCCGGCACCCGTGCAAACAAACCAATCGACAAACCCATCCCCTTCGCTCAAATCCCCAAAGCCGGCAAAGAAGACTTCTCCCCCATCAACATCGTTCAAATCCTCGAATCCCTCCGCAACTGCTGCAACGCCTTCTCCTATCCCCGAAACGGCGGTAAGCCCCGCACTCAAAGCATGCCCGCTATGGCCGGCTATTCCATGCCGACACGCTCGTCCGCCGCGCGGCCCATGTTCCCCTCCTTCGGCGTTGTCACCGCCGGGACACCTCAGCAGAAGGCAGAAATCATCACCGCGCGACTCGCCCGCTTCAGTCAAGCTGTCAGAGATATTGCGGCAAACCCTGGCGGGGCGGCGCAAGCAGCGGCGGTTGCGAATTGGGTATGTGGGAACTGCGCGGAGCAGGCGTACTGGCCGATTCCGGGGGACGAGTTGACGGATTATGAGGGGATCACGATTATTATTAGAAATTTTGGCGGCGTGGATAAGATTGCTCCGGGAAGGTCAGCGCAGAATTGTGAGAATTGTAAGTTGTTGAGTCAGCAGTTGGTGAGGGAGGGGTTTATTATGAAGGATATTGCGGCTTTCGGAAGGCCGTAGTCGGCTTAGGAGGTTGGAGAGTAGGGTGTGAGGATGGTAATGGACAGAATGCTGTGATGAGATGAAAGTAGGGAAACCGCTAAGAGGATAAGGGGCTGGTTAGGAGTTGTGGGCTGAGGTAAGGGTGCGTGAAGGGAGGAAAGTGTGGTCTGAATACAAATGAAAAACGGATTTGGTCTATATATTCGACATTGACATGCAACAACGCTCTGTTGCCTGGAGTATCAACCTCTTGAATTGACACAAAGCTCGAATGCGTTGAATTTAAAATCGCCTTACTATGAAGATGCTGTGAAAGTCTGTTCCCCTGAATCTTCGAATTTAAGCCACTAGCCCGAAGAAGTCTAGTGGGTTGGTGACTAGAAAAAGCTGATCGGAGTCATTGTCAGCTTTGATCACTTCCTTGATATCGATGATTTACCATTTCAAATTATTGTGAATACATGTTAAATGAGTCTCACTCCTTGGTCAATTGATGTTCTGTACTTGAAGCCTGATGTGACAGCCATAATTTACGACGGGTGTCAGAAGATCGATGGCTTCCTACACAAGCATTCTTATCTGAGTGATTGACTCACTCGGTCAACAAAAGGATATTGCATTATCTCCATTGACAACGCACGCTTCGCATATACTACGGTCGCGATATCGCACTATTCAAGTTATCGAGTAGCGTTTCACCTGACTCCACCATGCGGCTCCTAAACACCTCGACGCTTCAATTCAAAGAATTCTTCGACGCCGACATACCCGAGTATGTCATACTGTCCCACCGTTGGGGATACGAAAAGGTCTCCTTCAAGCTGATGCGCAAAGGCGCTGCCCCACCAAACTCAGGCTTGGAAAAAATTGAAAGATTCTGCCAAGAAGCAAAGGTCATTGGGTTGAAATGGGGTTGGGTCGACACCTGCTGTATTGACCAACGCAGTAGTGCAGAACTCTCTGAAGCTATCAATTCCATGTTCAAATGGTATGCGAATGCAAAGGTGTGTTTGGTTCATCTGAGTGATGTCCAAATCACGCCCAAGGAATTTGCGTGTAGATCTGTCAACAGTTATGGCATCTTCTGGGACGACTGTGAGTCGCTATGGAGGCAAGTTCGCGCAAGCTCTTGGTTTGAGAGGGGTTAGACTCTTCAGGAATTACTCGCACCGAATGTCGTCCATTTTTATGACGCCAATTGGACAGGGATTGGAGCGAGGTACGAGTTGAGGAGCATTGTGGCGGAAGCAACGACAATTGACGTCAACTATCTTTCGCATGTAAATGTGTTGAACGCGAGCGTTGCAAAGAAAATGAGCTATGCCTCGCGCCGTAAAACAAGTCGTGAAGAAGACATCGCCTATTGTCTACTTGGACTTTTCAATGTCAAAATGCCCTTATTGTACGGAGAAGGTGCCGAAAGGGCTTTCAAGCGATTGCAAATTGAGATCATGAAGGAGTCACAAGATGAATCGCTTTTTGCGTGGACCTCTGATCAGCCTGCATCTGGCATGCTAGCGGACGACATAGCATATTTCCAAGGATCGGGCAGAATCGTGGAATATCGCGAAGTAGACAGTGTTGAGCCCGAGGGTCCGTTTGACACCTCAAAATCGCCGTTCGCTATGACTTCGAGAGGGTTAGAATTTCCAATTCCGGAATACCTTTCGAAAGAGAATGGCTTGATTTCCATTCCGTTGAAGTGCAGCGTTGGCCCTCCAGAAATGCAGGAGCGTGTTTGGATCGAACTTTGCAAACACGGTGACTCCGCTGTTCGCAGTCAATGTGGGTCCTTGAAAGTTGAACTCTACAGCCACAGTAAGGATTCCAGTGGTCCAGTTGCGCAAGCCCCTATGCAGATCCTCTATGTCAAACGACCAACTGAGGTCGACATTGAATACGTCCGTCTACACCACAGGGTCAAAGACGACTCTTCATTTGCCCCTGATCTAATGAAAACAGCAAAGAAAAAAATTGCTTATAGGCGTCAGGAAGAACTAGAAGGAATCACAGAGAAGCGTTGGTGGCGTTATTACTGACAACGAGGGATGCTCATACTTTGACTTAGCACTATGTACGCAACTACGGAGTGAAGCACTCAACTACCATAATTCCCACTCGGATTATTCCCAACATTCACTCCCGTCAACCCACTCTGCACGACAGCCCCAGGCGGCGCATAACCACCTGCACTCGTCACCGCAGCAGCGACATCCTTCCAAAAACTACACCGCCCCTTCCCCGTCTCATCATCCTGAATGACCGAAAAGCCAAGATCGCCCGCATTCAGCACCCCTTTCACCTGATCTCCACTATTGTCCGGTTTCGGCCAGGTGATCGCAGGCGGAAGATTGATTGTCTTCTTGTACGTGTTCGGATCTCCCGAGCGCGCATGGGACGTTAAATAGCTTTGATAAGCTTGTGCAAAAGATCCGAAGCCTGGAATCAGAGGGAATGAGACTGCCGAGCCAAAGACTGAGAGGTCTAGATTGAGGTTGTAGAATGTGGGCAGTAAGTCAGTGGCATGGAGACCGGGCGTGACGGAGTATTGGAGGTTGTAGTTCTTGCCGCTGTAGGCATCCGTGAGGTAACGGGTGTTGCAATAGAAGCTTGAGTCGCCGATGTATGCCTTGAGGCGATCGCGCTCGGTGGCGTAAGGAGAGCCTGGGTTGTTCATGACACGTGGGTAGTGGGTTTCTATTGCTGCAATCACGCCGGCTTCTTGAGCGTGGGCGGGATAGGTGAAGTTGAGGAGGTACGAGAAATCAGCATCCGTAATGGCGTTGGTGGGTATGAATAGGTCGGGTTCATTTGAGACATGGGAGAGAATGATGGAATCGATAGGGTGGAAATTGCCTGAAGCAAGTTCAAGACTGGCCAATTGGCGGACCCAAGCCCCGTCGGCGGCTATACCGACAGCGAATGTACCGCTTGGTCCTCCCTCGTTCAGCTTCACGTTCGCATTGTCGAGGGCATCGGCACTGGCTGCACGCAAGCAAGCGACACCCTGTCCAGCGCAGCCTGCAAGAGCGGTGAAGTTGTTGAAAGTGTCCTGAAGCTGGCCCTTGCGATCGAACTCCAGCGCAAAAGCTGGGCTTAGCAACACAGCCTTGGAAAACAAAGGGTCTTGTTTGCCTCCGAATGCTGTCAAGTGGTGCAAAATCGACCCGGCGCCGGCAGACTCGCCCCAAGCAGAGACCTTCGTCTTGTCGCCGCCCACAAGGCCGATGTAATCTTGAATCCATTGGAGAGCGGCACGCTGATCATACAGGCCAGCATTAGGCAATCCTTCCTTTTCCATCGTTGAACCAGCGAGAAATCCGTAAGCGCCAAGCTAAGGAACTTGTCAACTAGACTCTTGAAAAAGCTCGGTGGACTCACCCTATAATTACTGGAGACGAAGATCACATTACCACCTGATTGCTGCAGCAATCCGACACCGTCGTACAATGGCAAAACATCTCCGAATTGATCTTTTGCCCCAAATATATAGGCCCCGCCATAAAACCAGGATATCACGGGCAACTTCAGTGACGGATCTCGAATGGCTTTGCCGGGCACACGTATGTCGAGGAACAAACAATCTGATCTACGTCAGAGAGAGGGCACCTATTGATGGAAGTCATACGTACCCTCATTCGCAGCCTTGAAACTTGGTATAGGAATACCGCCCAAAAATTGATTCAGCGCTTGACCGATTGGCGAGCTGGCTCCGGGGCCGGTCAACTGAGGTCCCTTAATGGGCGCCTGTTTGCATATCGGGCCATAAGACCCATCTTGTACTCCTGTCTCTTGTGCTGGAGGGGCAGGCTTAGCCCAGCGTAGTGGTCCAACTGGTGGTGCGGCGAAACGGATATTTTTGAAGGTATATATCTGAAGAATGTCAGCCTTAATGTTCGAGGAATACAGAACGCTTCATGGGATCTTACATCACCGTTTGGGTTGTAGCTGGAAGCTCTATACGTTCCATACGGAAGCGTCAAGAGCGGCAGATCAGCTCTTTTCTCGAACTTCACTTCAAGAGGCGCCGGTGCTGCATTGCTCAGAACGAGGTTCACGAACACCACGAATAGGCTGAAGAACATGCTGAATCTCGTATCTGGTGATCCTGCGACAAGTTTCTTCTGGAGAGCCCTCAAGCTGGGCCTCTAGAGGAGCCATACCGCTCATATGTCTCTTCCACAGCATCGAGATGCCTCGGTCATTCGACGCCACAAAGAGCGTCCTCAAAGACAGGAACAATGCACATTTCGAGGTGCGGAGAAAGTCACGCCTTGATTGGCCGGAGGACTCGTATGCGCTCGACGATCATAGGCGATGGAGGGTCAAATGTTTGACTTTGGCGAGGAGGGAGGGGGGGCCAACATTTAACCCGGATCGAAATTGTGCCGAGATGGTACTTGCTGGCCAAAGTCAATACTGCCAAAGGAATGCTTGGAGAACAGACAGCATGCCATGATTCCGCCTCCAGACCTCCCACTCACACTTCAGCCTGTTCATGGCTGTCGCGACGGTTGAAGGAATAGCTCGGGCGAAAATCCATCCAATCGACGACCCCACCCCCCTAGAGCCTACCTATCAAATATCTCCTCGGTACTTACATGCCCGCATCCGGACACTTACTACCAATCCGCTGTCTCGGTAAACTCACGAGGGGCCGTTGTCACCCCAAAATAAGCTTCTCATTGACAGCATCTCCTAGATCGGACGACTGACTGGTCACGCGCGTCAGATCCCAGATGAACAATCTGAACAGCGGAACGGTAGCGACCTAAAGCGGTACCTCCGTCCGGTGCTAGCAGGGGCGGTGGGGGCGGCAGGCCCAAAATAGCGTACCCCGCATTCGCTGGGCTGCTGCTGGAAAGGGGGTGGCTGTGATATGGGCAGTTTAGTGGCTGGAGCGCTTGTTGTCTGAGTGGTGTGCCTCCAAGGGCGATCCATGGATTGAACTCAGGGTTGATTCGTAGGGAGGAATTTTCAATGTGACTTACTTATTGACGTGAGTATAGGAAGTATGCCAACGTCCCACCCTAGATGGCGGAAAACACATCATGTCGCGACATACGATGAAAACTTTGATTTCGAGCAAATATAAATCTGAACACACATAGTTTTACTGATGTGACATAGCGTTTAATGGCTACTTTGGAACATCGAGAATCTGTCCAACCAGTAAATCTCATTCGCATCATCGTCTGCTCAGCGGCTTTCTTCATGGTCTTCTTTCGTCGCGAGACAATTCTCATCCAGTGCAGCACCATTGTGAAGCCTTATCAACTCATCATTTTTTCACCATGTCATCCTCACGACTGATATTGAAGAGACCAGATCAGTGCGCTCTCGTCAGTCTTTACGCCTTTCCAGCGATTCTGTGGTGGACTTTGCGAAGCTCTCGGCAAATGTATGTTGGAACATCACCGGACGGAATGCTGGTTCATCTTCGCAAGGTTCAGGCCCAACGTCGACTTTGATGTCTAATTCTGGAGTGTATGGGAAGTTTCCTTCCTTCTTAGCGGAGCTATCAAAGGACTCATTTCCAACAGCACCCGAAGTCCAGGGCACGCCACGATAATGGCCGCTCATGGGACCGTCGGAAGCCCAAAAGGGATCATCAATTTCCCGCTCCGTCCCTTTCAAAGGACGTAATGTATTCTCATCGACCACATTTACCTCTGAAGAAGCACTTTGGTATACATTGGACATTACATACCCGTCTACCAAATCTGAATCCAATGTTCGTTCAAACGGTCGAGACGTTCGTGGCCGAGAGTCTCCAGCTTCTGGTGGTGGAGTTTGAAACCCGTCTACACCATATTTGTGTTCGTCCCAATGGATACAGCCGTCAGCATGTATACCAGCTTCTCTGCAATGTGTACAGGGTTTATGACCGTCACAATATTGTTTCTGGGCCGTGCATCGCTGACAACCCGAAGGCGCCTGAGTGGGAAGAGCATTCATCTTCGAGGAATCGTCAAAGAGGGGCTCCACCTGGCCGGCTTGTCCAATTTTACTCGAAGCTGTAAAAAATTCTGATATTTTAGGTAGAGGCTGTCCCTTTACTGGGGTCGGGTCGGAAGGGAGATGTGTAGTGAGAATGTCAGATTTTCCCACAGGTTCGCGAGCAGTTGAGAACTGCGAATTCATAGGTGCGCCGCCTTCTTCTTCTTCCAGAGACTTAGCCAGGCTTTCTGGCAAATTTTGATCTTCCGACAGAGGCAGCTTGTCGGGCTGGACCTGACGCGATTGTGGTAGCGCATGAAGTGGAGTTGGCGGGGTCTCAACCCAGAGTGTAGTGTTTCCTACCAAGCTCAGCACCGGAAATGCAATCTGTTCCATGTGCTTTGCCACATGTGTCGCCAACTTCTTCCAGGTATTCAAAATCTGTCCGCAGAATTTGCAAGGTTCTTCTGTGGGGCTAAGTGAATTCTCAAATCTGCATTTTTCAAGCAAATTCCAGACAGGGTTGTGATCAGTCACGCCTTTGCCTTTCCTGGGCATTCGTGGTTCAGGCAATTTGTGCTCTCGCACAAGATGCTGTAGAAAATTGTCTCTGCGATAGCACTTATGCAAGCAATCTTGTACATTGCACTGCCACCATTCCAGCTGACGATGTCTTTCATTCTCGTGCCGAGTCCAATCAGCCCTCCTCTTGAATGATTTGGGCTCATTACATGTCTCAAAAGTACAAGTGAAAGGTTGCAGATCTTCCTTAACATGAATTTTCCAGTCAGTCACCTTTGTGAATTTCCTCTTCTGAGAACAATACGGGCACCTAAACTCTCCAGGCAATTGACAACCTCCTGGCAATGATAGTGGATCTTGAGGATCTTTGAGTTCAAATGCTTCTCGATTATTGGACCAATTCCCTTTGTGCTGTCTCCTGAGATGGATCAATCTCCTGTAACGGCCTTTTTGCTCGTGCGCTATACGGTCAATGAGGAATGGAGGTAAAGTGAGATTCGACTCCTTCACGATATTTTGCAATGCATCTATATGAGGCTGATTGAGAGCAGACAGAAGAGCCTCAGCCTTATTTGGAGCGTTCAGTGGATCGATTACGTCTTCAAGGTCCGAACTAGACTCCTCAGCAGAGTCATTCCCTTCAGTCATACTTGCTGGAAGAGACACGAGAGCAATCTGCTCCAAATGCCGACTGATGTGAGTCACGAAAGAACGTCGATCTTTGAACCCACTTTGGTGACATAAGGTGCATTGTTCTTGCTTGATGTCGCGCTCAACAAGCGTTAACAGAGGATGCATAACGATCCATTCCCGAACGTCTTTGTTCAGGTCATAGTGTTTTGCTCGAACGTGCTCCTTGAAGCTATCGATCGTGTCGAAAGTTGGCTCGCACCTTCCACATCGGTAGATTTCACGATAGCGATGAGTCGTGAATTCATGCTCTTCCCACGACCTACGGGATGAAAAAGTATTAAGACCTTGCTTACAGTCGTTGAAAGTACACATGTATGACCGTAAGTCTTCGAACACATGTATCCTACAAAAGTTAGCGCTCATGTCAGAGTTAGGAGTCCGCAATGCTCACTTCCACTTGACTCTGGAGTCGATGTAGTCTATTTTACGATTGCACAGCTTGCAATGAAACGGAACCCCACTGAAAACTTCGTTGGGGGTTGGAGGCACTCGATGAACACCTTCCGTAGTTGACTTGGTCGACAAGAACGATGTGTGGGATGCGGCGGAAGCCGCATATCGAGACTGGGTGGCAAGGGAAGTACCCAATCCTGAATCATGAAACTTCGACGCAGGCACGAAGTTTGAAGGTTCATCCTCATCCGTGAAGGCCTCTCCATCCTCGTCCTCGGAACTAGCCTCGCCTAGGTTTCGTAACTTTTCATGTCGAGCGAGATTTCTCTGCAAGCGGCGAAACCTCTCCCACCCTGCCTCACCAAGACGCCTGGCTAACGAAGCATTGACAAGCGAAAATTTATCCACAACTTGGCTGATGAAAGCATCCGCTGCTGAAGGCGACTTGGTCGGCTGGATTCTAGACCTAGCCTTCTCTTGGCTCTCAAATACATGTTCGTCATCGCAAAAATGTTGGATAGTGGGCAACAGATCCATGAGACTAGTCACGTGGCCTTCGAGATGGCGGATGGCCTTACGGTGCTGATAGTCACCTTCGCGTTTAGCCTTGACGCCGAATGTCTGACAATTTGACTGGCCGTCATCTGAAGAGTCCTCATCTTCGCCCCCACTTGTTTCCTCGAATTCTTCTCCATTCGTTGCAATTTCTTTGTCTGGAGTGCAGGAGAAATCTAACGCTAGGGTTATTACTTTGTTCCTAGGGGTTTCAGAATCATTTACCGTAGTGAATAAGACGTCGGATCTTATTAAGTAATTGTATGACTTGTCGCTGCATCCCAGTACCCTCATCTACGTGCCGTTCGAAATGATTGAGGTCCAGACCTTGTGCCCACAAGTACAACATACTAAGCGACTCTTCCAAACAGGATCTTTCGTTCATCACTGGGCAAATGCAGCACTTCTTTGCCTGGTTGGCGGTGCAAAGTTCCCGAAAAATCTCATGGTAGAGATCGTGGATCGGCGGCTGCGCATAGGATTGCAAGTCTGATTGATATGGGTATACCTCAAGGTGCTCTTCTGCAGGTGTTGATGCTGGGCTGCTTTCGCCCGTCATGATTACTTAAGTTCTGGCCACTCACATGTAAGATGGAAACATTGCTTTTGAAATCTTCCACGTCGCATTCATGGTATACATTACAAAGCTAACAGCAATCGAAGGACACAGAACTCAAGCTGAAGTGCAGTGAGAGTGGAGATCCCACGAGGAGTCGGCATGCAGAAAATCTTGACTCCCGGGAGCTTTTTCAATAATGCTGTGCCTCGTACTTGCCTTCAACTTGATCGAGCTGGGCCGGGCGGAAGAAGAGGAGTATTGATTCAACAGCTTGGTACAGGCTGCCCCAGCTTCGGGCAGTCGGGGACCAGTCAACTTAAATCGCCTGTCAAGAAGCCTAGGAGGATGCCTAAGTAGACTTACTTGGCTTGCTGTGCTAGTGGGGATCTTCGGTCTAGGTGGCAACACAGCCCCTGTATTTCTCATCACCATACGTCCACCGTGTTTAAGGTCTCCAAGATAGCTGGAGCCAAGACTCAATAAATTCAGAGACAGTGTGCCGACTGCCTCCATAAGGCGACTATGAGGTCATATAAAGCTTTAATCTGTCATCTCTCTCCATGAGCTGGTGTGAGAGAAACCGAGATGAGATCGTTTGTCAAGCTTTGCCAAGGATTCCTTGGCTGAACGCCTCACGCTAATTCCTTTTAGGCAAGGTACTTGCAGAACACTGCCCCCTTCGACCTTGCTTTTTGCCATTGCTTGTCAATCCGCTAGCAACAATGAGGCGCCTGTGTGGAGGCGCTTCCGTGCAGTCGTTTTCTTGCGCTTTTGTCTCTTACTTCGATATACCATCTGGCTATTGCGATAGTCCTTCATCAGAGATGACCTTGGTTCACTACGCAAAAAAAGAGAGAGGAGCTACGAAGACTCGTCTTTCTGATCCTTAACACCTCTTCAAGATGTCTTTACAGGCATGAAGTCTCGAGAAGGGACCTTGCGCATCTCCTAAGTGTAGGGTTCGGCATGGAGATTGCGAGCCTGGCGTTGGGCGTGATGCCCTGCCTTGTAATGGCAATGGATACTTACTCAACTCTGCATCGGCTCCTCAAACGATACAGGAATTATCGAGATGGAGCTCACGACCTCTTGGAGTGTTTGGAGACGCAAGAAATCATCTTCAGTAACGAGACGGTGCTACTACTGACTCCCATCCTCGGTTCACGACAAGCACAAGAGATGATCCGGGATAGTGGTCACCCAGCTTGGAAGGATTCAGCGATCGATCTAGACCTTGTGCTTGGTGAAATGAGAGAGCCACTAACAAGTGCAGCGTCCCGAGTCTGTCGAAGGATGCGGGGCTTCCAGGAGGAATTGATGGGCTTGGACTCTGAGAAATCCCAACCATCGCCTGAAGATAAAACAGAACCTCGAAAGTCATTACGTCGACGTTTCAGGTATGCTTTCTCGGAGAAGAACTTATCGGATCTTGCAAATTCTATCCGAAAGGCGACCAAAGACTATCGTATCTTGCGAGCTCAATTTCAAGATCTGACGCACAGTAGACCAAACAAGAGGGTTGACAGCGAGAAACGATCAGCTGAGCAGTCAAAGCGGGTGGAGATGACACGAGCCGCCGCAAATCAAATGTACAAGGCTCTGTCTAAAGCCTGCACAATACACGTCCAGCATGAGGCGCACGTCAGCCTCAAACCCACGTACGGATCTTCCGAAAGAGCTCAAGATATAAAATTCAAGCTGGCTTTCCGGCAAACACAGCATACGAACACCAGTAGCTTAGATGAAACCTTGTGGTTCGTTGTTGAGACCCTATTCAGTAAACGCACGGAAGCACAGCTTGAGAACCAGCCACAAATGCTGTCCAAGCGTCCAGCATCTCCAGTACTGGGACTTCTACAGGCGACCACACACTTTTCTGCGAAGAGGGTAAGATTCAGTCAGTCAGATCCTGTCATCACTACGTCTTCTTCCAATATCGTACCAATCCCACTGTCTCCTCCGCATCTCCCTAACTTAACACTGAATCATAACTTTTGTACACACCTGAGAAGTAGTTGCGATCCCAAAACATGTCAAGACGGACTCTGCATCGGTCTGTTAGAAGACTCGGAAGAATGGAGACTTCCAGTCTACTCTACTAGAGGGCCTGCATCATGCCACAAACAAGGTCTCAACAAGCTATCAGCCATGCTCATCTCCAATGAGGGACAGTGTTCAAAGCTTGGTCGGATTCCGATCGTCCAGCGATTGCAGTACGCGAAACTTCTTTCTCAAGCGACCCTTAATTACTTTGCAACACCTTGGATGCAATCGCCATGGAGCAGTAAGGACATCATCGTCTATGACACAGCAACTTTCAGCGCAGTATCACCCGAACACATCCAAGAAGCCGAGCTATTTGTCAACTTTTTTGTGCGTGATCTAACATCCGACAACCCCGATCATTGCAGCAAATTCGACCCCCCTTTCATCCACAATGCCACCCTTTTCAACCTCGGTGTCGTACTCCTGGAACTCGCGCACGAATGTCCTATTCAAGAAATGGGCATCGAAAGCGACAACGTCCCCGGCTTACCTCCCGCCATGGCTGATTATTTTGCAGCCTTTCGGCAGACCAAGGAAGTGACCAGCTGCCTGGGACCTAAATTCTCAGACATCGTGCGTAAATGTCTTCATTGCGATTTTGGCCAGGGATGGGATTTGCAGAATCCGAGTCTGCAGGATGCGGTCCATCGAGAGGTTGTGTCGGAGCTTGATAGACTGGAGATGGGGCTTCGAGGGCTCGGTATTGGTTGAGTCTGAGGGCAAGCAAAGTTCTCTCTGCCTAGAGAAATGACCCCAGCCAATCTCGTGGTGAGCAAGCTGTAAGCTTGTATGCACGGATACAACCAAGGCACGCGCTGTCAGGGCGCAAATACTTTTGAAGGCTAAGGACTACTCTCTATCGCTAAAGTGCCAGTAGGAGAGGAGGACCACGGTATCATTAGAACTACCAGCCAAAGAATGGTTCCGATCGGCCATTTCTGAGCCTACTTCAGGCTCTTCAACGTCAGGTGTAGCAAGAGACGGAACCAGCCTTACAGAGAATGAGATCTCACTTGGCAGTCCTAAATGGAGACTCTAAAGCGAAAGCTATCTCCAGATCTGATGTCTTCTATCGTCGCCCTCCTGAAGGATTAGTGATGAGAGAATTTGCTTATCCACCTCTCTAAATCATCTGTCCATTTTCAATCTTTTATCTACATCACCCTCCCCCTTTCACCTTTCACCTTCCCCTTCCCTCCCCCACTCTCTCTAATAAAGCCCATCCCCACCCCCTCCACCATTCTAAAAGCATTGACCCTCCTCCCCCCGTTTCCCCCCTCATCCCCCCAAAATCTATACAACCCATTCCCCCACCCCAGCCTCCCCACGACCTGCCCCCCTCCCCTTGTTGCACCACAAAATGCATCGCCGTCGTCGCCCCCCGCCCCCTCACCCACCTCAGTCCTCCATCCCTCCCCCTCCGCCATCCTCATCAACGGCCTTAGAACCCTCAACAATTCCGCCTTCGAAATAAACGCGCCTTGTGGCTCAGGCCCATACTGCAAAATCTGTGTATTCGACTGGGCGTCTGGTAACGATTCGATCCCACTGAGGTCGATAGTATACTGCGCATAAGCCTTATTAGCATCCCCCGTATCAGCGACAAGCGCATCGATCGCCGTGGCGATGAGCGCGTACATGCTATTCTTCTCCACGCTGATGGTGGTGGTGTAGCTTGTGATCCAGAGGTCGTGGGTGGAGGGGATGAGATGCCCATCGCCATGGGGGCGAGAACGTTTTGCGATTGCGACGGGGGAGGCGGAGGCGGAGGCGGGAGGGAGGGAGGGGAGGGAGTCGGCGTATGTTGGGTTGTCGGGCGCTTGGGAGTTGGGGTTTGTGTTGAGAGGAGGGGTGGCGGAGGGGGAGATGTCGTTCGTGGAGAGGCAAGGGGTTATGAGGATGTCCGCGTAGGGGTCGTGGGAGGAGGAGAGGAGGGTGCCGACGAAGGTTGTGCCATTGGAGGGGTTGGCGAGGGATTGTTTTAGGAGGGTGGAGGCGATGTTGTGGTATTCTTGGAAACCGAAGCGAGGGCTTGTTGGGGAAGTTTTGTAGGCGATTGTCGACAGGGCGAGATTGTGGGAGCAGAATTGGTAGTAATTCTCATTCGTTTCATTTCCGGTGGCTCCGGCTGCTTGCTGCCCTTGTGCCCAGGTTTTGGCGTCTTGGAGGAGAGAGGTTAGGTCGGCGGGGTTGAGGATGTGGATTGGATATGTGAGGCCGCCGCTCGTGGTTTGAACGCAGCTGTCGGGGTCTGATGTGACCACGAGAGTGGTACCTTGGTTATCATTGAGAGCTCTTTTCGACCTTGGGCCTGCTGTAGGATTTGTCGGCAATGCAAGGTCGAGGAACGGCTCGGCTTGTTGCACTAATTGACATCTGTCGGAGCTTGTTTGGAATACGTTATCGAACGCTCCCAAATTATCTTCTGCTAATGTCTCGTTGGGTGTGCTCACAGTGTCTCGACGAGCTACAAGAGAACCAGAAGTTGGGGTAAGACCAGGTGCAGCGAAGGTCTTAGACAGGAAGATCAAAACCGTTACGAGATGATACCTGAGTGGCCGCATGTTCAGGTGCACTTTGCAGGAGCTATTGATCAACTCTATAGCTTGAGAAACCCGTTGAAAGTCGGTCTAGAGACTCTTGTAGTAAGGCAGCTCTTGTTTGCTCTGACGCGAGGGAGATAAACATAAGCATGAGTGCGCACGCGAGCGGAAATCACCAAGCAACAGCAGACTGAGATTATTTGAAGAAACCTTATGCTAGATGCCACGTTTCTGTGGGTATCTCCATCATCTCTCTCTCGTGGTTGGCGCAAATGGCTGTTTCAGGCGAAAGTTGTCTTGGGCGCGATGGCCAAAGTGGGACTCTTCCAGCAGACATGCGCGAAACAGATGTTTCCTTTTTATAGAAACCACAAGCGCTGCATATCATGTTTCCAATACAGTTGATTCCAGTAAGATGAAGCATTAACCGCGATCTGAGATACTAACTGTCTTACCTGAACGTTGATTCTGTTGCGAACACGTGGGGCTGCTTGTTGCAATAAGCCCAATCTGTAGAGTAAGATGGTGACCGTTCGTTTGCTTGACCACGTTGATAATGTCGAATGACGAGAGCTGATGATTGTCTCCATACAGTGGATGTCTCTTCGTTATTTGAAGATGGCTTTCAAGCAGTTGCGACTCCCGAGGGATCAGTTGCCTCCGCCGAGTCCGTTGCATTACCCCTGAGCAGTCAGGTTATCCTGAGCTGAAGTCTTTCTTCTTTTTTCACAAGCAAGGAAAGGAGCCAGGGTAGTCGGGTATAAGACAGCAATTCAGATGGACTTACGGTGATTGCTGATCCTTCAAACCAATGTATCCTAGCGTGTTTTGTGGGGTGTCAATTGTTACAAGCCAAAGGTTGAGATTTTTTGTTTTTGACCCAATATATTTATCAAAAGCTTTGAGTACGATCTCCGCAGTCTCATAGCTAAAAGTCTGTGTCTGTGTCTGGCGCCACATATCGAGCTTTGTGTAGCCAAAGTACCATTCTTGTGGAAAACGCGGGAAATCGTCATGAAAGTTGAACGGTTTTTGGCGCTCGCAATAGTCAATCGCTTGAGCAATGGCGCCTTTGACATCGGCCGGACGCACTCCGACTGGTTTGCCGGCTGTCGAGGAGAATGTGAGTTTAATAGGCGGATTCGTATTTGGAATATTGAGATCTGGATAGAGACTGTGATAGTATCTACATCAGTATGTCCTCGCCCGTACGGATGACGCGTGAACGTACGGTGGTGGGGCTGCAATACAAGTGAGGACATGGTTGAGAAGGACCAAGAGCAAAAGCTTAAGTCCCCAACTGTGATACATCTTGATACTCAGCTGTTGCTTTTCCACGGCTCAAGTCTGCTGAACGGGTAGACAAGCTATAGCTGCGAGTGACCTTGAATTTTGCCCGTAGAAAAACGGCAATGCTCTCATCTTTATATTCAGTTCGTCGTGTGACGTTAGCGGTTAGAAATGGGAATTGCGGGTCGCTTGATTGGCGATTTTGGTGGAGCACGCTCCAACATTCCCAGTGAAAACAGTCTAAGACCACCCTCAAGGCTCATAATGGTGTACATAGCGACGCATTTTGCTTCATGGAGAGCCTTGCGCAAAGCGCCTGGGTGAATCAATCACACGGGAATGTTTTACCTTCTGAGCCGTGGTGTTGGTACTTTCGTGCAAGTTTTATTAATGATCCGCGATTAGGTAAAGCTCAAAGATAGCAACTCTCTTGTATAAACTGCAAGCTGAAGGGTCTGAACCACTGGCTTAATTTGATTGAATATCCAGGCTCCACTTGATATAATTGTATGTCATAAGTGCAGATGGACCGGCCTACACTTTCTGGCGCATGAGGATGGGATCTTCGTCGAAGCGGAGAAAGGCGATAGTATGACAGAAGGGGAGTATTCATCATATCTGTCCATTAAGTGATATGGACATTTGTTGAGGATCTGTGCGGGGGCTGTGTAATTTGCTTCACATGCTTTTCAAGGTTTAGTCGAATTGTCTGGGTAAAGGAACCCTTCACGCCGCCAACTTAGCACCCCATTCTAAAGGTTTCCGATGTGGTGACACTAATTCCAGTAGCTAGGCTCGCTAGGTGGCACAAGGGTCGGCTCTGTGGAATGCCGGTCATAATGGACATCATCTGGCCACAACCTGTGGTCAGGCTGTCTAAACCCCCTGTAGGAACTAGCATACTCCGAGCTAAAAGGGCGGTTGTTCGAATTGAGTGGCTTTAAGCCTGCATGTTGACGGAATAAGTTGAAGCAGATCACATGTCCTTCATCGCCAGCAACATGAATCGGTTGTTTGCCGTCTTTGTTCTTCTTGAGTGGATTAGCGCCCTTCTCTAGCAATACCTTGATAGCATTGGGGCAATCAAATTTTGCTGCCACGTGTAATGCTGTATTTCCATCTTTGCCAGCTAAGTCACGATGCGCACCCATATCAAGCAAGATCCCAAGGGCCTGAGTAGCCTTTGGCTTTACGGCAAGGTGTAATACTGTCTCATCTTTCTTATTGATTGTTTTTATATCGGCGCCTCGTTCTATCAGCAATCTTATGTGCTGCGGACGATTACGCATTGCGGCTAGATGCAATGCTGCATTTCCGTCATCATCAGCAATATTTGTGTGAGCACCGTGATCGAGCAGCAGCTTAAGGGTGACAGGGTCATCGTGTGTAGCACACCATTGCAATGCCGTATTACCGTACCGACTCAAAACATTGACGTCTGCACCTTTTCCAAGTAGAGTTCTAACAAGCTGGGGGCAATTCTGCCGAGCCGCAGCAATGAGGGCTGTGTCTCCATTATGGTCGGCCTTATTGAGTTCGATAGAAGGACACGCAAGCACCATCTCGGTCATGGATGGATCATTGAGACGTAGTGCAACTTCAAGCGGTGGTCGGAGACATGGCTCTTCTAGCGAGACCATTCCAAGCGCATTGACATCGGTAGTAGGATGATCTAGCAAAATGGATACGAAACCTCTGTTCCTCCTCCATATAGCTGCTGAGAGAATGGAATGACCTTGGTAGCACGTATTTGCATCCATTCCGAGCCACAGAAGGGCTTTCAAGACCGCGGTCTTTTCGCTCTCTAAAGCAGTATACAAGACTCGCTGTCGATGATAAGGATTCAATTTTTGAAGTAGACCGAGTAGACGATCAGCGTCTACATTTGCTGCCACTATTTGCAGGTTGGGCTCGTACTCCAACAAATGACCAAGGAATGCTGAGCTCTCGGCGACTGCCAAGACTTGAGTGAACAAATTTGTGTCTCCTCTTTGAAGACAGAGATGGAGGCAACGGCAGAACAGAGCGGGCTCTGCATTTAAGAGACCATGATCCAGGAGGATGGCGGTTGAGCGCGTTTGTCTTTCTTCGATAGCCCACAGGATTGCGCTCTGTGAGCTTCTTCCATGTTGTTGAATCAGCTTCCGAGCTTTACGGGCATTGCTCTCAACAACTTTAGCGGGCTTCGAATGAACAAGGTCGGGCCCAGGACTTGCACCCTCGGGCGTCACAGTGCTCAATCCGGCTGTGGCCTCTGCGAATACGTCTAATGGCCATTCCGATCGAGCCGTACAAGCATAATCATCGTCCTGCGAGGTTGCAGTATGCTCAAGGTGAGGCTGCCACACTGTGGGTTCGACGACAGCGTTCTGTACTTCTGGAGTCGTTGTTGGTACGGTAATTTTGTTGACTGGCTGGGAGGAGACGATATCATTCTCTTGAAGCAGGTAACCCTTCTGAGCTCGAGCGTACGCCGCAGATACATGAGCCACTTTCGGAGACTTCGAGGTCTGCGAATGTCCAACCTTCGCCTTGAGCCATGTCTTCAGCTTTGCCATTGTTCCTAACGCCTCTCGCAAGTTTTTGTCCCTTGGCCTACGTGCCCACCTGTTTTAGTCCCCTATCCCAGGCTCTGGATAGAAGAATTGTCGCATTGTCACACACGACAAGCTCGCCAGCAAGATCGGGCTGAAGGTGGGGGCTCTTTGGGCCGTCTCCCAAGACATCTAGACCTGAGCCTCCACAGAAGCTACCCGGTGAACCCTTCCCATTTCCCCTCTCGCAAACTCCTGTCGTTCCTCTTCCTTCACCGTCCAATATCGTCAGCAAAACGTGATATATGCCTTCACCAAACCAATCAGGATCACATAATCTTGTGTTGGTCGACGTGTTTTCTTACCTCTAGGCCACATACTCACCGTTGCCACTTCGTTGGTCTCGAGCGTCGCCGTCGCATTGATGTTGACGACGCATGTGGACCTTCAAAGAGAAGCGCTGGGACTGGCACTTGTCCGTTCCACGTATGACAGCCCTCAAGTGAAGTTGTCAGCTGTTTTGCAGCAGCTGGGCAGGGAATCACCTCCCTTTCAACCTCCCAATGATTGATGTCTCCAGGAATATTACTAAGCCAATGACGTGCTTCTCATCCTTGCATGCGACCACAATCCATCAGATGTCGTGATTGAGCTCAGCTACCTTCCGCATCATACGCGTCTTTCGGGCTGATACAGCTCCGGCGAGTTTACAATTCTCCATTACCTTCATGATCCTTCTTCCCATTACCCTCATTAAAAGCATGTTTCTGTCACTCCTCGCTTGCTCATTAGCTTTCATCATTTCTTTGTCCATCTAAGGGCGTGCACCTCTGACTTCAGCATCAATGTAAGAACGAAAAGGATTTCATTCAATATGTCTAAGGTTCCCGATGAGCGACAGCCCCTCCTCCACCATGAGCCCGTCTCCCCTAAGCCTTTATCTTCAGCAATCAACCCTGAAGATGGTCCCATTCCGCACCCTACCGACCGCTCCGTCGAGCACGACACCCTACCCGAGACAGCTACCTTCGGCCAAAATCTCACCTGGACCTCCGCTTACCTGCTTACCATCTCCCGCATCGTCGGGTCCGGCATATTCGCTACGCCTGGGAGCATCTACCGCAGCGTCGGCAGCGTCGGCCTCGCTTTGACAGTATGGATCGTTGGCGCCGCGATTGCCTTCTGCGGGCTCGCTGTATCTTTAGAGCTCGGGTGTATGCTGCCTCGTAGTGGCGGCACAAAGGTATATCTTGAGTTTATGTATAGGCGACCACGCTTTTTGGCCTCGACCCTCGTGGCTGTCCATGCGGTGCTACTGGGCTTCACGGCAAGTAATTGCATCGTGTTCGGGGAGTACCTGCTCGTGGCTTTGGGCGCAGAGGTGAGCGCCTTCAATCAGCGCACGCTTGCTGTCGGGCTTTTGACCGCAATTACGGTCGTGCATGGGTGCTTTCTGAAGACCGGCATATGGATCCAGAATGCGCTTGCGTGGGTCAAGATTGGGTTGATGGCTTTCATGGCCGTGCTTGGCTTTGTTTCCCTTTTCATGCCACTCAGGTCCACCCACGACAGAGATGAAGCTCGGTCTTCCTTTACTCGACCTTTTGAGGGTTCGAACTGGGACCTCGTCACTCTGTCGACTGCTATCTTCAAAGTCTCTTACTCATTCGCTGGCTATGACAATGTCAATAATGTCCTCAATGAGGTCAAAGATCCTGTTCGAACTCTGAAGACGATGGCTCCGACGGCACTGCTCACGGTTGCCGTCTTCTACTTGATGCTGAACATAGCATACTTCATCGTGGTGCCTTTGGAGGAGATCAATCAAAGTGGTGAGCTAATCGCCGCATTGTTCTTCGAGAAGATCTTTGGATCAAGCGTTGGAACGACTATGCTAGCATTCCTCGTTGCTATCTCTGCTGCCGGCAATGTAATGGTCGTAACTTTTGCTTTGGTGAGCAGCAAATGTCGTGACCCCTTTCATGGGTAGAATTGATCAATTACTGTCAGGCTCGTGTCAATCAAGAGATCGCTCGGCAAGGCTTCCTGCCTTTCGCGGAATATCTCTCGTCCTCGTACCCGTTCGGTGCTCCCCTTGGCGGCCTGGTAGTCCACTACATCCCTTCGTTCCTCGTGGTTGTACTACCGCCGCAACAAGATGTGTACGCATTCATTCTCGACGTTGAGGGCTATCCCGGCACAATCTTCGTCATGGCGGTCTGCATCGGCACGTTATGGTTGCGAAAATCTAGACCAGACTTAAAGCGCCCTTTTAAAGCCTGGAAGGTAGCGATCTGGCTGCGGATAGCGCTCAGCTCGATCACCATTGTGGCCCCCTTTGTCCCGCCCAAGAACGGAGGAGATGTAGGATTTTGGTATGCCACCTATGCTGTCGTGGGTGGGGGCATGTAAGTTTGAATTTACTAAAGTAGGGCCGTGCATTATGCTGACTATAGATATGCATAGACTTGTGTGTGGTGTCATCTACTGGTACCTCTGGACAATTTTGTTGCCACGATTGGGGGGCTATCGTCTAGAAGAGGAGACGGATGTGCTTGCTGATGGTACAACCGTCACCAAAATTGTCAAGGTCAAGGATAAATGAGATAAGGAAATATCGACGAGGTACTGAGGGTAAAGACAGAGAGCGTGATTCTTTTAATGGTGGATGAGAAAAAGAATATCGTTGAGACTCAATAGTAAGTCGAATTCCGAGTCAATCTGATTGTAACGCCAACGCCACTACAATCTAGTCACTACCCTCAACCCTACAAAACCTACCTTACTCCGTATCGTCAGGATGAAACACCAACGCCCTGACCTCAATACTCTCCCTCGGCTCCTCATGCTCCGTACTCTCATCCACAAACGCACTATGCGGCACCCTCCTCGCCCTCCCATCCGTCTTACTATCAAAGCACTTAATCAACATGACCTCCCCCGGCGTCTGCTCCCTCAAATAAAACCAGCTATGCCCCCGTTCCCTCCCCTCTCCCGCCTCTCCCGCCTTCCCGGGCCTCACCGTAAAAGTCTCCCCAACCCTATCCGGATAGATCAGCTTCACAGGTAGCAAATCCTCATCAGGCACAGAATTCGCGTCCGCCACCCCCAGGGGGTCTTTGCGGATGGTTTTGATGGGCCGCCAGACATTGATGATTTGGAAGCGGCCTTTTAGGAGGCGCTCGGCTTGCTCGGGCAGGTGGTGCGTTACGCGTTGGGGGGCGGCAGTGTAGGATTGGTCGATGTGGACGCGTTGCACGGGACCGCAGAGGGTTTGAGCTGCTTTCGTTTGGTTAGGATCCGGGTTCCGAGCGTCAGCAGGTTGGCGGCGGATGGTGTGGTCGAAAATGAAGATTTGAGATGCACCGGTCCTGTGGTCGTGTTGTCAATATCAAGGTCTCTAGGGTCTTAGAGGGTTCAAGAGCGGTGCTTACGCAGTTTTCAAGATGTGTTCAATCTCGGGATAGTATACTTCTTTGATATGTTCATCGTCTTCGAAGGCAGTCTCGTTGCTGCTATGATGGAAGATCTGGAACCCGGTGGTGTCGAGGCTATACTTGTCCTCTTCGCCACGGATGTCGTGGACGAGTGCGGAGCGAGTATCGGCTGGGCGGAAGTATGTTTCTGGCTTGCCCACGTAGGTTGGTGATGGTTCGCTGCCATCACCGGGGTCAAGGTAGTAGTTGAAATCTGCGGTAACGTCTTTGCGCCCGGGCTTGGTTTTAGAAGCTTGTAAGGTGGTTTGAGGGGCGAGCTGGGGCTCGAAGTTGTTGAGATTGAGGAGATGGGGGGCAGTTGCTGGTAAGGCTGTTGTAGTCGACGCCATAGTAAGCTTTTGGGGGTATGAAATTGAAGGCGTCTCTGATACTGTGATAGCTAAGGAAACACGGTTGGACATTTATAGAGCTTTATGTACGTCATTTGGATGGTCGTATTTGTAATTTGGATGGTAGCATGATTTGAGCTTAGGATGGCGTGCGTGAGTGATTGACGAATCGGAAGCAGCTATAAAGGTACATTGATTACAGCAGCCAGTGAAAAGGAGCAAACATCAATCAATTGCACCGGACAAATAACATTCCACTGGGAACATCCGTCGGCTCAATGCGTGCGTGATAACGGTCTGACAGGCGTATACCGTTTGGTAGCCACATGAACGCACCAAGACGGACGAGTCTCCCCGCTCGAGACCTCGGAATCAGTGACCGACTATTCGACTCACTTTCGATCTCGCAACTTACAGACTTCCTGAGTATGCCGCCTAGTCTTATGCCATTGCATTTCACCGCGCTGTGCACCTGCACTCGTTCTTCGAATAGAACAAGGCTTGCTTATCCAAACAGAAGGATCTTAAATGCTGATGTGAAGCAGAGCAGAACGTCACTCGCGCCGCTAGGACACACCCCCATCGCAGTTCGCGACTTTGTCTTTGTCAAGATTGAGGGTCAGAGGGCTAGGTTCCGCAATCAACTGCTTTCGACGAAATAGCTCGCTCGCGACATGATATCATAGCTTCTCAAGAGTAAGAGTAACTGACATGGAATTAAGGGGTACCTGACCCCAAAAGCCGCAGCCTAATGCCTCGGCATCATAGGGGCGCTAGAGCGTTCTAGACCCCCGGTTTAGGTATGAAGATAAGGTCAAGCCGTCCCGCGCCTGTGAGTGACAACTGACAAGATCAACCTCTATTACTCCTTCCGATCTCAGGTCGACGTAGCCTTCGCCACGAGTGTGTAGGCGACGGAGCTCCGCGAAGCTTTGATGTGGCACGAATGACAAGCTTCATCGATGACTTCCCATGATTTGCTGGCTGCGACGATGGACAGGAGCAAATGGCCAACTTGTCCCGTGCCCGATTGTGGCTTGCTGCTTGAGACTAGGCTCACCAACGAATATGCTCGGATCTGTGTCAATAAAGTTGCACTCTATTTAGTGCGGGGTTGATATCCAGATACGGAGAGTTCTAGCCCTCTTGACTTCGTGGCCACTTCGTCTAAGAAGCACTAATGAGACAGCTTGTTCAATTCGGGCATAGTCTTAGCGCCTTTGATACAATGGCACGAGCGACCAAAATTCAAATAAAGGCAGCCATTGCCTCTGGTCCTGTGCAGAGGACGTTGCAATGCCAATTTGATTTTGTGAAAAGCTCGCTACATCATGCAGTTACTGGCTATACTGCTCTGCCTATATGCTACCACCCCGAGCGTGATAGCAGATCAGTGGCCATACCACCGTGTTGTCGGAGATATAAAAGACAATGGTGACATCGTGCCTATCAAGTCCAAGCCAGAGTTCAAAGAACACCCGGACAATCTCTTCGTGGGCTGGCTGCGTGATGTTCTCAACAACGCAAATGTCACCTCCGTTGAGCATGCTTTCGTAAATGGCACCCTTCCCGACGATGCCAAGTGGTTTGATGATGTGCTGGATTCCATCAAGATCCCTGCGAACTTTACACCAGCGCCAATCAAAGTCAGTCCTAATCTACCCAACTTCCCACTTCGAGAGGCAACGCAGCTATTCAGTCATTTGCAATATCCTTTGGATCCCAGGTGTACAGTTGATCGGTCGCGATGGTTCTATCGAACCGACGATGGATCTTGCAATTGGCTCAAAAAGGATGACTTCAGTACCGGTGCTACAGGGATGCCCAAGGTGAGAGATTACAATCAGCATTATTATGCAGACGGCATATCAAAGCCGCGTGAGGGTCCGAATGCCAGAGCCGTTAGCAATGCTTTCTTCAAACGGAAGAAGGAACTGTACTATGAGCACACACCTCTGCTACTGGGTTTGATAGAGGTGAGTCTATAGCACTGGGACCTTTTCACAGCCCTGAAGATGTACAGTTTATCATGCACGATGTCACGTATAGCCAAGACTCGCCCACAGAGTACGTTGATGTTCCTATGCCAGAAGATGAGAAAGACTACGCTCTAAACACGACGCTGAGAGTATGGCGGACTGCGGCAGTCCCTGGTACAGGCACCGATACCAAGAATCCAAGAGAGATCGCGAACATGGCAACGACCTGGTTAGACGTCTCTGCACTCTACGGAAGTACACCAGAAGTTCTGCGTGGTCTTCGCTCCTTCTCTGGTGGGAAACTTCTCTCACAAGAAGTACAGGCGCGGGGCACTAATGCGAAAGCTTCGTATCTGCCATTCAATACGATGAATGTCCCAACCAACACGCGACCTGGGATAGATCCAATGACATTGTTCGGTGGGGGAGATGCACGTACAAATGAAGATTGGATGCTTTTGGGAGTTCATACCTTATTACTCAGAGAACATAACCGTCTTTGTGATATCCTTGCCAAGCAACATCCTGAGTACGACGACGAGCAGCTTTATCAGACTATCAGGCTTGCTTTGTCTGCCAAATATGCCTTGATTGCCAATTCGTATCAGATGGCATATTGGACAAAGACCATGCCATGGCCTCAAGACGATGGTAAGACGCCCTCAATATTTTTCTTCGTGCTGTCCTACTTTCCAGAGGAAGGCGGTTGCCGTGACTCATTTCGTTAAACCCATGCTTCAATAAGCTTGTCAAAGATGCTCGACCCTTCCCAAGAGTACTTGATTTGATCAAATAAACGTGGCTCACTAAGCGCGCTGTAGGATTCCCTCTCTACCGTCAAATGTACGGACAGAGTGCTCTCAAGATCAATCCAGCCAACACATATCCTTGGCCACTAGTCACAAAAAAAGGCAAGCCAATGGTAGTATCTGCAGAGATGTCGGTTCTCTATCGATTTCATGAGTTCATCATTTCCAGCTTCAATATTACCGATGCTGCGAGTAGTACACTTTGGGTCCAGGATTTATTCAGCACAGGTTTCAACGCTTCAGGCTTCATTGAGGCCGGCCTTGAAAATGTTCTACGAGGCATGGCGGGAACCAATATTCCAAATTTCAAGAGCGGCGTAGACGAAAAATTCCGTTCTGCGGGAAAGTATAGGGGGAAAGCCTTTGATATCGTCACTTGGAGTATCATCCACGAACGCGAGCAAGGTTTGCCCACCTTTAACAACTACTTTCGAGAATACAACAAGCTAGGTACGGAGCACTACCCTCTGCCACATCCCCTCCGCTGATATCGTGCAGATCCTCAAGTAGAAGTTCATATTCGATCAACGTTTGAAGATTTCTCAAGTGATCCCGAAATGGTGAAGAATCTGCGAAAACTGTACAAATCTCCTGACGAGGTGGACTTTGTTGTCGGTGTTCAGCTTGATGAAGAGATGTTTCCTGGAACGACGGTACCGAGATCAGCCCTCATAGTCAGCCTGTTCAGTCTGTTCGGGATGGGAAATTCCGACAGGTTCTCCGTCGGGTTTGCCATGATGCGTTGCTTACTGGTTGATAAACCTTGGGACTGCCATCCCAGCAACGGGCTAGAAGATCTGATATGGGCTCGTAAGAAAGTCGACGGCTTCCCAGACTTCAGGTTCTACGACAAATTTTGGCTCACAGAGCTTGATCTTCAGTCGCACGGGACGAATCTTCTATGGAGATTGATAACAGAAAACACGGAGATCAAGTGCGTCCAGCACTCTCCTCTGTTCCCTGCTGATCCAAAGACCAATCCGATATTGTGCACATTGCCGAAGGCCAAGCAGGACCTCAAATTTCTGGCTCTATCCGTGCTACAACTCATTCTCGCTCTGATAAAGCAACATTATGTCAAAATAATCGTCGTCATTATTCTGCTGATCGCCTTAATTACCTTGATCATTGTTTGGCGGCGACGTCAACCGCGCCTTGCCTTGCCTCCAGCGCTCCAGGGTTGGCCAATTTTGGGCAACGCTTTGGCCTTCCAAAAGGACTCCAAGGCGCTTCTACTTCGTGGTTTCCACAAGTTTCAGCCATTTTCAGGATGCTTTGGTATCAAACTCGCATCATTGACACACTATGTCCTTACGAAGCCGGAAGATCTCGATATCATGAAAGAAGATAATGCCTATGAAGTCAAACTTAATGAGCACGCGTTCATGGAAGCCATCAACATTTCCATCATCACGAAGAAGGAGAATTTCGATTCTGATATCCATAACCGATTGATCAGAAACCATTTCAGTGACCCCTCGACCGTCGCGGGTTTTGCCACTACCATTGAGGAAGCCGCACAGTTGTTCGTCAAAACAAATCCACTATCCACCAGTAAGTCACACGACGACCTCAATGACTACTTCTCACGGTATATTGCATTCGTCGTATCTCGTTGCGTTGTTGGACCCAAGGAGTTCGACCGTAAGGAGCTACTTGACACGTTCCTGAAATTCAATACCGATGCAATCAATGCAATGGGACTTTCCTCAATGCTGCCCAAATTCCTACGATTTCTAGCAGCAATAAAGATCAACAGACACTTCAAAACCATACGCAATATTCTGGTCCCAATGATCGCATCAAGGCGAAGTGACATCTCCACTCGAGAGAAGGAATCAGCATTTGTGAATTTCATCATGGACGTGGTCGATAATAACGATCGCGTAGCAGGTGAATCTACCTCCCCCCGCCGCCCGCGTGGACGTTTTCACTTCCCCTGTACTGACTTCGTAAAATACAGACATTGTGGCAATAGTAGTCTGGGCCGGCCTCACAAACCTTCAAGCAACCTTCTCCTCCACCATCCTCGACATTATCAACCAACCTGGGCTACAAGATACCGTGTTGTCTTCCCTATCTAATGCCACGCTCAGCAATCTTGACGCCTTCACCAGATCCTCTTCCGAGTGGCAACTGCTCCGCAGCGCCACATTCGAATCGATCCGCCTTTCAGGTCCCACCACCGGCCCCGCCCGTATCTGCACCGAAAATGTCCAGCTCCGCTCAGATCCTAGCCTTACTCTCCCCAAAGGCCAAGCGGCAACACTATCATCATACTACACGCACCGGCAAAACTCGACCTGGGGCGATGATGCTGACAGGTACAAACATACTCGTTTCATGGAAGCTGATCCGCCGGTGGGCGAGCCCAGGTTTGTGACGTGGGGCTTGAAAGGTCCGCACGCTTGCCCTGGGCGCTGGTTCGCTGTGCAGACGATTCAGATTATGGTGAAGGTGTTGTTGGAGACGTATGAGTTTAAGCAGGAGAAGGTGCTGAGAGATGAGGAGAAGTATCTTTATAAGGGTGGCATGGTGGAGAGGGCCAAGGTCGGAGTTGAAGTCAAGCGACGGTGATCATGGAGTATGTGCCTACCAAATAGTCTCGACTTATGAGGTGCGATCAATGGTGCGCAGGTAAGTCGGGAACACGTCAGTTCAAAGCCATATTCGACTACAGCAAGCCGTAAAAATCCGCCATACTTTGTGAGTGTACGGTAAGCTCAGATTTAAGGAGGTTAAGTAGCGCAACAAGCCGTTCAAGCATGTATCAGCTTCGAAGTCTTCTTGTCAACCTTGTTCTGCTGGCTTCTCTCAATACGTCCCCAGGTGCAGAACCGAGACCGGTTTTTAATGACAGCGTCAGCAGCCCAGCCAATTCCGCCCTTTCCCTAGGAGGACGGGGAACCAACGTCCCCGCTGGCTTTGACGTCGCAGTCTGTCAGCTCAGTCCCCGAGCAGCCAATCGATGTGGATGACTTCTACGTTCTGAGCATCCAGGCCATAGCCCTCGCATTAGTAAAAGCATTCACAGAGCGTGTCGAACAATTCGCATCAGGCGATGGGTTCCTGCATGTATTCGAAAGCTCTCTAGAACAGCTTCAGGTACGCCATGTCGTCTGGGCTGTACAGCGAGTGGCTGAGCGATTCTTCGATATGAGGACTTACTATACTGTTCTTGGAAGAATTCGAAATGAGGATGGCGGGTCTGAACGAAGTCTTGGGTCTATTTCAATCCGACGACCTCCGGGGGATTTTGAGTCACGAAGTCAAAGAAATTGACGAAGTCAACCGTAGTGAGTCGCAAGACACTCGTTCCACAGGTATTGCTAAATCGGATGCTAGACACCTGAATTATACATTACCAGCAAATGCGACCGCCAACGACGGTGTCCAAGTCCGGGTCACGGGCTCAAGCAGGTCTATCAGTGCACCAAGCGAATACCTCATGATTCTTCGTCTAATGGTCAATTTAGCAAGAAGTGACTACACCGCCTCCACGAACAAACATATTGTCTACCAGGACGAAGAGCTGAGATTCTCCTTCGAGTATCAATTGAGTATATATGATCCGCGGAAGTCTATGGTGAAGAACAGTGATGTTGTACGAACTTTAAAGAGCATTGCGCAGAATATGAGAGATCGTCGACTGTATCCTGAATGGAATGCTCAGTTCTTTGTGAATGAGCCTAGCTTTGGGGTGTTGGCTACTCTTGAGTTGAAGCCGGATGAGCGGGGTGTGAATATGATATAGAAGGAACAACAGTACAGACTTCAAATGAAATTTCTCGAAAAGAGCCAAAAATATGAGAGCATAGTAAAGAAGTTGATAGAACAGTGAACGCTACTGGGAAACCGTTGCCGCTTGTCTCTGTTTGGTAAGGTGCAAGTCTGAAATACACAGATGTGTATTTTGATAGCCTTGTTGCGAAAAATGACACTTCAACCTCTCGTACTGGGCTAGTGTATATGACTGTTGGTAACAACAAGACCTTCAATATTCCCCTTTGAATTCTTCCAACCATATCATCATACATGTTGAGTCGAAAGTGCTTCTTGTAGACATCTTCGATGGGAATCTAAGTGGCGGCTAGGAAGTCTGGACTCACTTCACCATATCCTGTTGTGTGAAAGTCTCAAGCATTCACAAACTCGTATTGTTGTTGGCTTATCATGTGTTTCTTCGATCAATACAAGTACGCTTGCGGACACTTCAAATGGGGTCGATTCAAACAGCATTGCAGCAAAGAGTATCGTGTCGGTGAAACTTGCGGTTGTAAAATTGTGATGTCTAGATTTCCTTTGGATTCAAATTGCAGGGCGTGTGATAAGAGTAACTCACAGCTTCGCCGGCGCGAAGCGGAAAGGCAGCGAATCACGCAATGGCAAAAAGAAAGGGACTCAATCGGAGTTGACAATTTCATCAGCTCGCCTATGACGTCTATGATCAGTGTTGATAGTGGAGATGGAACGATGTCGCAAGTTCCACAGCATCCCGGGAATGCATTTGCGATGAGACCGTATTTCCAGGAGGGGATTCTCCTGTCAAGCACGAAAACAGCCCAGATTCGATCAGATAGGTATCTTGCTGCTTCCAGAGAGGTGCCTCATGACCTAGGGGTTCCTTGCAAAAGCCCATATTTGCACAATGTCAACGATGTCGCCCAATCTATTGCCACTACAGATACTTGCCATCGAGAGGTTGCTGGCAGTTCGGTCGTCCAGGGCGATCTAAACAGTGACAGTCATCCGCCGACTACACAGCCATTCGCAGCGCCTGGAGCATCATTAAAAGATGTCCCAAAACTTCAAGAGAAAGCAAAAAGTGGCTTGACTGATGCATTCATCATCGATGGACAGCGTGGTGAGGTGAGTGTCTCCAGGACACTTTCAACGTCAGTCGCTGATGTACAAAAAGGAAGCAGAGCAAGGGTTCATCATTCGAGATAGAGAAGGAAATTGGCCAGTATATCAAGATGAACGAAATGAGGGGATCATTGTGCGAGACAGGGGGGTACGCAATCGCGGTATAGAGACGGACCAGATGAAGAGATAGTCATCTGTGGGTCAGGAAATATTCAAGGAGCGAATGAGGAGAAGAGCAGATCGAGAGATGAAGGAGAGCAAGTTGACGGAGTCATTATCGCCAACCAGCCAGGCGAAGGGCGGACGCTCGAGGTAGAGATCACATATGATAATGTTGATACTCAGGCAAAAAAGAGAGCGAGATTTGGAGGGATGCGAAACGAGATGATTGATGATGAAGGTAGTAAAAGGGAAGAGGAGGTGCCTGGATTCAGCGACACATGGCAAGAGTACCACTGTCAAGAGGAGGACAGCTTCTTGTCGCCCGGGTCGGACGACATTGCCTTTGAAGATACGCAGACCTCTATTAAACCAACACGGTTCGAAAGAAATACATCTACGAAGGGCTTTCTTGCACCGTCCAATCTTGAGTATCCTGACGTTGCAGACATAGACCGGTTTCTAAAGGAGGGAGGCACATTGGGCTCTCTTCACGTCTCCTCACCCTCAGATTCTGCGGTTAATCTCTGCCAGACGGATCCATCTGATGAGACTGGAAAAGACTCACAGTCGTCGCATAATCCTATTGATTGCCTTGAGAGGGTGAAGCATACACTCTTAGTTACACTAATGAGTGATTTCTATGAGATGCTTAACAGCAAATCAACGTCTTTCGAGTGCACTGATGGAACGGGCAAAGGAAAACAGACCAAAAAAGCGCCGGTACAGATACAAAGCTCGATTGGGAAACAGCAACAGTATCAAGGACAAAAAGACGGGAAAAAGCGTTGGATGGACCGTGGACCGCCGAACGGTGACGATGAAGACGATAACGATAGCGACAACGAGCCACCAACTTCACGTCAAGGCCGAAAGATCCCGCGATACTCAAACCCTCTCGCGTGCCCTTTTCATAAATTCAATCGCGCGAAATACTCCATCAATAATGACACAGGCGGATTGTATCGGGCCTGTGCAGGACCTGGCTTCCAAAAGATCTCTGAAGTCAAGTAAGTCATCCAATTCTTCTTGGTTGTCAAGAGTGTTTAAAGCTTCTCTAGACAGCATCTTCGAAGGAAACATCAATCGATCCAATGCCATCGTTGCTGGACCGTCATGGGAAGCTCAGACGAACTTACCACCCATGCATCAGCTGCAGAGGCATGCCAGGTACAAATACCGCAGCCAGAAGGCGTAGACGCAGTAAAGATGAATCAAATTGGCTCTTGGGGTGTGTCTTGGGAAAAGATCTTTGAGATTATCTTCCCTGGCTGTCCAATCCCAAGTCCATGTAGGTGGCAGCTTTTGACTGAGCACTCAAAACCACACCGTATCAAGGCTTATACGATACAGATTTTGAACCAGATCTACCACAAGAAGAAAGATCAACCAACACTACCTCAGCATTATCACCAGGATCCCAAGAATTACTCGAATTTGAAGCCTACAATCGAACAGCGCTACCGCTTTTGGTAGAAGCTAATCTTCGAACAGTCATTGACTCACAGCTAAAGCCAATAGAAGAAGACCTGAAAGCCGCCTTGACGGACATCGTACGCAGATGCCAGACAATGGTCGCCGATAACTTCCAAGTCATGAAAAATAAAAGCTCTGACGCAACCATTGCTTCCGCAAGTCCGGACCTGAGAAGGGACAGCTCAAACCCCTTTGACGTCCATAGCAATATTGGCAAATCATCTCGACCATCAAATTTCTCACATCCACCGACTGCGTTCTATCAAGAACCACAGCTTCTCGATCCAGAAGCTGCGAATTTTATGCCGATCAACGCAGCCCAAAACGTATATAACGCTGAGAATGTAGACTCGGGCTATGGCAGCCTGACTCGAAATTGCTTATGTATATGCCATGATCTTATGGAATCAAGTAAGATAAACTCTCCCCTCCGCGTAAAGGGATTCACTAATTAGCCAAGACGACTGTTCAAATGCAGAATGCTTGTTTGACTCGTGCGATTGTGGCGGAAACGTAGGATTTCCACGTGATGCATACTAGGCACTTTGAGGCTTCATGTATAACTTCTGCTGTTGTCGCATATCGACCTGCTGGTTCTGAGATGATGGTCTCGAAGCAGGGTCAAAGAAGGGATATGGTGCAACAATGCGGAGGCTATCTCTTGAAGCTTTTGCCCGTTTTAAAGAGTTTGAAAGTGGCCTCAAAGTCCACTCTGACTTTAGCATGTTCCAGCCAGAAGAGCATATCCAATGACGGAGCTTCTCTTCACCACCCTAGGCTTCGAACGGCAATACGTTTGGTCTAGACCCATCATCGTCGTCAATGAGTTGTGACCAGGTTCTTGAACTGATGGCTCGGATACTTGCTTAACAAGACGCGAAGGGTATCTCATCATGTTCTGATCCGTTCTAAAAGGGCTGGATCACCTATTAATCTCTCTGCATCTCACCAAAGCCTAAAATCCTATTGGAGCAGAGGCTTCTCGCAGGTCTTCAAGTTAGCAACTGATTGCAAATTATCACGGAACGTTTCGTGTCATGGCCGCTGTTCAGCCAGCCACCATTCCAAGCCACTATCACAAGGCGACTAGTGTGGCATTAGTCTGGCATCAGTTCGCCAGAAAGGTAGCGACATGGTGAACTAACGGTAGCTATCTTACCCTTTTAGGCAATGCTGAGTTCGGCAACTACTAGGCCACTAGATGGTCAAAAGACGGAGAATTAGAGCGCGTACTAGTCCATCGATAGCTTGACGCCATAATGGGCAGAGATTCATTCGACCCCGCTACTGTACTGTTCTGGGAAGCTTTTCAGTATGATGCTTTAGTGATGCGGGGTGTTGCACAATGGTGCTTATTCCTTTGAGATCAATACCCCGCCTGTTAAAAGCCTCATCTGACCCCCATTCGCTCGATCACTGATGGCGTCCAAGCCTGGCGAGGCGCTGCTCAAGTCCTGGACCATCTGTTCAAGTTACGCTGTCTTATTGGCGGAACGTCTGGGTCAGCTTTTGTGCTCAGCTATGCGAAATCAAGCCATCAATGGGAGAAGCTGTATGCAAGAATGGAGAGCAAATTTTGAGAGCATGGGCTGCAAGCCACCTCGCGTATCACATGCCCCATGTGGAAGGGCAGAGTTTTTGGTCTCAACAAGGCGCGCTGGCTTTGGGTACTTGAAGTTGGCGATCTCCTTGTAGATTTCCTCTGAACTTCAATCTAAACCGATCCATCAAACGAATTCGTAGAGACCATTTGCCACTATTTGGCCCCTACTTCAATATCAGTCATACACATAGGCCTGCCTGGACTAATCCTCAAACGAAATGAAATTCAACGTCCTCGCCGCAGCTGTAGCTGCTCTTTCCATGACAGCAAGCCAAGCGGCTCCCAGTCCAGATTCGCTCCAATTGAAGCTCTCAATCAATGTCCCAGAGCCTGTGCCAGAATCGGAGAAAGAACCAGTGCAAGTCCTGCTAGTCTTTGTGGGGAACCACCCTGCGTTATTAGGCAATTGGTACTCGATCAATGCCACTCTCGACGGTAAAGAATTCATCATCCCTGAGCCGGGTAAGCTACCCTCTTGTGCAAGGCTATTTACACGCTGCTGAGATTGACACTCGTTAGAAAACAGCATGCCCATCTGGTCGGTATCCCAGTATTATTACGGCAATTGCACGTTGTACACCATCGAGGGGTTGAAATTCAACATGATAAATTATGGCGAAAAGATCCCTGTTACTATACATGTGAATCCTGCTACTCCGTTCGCACGAGGAAGCTGCACTTATCCTGCTTTTGGACCTGAAAGCAGCGGAGCCCAGCCTGGATTGTAGATGTATGCATGGTGAGCGCTGCTATAAGGCTGAACCGACGACTAGCAGGCGATCATTGAGTGGGCAGACTTCGTCATCCAGTGACAATTGAGGTGGTAATTGTTAAAAACGGAGAATAGAAGGAATGACTTGAGGTGAGAGAAATGAAACGCTCGTTTTAAATGAAGAAAATGTTGGCACCTGCAAGTAAATTGAATCATTAGCTGCTGGCTTCCCACCTACTTACTGTCCATCTTGATCATGAAATCGAGCAAAGTGATGAAGTAGAGGTAGCGTCGTAGTGACTGTGAGGCGATTTTAAGGAAGCTACCCTAAAAGGTGCCCGAGGGTCCCCGGAAGCATCAATTCCCCGCCCTGCCACAATGCGGCCCCTGCCCAGGAATGAAGATCCTCCTCTTCCATTGTTTTTCAACGACGACATCTTCCCTTTACATCCGCAAACCATGGATCTTCTAGCACGCGACTACCACGCCGCCCTTTCCGCCCAAAACGGGCACCTCCTCGCCGCTACCATCTCCCCTATAGCACCCGCCCGCTACCTCAACCGCCTCGAATCCATCTACCATTCCACAAACCACGCGTCCGTCTCCCAAGACGTCAGCTACGCCCTTACCAAGAACTTTTCGCGCTCCATATCTCAAGAAGACCGCCAGACCATCGAGGCTTGGAGCGACATCTACGTCGCCTACTGGCACGCCGTTGGCGCCCTGCTCGCCGCCGAAGAAGATGCCGATGACGGAAGAGTGTGGAGCAAAGTGTACGATACGTGGAAAGATGTGGTAAATGCCGTCATACGAGGCTATAGCTCGGGCTTGTTCGAGAATTGGACGCTGCCGGTGCTGTATCTGGTTGGCAAACACCTGAGGGTCTTTGGCATAAAGGCCGATGCGACGAAGAGCAGCGCGGATGGGCAGACGGCTGTGGATATGGGTGGGATACAAGACGATATAGCGGGCGATTTTGGGAAGAACGAGAAATTGGAGGATGCGGCGAGGGTGCTGAATCGGATGTTCACGCTGTGTATTAGTGATAGGTATGTAGAGTTGCAGCATCTCCTTCGTCATTTCCATACCTGCCTGCCCTTACGATCTTCACTCAATCTTGCCTTGTCCCTCTCAAGATGATCTTTGGCTGAGCGAGAGATCAATATAGAGCGCCCCTTCCCGAATCTCGCAAATGGGGACTCTACCACGCCGCCAACCTTCTCTTCAAAACCTACTTCCGACTCAACTCAATCTCTCTCTGCAAGAACATCTTACGCGCCATCTCTGCCTCCTCCACCGACATGCCTCCAGACTCCCAGTTCCCAAAATCGCACATCTGCACCTTCAAGTACTACGTCGGCGTCATCCAATTCCTATCCGAGGACTACACCGCCGCAGAAGAGAACTTATTAGCCGCCCTAGCTCTATGCCATCACTCTGCCAGAAGGAACAAGGCATTGATACTGACGTATCTGATCCCAACGAGACTGCTAACAAACCGGTCTCTGCCGACCGCGAGACTTCTGAGGACATATCCAGAGCTCGAAGGTTTATTCGTGCCGCTCATCGGTGCTATCAAGCTTGGCTCGCTAGCAGACTTCGACAGAGCATTGAGCGCAGGCGAACGGGCATTTGTGAAGCGCAGAGTCTATCTCACTCTAGAGCGGGGGCGGGACTTGTGTTTGAGAAATCTACTCAGGCAGGTTTATCTGCAGGCTGGGGAGGACGCAGAAGGGAAGAAGAGGACGAGGATTCGGGTTGATGAATTTGGTGCTGCGGTGAAGTTTTCTGAGGGATTCGGTGGTGCCGGGGCTGATGTGCAGATGAGGGATGCGCTGGGCTTGGGGGAGATGGGGAATGATGAGGTGGAGTGCTTGTTGGCTAATATGATCTACAAGGTAAGTCAGTCACCTTGGTCAAGTCGTCTTTGTCTCTTCTTCACACTGCTATTATCGAGACGGATTGGAAAAGGTGTTGATGAGAAGCAGAATCTAATGAAAGGCTACATCTCGCGCGCCCACGGGATGGTCGTCCTCTCAAAAGCAGGCGCGTTTCCTGGGACAGGTGTATGAAGCATCTCATCTGCTACTTGCCTTGTCGATCTCGTCTCTGAATGCTTCACTATTCCAGAGGCGGCAACAAGTCATGTCAATCGCAGCCTGACGCACCAGGCTCCAACTGCTGCCTTCCTCGGCCCCATCAAGGCATCAATCACCAGCGATTCCCGCGATACAGGCTAGCCGCGCTCATCGAAGACCAGACGTGTGCTTACGGACCCGACTGCCGCCTTGCAGTCATAGTGTGATATGGTGTGAGTCATGTTCACTACTTGGCTTCTCTCTACATGGCTTCCGCTAGCGCACAAGCGCTGTGCGGTCAGAGGGTGTAGTGCTCTGTGAGTCACACTTTTGCCCCCAATGTGTGCCGCTTTTGGAGGATGTCCAAAAACAGGTCACGCGTTTGAGGGTGATGGGTGTGGCCCACGGGGACGATAAAGTGAGGGTTGAAAAGGTGTAGGAAAACAAAGGAGGTTCGAAGGCGCTAAGACTTCATTTATCTCCATGATGGCGAGATGAGATAAGGTAAATTGCGAAATATTCACTTGACTAAGAGCCTGCATCTCAGTCTTGACATTCCTTCTACTTTCCTCGATCTATCATAGCATACTGCTTGAGCCTGCACCAAACATCCTCCACCAAATCTCGATTATCAGCAGATTACTTCCCCTATTTTCAATAGCTCTCAAACTTTCACAGTATATCTAGCATGAAAGAAATAAAATCAAGTCGCAGAAAAGTGAAGCGTCAGAACATCAGACAAATGAAACTCGTTGATGATAATGAAGCACCAACCTTCCGTACCCTGCCTTATAAGCCAAATTACCGTCACCCTCCCTCCACACTCCCATTCATCTTTTCCCCCGCCACTCCCCCGCCACTCCAACATGATGATCCACTTTTTGTGTCGATTTCTTCGTTTCTGGGCGGTTTGGTGTTCCTTCTGTCTCTATCTTGAGAAGGGCTGGTGGGTGGAGGGGGAATGAGGCGAAGACTCGCAGCAACATCCAAATAATTCCACTCACCCCTAAGCCCCTTGTTGATCTGCTGGAAAGTGATGACACCAAGAGCGTCGTGGTAATCGAAGTTGTCGGCTGGGAATTCAGTGGTTAGGATTGCGTGTTTGTGGCTCATCTGCTCCAGGAGGAAGGTTTGGCATGTCAGCGAATTTGAAGGGCCCTTTGTTGACTACTTGCTGGGAAGGTAGGGAAATGGTGTAGGCTAGTAGGAGGGGAAGTAGAAGTGTATTTTTTATGGGGGAATGAAGTTGGTGGTGATTTGGGTGGTGGTGAGATTGGTGGATGGAAGAATGCGAGCGAAGATGGATATGGGAAAGGGGAGGAGTGGGAGGATGTGTAGCATGGTAAGTGGATGCCCAGGGATGGTTTGTGAGGGAGGATCTGAAAGCATAGATGATACACAACTTCTGGCGTGGTTTGTCGCATAGGTCATTGATGTAGCTGTCGGGTTTTTTTTTTTGGTATCTTCTGCTTCCATTGTTGGTGTAGCATCGATCTGTGAAACTGAATAGCTTTGATTTAATTTAGAAGAGAAGTGGTTTGGTTTTTGCAAAGTAATCATTCGTTGTTGGTCTTTCTGAGTAGATAGGCAATCATGATTCACGAGAAGTTGAATGCTTCCAGTGTGTATGGTCGACAATGATTGCGCAGTGGATCGTCTTTCACCATGCTAACAATTTGCGAGAAGTGAAAGGAGAATAAGCAAAGGGAGCAACTGCCTCAAATCTTCCGTGCAGAGTCGCATTGCAGGTATCTCGACCATGACGTGGTGATAGGAAGTGAAAAGGCGAGCAGTCGTGCAAATTAAGTTCTGAAATCGAACAGCAAGATTATACATGCAGATTTTGTTGTCAAGTTGAGACAATGGTCCACATAACTCACGATCTTCAATCAGTCTGGAATGTGGGTCTCAGGATTGAGTACGGAGAAGTCAAAGGTTATCAGCATGAAGATCTTGCATTCTAATGCTATCATGCGACATGACAGTCAAATCACCTCTAGCTGAAGACCAACAAGCATTCCAACACCCAGCGAGTCCTCTCGCTCAACAACTCAGAGTAGATAAATGTACATGGGTAATCCGTTCTGCAAAAACACGAGTAGAGTGCCAGGGAAAAAGAAAACCGAAAGCCGTTGTCAATTTGACCCATCAGCAGGAGAACCAGTCTCTTCATCAACCGAGAAAACGTCGAAGTAGGTGATCAGAAGTGTAACGTGAGGGGTGTAAGTGTATCAGAGTGTACGAGGTGTTCGTGGGCTTTTCGCCACGGCATTGAGGTCGTCCTGTTTCCTATCATCAGTCTTATGCTTTACCATCGGAGGATAGAAGTGGAATATGGATGACGTATTCAAAGTAGGCGACAGCAGCTCAAAGCGATGACACAGAAAGCATCACAAGATCATTGAACGATGACGAGGACAGGGCGCAGGGGATCGGATTTGGTGGAAGCGAAGTGACTTACCAAATGATTGCACATTGCAACGAAGAGATCAAACCATAGCCCCTCCCCTCCCCCTCGCTCCATCTCTGCTTGCATCGTCCCGCTCCTCTTGAATGTTTGTCTTGACCGAATTATTAACGCCAAATAATGTGCCCTCAACTTCGAATCACTCTCGGGCGTATTCGCATACGCATACCTCGCACTGCCAAGTATAGTGCCCACTCCAATCCCACTCTGGAGTCCTTGTTTCCGCAAGGCCAACCTTTTCAGATCTGGCAGATCATACCGATCGGCGGCACAATACACCAGTGTATCTTTCAAGAGGTCTAGATTGGCACCAGCATGCCAGACGGTAGCGTTGGGTGCCGGTGAGACTGGTACTGTGGTGCTAGCGGGTGGGGGAGGAGCATCCTCCAACTCCCACCGATCTCGACGCTTGTTATGGAGGAGTTTAGGGTAGTAGTCACCCTTGTAGAGGTATTCAAGGACAGAGGAGAAGACCTCTGGGAGCTCTTCGGGGAGGGAGATGCGTTTTTGGGAGGACTCGAGGAAGGCGGAGGTGAGGGATTTGTTGAAGAAGGGGGAGCTGGTGAGGATGGACTCGTGAGCTGCGAAGAGCCGGGCGGAGGGGCCGATGGAGAGGGTGATTATGGGTGAGTTGAGATTGCTGGGAAGATGATGAGCAGGAGAGAAGTAGAGTGAGAGGGGAGTTTACTTGGGAGATGATTGTGAGGGCTGGACGGGCTGTTTAGATGTCTTAGAAGCCTTTTCCGTTCGTCGGCTTGTTGCAGTGGTATGGTCTTTGAATGAGCGCTGTGTTCGGCTCTTCGAGACGCTCTTGCCAGCTCGATGCTTGGAAAAGCTGTCGTGTGACTTCTTCGTAAAGCTGTCATTCTGACGAGGTTTCTTGACAAACATGTTGGCGGTTGATGGTTGATGATGTGAGGGGCATCAGCCTATGGGCGGGTGTAGGGTATTTATACCGGGACAGTGCTGCCTGAGTCCTCCCACTGAGGCACCAAAGAATTGACGCAGCATGTCGAAGGAAGGAATCGAAATAGAAGGGGGGGACGCAAGGGTCTTTTTGAAGCTTCGAAGCATCGGCAGCGGAAATAGGCAACGCATACAGCGACCGCGATGATTGGACGCGTCAGGGGCTGGCCGCATCGTTTGTTCTCAACACGATATCACGTGCCGCTAATTACTGCGCTTCACCAAAAGTTGTACTCACATCCATGCAACAAATGCAAGGCAATGCGCGCCATGGCCTGCCGGTTTCACTTCAGGTATGGTCAGAGACTTGGCTCAGCCATAGCACCAGATAGTGCCCGGGGAAGCGCATCCGGCATTGTGATAAGCTCCTGAGACTCATCGGCCTTTCAGGGCCTGCAACCGTCGATCGGCTGGGGGCGGGCTTGGATGTTGCCTAAGGAACAACATGTTCGTTCGCAAACTTGACTTAGCTGGATCAAAAGATACATGACTCATACAGATTACCAGTCGTATACATAATGATGGTCTGGAATCACCCATACTTTATGTGTCCTGCCAAGGGATAGGAAGCCGTAAAAGAGATAGGTCAGATTTCTCCCTCGCATAAGCAGCTGACAACGATCGACAGAAGGAGCGACGGCAGCCATAGCGTCGAGTCCAACACTAAAGCTAGCCAGGAACACTCTGCCGGGTCCTCTAGTCTGTGCCTATCTGTGGAGTACAGGCTTGCTTGTACCCCGCCACCACATGGCAATTCAAAATTGTGACGGCTTGGATTATTTCGGCTGCTCGGATTGGCTCCTTGACCCTGTCGTGGATGACCTGCCGAGATTTGATGGCTGATATCACACGTGGGCCCTGGCCTTAAAGGTGTGCGAGGTGAGACGATTACAAGATTGTATAGCCAGTAGTGATTGCATTGTCAATTTGCACAATGCGTTTGGAAAGAAGACAATGGATAACGTGGTCTCACAGTGCCAACGAACTTTTTATACATTCGTCTCACGTTAACTATGGCTCATAGTCTATAACCAACACCTCGCTTTCTATTACGCTCCGTCTAGCTCTGTAGATGATCGCTAAACTAGGCAAAAAAATCAATCGCTCATCTCCTTCTTCATGGCCTGCTGGCCTGGACCACCCTCTGCTTTGACTTTTGTCACACTGCCGTTTGCAACAGACCCATTTGGCGTCTTGATATTGGCGTCCCCATTTGCCGTCGTTGTCGTTCGACTCAAAGTTACGGACCTCTTTTGCAGCTCTTGATCAGGGTCGATGGCGATCCATCCTCGGATGCCCCCATCTGCAGCCAATATTTTGTGATCTTGCCCCATCATTGTAGTCCCCAGCGCTGTGTGCTCTTTTTGCTCCAATTCATCTGCTGTCTCCATATCAATTTGGCTTGTGTCTGCGACTTCGATGTCGTTTCTTCTCAAAGACTCTAGAATGGCGCGGACGTTGAGCTTCAAGGTCCTTTCTGGCTCCTCAACCTTCAGCGCTTTCTTCGTCAGCCACGGAAACAAGATACCAAAATCCGATTGCGACAAGTGCGCGGATTTTACTGGGTAGGAAATCCATGGTTTTATTGACGAGGACTCTGGGCCTGATATGGCGAGAATAGTCTGCCGAAGATTTGAGGACCACTTGTAGAAGCCTTCAGAAAGTATGGCTAAGGGAGGGGAAGCTGATTGCGATGACTTGGCGGAGAAGGCTGGCAGTCGCTTCGCCCAGAGCGAAGAGCTTTGTGGGAACAAGGGCATTGCCCAGAGGTCAAGCAAGGATATTGACGAAGATGGTGTGATCTGCTTAGATAGCTGACTTTCAGGAGGCACCTTCAACAAGTGTGACCCGCCGTGAAAGATGGACTTGATGAATTGGACGGTAGTCGTTGCTCCAAATGAATGACCTGCCCAAGCAATCCTGCCCGGTGTGTGAACATCAAGGCGACCTTGGAAGTGTGAGGCAACCTCTGTGCTTGCACCAGGAGTCCGAGTATTCGTCAAGGCTCTACCTACGTCAATTTCTAGCAGCGCATGATGAACAAGTGCCAATTCCCAGCACCTGATCCGCAATTGCTCATTTCGGCCCTCTTCAACCTCTGGTGTAGGCTGATGCGCCAGAGTTTTGTAATGTATAGGTACTCCCTTGCTCTTCGTTGTCTCCTTAATAATTGAGATAGGTGCGCTGCCATCTCTATGCTCGGGGGCGACCACAACAAGGCCATGACTTGCTAGCGATCCACACAAATGGCTATAAGTCGTGGTATTTCCTCCTAGACCGTGCGAAAAGATCATGACCGGCCATCTAATCTGGCTGGATGTAGGCTTTGAAAGCCGCGCATCTCGGATTACAGGAATGGTCGTATGTGTTATGAGTCTGAAAAGAGGGATATAGCTAGGACTGATCAGCGGGGCGAAAGGCGAACCTTGTTATGATCGCACCTTAGAAGGGTAGCAAGCCATGGAGTTGCCTGACAAAAGCGATAGAAGGCTCTCAAATGTTCTCCTTGCGGCTCTGGTAGCCAGTGCAGGGGCTTTATCTTTCCTGTTTCTCTCTCGCAAGGATAGAACAAGCGGAAGCGTATAGTAGTGATTGCGGGGTCTGGTGGTGATATCGACTTCGATAGCTCGTGGACTGGTACCTCATAGTCGAAGGTGCCGACCTTGTAGGGTCCTGAGTAGGCTGGGAAGGATGGGACGGGATTGAGCCGGGAAAAGAAGGTCATTTGGAGAGGCACGCGACCAAGAGCGGAAATCTTATGAAGGCGAAAAGCGTTCGTGATGGCGATTCGAGTATACCCTGGGGTGCAGATGACAATGATATGATTGAAGGAGAGTTGAGGGGACTTTTGTAGCCATCACTGGCGATAAAATCCCCTTTTGTTGTCCTTTAGATGACGTTCATCGTCAGAAATTTGCAAGACCTCGGCTTTCGAACGGCTTCTGACCCGACGCCACACCACGATTGGTTTTCGACAGTCATCGTCAACGCCGGCGTGAACACCCACAATTGCGCAACCTCGGCAGCATACTCCAGACGCATCGATGATGGCAGCTTCAGCCTCTGAATCAGGAAGATTAACACCCGTCAGCAGGCCGCTTGAGCTACGTGAGGATATCCACCAACTGGTGATATACGCTGAACTTGTTAGGCTCCCAAACCCCTCATCCTCGAGCCCATATGTGCTAGCACCAAAGGTCACCATTCCTGCTAGCATTTACATCTGCAATCAGGTTGCAGCCGAAGCACATGCAGTCCTACGACCTTCTGCCTAGCTCCAGGTCTACAATGAGTGCACCAGTACTCTGGGGTTCAGCCTCAATATCCTGTAAAAGATGCAGTGCGTGTGGGTCGGATACCTTGATTTGCGCCGGTTACACATCAGCGTTGGCAAAACTACCTCGCACGACTGGACAGCCATGGGCTTAGCTTCTGAGATGGCTCTCTTGAGGCAGAGACTGCCATCATTGCAAAATGCAACCATAACACCTCGACTATCTTTCAACACGCCCGATCTTGCTACTGTGTCGCAGAATGAGAGCGGCGGATCTTATACTTCGGCGCAGCCTGTGATTGAGCTCTTGGCGGAAGGATTCAGGCCTCTGGCGGATGGGCTCAGGTCATTTACAAATGAGTCGCTCGTGATGCACCTAGAACGCGCTCCAAAAGAATACGTACTTTTATGCGGTTGCAGCTGCAATTGTGAAACGACACATCCTATACAGTTGGACTTTGGAAGTCAGATTGTTGAACTTGTCGCTGGTGGGGCCCTGGGACACGGCTTCCGCTAGGAGCCTGAAGATTATGAGCTGCTCGCCGAGCGTATCAATACACGCTTGCAACTCATAAGGTCAATTGGAAGTTGATATGAGGATCTAGGGGCTATCGTGCAGATTGGGTGTCCAGAAATTCCTCATGGCATCTTTCATTATTCCGCACTTCTACAAGCTGACGCGCTCCAGGTTCACCATTGACGTTCTAATACAAGGCCAGTCGCGAAATGGTCCAATGAAGGCCCTCGGCACAGTTTCAAGGCTCTCGGAAGAAATCATTTTGAGTTGACGCTCATTCGTCAAAATTTGTCCACTGACTTTGGCGAGCTGTGGGCAGAAGGGTACTCTTGATCTCTTTCAGTCTGCCTGCCACGTTTCTCAGATCTTCTTGGTATTTTCTTCCGTACTTCCATCTGTCTTGGGTTCGACTTTCAATTGTAGGTCTACGAGGCTTGTCAGATCATTATTATATGTTTCTTTGTCAGAAAGTTTGCGAATCTCCAGCACCCAGCGTCGCTGGTCTTGCACTCCCAGTTGGATCCGCTGCTCCCGCCGTCGTATTTCCCTTCGCCACTAGTGGAGGCACCAGACTGATTCGAATCGTAGCCCTCATCTGATAATTTGCATATACTTGAAAGTGCATGACCTGTTTGGGCCCGCAGTCGTCATCGATTGTCACAATGGCGTTTAATGCCTTTGTAAGTAGGAAACCATGCAATAGTGGCTCTTCTGCGACGGTGGCTACTATTATGCGCATTGGTCCCTCGTTCCTGATCAGACCACTAATCACCTCCAAGGGCTTGTCCTGCAATTCGAGTAAAGTCTGACGAAGCAAAACTTTCAGATGAGCAGTATTCAGCTCGTCGAGATTCTTATTGTCGAGGAAAACGCCCCGAACAAATGAGCTCTCCTTGGTTAGCGGGATTCGGAAGGGAACTTCTGGCCATGGACTGTTTCTGCTGAGATCTCAGCACTTCCATTATCTCACTGTCAGAGGCGAAGGCTTACGCCGTCAAATTTTGGTTAGTAGTGGAGTCGTTGGCTATTACACGTGACACAGAATCTATCTGTTCCAAAGGGTGACAGGAAATGTTCAAAACGGATAGCAAGAGGCTCAGCAGAACCTGCATCCTTCGTTGCCACATTCCGCATGTGCCGGGGAAACAATCACAAACTCTTCCCAGTGTACGCGATTCTCAGAAACAAAGCCCCACGGGTCATCATTCTTATCAATTACATTGTCTCTCCAAGTGAGAAAGAATTGGTCATAGGAAACTGCAGTCCCAACATCACATTTGCGCGAAGTTGGTAATTGCGTCAAATTGGTACTCGACTCAAATTATCGGCAAAATGCCAATTGGTTCGGTGTTTTAGGCGTACGAATTTTGAGACATAACCAACAGCAGAATTTTGTAAGGCAGGTTGCTCCACGGAAGGGTTCAGAGTGACTAGGCACGGTCTTTGTCGTAATGGTAAGCATCTTGGCTTGAAGTCCCCCGTTGTCGATGTGCGATTTGTGGTAGCAATTGGAAATGTCTTGTATCAAACAGCAAGGAGGTTTCTTTCTTTACGATTCATGGACTACCTCATAACGAAATCCCAATCTATGTCCTCATGGCCTTCCCTTTGCTTGATCCTGACTCGCATATCCTGCGCAGGGGGGAAAACATTCGTCGCCATACTCTCCTGCTTCTGCTCCGGAATTATCCAACCCCCCCCCCCTCAACAGGCACCACGTCATACCTCATCACAAAACACGCAACTAGCGCCATCGCCTCCAAGGTCACGAAATGACGCCCTGGGCAGAGTGAGGCTCCACCGCCAAAGGGTCGATACGCAGTGGCATTAGTCTTGTACTCTTTCGCACTATTTGGGAGTTTGAAGAATCTTCTTGGCTGGAATTCCATAACGTCTGCGCCCCAGATTTCAGGGTCGGAGTGCATGACTGCCATTGGGATCTGCACGACCATGTCCTTTTTCAGTAGGTATTGGTCTTGAAGAAGAATGTCTTCGCGGACGTAGCGACTGCTGGTGCCAAGGGCGTGGAGACGGAGCATTTCTTGGAATGTGGAGTGGAGGAGCGTGCACTTTTCTCGCATTGTCGTGACCTTGAGACAAATGGTCTTGCTGCCTTCGTCTTGTCGCAATGATGTGGTCTCGATTTCCTCGCGAATGTCTCGAAGGAGTGTCGGGTCGGCTAGGATATGGATAAGCATATAAAAGATAGATGGAATCGTGTTGGCGAGGATGCCTAGCAGGACGCCGACTTCGAGACGCCCTGAGTTCTGTGGATCTACGCCGTAGTGTGTGTTGATCGAATGTCGTGTCTCAATTAGGGTGGCACTTCTAGACCGCTTTGGATCGTATTGGTTGAAGTACTTCTCGAAAGCAAGGCCAAGCTCGCTCCGAGCTCTGTAGCCTTTCCGGGCGAAGACTTGTGGTGCAATATCGACAATCAGGGTGTTGAGATTTTGATCGAACTCCCTTGATTCGCATGTCAGTCAGCTTGTGGATTTCAATGACGGCTTGAGATTTCTCAGATACCAAAATTGTCTAACAGTTTGCCACTCATCCTGATTGAACGGATTTTCTGGGCCATAGATAGCCCTCGTACTGCACATTGTCACCATATGCTTGATCCAGGCGAATAGGCCAATCTCATCGTCGGGCTTGAGCTTTGCGAAATGCACTGAAGCCTCTGTGAGCATAGTCGCAGTCATGTTCTCAAGGCTTTTGCCCGGAGCCAGGCTTGTGACACTTGCGTCATGGATGTCAATAACATAGCCAGACCCATTCTCACCATTCAGATTGTGCTGAACGATCCGACTGGTTGCCTCATCGTGGCCGGTAATACGCTTCCCAAGTTGGGCAATGAAGGGGTTGAATGATAGCACCTTTGAATTTCGATTGACCGCGTTGATCAAATCGATCGAAGTTACGACATACACTTTGCCATTCAGCATGGGCAGAGAGTATATAGGAAGCTTGCATTTGGCGCTGCTCGACGCTTCAGTACCATCACGGGCTCTCTTCTCAGCCCTCGAAGACCATACCTGAGTCTTTGATAATATCGAGTACCATAACGTAGAAGCCCAATGATATGTCCAACATATGGTATCTTGGAGCGCACTAGCGGAGGCTCGTTGGTAGCATGGCCAGGAATATAGCGATAATTTGCAAATGATAGCACCGCAAGTATCAGTCCTAGAAATAGTAGAAGCATGATCTAAATGAGGCTCAAGATGCAATAAGACCTCGAATCATGCATATAGACCTCTCTCTATCTAGACAAGCCACTGTCAGATCAGTCTGTATTTGCTGGTTGGTGATGGCTCATTATGCATCGAATGATGAGTAGTCATTTCAGGTGGAGCTAAGTTTGAATGCATTGGGGCCGAGGGGGCGGGAAAAGGGGACGGGCTAAAGTCGGGCCGAAAACGGCGGACTTTTTGGGAGTCAAGAAAGATCTCCTCGGTAACTTCTCTCAGGCATGTTTTATCCATAGACCAATAGAGCCGGCATTGCTCTACTTGAAGTCCCTAGACTGCCTCAATGGGATCTTTAATTGAATCAGAAAGAAGTGACGCCTTAGGGTCTCCAGCATTGGGAACTTCAGCAAGCTCGACTCATGATGACGACCGGACGCCATTGCTTAACTCGTCAAATGAATCCAGCCTCTCGTCGCAAAACCCTCTTATGAGTAGTGAACATTCCGAAAAGCCTGGGTTTCTGAGGACTATTGTACTATGCACGCTTTTGATCTTGATAGCCGATATTGGTGGCAGTATGCTCGTTGCGCCAGATGTTCGGGTATTAGAGTTGAGTCTTTGCCGGCAATACTACAAGCGTCATGATCCTACAGTCATCGGTCCACCTCCGTTTGCTCTTGTTGAAGAGCGGCTTTGCAAGATCGCCGACATACAAGGCCCTCTAGCCGAATTGCGAGGCCTGAGAGCATCCCTCTCCGTCATTCCGTCTATCTTACTGACTATTCCTCTTGGATCCTTGGCGGACATCTATGGCCGCAAACCCTTCATTCTTGTTAGCTTCACAGGATTGATCTCCTCGTACCTTTGGCAATGGCTAGTCTGTTAGTTGCCATGTGCACGCCTTGTTCCTCGATTGCTGACCTTTCTAGGCTGGTTTCACAACACCTTTTCTGCCAGATGGATATTACTCTCGCCCTTATTTTTGTTTCTTGGTGGAGGAACTGAGGTATTAGGCGCCTTGCTCATCAGCTCGATTGTGGACGTGACACCCACGCACTTGAGGTGAACGCTATGTGGTATATCAGGCTCAAGCCATCGCATGCTAACATGAAAAAATATAGGACTACAGTCATCTATGTAGTGAACAGTGCCGCCCTCGCGACCGTCATTTTTGCCCCTTTGATTGGTAAAGTTGTGATGGATATCAATGTCTGGCTTGCATTTGCCATCGCCATCCCAATAATTTTATTCTGCTACCCTGTCATCGTTATGCTTCCCGAGACGTTGTCATCAGCGCCCACGAAAGACTCTTCAATGCCACCTCGAGCCGATCGAGCTTCAGAAAATATGCCAGCTATAGTAAGCTGGCTGTTCTCACTGCAAATCATGTGCTGACACACGTTGCCAGAAGGCAGAATCTGCTTTCAACCAAATCGTCTCTTGTTTCTCGACTATGGGGACACGATTCGCTCAACTTACGAAGCAATCTGCAATTTTGGTACTGTTGATCATAGGTTTCCTGCAAACATTTGCAGTAAAAGTGAATGACCTGCTTCTACAATATACATCAAAACGCTTGGATTGGTCGCTTGCAAAGGCTGCGTATTTAATCTCTATGAGAGCGGCAATAGCCTTAGTCTTGGTACTTGGGGTCCTACCGTTGTCAACCCATCTTTTGGGGCGAAGGTTTCCTGCCTCTACCTTCTCTATTGACGTCTGGTTCCTTCGGATTAGCTTTGCCTTTTTGAGTGCTGGTTACTTGATCAATGGAGTAGCGGCCACATCGTGGTTTCTGGTTCTAGGTAATAACATGCATTTTTCAGAGCAAAGCTCCATCGTTTCTTGCCTGTCTTGCTCTGACTTTCGCTAGGTTGCGTAGTCGCCGCATTTGGGATAAATTCACCACTGACTTTGCAAGGTGTTACGGCACACTTTGTAACCCAATCAAATACGGCAGAATTGTACTCTGTCCTCGCACTTATGCAGCTCATTGGGACAATGGTTGGTGGACCTGTCTTGGCAGCTGCTTTCAAGGCTGGATTGCAACTCGATTCAGACGCTAGAATGATCGGACTCCCATACTTCATAAGTGCAGTGAGTGATGCGGTAATGAGTCCGAGAGTGTCGAGCTAATACAATGCGGGCAGCTTATCTGCGTGGCTTTGATGCCCTTATCAATCGCTCTTCGAAAGCCCCAACAGTAGAAGAAGCATATGATGTTTTGTACGTCATGGACAGGGCCTGTCACTTATTCGAGGACCAGATTGGGTCGAGTGATCGAGTCTTGAGTCCAAATGATACTCATGTTGCAGGATGTTTGTCGTCATAAGACATCTGTTGAATGATCCGCTACGGTAAGATAAACGATCTCGCGATCCCATGTCGCCCAGCCTTAGCTTGATGCTGAGCGAGAAAAAGTTTGATTCGGAACTCAGCACAGCTCCCAGGGAATCGCAACAGATGGCGAGTAACGTCAAAGGGGCCATCCTGTCATCACCATGAACAGTGTTATGCAGGTGGGGCTCTCTTGGACATATCAACAGCTTGTTCGTACATGAGATCAAGTTGCGGATGTTGTGCTTCAGCGTCGTGAGGTATAGGCGCTTGATCACTGTAGATCAAGCTGACTCCCTCATTAGACCTTTTGCCAACGGAAGATTAACGGAATTGGCACGGCCTAAGATTAGAACGCTGAGTTCAAAATCGTGACGACTAGCCTTAGCCTGTAGGGCCTCAGTGGGTTTCCCAAACGAGACCAGACGAGTCAGCGGTAATTTAAGTGTTCTGAAAAATAGTACCTTATATTTACTCCGTGCATATTGCCAAGCCTTGAAAAAGGCCCTTGCATTACTCGGTACCCAGCGAGGATGAGTTAATCTCAAAAGCGTTATCAAGATCAATTTCAAAATCAGGATCTCAAATAGCGCAAGCCGTGCCTAGTATCCAAAGGTTTCTTGAGCTCACATAGTAAGGATCGGCAGCCTTCAGAGCGTGGGCTACATCAAGCAGATCGTAACATTCACATGTCCAAATGGTCTTCAGCAGAACAGCCTGCGCATACTGCATCTCCATATCTAACAAGCGTTTCCCGAGCTACCTTTTATGGTCTTTGTCGCAGCATTATTCAAAGTTGCAATATATGATATGTACCTTCACATGTACAAAGACGAACAAGCTGAGGTCATAGTCAAGCAACTAGACTCGGAGAAATCCTATAGGCCCGATCCCAGCCCTTCAACGAGGACAATGTTACCGACCCAAGCATCGGCCCTGCGCCTGGGAACGACGCATACCTAGCGTCTAGGCTTCCTGCAGACTTCATCAATGCGCACCATACGTAAATGTGATCTAGTCATGTGGAAACGTGACTCTTATCGACTTGAGGAGCAGGGTAAGGCATCCTAATACCTCGAACAACCCTCAGAGGCCCCTGGTATCAAGCAAGTCAACTTAATGTTGCTGCTTTCATTACCGAAGATCTCAACACTTTTTCCCGATTTCCTCGAAAGATTCGTCAACGACTGAAGAGGAGGATTCCTGCCCACAGTGTGCACAGGGGACTGCACGCAAGTCGTGCATCATATTGACATCACTCTCTCCTGCCTTGAGCTGCTACAAGTTGACACCAATAGTGCAAAATCTCTCGTTTACCAATGAACCATTGCTTTACAACTACAGAGGTCTTCGACACTCGTGACCAATGCAGCTAGCGCTCTAGTCCAAACGGGTAGGGAGGTTTCAGGACACGTCACCAGCCCCCAGATCCGGCATGTCATGTCTCAGACCGGACATGCCAAGCAGCACGTACTGAGATAAATCGACGCGACGGTCCTAACTCTTCTTCAGCAGTAGCTGTGTTGTTCTCAAGACCAAGGTGCTAAGTCGAACAGAAAACAAGACCAGGTGGTGGGGAGGAATTGGGCTGCCGCACTGCTACCCGATCACCTACGTGGCAGTCCAGTCCGCCGTTCACTGTGAAAAGGCGCTTCGCAAGTTCTTGGCGGCACAGACATGGTACGTATACAGACTTGATATACACTTGGCTTGATTTGACTGGACTTTAGTTGTTTCCGATCAACACAGGGTGGTACGGAAGCGGCATGTTTGTTGGCCTCAGCCTTGTCCATTCACCAACGGCATTCATACCTCCATCACCCATACAAGCCTGTGGCGCTGGCTGCACTATCGACTAAGCTCTTAAATCTGAAGATAGTTCAGAGCTGCTACAATCTCTAGAAGGCTGAGCGTTCATACGACCAAAGATTTGTTCCGGGACTACATGGCAAGTCGAGGAATTTTTGTGGAAGGCACCCGATCGATCTGTTGCTTGAAGTAACCTACAAGTCACCTCAAAATGGGAGCCTTGTGTATCCTCATTGCAATACTCTCTGTTGAACTTGGGTACTACCGCTCTGTCCAATTCGCAATGACTTTGTCTGAGGCTTTTGCAGCTAAGCGTTCAGGATGCTGTCGCATAAAATGTCAGACGCGCCGCTAAAGCAAGTGACTATCACATAAGAGATCCTTTGTGGCGCAAAGAAGAGATAAAGCATTGAGTGAGGAGCAAAAAAGGTTTCAGGATATAAGCGTTATGGACTTCCCACTTCATCTTCAATGGATACTCGGAGCCTGTGCAACAGCTCAGCAGAGAAGCGACCTAGATCACGAGCGAGACATCAGCGAATATCTGTCCACGACCAAAAATCATCGGCAGCTGGTTTTGACAAGGCTCGGGCGTGAGTTGTGCAAATGGACTAGCTGACCATGCATTACTTTACAGACCAATATCGAGGTTTTCATTCCTTTAACGCCTTCCGTACCGCAACATGGGAGGTTCATGCAGCTTTCACATTTCTTTCCTCTGCAGGGTCCACGAGGTGGATTTACTCAGCCACTAAAGATCCAGCAGTCTCAGGCAAATGTAAGACAGGCTTGTACTACTTCGAAGTAAACAGGAAGATACTTGCATTCCTGGATCGCTCTCCTTACCTAGCGGAATGAGGAGGTCATCAGCAATGCTGCGCTCTTGATTGACAGTACATGGATATTATCGTCTTTCATATGTTGGAGTATCGCTGACGCATGAAGATTGTTGGAGTCACGCCCAGAATTTCGACGAAAACGGCTACTTGCATTTCATCCAATCTTGAACTCGGAGTTCGCTGCAGTATGCCGCCGGAGGACAAGAACTTCATCGGTGACACAAATACACTGCTTCGCTTAAGAGGGGTAAACCACTTGGGGCAGCCCATTATCTGCAGCTAAAAATTCTTCGCTTTTGGGCTAGGGAATCTAGTTCGAAAAGGTCTTAGCTGACTGCCTCCACCCACACCGACTGATCTCAAGCTGCTATCCTGATACCATTCATTTCTCTGAAGGCTACTATTCGCTTACATGTCGCAGAGAGGTCCAATGAACAGCCATCAATTAGAAGCAACCACGGAAGACGTTACTGAAGCTGACCACGAACTCGCATCGCCACCTAAGATTTCAAATGAGACGCATGAGGCAGGTCACGGAAGCACTCCTCCCCTCTTCGATCAGCCTACCTTGTTGAGACCTCAGCCTTCTTCGATAAGCGTGTTGGTCCCGGTGTGGCTCAGAAACCTTTTCCACAAGGCCCTTGAAAATGACCTTGAGTCCGCAGTTTCTCTTGTCGAGAGTCATGAGCCAAAGATGGATGCCGTTACGGCTAGTCTAACGGTGTCTGACGCAGCATTAAACTCGTATAAAGCAATCAAGCGTCGCTATGTTGACTACCGAGATGCCGAAAAGCAGACATTACACGCGCAGCGTCTTAGCGAGCAGCTTCGACTGATTCAAACACGCCTAGATGCACTTTCGCCAGCCATAAAGGAGCAGATCAAGCCATCTCAAGCTGCTCTCAAGGACTCCTGTGCCGTATATCCAAGCAAATTACAGCCGAAGGATAGAAAAGGTCGCTTGAAATGGGTCCTCCGAGGAAAAAGAAAATTCGAGAGAGTGTTTAACCAAAGTCTTCAAAGTGAGAGCCTTCTGAACACAAGTCTGCTATCATCATTGATTCATGAAATGTAATGACAAGCCCAAACTTCCAAGGCATGAGAACTGTGGTCTGATCTGACAATAGAGAGCAAACGAGGCTGAAGGATGCAAGCAAGAGCCAAGAGTTGGACAACGTAAAGAGGCTGCTCTGTAGCCTTGCCTATCCCTGCATCAAGAGACGTCAAGCTTCTCATATCCGTCAATGGAAATTAGTTGCTAAGTTTCTGTGCATGAAACTTGGGGTGATCGTCGCAAATACGCAGGACCGGAGTACTTATAACGTGCTGACACGATGGTCTTTGAAGCTTCCTTTCGGACTCAGCCGCGTCGTAAGGGCGCACCTTTCAATCCAGAATGCAATTCCATCGCTTTCGGCGTTGGCTTGTAAACCACAAAACACTATTGCATCTAACTCCGAGATCATTCAAGCTTGCCAAAAGAGTGACATCTCAAAAATCTGGGAGTTGCTCAGCACTGGACGTGCTCACCCCAATGATCGTACACCGGAGGATCTGACTGTCTTTCGGGTAATTTGGCTCTCCTCATTGCACATCACGCCTTCAAATGGTACTGACCCTCAATCTTAGTATGCCATTCGCACAGGTAATTTAACAATCGTGGAAGTAATGCTTCATTGCGGTGCAGATCCGAATCTTTCGTTTGGAGAATTCGAAACGTAGGCGACTAAATGCGCGAATTACTGGACTTATTCTAATAGAGTTCAGGAGTCCATTGAATAACGCTTTCTTCATTGGAAATGTGAAGATCATCCGCCTCCTCCTACTCGCCAAAGCCGATCTTGATTACGAAAACCTTAGATCATGGTCTTCGCTCTCTTATTTATGGGAGCCAAATCGACCGGTGTACGCGTGTTCTGAAGAGGTACTCGATCTTTGTGTGACTGCTGGCTTTTCCGCATGGAATATGACTGACCCAAGAGGGTGGAGTCTGTGCCACCGAGCCGGCGCCTATGGTCGTGGAGAGGACATTCGAAGCTTAGACTGTAAGGGTGTTAATTTGCGCAGCTATACGACAGATCATCTCTGGGGTCCGATGACTTGTGCCGTGTGGAACAGCAATGAGTCTACATTCAATGCGTTCATGACGCTGTTCTCCGAGCAAGAGATATTAGAGATTTATGATAGCAGAGGCTGGACGCTCTTGCATTTTGCAGCACAGAACGGCTGCCGACATATACTGACAAAGCTACTTAGCATTGGAGCTGACACAGCAGCGATGACATTAGGGACTAATTGGTGGGTGCTAGATGCGCTCGAAGATAAGAGTCTGACCGCAGAAACAATTGCACGAGCTTATGGCCATGGAGCCCTTTGGGACGAGGTCATAAAGTCTATGAAAAACAATTGAGCAACTTTTGGCTTACATCACCAAATTCAGTTCACCATTCCCAATATTTCACCTTGACTCCACGCTTTGCAAGTCTTTATCTAGGTTGTACATCCAAGAATTGACTATTCTAATGATTGCAGTCTAGCTTTATCTCACAAGACGAGTCTAAAAATGACGTCCATACCCAATTGGCATTCCTCGGTCACCCCTCGCTCTGGTGATTAGCCAGAATTCATATCTGGGGATGCAATCCGACCATCATTCAATGTCTGTTCTTGGGATCTATGCTATCACCCCGTCTTTGCCCCCGGAGCTATCAGTTGGTCAGTACCAGGGACACTTCAGCTATTGGAGGTTTAGACTGACCCTGCTCCGCCCGATTGGCAGCCTCCTTTACAGCCTGACGTTCCACAGTATTGGCACGCCCCACCATCAACCTGATGTTCGGGATCTAGGGAACGGTGTACTAGAACTTGGAACTTGCGTCTGGTCGCAAGATACTTGAATGACACGACACAGGGACTGGCAAAAGTCCCCAAACAGAGACTAAAGACTTGTCAAATCACATTCCGGTCGAAAAGCTACATCGAATCTCACCTGAAGATGATCGGCGCACTGAAGCTTCCGAAATTGCTATCCGTCCATATCTGCCCAAGGAGAAAACATGGTGAGACCAAAACTGGGATCAGCCATGGACGGACTTTGAGGTGCTTCTGAGTCGAAGAATATAGTTGAGAATCCAAAACACAAAGGGCACTTGATAGCAAGATTGGCAGAAAGAAGGCATTGATTAGCTCGGCTGTCCCGAACTTTTCCTTCTCAATGATCGCAATGACGGCTTGGAGATACCCGTTTGCACCGGCCACACTCGTCTGAAGAGTGGAGAAGACCAACACCACCCAGGCAAGTGCCAGTGACGAAAGATCCCTTCCGTTAAGCCAGTCATTCCGCAGCTGGCCGGTGTGTTTTTCTGTCATTGGCATGAATCTTAAGGCCACTCGCGACCTCAAAGCAGGAAATGGCGATCTCCCTAATGACCATTCGTCGCCTTCCTCGTCCGTATTTGAAGCCCGAAACAGTCCACCTACGCGATGCTTTTGACGGACCGGCTGGTCCTGAATGCCAGTACCATCCTTTCCTTCCCTATACGCGGGATAATTTGGACTATCGAAAGCCTGAGTACGTTGGAAGCTCGGCAGTTTCGGGGATTGATGTCCGTGCTGGAACCGTCCGTCCTTTCTTGCAATATCTTTTAATCCGGAATCTCCACATTGCTTCACTTCGACCTTCTTTTCCCACTCAAATGTCGGGACTGTGGAACCAAATCTTGGGCAAGGAGTGGCAGGATCGGAGGCTACGTTACAGGCGAGCTTCGAGCATGGGAGGGGCTAAAATCACGTCAGCTATTATTGACGGCCTTGCAACGTGTGGGAGACCGGAGCCCATCGTACCAGAGAAGCTGAAGGTGTTTCCTCGCCATTTCCAGTGCTGGCAGTGCAATATGCGAGGGAGTCCATCCTGAAATACGGACCTGAAAATCGCCCAGAATAGATTAGCCTCGAGTGACTGTGTGTGCGCCCTTGGAGCGAAATGGTGGGATGACTACATACGGGGGTGCGCTAGGCACATGCAATCCCTCGAGTCCCGCTGTCTAACGGCTTCTTAGCGTGGGGAACTCTTGGCAGCTAGCCCCTTACAGCAGCCCTAATAGCCTAGCGTCAGATCTAACATGTGTCACGAAACTATATCCGCGATGCATGACACCTGTCAGGCACGGGCCTGGATTCTAACCCTTTCCCCGCATGCCTCTTTGGAATGGAGCATATCTTGAGGCTAAAAGAGTGTGAAGTACGGTGCATGAAATGGAACTAAAGCTTTGGCTTGGAAACAACGCTCTAGCATTCAGACTTACCCAAAAAGAATCAAGTTCTTTATTTTGCTCTAGTAGCATTGTAGCATACATGTTTTCAATGCTCCAATACTTCGCCCATTGAGACGGCAAGATATGGTAGGATAGATTTACGCCATTCATCGGGAATTAGTCCTGTCTCTCTATCCACTCGCGATTGCTCACGGCAAACTTCACAGCCCATAAGATCTAAACATCCGGCCGTAGTCGAGAAATTTGTGCACTGTCGCACTTGTGACCAGTGTTGTCGTAATGATTCCGGGCAAGCGGTCTTTGAACGGATCCAGACTCCTCTCCTGGAAAGCCAGATAACCGCTCAATAGACAACCGCATCCCATCCCGAAAGCCAATATATAATCTTGATATCGATCATTTCTTCGCATGCCATGACACACTACCACAAGAGTCCCGAATCCAACGACAAGGTTGGTGAAGACGAGTGCTGGAGGATTGATCAGAATGCTTGGTATGGGCAGCAATAGGCGGCACGACGAAGACTGAATGAACGCTCGGAGTCAGCCAACTTGAAAAGATCCGAGGAAGAATTGAGATACTGACACGCTCTGATATACACACGTTGGTGAATCCGTCCTGAGAAGTGCGCCGTGAGTGGGTAGGGTCATACTGCTTTATCCCGAAAGCACAGACACTTTGTAGCGCAATCGCGGCAGTCCACGTATAAGTGACTTTGGTGGTGGCAGAATCTTGATCTGGGGAGGGCTCCGGCACGGGTGCCGGGTACGGCTCTTTCTGGGTTGGGTCCGTGGTAGTCCGGACATTTGACACTGGTAACATCTCGCTAGGACAATAGCATTCGCAGGCTTATGGCATTGTTCCTCAAGTGAACGAGGTTTATAGACTTGGTCGCTGCATGCTAGGGGTGATAGCTGGCCGATCGCGGCTAAAGGGAGGCTGGGAGATGGGCGCTGGAAGTGTGGCTGTACCTGAACACATTCTCAGGTTGGACAATTGAGAGTTGAGTCGAGTCCAATGGGGTTCAGCGGCCAAAGTGGACGTTGCCAAGCGCTGTCTTTCCCCACCAACCTTAAGGCCATCATGACAGGATTGGTTAGTAGCAACAGCTTTTAGGTAAGCAGGGGCCATCAGCAATTAAACTTAAAGAAGTCCTATTTGCTAAAGAAGATAAAGCGCGATAGCCTGACCAATCTCGCCACCGCCACCCGGCCAAAAAAAATTATATATTGCCAATACGCAACTCTCTCAGTACATACGACCACAGGACACGGACAATACGGGTTCCCGTCAGCTCACCCAAAGTCAAACCGTATACCGATCGAGTAGCAGTTGGGTCGGTGACGACCAGCGAATGTCGATTGTTGTATGTTTTTGATTTTTCTGGCTAGGGAAGCATATTGCTTGCATAGCACTCGTTCACAAAGCTTGCTGAGATACCATTTCTACGGAATGATGCTTCGATTGGGGGTACGAGAAGTGACTAGACGGGGGGAATACTGAAAAGGAGTATGTAAGATTCGAGGGCTTTTTACTTGGGGTCGAGAGGTTTTAATACGCAGTCCATCGTCGCCTTTTGCTAACGCAGGCTACTAGGCTTTGGACAGATAGCATTGCACTTTAAAGCACAGGAGAAACGACTCTTGTAGAGAGATCATTCATTAGTCACATTGGGATTGTAGAGCACATAGACAGTAAAGGTAAAGGCAAAAGTTATATAACGAGTAGCATTCATAAGACGTCATAAAGACGTGCCTATGTCGCTGAAGGCGAGATGCGAAATCATTCACCCACCTACTGTGGTTCAATTGAAGCCGTTGCTATCGGCTTCCGCCCAATTATCAGATCCGCTACCTGCTCAAACAGCTGCTGTACAGGCGGTAATGCATACGCAGGCCCTTGATCAAAGATTGCTGCCAGCTGTTGGGGCGTGACATTGACGGCATTCTTCCCATCAGTTTCTGAGTTCTCATCCATTGATATCAACGGTCTCTTCGCGTTTCCTTTACCGAGTATATCACTCAGGCCCTTCCGAGGTTTGAGCTCGGCTTTTGGTGGCTCAATCTGCATTATTGGAGCCTGGATCGGGCTCAAGGTGGTGATCTCTGCGGCGGTGTCGACGATGTAGTAGCCTTTTTGACCTACAGCGGGCAGGAGTGCGGTTACTGGATTCTGTAGAGAGCTGATGAAGAGGGGATTTGGGCTACTGACGTCGAAGATGGCGACTTGCGCTTTCAGACTTTTCTTCTGGCCACTGGAAGCTGATTGTGGAATTGCGATGGAGAAAGTGTTATGCTTGAGGTTGATGGCTAGATGGGTGTGAATTGCTTGATCAGCTGGGGAAGACTGATGAAATTTCAACGAGGTGGCATATTCTTGCTTGTCGTTGACAAGATCCCAAACGATAAGTTGTTTTGAGAGGACGATGAGGTATCTATCGATGATGCCGAGGCCATGCAACGAAGAAGCAGCCAGGCCAGTCTGGACCTTCTCTATTATACCCGTCAATGAGTCAATCAGGTATATCGGCGAAACGTTCTGTTGCTTCACTCCCAATGCAATCAATGAGCCATCGGGCGAATATGTTAAGCTTGCCGCCATTTTGTGTTCTTTAGATTGCCCAGTCGATCCAATGGCGGTGGAAAACCGACAATGCCAATTTTTAAGCGGCAACCCATCTTTGCCTCTTACAACGATACCACCGCGACGGCGGGTCACAGGTTTCCAAGCTTTCAAGTAACCATCCTCGCCGAGGGTAGCGAAAGCGGCAGAGCTGGGATCAGAAGCAATTGCCACAATACTTCCACTCTCGTGAACTTTACCTGTCTCCGACGCATGTGGCTGGTCAACCCTAGTGACAAGTTCCCAGACGTTGCCTTTGTCGCTCCAAATCCAGAACTTGAGACGAATCTCCCGGCGTATCAGAGTATCCTCTTGCAACTTTGCCTTGTCGAAAGCCAGAGGTTCCAGATCGCTTGCTGGTGGCATCCACTCATCTACCGTCGCAAGCCATTTTCCATCCTGACTAGTAGCCATGTGTGTAACATTGGGGTCCTCGATCGTATTTGACTCGGGCCCCATGTTTAGATTGGTGGTATTCGTTCGAGTAAGTGCTTGCCTGGCCAGCTGGTGGCCAGAAGTCATGTCAAAAGTCTGCAAGTAGGACGAGCTCTGGGGAGAACGCGAAGTCCGAGAAGATTGGTGGCTAGGAACAGCAAATAGGATTTGATGCATCTTTGTTGTACGGATGCATGCAGCATGACGTAGATCGCTTCGTCGGTGTTCGATCTGATTGCTGTTGTCGACGGTTTGAATTGATGGTATCATCTGCCTTAGGCTTGTGTGCCCATGGATTTGAACACCAGAAATGCTAAAGGAGGGTTTCATTTCCATAGTCGTGAGAATCATTGCAGAGTTGTCGGCCAGACGAATCCCATAAGAAGCTCCATCTGGCGACACAACAATACTCTCTATCGGAGCACCAAGATGCGGGAGCTGATCCTTGCTACCCGTGTCTAATTGCCACATAACAAGCACCGTTTCCAGACCGCCAGAGATGAGGTAATTACCGTCTGGAGACCATTTCACGGTATGTACAGCACTCCTGTGCCAATGCAGGTGGCGTGACATGATATCACCTGTCTTTTTGGTCTGCTGGCCGCTCTTCTGCGTTTGGAACAGGTTTTGCAATATATTGCTGTAGAGGTGAATGCTTCCTTTCAGACCCCCGATAGCCACGTCAATCGGTGGGTAGTTCCGTGATTGATGAGATCTAGCCTGTTGATCAGAATTAAGAGGAGAGGCTCTTGTATCGATGCTGACAATCCATTCAGGACATGCCATGATACGCCATTTGTGGTGCATACGTTGCGAATCAGAATCCTTGGAGGGAGCACCGATAATCAAATCATGTCCCGAGGTGAGAATGATGTGTCTACCCTTATGCAAAGGCTGAAGTGAGGTCAAGGGAGTCTCTGAAGTGTAGAGTGTTTGCATCTCTTCGATATTGCTCTCCCCTTCGGAGCAATTCCAGACGTATGACGACAGCTGCCATTTTTGGTTTGATTCCAACTTCTGAACAGCAAAGACGACCGCATCTATGTCCACGTCATCCTGCGTGACCAGTGAGATGTGGGTAGTTTCGTGCTGTGTCTGCTTGGAAGAGATACGTCTGCCCTCTGACCAATCCCAAGCCTCAATAGAACCTGAACTTAAGGCAATGTATAGCCTGTCAGGGGTGGAATCACACAACGCGACAGATGCGATTCGTTGCCCTTGATCTATATGGAGCTTTCGCAGCAGCAGTGATGTTGAGGTAGCGTAGACGGCAACGTAGGCTTGAAAGGGTATGAAAAGGTACCTATGGGTTATAAGCACATTTACATTGGAATCCAGCTGGAATGAGACTCACTCTTGGTCCAGAGAGAATGTCGGATCCAAGTCAAGCATTTGACCTCCAGTGGGTGGAGACAGCTTCCAACTTGGGGCTTCTTTGTTTGCAGCCACAGTCTGTAAACTTCTCTTCTGTTCGTCATCTGACAGTTTCCGCCTCTCCTCCTCATTCAGTCTTATTAGAGAAGAGGATGTCTGTAGGCCTTGCGGAAGTGGAGTCGCTTGGACATTCGCTGGATTCTTTTCCTGAACAGCGTTGTGTAGCTTCTTCTCCTTGCGTCTGCGTAGATCTGATTCGTCGTGGATTTGACTCCCATTTTTCATTCGTGCTTTTGCTTTGGCTTGAGTATCGTCCACAAGAACATCATCTGAGGCTGTCGAGGCTTGCATTTGCTCCTTCCTGATTTGCCTTTTCTCCTTCTGGAGCTGTTCTGTCGCCATCTTGTCATCCCTAGTCTCTGTTTGGTGCCCTGCAACACTCGAGACCCAGCCGTCCTGGTGAGATGTCTCTAATTGCGCGCTCCTATCATGCGGTACAGAGTCCAGCGCCTTCTGCTCCTCCTTCTTCTGCTTCTTGTTTTTCCTCTTCCTCTCCGATGAAGGTTGTTTATCATCTTCGATTGAACGCTGAATGGCTTGAGGTTCTTGACGTTGCGTTTTGGATTCAATTCCTTTCAATGCTTCTACATTGCCTTTAGAACGCTGCTCTTGCTGTTTCTTCAAAGCTTTCTGAGCCTTGCGTTCCGCACGCCTACTCTGATTTGCTTCGGCATCTTCATCGCCAAGTTTACCATCATGGTCTTTGACCGGAGATGTGAGCTTCGATTTCTTATGCTCCTGATGATCCACCTCAATCGAGCGATCTCCGCGTTTTCGTTTTGCCATTGCAGAGGCAGGCACTTGGAACTAGAGAGTTTCGTCTCCAGCCATGACATCAAGACTTACTGACTGATCCTGCACACTTATACAGTGCTCAATGACTAGCAGAGCTTCTAAGACATTGGTCAAAGGTGCAATGCGCCTTTTGTGAATTGCTCTTCGTTAATTTGAAGATTTTAGGGTTTCGGACATATCTCGGGGTTAACTTTTCCTTGAACTAGTGCGACTTCGAAGTCACAAAGGAAATCCACAACTCATTCATTTTGCCGCACGAGAAGCTCGTAGGGCAGCGGGCCTCGCACTAGCAATATGATCATCCCAGTGCGATGTTTCTCTTGCGGAAAGGTCAGTCACCTCCCCACAATACAGTAGGCTCAACATTTTCGAGCAAGCACTAAATGATCTTAGGTTATTGGGGACATGTGGGAAGACTTCTTGAAGATGCTGGGAGAAGGGATGAGTGATGGGTGGGTGCTCAGCTTCGACAAGTAGCTGCGGCTTCTTCCACAGCCATCTTGCATTTGACACAGCTGACATTGGCGCTTGAAGAGATGCTATGGACAAGCTTGGATGCAAACGCTACTGTTGTCGGAGAATGATCATGACGCATGTGGATCTGATTGAAAAGCTCTTGAAGTAACGCTTCAGAACATATCACGTTTGGCAAAGAGTGCTGACCCATGCAGGTACACGCCCGCGGAGCGAGACCGAGCTAAGGCTACCATGTGAAAGGAGGCGATAGATGATTTTGAGGAACAAAAACCTTGCTAAGTTCGATTAAGAGACCAAAGATATGAAAATGGCGGAGACAGCCTAGTCTACTGCGTTCGATACGAGGAATGTCCGAGGGCTGGCCTTAGACTTGAACATGCGGGAGCATGTCGTGATTAAAAGGGATAGTGAGGACGACCAGATATGCAGCTGCATCCGTGGCCGCGAGTAATCATGAAATTCGCGGAAGGGAATGATAGACCTTATGCAGAAATTTAATGCTAGGATTCGCCTCCATATATACTGCTAAGTTTTATGCACAGTTGATTCATCCTCTTCCTACATCAAACAACATGTCGAGCCACAACTTGGCTTCCACGGCTTTTCTGTCAATATTTCGATCGCTAAGCATGAGTACCTTACGCTCTGGTCCTGAGTATAGGTCAGATTTCGAATGACTTACCTCTTCTCAAATCAAATTCTTTTCCCCTTTCCCTCGGCGTCCGAATAGAGCTATATTCTGACCTAGGAGCCTATCGCTCCTTCATCTCCACCTTCATTGCCCGATCTTGTAGACTTGACTCTCGGTCTTGAGACCTAGGACAGGCTCAAGCTAGCAATTGCAATGTTCAGTCAGTCATGTCTTCCACGTAATCTCACCCCTCACCGCTGCCTTCATCCATTTCTTCCCTAGCCTCACCGCTCACAGTGTCTGCGTTCATTTCTTCTTGCCCTGCATTTTTCCTAAGCAATGGCCCCCTTGGCCGGCCAAACCTCTTCTTATTCTCATAGCATCTCACATCTGCGATGTCGATGCCCAGCGCTTGACTGATTGCCTTAGCCCTCCCAATGATAGTCTGTATCGTACTTCTTGCTATACCCGTCTCCTGCTTCACTACGCTCAACGTCTTCCCCTCGACCAAGTGGCTCAACGCCGCTTTTCTCCGCACAAATTTGTCTTTCTCCTTTCGACCTGAATTGTGAGCGGCACGGCGGGCAGCAGTCTTGCCTAGATTCGGTCGTCCCGAGCCAGGCTTGCGAGGCATCCCATTCTTGCGAAGCTTTAGCGTCTTTGTAGGTGTCGTGGTTGGGCCGAAGAGGCTGGGACTGGAGGAATCAGGCTGTCCAGCTTGAAGGTTTGTATTTACTTTCCAGGGGCGTGCCCAGCCGGTGAAGAAGTCGTATACATCATGTTCTTTGATACGTGAGATAGGGGAAGAGTCTATAAGATCATTGGCACGTAGGAACTCGACTGTGCCTTGGATCTTCCAATTCACTATTGCATCAAGATTGGGAGGCGGCGATTGCGCCTGGGGAGGAGATTCATCAGGATGAGCAGGCGTAGGATCGGCAGCATTGGGCCATCGGGGGTTGTTCGTCGGAGGGAGCGTAACGTGGGAAGGATGAAGAGACGAACTTGGCGAGGAATGCGGGTCCCCCGGCGTCTGTTGAGAGGATTGCGTTGTGTAATAATGCTGTGGGAGGGAAGATTGTTGAAGTGGGAACATTGACAGAGAATCGGCAAATGAAGGAAAGTCCATGGTGAAGCTAGTGCTTGATTAATTGATTAAATGTTAGGACAATAGAAGTGATGGGCCGGACTCTAATTCTACCCAGAATGTCTTGGCAGGGATCAGGGGCGCTCTACCTTATCAGGCTAGACTCAACTAACTTGAGCTGCTAGCGTGAACACTAGCGAAAGTCCATAGATTAGAGGTGCGAGGCAGATTGTGTATGAGCGAACGGGGCCTTGAGGCTGTCTAGCCGCTGCTGCCTCTTCAGTTCATTTACATGTATTGTACGATGGTCATGCCCGAGTCTCATGCAGCTCTTTCTGGTGAGCCATGCGTCGAGGTGCTCAGTGATTATCTTGCTTAGCCAATGGAACCTTTCTTGATGCCCCCTAGCGAAGATAAGGCTGAGTATCGTATAAGATCGCTGCGATCGCACGGTCGCGGTCCGCCCAAGAAGAGGCAAGCAACCAAATGCTCAGCTCTCCTGTATCCGAGAGGTTAGCGCCATATTTGCCCCTTGAGGACATACCTCAATCAAGCTTCCATATCATTGAAAAATGGCCTGGTGAAGAATCCAATGCCAAAACCCTTCCAGCCCCCGATAGCGAGACTCCTTGGGCTTGGGGACAGCACCCGTCACCTTATGAACGGAAAGAAACATTTCCGACACAGCGATTTCGGCGGACTCGAAATCCAAACATGACCAATAGTTCTTCTAATCCAGCGCTCAGCATCGACTTCCCCGTCCCCAGTGCTATCCAAAATACAGTTCAGTCAAGATACAGAAATGACATAGAATCTGGATCTGAAGAATTCACTCACGTTCGGTATACTGCCGCCACTTGCGACCCTAACGAGTTCACTCTTAAGAACGGTTACCATCTTCGACCAGCCATGTACAACCGTCACACCGAGCTTGTTATTGCCATTACTTATTTCAACGAGGACAAGTCCATGCTAAGCAGGACATTGCATAGTGTGATGCAGAACGCCCGCGATATTACTAATCTCAAACGCACCGAATTTTGGAATAAAGGTGGTCCAGCCTGGCAGAAAATTGTCGTCTGCCTTCTGTTTGATGGCATTGATCATTGTGATCAGGACGCACTGAATATACTGGCTACAGTTGGGTTGTTTCAGCATAGTGTTATGAAAAAGGACGTAGATAGCCAGCCGACGGTGGCTCACATTTTTGAGTACACGACACAGCTCTCTGTCACAGCAGAGCAAAATCTTGTTCAGCCTCATGACGATGGGCCCACGACTTTACCGCCAGTTCAGATGCTACTTTGTCTTAAAACACGCAATTCCAAAAAGCTCAACTCTCATCGATGGCTGTTCAATGCGTTCGGTCGGATACTAAATCCAGAGGTCATTGTCACTATTGACGTTGGGACTCGACCTGCCCCAAAGTCAATCTTGGCACTTTGGGAAGCCTTTTATAACGATGGAACCCTAGGGGGAGCAGCCGGGGAGGTTCAAGCTTTGTTAGGACGAAGGATGCGTAATTTGTTGAATCCTATTGTTGCGGCTCAAAACTTCGAATATAAGATAGGTAGTATGCTTGATAAGCCTCTCGAGTCTGTCTTCGGTTATCTTACCGTTCTCCCTGGGGCTTTCTCCGCGTACCGATTTCGTGCTATTATGGGGAGGCCCCTCGAGCGCTATTTTCGCGGAGACCCGGTGCTAGCTGATCAATTGGGGGGAAAAGGTCTGAATAGTATGAATATCTTTACAAAGAACCTCTACACGGCTGAGGACCGAATTTTGTGCTTCGAGCTTGTTACAAAAGCCGGCGCAAATTGGCATTTGGGCTACGTGAACGCCGCAAAGGCTGCGACAGATACCCCCGAAAACATGGCAGATTTCATAGCGCAGAGAAGGAGGTGGCTGAATGGAACATTCGCCTCGACTATCTATTCATTGCTTCACTTTCCCAGATGGTACAAAAGCACTCACTCAATCACACGAATGGGCCTGTTTCATGTGCAACTCGTCTATAATCTGGTGAATCTAATACAAGCGTGGTTCGGACTCGCGGCCTTCCTGCTTACGACGTTCATCATCACGGACATTACTGGCTCCCCACCAAGGACTCAGAGGTCGAAAGCATTTCCATTTGGATCAGCTACACCAGTCATCAATGCAGTGATACAGTGCTTATACATCGCGTTTGTTCTCTTTCAATTCATCCTAGCGCTTGGAAACAAAATTCGGTCGGAACGATTCAACTACATTATGTCATTTGTTCTATTCGCTTTCGTCCAATTCTACTTTATGGTCAATACATTATATCTTGTTATTAGAATATTCAAGGAAAATTCACGGCAGGACACTTCAAACAACGAGTACGCATACATTACCACCTTCTATTCATCCGTTGGTTCGCTAGTGGTGTGGATCACGTGCGGCTCGGTATTTGGTGTCTATTACGCTGTCTCTATTCTATACTTGGATCCCTGGCATATGTTCACATCGTACCCACAGTATCTCTTCTTGCTTTCAGCCTACACAAATATCATTAACGTCTATGCATTCAGCAATTGGCATGACGTCGATTGGGGCTCGAAGGGCAAAGAAATCTCTTTGTCAGAGTCCTTACCCTCAGCTACAAATGCAACGGTAACCACAGCCGAGCCAGAGGATACTGACAGAATCCAAGCGGATGTTGACGGCGAGTTCGAGGCGGTAGTAAGAAAGGCGTTGATCCCTTATCGCGGGTCAGTCAAAAAACACACGCGTACACTAGACGAGTCGTACAAAAGCTTTCGCACAAAACTCGTGGCAGTGTATATTTTCTCGAATTTCGCTCTCTGCCTGATTGTAATGAATGAGTCTTTCGACAAACTCTCGTTTCTAGTCAGTCATCGCCCCTCTTGCCATAGTGCTGTCACTGTATCAAGCTGACGTCGGTTTGAAGGGAGATAGTTATGCCCACAAGGTTTGGTTCTTCCGCATCTGGATGTGGGCCACTTCAGGCTGTTTCCTTTTACGCTTTCTTGGAAGCTGCCTCTGGATGGCGCGCAGTATGATATTCTATTATTTTGCAAGGAGATAGGATTGCCAAGTTGCTGACGGTTTGATTTCATCTGGCGGACCAACCCACAGTCCATCAACTTGGAATATCTTTGGAGAAATCTGTATCATCTGTTCAAGTCCTGATATACCAGCGAATATCTTGCTTCAGTGAAAGTAAGTACTGTCCGATCAGTCACGACTAGTGCGGCCAAGTCCGTTAAAGTAGTAGAGACACAGCTGATGTACTAGCTACAGTCTGTTTGTCTTAGCGTTTACATCTCGTCAATATTATCCAAGAGTGGTTCAGACTCGTAGCCTTCCTGTTTCTCGGTCAGCTTGCTCAGGAGAGTAGGAGCGATGCCGGAGGGACATACCTCTAGCTCGAGTCTTTTGATCCTTTTCTCCACCTTGCATCTCTATTCCTTCGGTTGACGCGGTGTCCATTATCTTGGGCCCTTAAATGCCAGCCAGGAAAATTTCCCGATACTTCCAATTAAAAATTCTCTGGAAATGAAACCCACGCCGAGTGGGCGGCCAAGGACCCTATAAGAAAGTAGACACCACTGATGCAAGCCGAAAGGATATCAGACCTTTGGCAGACATGGCTTACATCAACTTCAGGGATCTACGGAGACCCATGGCTTAGACAGAATCTTTCCTGTGGTGGAAGGTGGAATAACAAAAACTTGACCATCTTATTGCCGCTTTCCTCCTGGCTGGCTGGAAATTTTCCAAGAGTGGGTGGTGGAAACGGAGTCTTTAACGTCTTGTTGCTGCCTCTGGCCTTGGCTGGCTAATGCTCGCTTGAACTTTTTCCGTTTTGAGTGACGGCAGGTTTGAGCTGGTGCCGAAAAACTCTGAAATGCAGGTATGAAAATGAAGGGGATTGGCAGAGACCTCTTGGAACAACTTTTGTCCAATATCGACGGTTTCAGAGCGCTTTCGACATGTAATGCTTACCATGGAACCTAGTCCCCACTACCGCTATATCTCTTATGAAGAGGCCGCTAGCAACTCATTATTGAAGGGCAAGACGCACTGCAATTGTGGATAGGGGAAATTTTGCTCAAAGAAGGGAAAGATATCTACGCGCTGAAACAACCTTCCGGCTTTCGACAAAGTCGATGAATGTCGTTAATGGTCAAGGGTGGGTCAATTCAAAGGTGCCAGACAGTACTTCTTCAATAGCTCAAGCCTGGCCACCCCGACATGAAGTTAACACAACTCTCAAGCTACCCATTGAAGCTGCTTCAGATAGGGGCCACCACTGAGCACTGTGACTCTATAATGATCAAAACGGCCTCGGATGGTCTCGACTAGATCGTCTAAGGTCACTGATGCTTACTTGTAATCAACGAACGGCCCATATATGTTGACCCATCTGTCCAGAAACCCAGGGAGTCTCCATTTCAAGCGCAACCTCATCACCCTTGAGCTCTTGCCTCATATGTACTTGCAGAGGTTGATCAAGCATTTCGTCATGATTTGGCAACTCGAATTTAGCACTGTCCTTTCCCCCTTCAAGTTCGCCTCTCATGTCTTTCGCATCTAGCTCATATCTCCGTCTCTCCTCGTCCTGAAGCTCAGCTTTAGGTTGAAGATATGGTCGGCTTACTCCTGCACTTGAAGTATTTCTCGTCTTGAAATGTGATTGCAAATCTCTCTCATCCCCCCAGCGCTTCCACTTTGGATATATGACTCCCAACAGGAGGACTAGAAACAAAGGTACAAATACAATGATGAGAGTGATACTTATGGAGAGTTTCTGATATAGCGAAAGGCCTGACGACTTAGAGAACGAAGATGACTGATGAGTTGGTGATTGTGTGGCTATGCGTGTTGCGTTTCGTCTATCGATGTAGGGCATGGCTGAATCAAATTTGTATTTGGAAAAACGGGGTATGACACTTAGAGGATCTATGAGACATCTTGTTGGTGTGTGCTGACTTTCCCGAAATATTATCACAAAGTCAAGTGACATCATGTTGGAATAAGTGGTCAAGTAAGTGCTCAGCCCACGTATTTGCCGTCCATTTATCTGGATCGACCGCAGGTGGCTTGAAGATCACGCAGATCCTAGCTATTCAGACGCTTTCAATGCCTCGCGAACAAGAATACTCGAAACAATGACATCATTTCATCATGGACGTGGCCTTAAACAATACTTAGAATGACATCTACTGCGGCAACTCTTGTCCCTGCGCCGATCATAGATAGCAAAGGGTAGGTAGTACTGTCACTTACATGCTCTGCCTCAATACCTGCAGGTTGTTGGTATGGTCCGACTGGCTCAACCTGGGACGGGACTGCATGACATGCATTGAAGATCGCCGCGGAAACGTATATTTACCGAAAACTCACAGCATATCCGGTCAGAACACAGGAACCTTTAGACTGAGCCGTTGGGCTCGCCTATTCTGATTTACTCAGCTCATCGATCCGGGAAATCGCTTAAGTATGCATCAATTCCGGAGCTGTCGGCGCTCTACATGTCCGTCCATTTTCATGAGCATTCAGCTTGACGATCTCGATCACTCGATCATGGAGTGATACCTCTATGAGGCAAGAGGTAAGTTGAATTCTCTCTTATGGCAGCATGAAGATCTTCACATATCGAATACGCTTGAAATCTAGCGAACGACAAGAATGGACGGTACTCCCCTTGTACTCGCAATCTGAGAGTTTCATTGAATCAAAAAGACGTGTGGCAACGAACTTAGAATTTGGAAATGAGGAAATTCGTTTGCCAAAGAGCGCAATTCATCCAAAAAAAAAACATCATAACTACCATCAACATCACCCTCAAATACCCAATGTCTTCCGTAACTCAGCAGCACTCCCCTCCAACTTCTCCTCATAATTAACACCTGCCAATTCCGTCCCCCTAAATCCTTTCTCATCAAACATAGCCGCCACCCAAAGATACTCCTCATCGCTCTTCATCCGATGCACATTAACCGCCTGATTCGTCACGGCGGTAAAACCGCCCTTAACATCAATAACATCAAAAGACTGCGCAGCACTCAACTCCACATACTCAAACGGCTCCTTCGCCTCCACCATCAAATTCGCAATCATGAAATCCTCATGCCGTTTCCCCAGCTCTCGTTTCTTACGCCCGTACGCACCCCCACCCGACATCTCAGCAAACAAATCGCGAGTCGTGGTCTGGTAAAGGTTCGCGAGCAACTCAACCAGGTCCCAGGTCAGTGTGTAGAACTGCCCACTGGGAAAGACGTGCGGACGCGCATACTGTATCACCCGAGTGATGACGGTGCGTTTCGCGTCGCGGTGCGGGACTAGGAAATCATCTCGCGCTTTATTCGCGACGACGAAGGTGTCGTCGTCGACTTTGGTTACGAAATCCCACTTTCGGCCCAGATCGCGCAGGTAGACTAGCATGTCGAATGGTTTGAGTGTTCGCGCGAACTCCTTGTCGTTTTCGTTGTGGTTTGAGTTGGAGATTATGATTATGTCGCCATAGGTGTCGTTTTCTTGCTTTATGACAGGCAGCCATTCATCGCTGGGCGTGCTGATTACGAACCGGGAGGTGAATGGGGTTGTGGGGTGGTAGTAGCTCTGCCAGGTGGAGCGGATGACTTCGCGGCGAAGGCGGAGTGGGGCGGCGGAGCTTGTCCAGATGAGCCAGGATGGATGGTCGTCAGGTGAGGAGTTGAAGATGGAGAACGAAGGAGCTGAAGGTAAATTATGGTTGCCAATTAGTCCAGAATGGTATACTAAACTGCTAGCTGTGATGATTGCGACAAGGGATACTAGAAGAACACGCATCGTGATCAATTGACGCCGAGCCTCACTGAAATTCAAACTGCAAGAAGTACGCATTCATATCGAAAAAGCATGCTAAATGTTCAAAGGCGAAAAGATGAAGAGATGAAAATGAAATCACTTGGTGGGGAGATTGAAGGCGCCAGGTCCTCGAAAAAGGCTTGCAGCATGCTGGTCGTGGGTCCATTGCCTCGTGTGGAAGAGGGAACAAATGCATCAACTTCAATTCCCGATTGGGATGGGTCTCTGATCGATCTGGTTCGATCGAACGGGCCGCTCCCTTACGTGACAACTTTGACTGGACGGATGGCCATGATACCTACATCAGATTCCACTTTTCATGCAGGCACACAGGGCACCAAGACCCTGACCCCGAGTGTCTCCGGCTTGGGCTGCAGCGTGACGAAATCCTCGTAAAACTCCACATCTTCCCTCCCCATTTCATACAGACTGAGCTGGTGTCATCTCATCAGCGCCATCAACATGATTCAGATCTCATAACACGCCGTTTGCATGCTCAGACAGATGCCGTTCCCGCGTCCAAAGACTACCATGGAGCGAGACATTCTTTTGGTGTCGTCGGACCTTTTTGCATTATCCAGCCAGCGCTCGGGTTTGAACCTGTAGCTGTCGGGAATAGAAGCCTACTGCAGTAGGCTCGAGGTTGAGAAAAGACTCACGACTCAACGGCATACTTGCAAATCTTTCATGCCTGAGTGTACTTCACATTATTTTAGACCTTCAGCAGTGGCTGACGTGTCTGTATTGGTCTTGTATTGCGCAAGTATACGTTGCACTGCCGTCTCTCCAATCTAGCAAGCAATGGATTGGAGAAACATGGAAACGACGAATGTCTTATGTACCCATGCTGCATGCTGACCTTCCCACACCTTGTAACGGTAGGAGAATCCACTTATATTACACTAGAGAAGGCTGCGACTTCCATTAGCCAAACGATGTGAATGCTCTTCTTGAAATGGATCTGTAACATGAAAGCCGAACATCCGAGGTCTACGGTGGTACAATCTCTTTGATTGTCTTGGCCACCATAGCTGTCATTGCGCGTCTGATTGTAAGGACATTATCATCTGCTAGGCTAGGCTGAGATGACCTGAGCATAATAATCGCCTTGGTAAGAGAGATGCTTCACAGAAGTAGCCCTGTCATTAATGTGTCACAGATCCTGGACTGGGGGCTCATTTCATGCTACTGGATCGAAATCGAGTTGCTAGGCTGGGTCGCCATACACAAGCAGTGGGAGGTCCCGTGGATAAGAGGGAGCTTCGAACCTATTTCAAGGTGCGCTGAGAATCGAGGAAGCCTATGGATCATTTTGACGGGCCTTCAGATCTTCATGGCGATACAAATTCTCTATTTCTCGTCCGCTGTCGCAAAATCCCGTTGATCTTGCAGGTCAAGTAATTGTTGAGCTCCTTTCTCATTCTGGCGAAAGTCTCGGTCATTCGAGTCGAAAGAACGGTCTTCGCAGGTAGGGTTCTGGGTTGAAGCGTCGTCGAAGTACAGACAATCACGGGCCGACTAAGCGGGGCAAAAGCGAGGTTTCTGGAGGGCATTCATCTGTTGTCTATGAGACTGTACCAGATTTGAAGAGGAACACCAGATCAAAGAATGCCCCCAGCGGGATCCAAGAGACACCCTTCGTGTTCCACATCACCAATCCACACACCCGATGTTGGCAAGAAATATCACACGTGTTCCGCAATACTTGCTCAAACCCCATGCAAATCATTTCCTCCGTCAATGGCGGGCCAAATTACAAGCGCGCGTGGACAGCGGCGACAGAATGGGCTTCATCCAAGATTTGGAACTGACACCCGTGCAACGTCACGCGGTGATGGAGACCACCAACGCATTGAAGGCCAGCAAAACGCTTAGGAGACTCTGTCCAGTGGAAGATCAGTGGATAAAGCTTTGGATGCCGAGAGTGGGGTTTTGCTGAATGATGATTTGGATGGTTTGGTTCATGAGTCTGTGGAAGTGTGACAGAGTGGCCATGATTGGGATGAATAGAGTGCGCCTGAGTTTTTACTCTTTTGAGCGAAGACTATATTTCGATTTCGAAGGTGCCAGATATGCGGGTGGGATGAAGAAGGTCTACTTGTAATCGAGATTACTTTGAACCCCCCTCGCCCCTGGATCTTCGGGTCGATATTTAGGGTTCCGGTTACCGGGCGACCCCGGGGAGCGGACGGATCTCTCCGTAGTGTATTGATTGCCTAAAAAGTCTTTGTCTCTCTTAATTTCAGGTTGTACAGCAGTGGCGGACCAATCTGCGATGGCTATAATCGTTCATTGTCAGGAGGCGAGTTTCGGAATGGGCGATCATACGAGTTTGTTGCCTCAGCTGAAAAATTGAGTCTATGATTGCTATTGTAGGCCACGAATCGCTGGATAAAAGCTTTTTTTACCGTACGATGGAGTCCACGTTCAAAGCTTTGATTATGACACTGCTGTTCAATGAGCCCTGTTAAGTTTACAACATGCTCACACAAGACAAAATTCCTCACTATTTTCCTGAATATTTTCAAGGCAGTCAGCATACTCTCTCAAGCGTAAAACCTCACCATCCATCATGCCGTGAAGATAAGCCTCTCCCACAAGTTTATAGCCGTATCGTGAATCGTTAGCATTGACCGGACTAAGAATAACGGGCACGCTACAGCCGAGCAGAACGCATACAAAGTCGCCAATTTGGGCTCCAGAGGGACCAATACCGAAACAGTAGGATAAATCGCCAGTATCCTCAAGCAGGAAAAAGCGTTTATCCCATATGACCTCTTGTACTCGCGTCAAAAATTCGACCATCCATGGCGGCTTGCCTTGGCGGATCAGCTCCGCTGTATGAATGTCGCCATTCGGATTCCGCCGTTCCATGGCCAAGCTCAAGGCATCTAAGTACGACCGAGGAGGTGGATCACCTTCAGGCGTCTTATTTGCAACAAGCGTTCGCCAGAGTTCTTCGGGGATGGAGGTGACTTCCTCATCGTCATCATCAATCTCGTCTTTACACCCTCCCATGATTAGGCATTCGCTCGGGATCATGCCCTCGTACAGACGGTGCGTGATTTTCGTAATAGCACGGATCCTAAAGCCGCGAACATAGATTGTTCCATCTGATGCACGGCGACTGCTCGTGCTCAAGGTTTCTCTCGCACTTACTTTGTGGGTGGAAGGGTTTTCTGGAAGACTGCGCTTTCTTAGATCAAGAGACGCTTCATCTACATGAAAAGTCAGCCTTCGCGCAGAAATTGGATTGCAAACAGGAGCGCCAACCTTGAGGCTGGATTGCGTCTACTTCCCCGAACGATATCTCTGCTCGACTTCCTCCACACGCATTATATCTTTGGTTAGTGTCCACTAGACTATTGCCTCCAACACGTAGGGGCGGCCCTGAGCGCGGATGTCCAAACGCTGAATCTTGTAAAAGACCGATCCACGACGGAAGCTTGACCTCCTGCACTGGGGGCGGACGGCCACGGTATTTAAGACGTTCTTTGACTGTCAGATGCTTTCTATTGCGGTTTGGTGCCCACTTTCGGCAGATGATGTCTAAACGTGCCGACCCAATAATACAAAAGGCAATGAAGTCCTTGAAAACCTGCAATATGTTTTTCTTGTAGTCAACGACGAAATTGACCTGAGAAGTATTGAGTTGCCAGTCGGGCATTGGGCGCTGCGAATCATGCCGTATATCTCGTGCTAATGCTACTAAAGCGTACACTGTATCGCGAGGATCTCCAGCCTCGAACATAGTCAGCTCCGACACAAGCGCCTCCAAGGATTTGAGGCGGTCTTTAGATCCTCTAACAAACTCGTTAGTTACCGCTATCATTTTAGCAGCGCCAGCAGCTCTCATGTTACCCAACGCGTCTAACCGCTGCTTGAAGTCTGGGGAATCGCCATAAAGGGCAGCAATCGTTTCAAATTGTCGAAAGAAGGTTTCGACGGCTGCACAATAATCGAACCAATCGACTGAAGCATCACCACACATCAAGTACGCTTGCTTGGCAAGTGCAAGTTCTTGCACTACCCAGCGCCTGCGAAACCATTCCTTTCGCATTAAGGCTACGAATGCACCCCACTGCTGAGGGGTTGAGTCTTTGGCAGAGAACATGTCATCACGTTCGTGTTGCGGTACTCTGTTGACGAAATTGAGACCGATACTGCTATCTTCGCTCTCTTTTCCCAGCCAGATGCATACATCGGCTGCACGCTTGTAGATATCGGCCATCATTCTAACTTGTGTACTTTTCTCATTTCCATCGTTCTGGTTGATACATATCCAGTCAATCCACAGGACTATTGTTTGTGGTTCTCTCTCCGCCGGGTCGCGGGTCTCACCAGAATAATTTCTCAGATGTCGCAACGCTTCGCCCAAATTTGGTCTGACGTAGAAAGTCGCATTTGGCTTCAACTTCTGCTTTTCCATAATCGTTTCCCGGGCGTGGTTAATGAATCTATCGATCGGCGTTCTTGGCGCCCGGAGCGGTAATTCGGGTTTGCGAATCCACATTCTTTGGGTAGGCTCTTCATAACCCCATGTGTAGGAGAGTGCCAGATATTGGAGTCGCGTATCATCGAGTCTGACATTCTTAAGTTCGGCATAAAGCATATCTCCCTTGTTGTCAGCTGGCAATAGGTGCAGTAAACGGATCTCGTGAGGACCGAGAGGAATGTACTTATGTGTCGCTTGAGGGAGGATCAAGCCACGGTATAAGGAGTCAAGATTATCCTGCGTGCGCTCCAAGCTTGGGACAACATCCGTGAGTCCGGCGTCTGAAGGTCTGAACCTCGATTTCCCCGTCCGCCTCTCCGGCCTTTTTCCACCTGGAGGCATTGTATAGCGGTCAGAGATGTTGCCAATGGCGATTGCTTTACCTTAATTGGCAAAGTAGTTCCCTTTACTCTGCGGACAGATGAAGTAGTTTGGCTATTGCAGGCTAGAGACAACAAAATGAACTCTTCATCAAGCCAGGTGAATTAGAAGATTGCCGTCTTATCTTCCCTCTCGGCTTTTTATCACACCATCAGACCCCACTGACTTAAGCGCCACGCCCTGGGATGAGGCTCACCTTCAACCAGTCCGCTCACTGGAAAGGAAAGCCCAGGGGCCAGACGCTAGCCTCAACGAAATGGCTGTTGCCGGAAATGGCAGCGATCGCTAAGTTGACTCCATGCCACAAGACACTAGGTGTGCAGCTAGATAGAACGGCTCGAGCTGGCTCATAACTAAGATTTAGTGTAAGGCTCGCCGCCATTTCCTTCCGCCTTCCTCATGGATCCTCATACCATACGAATATAGGGAGGGAGGGGAAACGCCAAGAGCACTCCAACATCCATGAATGCAGATTGCAGTGGGCTTCCTGGCCCAGGTTCCTTTCGGAGCGCATAGTGAATCTGGCTCTCTTAACACCAGAACGTCGTCAACTGGAATATATCCGTTCCAGCGCTGCCACCTTAGCAGCTAATTCTGATAACTTCTGATCAGGCGCTTCCAAGCGCTCAAAGCATCAGGCTGACGTCCGTGCTTCCGCTAACCAAAACTCAGTAAGCCTTAGTTCTTTGACTGGAAAGCTTTAGGTTAGGGTGGATAGCATGTAGCCGCAAAAAGTATGGGTGATGCCATCAAAAGTTTTGGAGCGCTCAGACATTGTCTTGGCATTAGGCTTTCGATGGCTCCATCGCTAGAAGGGATCACCCTTAGATCGGATTTTTTTGCCTATAGGGGTGTAGCGGGGAGCATTTTGTAGATGCGCAGTCAAGATAGAAATTACGCCCAAAAATCCGATCTAGGGGGATTCCTTCTATGTCCTGTAAGGGTCTCAGCCGGAAGCAACCAGCTATACTCAGAGCTTTTTTACATGAATCATGAATTTGATAATTCCGGGGCTATCCCTATTGAGAGAAAGTAAAGGTGAATTCCTAGATTTAGCGTCAACTTAGAGCTTTAGTAGGATGTAGGATATATAGAAACAGCTTGAATATGTTAAAAGCCTATAAGACACCTTACTGCTAATGTTAACCTGTCGCTATTCTAGTGATCCCATTAGGCGACAGATTTATCTGTTTTATGATTCATTCAAAAAAGCCCTGAGTATAAGGTACGCCCCTCCCGCCAAGCACCCTTTACAATGGGGGTCACTCTTAGAGCTATCAGTTTCTGGGGGCCTTTGGTACAGGTCGGCCGAGCTAAGACCAGCAAATATCTCAAGATTTCCGTCTTTGGCCGCCTGGTTCAGTAGCAAAGCCAACTACCAGTAGGTCCAGAGATCTCGCTAAAGTCTCGTATATCCTAATCTAAAAGCTGCTTCCTTTCATACGCCTTTCCCCCAGAAATCGGGGCGTATGGTCTACAAAGACGCTTCAATGATCCCTTCCCCATATCCTGGCGGCATCCAGAATTTAGTCAATTTCAATCCGGCTGCCTCTATAATTGACTGCCATTGGCCTCTGGTTCGCTCCATGCCTGTAAAGGCCATCAACATCTGGATGTCTATCAATCCTTCATACAAACTACATCCCATATCTGGAAGTATCCACTCATTCAAAATCACCTTCGAATACCCCTTGGTCATCGCCGATGCAATTTGCTTGAGGATCAGAATGGACTTCTCGTCATCCCAGTTGTGCAAGATGTAGTGGGTGTGGTAAAACCGTGCACCCTTCACGGGCTGGGCAGTGAAGAAGTCGTGGCTTAGTTTTTCGATTCCCTGCACATCCGTGCTGTCCAAGGTATGTTGTTGGTCCTCCAGAACAAATCTGCCCGGAGCATCGGGGAATTGAGCTTTGAAGGCTGCGAGGTCCCTGCCTCGACCACCACCCAGGTCTACCATGAGTACAGCATTAGGATCGTCCCTGGCGCCCTCAAGTAGTTCTTTTTGGACAGGAAACCTTCCGAGATGCCAGTCAGCGTCTTCAAAGGTATATAACATCATGGCGTTGAGAAGAAGCTCGGAAGCATCGTGGATGAGCCACGGGGAGCCCACTTACCATTCCAGCCAAGTCCCACGTGTCGCTCTTACTCCACCACTGAAATTCTGCGCTATTTCTGGCTTCTTCTCCATCCTCTCGTAATAGGTATCCTCGGTATCATAAGCGTACTGAAACGGTGTCTGTTCCGACATCGTCGTGCTTCTATATCCAATCCTCCGGAAGAACTCTGGAGATTTTTGTGAGATCTGGATGTTTGTGCTGAAGCTGTGTCTCCTGCTCAGTCTCTTCATTCCACCAGAAGATCTTCATGTATACTCACGCATGCGAGAGACCCCTTGTACTCTGAGGTCTCGTCATTATCTCACTCTTGGGTGTAGAGGCGTATGTGGATATTCCAGTCTCTTTGGCGAAGCCAGCCGCCGTCATTACCCTCATGATTCGTACTGTACACCATTCAGCTTATCGTCATCGCCTATGAATAAACCGCTTCACTCGTCCTCTATTAATCGCCTCAAGTATCTGACTGAGCAAACAGATACACAATCCATTTGATAGCGATGAAAGAAGGGCAATAAAGGAAACTGACCGATGAGTTGGGAATCAGCATTCAACGGCTTGCCCAGTTGTGCCGCTGTCCAGGATTTGCCACTCTGCGCGGTAAGAGTATCGAAAATCTTCAGATCTGTTGCTATCTTCAGGCAGGCGACAAGGTTGTGCTGCAGCGCCATTGCCGGATCACAACCGGCTTCGACTGATTTGTCGGCCGCATTCATCAAGACCTTGGATAATTCGAGTACTGAATTCATGCTAGATTCGCTCAATTCACCTGGAGTATCGACAATCGCATTCAATCTCTTGACAAGCTCCCGAATGTACGATTTGTCCGCCGAGTCGACCTCCATCTTGCTTGCAGGTATTATGACTATCGGGTTGAATCTTGCACCTCTAAGTTACTTCAACCGAGTGGACAGTAAATCAAGTGCTTTTCAATTTTCCAGCCTTCTCGTAGCCTTATAAGAAAACCACCTGGCTCATTCAGGGTCGTTGGAGCACAAAATCCTCCTACGCTACCCGATGCGCTAATGTACACTCTACATCAGGCTCATACATGGAGGAACAGCCGACGTGGATTTCGAGCGTAGATCGTCGCAATATAGTCTTGATCTAGTGAAGCTCAGCTACTGGTTCCAGGACGATACGTTTGGATTACGAAGTCTCTGATACTTTCATGTGACACACACGGAACTCGATCTAATGTTCAATAGCAACAAAGCCGAGCGTGGGCGGACAAGTTCGGATCATGGCTGCAGATGTGCATGCCGAGCAGATCCAAAGTTTGGGAGAAGATTTGCAGCATCCCCCCAACTAGTTTTCCTGTTTGTGAATTGAATAAGTCTGCTTCTGCTTCCCTGATCAGTTGCAACTTCGATATTGGTGATGGAGAAAACCAATGTATCACCCAAAACCAGTCCCAGTACTTCCACTCCATCTGTCAGGACTACCAACGATGGTAGAATCAATAAGGAGTTAGACCAGGCATATTGGTTCATCGAGAAGTCTAAAGATGCAGCGAGTCAGAGCGCGACCGTCGACCTCACACATGTGTATCGCAAGGTCGATTGGCGTATCGTGCCAGTGATGTTTTTGTGCAACCTGTCCTGCTTCATTGATAGGCTGCTACTCAATGTGAGGACACCCGCAGATCTGCCTTGCTGTCCGCTTCAAGACTCAATGATTGATTAGTATTCGGCTGTTATGGGATTGAAGAAGGACTTAAGGCTTCATGGTAATGATTTCTCCAACACAGCAACGGCATTTTTTGTAGCATACCTGGTTGCAGAAGTGCCTATCGGTGAGCCTCGACGGACCAACACTCGCATTAGGGAAGCTGAATGACCGTAAGCCTATATATTGCAAGTGGTTTCACCTGGAAAATGGCTCGCGGGCAACGTGTACGTTGAAACCGCATCCTTTTCGTCGCGTCAAACAGCCTTCTGCGAATCTTTTGTATGTTAGATGCATTAGATGTTCGTGTATCTATCATATTATTCGACCCAGAAAGCACGCTCACCTCTTATTGTCGACAGGGTCCTTTGGGGAATCGCAACAGCTTGCACCGCCGCGGCGACTGACTATTCTTCCCTGCTAGCAGCCAGAATCGTTCTGGCAATATTCGAGGCCTCTTTGATTCCGACGCAAGTCACAATTCTAAGTCAATGGTACAGCAAGTCCGATCAAGCGCTGCGTACGGCCTTCTGGTGGTGCAGTGTCGGAGCAGGCCAGATCATCGGCGGTTTCCTCTCGTGGGCTTTTCAACAAGCTGATAATGCCACGTTCGCATCTTGGCGGATAATGTTCTTGGTTGTAGGCGTTGTCACCATCTTCATTGGAATTGCAGCGTATTGGGCAATGCCGGACTCTCCAATGACGGCAAAATTTTTAAGCACCGATGAGAAAGTTGCATTGCTTGAGCACGTGTCTGTTAATCAGACTGGGGTTAGGAACAAGTATTTCAAAGTGACGCATCTGCTAGAAATATTCACGGACGTGCAGATTTGGCTCTTCGTGGTCATCACAATATTGGTAAGGGCTCGCAAAGGCAAAGCTCTGTGATAATACTGACAGCTGCAGGCCGCCCTACCCACTGGAGTAGTAACACTATACTCGGCCACTCTTCTGGCGAATGCTGGCTTCGCCCCAGATATTTCAGCCTTATTGCTGATACCTCAAGGAATAGCCGGGATCACAGCTGCCATCATGTGTGGCTATGCCGTCCAGTACGCCTCACACAGGTGGGCATGGCTCGTGTTCCTATCTATGCTCGGCATCCTTGGCTCAGCGCTCATGTCATTCCTCCCCACAAGCAATCACGCCGGCTTGCTGGCGGGCATATATATTACCAGTGCTGTCACTCCGGCACTATTTCTTCTTTTCCAATGGACCGCCTCAAATGTCGCTGGGTCGACGAAGCGCTCTATAGCCTTACCTCTGATAGCGGGAAGCTTCAGTGCAGGCAGCGTGATAGCTCCGCAGACTTTTCAGGCTAAAGATGCTCCAGATTACCTGCCGGCAAAGATTACGACGATGGCGTCACAGGTCGCTGGTGCCTTGCTGACTTTTCTCCTGTTTTGCTATTATGTCTGGATGAATAGACGAAGGGATCGGCATGCTGCTTTAGAAAGTCGGGCTGTTGAACACAAAGAGCAGGACCTCTGGGAGGATCTTACCGACTCGAAGAATCCTAATTTTAGATATGTCTACTAGACCTCTGGCGCTCACCCAAGCATGATTGAATCCAAAATCATTGCCTAGGCCTACATATAACTGTCGGCTAGGACGATGTATGGTTGTATGCATTACTCACACAGACTCTTTCAATGCTTCTCATTTGTCTACAACTAATCTTATATCTTGGTAGCCTTTTAAAACGGTCCCTAGGGACAAAACGGGGTAGGCATCGTTTTCATCGGAGATTTCAGCCTGATTCGAAGGACTGGAATTCTTTGCACTGGTGTGCTTCCTTACACAACAAGAACACTAAAAGAGGTCTGCCATCCCAGTATAGCTTCCCCAGCACACTAGCCCCTCGATCTAGCGCCTCTTTTCCCTTTAGCCATCGCGCATTATGGGAATAACTCGCAAAGACTTCACTTCACTTACACTTGAGGAGCTCCCCAAAATCTTGCTTTTTGGATATTCAGCCAGTTCCATCCGCTTCGGAACTATAACGGCTGAAGAAACAGAGAGGCGAATTGAGGTAGTAGGCAGTTCAGACACGAGAAGATAAGGCCTTATGCCGACAGCCCTTCTCCCATGCCTGAGCCTCTCCTACCTCCTCATCTGCTCCCAAAAAGCCCCTTCCATGTCCACGTGACCAATCCAACCAGTGCCAATCAGAAAACACCCTGTTTCTACATCCGGAAAGTCTTAGCGGACCACATGCAAGACGTCTGCAAGTACCTGCACTGCATATGCCGGCGACAATAACCACAACCACCACAACAAGGAAGCATAAAATCGCCGATCTGATAGCCGACGTATTTTGCATCCTTATTCAACTTCCCTGAACTAGAAACAGACGATGCTTGGTCCGAGGTCGACCCTAGCCTTTACAGATGTCATCGTTTTGGGAACACGGGTGACTGCGCTCCAGATTGCTCACCACTGGCTTAAGGGTGGAGATTGTACTTGCTTAAGACTACGTAGGCATTTCAAACGCCAGAGATTGTGTCGACGACAAGTCAGTTTGCAACGCTCAACAGCATCAAGCTGATCGCAGCGTATGAGATTCACCAGAGGCCATGAGCGAAGTCAACAACGTTCATTTGACATCAAAAAGGGAAGTAGTAAGTTGAAATCGCTGGTATTGGATGGGGAGGCTAGAGTGGGCGGTATTGGGTAGAGAAATCTTTTCCAACATGTCATTTGCTTTGGGTGTGGCCCAGTAGAAACCTTTATATTAGTATTGTGTCAACATCTTGTAAGAACATGGTCCACATCAAAAACTTCTCGTTTGAGAAACCAGGAAGATGACAACACGAGCGTCTGGAAGTTCCAGGCAGCGCTGGGTGTAAATCTGTATAGTACTGATCAACCATATAGTCTCTACATCGGAGTTCTGCGTGCCGCTTCTGTATTCCCCTTCAGCTGGATAGTGATAATAGTGACCTCAAAAGAAGAATACAAACCTCAAAAGATATCAAGAGGTTTTCGAAGATCAGACTGTAATTCTTGAGGTGGTTTTAGGGGAAGAGAGGGACGAAGCGCGGCGTGTGATATGCAGCCACAGTCTTGATATGATAGCAGGTTTTGAGAGAGAAGATTGCAACAGAAGAATCTGAATCAAAGAAAGACCGATTCGCCGTCCAAGTGATCAATTTGTCTGTCTCGCTCGAACATTTCGACTTGAAGGGACTGAAAAGAAGCATGCTTTCAATTTCATTAATTCATATATCTCATGTAAAGACGGAAACATCCAACCGAGCCAGAACTACGTGCCAGTCCTGAGTATGCCTTGTGGCATTTTTGTGGCTTAGTATTCAATCTACAAGTGAGATTGAACGCAGCATCTTGACATTGATCAGACATTGCCACCAGCATTGATACCATTCTGAGTCAAGCCCGTCCCCTCACCTCTGCCTCCCTGGCTTGTGTCGGCTTTGGTGGTAATTTCGGGGCGGAGTGTGACGTCCGGCGCGTATGTTGGTAGCGCATTTGGAGAGGCAGGAACAGTAACCTCGTTGGTGATGACCGAGACCGTAAGGTCAGAAATCTCGCCTCGGTGCAATGCACTTCCATCGGTCTGATCGCAGTCAGTGGCAGGGACAAAAGATATAAATGAGACAGAGGACGACAGGGAGTACTTACCAAAGCGACATCCCAATGAAGGTTCTCTTGCAGAAATCTCTCGATCACTGGGACTGACAGATCTCGTACGCCGGGATAGCGGGCTAGATAACGCTCCACGAGCGCCAGAGTCAGAGGCACTTGACCGGTCACTTGCATGTCGTCGGCTGCATCAACGATGCATTTTTCGCATCCTGTGCTTTCATTGGCACCTAAAACAGTCAAGGCTCCCACATGGTCCGCATCGATGAGCCACTGAGCCGGACGAGTTTTGTCATAGTCGCCAAGGAAAACATGCACATTGTACGGACCAAGCCCATGCTTTCTCGTCTTGATATTCACGATCCAGTCAAGATACTTGCCATCGCTTGCCAGATTTCCAATATCCGGCGACGGAGGAAGCTTTCTCGGAAGTTCTTGCCACCATTTCGAGGTTGCATGGTGCTTCTTGAGAAATTTGGATTTTCCCTCAGGCTCCTGAGCTTGGTAATTGCGAATGAGCTTCCAAAACGTCGACGTCTTCTTGATCTTCGCCACTGCATCTTCTCTGGCTTGAGAACCCATTGCTAAGATGAAAGCTAAAGAAAATATGGGGGATCGTTCCCTCAAAGCCTTGATGATGGCAGTGTAATAATCTTTTTGATGCTGATATTTCCAGGCTTGCGTCTCTGGATACGCATAGCCAAAAGGCTCAGTCTTTTTGACTTGGGCTGATGTGTAGTACTCGCCTCCAGAAGCGCCGAATGGCGTGAGAGGTGTGTCTATGGACTCCACGCTATTCGGCGTGGTGATGAAAGTTCCCCAAGGATTGGGCTGGGTCGTCACGTATTTTTCAATGCTTTCTTCACCAGGGTTAAGTGCTTGCCAAATCGCGAAGAGACGATCAATATTCCTGCCAAGAACTTAGAGGCTTCACGAATGGGAATCAGTCCAATGTCTTGACTTACGTGTGGTGAAGCCAAAATACTGGATCGAAAGCGGCGTATGGGATCTGGCCCATGTGCCCCCCACCGCCAACATTGCCATGCATCCCATTATGGATATCTTCAAGACTTCCATAGGCGCCCGCATCCTGTCCATTTAAGGCCCATTTGTCGTTACTGAAAGGTTTGTATTTCAGATACGATGATAGCAACAAGAAGCTTGTCTCGCGTAGATTATTGACTGAGCCAGCAACAACATCCTCCACGTCCTTGTGGTTCGAAACGCCCTTTCCGTCAGGCCTACGCACGGTTTTTGGGACTGCTGAAAACTTGACGCGTATATCAGTAACATTTCTAGGCCGAGTTTGATTTGTATCCATAAGTAGAGAGAGAGCTGATGTGTGGTTTTGAATGACTCACATAATCGTCGTCGCGGAAATCTTTTTCTCGGAGGTCAGCCGACTTGAACTCGAACTGATACAATGGATTGCGCAAAGGTTTTCCGTCTCGTTCCTCAGCGGTCTTTTGGGAGCCTGGTACAGGAAATTTCACGAGCGTTTCCTGCGTTAAAATACTAGGAAAGTATGGTTCGCCTTCTTCCGGTTCGACAGTCCAGTCCCAGTAAGGGATTCTGAAACTCCTTGCCACGGCTTTGTACCGTTCACCACTTGCGTTGGTTGCAAATTCATCGGCAATCTTCTGGACAAAGCCATACAGAACTTCCTAGTATCTGGTCAGCAGGCCGAATGTTCCAAAGTCTACCATTCTGGGAGAAAGACGACAAGAACCAACCTCAAACAAGGCAAGATATGGACGATGCCAGGTCGGAAATAAGATTGAGCTATGGGTGCAATAGCCACTGGTCACTGTTTTTGTGGTGCTCGTTCTTTTGTCCCACACCTCCCACTCGACGCCTTTCCCACCGTCCCAAGATGTGTATGGACGGCCATGGATGCCTGCCAACAATATTGTGTTTGTCATTCGATCAAAATAATCACGAACGTAGGATTGAATGGATCTTACCTGCAATTTGGTAGTACGACAATTGGTCTTCCTGTTTGACTTCCTGAAATTCAAGCAAGGCTAGAATGTATAGGTGCCAGAGCTCGGGGTGATTCTTCTCCAGGTCACGGATCTCTCTGCGTACGGGAACAGAGCCTGTAGTGCCAAACCGTCAGCGATAAAGGCTGAGAAGGTTGATTCCATCGTCACCATCATGAGTCTTTTCCACTGGTACTCCAGTGACTTCACGTCTTCCGGTCTTCTGGCCGCTTGGGTGGAGGACCATTTTAACAACGCTTGTTCAAAGCTTTGATTCCTTGGGTTAGATAGGTCTACAGTCGACTGAAGTGTTCTTGGAAGCGGAGAATATCGATACCTTTATGTGTTCTTTGTAGTGAGATCTAGACAGTCGTCTGTCATGCCCCTCATACCCCTCATGCTCAGGAAGCTCTGCTACAAACAAAGTAAGTGGCAGTATGCAACTTGCCGGCCTCCGCGAGGGGATGTAAGGCCTTTGATTGGATAGTGATGTACTATCTTTAAGCCACAGAAGCCATTCCATGCAGCAGGCCACAAGCCCAAGAGGACTTTATCCATTGTGACTCGCTTTCAGCTCCGTGGAAGCTGCATTCATGTGGGGGATATGCAGGATATTTACAAGGGAAGGTGAAGACCAGCATGGTGGTCCATACGCCAACCAGCTCGGTGAGGGATTCGTCGTAATCGAGACACAGAAGGGATAATCAGTACTTCGCCGCACTCTTTTTTTCCTAAAGGAAATATTTCTCAGCTTGATATCGTTCGTGGTGGCTTGCTCGCTAATCTTCAGCCTGTTTGATTGGTAGAATATCAACTACCGAGGAGGTGAGGTGGAGGCTCTTGCATATATCACACGCAGGCACGCGTTAGCCCAGAATTAGAGCGTGTTCCAGATGACTTTCTGTGTGGGGGAACTTTCGACGATCGCCTAACCTACACTGGGTTAGAATGATGCCACATCGAAGATCTGTGGTTGTAGACCAAGCTGAATCTATGATTTGACATCAGCAAGCCATTCTTGCGATGCGTCTGAATAAGACCATTCAAGCACAACAGGATGAACAAGTGAGCCTGGAGAGTAGAAGCCGCGGCCGTTTGCTCGCCTGGGCGACCCATAGTGCCTGGTACCAGAGCCAACAATACTGTGTTGATGATGAGCATATGGTACACAGCCAATTCATATCTTCCAGCGATCCCCTAGAGCCGACGCCGCCATTGCATTCATCGCCATCGTACATCGTTGCAGGTCCAATACTAAACATTTAATCTTGCCTTATGCAAAACCTGCGGTGGCTGCCACTCCTCCTCTGCCAGCCTTGCCCTCGTGTCGTCGAACCATCCCTCCGGCTCGCCAGTGCCTGCACTTCTCCTCACACAAGCGTCTTCACTTTCCGCGCTCTTCCTCACTTCATTGCCTCCAGCATTATACCCCTGTAACGGCAATCCCATCTCCGCCGTTGCTTCTGTGTACCCACTCCTCCTTGTCTCCTCACTCCCACTAAAGCCCTCGGCGCTCTCCCCTCCATCTGTCGTCCCCCCAGTGCTCATCCACCTCGTTCCTCCCGGCCACAAGCGAACCTTGCTCTTCCCCTCTCTGCCCGGTCCTCCACTGCCCTTCGTAGCCACGTACGAACTCCCGTGCGTTGTGCCTTTCGTTTTCCGCTGCAGGCGGCCCCTCCACCACAGATACAGCGGCCGCAGAATCGGGGCGTTGGCACAGACGATGCCGAGATTAACTTCTGTGGCTCGCCACGCCGCGTTCGGAATCATGGCGTAGGTTTGGTCGATCTCGAGGATTTGACCCGATAGCGCGGTGCGGACTATGGCGCAGGCTGCAGTGATGTAGCCCGCGCCCATTAGGATCCAGAGAGCAATCTTTGTGCGGAGGGAGATTTGTAGCCCGCTAAGGAAGAGGAGTGGAGTCGTTGCTAGGATGATGTCGGAGAGGGCGGAGAAGACTATGGTTGTCAGCAAGGTGAGCAATAGATTTGAAACGCTGTGTTTATAGGATGTGTTTGTAGTACATTGGGTGCCGAGTGTGATTATTCCAGATGGATGACAGGCGTAAAAGAAAGCAGGTAGGGAAAAGGGGAAGACTTACTACCCTGCGCAATTACAATGGCCATCTCCCTCTTCTTCGAAACACACTTTCCTTCCTTCCCAACAATCCAATACGCATTTGGCGGGCTACACAGCGCCAGAAACATGAACGTAACCACCACCGTCAGAATCACATTTGCCGCCATCAGACTGTACATAAACCACTTGTTCCCCCTCGTATTCTTAATCCTCAGCAGAAATAAACAGATACTAATCTTACAGAAGCAGATTGTCATAAATGTCTGCATCCAATCGAGCCACCCTATGACCCCAAAATTCTCAATCATCCCTTTGGAAAGGTAATACATATGTCTTCCCTCGCCGTCTTGGACCTCCTTTGTCACAAAGCCGAGACCGACGAGGTTACAGATCATAGTCACGATCATCCACCAGTCATCCGGACCCATATTGCGGGTTAAGCGAGAGCGCACGAGGACGCGGACGACGCAAGAGAACAGCGCGGACATTACGAGGACCCAGGCTGCCGCGACATATTTGTGGCCTTGGTCCTCGTTGCCCGAAGGCGGCGGCGTGAATTTGATTTCCTTGGTCATAGTTGTGGATGGGTGTCAATTGAAGGCGCTCAGTTGGGAAATAGCGGAGTCGCACTTCGACGAGATACTTCTGCGGGAGACTGAATATGAACGCGCCGTCCGTGGAATGCTCCTTCAAGAAAGGAAATGGCCTAGGGCCTTGACGGCCGCTAATGAATTGAGAGGCACAACGTGAGACAACAGGAGTGAAGAGAGACCAAACGAGAAATGCAGAAGGATATGAGAGTCTCTTGCTGTATGCGGGAATTCTCGCAAATGCGAATGACGAAGGGCCGATCAACGCACCCATCACGCCCATGAAACATTGAAATGCCTACCTCTGTGCACAGGTTCATGCGGTATGATGCAGCCAACATAGCTCGGTAAAAGATCCTAGAGGCTGGGGCATGCACATTTCCCATCCTCAAATCGGAATCTCATGCAGGAAAACACGGCTCAAATGAGGTTGATGAGCTTTCGGACTTTTTTGATAGTGGTGGGGTTAGATATGCTCGAGATAGCTTGGATGATAATGCGGTAAGGTTCAAGCCCGTCCACATTAGCTTCCCGGAGCTGACAGATTGGTGCGGTTGAAAGCGAGGCGGTTGGGCATTGGATGCATGCTCACGCTAATGACGTCTTTTGCTGCTCGTGCGATCATGCTTGTGTGTCGATTGGTCAAACTCTGAAGAGAGAGCGTAGAGAATGATCCTGATGGAGGGCATCACACGTGTGAAATGTAGATTGCTGCACAGCTAGAGTAATAGGACATCTCGAGCGCAAGATTCAAGGCGCGTGACCGTTCATTCGGAGTATTGCGATCATACAATCTGTATAATATTCGCTATTGTAGAATAAATCTGTAGCCAAAAATATCTCGGGGCTAGACTTGATATTCCCTCTATTCAAGGGCCAGGTATCGATCTGCTTCCTGCGACTGGCTTGCCACTTATCGTCTCTAGCAAAGTCTGTCGAGACTTGTTGTAGGCAAACATAGCTGTGTTCTGAGGTAGGGTTCAGGAGAATCACAAGGGAGAGTTGCGCTGAAATTCTCCGCTCTCAAGAATGGGCCTCAATAAGGGTGAGATCCACTTTATTCAATTGGACTTATGGTCGTCATGAGTCTCGGCTTTGAGTGTTGTCTCATCGCTAGAACTATGAAGTCTGGTGACGCTGACAGTCTGGCTGTGTTATGAAAATCTTTTGGTGGATTGAAATGGTCAATCTCGGACAATTTACGCCTCTGTGCCGCAAAAGTACAATCCCCGTCGAGCTCGAGTCTGCAAGAAGAGACTCGAGATGCAGGAGCTTGCGAAGACCGTCAAAAGTTCTCAGTTTGCTTTGATCCCTGGAGCAGTAGAGAGGCCATCTATCCTCGGCTCCTGCCTGTTGATGTCGCTTCGAGCACGGTCTTCCACCTGTTGAATTTTCTGCTTCTCCACCTCCGCCTGTTCCGTCTTGATCCTCGCCAGTATTTCAGGATACCATCTTTCGCCAACATCAGGGTGGCTCTTGACGCGATTGCTCAATGTTGCTTCACCCAGATGTCCCCATTTGCCCTTGCTGAAAGTAAACTCCACATCATCGATTCTCTTGCCTCTACTCCGCATTCTCTCATCCATCAACTCCAGTATATGACCAGGTATGTCAACGGTCTCGAATGTGGCGTCGTAGCTCACTCCCTGAAAGAAGGGAATGCTGAATCTAGGACCCAAGCCTGCTTGTGGCGAGAGCACGCGATGTGTCGTACTCTTACATACCCCATGCGTGAGTGCCTCCATTCCCTGGCCGATTGCAACTACAAGAGTGCCAGGGATAGGGGGGCAGTCAACCCAGTCTCCTGCCAGATTCTGTGCTTGCAGGCCCTTATGTGGAGGTACTTGTAGAAGGTACGATGTCAGCATCGAATCCTTGTGTGGACCTACACCTTGACTTTGGGAGCCTGGTAGAGAGGATGCGTCTGGGTACTTGACGATCTTGAGCTTGTGTTGTTGGTCCTTGTCGAAAAAACTGTCAAATGCTGTTGGGGGAAGAGCGAGAGCTTCCGCGATGAGTGAAGTGAAGGATATAGAGAGGGTAGACATGGAACGAATATAACTTTCGTAGGTAGACTGGAAGGCGGGAAGAGCTTCGGGATCAGGCCATTGATTGGGAGCTTTGAGGTTGTAGTAAAGGGGATCTTCTTTTCCTGGCAAAGGATGTGGTGTGGAGAGGTCAATCTGCTCTCGCCAGTCTGTTGCCAATGCAGTGATCTCATTCCCAAGCTTATTGTACCCTGGAGGTCGGTAAGTAAGATATTGGGGAACTATTTTGGACAAAATTGACCAAGGAAGCTAGGTGCATTCTTCATCTGCACCTCCAACTTTTTCGCTTCAGAGAGCTTGAAGAATGCTTTCCCTTCATCGATGACATTTTGAACGAGTACCTCGTCTATTCCAGTGTTTTTGACGTAAAGAAATCCAACATCAAGTAATGCATTGCGCAGGGAGTCAAGGAAAGCAGGCTTCGTATCTATATTTCTAGAGAGGGAGAGATCAAGAACAGGAATGGCACTGAACGACATGTTGATGGATCGCAACGGATCGCAACTTGAGATCTTTGGACGACTATCATCGCAGATTTCTACATTTCATAGCTTGTCGAGGATCTTGAGTTTAGAATGACGTGCCATTGCATAAGAGAGTGATATGCCCACACGACCAGTGATAAGCCCACATCTTGAAGTGGAAATACTAAATCGATTCCTAGGAGCACCAGAAACCAAATCCAACATCATATATGAACTGAACGTACATCTTGACAACAACATCTGAACTCAGAGTATTCTTGTAAAAAGAAGCTTGAAAATGACCACAGGCGTGGTGGTGTGCGATATGACCGCCCTCAGATCGTGATGGCTCGAGAATTGGCCCGCAAAAACGCATGAAATCCGAGACATCGTTCAATACTCTGAGCTTCCTTTAGACTCCCACTGTTGCGCCTCGCGCCCCAAGCTTTACATCTCCAATCATGCCGCCTGCGGTAACCAAGAGCAAGCCCAAGGGTAAAGATGGCAGGCAGTCTCGCAGCCGAAACACGACTCCAGGTTCCGCCGTCAGCGCGCCCCTCACCTCTTCCACGCCTTCCCATTCTGCCATCTCTGGTAACACCGACCCAAATCTAATGGTCCCTTCGAACATTTCCTACGGTACCATATTAGAAAGACATGTTGCCACAACCGGTATCCCTGATCCTTCCCATCTAGAGACTATAACAAACGACCTGAAGACCTTGGCTCAGCTTGCCAGTGTAAGGAGTGATGCCAACAATAAAGGCATGCGTGATCTGTCCGAAAGACGTAAACTTGTCCTTGAAGAAGAAAGAGAGCGAGAGCATGCGCGTATACAAGCAGAAGCAGAAAAAGGAAGGCTGCAGAAAGAAGCGGAAGACGAGGAAGAGCGGGAGAGGAAAAGGAAAGAGCGAAGCATACAGAGAGAAGAGCGACCTCTTAATGTTGGGGCTCATGGGTTGGCAAGGCAAGATGGGTTGAACCTGCCTCTGGAAGGTATTACCCTCTTTCATCTACATCTGCCGTCATGGCAAGTTACAATCATACCCGAAGCTTATAATCTGTCTGTATTGATACCTTTTCTGTCTCCCTCACATTCCGAATCTTGATTTCCATAAGAGCAATATGCCACGGCATGTCAACAACTCCAATGCGCCAAAAGGAAGGCTTGATACAGAGAATGAGAAATTGCATATTCACACTATGCAGCGTCTCCTCAGTGCAGGCCATTCCATTCAGCGAGTAGATGCTATTATGCGCAATATATTTGGAAAAGATTACTACACAATAGCTCCTTCTGACATTGCTTTAGTCTCGCCAAGCCGTTCAGCAAAACATTCAAGCTCGCCAATACTCAAACCAGATCCATCTCATGCCAGCAGCTCTCCTCTGTCCGAAGCTTCGCAAGTGCAATCACCAGCTGTGCCGGCGCCCGCTGCCCCGATCATTAAAGCCGATTCCCCTGATACAGATGAATCATCAGACACCCACCAACCACCAAAGGCGCTAGCAGAGCCTCAAGCCTTTTCATTTGGCGCGAATCCGTTAACATTCGATGATCCAACGATCTACGAGATACGGGATGTAACGGACGATATGACTGATGAAGAAAAGAAGGAGATCTATTGCGTCGCTGCTTTTCCACCGAGCGATCTGCGTGATCTCATTGCCGGCACTCCACCGAACAAGGACTACAGCAATGCCGTCAAGCCAAATAATCAGGTGCAGGCTCATACCTTTGCGGGCTATCTTGATGGGTATCTACGCCCTTTAAAAGAGGAAGATATTGGATTCCTAAACGAGCGGGTGAGTACTTTGGCTTCGTCGAACGACGTAATTACTGATTTCGTAGGGTGACCGCATGAATCCATTTCTCATGCCTCCTCGGGGAAAAAGGCACTACAGTGAAATATGGGCTGCTGAAACAGAAGAAAATCACATCACTTTCGATGAATCCCGAACTGATCGCCTACCACCAAATCAGGCGCGGGGGAGTCTTGAGGATATGGACGATGCAGTCGCAGAGACAGATCAAGTATCCTCCGGTCCCCTAGTGAGCCGCCTCCTCTCAACTATGCGATTTGAGCACCGTACGCCCCCGGAAGAAAAGCCACAAACCAATGGAGTAACAAATGGTGACACGTCTATGACCAACGGCGATCTGCCCAACGGAATGGCAAACGACCCCGAGCCTTCTCAGGAATCTAACACCAATGGTTCAGCCACAAAGCAAGTTGCCATGCCTTCCGCGACATACCTCCCCGAAAATGCCCGTCCACCAGCCAACCTCTCAACGCACTCCCACAGCCAGATCGACGAGCGCTTGAAGACGGAGCTCCGACACATCGGAATCCTCCCACCAGATGAAGAACCTAATTTCGACGCCCACGAAGACGACGAGGTCGCCGAGCGGTTACGCTGGTTACAAGACCGGCTCAAAAAAGTCAGCGTCATGAACGGGGCCCGCAAGCGTCGGGTCCTCGAGCTAGCCGAAGAGCAACTAGCCTACCAAGAATACTCCACCATCCTAGAAGACCTAGACAGTCAAGTGCAGCAGGCATACTTGAAGCGGGCTAGGACGGCAGGGAAGAGCAAGAAGAATACTAAGCGCCCTGGAAGCATTAGCGGTACGGGGGTTGGGGCAAATGGGGCCGGAGGCGCGCCGGCGGTGGGAAAGCCGGGAATTGGAGATGTGGCTAGGCAATTGATGAATCGGCGGGCGAGGTGGGAGGAGAAAATCGGGCCGGTCTTTAGGGAGGATGTCAGGCGCGTGAGGGGGAAGGGGGAGGGAATCTTTGGGGAGAGGGAGTTGGAGAAGTTTACGAGGGCTGAGAGGGAGATGTTCGATGAGGAACAAGACGTGTGAAGGTCAGCTACGGAAGAGTGGAACGGGTTGGTTGAGGTGCCTTGATATTTAGCGAGGCGTTTTAGCAGAGGGAAAAGGGGGTAAAATTGCAGGATTCAGCTTTTGCTGTGCCTGGATGGACGTACGATGGTTCAGATATGCAATGAAGGGGTTGGGGGACTACATATAAGTGCTCTATGTAGGTATCATCGCTTAATGCATCAAAGGGTACTAAAACGTGTCCATCATTAATTTCGTCAAATCTTGTCGATTCCAAATTGAGACATTACTCAACGACAGATGATCTGTACATTCCCATATTTCTTCAACCTCGCCATCAGTTCTCGCTCACTGATTCCCAGGTCTGTGCATATCTTGTCAAAGCAGTGCGTACCGTCTAAAAAGGGAGCTAGGTTTTGCATCTCCCCTTCATCATGATTCTCATCATGTGCTCCGTCCCCTTTTCCCTGCTTCTTCTGACCCAATGGTTGCGTCTCTTGCCGGCGCTGTTGCTGTAGCAAGCCCTTCCCCTTCTTGACGCTCTTGTGTTTGCTGCTAGGCAAATTGTCGCTCGCAGCAGCGTACCGGTGCACCCGATACAAGAATCCCTTTATCACTCCGAAGGTGATGAAGCGTCTGATATCGATAGTTTTCACAAGGGTTTCGCCGCCGTGGGAGAGAATCCAGGTCTTGAGGGACTGGCCTTGGGAGAGGGAGGTGTAGAGCTCAATGAGGCGGGTAGGGGTGATGTCCCCATTCGTGTCGGAAGGAGAAAGAAGTGTTGGCGGAGGGAGGGTAGTGGTGGTTGAGAAAGAGGGAATGGTGATGTAGTGGAGACATTCGTCTTGCATAGCAACGTCGGTGACGAGATTACCGATGGACTCTGTAGGTGCGTAGATGGCGGAGAATGTGAAGATGTCCAGCAGGACTGTGCAGCCGTAGTATACGAGCTCCCTAATTGCTTTTCTGACGAGCTTGGAGTCTGCGTCTGCGAGTGTGGAGATTCTTTTGATGCTGTTCACACCATCGATGTGAGGGAGGACCTGTAGGAGGGTTAGGTCCCAACATTCTTCCTCTTTCATGTCCTCGAGGTTTACCGTTAGGAGAGGGACTTGCCAATCTTCAACTCGAGGAGGGGTGGGGTACAGGGGGAAGAGCTTGATATTTAGGGTTGTAGTCGTGCCGTCGACGGGGATCATGCATTCTGAGTATGTGTTCAGGTCTTCGAGGAGGAGCTCGCAGATGGCGTGGATGCGGCCGGTATTTGGTTGAGGATTGATCTTGAGCTCGGTGGAGAGGAAACGGGACTCTTCCTCCAGGTGGCGGAAGAGGGTTGCGAGTTTGTGGACGACGGGGAGATAGGAGTGGAAGCCGATGTTTTCGGCGAGGACGAGGCTGAAGTTGAAAGTGAAGGCATTGCGGGGATAGGATGGGGATTTGATGGTCACAGGATGCGAGAGAATTCGGTAGCTAGGTTTTCCTGGGGTGAGAAGCTCGAGTGGTCGATTGGAGAGGGCAGGGGCTGGAATGATGTATGAAGATAGCTCAGGGAAGTTGAACAGGCGTGTTGCAGAGGAGGGTTTAGTGGGATGCACGCTGTTGGGTGGGACTTGATGGTGGACTTTCGGGCCTGGAGAAGGAAGGCTAGTAAATACAATCAGACGTTCAGCCAACAGTCGTCATACCTTCATTGACATCGAATGTTGCAAAGAAGATGGCTTGAATCATTGGGCACAGTCAAAAGCAGAGCTTTAATGTGAGCCAGATGAATATTGCATGCTCGAGTGAAAAGGGCACAACAATAAGACACAAATGCAGACGCAGAATGCTAATTAGAGATGGTTGTAAAAGTCGGAATTTCTCGAGAGAGCTCTATCAAGCTTGGGATTCGTTGCTGTCAAATGAAAATGTACACAGAGCCGCACTATCAATTGACATTCACTCCACCTTACGTCATTGCGATATCGGCAACACTTTGAAAATCCGCTTTTCAACAACCGACAGAATTCAGTGAACAAACCAACGATCTGTACAATGGCCTCCACCATGCCGACTCGCACAGTAGTCTCTACTGACAAAGCTCCACCGCCATTGCCGGTCTACTCTCAGGCCATCGTATGCAATGGAATGGTCTACTGCTCGGGTCAAGTGGCTATAGATCCAGCAACGAAGAAATTCAATGAAGGAGGTATAGAGGGTAGGACGGTATGTATTCGACTTTGTTGTTCGTTTCATTCACATTAAGGGTTTTGCATCTACAGTATCTGAATCGAACGCCTGTGAATGCACGAGCTGACCAGACGGGTGTACAGAAACAATGCCTCACCAACCTTTCCGAAGTCCTTACCGCCGCTGGCTCCTCCATTGATAACGTCGTCAAGATCTCTGCTTTTCTCACGACCATGGACAATTTCGCTGCTTTCAATCGCGAGTACGAGAAGTGGTTTGGGAATCTGAAACCTGTGAGTTCCATTGCTTATTCCCATGGATCAGTATTCTCTTTCTTATTTCCTGACAACATCCAAGTCCAGGACGTGCGTGGCAGTTCATCAGCTTCCAATGCAAACGGATGTTGAAATTGAGTGTATCGCGCATTTGTAGGTAGGTGTGCTCATTCCCTCCCTTGCCGATGGGAGAAGGTGCTGATGAGGTGATGGTGGAGCAGGGATGAAGGTGATACCAGATCGATGCTTTGAACATATGCCGTTGACAGGCAAATTGGTCTATGCAAGCGATTGTGTAGCAAAAGATCTCTACATCTGGGATTAGATTTCGGTTTTCTAACAGCTATGAGGACATCTCGCGGCTTGGACTTTAATACATGGTACCATGACGCTACTTATTCATCCCTCATTCACAATAACAGGCGCAGGTAGATCTCTCGTCTTCGATTCACCATCTGTCCGAACCCAGACTTTCTTGAGCTCAGCTTCAATCTCCGACTTCCGGTCTTTCCACTCCTGTACCTTCGCCAATCGCTCCCTTAGACCCTCCAACTCCCTTTCCACGCCTTCCTCTTCTTCCCTGGTTCCGATGCGATCAAATACCCATTCAGTCCCATCTTCGCCTTGTCCAAGGTCGAGATTCCAGTAATGGTGTTTTTTGAGACTCACTCTTGTAGAAATTGTCAATAGAGTGACGCCCTTGTCTTTGCACTTTTCATACAAAACACCTTCGACGTCAGAGCTAACAGCACTTGTGCCTTCGTCCACCACAGCGTACGCAGGTTCATGGTATAATATCCTGGCGAACGAGATGCGCTGTTTCTCTCCACCCGAGAGAACTGAGGTCCAATCCTCACGCGTGTTCCAGCCGCCCTCTCGCTCCACAAGATAGCCTAGGCGGACATCCTCGAGGATAGTCTGTAGTTCAGCATCTCGCCGTCCTGCATCTCGCATGTCCATCTCTGAATGTGGGTAGATTACCTGATCTCTGAGCGTGCCGAGCGGTAGGTACGGTCTCTGCGGAAGAAAAAAAGCGCCGTCTAATCCTATTCTCCTCGGTCTTGATACTAATCCTCGAAAGACAGGCCATATTCCTGACAGAATTCGGGCTAGCGAGGATTTGCCGGCGCCGTTTGGGCCAGATACCAATACATGTTGCCCTGGCGTGATTGTGAAGGATAGAGAAGGAATAAGCTCGTCGCCAGACAGGCTGCACGAGGCGGCAGGCGCCACGATAGGGACATCTTCGAAGCGAATCCCGTCATAACCACGATGCAGTGTACCGCCGACGTCTGATAGTGAGTAAAGCTCTGGTGATGTACCTCTTGGCACTGGATATGCCCTGGCGTGGACGCGGTGGAGTGTCGATATCAAGGAATAAATCCGAGAGGTATAGCCAGCTAATTCCGAGAGATCTTTAATACTATACATTATTCTCCCACCAGCATCAGCTAGAGACAGCATCAGTCGCTTATTGGTAATGAACTGTTGCATTCGTGCGTGCGAACGGTGTGTGCCTGATGATGATGGATGAGATGAATCAGAGGCATTGTTTCTGGTCGAGCCAGCTAGACCACCCCACTCTGGTAGAAATACTGGAAGGGAGGTCACTAGATAGCCGAATGCTGACCACGAGTATTTCAGAATGAAATCCTCAAGCATATTGTAGCGGATTTTGAGATGATAAATTCCTTCCATCCAGGTTTCGAGATCTTTGAACGATTTATCGAGGTATACCTTCTCGATATCTGCGCCTCCGTAGAACGCAATTTCTTCCGCATTAGCGATTAGTCTCGCGTGTAGCCCCCGAAAGTCGCCCTCCCTACGCCCTTCAATGGCTTTCAATTTGCCAAACGGTGGGGAAAGGCGACGCAGAAATGTGGCCGTTGCAAAGTAATTCACGAGAAGGCCTGTCAAAGCGAGGGGGCCAAGGGAGCGGTATAATTGATAGTTGAAGACGAAGAGATCAACGAGTGGCTTCCCAAGGGAAGAGTAGAGCGAAGCCGCAGATGCGGTGAAGAGAGTCAGATCATTAGTGATGAATTGATCAGCGCCCTGACCAATCCCGCCGTCAAGATTGAGGAGCTTGTAGTAATTATGGTAGTCGTTGAGATAGAGGTCATGTATGTATCGGGTCAACCGTGTCCGGAAAGCTATGGCGACTTTGCTCTGCAAGAACTTGATAGCAGCATTCGTATAAGAGGCGATGCCTAAGAAAGTCAGCTTCATACTCTTGCAAGATAAGTTCTCTTCATACCGCCAATGCCACACCACTTCATGATCCCCCAACAAAAAGCCTTCCCATTCCCTGCAACAAGATCTCTGACAATCTCGCCGTCTAACCTGGTGACCACCAACGAAAGATATGTACGTAGAAGTAGAAACATTCCCTGGCTCAGAAGTAGCCCAGACTCCTTGCTGTTCCAGTGGGGTATCATAATGCTTAGAAGACTTAAAAATTGATGAATGAACGCAATGTTGAGGCCTGGCTTGATACTTGGTGGAGGTACCTCGCCTGCTACTGTTTCGCTCAGTCTAGCAGCTCGTGGAGGGTTGAGAAAGAGCCTGCGATGGGCGTCGAAGGTGGTCGGCTTCGTAGGATGTATTTTGACCTCAGCGGTTGAATCACGGTATGGCACAATGACCGTGCGTGAGCCATCCTTGCCGCGAAGACCTGAGTTCCGTCTCAACAACGTCTTCCTCTGTGCTTGTTTTGCGGATCTCTTATTCAACCAATACTTTCCTCCGTATGCGCCAGCGACAATACTGATGATGAATGCAAGGGTCGCAGCGAGTCGGGTACTCCTCGAATTGCGCCGATATTGTGAGCGAATAAGGTGAGCCCAAGGCCCTAATATAGAGAGTAGAGGGTCCTCTGCATGAAGTAACTTCGACTGAGCTGCCATGGTGTGTGATGTTTCACGTTGTTACGATTGGTATGTCATTCTCTCGGCCTCCCTCCCATCTCGGCCGCAAGATGATCCCAGACGTGCGATATAGCCTATCTGGCCTCTCACGAATAAATCATATACGTCGCTTGCACTGGCATATTCATTCAGGCTGCGAATTGGACTTTCAGAGAAGTTAAAGCGGATTTGACGCTTTTGCCGAGGCTCTGTCTCCTCGCACCAAAATTCCTAGGTTTCAACATAATGCCACCGACAAATCGACCACATTCACCACGAATAGTTATCTACCATCAAACCCATTTCAAGGCAAATGGAGATTTCGCATCGCTCCTACCGCTGGTCACTGAGAGCCCTGATACTCTAGGGGTAACACATATCATTATTGCAGCTCTTCATGTCAACGCTCAAGCAGGAGATATAACATTGAATGATGACCCGCCGAATGCCCCTAGGAATGAGCAGTTATGGGAGGAGCTTGCCATCTTTCAAGACATGGGCGTGAAAGTTCTTGGGATGCTTGGTGGAGCTGCAAAAGGCACCTTCCAACGACTCGATGGCAGTGATTATGAATTTGGGCTCTACTATCCTCCCCTCCGCAATGTGATTCGCCGTTACGCATTCAATGGCCTTGATCTGGATGTTGAAGAGCCAATGTCGCTCGGAGGCATCATCCGACTGATTGACTATTTGAAGGCTGACTTCGGAGACTCCTTCTTAGTCACATTTGCCCCTGTAGCCTTTGCTTTGCAGGGTATGGATCATCTGTCAGGGTTCGACTATGAAGCACTGGAGGTGATGCGTGGACACCAAGTAGCATGGTACAATACCCAGTTCTACAATAATTGGGGCTGCTTGCAATCTTTTGCCGACTATGACGCCATCTTAAGCAGAGGTTGGAAGCCCGAAAAGATTGTAGTAGGTGTCTTGACTAATCCAGGCCTTGGTCATGGATATGTTGATTATGCTGAGCTACAACGAACCGTTGCAGCCCTTTCACAATTCTATCCGGGCTTTGGCGGCATCATGGGGTAAAGCTGAGCTAGAAAGCCTTGAGGTTTCTGCCATCTGACATTCGCGTAGGTGGGAATTCTTCAATAGCAAGCCGGGTGACGAGCAACGGCCGTGGGAATGGGCACATGGTCTGGGACGCATTCTCAGAAATGAATAAAGAAGGAGCGAATGCATCACGACGACGTTTTGCAACGGCACCGACGGAAGCACGGACGCCCCCAAGAGTAGTGAGCAGGTGTGTCTCTACCCCAGACCCCAGGTCTTGCGCAACGGGAGATCGTCGAAGTAATTCACGCTCACAGGCCAGCAGGTCGACAGGTCAGCCCGCATGGCAGGCTGGACGAGAACCAATCCAGCTCGGCCTTCGTCGGATGCGATATTTCAATGTTGATGAAGCCGTTGTAATCACGCACAGAGTCACAGCTGGATTCGCTCCCATATACCAGATGCGAAATGCCTCGAAGTCAACCCAATACGGCCTAGAAGAGCCGATGCCGCTCTGACACTAAGGGGACCCGTCGTTGATACAGGAAAGCTTCGCGGAAACAGGCCCTGCCATTGGCCTTGATGTGCCACACCTAAATCTATAACCGCCGGGCGGAAAAATTTTGCTTTTCAAAGCCCATTATTGCGTTCCATGGCCGGCTGGTAGGATTAGGTCAGCTGAGTTGTCGTTGGACTTCACGACGAACAGCAGTATATAGATGTACATAGATGGGATTCAACCTTGCTTGCTCAACACTCCGTCTGGTGAAGGTGCCCAACTGTTGAAAATCGCGAAATCGCTGGCACTTTGGGGGAAGTAGAGCCGACGAAAGATTTTGCAGGGAAGCCCCAGGGTTATAGCGCCCCTTTGTGGCTTGTCCCGCGCTACTCACCCTCCTGCAACCCTGCTCTGACCGTGATCGTGACGACCTTCAATCTCATCTCCACTACCAGCATCCATTCTTGCCTTCTGGACAGTTGACGCATGACGAATCTCCCTCAAATCTGATCGACATCTTTTTCAGTATCCCCACTGTCGCGCAAGAGCCGTCACTAGCTTCTCTTCCAAGCTGCCAGACGGGCGCCGTCACAAACCTCTTCCATCACCGCCCGACCAGCCGATTGACCTTCGACTCGCAGAGCAAAAGTCAGACAGGAATTCATACGCTCGCGTGATATGCTTGGTCGCTTTAGAACTTGCTGGATTCAGTGAGATAGAGGAGATACGCGAACGCGACCACGAGGCTGGCTACCGATCAAGGTCCAAACAAGATCATTCAGCCTTTGAACAAACGTTCATGCACAGAACCTTCTTTCCTATCGGTTTTCCGCCAGCTCATGGTGGTTTGAGATGAGCGACGAGATTGCGCCAGCGCCGAAGGAGGAATACCATTCGACGATACCCAACTCTAGCCTTGACCCCGCTTCGGCTGCAAAAACAGATGCTCACGGTATGTCCAAAAGCCTGCTAGAAGCATCTGCGATTGTGGATGTAACGATGATACTAACAGCCTTTTTAGAAACCACCCCCTCCACTGTCAGCACGTTTCTTGAATCTACACACAACTCTCATCAGCCCGCTCAATCTACATACAGTCCTTCCTCTAGTACATTAGCAGTCGGCAACGAAAATAATTTGACATCAGCATCTAAAGCGGTCACGCAGGGTACATTTCTGGATCCGTCGAAAGCTCAAAATCGCCCTTCTCAGCCAACCTTTCACAGTGATTCAATGCCCGAGCAGCCTGTCATAGCTACAACTATTGGAAAGAGGGGGTCAAAGACCAGCCTAAAACCAAGAAGTCGCACAGGTAGTCCAAAAAGTAACAGCTCGAAGCAGGAGGGGCCCGAAGCCCAGCGACCAGAGGCAACAGGGGCTAGGCGTAAACGAAGAGGGGGTTCTTCTCGCTCTTGTTTTGCTGCGGCGCCGCGGAAAATGAAAACGAAGTCGAACTGGAAGAACAGGCAGTACCGACGAAAAGAACGAAGGTACTTCAATCAAAGCCTGTAAAGCAGTCTACTCCTATTTCCAAATCAGCTTCCAACCCGGAAGGAAGCAAGGCAGACGGGAAGAAGACTGCGGAAGACAGCATAGGAGGGCCCGAATACTCCGAAATAAAGTCTGCAGCAAAGCCTACAATGATTACACGATCTTCGAAGGACAAGATTTCGCTCGACAAACCTGCAAACCCGAGCACTTCAAAACCAAACGAACCCTCTGAGCAAGCAATTTCAAAGGAACCTCCATTGCCACCTCTTCCACCATCTACAAGCGCAGAAACTGATAGGCGTGAGGCCCCAAAAACGGCCGCAGCAACAGAGCCGCCGGTAGTCCTGAACGCGGATGAATCTGTGGCAACACAGGGGACTGTCATCAATGATCGGACAGTTCACCAAGAAGCTCAAGATCATGACGTTGCGATGCCAGATGCACCACCCGTACCCTCGGCAAGAGAAACGACGACGCAGGACACGGCACATGAATTAGCTCAAGTGCAACTGAATCTTCCTCCTCCCCCACCACGTAACGGCCACGAAGTCACAAATAGTAATAATCCCAATGAAAGACATCAATGGCTTCTGCCGCCGTTGCAACCAAATTTGAAAGGCAAGAAGTGCTTAGTCTTGGACTTGGATGAAACCCTTGTTCATAGTAGTTTCAAGGTTTGTCGAATTGTCCTGAGGCTTTAAATACCGCTGACTTGATAGATGTTACACCAAGCCGACTTCACGATACCTGTCGAGATTGAAGGGCAGTTACATAATGTTTATGTCATCAAAAGACCTGGGGTAGATCAATTCATGAAAAGAATAGGGGAGCTTTATGAGGTTGTAGTTTTCACAGCCTCGGTATCAAAGGTTAGAGGCGCTCAATACTTGTCAACATTCGGGGCTGATCTAGTGATAGTATGGAGATCCACTTCTAGATCAGCTTGACATACATAAAGTCGTCCACCACCGGCTCTTCAGAGAAAGTTGCTACCACCACCAAGGCAATTACGTCAAGGTTAGTCACCTTTGCCAAGGTCTGCAATTGTAACTCACATCTTTGCAGGATCTCTCCCAGGTTGGTCGTGAGCTCAAAGAAATAATTATCATCGACAACTCGCCAACATCCTACATTTTCCACCCACAACATGCCGTCCCCATAAGTAGCTGGTTCTCGGACGCTCACGACAATGAACTTCTTGACCTCATACCGGTCTTAGAGGACCTGGCCGGCGGTGCCGTCAGAGATGTCAGTATGGTCCTCGACGTATCGTTATGACACCAAAGTGGTCCAGCATAACGGTCAGCCATGCAAGCCCGTACCTTTCACCAATCACCATACCCTGGACGATCGGTTATCTTAACGCTCACTACATCTTGAGGCGTCTTGTTTTAGTATGAGTCAGGATTGTGTCAATTTACCTTCGGCCATCTCGCCATATCGCAATTATACAGTTCCCCTACTTTGACTCTAATGTATAGATTGGACTACTGAGCAAACGTTGCTTTCTCTTGCGTCGCAAGGTTCCAAAAGTGAAGCAAGTGGTATAGACTTAAGACAGCTCATTGTTAAGGGTAATTAGGAGGAAGAATGCAGCCAGGACAGCTTGGGCTAAATCGAAATGGGAAGTTCTTCTTGGTTTGGCTCACGGGGCTATGGGCCAGATCCGTCCTATCGCATGATCGCAAGGCATCTTCAAACGCGTGGGAAGACGCATAAAATCGATTTCCTTTGTTTTGGGCTGCACCGAGGAGAGATGAACTTCATTGCATACAAGCTCTGGCGTGATTGATCCAGTTCGATGTCCTCATTTTGGCTTAGAGGACTATTTACCATTACTAGTACATTAAAATTCATCATTCATGCCCTTATCCAGTGGATGCCATCGAGATTCCTGAGGCCCTGCGATACATGTAGTAGACAGTCGCTTGGAAAATGAATGCTTATACAGTTCAGCAGCTTACAGTTCAGGGGAGGCCTTAGATAGCTCCCCCGGGTGCTCCGTGAATAAGTCAATAAGGTACCACAATATATGTATGTAGGAGCCCAAAAAACTTTCCGGATCGCACCCTTCAGGTTGAATTGACTGGTAACGTACAAAGATTCATGGAACATCGACAACTAGCATTTAGATCGCGTGTATCCTTTGATTACTGAACATTCCGAGCCGGCCACATTGAGTTCAGGTCTTGCCTCTCCAAGCTAGACTAGGATCAACGACGCAGGTGGCTGACCTGCTTATCTAATTGCGGGCTCACTCATGGTGCTTGAAGCCTCGCCAGATGATTCGATAGCAAAGCGGATCGAGGGTCTACGACGGCTCTGATTTACAATAGTCGCTTAGTCCGCATGAAAGCTCAGGCCACGGAAGTAACCTGTCCAGGGCTTCGTGGATGGGAGTATGTCACTCGATCTAGAAGGATCGCGTTGGAACAGGTATGATAGGTCGCAGGTTTGGACATATAAAGACACTTCTGTCCCTTTCATGTCATGCTAGTCATTTGTGTAATGCCGGGTCAAAACAAGTGAGACCTTCAGCTTCTTCAAGCTAGCTAGCTATCTAGTTCAGCCCTCTACTTCTCGTCACCAGCAGAATTGTAAGTACCCAAGGTGGGCAACGGCTCCGTGGACCACGGGCGGTTTGTGGTTGAATTGCCTAACAGTTGGCCCAAGAGAAGGGTTGAACCGACTCCTAGCAATCCAGGTTGGCTTCAAGACCAAGTTTCGAATTATCGCTCCTGCCACTTGCAATCTACTTTGTGTCCTGAGTTGAGCGCTTTGGACAGTTGCCAGCACTGCAAGTGCCTAAAATACATCCCAATGGATTCCAAGAGACCACGTAAAGGTAATGGTAGAGGAGAAAAGCGTCGCAGCAATCCCGATGACGGCAATCGACAACGAGGCCGACCTCGCATTACACCAGAAGATCAATCCAACGTAGAGCGTCGACGCACACAGATCAGGCTAGCTCAGCGAGCGTATCGGGAGCGAAAAGAAAACAACCATCTCTTCACTAAGCCGCCGAGTCACAGATCTGGAAGGCATCATTGCCGACATGGCAAGCACGTTCACAAGGTTTGAGAGCAATATCAACGAACAGGGTTACCTTGGTCATCAGTTGACGGAGAATCTAAGGCAGACATCAACCCGTATGGCAGAGCTTACGCGGCGCGGAAGACACCAATCCCTGGAATTAGAAGAACCCGAACAAGGGCCGACACACTTAGAGGATATCTTGGGCGCTCGAGAAGCAATTTTGCCACAGAGATCCACCGACTCACCTACAAGCACAATACTAAGTCAGCCATGGGGCTATATTCCTCAACCCGAAGCCAGCGTGGAGGCATCCCAACCTGAAATTGAACAGCCCGTCTATCCACCTTTGGACTGGACAGCCGCCGAAACGACAGCCAATCTACCGTACGAAACTCCTGGTAATCCACCATCCGACTTGCAAGCGCAAGTTCCGAGCTTTTTCAGTGCTCTGGGACAAGATGCTGAGCTACGTGATCACCCTCAGCAGCAGACTCGGGACGAAGTACACGAATATCGCATACCTGATGGACAAATGCTAGCTGAACTTCCTGCGCCAGGTGACTATTCACACCACGAAACTTCTTTCACCCGGCGTTTGTTACGCTCTTCTCTTGAAGCCTCCCTACGCATGCTGTATAACCCTAGTTCCAGCCCCAGCGACGTGAAGCGCGTAGGAAGGTTTTCATTTTGCTATATGCAGGAGAGGGCAGGGCTGGGTGCGTTGCAATCCGTTTGGTCTCGACCCTTGCATGCCAATCTGGAGTACTGGAACGGTCCCCCCTTCTATCATGTTGGCGGAGCAGGCCTCCACTACCCACGCGAATTCTGGGATGTGGATGCAGAGCCCCCGCCATCGAATTGGGCGGCCACTCATTCAATGGGTCCGCAACCGCTGAGAGACCCAAAATGGGTAGAGGCGCTTTCTATGGGCGAATGCCAGAAGCTGGAGCTCGCAGAGGTGACAGGCGAGTGGTTCGACAGCAACGATGTCGAACAGTATTTGAGGACCAAAGGCGTGTTTCTGGACGCTCAAAGTAGAGTTGCCGAAGTTCAAGAGGTAGACGATGTACCTGAATTGGAACCAGAGACCATGGTGAGCCCTCCGGGAAGCACCGCTGGGCCTCGAAGTCCGCAATATTGGTCTGAATCGTTTCCCCCGGACCAGTATCAGCAGCGTGCTTCCGAACCTGGGCTACCAAGCAACGACCCCAATTGGTGGAAGACGATGAGTAACAGTGCCAACCAAAGCATAGATGAGAACGCGATTCAAGATTGGGACCCGACAAATTTCGACTGGGGCAGCGTTGATCTTTCGGATAATCTCAGCGAGCCGGTAAAGCCAAAGAAGATGGTTGATGTAGACGTTTTCCTGGAAAGTGAGTGCCCTCGATCTAAAAGATCTACCGGCGTCATGTTGACAAGCTTTAGATATCAATCAGACCACAACATGCCTTGGAAGAACACTTGGCTTTCGCCGGGTCAATGTGGACATGGCGTTGCGTCAGGCAACGCGGGAGGTGCTGCCAGACATTGTAGGGGCTTAGAATTCTACCAATCTTCTCTTGCCTTTGACCACTGTTATGTGACGATGAAAGGCTATGTAGGAAACAAGAAGGGAAAGAATATGTTGGCTTCTGCATCAGCTCGCAAAAGCATCAGGTGATTTTCAGGGGACGGGGAGTAGGGCTGAGGTCTGAGGATGTACCACCGCTAAAGGATGACTTGCAGACCCAGACGTGTCCAGGCTCAAGACAACGGACAAGGACCGCAAGAATGGCAGTCAGATGTGGGCGCGCACGCGAGCGTAAGACTTCCGGCAGTTGGATGGTGTTCACCACATGCAGCATGACGCTCGAAAGTCGTTCATCATGCGTAGGATCAACGTAATCGATATACATACAGTACGAAAGAATCTCTCCTTCATTCTATATATAAAGGCGGCAAAATCCGAACCTCGTAAAGTCTAATGCTGCAGCTCTGTTCTAGTCTCTGCCCTCTGGAGTAAACCTGAGCACCCAAGCTCGTGCATTGCAGTAGCCAGACCCAGCTTGGTTTAACCCAACTTCCCTCGTTTTCCCCCGCCAATGCAAGGCCTCTGCACCAGGCTGTGGGCATTTGAAGCGGTGTGTGACTCTGGATTCCCCTCCAAACATCAATTGATCATCATCCGATCCTCCATTCTCTTCTTCGCTGTCACCCGTTGTTATTTGAGGAATTGAATTGAGCCCAAACTGGTCGATCATGCACGATAATCGTCTTAGTCTGCTGTCCTGGCTGCCAGATTGGTGAAGATTGGGTCCAGCTTGTTCGACTGAAAAGGCAACTTAGACGCCCAACCCACCACAAATTATCACATTGAGGCTTGCAGTGACCTCTGATACTGGACAGCTGCACAACGCCTCCCTATTTCCCTTACGGCGGCCCTCCTCTGCCTGTCTTTCCTCGACAGCCTCTACATTCGTTATTGTCGGCTCGGCGCATGTTTACGCTCGGCACTCATCACTGGGATTGAAAGAGAAGGAGGCGAATATGCCCGCGATGGCAGCCACTCAGCAAGCAACAAAGCAACCAAAGCACCCGAAACACCCGGCGAAGCAGCCGCCTCGTAAAGTGAGGAACGACTTTTTGGCGAGAATGCTGCAATTAGAGAAACAGAGCATGGTCAGTGTCTCTCCCAGTGACTTGTTTGTTATCAAGCGCGCAGATTCACTATGTTGTACCCTTCCCTATCTAGCTTCTCAGCCTTTCATCCTGCAGTCATTACGACTGAGGAGTGGCTGACTCCCCTAAAGCACCACAGGAGCGCTTCAGCTAGCCCCCCTCATGGACACATCGAACAGCCGCCGCCCTCCAACGAGAACATACATCATCCGCCTTCTACGCAAACAGCTCATATTCCGTCCCTTGTTTCTCCCGATACGCAGAAAACATCGCCCCTCATATCCCCACGCGTGCACCAGACACAGACGCTATCACCCACAGCAGCTCAAAACGGCGTGAAAACTCATGTGAAACCGGCTCCGCTAAGAGTCGAGACAAGGGACATTCCTCAGGATCCACCTCAGTCAGACATATGCCTGTCACCCAGCTGGCTGGGTCATGCTGAGAGAGAACAACAGAAAGAGAAGAAGAAGCAAGATAAGGACCAGCGGGATCAACAACGAAGACAGCAAGAAGATAATCGGCAGCCCCCCAAAAGGTTGAGCAAGAAACCGCCAGCAGCCATGGATACGCAAAAGATGCCCGCTGAATTGAGGAAGCCAAGAAGGAACTCTCTCTTGTCGTTCGTGCCTAGCCGAAGCTCCTCACGCGACCGGTCCCAAGACCGCTCAAAAGATGAGAAGCGCAAGTCGGGATCTTCCATCACCTCTTTTGTCTCCAGACGACGATCCAACTCTACATCTCGCCGCCCGACTATTTCTCCGGAGGAAGAGAAAAGTCTCGAGCCAGAGTCTCCTGGATCTTGGAAGCCCGTGGTGAACCCAATTCCCCCGCGCCTACCTAGCCTCCGTTTCAGCCAGAAGAAGTTCACGTCAAATAACAGCAAATCTGCGACTCCAACTAGTACCGAAGAGGAAAGTGATGGTGAGCTTTTGGCATTTCCATACGGTTCTGATCGACCTATCGCAGAGAAGCTGCCTGAGTCGCCGAAGAAATCTTCCAGATCTCCAGCTGCGGAAGCAGAGACCAACAAGCTACAGCAATCCTCTGAGAAGCTGGCGACGACCAAAAGCTCAGTCCCGACCCCGCCAAAGCCATCCGACATTCCACAGAGGAAATCAGATGAATCAAAAATCTTGTCTGGGCCTCCACGAGGTATTGAGGTACTCCCAAGTCCTCCCAAGCCGTGGACACAACCCAACAAACAGAACAAGTCCCGTCAGAACAGCGATGAGGTAGCTGCGGAGTTGATTGCCATGCTGTCAGAGCAAAAACTCAGGCCTTATCAGCATGCCTCCCCTCCCGCCAGTCCTCAGGGACCGAAAGCTACCTCTCGGGATGGTGGTAGCTACGTCCACAAGCAACGAATGTACGAACAACAAAGGTCAATCGCTGGGTTTCAGGAGCAACAAGCACTGCAAATGTATCATGACCAAGCTGCGGTCGGCGACAATCAGGAAACGTCGAAAGATGTGCAATCTAGGAAGAGTGATGGTGGTACCTCACCTATGAGGCTGGCTAATGCGCACTCCTCATCGCCCTCAGCAGCTAGAAGTTGGAGTGGGAGTCGCAGTGCTTCGTCACCTCCGGCATCACCTTCCTCGAACAGAAGACACAGCGCTTCGCCATCAGGCCGAGCTTCGCTACCGCCAGCGCAGACTGCTCTTTCGCCGCTGAAACAAGTTTCTTCGGCCCCAGACGATGACTTGGAAGAAGAGCAATTCAAACTCCTGAAGAAAGCTGAAAACGCAGCACCGGACAAGGAACAAACGAAGAAGTCGGAAAAGTTCTTCGGCCTTCGACGCCGTACGAAGGAGCTGCCTGCTCCCATTCATGTGCCTGACACCAATGGTCACCTCTCTCCTGCGCAAAAGAATTCCTCGGAACGAACTAAGGAGCACGAAGCAGCGCCTAAGCAGTCGCGGAGAGATCGTATGTCAGCACACATACCTTTCACCAGGCATCGCGCAAGCTCCTCCAATTCTCAAATAGCAATTGTCGATGGTAGCCAAGCTGATACAGGTCCCGGACATTCAAAAACACGAGCATCTTCGCAAGCTCCTCGCAGTCCTTCGGCAATATCAGTGACTGAAGAAACAAGAAGCAAAATGATAGAGCAAGCCTTGGAGCAGAAGAAAAGCAGCAGCGAAAGCAATAGCACCCAAGAATCTAAAGATGGAGTCAATGGTAGACAGGCTACTGCTGACAAGCCTTCGACTAAGCGGCCTTCAGCCAAACCGAGTCAGAATTCGGAAGAGCTGGCTACTGCATACGGCGAACTCATTCATGGCTCTTCCAGCGAAGAAAGCGTGTATCACGATGTTTCGGAGAATGATGAACCGCAGTCTGCTGTGAAATTATCTAGCAAGGTCCGTACTGAATCGGATACACCGATCAAACGCCCGAGATCCGACCTCCAACTACAAAAGCAGAACATTGCTACCCAATCTTTGCCGTCTCTCGACTTCCTCCCACAGCTCAAGCATCAACCATTGACGAAGAACCCCAAGAGATCTCAGCCAGCTTCTGGCGAGCCTTCACCAACCAAGATCAAGATACCGAAACCTGCTAACCTTCCAGATACAACATATAGGTCACCACTTGCTTCTCCGCCTGATATCGCCCTACTACCTCGATCACCACTTCGATCCTCTAGCAACTTACCTGCCTTAATCAAAAACCAATCAGCCACTTCCATCACCTCCTTGAGCTCGTCGACCAAAAACACACCATCAGAGGGTGGTTCAGAAGCAAAACCCATCGGCAAACTCTTCGTCATCTGCTGCAAATGCAAATTTTGGCACGATCTGCCCGCCAAGCTGTACGAAGCGATGGCATTGCCAAAAGAATTGCATCGAAACGACGAAAAGTCAAGCAAGGGCAAAGCTCAACCAGGCAAAAACAAAGTTGCTACCGCAAGGCTGGAGACTGCGGTCAAGTGTCCTTGGTGCGAGCATCCCATGACGACAGCATGCTGTGCAGGCTGGACCACAGTGGTATACATGCACGAGCGACATCATTGATTATTACGATATTCTTTAATACTTGACGTCCTTTTTGGCTTTCGAAGAATACGATGAATGCCTTTTACCCCCTTCCCCTCGGAGGGGAGGGGAATACGAATCTTGTAATCAGACTTTGGAGCGGAATGGAAATGATGCAACGAACCCTTTGTACTATTTCATGCATACGGAGCGAGGGCAAGAGAAATATGATGGGATGGGATTGAAACACATACGTATTGATAATCGCAAGAACATATTGCTTGTTTAATCTAGGAAGATTTGGATGTGGCAACAGGGCAGTCCTCCACACCTTACCTTTTAATGATCGTCTAGAGATGAAAGGGGGAAAAGTGTACATGATAAGATAACATACAGAAATAGTAATATCATATCATCAATTTGCTTCGTTGCAAGTCAAAATATTTCGCTTTCAATATCCTGCGTCCTTTGCCTACCCCTTGCCTAGTGTTTGAAGGTTTGGGACTGGTTGATATTTGCACAAGATAGCGGCGGCGCCTCTGTATATATGGCTTCAATTCCAGCAGAAATGTGATAAAATGGACGTTTAGCTATTGGCCTGGAGACGAGGCGGCTTCCACTGGCGACATGAACTTCGTAAGCTATAGTAAGACGATAAGGGTTAGGGAGAGTGCTAGAAGTAGCAAGAAGAGAATCGAAGCAGCATATCTCGATCGAGATCAATATTATGCAACTAGACTGCTAGCTATTGATACGAGCTCGCGCTTGAGCAAGACGTCTCACATTCTCGAGTCCCAGCAAAGCAATCCTCCACACTCGAGTAGGACTCAATACGCCGCTCGCTAAGCCCATAACAATAGCAATAAAGTAACGACCCAGCCGCTCAAATCAAGATAGAAACAGCAGTAGCATTGGGATCCATGACCACGTACGGCACGCTCCCCTCATCCATCTCATTCGAATGCTTTGCAAACTCCCCAATCAAACTCCTCAGCTCCTGATAAAACGTGCGTGCGGACTGCTTGATGGCAACCTCGTCCTCCTTCCCCTTTTTCTTGTAAATATTCCACACGCTGGCCGCGTATGTGACGAGATTATATTCCTGCGCAACTCGGAAGCTCAGGAGCCAGGGGACTTGGGCGGCCAGGAGCCATTCGCGCTGACGGCTGATAGGGAGAGTTTTAACGAAGTATTTTTCGTCGATGGCGTTAAGGTCGGTGAGGGTGGTGGGGAGGCGCGTATACAGGGCGGGTGGTTTGGCGATCACAAAGGATTGGTAGAAGTTCTGGAGGTAGTTTACTGCTGTATGCTGGGGTGAGGCAATGTGAATGGACATGGTGAGAGCGTCGATTAATTGGGCTCGAGTTTTGATCGTGGGAAATGACGGGAGACGGCCCTTATCTTTGTCTTGGAGCTCTGCGCACCATGAGGTGATATGTTGATCTTCGGATACATACTGGCGATTGCCCTTCTTGTCTCCTGTTTCCTGCTGTTCGTCGGCGTAGTCAAGCGAGACCAAAGAGGTCACGAATACGTGGATTGCATCCCAGATCTGGACGATGTTCCGCCCGTAGGCGTAGTTCCTCAACTTGGGCTCGTCGAGCTTGCCAGGCTCAAAGCCGCGATTCTTGAGCTGCTCAGGCACGTAATTTTCTGTGAAGTTGAAGGTATCGTAGGCGTAGTTAACGAGAGATTTGGCTTGAACGGGCGTCATTCCAACGAGATCGAGTATGATGCTCGGCACCAACGTATTGCGAGCAGCGGCATTGAGTGACAGTGTTCTGAACCAATGAGGCTCAAGAATCCGGAAGACAGGATGATCGGGCGGAAGAGTACGGTTTGCAGCTACTATGACAGCCTCCTCAATCAGATGGGTATGGGTCAAATGGACTGAAATCTCATGCCACATCCCGTCCGACACTTGAGCACAAGTCTTCGCATAGCGCCACGGCCAATCGTTTTTCTCATCTTCGGAAGGCTTCGCGTAGTATGGGTTAGATGGTTGTAGGCGTTTGTTGAACACAACTACTGAGCGATCGATGTCACCTTTCCAGTCAATGATAATTGCTAGCGGGTGCAGTTTGCCGTCGTCGCTCAATGAGAACAGAGTCACGGAGGCACAAGCATAGCGAGTCTCGGTGTCCTTGTCCTGAGATAAGAACTCTGCGTCTTCTTCAATTCCCACGGCCTCGCGTAGATAGCTGTAATCCTGATAGTAGAGCTTATCACTGCTGTCAATGATGTCTACTACATCCTTCCTACCCTGCTTAGTAGCGCCAGCTTTAAAAACGTTGGTCCATTGCAGTGGCGCTACACCAATTGTCGTAGGATTAGTTCCGGTGAAGTACTGCTGTGAAAAACGGGCATCGGACCACCAATCCGGCAGTAATCCGATGTTGTCGCCTCGCATAACATCGGTGCCGGTCTTCTTGTTGTCTCTATTTGCTTTTTCGACATCGGAAATAGTCAGCCCTTCATAGGCCGTACCATGGATTTGGTCATTGGCAGCTTTATACAACCATGTGGAAAAAGCTCCTAGGAAACCTTTCTTAGGCACTATCTTGGGTAGCAGCGTCGCAGTCTCCACAAGCCCCAGTTTATCGAAGATTTCCAATTCGGAGTGCCGATCTTTTGAAGGTATCGACTTCAGGTGTGGCGGATAATCATTATCGGTTGACCATAGATACCGCGAAGCTTTTTGCTCCAAAGTGAGTACCTGGGGAATGATAGGCTTTCAAGAGTCAGCACTATCGGTCCATTTGTAGACCTCTCCAGAGCTTTCCCACCTCAATACCTAAAGTATGGAACCATGAGGCGTAAGATTGTTCAATGCGATCGTAATACTCCGTTAGAGCCAACTGCGTGCCAGCATAGGTGCCCTCCTCGATTTGACCGTCCTCATTCTTATCGTCAGAGGCGAGGGGAGCTATGACGGACTTGAGGAGCTCTTGAGAGAAGGCGCCTGCATCGAAGCGCTTCAGAATGAAAAGGCCGATGTCTTCAGGGACACCTTGGAGTAAGTGTTCGAGCTTGGGCGTCGGTTCTGGGGGAAAGGTGATATCGTTAGTGGCAGCTTTACGCTTGAACAAATTTTGAAAGGCTTGAAATAGGCTGCCGAGCACCATGACGAAAGGCAAAGGGGAGTCTTAGGGTCTACGGTGCAAAGCAGAGCGAGTGAAGCGAATTGGAAGAATTGTTGTTAATGAGAAAACAAAGAAAAGAGGTATAACAGTAACTGCCCAGGTGAAGGGGATGGCGTCAGCAAGTCATCATCTCCAGGTCAGCGGGTCGTTCCTTCTGTCTTTGTCCCATCTACCCCGGGGTCTAGGGTACCATACTTCTATCTCCACAATGTGTGCCCCTTCTCGCCATTCTACCGAATACTGAGAGCCGCACAGCAGAGGATTCGTCACTTGAGGCATTTACGGTACCATTAAGATAGAAGAGCCGCATTGACTCATCACGCAAATTCCTTGACCGCACGCACGGAATCTGACACTTTTGACCGCATTTGATGTGATTTGGTGCCACAACAGTGGGCTGATGCTTAGTCGAAGCACTATCACATGGCTTTGGCCAGAAGCTGGAGGCCGAGATGGACCCTCAAGACTCTGCTTAGAGGTTGGATATTGAGCGTTGGTGCGGTCAGACCATCACTTCTGCTCTTGAGTCCCCAAGGCTTAGCAGCAGGATGATGGATGTCAGCATTATTGAACGACGGTTGTCAGGAATAATCAGAAGAGAAAACTTGCACTCTGCTACTTCTAAGTTCTAATAAGCGACCTACGCGATTGGCCTCCCTGTCGCTGGCCAATGACTGTGACTGGCTTCAGGGGCTGCATTTAGGCTAGTCCTCTAGCTCGCACACCCCCTTTTCTCCTTGAATTGGTCTCCAAGGTATCGTCACCCATACTCATGCTTGCGTTCAAGAGATGAACAGATCCTTGCCTTTGCGATCCACCCTCTTTGCGGAACACAAGAAGGCTTGACTTGACTCAGGCAGGCAATATTGAGACAAATTTTGAATGTTTGAAGCTTTTTCTTATCATTTCGTGTACTCTTTCTGTAATAGCTTAGCGATAGTATTCAGCTGTATATTACTTGTCCCTTCATAGATTGCTCCGATCTTGCTGTCCCTGAAGAATTTCTCTGCGAGACCCTCTCGTACGAACCCCATACCACCCATCCATTCCACCGCTTGGCCGCTTACCTTTCCTGCTATCTGCGATGCGTATAGCTTCGCCATAGCAGCATCTCGCACAAAGTCAAGACCTGCCTCCTTCTTACGCGCAGCATTGTATACTAGAGCACGAGCGGCACAGATCTCGACGTGGGCTTGTGCCAGTTGATGTTGCATGCCTTGGAATGAGCCCACGAGCTGATTGAATTGCTTGCGATCATTCCAGACATAGCTGAGGAGTATGTCAATATCATGCTCCAGCTTCATCGAAAGAACTAGGCAAATGCAGTGCTTGAGGGAACGGGAACTTACTCGGCAGCGTTCTCCCAGGCACCCAGCGCCAGCCCAGTCATCTGCGCTGCGATGCCTATTCTACCCTCGTTCAGTATGCCAATGGCATACTTGTATCCCTGCCCTTCCTCTCCAAGAAGTTGATCCTTCGGTATCTCCACGTCGTCAAAAGTGACCACGCACGTACTGCTGGCCCTAATCCCGAGCTTCTTCTCTTTCTTCGCAATGCTGAAACCTTTCGTGCCCTTCTCCACCACGAAAGCCGAGATGCCTTTGTATCCTTTCTCAGGCTCAAGATTCGCGAACACGATGAATAGGTCCGCTTCCATAGAATTCGTAATCCACATCTTGCTCCCATTGATCTTGAACCCATCCCCTGTCCTCTCCGCTCTCGTCTTCAGCGCAAAGGCATCGCTACCACTAGCAGGCTCGCTGAGGCAAAAGCTGCCTACAGTCGCCGTCGCCAAGCGAGGTAACCACTTCTTCTTTGAGGTTTCCGTTCCGTACTTCAGTATTGTGGTGTTTACGAGGGTGTTGTGCACGTCTACTAGCACAGAGACAGAAGGATCGACTCGAGCTAGCTCTTCAATGCCCACGATCCCGGCTGTAAAATTCATGCCTGCCCCTCCATAATCCTCGGGGATCTCTATGCCCATCAATCCTTGTTCGAAGAGCTGCTCTACCAAGTCTTTGTCCATGCTTTCGGCTTCGTCCATTGCGCGGACTTTTGGAAGGACTGTTTCGACGGCAAACTTCCGGATTGAATCTGCCATCAGCACTTCTGTCTCCGAGAGGTGCGTTATGGGAGTCGGGGGGATCGTGCTGAGGTCCGTGGGATTGGCTGGAGTTTCTGGAGAGGCGGAGAGATACTGTGTTGTAGATAGCGGGCGAGCATTTGGTCTTCGATGAGACCATTGGGCGGGGCAATGATCATTATTGGTATGCCGTGACCGCGACAATGAGTTCATGTGTAAACATCGGGATGATGGTCGAGAGCTGGCGCGTGCAATTGGGTGCAGAGATCTCATCACAGACGCCATGATGGCAGAATCAAAGGTAGAGTCGTAGCTGGCAAAGTCTCGGATCAGCAATATGAAGGTTCATGACATACAATGCAGCATATATAGCGTTCCAAGTCAATTGACGATTTTATTCATAGACCTCGGTACCGTGAACTCCGCTGCTAGCCGTTTTTGCGGATAGTGTCAGTATGCTCACCGTAGAACTAGAACTATAAGTTTTATACCGAATTCGGCATGATTTTAGCGCTGGGCCAAACCTGGTCATGACGAGTCCAGCCCGAAAGGTCGAGCTGATCTGTTGCTTGATCTGGTGTGAAAGGTGGGCGAATGCTCGCGGCCTTGGCTAGACTCACTATCACCATGGTTCTTGCAATGAAGATCGCATTATCGATGCGGTGACCCCACAGATCCTTCTCTCTCCATCGTCTACTCGCATTGGGGGATTGCAATGGGTCCGTTGATCAGATGCACATTCTAGCACAAACAATGCTAATGGCAAGCAGCTGCCGACTCCCTTGATGTCTGGGTTCTAGCATTCACCGACCCTGCCGCAACAGACCACCAACCGCAGCGAGATCGACTCGGTGTATGCATGCGCCTCCACGCCACATGTAGAGCCTCGCTGACCATCTGGTGATTCAAGGGGCCAGCAGCTTTTCGATTGTCTACAGAAAATATACGTACATTATCTACGAATACAATCAATCAAGCCTCAGATGTCGAAGGCCTTCTCTATGTCCCTGACCTAGATCTGGCCGATTCTTGTCGCAACGCGTCCGCAGCGTACGTTCCTAACAACGTGACTCGCTTCAACGACCTGCCTCCCATACAGTATCAATATATATCATTTGCGCCATGGATCTCAGCCGCATGTACCAAGTCCTACCTCAATGCTGCTTCAGGATCGCAGCCAAGTGCTTTCCTTTTCTATAACCCCCTACAGACTACAACGGATACTCCACCCCCCATCAGCGATCAATTTTGGAATCTGAATGATGGGGGCCAATGGAAAAAGAGGAGTGAGTTCCCTGTTTACGCGATTTCTGGACCCAATGGTGCAGGTATCATGAATGCGCTCTCTCAGTATTCCGGTCCAATATCCAGTATACCAGGTGTAGGTCCTCAGCTACAACAATTCAATCCTAACGACTACGTCCGCCTATTCGCCAATTTCAATCTCGACGCCAGTAGCAACCTCCCCACACTTTGGGCTTTTCTCCTTATTGTCTTGGCCATTGTATTAATCCTGGTTGGCATCACTTCCCTTTCCATGCACATAGTCCAACGGCGTCACCGGCGCTCTCTCCAGCGCCGCGTTGAAAATGGTGAGGTGACGCTGGAAATGCTTGGGATCAAAAAGCCACGCCTAACGCAAGCCGACATCAACGCCCTCCCACTAACAACGTACACCGTCGACACAGAAAAGAAACCGCCACAGCCTCTTCCCGCCGATCCTTCCTCTACTGCGCCCGCGAATACCACAACAGCTCCTCCCTCAGACCCTCCGAAATCCCCAACGCCAGCTGCCCCCTCACCTCAGGACTTTTCCCAACCAACGTGCCCTATCTGCCTCGATGACTATATCCCATCTACCAGTCAAGTCCGCTCTCTACCGTGTCACCACATCTTTCACCCCGACTGCATCGACAATTTCCTCCTCACGACCCCACACCCTCAATGCCCGATGTGCAAAATGCGTATAAAAGCCTCAGCACCCATCACGTTCTCCTCCGCACCTGGGGCAATACCTTGCCCACCAATAACGAATGCGATGGTGCGGCGAGAGCGCTACGCGAGACGTCTGAGGGATCGAGGGGAACATCCCAGCAGTACCGACCCTGGCGGTGTACTGAGGTGGGCGAGTTTCCGCAGGCAGTTCAGACCGCCGCTCGCAGGCGGAGGCGGGGGAAGGAGTCATGGAGTGCCGGTTGCGGCTACAGGGATTACCGTCAGAGACAGGAATAGAGAACGCGGCAGTGCAGCAAGGATTGGCGGCAGTAATACAGAAGTCGGGAGCGGAAATAGCGGGACTGCGGTGGAGATGCAGAACGTGCCACCTGTGCCTACAGTCGCGGAACGGCCGCGGGATCTGGATGGAAGGAGAGAATGGGCAAGACGGAGGGCTAGCGCTCTTTTGGGACGGAACCAGCCTGGCGTTGTTGCTGCTAATGGTGTAAGTGAGGATGTGGAGGAAGCGGGAGAGGGAAGGGAGAGAAGAGGTGTGATGAGGAGGGGGCTAGGGAGGGTGTTCCCTGGATTTCGGTAGTGTGTTTGTGGTTTGGATACTGGAGACGTGTACACGTATGTCATTGCGATGAGATATAGTGAAGTCTGTATATATCGGCATCGATCGAGTGACTGGGTTTTTGTGTTGTGCGACGCGTTTGTGAGCATGGCGTTGGTGGAGCGGCATATGTGTATGTATATTGTGAGCATTTAGCAATTAGCAGTGCGAGTCTGCTGCAAACTTGTATATCACGATTATCCTCTAATAAGGCTCAAACCGTCCCTTTCTCTTTGTCTTCTCGCCTTCTCGAGAGCTCTTATTGCTCCCTTTGCCTTGTCTCTGGCGCTCCTCCTGACCATCTCCCTCACCTTTCCCCTCTGCCATTGTCATTTCGATGTCATTCTCCTCGGCGTCACTGAGCGAAGGCAATGAAGGGGCCCGCCACGCCTTTATCATACCGTCCTCACCTCCAGTGTAGATCTTCTGCGTCTCGCCATCCTGCGAAGGAGCGAAACACAGAGTACGGACGATTTCTTCGCCGTGTGCATTGGGGAGGGAGATGGTATTTGCTGTATCAAAAGTGTAGATTCGTGAGGTGGAATGGACCAGAGGTGTGAGTGTGAGGCTAGAGGTGCTGGGAGATGTGATGTGTCAGTTTTAGAGAGGCTTCCCCTTTGCTAGAAAAACTGGGGCTGATGCAGGGTTATGGGGTTGGGGGATGTTTGGTAGTGATGAGATCCAAGTCAGTGGAAATTGTGACACGAGAGTCATTAGGAGGCATTTGAAGAAGAAGGTAGCTCGGTGATCATAATGACATCGACCACACTGGAGCAGCCAAAGGACCGCAGAGTCACGAATTGAGGCAAGCCACCTTTCATGAGATTCGTGACTTTGAGGCGTGCATGTCGAAGACCAGGCGTGATGCACGCAACGACAAAGGGGAGAAATGTTTTATGCGAGATGAAATGGCAGGGCGCCTGACAAGGACGTCGGTCATACCTATGAGACCCGGCTGCGACATACTGTCTGCTTGCTGCCTTGGCAACATCTACCACATACTCGCATTTAAGGGTTGGCCTGACGTCTCCGAAGACGGTCGCGGGCCGATCATCGGTCACGCTGGTGTCGTTTCCGGGGGAATCCATGTGATAGACCGAGAATGTTTCGTCGTGGCTTAAGCCATACATCACAGTGGAGTCGAGATAGCCTGCATGGTGAATTGAGCTCTCATGATTGAACACTTCGAGTAGAGCATCATCTTCGTCATTCAATGTGCAGTCAAAGACATTGACCAGGCCATCGGTGCTGCCTGAGAGGAGATGGGAAGACTTGGTTGGACAAAATTGAAGCTACGCACGTGGAGTCAGTACAGAGTTTCGATCTAAAAACGGACATGCAGACAGCTCGACGGCGCGAAGGATTCCCTCATCTAGCTTGAATAGTCAGGAACACGCGGTCTCCCCAGCCGTTGCTCAATGTACAGTTGATACCTATCTTTCTTCCCGATCTGATGCAAGTACTTACATCTGTTACGTCGTCGTTGTGGCTCTCAACATATTGCAACAAAGTCGTTGACGGATTTCTTAGATCCCTGAAGCATGTAAATATGGGTCACACGTGCAACTTCGCCGAAATAAGTGTACCAAAGAATAACCCTTGCCTGCGAGTGTTGCAATTCCGTTCCGGCGGCCACCGAATGGTTATGTCCAACACTCAACGAAAGCAGAGGCGTGACCTGTGCTGGCATACATCCTATCAGACATGTACAAGTCGGTTTTGCCAGAGAAAGCAGGGAGCCCACAATCCTTCAACTCGGCTACTTTCAACTTTGGAGTACGACAGTCCCACAGTCGGACGAAGCCATCCCTCCCCGCGGTACAGATTTGACTAGATTCTCCTGGAACGGGGCTTAAGCATGTAACGCCCGCATGTACTTGAGAAATTGACTTTTCTTCGTCGAAGGTCTCTGAGTTCACAAAATATAACGAGTCGTCCGAGCAGATGGCGGCAAGTGCGCGCTCCTGCACCGATGGAATCACTTTATAGATATAAGTTGTCTCTGCAGGATTGAGCTGGGATTGCTGCAGCAGAAGAGCGTCTCGCATAGCTGAAGAGAGAAACCGGTTCTTTGAACGCTTAGTGTAGTCTAGTAGTGAAGTCTAGTGAAGTGGTTGGGAGATTACCCTTTAGGGCCAAGCGCTAGTGCGCGCTATACATAATAGCCTAAATCATAGCTTTTCAACGATGCTCCAAGGTGCAGACTGATCGGAATCACTGTCGCAATGCAATTGGACTGACCTGCGTCTTGATCTACTGGCACAAGCCTGAGAAGGTGTCGGTTGGCGATTTTTCCCCCGATGGCAGCTGTAAGCAAGAATAGCGGCCGGACAAGCAGGCCTGGACCTCCACACTAGAGCGTTGCAATCATGCAGCTAACACAGCCTTCATGTAGACCATCTGCAGGAATACGGCTGTGTCCACAGGTGTAGAGTATGAGGTGAGCACCTCAGCGCCCCAATTCCGTCTTTCTACCATTCGACCCTGACAGCGTTGACATCAACATGCTAGAACCGTAGGCCAAACCCACAGTCCGGATCAGCTTTTTGTCACATCTTGTGTGCGGAACATTTGGCGTAGACGAGCTCTGTCTGTTGTACTGCACATGCTTGCTGCACGGGTTTTCCTCTCGCAAGTCTGCTTTCCTTGCTGAAGTCACAAAGACGCAATGAGAATTATGCAGAATGATTTCTCAATTCGATTGTCGTCCATGTTCCGCAGCTTTTCTGGCCGATACTTGCGTCTTTCGATGGCGAGAGCACAATGCCTAAGCGTAGGTCTAACGAGAGCGTAAACCTACTCGAGCCTCATGTTGCTGCTACCCGTCTCTACTTTCGCTTCACATGAGAAATGCTTGTTGAGAAGTCCAATGGCTCGTACCTTGTTGTACCACAGTTTCACAAAGTGGCCCCCTGAGATAATTATTCACAATTTGGTATTGAGAACTCTCCATATTTCCAACCTTTCACATTACGGTCTATTTCTTTACTCTGCCACCAATTCGCTCGCTCCTTGCTATCCTTCCACCCTCTTACAAATTCGTACTTCTTGATAGATGTGAGCTACTCGTCTAGTCCTAGTCAGCGACCACAAAGATCTCGTCTTTTGACGCGATATCATTGTCGGCATAACGCAACGTCCCGAGATGAAGTTCCATGAAATTGTACAAACAACACCACAGCGTCTCTTTGTGTTTGCTTACACAAATTTCCAGCATGAGCGAGAATTGATGCGCATGAGTGGCCTTTGGTACATTGCCAATCTAATACGCAGCCCGAAAGAACTCCACTTTCGGGGAGACGTGGATCCATGGGGTGAGGCAACGCTATATCGTTGTAAACTCAACGATACTAAGGAGATTCCGTACATCCTGGATATTGGCTATTTCGAAGGGGATTGGATGTATGAGATGAATGGGTAATTTCTATCATCATATAAACCTATAGCAATGTTCACTATCGTCGTAGGCGACATAGAGATGCAAAGGTACGCAACCCATCGCTCGTCCTTCGATGACATCCACGCAAGAATTTCTTGCTGATAGAGTGATCAGATATTTGGCATAGATCTTGATCTCCCAAAGTCGGACATGTAGGTGGCTTCCCCATTTCCTGCATTGAGAAATGTCTGATGTTCAGGCTTCGACAACCAAATATCGAATGTAGATTGCTTGCAACCCTCGAAGCTCCTGTTTTCTGGGACGAACGACAACCCTTTGACCTTATCCATGCGGCCTTCTGTTTGGAGAAAGTGAAAAACCTCGAATACATGCTCAAGCAGATATACAAGTATATAGCCACACATTCACTCCTTAATCTTGATGCTGACCTGGTCTAGAAGACTCGTTCCTGGCTCTGGCCATCTCGAAGTGACTGAGGTCTCTTTAAAACCCCGCACAGACGGTACATTGCCAGAGTTCGGAATGGTGATGACATGGTTCGCACATCTAAAGCAGTCCCACCATTTCCTTGATTTCAATGTCAACGAATTCAAGACATTGCTGGAAAATATTGGCTTCGTGGACATCGAGGTCTATACTGACAGGCTCCCAATTGGCCGTAACAGCGAGCCGTGTGACGCATGCAAGAAGATTTCAAGCCCCCTACCGGGATCATATCACTGCTCGAACGCAGAGTGCATCTGGTGGTTGAGTAATCCTAGAGATGTCATTCAGGTACGGGTAGCCGACAAGTACCAAGAAGTGACAGCTGATGAGTCGCATCTTGAGGCCATAAGTCATCGTGCTTTCCGCAATGGACAACACTATGATCACAGACACTGGACTGCGTACTTACCAGGGATCTATGAAGAGCTGACAAACAACCGGTTTCATGCGTGGAATGAAATGTGAGTTGCAGGGATGAGCAGCTTCAAAGCGCTTCTAATCAATGTTGGCATAGATATTTCATCACCGCAAGAAAACCTAACGAGCGAGAATCTCCGCCAGAATACGGCGAATCTAAATCAGAACAAGATACTTATCCTTCAATTCAACGAACAAGGCAAACGTCTCATGAGCATAAGCCACTCATCCCCAGAGATGGCGCAAACTTGTATCGTTGCTCCTGCCAAAGGCCAAGTGAATCCACAAATGATGTGGAGACTCAATCAGCAGATAGGCTTTGCCACGGGAAAAGTCTCCCAGAAATTCTCAGCACACACACACGGGAGTACACTGAAAGATATAATTTCATTTTCGGAGAACCTCGTGACTATTCGGTAAACCTCTCCCAAGCAACAAGGAGTCAAAGTCACTATGAGAATGGGCGAGCCTGATTTTTTCCAATTTGGTTGAACAGATGCTTGAACGTGATTAGTTCTGCATAATTTCTGGATATCTGAAACGTCAATTAAACCGAGTTCACAATATCGAAACCACTTGCCTTGAACCTACATTACTCTTCGCTTCTTGACTTTAGACGGAGAGAAACGCAGACCCAATTTGACCGTCGCTACCTTTTCCCATGATTGATTCAATGCCTAGTTATGTCTCCGCCTTGTTCTGCTATCAAAACATCAAATTCTTTACCTTTCGGCAAACGACTGTACGCTCCCTCTGCACAGATTCAATATAGAGTCTTAATGATACGAAAAGAGGGATGGTATGCACCCCGTTTAGATCCTCAACTCATCCGTAGGAACAGCACAAAGACACCACAACACAACATCAACTCGCGAGTGTCCTACAGTAGGTACAACAGAGTTGGAAACATCTTTCCTGTTTTGTTCACCAAGATCTACACCTCACATCCGCACAATCTAAACTCCTCAACACCACCTCATCTTGCCCAACCCTCCCCCTAAAGTCCCACTCCCGATGCTCGTAAGCTTTCAGTGACAGACTATCTCCATTGCTTAGACACGACCTAGCCTGCCCTTTGACCCATCCCCTTTTTCCTATCCCAATCCTCGTAGACGCTCACGCAAATTCTTTCCACCAAATCACGGTCTTTCTTTGTCAACTGCAGGAACATGAAAGAAACCAGCAATTTGGTATGTATGGGGAGCATCCAGGTGTCCGAATACGAAGTGCCTCGCCCCCTTCTTGTAAGAAAAATCTTGGGAGAACCATCACCCGTGCGTACGTGCATGGGCTGGTCCGAGCTTTAAGTGCAGGGATGGGAAACGATCAGCATGTCAGAAAGTGGCAGCAAGATGGGTCGAGAATCTCCCTTCGCATCTAGGGAAGGAATTCCGAAAAGGTTGGCAAGGCAAAAACGACACCACACCAGCCTTTGTCAATTGACCTATGGGAGTCTCTCGGGCAATATGCAATGAAAGACGTGTCGTATGAAAGGTGGAAAGATCTAGGGCAATGATCTTTTCCATTGATGGATTGATAGCCAACTTATATCGGATAGACTGAGTTTTTTCGATTTACTCGCTTGAACACGCGCTGTCATACATCATTAGCACACTACGCGGATGTCGAATATACAAGCCTTTTTTGGAATGATATGATGCCGCCTGCGCCGCCTCGAGAAATCTATTATTAAGAACAACTCCACATACACCTTCATAAACACCTGAGGTAGACGAATTCCCTCTCCTCCTCCTGTACTTACAGTAGGCACCTCAGACAACTTTTGATAGCTGTCATTGTTGACGTGGTTGACGCTGTTGACGCAAAGCACGGTTGCTTCGTTCATTGATTGCTTGTGTACTGGTTCATCTGGACGGTCTTGACGATCGCACCTGACCTGTTGGATTCAGGATGGTCGTTTTCCCACCCGCCTAGCTCTTGCTCCCTGACAGAGACGCCTGTGTTGCCATCCTTGCCTCCACCCTTGACATGAGTAGTCGTATACCCGGACCCGTATTCCAGATCTTCATTGCTGGAGTCAGACTCCATTTTCTTGGTATACCCCCATTCAGGATCTTTTACCCCAGTGGTTGCGATTCGCTCTTCACTGCCAGTTGGGATATAGCCATCGACATCGAATTTAGTCCGTCGGGCGCTGACAATATGCGCATTGCTACGGTGAGAACGTAGAGGGTATTGATTGGATCCCTTTTGGGCAGAGGTATCTTTGAAGGTGCCAAGTCTGAAGACGCGGGAGATAAGTGCCCAGAGATGGGGAACGTTGGCAACGATCACCGCCGTAGCCGTTTCACCCGCATACCAGTTCAGATAGACCAAAGAGCCATATGGCGCTGTGAAATTTGTAACGCGGTTAAGGATCGCGCAGAGAATCACAAGGGCACCCAGACCGAAGACGCTCACGAGGACAAGCTTCCTCTTCAACGGCACCTTTGCTTTGATCACCAATGGGATGGGTAGACATAGCATGATCGCATCTGAGGTAATGTTGAAACATGCGTCAAGGATCATGTGGTGTCTGTAGGTCATACATTCTGATTGGTCCGGAGGAAGAGGAATCGTGTCGTAGTAAGCGCTGAATGGCTTGCACCAGGCCAGAAAATAGCAGAACATGACGATAACATACCCGACAGCAACGTATATTGCGACAGCCCAGACAGCTTTTCGATACTTGGGCAGACCTTTGGTCATTGCCGCATAGAGTATTAGGAGGCAAGCTTTGCAGCCCCAGACCGTGGACACTTTGCAAACTTCCATCGCAACGCCCCATTTGGCACCTTCAATTGCCCAGTGGAAGTCGTTCGGCGTCCAGTCAACCACATCGTCCGGTGTGACATAGTTGTTGCCCCAGAGACATTGAACCCAGATGGAGAATATGACAATGATATACATAGCCTGCTGCTTGTCAGCATGTATAGGAGACAAGGTAGCCATAGGTAATGAGCTGGGCGTGACTGCAATGACTGGTAGAGCGTCATAATTTGGGGAGACGCACAACACATAATGTCATAAGATAGTCGTCAAACTGGAATTTCACGAACGAGCCGAGCAAGATCCGTCGCGAAGCTCTGTTGCAGCGAGGGAATACTGTCAGTCGATGTTCTCCCCTCATTCAAACCCGAGGGAGGCTGCAAAACGTACATTCTGGCAAAATAAACCAGGAGCACGACCACTAGGAGGGTCCATAGCTCAATGATCACAGAATTTGCACCCGGAATCATGTTGAAGGAGGGAAGAGTATTGTGGTCTGAAGGAGCGATGCAACCATGTGCTGCTCAACGAAACACACTTGCGATAGACGTTCTCACGACAACATTAAAACCGGATGTTCGAATGGGCGATGTTAGGACAACCGCGATCAAATTCCGCCGAGTGGATCAGTGAATGATATGAGAGGGCAGAGACCGCCTGTGACAAGGACCCCTTTCACTATTTGCATAACGTGATTGGGCTCGCTGTTGAACTGGAGCAAGATCGGATCACCTCAACAGCGGACGGCAACAGGGCCAGAGGCTGTCAACCTTCCGTCCATTTCGGTCCGTGATTCTAAGCCTCCTTTGAGTCTAGATTCAGGAACCTTTGAACATCTTCAAAGCCAAAGAACCTGAAGAAGGAGACTTCGGTTGCAAAGTTTGAGCCGATTTGGCTCTTACTGGAGTAAAATCGCCTTAGCCCTATAGGGTTTTCGCGTTTGCCCAATCTCAAAGAAATCTCATAATGTTACTGGCTATAAGCCTCCGTAGGATGAACAAGCTTAAAATTCCTTTCCATTTTATTTCCTTTGCGGCGTCTCCCCATCGATATCCAAATTGAGCTCAAGACGGCCGCGCAGAGACGGGCAGATTACCGTGTTGACATGTCAAGGCCAATCCCGCCGAGGTTGTACCAAGGCGACCAGGCCATCGGGCCTGAGGAGTAACCAGAGGATGGCTCCTGGCTTGAGCAGATTGAGCACCTAGCCTGTCAAGGTTGGGGCTTGGGGAAATATTGCTCCTATATTGTTCAGAAACGCCACACTAATCGATTGACTAGCCGTCCTGACCATTGCTGATATACCCAGCCACAAGAAGTCAACGGCCAATTGCCGGCAGATTACAGATAAGCACCACTCATGATACCAATCAAGTAGTGCTCTAGGCTCAATAATAATGGCCTCGGGTAGCAATACTACTTTTTCAGCATCGCTGGTGTGAACTCCCGGAACTGAGTACTTACTGAGTGAGCGTTCGGTGGATGGCCAGAGTCCACCGGATGCAAACCTAGATGACTAACATAGTTTCTCGATAGACTTCGTACCAGACGTTGTTCAGGACTCTTGATATTAGTGTATTTGATCCCTAATCTCTCTACTTTGGTCGCACCAAGCGATCCACTGCCACGAAAAGGAACTTTGCTTGTTCCGCGACCACTAATCAATATTCACAGGGGAAGCTATCCAAACCCGGCCGACTGAGCACACGACTGATATGTTTGGAATAATGTACGAGTATTCGCTACATACAATTGTCTTATCCCGTCTTTCTGCTTGTGGTTAGCATAATGTTAGGAATTGGAGTGAGGATAGAGTTGTGGGTATGATGTACAATTGGCTGTTACAGTTGGTGTAAGAGCTAGGTGTATATGCAGGACATGGGTTCCCTTATGCGGATCACTGAGTAGTCAGCATCAGCTATTCCTCTATTGCTCTAGTCATACCGCTCATTGACATTGCCAAGCGCGCCTCATTTTGCTGGCTTACATTGACCTCCACCGCGGAATCTGCGCTGCCTTCTACTTGCATTGAAGCCTCGGCGGGAGGAAGCCTGCTATACTGCGTCAAATCCTGCCCCGCCAGCAAACTCGACGGGGATCCTATGGGTCGAGGCCCGGATGCAGTCGCCCGCTCTTGGCGCTCATCTAGTAGACCCACTACCTAAGTACATGTTATTAGCTTTATCAAATTTGGCTTACTTCCTACGATGGCACAACAGAGCGGAGGAAAGCACGCTCTCGATGTCGTTTCTTGTGGGGGCTCCCTTTTGCTCGGATGACCCTTCGCCATACGACTTTTGTGCTCGCTTGCATCCAGTCCAGGGGGGTCGGCTACATGCATGGCAAACATGCCCAGAGTCGAAACTAAGGTAGTCGCCTCTTGCTGGACCAGTCCTGCATGGATGGTCTAGCCATGCAGCACTAGAGCATCATCGTTCGAACGATCCCACGCACATAGAGGCGCCTTGGAGGCTGCAACAAGATGTAGGCTTGTGCCTTCTACGCCAAATCCTGTTGACAATCTCTCTTGCGATGCTGAAACGGGGAAGGCAAAGTTGTGATCTGCAAAACAAAGCCTTGTATCGCTACCACGTTACAGAGACCCAAATCGTAGATCCGGGGCTGCGGTTTCGACTACTACCATTATTAGTCAAATGAGTCGTCCGTTAAAGTCGGAGCCGGCACCCCGCTTACCTTTTAGCACGCCGTTACAGCTGGCATTCTCGCTGCGCTCGAAGTGGTGTTGAGTCTAGCGTGAGAAACCCAAGAGGGCTGGACTGCTGAAATGTCTGATCAGATTTCTGTCAATTCTTACCTCGCCTTTCATCCCTCGTTATTCTCGAAGCACCTTAATCATCATGGTTCTGAACCCTCTCAATCACCCTGGGGCTCAACAGATACCGGAGAACGATGTGGAGAAGCGCGGAGAGTTGAAGTCTGCCGATGTACACGTCACCTCTGGCGGTAGCGATACCTCTCCAAGCTCCATTGATACTCAGCATGATGTTCCTCCTACACCTAGAGTCTTGAAGGGAAAACTTGGCAAATGGAATGACAGGATCGAAGGCCTCGCCGGGCTTGAAGCTCGCGGTATCACGCGTGTCTTACCAGAAGAAAGACATGGAGGCGGGAGAAAAGGATATGGCCAGATGTTTCTGCTGTGGTTCAGTATCAACCTCGTAGCGAACAACATCATCACTGCTATGCTTGGGCCTTTGGTTTTCATGCTGGGATGGACAGATTGCATCTGCCTTGCGATCTTCGCGCAAGCTGTTGCTTGCTGTGGACCGGCATATATGTCTACTTGGGGACCAGCCAGTGGAAACCGAACAATGGCATGTTGGCATTCAGAGGTCGCTTACTCCTGAATCTGTGTGCTGACTCGTCGCGCAGATTGTCAGCCGATTTTTCATGGGCTATTGGCCCGCAAAGCTTTCCGCGATCCTGAACGTCATTATGCAAGTCGGATGGGGTACAATTGGATGCATCATCGCCGGGCAGCTGATATCGGCGGTTAACGGCGAAGGCTTGACTGTCGCTGTTGGATGTATTGTTGCTGCTCTCCTGATTGGTTTGATCGCCGTCTTTGGCATTGGCCTTGTCCAGGCATACGAAAGGTGCGTCCATAATCGTCTAATAAAGAAAGAACTTCCTCGAGCTTATAAAATCCAGATACGCCTTCATCCCTCAAGCCCTCGCCATCCTCGTCCTGGTCGGCTCTTGCGGAAAGAATTTCGATCGCAATGCCGTTTCCCAGGACCAAGCGGTACAGCGACCGCAAACCGATGCTCCTTCTTCGCTCTTATGTTCTCCAGTGTCATTGGCTTCAGTGCTGTCAGCGCTGACTTCTACGTCTATTATCCAACCAATACCTCCAAACCACTCACATTCTTCGCGACCTGGTCTGGCAACTGGATATCTCAGACCCTGCTCAATGTCATTGGCATTGGTATTGCCACCGGGGTAGCCGTCACACCTGGCTGGAGCGACGCTTACGGTATCTCTTCGGGCGCTTTACTACTGAAATGCTATGAGGGCCTAGGCGGCTTCGGATCATTTTGCGTTGTCATCCTCGCCCTGGGCTCTGTAACTAATAACGCGCCATGCTCGTACGCCGCAGCGCTCACCATCCAGACACTCGGCCGCTATGCGAAGGCGATACCGCGCTGGTTTTGGTGCGTCGTCATCACGATTGTCGAACTTGCGCTCTCCGTTGCAGGGCGCGATCATTTGTTCAAAATCTTCCAGAATTTCCTTCCCATTATGGCGTACTGGGTGAACCCGTGGCTCACCATCATAATCATCGAGCATTTGGTGTTCCACAAGTTGAAGGGCAAGGGTTTCGACTGGACAGCGTGGGAGGATAAGGCACGGTTACCGATTGGTGCGGCCGCTCTGTTTTCATGGCTTGTTGGATGGGCAGGCGCGATCATCGGTATGGAGCAAGTCTGGTATCAGGGGCCTGTAGCGCTAAAAGTCGGCAACTATGGAGGCGATATTGGAGAGTGGCTGGCCATAGCGTTTGCAGGTGTTGTATACCTGCCATTGAGGTGGCTGGAGTTGAAAAAGTCCTTAAGATAGCGAGGCAGTACTGTACTCACAGCTGAGGAAGAGCAGAAGAGGGGGGTCTTATTGCTTTGGCTTGGTCGTGTGAATGGAAAAGTGTATCGTTTGGAAAGTCATTTTGATAGCGTATGCCAAATTGGATGATACCAGCTTATTCATATTTTATATGGGAACGATTTCGAGATTGTTACGTTGTACGAGGCTTCAAGCCACACTCTCGATCAGAAATCGTGGATGTGCATGCTTTATACCCAGATTACTGATGTCTTATGGAAAGAATAAGCTTGTACTCTACCCCATCTGCTTACACTTTGGCATCCCCGGTCTGCTTCATGAACAATTAGCCAGCGCTTTCAAGAAGGTTTTCCACTTTCTAGACCTGAACCGGCTCTATGCACCGTCAAGGTCGGGAAAACTTGGTGCACGTGATTTTCGGCTCCACGTTGTCAAGCTTCCTAGCAATTAGCACATGGAGCTATTGATGACCCACAACGGACAATTCCATGACAGACCCATTGCGGTACCCCACAACTGTTGTTGACATTCCATTTCTCTGTAGCTTTTGACCACCAATTTTTCTATTAAGATAAAATCTCCATAGAGTATAGTCTTCAAATGATACTAAAACTCTTCAGCTAAATCAACACTCCCCACTCTCAACATAGAGCTAGAAAACCCTCACAGCCATGTCAACCCAGTACGACGACATCCAAGGCCCCTACGACTACATCCGCACCAAATCTATTGCCCTCATTGAGCACGAAAACGTCCGCGACACCATCGGCCCCTACATCAAAGGCGCTCGCGTCCTCGAGCTCGCCTGCGGCTCCGCCTTCTACACCTACTCCTTCCTCGATTGGGGCGCCACCTCCGTAACAGGCGTCGACATCTCCTCCGGCATGATCGAAGAAGCCAAACGTAATGCCCCCAACGACGGATCGAGCAAGGGAAAAGTTGACTTCATCCTTGCGGATTGCTCGAAACCAAAGGAATTTGAGGGCGGGCCGTTCGATGTCGTATTTGGCGCCTGGTTACTCAATTATGCGGAGGATAAGAAGGGCTTAGTGAATATGTTCAGGAATATTGAGGTGAATTTGAAGCCAGGGGGGCATCTTGTCAGTGTCACGGTGCCGCCGGCGGAAGATCCGACGGAGTCAATTAAGAAGGAGTATGAGGCGAGGCCGCCGCCTGAGGGGTCAGGGGGGCTGTGGTATTGGGTGCTGAAGGATGTGGAGGGAGGTGTGTATTTTCATGTTCATGGAACTAGTCCCATGGGGGACGTTGCGTTTGATTGCTATCACCTGAGGGAAAGCTTGCAGAGGGAGGCCGCGATGGAGGCGGGATTGAAGGTTGTGGAGTGGGGTGTTACGAGCGTGCCGGAGAGATACCTGCAAGGAAGAGGTGAGGGAGGGGCGAGCTTGAAGGAGTTGGAGAGCTATAAAGATATACCGAACTATGGGCTGTTAGTGGTAGAGAAGGAGAAGTAGATAAAGTCTCCTCAATGATGACAAGTACTTGTATCTCTGGGAGCGTCAGTGAATCAAGTGCTACTTATATCCGCTGTTTTGCTGAACTCGATATTGCACATGATTCGGACGCATTGGTTACGATGAGCTCTTAATGGCTCTTCCTCAATTTTTTTCTCACAGGTGCAACTTTCTAGATAAATGAATTGGCCGGACAAACAGTCTCTGATGCCACTTCAGGGCTAGTGATGGCTGGAGACACGCAAGAAATATCAATGACGAATTCTGTGTCGAGACCACCGCCGAGTTGCAATCGAGACAGTGATGGAAGACTTCCAAATGAGCTTTAAAAAGCAAAGGTCGCGCAACCTCCGGAAGTCCCGCGCGATCCGGAGTATGCCCGACAAAGCTCCCATGCTGGCACTGATGCATTTCTTTACTACCTCTGAGCTTGGAGACATAATGTGGTGCTGATCCGTCTTTTCATGTTTGTTATGCCTGAATGTGACTGCATGCAATTACAATCGAGCCATGATGATAGACTTACGCAAGAACGACATTGCAGAGCTGGACCAAAGCTCACGTAACGCTCAATATCGCCTCCTTGCGAAGCTGAAAAGGGATCATCACTATGTTCTCCTAGACCCGAAATGCTACAAGGAGGATGATGATGAGCAAAAAGGCCGTCGAGCCGCCGAAGCTATGAAAGAGCTTGTCAGGGTGCTGGGGCAGATGTACACTGCCGACTCCAGGCTGCTGCAATGCGATGGCTGGTATGAGGATCAGGCGCAGGAGCAATTCTATCTTGTTTTTCGGTTGCCTCCCAATATCGAGGAACCACTCACGAAACCCCTCTTTTTAGACGAGTTTTACAGCACCTATCGACCTGGGCTACACATGCGTTTTCAATTGGCCCGCGCCCTTGCTTCAGCAGTCCTCGAAGTTCACAAACAAAATTGGTTGCACAAGGGTATACGTAGCGACAATGTGATCTTCTTCCACCGCAACAAGAATGAGAAACGCAGCATGGGCGATCCGAAACTGATAGGTTTTGACTATTCTCGAAAGGACATGCCAGACGTTTATTCAGAAAAGCCTATTTTCACCGCCCCTACCACATTACTTTGTCACGAGAAAAAGCTTTACTAATTTGTCTGGGAGTCAGGGCGACGCACGCGAATCTTTACCGGCATCCTGATGCTCTTCGAAACCCGACTGTACATTTCAACCGTCTACATGACTACTACGCTTTGGGTGTTGTCCTCGTGGAAATAGCCTGGTGGAGTCCCATGGAGACTATCCTCAGAAAGCACCAGGAACTTCAGGGAGAAGAATGCCTCGAAACTGATGTCGAAAAGGTCCAGGACACCCTCTTGGACCGCGATGTCTATTCCGCCGAGCAGTATCAAGCGGTGCTTACGTTCACAATGGGAGATATATACAGAGATGTGGTCAACGCGTGCTTGAAAAGTGACTTCGACGTTGGCGTGAACGAATCTATGCTGCTGGAATCATTCGAACGGCGTGTGCTTGGACCTCTGCAAAAAATAGTTGTTTAGCAATAGCTATCGACAGATTGACCCATGGCTGAGCCTTCTTCAACTTCCCGGGACTATAAAGGGCCGTCATCAGCAGTCCTCAACAATTTTGCGACTGTTTCACGGCCCCCATGATCCGCCACCTGAAATGGTGTCATCGCAGCATCATTCTCCATACGAAGCGCTCCGTCGCCAAGTCTGAACTGCAAAAGAGACCTTACGGTCTGCTCGTTCCCTCTACTTGCAGCACAGTGTAAAGGAGTGTCTCCATTAAGATCTTTCGCCTCTAAGAGATCCACTGGAAGCCTTACTTGAAGAAGCATCATGTCCACTATATCTCCCGTCGCGGATCGGGCAGCATAATGCAAGGGCGTCTTGCCATACTCGTCTGCTGTGTAAAGATCTTCAAAAATTTCTGGATGACTCTTCATTGCCCGATCATCTGCTTGAATGGCCGCCATGTGTAAGCGTGTACGGGTGGCGGACGATATTATAAGTGGAGCGTTCATGCCTTCTGGATGCATTTTTTGATACCATGCTCGATACGTGTTAATCGCCTGCGGTAGGGCGGTGGCATCATCTGTCCTGCGACGATTTGAGATAAATGGCCCTAGCATTAACGCTGGCGTTGAGAGGTTGCTGACGCTTGAGTCTTGGAATATATCCACTTCTGTTTCTAGAATCCGTCGGCGAGACAGGTCTCGTTTCAAATTCTCATAGGGTGTCAACGGCACTATTTGCTCTGGATGGAGATCTCGATTGTCTCTAACAGAACTCAACCAACCAGCACCGAAGAGCAGTCGAATGCGGATTGAGTCTCCTCGAGAAGCGGCTCGATGCAGTGGGCTACTTCTCAATGGCTCGTTGAGTGGCGGGCTTTGAATGATGCTTAGTCCTTGTTCCTCACGATCCTGATTCGGCATATCAGGATAAAGCATATCGAAAAGGTCTAGCTGCACCTCCCACGAGAGAAGACGCTCTTTTGGGTCGTCTCGTAGCATAGCACCAACTATTCTCAATATGTGATCCATCCGAGGACTGCTATCATGCTACCTCAGCTCTGATATCCATTCTTGGACAGCATCCATGTGGTGATGAAAGGATTTATCAGCTTTGGGCTTACCCTCAATATCTTTGAGTAATATCCGGGGTCTAGACTGGCGCCTTCTGTCTTCGAAGTGTCTGAGGACGCGGCCGCCGCCACCCCAGCCATGTATAAGGACGGTCAGCAACTCAAGAATGACGCACCCTAATGCCCAGACATCGAAGGCTCGACCGTGTTGAATTTGATTGCGTTGACCATCATTTCGCCAATATTCGGGAGGTTGATAAGTAGGAGTGCCCAATCCCAGCTTTCCGTGGGTTCCAGAACCATCGGCAACTTCACCTAGACGAGATAGTCCGAAGTCGCAAATAAGAAACTCCTTGCCATCCACCAAAATGTTTTCCGGCTTGAGGTCATGATGGCAAGCGATCTCATTGTCGACATCTCTGTGAATATAGGCGAGAGTCTCTGCCAGAGAGTAGATTTTGTCATACATGAAGGCTCGCAAGTCTAGAGCTTTCAGATTGACAGGACACTGATCAAGACTCATCCAGTGCTTTAAAGCCAAATCTACCAAGGGAAATAGGAGGTTTACTGACCGGACATAGGAGCTAGACTCGTCGCCGTCGACCAGATAGCATCCAAGTAGGGATATTATACCAGGGTGCTGCCTTCTACGAAGAGTCGTAATTTCCCGTTCAAGGCCATCCCACGAGTCGTCGTCAAATTTAGGTATTCTTTTCAGAGCACACCACAAGTCCTATTGTAATCAGGCACATCATCTTTATATTCTACAGGGACTCGCTTACAATCGTATACCCCGAGGCGTGGCCTTTCCTGACCTTGACTTTGAACACCTGGCCGGAAGCACCGCTATTCAAAGGACCTTCCGGCCGAAATACGAAAGGCAATATGCTTTTAGGCGAGAAGCTGAAGATCCTATCCTTGCTGAAGACTGGGGGGAAAGGTCCTGAGTCTCCAAGAACCGATTTGCGTCTTCTGCTATTTCGAAAGCAGGTAAATTTGCCTCCCTCGCAGGCAGAAGCTCATCATAAATTTCTTATCCATGAACGACATTATCAAGTGCTCCCTTTCAATGAGAACCAGAGCAGCGAAAACTGCTGGTGCCTTCCAGACTATCGTTGAAACCATGTCAGATTTGGTTGTGATTCCTCGGCTACGGAGACAGTTTTGAACTGTGGTTGTGGTGACCAAAAGTTGCAGACTTGGGGCGGATATATATCCTTCACCGATGCCGTTCTTTTCCTTCTCTGTTTCATGCCGTAGGCGTGCTCGAAGATGCATAGCCCGGACTCTTTCTGAATCAGGCCATATCACGACGTAAACCGCCCCAAGCACGGTGCAATAGGCCCACGGGGAGTAGCAGTACTACGAGAGATCCTGTCTCAGTCTCTGCCGGTGAGATTGAGATTGTTATGCTCTCCTTCTCATGTCTTTGTCAGGTGTCAGATAGACTTCGCCCTTGTCGGCATCCTCAACCTGTCAAACGTGTTAAGAGCGGCAAAGTCTATGGCATTCCTCATACTTGCTCACGTCGTAACGAGGACTGCCACTGCTCGAACCACCTTTCTTGGTGACCTTACCACGCCGCCATTTGCCTATCCTGCCCCGTTAGCGCATCCGGTGGACACCTCGGGAATGTTGAAATATACCACTGCGCCGGTAGTATACCTTTTCACCTGCGCTGTAGTCTTCCGATGTCCACGATCCCTGTGGGGCGTCTGCGCGCGAAGACATCAAAATCTTCAGTGTTGAGACAAGCAATGTGGTTCGATTGATGTTGACTGGATTAAAATTTCCGCCGTCTTATGCTTCGAGCTGAGATAGTCAGTGAGGGAGGGGTTGTTTAGGCTCAGCCTGCTCCGAAGACCTAGCCTCACTTATGTGCTTCACCTGTAGCTGCACGCACGAGGCCCCAAATCACATGAGAATCTGAGCAAGCCACGATGGCGTCCAAACTCATATCTATCCCTACGAACATACAAGATATACTCACGGACAACTGTAGCGAAGCCAGCAAGTATGGCAGATCCCCTCTCGATGTCGGCAGGCTTGGTTGCTTTCCTTGCTGCTGCAGGCAAGACGTGCGAAGCTCTTCATATTCTTTCCGCAGTTTTGATGCAGCTCCGACAGAAATGGAGAATCTACTTCTTGCTTTACAAGCCTTGAAATCTGCCTTGACGAATATACAAGGATTGATAGCCACCTTACCACCAATTCTGGGATTGATATCGGACTTTTATCCACGTACGGATGACTGTCTTAGAGACCTTCGAGCCATCGAGAGTAAAGTTCGTGACACCCGTGGGATGGCCGGGGATGGGAAGGTCCATCAGGCCTGGTCCGGCCTCAGATGGTCTTTCTCTAAGCATCGTTGGCTGGAAAGCTTTCACTTACGAGTCCGATTCTATAATCCGAGTTTCTGTCTCGATCTTTTATGTCTTCAGATGTCGGTTAATCCAAATCTGAGCATTTCATGGGTTGACTCCTCAGTAGCCATCTAAAGCGTCTTTCAATTGAAGTCTGAAGCGCCTACTGCATTGAACGAAGGATCCTTTTTCGACCCAAGAACAAGTCAAGCCAGCTTGGCTTGCAGACTCGAAAGCTTTGACAAATTGGAAAGTGGGAACATTGACCCATCCTCTCTGATTCGTATACAACATCTAAGGCATTGTGCACCAATTGCGAATGTTGTTTGTAAATCCAACTTCATCGATCCAAAGCTCTTGTCTTCAGAGCAGGACAGCATGAGGTCCAGTTTGTCTGAAAATGTAAAAGCTGGTTCCGTGTCCGCGCCCCACCGATTTTCCATGTCAATCAAAGCTCGGAAGCTCTATTATTTAGACTTATACATTGGGGCGTTGAACTTATGGTGTGGCCCTATAAGAGATGATACGTCACCTCGACAAGTACCAGACGAGCACACTGAAGAAAGCCATTCTGGACTTGGTTTCAGCGGATGTATCCGAATGCCCTGGTTTCGTTATGGTGTTCTTGGATTTGACTTGTTTTCCACTCTTTCCACGGCTTGTTCGATTTTCATATCGTCTCTACAGTGGCAGATCTCTTTTTCAACAATTGTGCCAAAAGACGCGAAGGTAATGGTCAACATTCGAGATTCTAATGCCGAGGTCGTCAAGGGTATGATCATTTCCAGGAGTGCCACTCCTCGAGACACATGCATAGACGGTACTTCCCTTTCACATGTGAGCATGTCTCTCATATGAAAGGCTTGAAGCTAATCTGAAAAGCTTGCTGTACGCCGTAATCTTGTGGAGCTCGTGGACTTCCTTCTCAGAGAAGGTGCGGACTCTAATGCCGTTGATGATGATGGAAAGTGAGTATATGCCCTACACTGCGCAAGATATAGATGCAAGATGATCTCATTTTTACAGCACTCCTTTGCACTTCGCGATAAGCCTCAACAGCCCGTACGAAATTGTGAGATCACTCATTCAACGTGGAGCGGACCTCGAGAATCGCAACGTCGACGGCAGAACACTTTTGCACACGTTTTTCAATGTAATGTGGAACATGTCATAAAGTATTACCATCGAGATGTCAGCTACACAACTACCGATATTGAAGGTATGACTATTATTCACTATCTTGCATGGAGCAGCAAAAGTCAGATCGAGCTTTTCCAGATCCTCGATTGTCCAGGACTATATGAAGGGGATGGAAGTGGGAGAACAATTGCTCATCTGGCAGCGGCAAGGGGAAACCAGGAGCTTTTGCAATACTTTCTGAAAGAAAAAAGAAGCTGTGAGGTAGACACAAGAGATCGGGGCGGAAGAGGCTTGATCCACTATGCAGTGTCAACCCGAAGAATCCAGACGATCGATCTTATACTTAGTTGCGGCGGGCGGCTTGATGTTGCTGATGCAAAAGGAAGAACAGCAATGCATGATGCGGCAGTACGAGATGATATTCTGACTGCACGCCACTTGTACATGCTAGGTCGTGTGGGCATGTTGATGCTTTTGGACTGCAATAGGAAATCGCCACTACACTTAGCTGCTGATCACGGGAGCCGTGCAGTCTATGACTTCCTTCATGAAAGGCAGCAAGAAGTAGACTTTGACGGTGAAATGTCGGAATCTCTTGCGTTTTCTACAACCTCAAAGACATACTCGGTCAAACTATTTGAATACTACCCACGCTTATACGGAAAGTATTCTAGGGTCTTTGGCGGTTTCTTTAGGCGACAAGTCACAAAGTCAGCGACGGCGTTTGTGATATGCTACGTAGTTACATTCTATTTTGTTCATAGAACGCAGGTCACACATGAGTAACGGAGTGATCAGATGAGATCAAGGGGGTGTCGACCGTTTGGATCCCAGCAAAGGAAGTGCCTGTATGATTTTCAAATGACAGGCAAGTCACACATCTTTGATGTTGGGAATATACCCTCTGTATTTTGACTATTCCTTTGATTGGTCTACAATGACATTAGTAAACAACTTTGTTAGTGCTAAAACAGGATAGCCACTTCCTTCAGCCTTCTGGACCTCTACACAGGATCAGGCATCCATCGCAGAAGGCGAATGCCTGGCGATCTTACCATCATACTCACCACTAATATGAGATGAACACTATGGAGAGACTTTCAAGACCAGGTTTTGGCAAGCTCGAAAACTTATCGGAGTGTCGCCAAAATCAGTTCGTTCCGTGACTCAGCTATTCCCTTTGTTTGGCGAGCCGATTTGTACCCAACACTGTCTCTTCAAGGTTCCAGACTTCGTGAACGACAATGATCAAGAATTCGACGCCTACTCTCTTTGGGTAATCAGATGGTTTTGGGGGGGGTTCAAAGACTCTGCAAGATAGACGTCAGATGACCAGAGATTTGGAAGACGAGCAATTCGTTTGAAGCCATTCGTTTCAAGGGAAATTGAATGCTCTAAGGCGATTTCTCTAGATGTTCAATGTAGCTCGGATTAAATTATGTCGCAAGTTCAAAGAGCTACGGCCCCATCTCCGACTCGAGAGCGATCAAACATCCACGTCAGAATCCATTTCCCGGTCCCTCCAATTTCTCTCAATTTGAGCAGTTCCCCAACTATACGACGTTCTCAGCATTTTACGCTCTTCCTCTCTTTAGCTTCTAGTATACGAGACAGTATTATTGAGTCCGGCGAACCTGATTTCTCGAACTTTCTTGCGAATATTAGGGATCACGATGTCAATATGTTCACACTCAAGACTGATTTTGTAGGACGAGGCGCAACATTTTCAGTGAGGCGAACCACGATGGAGGAACACCAGAATGTAATTTTCAAAAGCTCCTTGCGTACATCAGCAAGGCACAAAGATCAAGATGAATTTCAACGTTTAGATATCATTTTACGGGAGCTCCGAGTCCTTACACATAGCCCAATTCGCGACCACAAGAACATCGTGAAGCTGTTTGCGGTTGGCTGGGAGGGTGATCCTTCGGACTCCTTTTCTAAGTGGCCTGTATTGGTTCAAGAATATGCTGAAATCGGAACTCTTGCGGACTATTTCGAGTATGAACCTAACCTAGGTTTTAGTGTCAAGCTCGGTCTGTGCACTGATGTTGCAGCTGGAATTCTGGCCCTGCACAACAGTAGCATCGTACATGCTGACTTGAAGGTCGAAAACGTGCTTGTCTTTGCTGCTACTGCTGGAGACTGTGTTACGGCAAAACTGTCTGATTTTGGGACTGCGATGCTGCCCAGTGATAGCACTCGACCTCCGTCAAATTTGACTCGTCCGTGGAACGCTCCTGAGTGGCAGGAAGAGCATCCTCATGCCTTACGATGTCAATCAGACGTCTACTCTTTGGGTCTCCTAATATGGCGCATTGCACTTAATGGAAAAGATCCATTCAAGCTTACTGCGTTCTTTTCTTTGCCAAGTCTTCCGAGAAGATATTATGCTGCCATAGAAGTACAGAAGAAAGGTGATCGAGAGTTCCTGTCTAAAGTCAAGGCGAGTGTGGAACAGCATTTTGACGATGATGAGCGAGCAATTTTTGCCGCTCTATTCGATGCGACAATCAGAACAGATATGGACAACCGGTCCCTTCACAGGGCGGTCAATATTCTATGCCAGCATTTAGACCCTCGGCAAGAAGTGGTTCAAGTCTGTAATTGAATGGTCGTTCATAATGAACAGAAGTTCGAGCAGATCGAACTCGCTTGAGACCAACAGAAGCCAAGAATTCGAAACAAGTTCCGACATATAGGAAGGCTCTAGATTGGCGGTATGTACTTCGAATCAAGCAAGTTACAAAACTTGGCTGACGGTAGACCCAGTCTAGTTTTGCAGGCCTAGAATACAATGGACAGACCGACGTCTTGAAGCCCAAAGTACGTCTAATATACAAGTCGGTGTTGCAACGTTGAACGTGGACAACGCTATTCAAGATTTTGTCAGCTACTGCTGTCTGAAGTCTTCACTGAACCCATTGCAGGTGACACGGCGAATCAGGTTTTAGAATCGATGGCTTACGCCTGTGCCGATTCAGATCCTCACCAGGCAAGAGAAGTGAACACAGCTCTCGCAGCTCTTTATCTTGCTGGCGAAGACTTTGGCTTTGAACTCAATGTGAGCAGAGGACTACGCCATCTCTGCTATGCCGCCAACTTAGGCTCGTTTGAGCATAGAGCATGGTTGCTCCAATTTCATCAAGCTTTCGATCAGCCTGTCCCTGACAATTTGCGATCGAATGTTTTGAGTTGGCTGATGCATGCCGCAGCTGTCGGGAGTATGACAGCAGTAGAAGATCTAGTAGACCTTGGACTCAATCACGTTGAGAATGAGCATGTCCGTGCAGTTCGTGCTCTCAAAACCGTTTACTGTGGAGCTGGAGAGGAAATGTTTCCCAACGACGATTTCAAATCGGACGACCCTGCAATTGACGATGCGCAGGAATGTTATAAGTATATCCGCCAGGAGATGGCAAAGGAGTCTGCGAGTCAGTACGACATTTCTGGCCATCTTCTCCGTCTAGCAGCCTCTTGCGGTAGCCGTCAAGGCATAGATTTTCTTGTGCTCAATTTTCCCGTAAACTCTGATGCTACTGACGCAATCTTGGAGTTCCCCTTACTCTTTGCAGCTCGCTCAGGTCATCTAGAGGCCCTGAAAGGTCTCTTGAACTCTGGTGCTAGCGCACTGCTTGCAAGCAATACTGGCGAGACCGCGCTACATTGGCAGTGTTCGCTTGAAGATAAAGACGTGTTAGAAGCTGCACAGCTGTTGGTTTCTGCTGGTGCACAGATCAACGCCCACGCGGAAAAATATAATGGCCAGAAATGCATTCCTTGGCTCGAGACAGATTTTGTAGAGGGAACACCTTTACATCGAGCTATTGCTCGAAATAGCCTGGGAGCCGTTTGAGCTCTGCTCGACTTAGGCGCTGACATGTGTGCACGAAGTTCGGAAGATGTGGACAGCACTCCGTGGGCATTAGCAGCTCTGCTGCATTACCCCGAAATTGTCAAGACTTTCATAGACAAGTGCCAGGAAACCGGTAAAGAGTTCCTTATTCTGCCATCAGGTGCCTCAGTCTTAAGAGCCGTGATACAAGGAGGGTCGCTGAACGATTCTACGTTTGCGAAAATAGTCCGGCATGGCCAGCGTCGGTATTCGAGAGCAGAGCAAACCATAGACATACTCATGGAATCTGGGGCTAAAGATCATCTTTCACGGCCTCCTGGAACAGCATGTTGCTCGGCGGTATTGGACGCATCACTGTGCCAAAATCATATTCTAGAAATCTTGCAAAAGCATGGGGCAATGGACCAAATTAATGAGCTGGGTTACTTGATCGAACCGGGAGATTCGCAGTATGATACAGATTTTGTTTCTCGACCGTTGTTTGTTGCAATTCAATATGGCAAGCATACCAATGTTCAAAGACTTTTGAATCACGGAGCCGACCCTCGTATGGTCATGAACCCTGAGAATCCCGTCACGATTCTTCAAGCGTGCGCAGAGTGTGGGTATCAAAACCTGACACTGATTGCAGAGTTTATCGAGAGAGGAGTGAATGTCGACGATGGCCCACCTGGATTTACCACCGCGCTTTGCATGGCAGTCACCAACCGCAACTATGTATTAGCAGACTTTCTGCGTGAAAGAGGAGCAAATGTAAATGCGTTGGCTCAGCGAGGTCTGCTTGACAGAAGTGACTACCCAGCTACCGTTCTTAGCAGGATGGTTGTCGAGAATTCCCCAGGTTCCGTGTCTTGCATTCAATTTCTCTTTCGTCTTCGGCCTAATTATGAACGTGTCAATTGCATTGTCGAACCCGACTTGAATCACACAATCTTTCATAGGATCGCTTTGACTTATGGGGATGGTCAAGACAAGTTGGCAACACTGACGACGCTTGACCTTTGTGTGAGCTATTTCGGCAATCCAGAGACAGCGGAGTGGGAAGAAACTAGCGATACCGTTCCAGTCGATGTCCCGGATATCAACCAGCGTTCCTTTGCACCCCCGGATCATGCTAAGTCCGAAGCCGTTGATCGCGGTGGAAACACTGCATTGCACCTTGCGGTGCTTTCAGCCAATCTTGAGGTTTTGCAGTATCTCCTGACGTCTCTAAGAGGCGTGGATACCACTATCCGAAATGATGACGGGATGACAGCTCTAGAAATTGCAGAACAAGCTTATCCGTCCTTTGAGTCTCAGTGGAAACCAAAACCGATTCCTAGAATTCGGAACCGACAGCTTCTCGAAGCTCAGGAACGCCGAAACGCGATTGTTGACCTGCTGACGAGCCACGCTCCTCCAGCAGAATGAGGTGGATATTGAAGCGACTCCGATGGCTTTACTATCTCTACAACACCTTGCCGAAACGTCAATTGATGGTGCAAACGGAGTCGCACGATGCTGGATCTGAGCAATCATTTTGAAATATCCGTGATTGGAAGCCGAGCTAGAGGGAACAGTTTGATTGGTTCTGGTAGGATAGGTGGAGAAAAGGCAGAAAGGAAGAAGGAGGAAGAGGAGGAGGAGGAGGAGGAGGAGGAGGAGGAGGAGGAGGAGGAGGAGGATGATGATGATGATGATGATGATGATGCTGATGAAAAGACGTGCTACAGGAGAATGAGAGGAGGGATGAATGACGATTGATTGAATGGAGGCTGGATTGAGTACGTCGTATAGGTGAAAAAGAGCCTAATGATGGATGCCGTGATCCTGATCCCAGTGCTGTTCATAGGCTTTTCCGAGCTGTGAGATCTGTCCAACATAGTATTGTAGCACATCGATCTTCTTTTTCAAAGAGAAACGCATAGGGTAGTACTTCCTATTGGGTTTACTTTCCGTTTGTGTCTTCAAAACAACCAGATTCGACTATCGATACGAACGAACGAGGTCGAAGATAATCATAATGAGGTAGCATCAATACTTATCTGAGCACTGTCCGTACAACGCCTGCCAAGACCGAAGTCACATGAAATGGCTAACGCGTCCTGCAGAATTGTCAATTGCTACAACCAGCTACTCTAATCTCGGCTTGTAGCTCAACATTGACCATGGTTCCAGGTTGGTGTTGCTCAACTGCTTCAACTCGCATTGAGGTCTGCAACTAATGGCATCACAGACTACAGCCACGATCTCCAGGTCCTGGCTACGGGTAGTGCACTTGATGAGTGTGTGTACCCATCTCAACGATTGAAGGTTGACTGACAATTTCCCCAGCGTGAAGTGGCCTGGGCTCCTCATTCATATCGAACAAAGATTAGATCAGGTCAGTGAAACATACATGGCTATGAAGTGACTATGCTGAACCCTCTCAGATCGTCCACAATGACTTCCCCAGACCCAGAATCCCTCTTCCTGATCCACCGCATCCTTCTCTTGGACAGAACAGATCCCTGAATAGGCCATCTCCACAAGCTGATGAGCCACCAGAGAAAAAGTCAAAACTCTCGTCACCGACAAGTAACGCCCACAGTGCAGAACAAGTGGAAACGTCAGATACAAAGAACGGATCCCCCACCCTCCCACGACAAGACCCAACATCCCAAACAAGAGGATCAGAACAACCTGTATCTGAAGACACAGAAATGAAAGATGCCTCCTCAGACCCCTCCCCAGCCAGCCTTCCCACTCCGGCAAGCTCCCTTCCTCCACAACTGCTCACGCTCCTCCGAACAATTCAGTCAACTCTCCGCTCCAACTTCCCCACCTCCCCACCGCACACCTCTCAACGCCTCGCCGAACTGATCCTTTCCCCCAAACAACACTACCGCAGCCTTCCCTCCTATCTCCGCGCTCTCGACCGCATAATCACAGTCGCCTCCCCACTCTCCGCCTTCCCCCTCCCCACAATAACCGGCCTCAGCAACGGCATCAACCCTGAACCCGTCCTTTTCAATGGCACCTCCCCCTCTCTCCATCCTCCACCCCCAGCTCCTCCATCGAAGAAAACGGCGGCTCAGACTCCACCTTCATCGGCGGCGCAGAACTAACGCCCATCCCCTGGCTTCGGGACTCACAATCTCCGCCCCCTCCTCTTCCCTCTCATTCCCACCCTTCGCACCCCTCTCAGGACCTGCGCACTCAGTCAACAACCCAGATCGACGGCCCCAATGGCGCCGGCAGCATCGAGACCGTCACCGTAAGCATCAACGGGGTCTCTTCCAATGTCCCAGCCGAGCGCGCGAGGGAGGAAGGCTTGCCGATAGCCGTAAGCCAGGGGAGCTGATACGGCAGGAGCAAGAAGCGGGGATTGCGCCCGTGCCTGCGGATCTGAACCATAGGCACGCGAGAGGCTTGGGGGGCTTGCCGACGAGTGGAGCTGCGGCCGCAGCGGCGGGTGTTACTGCTTCCGCTACCCATGGTGACGATAGCGGCGAGGCGGGCGAGGCGGGCGAGGGGCAGGGACTTGCTGATGGTGCGGAGGTGGAGGAACCGGTGCATGCGAGAGGGCCGAGCGTTATTGGGATGGAGGACATGGGTCCACAGACGCCGGGGAGCGGATTGCAGGGGGGCATACAGCTTGAGGGTCCGATGGGGATGCGGAGAGAGGAGCCTGAGGGTTTGGTGGAGACTGGCGATGAGGGTAAGAAGGATGGCGCGAGCAAGGAGCAGACGCATGGAGAGACTGATGAAGCGAAGGATAGCGATAAGAAGGCTGTCACGGCGGACCCGGACGGTGTGGTCGAGGGAGAAAAGGGAAAAGGTGAGACAGGTGTGGAAAAGGGGAGTGATGCTGTTGATGGAACGACTTTATGAATATTAAGGAAATTGTATGTACGACACGCCGTCAAAAGGCGTAGAAGGCTTGGATGTATGTTATCAGGCCAATGCAGTATATATTATTCGCTTTTTCTAAAGCTATCACTTCCTCCATTTCAGTCCAAAAGGGAAGGAAGCAGGTGGTCATCATAAATATCCTAGCACAGTAATCGCAAGTATCCTCCGTCTCCAACAAGATCCATCACTTTGCGCCTTGCGCGCCAAGTATGTCATAAAGTAAAGAACGCAGATATTCCAAAGGGTATCTTCAAATCGATCGCAATCCCACACCTCTTTCTCCTCACATACACGTGCACAAGATGTCTGCACCATGCGCCCTCTCTTGTCTCCTAGCCCTCGCTCAATTGACTTTTCCGCGGTTGAGAATTCCTCCCCACTATCAAGGACGAAGCGTTTGAATCACTCTCCATCACCCCAGCTCATGCGACCACCCTTCTCCTCTAAAGATCATAATTCTTATACCCACAACTACAAAAATCCCCCGCGCCCTTCTGCTCCGCCAGATCCCCCTGCGTCACCCTCTGCCCACCATTATAGCAATCCGGCACGCCCTCCCCGCCACCTACACTCTGCGCCGCATCGACCGCGAATTTCCAATCTGGGAACGCCATATCCGTCGACCCTCCCGCAGCTGGTGGTGTATCCGGCGGCTTCTTCGTATACAAGTTCCCTGAGAAGAGCGTGCTGTTGTAAAAACACTGCGTGCTGAAACTGGCGCTGGGAAAGACAGTTTTGGGGACTGTAGTGCGGAAGGTGTAGCGCTCGGTCGCGAGGCCGGTGTCGAGGATGGAAAGGGGCACGTCTTTGAAGTCGATGGCGAACGGGTTTTGGGTGGAGGAGATGGTGAAGGTGTTGGGGGCTGTGGAGGCGATGATCCAGTTGAATTGGGCTTTAGAGGCTGCTTGGGAGGAGGGTGAGGTGGAAGAGTAGGTCATGCTGGGTTGGCATGTCCAGGCTGTAGATTCGCCCGTGCAGTTGGAGGCGGCGAGTGTTAAGTAGGTCGTGAATGTGTAGGAACCGGCGGGGAATGGACCGGCTGGTGCGGAGGAAGGGGAGGGAGAAGAGGCCGGGGCGGGTGGGGAGCTGGAAAGAAACGGTGTCAGTAACCGGGGGCATAGGAGTGGTAAGAGGGGCGAACTTGTTCTTCTTCTTCTGCGATAAGCCGACGCCTAGGCCTACTGCTAAGGCGATGAGGAGGATGAGGAGGAATGAGAGTATGAGGCATATTCGTTTCAAGCCGCCTCGTTTGGCAATGTAGGCATTATTTCGTAAATCATCAAACTTTTCGCCTTTGGGGCCGGTAATGTCCCAGAAGGAGTACTTCGGCGGCCCATCGCCGTTGGAATATCGAGGCGGCTCTCCGAGACCGAATCTCTGATGAAATGGTCTGTGAGAGGGTGTGCTGTGGGCTTGAGGTGGTTCCGGTGGCGAAGGCTGATCCTCATCGATCACACTGAGTCTGTTGTCAACTGAGCCGGCCAGGGAGGTGGCGCGCGATCTTCGAGTCCTGGGTGAAGGAGCTTGTGGCGAGAAGTCTGGCGAGCCGACGAAGGAAAGGGACATGTCGGTGGTAGGATGTTGTCGCTTCTGAGATCCTGTAAGGAGCCTTATGCGATTGGTGAGAGTGTGCTCATCGTCGCCGGAGATGGGGGACGGGTTGCGATAGGGCGGCGATGGGGCGGGGACTGAGGACGAAGGTACCAGGGGCGATGTTGTAGAGGAAGAAGAGCGTGAGTGGAAGCCGTACATCTTACGGGTTGAGGCAATAATGGCTAATGATCATTTGATGGCTGACAGGACCACGACTCAGCTCATCTTGCAGAACGTGGCTGCAGGGCGGGACAATAGGCACAGTAGTAGTAGGGTCTTGAGGGTGTGTTCGCTCGAGGTTCACCGTGGGAAAAAGGACGAGCGATTGGTTCTGGCAGGGGGATCCCAAGCCAAGCTACAGGACGTGGTGGGTGGGCAGAACGGACCCCCAGCTACTGCCTCTTTGGGGTTCGCGGGATGAGAGGTAATCGAGATGATGCAACTCATTTTCCTCTCATTTCCTTTTCGATCCCGGTCTGATTGTTGGTTGGTCGGGAGGAATTGGCACCAGATCCTTTCAGTCTGGCGTGGTACCTAAGACTTTGCTCTAGCACTTCTTAGGCTTCGTTCTAGACTTCGATGTCCTTGCAGCGGATCAATTGACTTTGCATGCTTATAAGACTCATCTCATGCTGCTCAAACATGCCCTGCCATACTTATCATGGGTCCAGGTATGAGATGTGATTCTCAGTTCTAGTAACATCCTCACCGTTGCTTCCTATCTATCCTTCGTAAGCCATCTTCTCCTTCTCCAAAATTTCTTCCCATTCTTCACCCACATCAAAATCGCCAAATGTATGCAACCCCAGTGCTTCTACCCGGTCGTTCGCCCATAACCATTTGCATACCTTCTGTCCACCCTTCGCGTCCCGATTGAAGTCCCGGATACGTTCGTCGTGGCCGCGAGCGTAAGCTCTGGCCTCATTGATTCCGGACGGATTGAAATTGATCTCTTCGCCGCCGCCGCCTGATCGCAGGTCATAATGTTCGAGGGCCTCGGCTTCGTATAATCGACCGAGAATGAAAGAAGGTGAGATCGAATAAGACTTTGCGGGGTCACCTACAATGTGCCATGCGCCTTGACTGGTATAGCCATGCATAGACCGAGGCAAGGATATGTCATCAGGGACTTCTTTGTCTTCTTCGTTCCTCGTCTGAGAGTAAAGCTTCCCAAGAAGCCTGACCGCTATCCGCTGACAACTGTCCCCCGAGACGCTATCATGATTGGGTGGGTCTGTCTGAAGATCATTGAAATAGAGGATGATCGCGGTAACGACGAGTACAGTCCCGTTCGCGGTAACTCCGGATGAGATCAATCTGATAACGTCACCTACTACAACAAGTTCTGAGCCAACAAAGATACCCCCATGCGAGATGCTTGCGTTGGGCCAAGTGCCTGTGAACCTCAGAGGCAACGCCAGGGAGAAAGTAGCCATAATCTTAAGTGCGTTAGCAATGGACTCGTCCCAATCACTTCGTGGCTGTTTCGAAAGTACTGCTTCGTACAAACACAAGGGTCGAAGCCGCGATAGCGTGCAATACTCCCACCGCATCTGCTCATGTTTGCTCTGTGAATTCGGATCTGACATGGTTTCTACGCGAAAACCAGAGTGGCTAATGCTGATGTCGTTATTCGTGTCTGGCTGACTTATGTCCGAGATTGTCAGCGGTGCCGTTTCTTTATGGGGGACTTGCGTGATGAGGCCGGCTTTCCAATACTTCTTTTCATTCGTAGCATTTGTTAAGAACAACACTACTTCGCCTACTCGAGGGATGAATGCACCTTGCTCTGCAATGACTGGAATCTTGCCGCTGAAATTGTTTTGCTCCATTGTGAAGTCCTGCATGAGGAAATAAGTCTCGTTCTCGATTTGTGATAAGAGTATGCCTAACCACATTCTCCGGATCTTCAATGTGCACGTCTAAGTGTTCCTCTATCAACAACTCGTTTAGAAATTTTGAAAAAAACAATTCCTCTTGAGTTGCCGAAGTAAAGCAGTATTTCTGCGTACGAACCGGTGCCTGGCGTGAGGTAGAGGTCCGTGGTCGAGCGAAGGATTGTTTCCCACGACCTCCTTTACATATTTTACAAGTGCAAGCACCTTCCTTGTTCTTGATGAGCCACAAAGCGTGAGGGGCGAACTGATTCGTTGAATCAAAGCGGGTTCCACTTGGATGGCCGTAGAGGTATCTGTCATACTGATATGAAGTTAGTAGAAACCTACAGGATGAGACGTTGATGAAAGAGCCGTACATACATGTGCACGGGCTGAAGGTTTCTTTCGTCGAGGCCTTTCATAGAGAACGTAATCTTTCGGAAGGCTTTTCAAGATATATGACACGACTAAGCCGTTCATTAGCTTTGAGACAACTTCAATGATTACGTGGCTTGCCAGGAGCATGTGGGCGCGGAAGACGTTTCTTCAGCTCTGGTTCAAGCAATTTGCCAATTTTGGCTCTGTAATCAACCACATACTGGTGTGGGGCAATAGTAAGTCCCGAACCCTCTGTCGGTCGATGGCTTGGGTCACCATCAGAGGTGGTAAACATGATTGACGATGTCATATTTGTGGACTTCGGTATACTTAGGGATTTGCTTTGTGCACTTGAGAGAGAGAGAAGATCGAGTGAAGAGTATTCTGAGCTGGGAGATAGCCTTTGTATGAGGAGCACGTCAAGGTTGCCATGTTGCACAAGATTGGGAGCCAAAACGCTCGCCGGGTTTGCATTCACTTTTGGAGCATCGATATGAAGCAAATGAGACGCGTCGCACATGCACAACGAAGACAAGACTCAAATGAAGCCGAAAGATATGCTCATAGTCATATTCGGGTCGCAATGTTGAAACACTGCACGGCATCGACCCATGATGCAGTCTCCATTGCGTCCCTCAATTGTCAACCTCTGGGTGATATGTGGGCCTGTCAGAAGGATCAGCAATGAAGAGCCAATTATTGGCAGTGAACCAAAGCAATGGCAGCCAGACGTTCTCATCTGGTTCGAGACCGTCCAAATGAGGGTGTCCATTAACCTCAGCAAGTAAAACAAGGACACTCTTATTCGTCCCATCTTTGCGCTCCTAGACGCACTCCATCGCATCAAAAACATTGTGGGTAACGTCAATGTTCCCTCTTGCCAAAACTGTTCCTTTGGCGGGTTTAAAGGCACAGCTATTCGTTGCATCAATCTTCGTTATGATATTGCTACCAAGCTTGGCATGAGAAAACACCCTCTATCTGGTAACAGCATATGCGCCTACATACCCTACAGGACATATAGCGCTGTTCTTAAAGAAAAGCGGTAGAAGAATGATAAATAGGCCGTTAGGGTATCGAGACGAGGGAAATCCCTCAGAGCAATACGCTTAAATGCTTCACTTTCCAAATATGTTCAACCGAAGACTCCTCCAAGTCGTCGTGTTTTGGACAACCATTCCAATCATTTCGTCCTAGTGTTTCCGATTCTTAGGCCCAGTTGAAGCAATTTAGTCAATAGTCATTCGGTTTGAAGCCGGGGCACTTGCGTAATTCAAATGCGGCATTTCCATTTGCATTCCACTGGCGCCCATCGGCTTCTCCTCCTCCGTATCCACTTTTCGATGTAGTATGTAGGGCTTCAGTCCCTTGCCAAAGTTGTAGAAGCAGACGACAGCGTTGATTATTGTGATCACAATACAGATGATCGTAAGCACGGCAAATGTGGTCAATGACTTGCGAGCAGGATAGTAGAGTTGTGGAATAGGGCCTTTCTGATACATTCGTACGCATTTGAAAAGGAAGTATGCAAGGCCCGCAAAATAGAGTATCTGGTGGAAATTCGTGTTAGACTTGCATGTGAGTAGAGAGATGACCGTAGGCTTACGATGATACCTGTCACACCGACGCGATTCTCTTTGCGTGTGAAATACCCGGCGAGCAATAAGACTAGGATGTTCAAAGGCACCGCGGCGATTGTAAGGCCAAACTCCACGTTTTTCTTGTCTTTACTAGCGACAATGACGATGAACTGGACCGTGAATCCAAGAAAGAAGAAGAAATCGAATTTTAATAAGGCAATATAGATCTGGACCTCATCAGTAAAGATTGACGACAGACTTGAAATCGTAATTACCTGGTATGTTAGGTAGCGCCTTTTCATCCTCAGGTCCGCACTTATGTGCTTGTAAATTGTCCACGCAAACTCGTCGTATAGTTTCCGTGCAACGAATGCCATGCAGACAGTCCCGAAGGCAATTATGCAAGGAATTGCGATCAGGAACGGTTTGACTGCGGGATAGACATCCTTGTCGATTGCGTTGTGGTCTATTGAGCTTCCCGGAAAGCTCAAGAGATCTTTTTTGGCGTCGCTGATTTGATCCAGTTGAACAGCCGCGTAAATAAGAAGGCCCAGATTGTACAAGCATAGCCCGATGATCTGAATTGTATTTTTTAGCCTTAGCGCATCCCAGACCAACAGCAGCTCGTAGAGGAAACCAAAGATGTAAAGCACTAGGAAGGTGGGGATGGTCTGTCTGTAATCCTTTCGTTGTCGCAGTTGATCTTTTTCATAATCTTCGGTTGCCTTGTCGATATGTAGACCTTCTTGGAAGAGGGCGAAGACGTAGCTGAAAGTTCATAATTAGCACCCAAACACTAAATGTACGATCATTGTTGGAGTTCGATCGCCAAGAAAAGACGACTCACGATTCAAAGGCAAGAATGATGGCGGCTTGCACGACTGTCACTCCCACGAACGCCCAGGTCCATACGGAATTAGGTTTGTACATTTTAGCCACTGCCTGACCACCGCCCGCGGGGTAGGAAGGAGCGTAATCTCTATTTACAGCTTGACCTCCTAAGAGGGATGCCCGCGCTTCGTGCCCGCGTGAAGGTATTTTGGCGGCCAGGTTCAGAGGAGAGAGGAGGGTATTTCAAGGGTGGTGAAGGGGCAGTCGGCGCCGCGGTGTTTGCTATTGCCGGCGCGTTGGTTTCCGAGCAGCGGTGGATCTGATCAACGTGATTGAGATTGTTTTGGAATGAATCCTGATCTCCCATGAAAGGCCCAGAGAGGTGGCAGTCGTTTGCTCACGTCGTTCCGCAACACGAGGAAAGGCTGTATCCACTTCAGGGGATCAATTATCGTCGAGCTCCGGCCGCTGTTCAACAGTACAAAGCAACCAAAGTGTCTCAAACGAGTGTACGACTATAGGGCTTCGGGACAATTATAGGGTAAGGGCGATATTAGGTTGGGATGATAATAATGATCGGTTTGAATTGTTTCAAACACCGTCTCCTCCGTCTCCGTTTTGTCAGCCCCCGAACTAGCTTGATCAGGAAAGGAGTCTAGACGGTTCATGCCAAGCAAGCCGTGGATCGTATATTCTTGGAGACAACGCAGACAACGCAGACTACGACTCCACAAGCACGTCAGCTGCTTGACATTTCCACATTACTGCCTCGTTTCGTCGTCCCATTCCTCCGCTATCTTCGTGGAGTGAGGCTTTTTGCTACGTTTCTGCCTTGTTGCATGAAAGTAGGGCTGTGTGGCTGTGGCTTAGAAGAGCCATGGAATATCCCATCAATGCTCGAAACAATGTCTAAGCAATATCATTTGTATGTGCATGAGGACTAGCCACCCCAAAACCCACGCTGGAATCCCCCTGAAAACTTGTCAATTCACCAAACCCTTTGGTCCCTGCGCCTTGCTTGTCAATTCAGCTCATTTCCATCCCTTCGTCATCTTGAACATCGTTCTCTTCATCGACCGTAGTCCCCGCCTGCGAGACTGCTCTTCTTCTTGATCCCTCATTACTACTACTACCGGCAGCCCCAACCTTCCCTCCACCCAGACCCCCAATCACCTCCAATTCTTCTCCGCCAATGACCCTTCCTTCCTCGTCTACCACCACACACAATTCCATCATGCTCCGTCGACTGAGTTGGCGGAATCCGTTCGTCCGTACAACTCGACCCCAGTGAGTCATGCAATAGGTAGCCGCTCTTTGCTGAAGCCATGCGTCCTGAGCAATCCCTGCACGTTCCCAGATGACCGCAGCATGCTCCACGTCCAACTCTCGGCTGAGTCGATTTAGACACAGAAGACGAAGTCTAGGAATATCGTACATCTGCGCCAAGACCAGCATCCCAGCAACGTCGTCCAAGTCAGTGCATTGGTCTGGCTGCTTCGAGATGCTGTCGGTGTAGAGGTAATAGAGAAAAGCTCTTACGACAGAATATGGCTCAGGAATGTGCAACTTCTTAGTATGGAACTCAGCCATTTCCGAGTTGTAGAGTCGCTGGAAATGTGGCCAGCGGGCCTGTAATATAAGGCTATGGACATGTATTGATGACGACGTCTGATTGACCTCGTCGTGCGCGTTCGAGATAGTAGCGTTTTCGGTCGCCGCCGACGTTGTCGACATATCGTCATCCACGTCGTCGTTCGAAGCCGTCACGATGAAATCACTTGTCGCTCTATGATCGAACATGCCGGCGAAATCCGAGCTCAGAGTGCTAAGACTAGCAGTCCCCTCAGTTGTAGATGCAGTCCTTCGTCCAAAGCTTTCGCTAGAAAGCGCCGCTGGGTCGTCTCCAAGGAGACCATATCGTCGAAGATCAAGCGGAAGAACATCACTCAGGTATTCTTCAAGGTTTCCTAGTCCATTTTCAGTCTGATCGATTTCACAGCCCAGTAACCATGCTTTAGTGCCGTCTTCATTGACTAGGCAGTAATGCCAACGGTATGATGGGTCAAAGATATCAGGTCCTGAGATGAGTTTTTGCCACTGTAAAGTGCTCAAATCAAGAGATGACAGATTGCACTCCGAATGTCGAACCATACCAGCTGGCGTTGTGAAGTCCAGAAGCGCCCCAGAAGAATAGGCGTGAAAGTGAGTCCCCGCGGCCGGCGCGACCGTGTCAGGTCCAGATGCGAATCTAACGGATGTAATCGCTCCCGGTGCAAGAGACTTTGATGACCCCCTCTGCACGCTACTTGAGTTCGCAGTGTATCCTGTAGAGCCGGTATTTGCGTTTTGCTGGTGAGCTTGATTCGATCTTGCCGGAGCTGCCCTTTCAGCCTGTGGAGATTCTGGGCGGCCAAGAGCTGGTACCGATTTAAATGCTGGGCTGCCTTTCAAGTCGAGCCACCAGATATCTCCACTTCTTTCGTAATCGGGTCCAAGGCCGCCATACACCCAGATTCTACCATCCCAGATGAAAGCAGAATGATCAAATCTCGGCACGAAACTCCAACAGCGAGACCAGGTCCACGTTCTGAGATCAAGGAAGCATATTTCATCTAGGGCAACTGTCTCTGTTCCGGATAGACCACCAACAATGTATAATTTGTCGTCGTGTACCGCTGCTGCATGTCGAGCACGCCCCTTGGGAAGAGGACCACGGATACCAGGCTGAGTCCAATGGGATGTTTTGATGTCGTATATGATGATGTCTGAAAGATATTCTCGGTGTTCATTCTCACCTCCGTAAACGAGCAGTTTTGAGTCTTGCCAGAGTGAAGCTGTGTGCCCTGTATGGCATTAATGATAGACAGCATTGACATTTTCGATGCACTTGCCCATGCGAACACCTGGAATATCACCGTAATTGTCAACCAATGTCCATTGTAATGATGAGAGATCCAACTTTAAAACGTGGTTGTAGACTATCAAACTTCAGCCCATAGCCTCAATTTTGAGAATTTTCCAAGACCTTCGTCTGTATATTGATCAAAGCCTCCAAATGCGATGATGCCATCTTCCCCGCAATATGTCACAGAGGCGTTAACTAAGCACGCTGGCCGTTGACCGCAGGTCCTGGCAATCGTTGGCTTGTAGCTCGTGGGGCGTGACTTCTTAGAGGGGCTTGAAGGCATGAGGTAAGTGTGGTTTGTGGACGCTAAAGAAGCTCGAGGCCCGTTTCTAGTATCTGAGCTTTCGGCCAGATGTGTCGACCTAGCTAAGCCAGCCGGTGTAGAAGATTGTGAACGATGCATTTCACCGTTTGCCTCGAGACGATTTTTCCACCATGATGCGACTCAAATGCTCCAAATGGCAGCAATTGACCCTTGATATATGAGACGTTAGCAGGCCCAATGCATTCAATGACACAAAACCCGTTTACGTTTGCGTTGACTATCGATAATGATTGAATCAAAAATGGTCATGCTTTCCGGATTGGGAGTAGTGGCGGCGTTGCCCAGGAGCTCACCGCTAGCGCCGCCCAGTAAACAAATACAGCGAAATCTTGCAGAAGCTCAACCCTCGAACTTCTATCCGCACATACCACATCTCTCTAAATCTCTGCATACCTTGCAATCATTGCCTACTCTACACGTGAAAGCTCTTGTAATCCATTAGATCATTTCCTTCCGATTTGATCGACCCACCGATTACACAGTTTTTCCGTGAGGCAAAGACGATTAGCAGCCTTTTGGGCCTACATTATATCACAGTACTAACGAACATAATAACCCAGGAACCATTCATTTGTCTTTCTAGGGTACCCCAAGCCGCCCAAAGGCCACAACGATCAACACCACCACCATCGTTGGCTAATCACCCATCACTAACATACAGCGACAACGACCGACACATTAGTTTGTCCAATCGGTCCAATATTCAAGGCAAGATGGCTACTGCTTCCATATCAACACCCCTCAAAAGCCATCATGGTCTCTTCTCCTCCCGTACCGCGGGTGGTCGTATGCCCCTCACACCTTCGCCGCGTACAAGGACGACGAGTTTAGCGACTAATGCGTCCAACGATACCTCTCCCTTCACTCCACCTCGGCAGACGAATGAAAGTACTCGACATGTCTCACGATCGACCTATGGACGTGTCTCGTCAAACTTCCCAAGATCTGCTTCAAGGGCATATCAGGATTCGCCAAAATCAAATATTGCCCAAGGTAGAAAAACTCCGAGGCATCTGGAGCTTGGTGTCTCAGATTGGACTTTGACGGGCACCGGACCTACCACGACCCAGACTCCGTCAAAAAGCGCCAGTCGAAAGAAGGGCCCCTTGCGAACCAAGTCTGGCAAGACTACGATACGTCTTGAAGCCGGCGATCGTTTCATTCCAAGCCGAACAACGAGTGACGCTTTGAAGGTAGATGGATCGTTTCAATCTGATGGAGACGGTTCACGACCAAACACTAGTAGCGGCGAAGGCTCAAGCGTCTTAGCTAATGCAGCAAGTGCTTTCTCGATAGGCGGACAGACCACAGATGAAGATGCCACTCTAGCTCTTGAAGGTCTGAACTTGGAGGACAATGAAGACAGCACGTCATATACCAAGCCAACGAGGGATGCTGTTGCATATCAATCGTCACTTGCTTCTGCTTGTGGTGTCTCGCTCAATCAACGGATCCTAGCCTTCAAGCCAGCCGCACCAGAGTCATCTAAGCCAATTGACCTTCGGTCGCAGTATAACCGACCTCTGAAGAATGCAGCGACATCAGCTCAGTTCCGGCGCAGAGTCTTGACTGCTCCCGAGCGTGTGCTTGATGCCCCTGGCCTAGTCGACGACTACTATCTTAATCTGCTTGACTGGAGCTCCAGCAATCAAATCGCAATCGGCTTAGAGCGAAGTCTATACGTATGGTCAGCGGACAGTGGTACGGTCAGCAGTTTGCTCGAAGCCTCACCAGATACGTACATAAGCAGTGTCAAATGGAGCGGTGATGGTGCGTACGTGGGTGTCGGACTGGGTACGGGCGAGATCCAAATCTGGGATGTTGAAGAACGTACAAAGCTTCGTAGCATGTACGGTCATGACACTCGCGTTGGCGTCATGGGCTGGAACAAACACATCCTCTCGACCGGAGCTCGAAGCGGATTAGTATTCAATCACGATGTCCGCATTGCTCAGCACAAGATAGCAGAGCTTGTCTCGCACACTTCGGAGGTTTGTGGTCTTGAGTGGCGATCAGATGGTCAGCAATTAGCTACCGGTGGCAATGACAATCTAGTTTCAATTTGGGATGCTAGATCATTGGGTGCGCCAAAATTTCAGAAGACCAATCACCGGGCTGCGGTCAAAGCATTGAGCTGGTGTCCGTGGCAGCCAAACTTGCTTGCCACAGGTGGTGGTTCGTACGATCGACATATTCATTTCTGGAACACTACAACCGGTGCTCGAACGAACAGCATTGACACAGGTTCGCAGGTCACAAGCCTACGATGGAGTAACCATTACCGCGAGATCGTGAGCTCGAGCGGATTTCCAGACAATTCATTGAGCGTCTGGAGCTATCCTACCCTGGTGCGTAATGTCGAGATCCCAGCACATGAGACCAGAGTTCTCCACAGCTGCTTGAGCCCAGACGGTCAGATGCTAGCAACTGCAGCAGCGGACGAGAGCTTGAAGTTTTGGAAGATCTTTGAGAAAAAGGCTGGGACAGCATCGGCGATCTCGAGAGAAGGAGGCGCAACAGGCAAGGGTGGCGAGATGAAGAAACAAATGACAATTAGGTAGGCACTGGGAGAGCTGAAATGAGGGTTCACGGCGCATGTGAAGGAGGCCCATGTCAGACGAACATGAAGGACTTGTGCCGTATTTCAAGAAACAAGAAAGCCTCGTCCTCACGTGCAATAGACGAGTAATGTCTACATGTAAGATAGACCTTCATTTGGGAATGTCATTATTTCAAGCTTCACGACATACAAAGACACATTGATCAGACTGTGATGAAAGCGACTGGTGGCAAGGTTTTGGTGCACCAAATGGGTAAGGCTTAGTCAAATTTCTTGGCGGTTGACTCCCTCAAAGCAAATCGCACTTTCACCTTTCCACTCACCTGTACCGATAGAGGCCGCGACCAGTCTTGACCCCAAAGACCATCGCAAAGGTTTGCGAACATTGCCAAACTCTTTCAAGAGCCCATGCGAGCGGGCTGAGATGACTTGACGCTGTACAAAGCCCGCACAAGCAGGCAATTTGTGCGACGAACCCCGCCTTTCACGGCGACTTGATCAAAACCTGAGTCGGACCCTTCTGAACGCCAGCTCTTGATACAAAGCGCTCTGAAGGTCATCACATCTTCATCTGAAGAACAGCTCGCTGAAAGTGCAAGATGTCGAATGCATCGTTGGTGAGCATGATCCTCAAGACATGCCCGGCCCCAGACGCCTCTCTCAGGCTGGTAAGAATTGCATGCTGAATAGCAGAACGCCACACAGGGTCAGGTGTATCTCCGTATCATGGAAGATGTGATCGATAATTGCCAGACCACATTTGAAGAGGACGGGGTTGGCCAGCAAACGCTGGAGGATCTGAGATTGGTAGGTCTTTGTACCCCTCCGTCTTTCTCTTGACTTCTCTCTTTGGTTCTGCTGTCTGTGTCAAGCATCTTTCACTTCTCTTTTCATAAGACGGCATGATATTTTGCACGCAAATACTGTTGCAAAGTTGTGTCAACTGGACGTGGCAGGATCGTCATTTTCTCTGCTGCGAGGGAGACGTGGGATTTTTGTTGGTTTTGGGGGACGCTTGGGCGTGCGACTCATTATAAGGCGGCTACCTTGGAAAATTTCTAAATGGGCAAAACTACCCGAGAACCAATCATCGTCGGCAAGTCTAAGCGGACGTACTTGCGATTGTATAGACCTTTACATGTTATTACCAAGAGCTAGTGAAGAGAGCTCGCTAATGCGAACTCGATGACTAGACCTGGCAGACAAAACTATCAGCGCTAAAAGTTGGCTCTTTTCCATGGGAGCCACCTCCAGCGCCACAACCAATGCCAAACCCAACACTTCCCTCCAATGTACCTCGCCCTCAAGTATCCTCGAGCGCAATACCGGGAACCTCCTCGCCAGGCTCTGGTGTTCCCCCAGGACCACGTATCAAGACGGAGCCAGGGGAGGCACCTACCATCCCAAACTTGCCGCCCAATTACGGCAACAACGACGCGCGGGAACGTGCCGTAGCTCAACTTCAACAGAGATTCGGCGCCGATGCAACTTCTCAAATTAGTCAGATCCAGTCGCAAATGATCCCCAATGGTCAAGCTCGAGTACTTCCGCCGACCAACTCCTCTAGACCCAACATGACTCCTGAGCAACAAAGGGAGCGACAGGCCCTGTACCAGCGTCAACAACACGCAGCGGCATTGCAGCAAATCCAACAGCAGAAAAGTCGCCAACAAGCTGTAAACCCTCCGCAAACCAATGGATCCGGGCAATGGGACGGTTATGTTGCTGAGCGCCGCGCCAGAGCAATGGAGGATAACAAAGAAGCAGATACGACAATTCGGCAAAAGGTCGAGCAAATGAGCCGTGACAGAGAGGGCGGTGGTCTTATCCTGCCCCTTTCAGAGCAGTCAAGCCTTCCTCAAAATAAGCGGAGAAAGATAGACTCCGACCAGTCGGCTGGGATGTCTCAAGTGGATGGGGCGAATGACGATGACGATGAGGATAGTAAATCCAATATCAAAGACGAGAAGGACGAGCTATTCGATGATGACGAAGACGCTATCAATTCGGAACTGGATGATTCGGACGATAATGAGATTGAAGGGGAGCCAGATGATGGCAAGCCTACGCAGGTGATGCTGTGCACCTACGACAAGGTGCAGCGTGTTAAGAACAAGTGGAAGTGTACGCTTAGGGATGGCGTTTTGAATTCCGGAGGGAAGGAGTAAGATCGCTCGTGTCTGGTGGGATTGAGGGAAGTTACTAACAATTATCAGATACGTCTTCGGCAAAGCGAACGGCGAATTTGAATGGTGAAAACATGACGACACAAAAGTCTCAATCACCTTTGTGCCCAAAGATCGATTCTGACGATTTGCCCCCACCAATCAAGATTGCCACAGTATTCATGGCTGCAAGGACATCTTCGAGATGGCATGCATGGCGTTATGGTAGGTTATCAAGACTGCAATGGTTTGTTAAGGAGCTGCTCCTCCTTTTTGCAACTGGCGCATTTGATCTTTGTCTTTGCATTTGGCCGGCTATCATTCCTGCATGACGGCTCTAAAATGGGCGTTTTTGAAGTCCATTTCACGATTGCTGATGACAATTCTGAGAAGGTGTTGTGACTGCTTGCAAATAGGGTACTACACTTGATTATTTGTGTTTCAATTGACAAGACCGCAGCCTGCCTAGCAGCCAGACTCCTTAGGAACTGTCTCACAGCATCTGACCCATGACAGCCCCTTTCACTTCACCACTTTCCCCCCTCCCTTCATCACACCTCCCCTTCACCCTTACCATTCCTCATCAACCCCATCTCAGAACCCATTCCCCACTCGAAGCCCCCTCGCCTGTGTAGTTCCTCAGCCCCGTCACAGCCAGGACGCTACTATTAGTACTGAAGTCCACTTTCTCATTCGGGATGGGGTTGTCGTTGAGTGTGACACTGCTGACGGGGGCGGGGACGCCTAGCACGGTTACATTTGCGAGGGTGTTGGTGTCGTTGAAGGTTCCGCGGGGGAGGCATGGAGGGAAGTTGGGGTAGCGGTGAATTAGTAAGGAGTGTTAGTGATGGTTTAGGTGAGGATGATGTAAAGGGGGAAAGTAAAATGAACGGGTCCGAAGGTTCAGGGTCAGAAGACAGGTCGGGTAGGGGAGAGCAGGGAGGTATTCGTGGGAATGTTGTCTAAGACGTGATCATAGGAAGCACAACTCACCTCAACAAACAGTGTACCCTCCTGCACTAGACTCCATCGTCTACATACAACCCTCCTCTCGCCGTCCCCTCCAGCCCCAACGCGACGATGACTCCCAAGGATTCTTCCGCGCATCCCTTGTGACCATGGCAGCTTCCTGGGTCGGCACCACATAGCCTCCTCTCAAGTAGAGCGGAATATGTCCTAATGGCGCATCGATACTGGCTTTCTTTCCGCCACCCACGGTCGCTGGATCGATGATACTCTGATTGTAACAGTCGTAATAGCACTCACCCTTTCCCACGCCAAGGAATACGCCGTTCACGCTTGTGACTCCCTGTATCAGCACCGGCGTCACCAGAAGTGCTGGACCAAGGAAGAACTGATGGTCGGCATTCGCCAGAGCAGGTTCGTTCGGGAATTCCCACGACAGCGCTCGCATGGTTGTACTCCCCGTCAAGCTCGCGAGATGGAAGAGAGTATACAGGTAAGGCAGCATCAGGTACCTTACTTGTATCGCCATAGGTGTTGCTTCCGCCACAGAGGCCCAAACATACGCTTCTTGCGAATTTGCAGTCAGAGTGTTATGGTTTGGGTAGAACGGGAGGAAAGCACTGAGCTGCATCCAACGATTGCATAATTCCTCATCGGAATTGCCGTTGAAACCGCAAGTATCGACGCCAAACATGGGAACGCCGAACAGGCTGAAAGAGAGTGCTTGCGGGATTAAGAAGACCATGTATGCCCACTTCGAGGCATTGTCGCCGCCCCAGTGGCCCGCCCATTTGCCGCTCCCGGCGAAGGTGGAGCGGCCAATTATGAACGGGCGGCGGCAAGGGATGGCTGAGAGTAAAGCCTGGTTAGTAGCGTTCAGGATCCCGTGGCCCCAGGTGTTGTGAACTTCATAGTCAAGGGTACCACCAACGTGGGTTGCGTTGGGTGAAACGGCATGAACAGCAAGATCGCCTTGAACATTGTTGATCACGTATGGTGGATGATTGACATCCCGTACACCAGGCGTTGGGGTTGTGCGAAGGTATGTAGCGCTGGGATCGAAACCACTGGCCGTTAAAGCTACCGGATATGCTGATGCCTGACTCGCTGATGCTGACGAGGCTGAGGCTGCTTCCGTTGCATTTGTCAAATTGAAGCCTTCGGCATAATCGAGGACCAGATTTCCTGGCTCGCCTGGTAGGCCGAATGGTGGATGAACTGGATTCATTGTGATATTGCCTAATCCACAAGAACCTACGCAGAATCAGGACGCCTCTGGCATGTCAATCCATGCACCGTCAAAGGCTACTTTTCCATGCCACGTTGTCATCTCGTTAATCCACCACTGACCCGCTCCTTCACTGATCCAATCAGGAAACACCGTGTAGCCAGGCCAGACGGATCCAATATAAAGGCTCCCATCCGGATTCTTTAGGAAAGCGCCAAATTGTGTTGCCATTGTTGAATGTCGAGTAAGCGTCACTTTCATTTTGTGGGTTCGGAACATAGATTGCGGAGTCAATGATTGGAATGTAATGTCTGCCAATGTCATGAAGCCCATTCAAGAAGGTCTTGCCTTCATCATAACCATATCTCAGAGCATCGTTTATCGAAATCACGATACTGATTCATGTAGTCAATATCGGTCCAGATATTTTCGAGTGGCATGCCAGCTGCTTCGTGATTATCCACAACTTCTTGCAGCCGAGACCAATTGGCATAGCCCCACCGACATTGGTGATAACCAAAGGTGAGAAGTACTGCTGTATTGCTGGCAATCCAGCGGCGCTCTGCTCGTACGCAGCCGTGCCTTCAGGCTGTGTTGGTCCAGCATAGAAATACAGATCAACGCTACCGCCCAAGAATCGCCAGGTAATGTTCGTAGGCCGAAGGAGGATCTCCTGGCCATGGGTGTTGCGCGAGTAGACCCCGTGAGAATACGAAATAAAGTCGGCGTTTGCACCTGTTTCATTGGTGGTGACCAAGCTCAAGTTGCCAGTATCCGTATCCACCTCGTAATATCTATGCTGGTCAGCCTCGAGCAAGTCCTACTGCAATGCTGATACTTGCCTCGTATCTAGGTAGAACGGATGACTACCATAGATATGTCTTTATAGCATACCATCAGTAGAGTACACCTTGGGCACTTGATAGAAACCTACAGGTCTATTGGATCTCCTACATCTGCTGCGTACATAGTTTTTGTGAAGTTGTTACAGAGTCTTAGTCCATCGATCGACTCGCCCAGCCCATACAGGTTGTAATTCTCAGGTAACGAACTTGAAAACTCTACATATTGATCTTCAAATACAAGCTTTGTCATAGCTGTTGAAAAGATAACATCGCCAGTCGATGTTCTGTACACAGTAAATGAAAAGCTGGGGTCATTTGTCCAAGTCAAGCTGAAGTCGTTCTTCAAGCTTGTAGATGCTGGATCCTCGTCTGCTTGAGGTTGTGTCACAAGCTGATCGGGTAAAACGTAGTATGACTGATTCGACGAATCTATATCTGTTGGCAGAATTCTCACCGCTAAGCGATCTGCAGATTGATATTCTACAGTCAAGTTCAAAGTCTCAATATCATTGCCTGTACATCTTTGCAGTCAGCATAACTTATTAACATCTTGCGAGTCCTTGAGGGTTGGATCGATGAGAACACATCGATGGACCATGCTGGGAATTGTGCCTATCGTACACGTTGCACGCCTGTCCAGCCAACTTCCACGTCGCTGTAAACCCAATGCTATTGAGCACAACATTCGAGGCGTTGTAGCCCGGGCAGGTAGTCTGGACATCAACTGCTTAAGGGTCCTAAACATTTAGTATCAGGGTCACGCCAGCATCAGCCGCCGACGGTACGGTAAAGATATCGCGAAACGAAGCTGGCGTGCCGCTGATCTCGGCGGTAGGGCTGGCTGTCATGGACGTTGTGCTGAGTTGGCCTAGGCCATCTGCGCTGCTTTGGGCGTATGAAAAGCGAGCTAGAGAGGTCACTGTCAACGCACTGATCTTGAAAGAAATTTGCGAGAAGAACATCGTTGTGATAGGAACAGTGTCTCACGAGGAGCCTCAGATTCTCTGTAGTGTCCTCTTTTCTACTGAATATTGGGCTTGAGAAGCAAAGACTATCTGCTGTAGCACCAAGAGGGCTGCAGTGCCCGAAGAAAATGCTTGATGACACTCCCTCGTTTTCAGGTCTCTTGTTGCTTTGATGAAGACTAACTGCCCACGGGCCACTTTCGAAATCCATGGTCACTGAGTCCCGTGGGGCAGAGACAGAGAACAACTTTCAAGTATGACGACGTCCAAGAGTGCTCTTGACTGGCTGCAACTGGAAGCTCTTGTAGGATCAGATGAGCAAATTGCCTGTTAAGGAAGGCGCCAATAGGAACGCTGCGTGAATAAGATTCAGAGCATGCAGGTACGCTGAAAGTCTGTATGAGTTGACGAAAAGTGCTAGGGACGAAAGGACCGAATTTCGGCATCCTGGGAATGAAGGCAGGCAGTTGAGAGAGAGAGAATGATGGAGTGGGAAAAAAGTGATGGAACACATGGTCTCAGTCTTTACTTCGCTGGAATCATAGCCCAGCTGCACTCGAAGAAGGTTTCCTCCATTAAGACTTCTGACTCCTGAGGACCGTCTCTGAGACTGGCCATCCTGGTCGTCATCCTGAGCAACGTGAAGTCATCGTGACTTTGTAGATACCCCCATCTTCCCCGCAAAGTAGATCACGGGTGGTGAGCTGCGGGGCCTGCCGTCAATCGAATGACATGACCGTCATAGCCTAGCCTAGCCTTGAGGATCCAATGTATGTTTGTATAGGCCAATGGTGGCTGCGGGGTTGCACTTAAGGGTCCCGCGAGTGCAAAATCTGAACGAGGAAGCTGAGGCATTTCCAGAAGGGCCGTCTCGTCTTTGACCTCATCAGCAGCCTACGGTAGAATAACAAAAAGGGCCTCGCTGTAGGCATGGCGTAGCTTGATCAAAGTTCCATCACAAAGCCTTCGAATAAACAGCCTCGACCTTTCTTGATGATGAGATTTGAAGAAAGAGTGCGAGCTGCAGCCGTAAACTATGCAAGAGTGGCTGTTGCCTCTGTTCGCGAAGCCTCTGATATGGAACTCAATCAAGGATCTAGGGACAACTTGGTATATGTAATACCTTTGACGAGAAGCAAACTCTTAGTTGCGCTGACTAACCTAGACATGAGCAACAGCTAAGACCGCGCTCACTTTTGTCTCACGCCAACTAAAAAGGTATCTATGTTTGTCTTCGCCCCACAATCGCTCTCAGCTACACCTTCGATAAAAAGACAGGTTAGAAGAATACATGATCCAGGCTCCCGTATTGTTCAATGGGAACTTTTGCCTGCTCCCTCTTTTTGTAATGTTCAGTCCTCCTCTCATTACTCGCGATTGCAAGCGGTCGATGGTATGAGACCAAGCGGCAGAGTTTGCCCCCGTGAAAACAAGCTAGGAAGCATGATGTATTGCCAGTCGGTATGCCTGCCTCTTCCCGGCGCCAAAATATACAGCCACCCTTCCAGATTGCTCGCTATGGTCCAGGTTTTCGATTAAAACTGTCCGTAGTAAGATATATTTGATGAATGTAAAGGTTAGAGAAGCGAAGGATGCTGACGAGGAACGACCACTTTTTGCACTTCAGAATTACGTCTTCTCTTCTCCTGCTCGGGCTCTTCCTCTCCTTCTAAAGAAATCCATCACTCTCTTTGCTGCTCCTGTGGTGCCGGCGTGATGCCCGGAGCCAGAGCCGGGTTCCGGATCCTGCTCGTATGCGTCTGCAAACCGTCGATTACTCTTCGTAAGTACAGCTGGTCCACGAGTAGGCCGAGCCTGTTGCATTGACTTACGAGGTTGTGGTTCTTGTTCTTCGCTACCGAACCCAGGAGGATATACGGGTCGGAATTGTTGGTTCTGTATAGAAGTTCGTGATTCCGAAGGCGATCCCAGATATGGTTGACTTTGTTGCAGGACTTTAGGTGGTGGGTAGTGATCTTGATATCTAGTAGGGCCATATTGGCTTTGAGGAGCTGTAGCAGGTGTCCGTGGAGTAGGATTCCTCCTTCGTGGCGGAGCTGCAGCGCTGCCTCGCCTCGTGTCTCTCTGTCCGTCCAGGTTGACACCAGCGTCAGTATCCTGCCGAAAATCAAAGTCGGATGCTCCCTTCTGATAGTTCATTGTCTGGGGGCGTGACGAAGCCTGACCTTGGATGTTAGCTTGTCTGCGCTCCGAAGCTGGTCTGAACTCTGCAGTTCCATCTCTGCCGCTCCCAGTGCTTGTAAAGCTTCTGAAGGAGAATGAAGCCGGCAGCAGGGAAAACCTGCGCGGCTTGTCCTGCCTTGAAACGTCGCTGTTCTCCCGACTCTTTCTATTGATGCTAAACGACGGACGTCGCGACTCGGAAGATTGCCTGGGGGGGTCTCGACAGGTATGGGAGCTTTCATACTAGTAGGAGGGTATCTCTTCTCTTTCGGCGGCGTTTCATCAGGGGTATGTGGTATCGGTTTAGGACCAGATATTGAGCCGGTCCTGAAGAAATTACCAAGCGTGTTTGCTCGTTTGTGAGTACGTGGCGGATCGCGTGGAGCGGTGACCGCAGCATGTTGCTGTGTGCTCGGACGACTATCGCTTTGAGTCGTCCGGAAAGGTTCGGATAGGGGCATAGGCCCTGATATGTTGTATTTGTTTTCGGGTTTCGGTTGTGTGACTCTACCTTGGGCGTAGGTTGCAGCAACGGTTGGTGCAAGTGGCTGGCTGTAGGAATTGCCCCTCGATGGTAACCTTGCCTGTCCAGTCGATGTCATAGAACCTCCAGTAGCTGGTCTGCCACTTGAGACCGAGATTTGGCCAAAAGCTCCTGTAGAGTCCGAAACAGAGCGAGGATAGTCTTTTGGCGGCCTATCTGGTGGCGCCATGTCTCGTTGGGATACACCGGATGGCTGGCAGCCTCTTCTAGCATCACGCTGAGTATGATATGCTTTCTCGGATCTGTAATTGGGATCTTGAGGTAAAGGCTTCTGTGTGCTAGTGTACTGGCGAGATCCAGCTTCTCCACCATCTGTGCCTGCCCTGACGCGACTTCTTGAAGGTGCAGTAGTAGTCGTAGCGAGTGAATCATCGATACGGGATTTGTCACTTGTTGGCATGGCCTCACCTCTTGCTGTCGATCTTTGAGGTGCAACATATTCAACTTGCACTGTCCTTCGCTTCGAATCACGTGGAGGCTCAGTCTTCTCTTGTGGCTGGTTAGGGTCGATTTTACCCTGATGACTCAAGGCTCCAACGGGGGATACATTAGACGTCACTGGTTTGGTGGGTTCTCGAACTGAATGGCTCCGAGTGAGACCCGGGGCGTCTTGCGTAGCTACATTTTCGTTAGCTCCACTTATGCAACAGTCTCACATGCCATTTATTACTTCACATACCTGATGTAACAGTCGCTGTTGCAATATCTCCCACAGTCGTGGTGCTGCTAGTCACTTGAGCTACCACGTGTGCGTAGTCCGTGAGCCAGCTGTGCCTTGCAACCTCGAATAGGTCTGCGCGTTTTCTAGGATTGGCAACTAGGATCCTCCGCAGCAGATCCCTTGCATGTGGTGTGACATACTCAGGGAAGGTCAATGGTGTTGTTGTAATGTATTTGTACAGTTGATTGATGTTGTCGCCGTCAGGATTTTCTGGATCGTCGTCAAATGGCAAATATCCCGCTAACATAGCGTACTGTAATCTTCGTTAATTGATTATGCTCCCCACACTGCAAGATCACGTACCAAGATCACGCCACAGCTCCAAACATCTACTTTGCGGCCAGTATACAACGAGTCTGTCACAACCAGCTCAGGCGCGGCATAACAGGGGCTACCACAGCTCGTCGCCATCAGATCCCCCCGTCTCACGCCATTGTGAACACGGTCAAGTCCTTTCCTCTTGATGTAATCCCTGTCCGACAATTTCTCCTCATCTCTGAGCTCCAACTCATCTCGTGGGTCAAATGTATTTGCAAATCCGAAATCAGTGATTATAATATTGCGATTCCGATCCAGTAGCAGGTTCTCCAGCTTCAGATCGCGGTGGACTATACCTTTCTTGTGCAGGTAGCCCACACCAGACACGAGCTGAGCGAACAGTTTCCGAGCAACGTTGTCTTTCAGATAGCGTTGATTCAGAATGTAGTCGAATAGCTCTCCGCCAGACGCATACTCTAACACCATACCTATGTATTCACGTGTTTCAACCATTTCATGTAATTTGACAATATTTGGGTGCTTAAGCGTCTCCAAAATCTTGATCTCTCTATGGATCTTGGGAAGGCGGCTGGGATTATTGCCGAGTGACTCACGCCGTATAAGCTTGATGGCAACCTCAACAGACCCATCTGTTTTCCAACCCAGTTTCACTTTTCCGAATTCGCCTTCACCAAGGGTCTGTCCGAGCATGAATTCGCCGAATCGGATATATCTTTTCTGCGGGAAGAACTTCCGGCATTTTGAGCAGAGAAGTCTTGCCTGCTTCGTGCTTGACTCTTTGGTGTAGTTGTAGGTGGAGCAGCCCCAGGGTCCAAGCCAGGCACAGAGTCTAGTTCGCGCTCATGTGCGCGGTGTAGGTCAACAACAGGATCATCAACGACCACCCTGTTGATGACTTGACCGTCGTTATGAGTGGGTCTGGATGAAGTCGAGGAGGTGCTGACAACGTTGATGGTGGCTCTGCTCTGGCTTGTGTTGGGAGTTTGTTGCGAAGAAGGCTCTCTAGTGCTTATTGCTCGTTGGGGCCCTTGAGGCGAAGCGGGTCCTCTTCGCCGTGACTGGGAAGCGCTAGCAGGAATTGGAGCGGCGACATTATTGCTCGTTCCTATTGCTTCGGAATCCGATCGGCCACGTCCGGTGTTAGAGGGTTCGTTATGCGTCCGGCGTGAGGAGAATGCTTGCTCGTCATATCTTTGGCCTTCAAGCTGGGTATTGGTTCTATCGATGAGTTGTGTGTCTGATTGCGAGTCTGTATGTGGGTTTCTCTGATTCGAAGACGTTCTAGGAGGCAGCTGAAATGGCGCTGCATTTTGCTGTGCATCCTGTGATCTTTGGTCTCTGGGCCCTCTATGGCTATCCCGTGACGATGAGGTCGCGGGTAATGGAGCGACATTCGAGGCGTGGGTACTGGGCACGTCTGGCACCCGAGGGGTATTCGAGGCCGAGCGAGTGTCAGGACTGACTTGCTGATTATTGTTATTGCCGCTAGGTCGTCGCGAGGGACGCCTTGAGGAGTGAGGAGAGCCCCGCGTATTCGACGGACTTCGAGGTTGTTCCGCGGAAACAGGTGACTGTTGGTACTGGCGCCTTGATGTAGGTGTGGGATCTAAGGGATAGGAGCTTGGACTGAGTGGTGGCTGTGGTTGCTGAGGGGCAACTTGCATTGTGGCCATTGCCCAGCCTTGACAGAAATTGGTCAAGGTTCGATGGACTTGGTATGACCGGCACCAGGAGGCCAGGTAGGGTTGTAGGTGAGCACGCCAACAGTGCACAGAAGACTGTGATGAGTGACCCTATTCTCCAGTGACGAATTCTGTCTCCAGCAGCAAAGGCCCGGGCTTTAAAAGCTTATCAATATTCCGTATCACCAACACTATCTCGTGTGATATGTCACGACAACCACAACCTATGACCTGCTATTAAAGTTGAGGGCTATCAACTGAGTCTTTGTGTAAAGCTCGGCGGACGAGGTGTACGATCGTAACGCTGGGGTTCCCAGAAATCGACACTCCGCGTTCGAGCAAGCTGAGGACGCTGGTAGGCCTGGTGCCGAGCGTCCGATTGTGAACAGTATTTTTTAATAGCAGTCAGCGGATGCCTTCAAAGCGAGACAGTCAGCCTTAGGATGATGGTCAATGGCTGGATGAGGTGAAGGAGTGTGAGAGCCGAGTTGTTGGGGGTAAACACTACGCCGTGAGCATGCCGTTGCAGGCAAGCTTGGCGCTATTGACGGGACCCTCGATAAGCTGGCGTTGAGCGCAGCTTTGTCTGACGAGGCGGAAGAGAGGGGGGGGGGGGAGGAGGTGGGGGAGGGTTGGCTGATGTTGCGGTGGGTGTGAAGTTGTCGACTTTAGAATTTGGATAATCAATGAATGGAAGAACGGGCTGGGCTGGTTACAAATTAGGTTGGCGCCAACGCAGATCGTGGAGCGGATTCTGCTGCGCTGTAATTTCGCCTACGGACTCTAAGGGAGCTTAAGGATCTCTAGGCTGGGATTCAGCCGGGCCTCCCAGGGACTCCAAGGGATCTAGCAGGGAAACATGCCTAAGGACCGAGCAGGGATGCGTTTGACAAGAAGCAGCTTCAGTCTGTTACAATGCGCTAGAGTCTCTAACGAATCTAAAGTCTTTGACGATAGGTGACCATCCCTCGGCTCTTCTGCCCTGGTCCTGGTGCGGGCAAGCGCGAACGGAGGAGCATGGGGGCTGAATGATAGGGTCGTGGGGTCTGAAAACAGACATATTAGAGACCGTTATCCAATATTTAACAATCTACATGATTCAACTTCAGCATTCAAAAATATTAACATTCAGCGCTTGTTGTCCTCGATTGTCCACTCCTTCCCCTCGTCCTCTTACCTCCGGGCTTGGCATGCTGCTGCAGGTGGTACAGATGTCTACTCTGCGGGTCCCACCCACTTACAGAGTCAAAAAGAATTGCTTATTGTCCTGCATGTTTTCCTCGAATGTCTTGACGTATTCACCCCTCGTTCTCAAAGGCATTCAGCGGCTGCAGCAAACCTACTCGGCGCATGAAACCCGTCTGCTGCAGAGCCAATGCACGTCATTCTCGCGCTGAAAGCTATGAAGACAGGCAGGCGAAAAGGCGAAAAGCGAAACAGAGCTGAAATGCTGCTCTTGCTTATTCTTATGCGAGCACCCCACGTTTCACAAGTGCCTCATCGAATGCTATTCATCTGGTCTCGGAACTTATTTCACTGTCTTTAAATTGAACCATGCGTCCTCCTTGCGATACTGACCGTGCATGACATGATTCGGTGTCATGGATATCAGTGGTCGCACTTGGATCGCAAAGGCTTGAACGGCGGGCTCATTTCAAGGGAGTCATTTGGATCTTTATAAGATTACATACATGATGCGCTGTTCATCCATTCCCGGGAAACACATTGTCGTTCTGAGATATGCCGTCATTCGTCGAAATCCATGCTGACGCCGGGTATGCAGTGCGGCTGTCGGTTGCTTGCTTCAACCCACCTGTCCAGCCCAGGTTCTCCAGGAGAACGGTATCGTCGTCTTGCTTTACAATTCAAGAGCCTAGCGGCTCGCCTAACTCACCGGATTTGGCTGACTTTGACTCAGGAAACCCAGCATTAGGTCCGTAACCAACTTGCTGTCCAGTACCTGCGCCCAAGTCGTTATTTGCGACGCCTGGCTTATCGTCCGGCATGGCCTCTGGTGGAATGGCTCCTCCATCTCCTCCACCAACAACAAGATTGCCGCCTCCCGGAGCTTTGCCAACGACCATACCCTTTGCTACCGACCTTTCACAGAATTAGCACACGTCACAATTCAATCAACGGCACAACTTACTTTATGATCGCTCTTCTTGAGACCCCTGTGGCATCTACATACACCAAGCCGACATTCTTAACACCGCCAGCAAGACTTCCAGCAACATCCTTCGCGTCATCGCCATAACGATGGCCAACAACTTGGGTGGCAGCACTCGATCCGGAATTGAGCAAATTTCGTGAGGCATAGTCTACACCATCAGCGATCGTAGAGAAAGCCATCATCGATTTATTCAGCAAGCCAGGCTTGTAGCCGGCCTTGTCAAGCTTTTTCTGTTTCTCTCCACGACCAGTTAGAGTAGCTCCAAGGTTTTGAGCATGCTTCGTGACCGATCCAACAGTCTTGGCTGACAAGCCGACTGCACCTTCTGTGAGGCTATTGATTTTCCTCACCCTTGCTTGCGTAGCAGGCGTGAAAGTCATAGGTTTAGGATTTGGTTTCGTACTTTTGGTGAAGGTATCAGCCCGTTGAGTCATTTGGTTTGCAACCCAACCTGTACTAGTCACTATTAAGCGAGAAGCCACAGCAGCATTTTGAACGAGTTTCGAGTCCTTGTAAGCCGGATGTTTCGACATTTGAAGGTAGGTTTCCGATGCATTCTGCACGTAGATCTGATTTCCTTCACCCTCCTGGGGTAATTGGATCTCTACAGGTAGCTTTGAACCGGGTTTGACATCCTTTCCTTCGACGAGGTTAAACCCTTGTCCCAACTCACCGACCACAGATCCATTGTCCTCATCTATAAGCACGATGTGGCCTGGGGTCTTCTCACCAGTCCCTACATAGGCTTCTCCTGGGCTGAATTGCGATGGATTGTAGGATTTCACATCCCCCATCGGAGGTTTGGCTCGTTCGAGAAAGGCAGTGCATTGAGCCAGTATGGTCTCGAAGGTATCAATATCCTCTTGGGACACACGATCTGGCCCTGTCCCGATCTTGGGAAATTCTATACGAGTAAAGGCTCCACTGTCGGGACCCAGATCCCAGCGCGGTATGAGATAACTTCGTGGCGGTTGGTGGTATATCTGCGTGGTGGCAGGTAAGGAGAGGTCTAGTTCGGGGGGAAGGTGTAGGTGTAGATAGAAGTCATCTTCTGGCGCTGCACTGGTTGGATCTGTAGCGGAAAGGTCTGAGAAGGGTGAGGAAGTTGGAACCATTAGAAGGGAGAGGGTCTGGGGCCCCGAGTTGCCAATTGGCATCTCCTTGCCATCCCTCAATTCATATGCGTTAATATTGCCAACCGCGTACAGCAACTTTGGGTCATTGTGACCTGCGGAAGTCATGATTGTGGGACAAAAAGCGGGGCAGATTGGTGACTGTTCGATGCGATGAAGTTACACAAATCAGCACGGCAAGATTTAGAGGCGGGTTTATATAATTTTCAAGTCAGTTATGTCTCCTGGAGTTGCGATAGTTCGGGAGGAAAGAGCTGATGTTATATGACCCCCATAGGCATCAAATCTTCCTAACGATCCAGGCGGTTAATCAGTGCCAAGCTTGTGGCGCAGTGGGGCCTCGGGTGGCAGTGCAAGCACCCCTTTTTGAGGTCGAGCCTAGTTCCTGGTGAACACCTAGGGTACATTGGGGAGGCCATCCATGGTCAGTCTGCAGTCTCTTAGGCTGTTAAGAGGGATATACCAACTAGCGACTATACGCACTATTTGATTGTTTGCATTCATTCATGACATATGCATAATGCATAAGCTTTTCCTACATCCATCATAACTCCGTAGCATATCTATATTCCTTCCTCTCGATGCCTAATAGCGATTGTCGTAACTCTGTTGACCGTAACCTTCGTTCTCGTCATCTCGACTCTCATTCCCACCCCCAAAGAATCCGCTACCTCCCCCTCCACGCCCTTCGTCTTCATCATCTCTGCTTCCACCATCACCACCGAAGAAACCACCGCCTCCTCCTCCGCGGCCTTCATCTTCATCTTCACGACCTCCTCCGTACCCTTCACCACCGTATCCAGACGAGGTCTCATTTCCTCCAGAGCCATATCCTTCCTGCTGTCTCGACTCGTAACCTCCACCGCCATAACTTTGTTCTTGCCGGGATTCGTACGCACCACCGTACCCTTCCTGCTGTCTGGATTCGTATCCTCCTCCATAGCCACCACCACCACCGTGACCTCCAGATTCCCCTTCAAACTCCTGCTGCGTAAACCTCTGCCGTTGTCTCTCATAATCACTATCATCAGAGTCGTGATTCTTATGATGCTTTTTCTTTAGCTTGTACAAGTCGTCCGCGTCTGAATCAGAATCATCCTTCTTATGACCAGAGAACTGTTTAGTCTCCTCGTAAAACGAACTCGAGCTAGTTTCACGTCCTTCGACTCGAACTTCCGATTGCCACTCACCCCCGGGCGTTCATAGCGTTGTTCAGTCGTCTGCTCATATCCGCCCCCATACGTTGGCCGAGTCTCTTGAACGACGGATTGGCCAAACCCACTTCCACGACCATAGTCGTCTTGCTCATAACGCTGGTAGGATTCACGGCCACCACCTTCCACGAAATTTGTTTGGCTGTATTCTGCAGACCCGTAGCGCTGGTGACCACTCTGAGGCGCAGTGTACCCTGTTTGTGTGACATTCTGAGTGTAAGAGCCGTCGGACTCATATTGAGAGCTTTGATGAGTCTTTTTCTTCGTCTCAGAGCCGCCAAAGGCCTCTCCTAGAAGATCGCCTCCTACAGCACCTGCAATACCACCAACGATGCCACCAATCGCTCCTCCGCCAGCGGCTTCCCCAACGAATTTGCCGACTCCACCAGAGGAGCTGCCTCCGCCACCGCCTGTAAAGCCGCCGTCATATTTGGATTGCCCGGTCAGGGCGTCGCTTATCTCTCCAAGTACTCCGGCTCCAGCAAGTCCGCCAACAGCACCTGAGCTTTGCGCTGTTTTTAGGTTTGGCATACCCAAAGGCTTACCACATCCATGCCCTGAGTCAATTACACCAGGTTTGTGATTACGACCCTGCTCAACCCCATCGCGACTAAGTTGATCACGAAGGACTTGGCGCTCTTGCTCGCTCTGGTCGCGCCACCATTGTTCGACCACAGAGAACATCCCGCGACGACCATCTACAGCGCCATCGTCTCCGTAGTCACGGAGGGCTGGATGGTGGAAAGTGCCATAAATAACGCGATTGAGGGTTCGTCCAATGTCAATACGCTCATCGTCCCAGCACGCAATGAGCTGAGGCACGACCCTGATAGACATCACGTTAGCGCCCATCCATGACAGCGAGGTCAGAGCTTATTATGCGTCCCGCTTCAAAATCTTCAGCCGCAATTTTGTTGGCTGGGAGCAGCCAAAGCATTTAGGGGCACATACCACTTGAGGACTTGACTAGCTATTTTGCCTGCAGGCTCATTCAACACATTCGAGAAATGATCTTTGGACAACATTGAATGGGTGGGATCGCTGGAGTTATCATCACGGAAGACAATTAATTGTTTATCCTTGCTGCTCTGTATGATTTCGGAGGAGCCAGTATTCAGCTCAGTCTTCACCTGATTGACGATGGGCAGGACAAATGGTGCTAGTAAAGAAAAGACGAAGATGTTGAGCTGCTCTTGAAGATTCTCTAGCAGCTGGGGCAGTACTGGGATTTTCTCTATGGCCTCAGTGATCGACTGCATCATCTCATCATGCCATTCAAGGATTGGATAGATCTGACGCTGAGTCTCATGTAATTGTCGAGTCCAAGCCTCTGGTTGACGTGGGGAGATGTGGGTCTGTTGCATTTGTGCGGCTTGAGTTAAATGTTAGCTTCTATCACGTTGTCAATGCCTGCATGTGCCTTATTTTACTTACCTGTAGCATTTGTTTGGAGTTCATTTGCCTTGCCAGCTTGGTCCTTGTCTCCAAACAGGCCGCTTGGTACTTGATTGAGTAGATCTTGTAGGATACTCGAGTTGTTCTGCTGGTTGTTCGCCATCGTACCTTCAAGTTCTTGAATCTCCGACTGGGTCGCCTTGTCAGAAAATTCGCCCATCACTGAATGCAGGAAATCAACTCCGCCGAAGGTGCCAGTAATGATGGGGAAAATGGGATAGCGAGCGCCTTGAATATCCATCGTAGTCCTTCTACCTACGTGGGGAAACACGTCCCGCTCACCGAGCTCGAGCAAGGCCAACTCAGTGTAATTGGAGTGTGCCGAGAAATCTTCTAGGCAGTGACAACCAGTACCCAACAGGCGTAAAGCTTCGTGCAGCTCAGCTTTATTGCCACTCCTTGCATACCGTCTTCCGAGATCGATGCTTTTTCCAAACAGATTGCGAACAAGTTCTGCTGATGTTGTGATACCCATACCTTCTGTAGCAATATAATTTTTGAGTCCGGTCTGAGGATTGACTGAGAGCTCACGACGCTCATCGACAGGTCCACGAAGGCGCCTATCATATTGGCGGGCATCTATGTTATCTGCGTAGTCTTTTGGATTATCAATGTGCTCTTCCGGTCGATAGCATCCCAGACGATCCATGGTCACTTCGAATTCTTTCGTCCCATAACCAAAGCTCATGAAGCCAAGGACCCAAAGAATGATCCGAATAGCTTCAGCCGAAACGTATTTCACCGTACCGACGTCTACTGCCTGGGAATAGTCACGAAGCCAGTTGCCAAAATAGACGCGTTTTACATCAAGCTTTCCAAATTTCTTCCCGCCTGCAGCTCTTGACATCAGGATGTTGAGAAGTGTATCCTCGATATCGCCATGGCGCCAGTTTTGACCCTCGATGCGAGCAATCGAGGCTACAATGCAGGTCAGTCAGTGCCGTTGAGGTGGTCCTGAAGTGCTCACCGATGTTGCCAGCCCCAAAAGCAGCAGTGGGAGCCGCGAAAATTGCGAGGAGCAGGACTGAGGAGGCCAAGAGAGTGATGGAAGAGAATCGAGAGGCCATGGTGCCGAAGACTAAAGCAGTAGACCGTTCAAATAGCCACAAATACTGCAAGTAAGCTCTGTCTTGGAGTGAGGAAGATTCAAAGCCGTGATTTAGGACGACATTCACGCAGAAAGTGAAATGAGAAGGAAGGAAGGTCGAGAGAGAGAGCAAGTTGCCCGAAGGCAAATGATTGTACGACGGCAATGGGCTTGGCCGAAACAACCAAAGTGAACAAAGAGTTTGTGATCAGGAGACGAGTGGAAGAAGGAAGGTTAGTGAGTGAGAGGACGTCGATCTGTGGGCTGTAAGCTCTGCTCCGAGGCTCATGCAAGATGTGGTATGGCTTGCAGCAAGCGGCTTGGAGTGACAGGAGTGGTTACCTTAGGGATGGCAAGGATGTGTGAGGAACGGGTGAGCTGACGCTTTTAGGCTTTCGACCGCCCATGGATCAGGGCGACAGTAGTCGGCACCGGCGCCATGGAACTCTCGAGGACTCGCCAATGAAGCTCTCTTGTGCTTACGCGATGCGGTACAGTGACGTGGGCGGCAGGCCGCTTCCCCAGACAGCTTAGCCTCGAGTCTCCTTGAATGCATTAGCTCTTCTGTTGTCTGTAGATGGGATTGTTCCTCGTTTTCTGTCTATCTGTACACAAGGGCATGCCATCTCTGTTACCTCGCCTGTCTTTCTGATGGCTGCGTTGCCCGCCTGCTATGATGAGTGCTGATACTGGAAGGAGCTGGCTGCGTGGTGCATCGAGCTCCTCGCGCCTTCCGTGCAATCCTGGCTCCGATTCAATAGTATGCGCTATGTCTCCCGATCAAAGGAATAGATTAAGAGCAACAAGACTATCCACAGACTGCTGATGAATGTACGAAAGGTCAGTTTTCGGAATGTTCGGGCACTGACCAGGGGAAAAGCATGAAGCCCTAAGAGGGACCATCCATTGACCTTGGCTCACCTTCGCTAGATCACACAACACCACACCCTCCTACCTCACCCCCCTCCACCTCCACATCCACGCTCAGTCATTTGCACTTGCTCTGCGTCCGCATACCGAGGAACATACGAAAGAATGTAGACTTGCTGTGTGCTAGACAAGGGAGCTTAAGTCTTTTGGACAAGCTCCATCACTGTTGTGATCTTGCTTAACCAGAAGCATCAAAAGCACTTGTTCACAATCTTTGTCCCTCGTCAACCATTAGCACGATCAACGTTGAAGTAACGACGTCTAGCCTCAGGTATATCTAGTAGCAAGGCCTCCACCAACTCGACGTGGGCGTTTTGAAGAGCACCAAGGAGCAAAGAGTTCTTTCTCCGTTTCTCCACTCTCCGCACCGGGTTTTGCCTCTAGAAGTACAGCAAAATTGTCTGTGCATGCCAAAGAGGAAGACTCTCGAGCGTTTGCGACTGCTAATCCAATGAATGGACGGATGGCTCCCACAATTCCTGTACGTCCAAATGTGATAAGGACGACAAGCGGTACGAGACTTTCTTTACGACCACTTGCCGTAAGAACACGGAGTGTCAATGATCGCAATCACGAGAATTCCAATAGTCATTCTTCAGCGGATACGCTTGCTGGATCGAAAGGTAACGACAGCAGTTTCCAAGAGTCGTTATTCGCCATTCTTGATGGAACCAAGAGAATGACGTTTGTGCTTGATCTGTGCGATCATGTCAACTATGGCCCAGCTTTCTACAGGGTCGTTTTCGTTAATCGAATGTTGCGGAATCGTCCACTTATCCATGACTACATCCAAGGACACTCCTTGAACAATATTTGTGCCCCGTCTCCGCAAGAATTCTCCGATTTCAAAGACTGGGCGACAAGCAGCGATGAAGATGATGTCCATGAAGCTTTTTACTATGCTAAATTTTGTTGGTCTGCCAAAACAGAGCACGGGAGCTTGCGATTCATCACAGCACATCCCCGATCTGGTGAAGTAACTCCGGACGTCGACCCACTTAAAATCCGGTCAGGCCCCAAATGGGGCAAGGAGAATGGCAAGGAGGTAACTAACAAAGATAAAGCTGATGATGATGACGTTGATTATTTCAATCTCTCCGTTGCTCCAACCCTGAAGTCCACAAGAGACAGCGTAGGTACGACGGCAAGTAGGAAATTTGAGCCTGCGACACCTCACACAAGGGATACTAAAGCACAGATGCTTCGGGATACCATCACACCTTCAAGTTTTGAAATATTCACAGATTCGCAGCATTCAATTTTGTTCAAGACAACTTCCCCAGTAAGAGAACATTCGTTGCCATCCGGTTCAGCTCGTGCCGCGAACTTGGATTGGACTCGGCAACCCAATTCATCAGACCTACCAAAGCACATTCAATTCATCAAGAATGTGAATTGGGCGGCCACTCCCTTAGGACCAATGGACACATGGTCGTCGGAGCTTCGTGTGACTGCCATGGACCTTGTGGCAACTCCATATCCGTTGGCAATATATTGGGGACCACAGCTGATCATCCTCTACAATGAGCCATATATCGCCCTGATCAAAGATAAACATGGAAAGTTGATGGGTCGTTCCTATATAGACTCTTGGGCAGAAATATGGAAATTTGTAGCCGACGATTTTGAGAAAGCTTTCTTTGATGGTCAGGCGACACTGAAAGATGACGCCCGATTTTTTATCGCCCGTTGGAATGAGGATGTGCCACAGGAAACTTATTTTCAATTTGCTTTGATACCATTCGTCGGCAGCGATGGTACCGTCATAGGAATTGCAAATCCAGCCTTTGAGAAGACCAGTCACAACCTGGCCGAGAGGCGTACGAACGTACTGCGCGTGCTTGGTGAAAAGACTGCTCAAGACAAGACCTTGCATGGATTCTGGGCCCATACTCTCGAGAGTCTGATGGCTAATAAGGAAGACGCCCCTTTTGTTTTGCTTTATTCCGTTCTTGAAGAAGCAGACAGCGATTCTCAGTCTTCCATTAGGTCTAGCTCAGGGAAGGACAGGAAATTCCTTCTTCAGGGTAAAATTGGTGTCCCATCCGGGCATCAAGCAGCCCGTGAAATCATTGACTTACAGCACGGGAACGATTACTTTGCAAACACCTTCCACAAAGCCATGACGGAAAATGAACCATTACATCTCTCTACTCATGACAGCACTTTCAATCTTGAGATTTTTGACGGCATCGACTGGCAAGGGTTCGGAACTCCCTCACGTGAAGCTGTGTGCTGCGCTATCAATCTTCCAAGTGAGGAACATGAAACCAACAAGACCTTAGGTTTCCTGTTTATGGGTCTGAATCCCCATCGTCCCTATGATAAGGACTATCAGCTCTACGTACAGCTGTTGAACAGACAGTTGGCGACGACGATGGCCTCAATAGTCTTCTTCGAGGAGGAAATTTCTCGTAGCGCCAAGGCTGCTGAAGCCGCAGCGAAGGAGAAAGAGCTTCTAAAGTACGAGTTAAGAGAAACAGCCGAAGCAGCATGGGACACTGAAGACAAATTCAAGATGTTGGCTGACCTCAATCCTTCAGGGTTATTCATCGCCAATTTTGATGGCACTATCATGTACTCTAATCGAACCTGGTTTGATAATATGCGTGTTACCGAGCACGAGATCCAGTATCGTAACTGGATGGGTGTCATTGCGAAGGAGGATAGAGGTCGTTTTGAAGATGCCTGGACGGCGCTGGTCCAAGATAACGTTGACTTAGATGAAGAGGTTCGCATGACCTACAGCGGTGTCAAGAATGATCATTGGTTATCGTTCAAAGCGCAAGTTCGATTTGATGACAAGGGCAAGGCCACGGAGGTTATTGGTTGCGTCGCAGACATCAGCGCTCAGAAGTCCGCGGAGCACTATGAGAAGCAGCGGATGGAGGAAGCCGTAGAGCTGAAGGCTCAGCAAGAGAGAGCTACTGCTATGACTAGTCACGAGTTGCGAAATCCTTTGGGCGTCGTTCGCCAGTCTGCCGATCTCATTGCGGAAACGGGTCGGAAGCTCTTAGGAAAGCTACAGTCCGGCAGCTACCCGCGTGAGCAGGTTACGAATTTTGTGGATGAGACTGTGCATCTTGCGGCCACTATTGGGGTCTGCTCAGAGCACCAAAATCGTGTTGTTGACGATGTTTTGACGGTGTCTAAGCTGGATGCAATGCAATTGCAGGTAACGCTAGTTGCAACCCGTCCTGTGGACGTTGCGACTCAGGCTGCAATGATCTTCCAGCCGATGATGGCTTACAACGACATAAGCTACCGCTTTCATATCGACTCGTCTCTAGAATTGCTAAACATTGACTGGGTGAATTTGGACCCATCACGTGTGAGACAGATTCTCATCAACCTCGCCAATAATGCGGTCAAATTCACCGCTGGCAGGGACACTCGCCAAATTACGATCACTTTGAGCGCGTCGTTAGAACCACTAGACGATCATGACGGAGTACACTTCGAGCCTTTCCGGGATGAGCGATTGGGTCCAAATAATCTACAAGAATGGGAAAATGGTGAAGCTGTTTACATCTATTTTGCTGTGCAAGACACTGGTCAGGGAATGACTGAGGATGAACTACCGCGAATGTTCCAACGATTTCAGCAAGCTAATAGCAAGACTCACGTCACTTATGGAGGCTCAGGACTTGGTCTCTACATCTGCAGAGAACTTTCGAAAATCCACGGCGGCCGCATCGGAGTGAGCTCTGAAGCTAATCGAGGTAGCCGCTTCGAGTTCTACATCAAGGCTACGCGCGCGAAGGCACCACTGGATTTCACTACCAGCCAGACTGACCGAAAGCTTTCCGAAGGTAAGACTGAAATTCATCTAGGGCTCTATGTTTTCTCGAAAAGCTGACAACAGTGTTCCAGACGCTCTACATCCGACTGTTCTTCTTGTTGAAGACAATGAGGTCAACATCAAGGTCGCCAAAAAGTCGTTAGAGCGCGGTGGCTGTTCTGTCCACGTAGCAGAAAATGGCCAACAATGCCTCGACGTACTTCGCCAGTCAACCTTCTGGCCCAGCATCCGTGGGCCAAAATTCAGAATCAACGCTGTACTATTGGACCAAGAAATGCCTGTGATGGACGGACTGGAGTGCATCAAGATAATTCGTGATCTTGAGAGGGAGGGGACCATCATCGCTCATGTTCCAACAATTGCCATCACGGCAAACGCAGGAGGCCAGATCGTTAAACTAATGGAGGCAGGCATGGTAAGTTTTGCATTCGTGCCCCCGCACCTTCTCCGGCGATTCAAGAAGTTTTCTCGCTAAGCAAGTGTAGGACGACGTCGTCTCTAAACCATTTCTATTTCGAGAAATCCGTCCCAAAATAGAGGACCAAATCATGAAGTATCCCGCTCCGGTTTAACGGGGCATGTTTCTCTTTCCCACATTGAGAACCCCCTTTTTCATCTCTCTTATACTGATATACGGTTGGCTACTCAATTCAGTATCAATCTCGTGATTTCTAGCGTAGGCGCTCAGGAAGGCGGTAGCCTGGCAGGAAACCCAGACTACCACGGCGGTTTTACATCTATCAATGAAGTTTGTCACAAACCGTGACAGTACCAGCGCTGGTAGCGCGTGTAACATTACTTATTGAACTCTATAACGCCTGGCAATCTGTAAGACCATCGGCTTCAATGACAATCGATCAATCAATGCAGTGGTCTCCGTCTCCCTTGTCATTTAATCTCAAAGTGATTCATTCTTAAGTTTGCTCCAATCCATCGCCGTAAAAAACGGGAAGTTATGAACTCGATTTGGTATCCATTCGTTGACCGTGTCGTTTCTACGCTTATGGGTGCTTTATCTAAATTTATACTCCTCCATTTTTGTTTGCGGCATCACAGCGTCTACCGATACAACCGCTAGTCTCCGAACCCTTCCCATTCTCCAGCACTGGCTCGAAGATCCCGTTCATCATCATCTCCATCCGCAACATCCAGCACCTCCTGACTTCGTCTAGCAGCGCCCTTCCTCCGATTCTCCACCTTCCGATCATACCCGCTCTTCGTACTGATTCTCGACTTCTTCGCTCCCTTTGGATCGTTCCATGATAGATCGCGTCTCCGACTCTCCACCCCCTTCCGCTTCAACTCCTGCTTCTTTTTCTTACTAACATCCGGCAACGCATCCAATAGCCACTGCTGCTCTGCCAAATTATTACTCAAAGCCTCCTCCCCACGACCGTCTTTCCCCAGCCCCGCATGCGCCTTGTCACTGGCAGCAATTACATTAGCTACACCCTTCACATATGGGATGTCCTCTCGGGTATACAGTGTCACCACCACACCTCCCGCTCTCCCTTGGCGCCCTGTCCTACCGGCTCGATGCACATACGCTGCGCTCGAGGTCGGGATGTCGTAATTCACGACGCCGTTCATACCTCTGAAGTCCACACCCCGAGCGAGCAAGTCGGTCGTGATGAGCACCCAAATCTCACCTTTTCGCACGCCGGCCATGATGTTTGAGCGCGTGAGATCTGAGAGTTCAGAATGTAGAACTGCGATACGTGAGGAGCCACCTGCTTCGGGGGGGATATCGTAGAGGAGCTCGTTGTAAAGGGCTGTGGCGCGGGGAATCGTTTGGGTGAAGACGAGGAAGGGGGTTCGAATCGTGTGTGTGTTTGTTGTGGATGCTGAGGGGGCTAAAGATGGATTGAGGAGTTGGCGAAGAGCGAGAAGCTTCCCGCGTTCCGTGGCAGAATAGACTAAGCGGTGGGAGATGGTGGGAAGAGAGCTGTCTTTCAAGCCGACTACGAGGCGGAGAATATAGTGAGGCGGTGATGAGGGGTGAAGCTTTAGAGACTGCCGGCGGGAGAGTAAGTGCTGCTGAGCGAGACTTTCGACAGAGGAGTTCATGGTAGCTGACCAGAGGGATGTACGCAGGGCCGGGGAGGTGCAGGCGTTCCAGATGCCGAGGGTCTGGTCGCGGAAGAGGGGGTCAAGTAGAATGTCTGCTTCATCAAGGATAAGATGTCGGATCAGTGGTAATAGTCCGGGAGAGCAAGCGTCTTTTGCTGAGATTGCCTGCATGAGCAGCAGCGGAGTGCTTACTACAACATCAGCCTTGATAACAGGTGGAGAAATTTCCAGATGTCCCCCGTCCCCGGTATTCACAAATGATTTGCGCTCTTGGTGATCGTTTACTGGCTCGCTCTGTAGAGTCATACCTTTCCTCATGGCAGCCACTTTAATTCTCGTCCCTGCAGCGAGCTTTCTTCCTTCGTTGACAATTTGATCTACTAGTTCGTGAGTCGGAGCGACCACGAGCACTCTGACTGCGTTTTCTTCTACATCGGACGCACTTGGAATCTGATTCGTTCGATGGCGCTCGTCGAGCAATGCTTGCAAAGTAGGTACAAGAAAGGCCGAAGTCTTTCCACTGCCAGTGGGAGCAACTGTCAAGAGATCAATGTCTGACCGTATTTTCTTGATCTTTTTCCGTGGCTCCGACAGGCCCCTTTCTTGGTCTGAGCCCATTAGTAATGGCATGCTTCCTATTTGTACTTCCGTCGGCTCTTGATATCCCTGAGCCAGAATATTCTCATACAAGCGTCGCGAAATTCCATAAGTAGATCTCAATTGAGTAAAAGCAGTCAAGGGCTGTACGCACAGCTGCTCACGTCCATTCTTGTCTCTCTTCGATGAGCTCTCCGAGGATGATCTTGACGGATCCTTGGGGGTACGCCTGTTTGGTTGACCTGTCAATGCTACGACCTTAAGCTTGTGCTTCCGCATTATTTTTCTGCATTCATCTTGAAGCAAAGGAGACTCTTCTGTTCCCGTTGACGTTGGAGCACTATTAGCACCGACTCCGTCGTGCACAGGCTTCGGCTGTTCACTCCTGCCAATGCTTGTGCTCGTCAAAGAATGGCTGTTGGTAGGCCTCTCCAACCTCGTCTTTTGGACCTTCTGCTCAATGACAGCACCCGTGCGTCTCTTTCGTTTTTTGCCCCGTGGAATAGATGGTTGCACATTGTCACTCCCCTCCCCGCTGAAACCTTCAATCTTGGGCAGGGTTGCCGCGGAAGGTATGCTTTGCTTCTGATATGTGTTGAATTGCTGTGCGCGGGGGAGGTTCGTCGACCTTGTAAGCAATCGAAATGCATCCATTTTTGCTTCGAGGTTACATGACGAACGTCGTCATCTGCATGACATCCTGAAATATCAGCAACAAACGTCAAAACCCCTTCGACCTCTGAGAGTGTAGAGAACGAGCCAGCCCGATGGTCAGACTACCCACAGGCTCGTCATATGCCTGCCTCCTTTGAACATAGTCCTCAGATAGTTGACGGATGGCAAAAGTGGTCCAAGCACCAGAAGTGCTCTGACATCTAGGGTTAGGGTTACAAGGAGACCAATCTAGACTAGTGATAATTCTCCACCCGGAATTCTTACTCACCACTTCTGTGAATAAGACGAATACCAGCTTGTGTTTTATCCTTTGGTTTCGGCACTAGCTGCGAGGGTTGGTATCCGGTTTCCAGCAGATAGGCAGTAATATGCTGGTCATTTGAATAAAAAGCCAAATCAACAACACCTCCTCCACCACAAGCATGCTCTCCTCTCCGAGGCAACTGCCATATGCTCCCACACCATATAGCTACACGCCAAACACAGCTCTCTCTGCCACCATCAATCTAGATCAAGTATGCTTTCCTACGCCAGGTAGGCTGCCATAAGGTCTCGTTTCTCCAACTCAGACTCGCTGCTTAGGAAGTCAAGCTCTCCGAAGCATCCGCAGACCGCGACGTGCGCGACTCTCTTGCAGAAATCTATAGCATTATCATCACCCTCGATGGCCTTGAAAAGGCCTACATTCGGGATTCTATCCCCGAGGTCGAATACACTGAGCTGTGCAATCGGCTGCTGAAGCAATACAAATCCAACCTCAGCGATGAGAAGGTAGCGAAGGAATTTGTGGATTTGGAGACCTTCAAGCGGGAATGGGATGTACGTCTTCCCCACCCCGAGCCAGCACTTCCTTTCATATTCTTGAATGGAAAATCTGAAGATTGATCGATAAATTACTCTCAAGATCGAATGTCCCCGTGCAACCGAACGCCTACGCGTGAATCTCCCCTCCACCATCACTGACGCCTCTCCTCGCCCCTCCACTCCTTCTCGTACACCCCATCACCAGCAGCAAACCTTCCACGCTCCCACTTCCGGGTCCTCTGGTAGTGCGTCCGGCCAACAAATTCTGACTGCAACCGAAAATTTCATTACACTCCTCGATGCCCTGAAACTCGGCTTGCTTTCCAAAGACGCACTTCACCCATTGCTCGCGGAATTAATACAGAGCGTGAATGCGGTTACGACCCAGGAATTTGAAGGAAGGGCTAAAATCATTGCATGGTTGATTAGGCTGAATCAGCTGAAGGCGCAGGATCATTTGAGTGAGGAGGAGGCGAGGGAGCTGGGCTTTGAGATGGAAGGGGCCTATAGAGGATTCAAGGGAACTTTGAGTTGATTTGAACGTGGTCATGGGGGGCATGAACTACGAACATGGCGTCTAGAGGCAAGTGAAAGAGTAGCACGGTGCTGGCTGCCTGGATTATCACTTCGTTAATGAATTGCAGTGATACATTTACAGCTCTATGATGATTGACAAGAGAATGCATAGCTAGACCATGGCGTGCATGGATCTCTTAAAGCTTGAGGAGTCATGAATTGGCAATGGTCTCTATAAGCTTTGTATATATAGATAGGCATACAAATGATTCGAAGTGATCTGCTAGAGATTATCCCTAATGAATCAGGATGTAAGCGAAGGAGACTGTGTCAGATGATGCCTCTCCGATTGTCAGAACGCTCCAAAGGAGCAGCATGCTTGCATTGCAGTCGTTCACATAGTGAGGCATACACATGAAAAGCTCACGCCAACGTTAAAATGAGGATACGTGCGTATTTGAAATGTAGATGTCATGATTTCGGCCGTCATAAGTTTAAAGAGTGTGTATATCATATACGTGTCCGTAACCTTTCCGAGTGTCGCTCCAATTTTTTAGCAAATTTCGTCGGGCATTGTTGCGAGGCCTTTGCAGGCAGAAATCTTCTCTAGCAGAACCGAAGGTCATATGATTCTCCCATTCCTAGCTCACCAATCTATCCCACTCTCCTTTAGATATGAAATTGCATTACAGCATTGCCATGAGCATCTTGTGACCTGCATTAGATCCGGAGATTTTGCTTGTTTCGTCCGGATCAGGGTAGAAGAAAGCAGCGACAGCAATGATGATATATGCAGCAATGAGCAGAGCCCCTTCCAGATAATTACTCCTACCATCGAGGACCAGAAAGTTTACAATGAAAGCTGAAACGAACAAGCTAATGGTCTCAAACAGGGAAAAGTATAATGTCATGGCCTTGCCCATCATCCAGCCGAGCAGTACGATGACAGGAGTGACAAAGAGCGCAATTTGGATAGACGAGCCTACAGCCACACCTATTGCGAGATCCATTTTGTTCTTGCTCGCAACTGTCACGGCTGTGACGTGCTCAGCTGCATTTCCGACAATTGGGAGGATAATGAGACCAATGAAGGCCTGGCTCACGGATGTATTGTCCACAAGGTGGTCGATGCTAGCCACAAGGAACTCAGCGCAGACAGCTACTAGCCCAGTAGAGATGACCAGCAGAAGCATTGCAGCATTACGTGACATGTACTTCTTGTGGGGTTTCACGTCAGCATCATTAGCCGTATCAGCGTTCGTCACAGGGGCCAGATAAGGCTGCGGCTGTAGTGGTGGTGCTGCCGGAGCTTGACGACTTGTCTGACGCGCTGCCTGGTCAAGACGACCGGGTAGCGAATTGGAACGGTGAAGTGCACGTGGTGTGATTCCTGTTACTGCGATTGGTACATTTACTTGACCATTCGGGTTGGCTGTCGAAAAGACCGTGTTCGTCATCAGCTTTGGCATGGCGGGAATTGCAGGCAGGGCGTCGCGCACCGAACGTCCACGGATGTTGAATGGTCGCTTAGGTGAGTTTTCAGCAGCAGTTAGAGCACGGTCTTGAAAGTCGACAACGCGAGAAGTAGAAGGACGAGGTGTAGAGTCGACGAGCGTCTTCGCGTTGGTCCTTTCTGGCATTTGTGGAATTTCGGCTGATTTCTCGTTCAGTCTTTCGGCTTTTCGGTGCTTTCTCTTGGACTTTTTGTGCTTCTTCAACTCAGGAGAGGTCGTGCTAGAGCTAGATGCTGTCTTCTCAAAATCAAGAAAATTGACAGTGGGCTGCCTCTTCTCAATTGAACGATGTGGCGCGGTCCTTTCATCGTCTGCATCTTCACCGCTTGCTAGGATTGTAGAGTTTGAAGTCGAAGTCATAGGGGCGAATTGACTGTGCTCCTTTTCGTCAGCAGCGGGGCTGAACGTGTTCGCCGATGGAGTACGAATAGTTGAGAGTGCGCTAGGAGTATCAGTGGAACCTGCAGACGATTTACGGCGTTTTCTTCCTCGTGTCAAAACACGCTTGATGCGTTTCGCAGTAGTGTTAGACCCAGATGATTCGTCACTATCAGTTCCACTGGATGAGGATGAATCATTAGATGAGCTTGACGTATCGAAAACGTCGTGCAAGAGGCCTGGATGAGACTCCTCGTCAATCACATGCTGTGGGGTACTTTGATAAAGGTATGCATGAGTCCTCAGCTGAAATAGTAGATATAGAACATAAACGAGAAGCAAAATCTATGACTTTTAGGTCCTGTCCAATCTGTACGTATTCAAAGTGCTTACTATACTTGTACCACGGCTGATTTGCAGCACGGCCTGGTCAGCTTTAGCGTTATCGGTGAACGAGGCATGAAACGCTGTCTGGGGCCTTGGTCAGAACGCTTCGTCTTGAATTTCCATGCCTACGGCCACACTCACGGGTAAGAGAAGGCTCATGACGCTCAAGCTGAGCAAGCAAGCACTCATTTGCGTGACGGTGCTGTTGTAGATCTGTTACGATCTCAGTCAATGCTTGACTGGTAAGCTTTGCACAAACTGACCTGCTCTTGGAAACGGAGACCACCAAACAAGAAACACATGCCAAGGATGAATAGCAGATTGGCGAGAATCGATCCAAGAAGTGATGCTTGTACGATACCAATTTCATTCTGTTAAGGTCAGCCTATGGTACAGGATCCAAGATGGAGGACAAACTTTGGCAAGGGCAATGCTGTGATTAGTAAAGTCAACCAGGTAAGCTTAGATCATTGTGTGAGGGGCAACAAAGGGCAGCACGGAATCAAGGCAGGAAACGCAGTGGGTTCGCAGGCGCTGTGGTGAGCAGTCCCTGGTCTCCTGCGCCTGGCCTGATAGGTATAACATACATGCTAAGGGCACGTGTTAGCTTCGACGAGAGAATTGCTCTTACTCAACCTACAAGATAATCAATTCGACCGCGTTACCGAAAGTCACGTTCATCAGGGCGCCGATGGTGTCTCCCATCTCGCTTGCGACACTTTCAGTGGCATAGCTAAGTAGTCCAGCAAGAGGTACGATAGCGATAGCATTCATTGCAAAGACGATGGTCTTATCTACACCAGCCGCCTGGACGACTATGCCTACTGGCACAAAGACCAAGAGTACATTGATCCAACTTGCAAACAAGATGTCCTTGCAACAAGCGTAGAAGCGGAATAAGATGGTCGGTTTCTCCTCATTCTCTTCATCTATTATGGTGGTAGATTCCGCTCCTTGTCCTTTCTCATTCGGAGGAGGTGCTGGAGGTGGCAGGGCTGTAGATATGGAGTCGGCAACATGATGGTTGTTGGCACTTCCAGATGGATTGGTGCTGTTGACAATGCCATCTTTGGCGATGTGTCGCGGTGAGGTCTCGCTATGGCCGATGGCGGGCTTACCGTCTAGGGTTGAGGCAGGATTGTGGCTGCCTGCCCCGAAAGGATTCGATGAGGCATGCGTTGGGCTAGATCTGCTTCGATCTAATAAGCTAGGCTCGTCGGGAGAATCTACCATCGGTGTTTCGAGGTATCCAGGGGACTGCAGATGGGGCGTTTAAGCAGCTTGGTTAGCTGTCGATGGATGACGGTTTAAATGCCAGAAAAAGCCCCGGGCGCGCGACTCACAGCCTGTACTACGATGTACCCGCCAAGTCCTTCCGGGTTTATGAGGACGATACGTTATTAACGCCGGATCTGCCAAGCTTGCTTCGTCACGCACGACGGGAAGAGAATAAAAGAGAAAAAGATCCGTCATCCGTCGGCCCTTATCCGACCCCTCGGACAGCAGACGCCGTCTCTGAATCGTATTCGCTTCCCACAAGACCTCATGCCCGTGTGATGTGAAGAATCCAGGAGTACGCCCTTAGTGGGCTATCGCTGTTCCTGCTCCGAATGTCCTGGAGCGCAGATCCAGCATGGCTGTATGTTTGTTCTAACGATATGGAACATAGCCTCGATCTCACGAGTGAACTGGTATAACTGCGCATACGTCTCAAATTGAGCTTGGTTACGGAACATCTCCGACATCCTGCAACCCATGCCTTTTCACAAGTCCTAGGATCGCATGGCCACTTCGTCGTGAACACTGGATTCAACCTTGCCTGCCTTGTACCGTGCGCTCGCCCTTACAATGGTCTTTTCTAATTCTCGGTCCGAGATATACGACTCTATGCGCTCTACTAATCGGAAGGTTTTAGCAACAAGGCGACCACGGCTCCTTCATCTAAACGCAGACACAACGTGGCTCATTCAACTCCCATATCCTGTCGGAGTCCCGAATAAGTCTCATCGTGCTCATTTCAACATTCTCATCGATCCGTGGCTGCGGGGGAGACAGTCCGATGTCGCCTCTTGGTTCTCGAGTCAGTGGCATGCGATTGATTCCAGTGTCCAAACCATCGCCGAGCTCAATCGCCTCCTTAGACAGAATGAAGCGTCCTTAAAAAACATTGATATAGAATGTCAGGAGCGGGCCAATCATGTCGATGTTGTTGTTGTGTCCCACGAATTCACCGACCATTGCCACAAAGCTACTTTGCTTGAGCTCGACCGTTCTACTCCCGTTTTTGCGACGAGCAAAGCAGCAGTCCTGATTAGATCGTGGAAGCATTTCAAACACGTCTATGAGCCTCCACCTTTTTCCAAGAAGATGTCAGACTGGCGGGCATCTTCGTTGCACTCTCTACCCCATTGGCTGTCAATATCGAGGATTGTCAATGAAAGCGATGCTCTTTACTATCATTCTGCCATTCTGGTTTCCTTTGAACTGGGCACGCGCAAGGTCGACAGCCCACAAGAGAGTTGTGGCCGTGCTGAAGGGATGATATACACACCACACGGGATACATGCGCAAGAACTTAGCTGCCTCAGAGATGCGGACCCACCATTAAACATATTGGGACTCATGCACGGTCTACATGATGTCAGACTTAGCAAAAGGCAATTGAATCTTGGAGGGCACAATGGGTTGCAGGCTCAAAGAATCTGCCAGGCCAAGTATTGGGTATCAACACATGATGAGGTCAAGAAAGCAAGAGGATTGATCGCACCTATTTTGTCTCGAAAGGTTTTAACGCTAAAGGAGGTCTTAGATGAGGAAAAGAGAAAACAAGGTGGAGGCTCTCTTGCAAATAGTAACTTGGCGGATTTTGAAGACGTCGAAGTCGCTGAGCTGAAGAGTGGGGAGTGTCTAGTCTTGCAATAGGAGAGCGGCTGTAACACTTGTTCCAGCAATGTACACCACGCATAGTGAACCTTCTTTTGTGAAGAATATCGGAGAGTATTCACTTGTAAATAGGGGGGACTTTGAAAGGAATAGCAGCTGAAAGCCTCGCAGTCCTCGTGTGCCGCAAATTGCCTCAGATGAAAGCCTCAGTGCATAATTTTAGGCTTGGTGCAGCTTAGCGCCAAGACTGCCAAAAAGCGGTACCTAAGGTACAGATCCTTCTCGTGCACGTTTGTTTTCAACGACCTCTCTTATAGTGCCTCATGCTACGCGAAGCTATTTTTGAATGTGCTCAGTATTTATTTTGCCATTCTCAAAGCCAGCCTCCACGTCTTGTTCAGCGTCATCTATGGGCGCCATATGTGCGTATTCAAATCGCTGAAAGGCTGGCACTCTAAGAAAGCAGAGGCAGAGGGTGAACCGCATTCAAGGTCGAGCGTAGGCAAGACCTCTATGGAAGCTATGACTAGCTATCCAGGACCCCCCGATTACCAATACGCTCCTCCTCCTGGTCCACCGCCTTCACATGATGCTCAAGGCTCACAGTCTCAAGCTTCCTCCAGCCAAGGTCAATTTGCACCACCTCCTGGTCCACCACCATCTCTCGGTGAGCCACCACCATATCATGATTGGACGATAATACCCGACACTTCAACTCTGCCGCCTCCACCTACTACTGGTCATGAGCAACCTGCAAGTAACAATGCGGACTCAATGGAAGCAGACCGTGCCCACGCTTGGTGTGCTGCTCACCCTTTGCTGTATCCTCATCAACCAACGAGCGAACAACATTCTGTAGTTCAGAATGGCCAAGTTCAACTAAGTAAACCCCATGGCTACGGAGGCGAACTCAAGACGATTACTGCTGGCTCTGGGAAAGGTTTCACCTGGTCCAACAAGAGCGATGGATGCCTATTGACTTCCCTTCCCCTGTACTTCGCTTTCATGGATTCACCTGTGCGTACAGGAAGGAGCAAAGTTACATATTTTGAAGTGGAAATATTATCCATAGGGTCAGTAGCAAGTAGCGACGAAAGCACACTTGCACTTGGCTTTTGCGCAATACCTTACCCTACCTGGAGGTTACCAGGTTGGGAGAGGGCAAGTCTGGGTGTCCATAGTGACAATGGCCATCGATACGTCAATGATCCTTGGGGTGGGAAGGATTTCACCCAACCCTTCAAATCAGGCGATACAGTTGGAATTGGTATGTCCTTCTCCGTACCAGAAACGCCACTCGACAACATTCAACCGGCGCAGCCTTTGCTCCAAAACAAAGTTGAAGTAATGTTCACCAGAAACGGTAGAAAAGAAAACAGCTGGGATATACACGAGGAGCTAGATCACGAGACAGATCAAGGTATAGACGGACTTGACGGGCTTTTTGATCTTTACGGCGCAATCGGTGTTTTCGGCGTCGTCAGCTTTGCTGCAAAATTCAAAAGAGAAGAGTGGCTTTGGAGGCCCCATTGAACGTCATACCCTTCAGAATGCCACAATCACTGCTCGAGGATGTCTCCAGCACATCGGAGACTTCAATCCAAAACTCGGGTGGCCAATTCAACAACGCATCGCCATTTCGGGAAAGACGTTACCATTCTGATGGCGGGTGAGGCTCACTATCTAGCGAGCGGGAATCTGCCGAAATATGAAACCTTTCCGACTCTGCGGCAATATTCATATGGAGCTTGCATGAAATGTGCGTAGTGCTGCAATGCAGGTCGTGACAACCTTAACGGGGGAAGTCGGAATCGTACATTGCCGGCCGATCGAAGCGTGTCGACCAGGATTGCACAGCACTGACACATGATGTTGTCCAGAGCTCCAAAACGTGGGGTGCCAGATGAAGAAACGCCAATCATTATGCATCCCCCACCTCGACCTCTTCAGCAATTGCCATCGTTTTGATTACACCGCGACATACACTGCTAGCAGACGAAAGAGAACCTGCCCTATGCTCAATTGGACCAACAGGAATTAAATCAAAGGTGGGACTCACAAGCAGCGCGCCCCGCAAAGCCAGCCACCCGAGATGGCTTTACGAGGTAAGCGCTTCATGCAACGCAAGCGGGCCTATGACCCTAAGTGCAAAAGGGTATGCATTACCCATGGAGCTTTCGGGCAAGTCGCACAGGCCTTCTGCTGCACTATCGGGAGGTGATGAGACCCAATCAGGTTGTGTTCAGTGCAAGCATCGAAGATGAGCTGAACACGATCGAGAAGTTGGAAGTGCCTGAAACAGAAGTTGACTCGAGCTTCCTGGCCATTCGATATCTCAGATGCGCTGAAGGGTCCTGGTCGGGAAATCGCCATTTCTAAAAATGCGAACGGCTCATGCCACGAAAGAGCGCGTGTGGTTCTTAGAACAATCTAACGTTCTTGGACCGGAGTGGCGTCCAACGTGTGGGTCTTTTCTAAGGTACTGGGGCCAAACCAGAAAGATACCAAGACACGCTGCAAGGAGATGGAAAGGAACGATCTATATCGCGCGCGTGGAATTTAAGGTACCACCAAGCACGTCCACGCAGCAGGTCCCACCGTAAGCCGTCAGCTTACGAGACGTGTTGCAAGACCTGCACATGAGCCTCAGGTCCAGCATAACAGCGGCGATAGATCAGACTGCTGGCTTGCCACAGTCATAATGGACATGGAATGGAGGGCGCGGGGTAGTCATCGACCAACTCGGCGACTAAAAAGCAGTCGGCTGCGGCTCGACTGGCTTTCGTTGGTTGTATTACTCAACAAACCTTCCAGGCTTCCAGGTGGTTGCAAACCGCTTCTCCCGCAGGTGCATATACCCTAATGCGCCTGGAGTCCGCTAATTGATCCTAAATCATCCACGGCGAGCGGGACTGGCGATCCTTCAAGACCTCCAAATTCTAGGCTGGCTTGCTCCAGGGTTTTAAGGCAAATTCCATTTCACAAACTTTACCTGCAGCATCCGAGATTGGTTGGTACCGTAGGAGGTACAGTCGAACCAGGGGGGCACTTGCGCAACACGCTTGACTGCACCCTTCCAAGCCACCGTCCTACGCGATGAAGCTAGCGTGGGTGCGTAAAGCCCTTCGACATCATTCCAGCTATCTTCAATTATTAGACCTCGATGGGTCCTCGGATATCCCCTTTGCTGCAGACTCACATCCTGATCATGCTCGTCACCCATGTTGCTTAATGCCATGGTCCTGCCTCACACTCGTTCAGTCTCGTCATGCTTTCCAGCCTTGACTTTTTCCTGTCGTTGTTGTACGTCTGCGCTGATAATGAACTCTTCAACGATCGAGGACCAATGAGACTAACATTCACCATGATAGCGTGTATCGTTACCTCCGTCTGATAGTCAACATCTTCGCTTTTACGAAACTACGGCCAATCCCTACTCCCGACAATCCTCGTCTAGGATCTCAGGATGTCACGGTCATCATCCCGTCAATCGAAGGCCATGGTAAAGTACTCCTGGAAACCATCGAGAGTATCCTCCGAACAGAGCCCTTCGAGATCGTAGTTGTGACCACAGATGGCAACTCAGCAGCAGCTTGGCAGATGGTCAGGCAGATGGGGTCGCCCAGGGTGAGAGTGCTTAGCATTGCTTATCCGAACAAACGCCATCAAATGGTCCGAGCAATTCCAGAAGTGAAGACCAATGTCACCATCTTTGCGGATGATGATGTCTTGTGGCCCGGCAAGTTGTTGCACTGGATGCTTGCTCCCTTGGAAGACGAGAGCTTTGGGGGTGTTGGTACGAATCAGCGCCTTCGGCGTGCAGAGTCCCCCAAATTCCGACAACGGATCTACGCTTATCTCAATGCTCTTTACCTTGAACGCAGAAACTTCGACTGTGCAGCATGCATGTACATGGATGGCGGCCTTCCGTGTTTGTCAGGCAGAACTGTTGCTTACCGCACGAGCATTCTCCAGGATGAAAGTTTCAAACACAGCTTCACACACGAAGAGTGGCTCGGAAGGTATCGTCTGAATGCAGACGACGACAATTTCATGACACGGTGGTTGGTAACGCACAACAAGAAAATTGCTTACCAGTATCACAAAGACGCAGAGGTCCTGACGACCTTGGAGGATAATCCCAAATTTGTGAAGCAGTGTTTGAGGTGGGCCCGAAGCAATTGGCGAAGCAACATCACGAGCATGTTTTGGGACAAGCAAATTTGGAGGTAGGTGGAAAGTCTCCGAATGGTCGTTCGGCGGATGTTGGTCGTTCCTGACTAACGTTTCGACCAGGAGTCAACCCTGGAGCACCTATGCCGTACATCAAACCACCTTACTCCACTGGGGTTTCGTTTGGGATGCTTTGATTATATACTCATACATCCTGTGTTCGCAGTATTGGGCAAAAGAAATAAAAGGGGCCGGGCTGGCAGCTCTGCTTACATGGATGTTCATTAGCAAATTCATCAAGCTATTAGGCCACTATGTCCGATATCCGGCCGACTTTCTGCTATTACCAGTCTCCATCCTGTTTGGGTACCTGCACGGGTTCATTAAGGCTAAAGCTATGCTATCGCTCGATGTGGTGAGTGTTGAGACCCCCTTCTTTCGCCAGACTTTGAAACCTTGTTACAAGTATATTTTCAATGAGGTTTTACTGAATATTGCAATTGTAGACAGCCTGGGGTACGAGAGACGGGGCAGACGCTGAAGATGCCTATCGGATGATCCGTTTCACTCGAAAACAGCAGGAAGTATGCTGTCTTAATAATCAAGGCACCGCTTCTTCGCCCGCACTCTACGAAAAATGCACTTTTCGCGCTTCGGCACCAGCACAAGCACAAGCACCCATGTGATACTTAATTTTAATCTGCGAACGGTTCACTACGACGTTACGACCCTATCGATACGCTTGCAATTAGCACGATTAGTTGCAAGCATTCATTTATGAGAGGATGAGGCGTTTGGGTCGTCAGTATGAAGCCCACTGTACGAACATCTAGACGGAACATGGAACGGAGCAGTTTCGGCGTTGGTTTCTTCTCAAATCAAAAGTCATTTAGCAAGGCATTTGGAGTCTGCTCCGCCAACGAACGTATGGTGAATGTTTTAATTCAAAATGATTGACGAACGATATCAAGCAAGTATAGATCAATGGTAATCAAGGGCCTTCTGCCACGTTTGGCATCGTCTCCTTTAGCGATGCGATTTCCCCCAACAGCACCCTTTTTGGTGTTCTTACTTACACCTACAGCTTAGATGATACATCCACCTGCTCGGGTATCACGTTAGTCACAGAAGGATAGCTGCTTGGTATATCTGACGAATGAATGAATGAATGACATTGGTTCGAGGCCAGACTTGGAAGTGCCGTCACGGTGTGGGGGGTTGCTATTACAAGCACTTTGGCTCTGTAGGACAACGAATGATATCGATACACGAAGATCGCGATGAGTTGTCTTAAAGCGTTGCGGATGTTCTTCTTTCCGCCAAAGACAGGTAATAGCTTAGACCCTCGTAGGGTCGCCGGTCTAGAATACTTACTTGAAGTGTCGTAGGAGATATTGGGTGCATGAAGAACGGACGTGGTTTGCTTTCCGCATGCACACCACAAGTCAACCGGTCAGCTTGTTTAGTCGACTCGCTTCGCCATTGTGGCTTTCCGCGGTCAGAAGCTTAACACGGCGTCTCCGTCGGGCAGCGTGTGGTTTGTTAGCCCGCCCACCCACACCAACCCAGAGGACGTGTACTACTCACGCACACACACAGATAGGTACCCATGCTTTCTCCACTCTGCACAAGAATCTAGCTTGCATTTCACCTTGGAGGTATGCAAGATGCATGAACCTTATTCTATTGATGTCGCTCAAGGGCAGACCCTCCTCTGCATCATTGGCCCACCACCAGCCACTCGATAATGAGGAAGCGGCAGGCACATCCTGCTTTTACACCCTGACAGAAGGACTCCAGACTCGGAAATAGAAATCCATCAAATCGTGAACCGCGGGTTCCCAACCCTGGCCCCCACCAGATCCTCTTCCCCACCGACTACCAATTCTAGGGTTCCCGAGCAGGCACACAACCATTGCCGATACACGCCTGCCCTCATGTACCTTTAGCACCATCTCTGCATACTTTCTATGTGCACAGGAGTAAACACACAACCAAGCCTGAGAAGGAGCAACTACCGCACACCAACCCTGCACAGGATCAATTAGCAGCCCGCTGAGCCGAGACTAGCTGTAGCAGCAGGTAGTGACTAAGGATCCTTGGCTGCACCAAATGATGTCGTGCATTGTACTTGAGTCAGGACTGCACCAAAGGATTACCTACCATTCTCGTCATGACTATTGCCTCAAAGTCAAACCTGGATGTTGTCTGGCAAAACGTCAGGAACGTATGGTCGGTGCGTTACTCTCTACTTAGCGGATGATCGTCAGAGGTGTTGCCGTAAAGATATGATGGGTACACGTATCAGACGCAAAAAACACGACAATGCACACTTGCCTGCTGGGACTACACAATGATGTTGGCATGTTGGGTGCTCTGTATGCGGCGTCCTCCTCAAGGTCCTCAATGCTAGCATCTCTCCCTTCGCGAGACAGCTAACGGGATGGTAGGGCGTCAAAGGCTTCGGCTCCACCACTGGACCCTGCACGAGCCCCTTTCACTGCTATCGCAAGGTAGCAACCGTCCCTTGAACCAACGGATCCAAACTCTATGGCGGAACTGGACCCTGTTCGCCTTTTATCCGACTATGAGGCTTGTTAGCCTGTGCCACATGCCTGGCCCAAGCGTTTTGATATCGGGAAAATTACCTCCAGTCGAAAGGTAGCTTCGAACGAATTACCACAACGGTCTGCAGCACGCCAAGCCCGATTTCTTCCTTGTCATGAATGCAACTGTCGAAAGGTTTATCCAGGCAAGAGTGCCAAATGCCGATTACCAGTGGGTCGTGCGGTGAGTGACATCAAGCCTGGTGTCCTTGCGCACTTGGTTTCAGAATATTTCGATGCCGCTAGTCCTTTCTGAAATACCGTCCTTTCGTTTCACTTCGTTGCCGTTTCCGTCATGCGAAGACCAAGAACGGCCATATTCGTACCCATAGCAAATCCTACTTCTGCAATTCTCCTATGCACTGCAGTAGCGAGCTCGTCCTAGACAGGATGGATTCAATGTATCATCACAGGTGTCTCAAGTGCTTCACCTGTTCTCAAACGTGAGCCTCTGAGCTAAGTCCTACGATGCATTTCAAGTTCTCAACACGTCCGACTGCAATCAACGCCGTCAAATTTTTCTTCTCATGAAACACATAACGAGACGATCTTGTTCGAGATCGATGTATAAGACTTGAAACAATACCATGCTGAAGTTTCCTCCTTGGTCAATATTGACGAAGCACAAAGCGCGTATCTAATCTAGAGAGACCACAGACACAGTGGTTCTGTATCAATTCGATTCCACCTCCCTCCTAGCCCCTGCAAGCGCCAAAACATCAACCCACCTTTCTGCCGCTGGTTTCTCCATTCCCCCATCTTTTCCCCAAGCCCAGTCCTCCCCTACCTTTCCCCACTCAATTAAGTCCTCCTCGTCCCCCCATTCTCCCATCGCCATTAACCCCACCGGCACCCTTCCTTTAACCCCCTCCGCCATCCCGACTGGAACACTAATAGCCGGACACCCTGTGAAATTCGCCAGCCACACGTACGTCATATTCCTCACACTAGTATTTGCATCGCTGACCCCGTACCCACCCTCTCCTAAGCCCTTGACTTCTTTCTCTGACCCTATGGTCCACCCCGCGATTGGCGTTGTGGGACTCACGATCAGTAATCCTGGATGCTGCTTGAATAAGTGGGCTAGATGTGTCATCAGCAGATCCCGCATCTTCTGCGCCAGCAGTAAGTCATGTGCGGGTGTTTGGCGCGCTACTGATAATAAGATTTTGTTAGGGGCGCTGAATTGTGATAGCGAGGGTGGAGCGGCGGCGCTGGCTTCAGTCAGTATAGTCATGGCGTGTGCAAGCTGGCCTTCGTGGAGATATGGGATGCTTATGTCGATCATGTCGTAGCCTTGGGTACGGTAGTGTGATAGGGCGTCGTCGCAAATTGTGAGGACCGCCGGGTCCGCAGCATCAAACCAAGGGCGGCAGATTCCTAGAACTTTGGGATTGGTGGTGAAGGAGGGTAGGGGGAAGGGCGGGAGAGGAGGAGCGAAGAGCACATTGACTCCATCATTGGGGTTAGGCGTGGCCATGATCCGGTAGCCGAGTTCGAGATCTTTCATCGACCCGGCCATCGGTCCTGCGACGCTAGTAGAGAAGGCGGCGGAGATGGTGGGGGAGCGGGATATGCGGCCGTGGGTCGGTTTGAGGCCGTAGATACCGCAGAAGGAGCTGGGGATGCGAATGCTGCCGCCGCCGTCAACGCCAAGGGTTAGGGGCAAGAGGTTGCTTGATACGGTGGTGGCAGAGGCGGAGGAGGAGCCACCGGGGTAGTAAGAGGGGTTCTGAGGGTTCATTGGGGTGCCGGTCAGAGGGTTGTTGCCGCACGTGTCTTCCCAAGAGCATTTGTGAGCTGAAAAGAACTTGCGAAGCGGGGAGGGAAGTTACCAAGCCCATACTCATGCATATTGAGTTTGCCGATAATGATGGCGCCAGCTTCTTCCCATTTGCGAACGCACCAAGATGTGCCGCCTTCTGGGCTTGTGAATCTCATCCTGGAGCCAAGGGCCTTTGAGTGGCCGTCAAGATCGACCTCATCTGCGTTTTTGTCACTGAGGGTACCGTCTTTCCTTAAAAAAGAATTCTGAATGTGCAATATGCAAACCATAAATACATGCTCAGTCGGACTCTGGAAGTCGTCGTGCTCGGCGAATTTCGAACAAAGACAGGCACGCGATCCTCATATCATGACAAAGGCTTGACGAAGACATCAAGTGGAATAATTTGCTTACCTTTCACGGCAACTGGCACGCCATCTAAAAGACTTCTGGCTTTACCCTCTTTGAATCGCTGTGCTGAGGCCTTGGCTGCGGTGAAGACATCATCTCTTTTGACCGAAACGAACGTGGCTTTGTGCGATGCCTTCTCGATCAGATCTAGTACGACTTCAACAACCTTGACTGGCGTTATTTCACCGCTTTGATAGGCAGCGTTGAAATGTTCGATTCTTGTACTAGGACTCCCACTATCTGCCCTGGAATACAGTATTTCGGATTGACAGAGGAGATCCGCGTCATTGGGCAATTGTGTGCCTTTCCGGATGACTGTGGGATCGTAGCGGGGCTCATACTTGATCAACTCGCCAAGTTGTCTCAAAACACCAAAACCAGCGTTACTCCAGAAGAAACTAGCTAAGGGAGTCACGTACACGACACTACCCTTTGTAAGTAACCATAGAGTCTATGGTCTTCAGAACGCACGCTGAGCTTGCAATGGCTAGGGGAATCCCGCTTAAGACCGGATTTGAACCAGTGGGACCTTTGTAAGTGGTTTTTGTTGCTTCAATTGGCTTTGGGTAGTTGATGAATCGCCTATCAGGTACTTCTCTTGACATTGTGAAAGATGAGAAGAGCTCAGCGCTGGGAAACGTGTCAAGGGTGGGAATATCAAAGAAACAGATTGGTCAACATCAACAAGAACTACGATACGGCTGGCTGAACATAGCAATCATTTAGAAGAAGTGTCTTACATAGCAAGAGATAGAGATTCGCAACTTACATACAGTACTGAGGAAATCCGAAACATGGCTGTCAGCGTACCAGCTTTAGCCAATCAAAAATTAGGACTAGGACTAGCCACAGCTAGAAGAGGTCACGCCTAGCTCGGATCTACCCCTAGGTCAGATTCTCTACATAAGTTTTATATTAGTACCGCAGTTCAGAGCATGCATACCCAGACCACCCCATAATCAAGAATCCGATCTAGTGGTAGATCCGAGCTAGGCGTGACCTCTTCTAGCGGAACTGGGCCGAGCGGAGCTCAAATTCCTGGAGGCGGAGAAATCGGTTGAGGAGATTCAATCGTCACGTTCACGATCGCCATTGTAAGATCATACTATGGCCAAACAAGTGCCGGTGCCATCTCTAGCTCTGCTGAGGAGCTTGAGGTCCGCTGAATTGCCGCGACAATGCTTGCGAGCGCCCGTTCAATCATGCGGAAGAGGTATGAAAATACGCACCCCCGAAGAAGATGTGGAACATAAGAAGTCTTTTCGTGCCCAGCTCTACGAATCGATGGCCGATCGTGTGAATAGGGAAAGAGCGGAGGAGACCAGGTATCGGGACAGTGAGCCCATGACAGCATTCGGGAAGAACTTCTCCATTGCCTTCACCACTGCTAGCATTGCCTTTCTGGCTTGGCTAGCAGGAGGCTCCATGCCTTACGAGAAGAACCTGAAGTCTACATTATCGGTCGACGAAGCCGAGCCGCTGTCTCGGACAAATTACAATACGCCAATCAACCTGCAGAATGCTTGGATTGATCTGTGCCTGATATTAGGAGAAGGGAACGTCAGTGAAGCAGAGGACGAGAGAATATCGCACTCAGGAAGCGACTGGAGCTCGTACGTCACTCAGAAAGACGAGCTGCCAAGCATCGTTGTATATCCGAGCACGACAGAGGATGTGAGCAAGATCATGAAGATGTGCCACCGCAGGTACTTGCCAGTGACAGCTTACTCGGGAGGGACTAGCCTCGAGGGGCATTTCGCTGCCACGAGGGGCGGCATATGCATCGATTTTTCAAAAATGGACAAGATACTACAGCTACACAAAGAGGATCTAGACGTTGAGGTACAGCCAGCCGTTGGTTGGGAGCAATTGAATGAAGAGCTTGGGCAGCATGGCCTTTTCTTCCCGCCTGATCCTGGTCCAGGTGCGATGATTGGTGGAATGGTTGGTACTGGCTGCTCTGGAACGAACGCATATCGGTATGGGACAATGAAAGAATGGGTCTTGAATTTGACGGTGGTGTTGGTCGATGGGACTATCATAAAAACTCGACGCAGGCCGCGGAAAAGTAGCGCCGGCTACGATCTTACTCGTACGTTCATTGGAAGCGAAGGGACGCTCGGGCTTGTTACTGAAGCGACACTGAAACTTACCGTCAAGCCCAAGAGCGAGAGTGTGGCGGTCATGTCTTTTGGCAGTATTCGCGATGCCGCAAAGTGTGTCTCGAAAGTGGTCGGGGAAGGTGTTCCAATAGCTGCGGTTGAACTTTTGGATGATAAACAAATGGAATGTATCAACGATGCTGGCTCGACAAGCCGTCAATGGAAGGTTGCGCCTACTCTGTTCTTCAAATTTGGAGGGACGCCGAACGCCGTGAAAGAGCAAATTGACATCGTCAAGAGACTCGCCAAGACGCAAGGCAGCAAAAGCTTCGATTTTGCGAAGAACAAGGACGAAGCAGATGAGCTATGGAGTGCGAGAAAGGAAGCTTTGTGGAGCGTCATGGCTAAGAGACGAGACGACAGTGACCATGTATGGACGACTGATGTTGCTGTACCAATCAGCCGGCTCCCTGATATCGTAGAAGAAACAAAGGCGGATATGACGAAGAACGGCATATTGGGCACAATAGTTGGTCATGTAGGTGATGGGAACTTCCACGGTAGGCTGAAGATTTTCGTCACTTCCTGCGCTCTCTGACCTGGTATAGCAATTATCTTGTTCAACGACAAGGAGCGAAAGACTGTTGAAGACGTTGTACATCGAATGGTAGACCGTGCGATCGAGATGGATGGTACAGCAACTGGAGAACATGGAGTAGGGATAGTCAAACGAGACCATCTGCCTCATGAGCTTGGCCAGTCAACAGTCGACGCCATGAGAAAGGTATGTTGCTCCACACCCTTTTCGATACTTTCAAACGACGTTGACTGGTGGATTTCTTATAGCTAAAGTGGGCGTTTGATCCTTTGTGCCTGCTGAATTGCGACAAGATATTTAGAGCAGAGAAGCCGAAGAAGGATAAAGCTAAGCAGTGGATGCAAGGCGACTCACTGTTGGCTAAGAGTACGGAGTGATGTCTTTGCAGAAAGTATAACACTTACAGCGCAGGGGAACGTGTTCGTCTGACCTGGCGAATGTACCTTTGATGCGGTATGCCTTCTTCGTCTAAAAGCTTGTGCAAATAGAGGTCTGGTTCGCGTCGAATCATCAGGCACTTGCAAGTACTGTTCTCGCACTCGGCTTCCTCGGAGCAACACTCTTCGGCCTGGGCTGTCACAGGACGGTCAAATGCTCTATCCAAATGCTTTCTTATGTCCCCTCGGACTCTGTGGGAATATGTGGTTTCCACACGAATAGACTATTGCTATCGGCTCTGGGGCTTCTGTTTTCGAGCCAGAAAGGCGTCGCATTCCTTGCGCAGATGACGGAAAAGTCCATTCCTAGAGCTGAATACTAGGAAACACTATCGACAGATATGCTGATATATAGTTGAATCTGGGGTAAGGGCATTAGCACCTAGAACGATGCTTTCCCCTTCTTGCTTGAAGTCACCCCGCTGGAGTGGGCCAGCCGTTGATATATTCAACTCGGTGACGCAGTCCCTTTTACTGCCAAGGTGTCTTATCCTTGGCTTCACCAGCCTTGTATTTTCGGAGACGCCTAAACTGACGTATTTGGCACATCCTGGCCACATATCAAAGCCATTATCATTGAGCACAGCTCCCGCACGATTGTCTATACTCTCAAATTCGACAGACACACATTTCAGTGGCACGCTAGAGTCAAGTTTGAGGATCTTGATGTCTCCCTGATTTGGGTTCCTTGCGGCAGTGTCATCTTTACACGAATCATTGCTTTCGATGTCGCTATGAAGGGTGATTCTCATTGTTCCGTCTGGTAGGTGTGCATATTTCAGAGGCTCTGGCCAATTCAAGAAAACCTTTGACTTCAAGTCTACTTGCGGCTGGGTCTGCCTTGCATATATCAACTCAGCACCCACAACGGTTTGGAGCTCTTCGCCGGTATCTTTGTGCTTCACTGGAATGTCGAATCTGAAGACCTCGGTAGTTTGGTTAGGAGGGAGAACCACGTTCTGAGAAAGCAACCTATGATAACCACAGACTCCAGTATCGAGGTTGGATGTGTGGATCTTGATGCCCACGCGGTGAGCTTGGATATCAAAATTACAGACCCACATTTCGATACTATATGTCTTCTTCACGAAAGCTTCAGTGTATTTGTCAGCTGGTGCTTCAGTGATGACACGCTTCATACCAACGGTGATAGGCTCCATCTCCCGCTTTATGGCGTAGTACGCCAATTTTGGTCTAAGATGATAATCTGCAATCGACCACGAGGTACAAGGCCAACAGTCATTTGTCTGCCAGACTAATGCACCGCTGCAGTACTCTCTTCCCGGCCCCTTCCATTGACGTTTCCAAAGTCTAAAGGCTGAGGCGATACAATCCGCCTGCATGACTTGAGTGCAGTACACGTAGCGATCGAGGGGCCTGAATCTATATCGAATATTCTCTGTCAGATATATTCCTAATCGACGATCATGGCCGGCGGCTTTATTGTGGAAAGATACAGTTGAAGACTCGGCATATCGATCCCGTTGGTCATTTTTGTTGAAAAATTCTTTCACTGTTCGCATATTCGGCAGTGCCTGCATCCCAAATTCGGATACAAAGCGGCCAGAGAGCTTGTCAAAGTCCTGATACTTTGCTTGGGAGCCATGCCACACATTCCACTGGTGGATGTCCCCGACCGTCGGGTCAGTACTTGATTGACCTCCCCATGGCGAGCCAGGATGATAATGTGTGTTGGGAGTGAGCTTCGACACAATCTTCGGCAAAATCTTTTCATAAATGTATCTTGCCGGAAAATCACTCTTCAACCAAGCATCTGGGTCAGTCTCTTTCTGATCATAAGCAAGCCCTTCTGATTCTGCATATTGGTAATCTTCATTGTTGCCAGACCACATAATGATTGACGGATGATGTCGCAGGCGCTTAACGTTGGCTACGGCTTCACGCTTGACGGTATCAATATACTCGGGATATACGGGATAATTACCACATGCAAACATGAAATCTTGCCAAACTAAAATGCCCATTTCATCGCATGCACTATAGAAAGCGTCATGCTCATAGACACCACCTCCCCAGACGCGAAGCATAGCTTGATTTCCATCTGCCATCATCTTCACCCAGTCTCGATATCTATCAGTATTGATGCGGGTGAGGAAGCTATCTGTTGGTATCCAATTACTTCCTCCGCAGAAAACCGCCATGTTGTTTATCTCAAAAGTGAAAGTAGTACCCTTTGCATCCTCAAGCCCTTGTTGCTTTATCCTTGCTCTTCGCAATCCGAACCTTTGGCTCTCCGTATCCTGTACAGAGCCATAGGCACACAGCGAAGCCTTCAGAGTATATAGTGGTTGCTGGCCATATCTCCGAGGATACCATAAATGCGGCTTTCGTGTCGTGAATGCGGCTTCTGCGTGCCCGTCTACTACCTTGACACTTTCTTTCCCAACGACATCTTGATCTAACGAGATTTCGAAAGTGACCACGCCTCCTTTGCCTTCAATATCGGCCATTGCTACTACTTCAGCAACGTCCAATGATTCACTTACTACTGACTTGAAATAAAGATCTGAAATCCTCATCTCATAGACCTCCAGGTCAATAGGCCGCCACGGTCCACAAGTCATTAGCTTAGGGCCCCAATCCCACCCCTTTTCCCATGGGTGTCAGTATTCAAGCCCACGATAGAAATCTCGGGCGGTCATACATAATGATACTGAGCCTTCCTGACTCCCAAACGACTCACATCCCCATTCCAGCAGCCCCAGGCATGCTCCGGATGCTCTCCCACAACCTTCTTTCCCTTCAGCCACGCATTCTCGAATACAATCTCCAGTTCATTTAGCCTACCTTCACCCCCCGAAGAAAGCATATTCGTAACATCGACTCTCTCTGGCACAAACATGTTGCTCGACTCTAGTATTCTCGTTCCATTGAGTTTGACAGTAGCATAAGTATCTAGCCCTTTGAAGACCAGGACTGCATTTTCGTTTTCGATGAGGGGCGGGGAGAGGAAACGTGTAGCATAGAGCCAGGACTTTTCGCCTACCCATTGAACTTGGTCCTCGTTCTTGCCGAGAAATGGGCTTGGGATTAAATTGTGATGATGTAAATCTAAGAAGACTTCTGTCGGAAAGCCTTGGGTTGGGAGGGGATGGAAATCTGGGTCGTCGGCTTGCTGGAAAGTCCAGTCTGTATTGAGAGGGATTGTACGTCTTGGTGCCATCCTGGCAATTATCTCTACGTATTATTGATTTGATATGTTTACAGATGAAAGCGCAAGTAGCATCGAATTATGCAATGCTCTAAGTCTCGTTGATTGCTGAGGGGAATGATGATCTGCAATTGTTAAAGTTGCTGATTTGGTGCCATTTAGCGTCTTCCCAAAGAATAAGTGCATTCAGTCGTGCTACGTACTTGACTTCGTCATGTCTCTAGGATGCCTGTTCCCCTTACGTGTACCCAAACTCTCAGAGCACCCGCTAGAACGCTCAAATCAAACGATGCGTCTCACTTTAACAACAGCCACCTCGTCGTTGTCCGTGAATTGCGTCCACTTTGAAGACTTGACCCCACTCTCTCATACCTGAGCCCCATGATGGCCCTTTTCCTCCGCCTTTCCGCCGTCTCTTGACAGACCCACCGTCTTCCGCTACTGTGCCTCGGCTTTTCACGCTGCCACCGTCGTCCCAGGACATGCTGTCGCCGTATTGAATGCCACTCATTGGATCGTCCGGATCAATTTCTCCGAGTTCAATTTTAGTCAAGATTATACTAGCTAGTCTTGAAAAGACGTCGTCCACTCCGTCACCTGTGAAGGCGCTCACCTCGACTGCTACTGGTATTGACGACTCAGAAGCCCATCGCGATGCTTCGCCGAGTGGTACTTCTCTTCCTTCCGATGCGACCGTACGCGTCTGTTGAGATCCGAGGCCGTACCTTATAGACGAGTGGCTTGATCCCAAACGATCATCTTCAGCTGCATTTGATGATAGTGAGGCGGACGTTGGGAGTGTGTGAAACGCATCGCCGTTTTGTGTAATGTTAGCCGTCAGGTCTACCTTGTTGCCAGCAAGAAGGACAGTCAGGTTTGGAGAGGCAAGGGCACGCGCATCGCTTAAGAACGTGGGTAATGCATCGAACGAGGTGTGAGAGGCTAGGTCATAGACCAAGACCGCACCCGCGGCCCCTCTATAATACGATCTCGATACAGATCTGAAGCGCTCAGTTCCAGCCGTGTCCCACAGTTGTAGCTTTATGCGTTTTCGCCGTGCACCAGTGCCGACCTTTACGATTTTGCTCGAGAATTCCACGCCTATTGTTTGGGAGCTTAGGACACGCCCTGAGACCTGTCAATCTAGTTCGCTATCGCTTGGGAAGTTTTGCGCAAACATTCGTTCTTCACCACGCGATGCAGCAGACAGGACCTGATCATCGATAAGCCCTCAGATCGCTGATAGGGCTCGAATGGCGTCGTACTTGCCACAGCCGCTAGGTCCGAGTAGAATCACCTTTGCCAGATAATCGTACATGCTCCCCAGCTCCTGCGCAGCGAATTTCGTCAGTCAGTCTTTGATGAAGCCCAGGCCAGTGGCGTACCTGGTCATCCCGCTCAAGCGTGGATGAATTGTTTGAGACATTGCTAGCACGGCGTTGTCGTGCCATAATTGGCCCACTAGGACACGGTAATAGAAGAGGTAAGGGCGAGAGGCCTTGATCAAGCACCCATGATTACATTCTGAGGCTGCGCAAAAAGTCCGCAAAAAGTCGCTGAACGGTAATATTCAGATGCAAGGCGATGCAGCGAGGCAGCCAAGCCTTTGGTGTCTGCACCCAATCAAATCGCCGTTTGTTTGGCTCCCGCAAAAAGCTCTCTCGGAAACTTTCCACCTCAATATCCGCTCAACTATCCCAATAACGTACTACAACTATCGGCACCTTGGAGCCTCGGACTGTTCCTGACCTTCCTGTGGCTGCAATTGAATGCGATTGAATGCAATTGATCGGTACTGACCGCTTCTCTCCATGTCGACCGCAGTGACGCCGCGGTTGATGCTCCGGCAAACCCGCTTTGTTGGACGACAGCCAACACGACGATACGCCTCCACGCAAGAAACAGCAAGCAATGCTACCTCAAAAGCAAAGGAGACCACATCTAATCTCCAATCCAAAGCTTCACAAGGCCTGTCGAAGGTCACTTCCTCCGCTGGACCCGCCATCAGCGGCGCTGCGGAATCTGCGAGCAAAGCAATAAGTGGAATTGGAGGCCGCACTGGAAGATTGATATCCTCTATACAATGTATGTTTGTAGGCTTCGTTTTGTGCGAACCAGAAAGACGGGTACAGGGGCCGGGCAAGACCACACCATCCAAATTCAGCCCCCTTCGTCCTTCGACATCCCATAAGCTCTTCGAACCTCATTCAGTCCATTGCTCCCACTCCGCAGCCTGTTATCTCAAAGAATGGATGCTGACCTGCTGTTTTCAGCTTTGGTACCTCCTACAATATACTACAGTAGAGTGGGCTTCGAAATGGCCAAAATCGTAGTTAGGGGGCAGAAATTATCTCCACCGTAAGCCGCAGGCTCCTTCTCAGCTGTATTTGATCATGATCGCTGACAACAAAAACCGCAGGAGTGTTTCAACGTTTCAGCAATACTTTCAGCCTATACTAAACACACTCAGAAACCCTTCCCTTCTCACCCAACGGCTTCAACCGGAAAATCTGCAACCGATACTGAATACAGTCCGCAATCTAAACAGGCAACAATGGGCTACATATGGCGTAATTGGGGCAGAGGTCCTAGGCTTCTTCACAATAGGAGAGATGATAGGTAGACGGAAGATCGTGGGTTATCAAGGAGATCCTCATAACAACCATTAGAGGATCGAGTGCTGTTGCGATCGACGCATTTATCCGAAAGGTAAGAAGAGAAGAGTTGTGGCCATGCATGTAAGTTGCGGCTGCGATGTCGTCTGCAAAAATCCTACTGTCTTAAAACCGCTAGATGTACAACATAACATAAGAAGAACAAGTTAAGACACGGAACTTTCTTAGTATTCATCTCGCTTTGATTTTGGCTGCTACAGTATATTTGAGAGTTGCTGTAAGATTGAACCGTCTCCAGGCTTTGCGTTTTCCTTCGTGCGATTTTCCTAGCACCAAAAATAGCTCTTCATATTTGATCGGAAAAGCGAGCAGCAATAACAAGGGCAAGGAATTGGGAGAAAGTGGGGAATCTAAGACATCATTGTAATTTTCGCACTTCCTTGAAATCGTGACTGACTTAGCCCAATTGGTGAAAATGTCGTGTCCTTTCTTTGCTAATCTTTCTCGCGTTCCAAAAGTTTTTTGCATTAGATGTGTCTTAAGGGCCAGGAGAAATGACTGAGCATCCGAAGGTCACGAAAATGTGTGGATCAGTACGTAGTGCGGCAAGTCATAGGAATATGCTTTCGAATATCTAATGGTCAAGTGTAGGTACAATGAATGGCAATTGTGGACAGTGAAACCAATGGCTCATCAATACCGAGCTCATTACCATCCTAAGTTGCGATTCACAATAAAAGTCAATACCACCAAAGAGCTTATCATGATGCTGCAAGAAGGGGTGTTGCATACCCTTGGATGCATTGCGAAAACACACCATCTATGCCTTCACCCAAACATCTAACCCAGTCTACTAATTTCTGAACCGTGTTACCGCCGTCCTCTATGTTTTCCACCAAGGTTTTTCACAAAGACGACGGAGCTTTCATCCGAATCGCTTTGTTGCCATAAAACTCTGGGGCGGCTTCGGCTCCTATGACCTGAGCGTGCTCTGCTCCGGGACCTGCTCAATCTACGGAACGCCGCCTCGTGACTGTCATCGCTATCGGTATCGTCGGCCCAGTGATTCTTTTTCGTCTTGGCCATCTTGATCTGCTTCGGCATCTTACCATGATGTTTCTTTGGCTTCATCTCAATCACCTTGGTCCGCTTGCGTCTGTCATGATTGCCGGGGTGATCGGAGTCACTATCGGAGTCGCTACTGGACATAATCTCAACGATCTGGTCGTCGCTATCATGATGCGCATGTTGCCCGAGTGGCATCTGCCGTTGTTGCCCTTGGTGTGGATGCATGGGCTGCCTTGGGCCGTACAGCTGCTGCATTTGCTGAGCTTGCTGCATCTGCTGCACACGTCGATGCTGATCGAACTGCAACTGTGTACGCTGGAAACGGTTTTGGGCTTCCCACTGGCGGAGATCCCACCGTTCTTGCTCATTGCGAGGTTGCTGATTCGGTGCTGATTTCTGGGCCAAGGCCCACTCGTCACTACGTCGATCGTGGTGATCCTTGACAAAATTCAAGCGCTTGCGTCGTGGTTCGTTCCAGGATTTTGGTCGACGCTCCTCCACGTCGACCTTGCCGACAAGGTGTGGAATTGGTAGACACATGGCCGATATCGGGTTGATGAGCACACTTGTGCCTGATCGGTCAGGCAGTACTGGCACAGGCCTCGTCCAACAGGCTAAGGTATATTGTGAGATGTCTTTCCCAATCTTTATATATATGAAAGGCAAAAACTAGGGTGTAAATACAAGACACGAATCATGCAAGAGGTAAATAGAGCGAGCGATATGTCCTTAAGAGAGTGCTACTAGCAGCTGCACCAGGCTCCAAGGCCACCATACTGAGCGGCAATGAGAGTACGGTGTGAATCATTTGCAGGGATCAAAGAGGCTGATGCTTTCTCGCCGCAAACCACTGCTTTATGCAGGACGTCTTTGACAAGCCTAGCCTTGTGATTAGGCTGCCAAACCCGCAAAATGTAGGATCAAAGCCTTTAGAGCATCGTCTGCAGGAGTAAGCCCAAAGATCCGCTTGACCGTATGGCTTTCCCGGTCATGCGTGCCGATTTGTAATTGATCAATGACAGGATTACCTGCAAGACACTCTGTATTGGCCGCATATCATGCAATGTTCGGACACAGGTTTCTGAGTACTGAGGCACGGACCGTGGCTGAGCAAGACAAGCCACCACTAAGGACCAAAGGGTTAGGTGAGGCAGATTTCCCTTCGCCTTTTCTTCAGTCCTGGATGTGAAAGCCTGCATTATCGTAGGAACTAGCCACAGCTATGGTCGACGCAGGTTGTTTCACCTGGGCGACTTCTTCCGAGAAGGACTGGGTGTGGCTATCCACAACGATCCACCATCTTGCTCGCGAGCCGAGGATAGCGGCATGCTTGTCAGAGCTTCGCGGGCACGCTTCACCTGGAGCAAATGATTTATCAACTGCCTCTCTTCTAAGCCGTTGCTCACTCTCTGTAATACCCTGGCGAGTGCTGCCGAATTTGAGATATCCTCTGAAGCGGCAGACACCTCAATTGCGAGACTTCAAGTGGGCCCGTAGGAGGGGAGTCCACTCTTCTGGGCAATCAGGGCAATGCTTCAGACCTTAAGCATTAGTTGAGAAAGGAGTAAGCAAGGAGATGGAGAAACGTCGACCTCTGGTTATTGACAAGCCCGGAATAACTTACTGTTGAACTAGCGGTGATTAGGGGTGAATTGCAGGCATGACGGGCTGTGCGCCTATCATACATCATACGGAGCCAATAAAGCCCCTAGCCCCCCTTGCTCATCCTCGAGTATTCCATAATCAACCAGCCCGTTCATTCAAAAGATTGAAAGATTATGCTACCTACATCTTCCAACGTTGATGCTGCTTACAGTGCATGAGGGGCCTGGAACATGGACCCGCTGTCAGATTATTCATCTTCAAGCTATTTGACATATTTGCCATATTGCACGGCTAATCTCTAGATCCCTCATGTGAAGATATAAAAGAAGGCATCGCCTAAGGCGATGCTTCCACTTTCATTAACAGCTTCGTGGCGCACATCTCCAGCATTGAGACTGCAAGTAGTAGCCAAGCATCTTTCCAGCACATCCAAGATCATGGCCCCAATAGCAACGCAATACGACTTTATCGTCATTGGTGGTGGTAGTGGCGGCAGCGGGGCAGCAAGAAGGGCCTCAGGTTGGTACGGAGCTAAGACCCTCCTTGTCGAGAATGGTCGCTCTGGTGGGACGTGCGTGAATGTGGGGTAAGCATCCCAGTGACTTGTTCTCGATTTGGCCTGGACGCTTGACTGACGGACATGAAAGGTGTGTGCCGAAGAAGATCACCTGGAACTTTGCCAGTGTGTCTGAGATGCTCAAAGATGGCGTTCACTACGGCTATGACATCCCTAAGGATATTAAATTTAATTTTGCCGAATTCAAAAGGAAGCGCGATGCCGATGTGAAGGGTCTTAATGGAGCCTATGAGCGCAATTGGAGCCGAGAGAATATTGACTTGGTGAGAGGAACGGCGACCTTCACAGGACAGAAAGAAATCGAAGTAGAGGTAGGCGAAGGTGAGAAAAGGATTTATACCGCCCCTCATATCCTCATTGCCACCGGTGGGAAACCAGTCCTGCCAAAAGGAATACCGGGCTCGGAACATGGCATTACCAGCGATGGATTTTTCGACATCGAGGACCTGCCAAAGAGGATGGCCTTTATCGGGGCTGGCTACATTGCTGTCGAATTGGCTGGTGTCATGGCTGCGATTGGCGTAGAGACGCATTTGTTCATCCGCGGCAACACGTTCCTGCGCAACTTTGATCCCATGGTTCAAAACACCATGACGAAGCGCTACGAAGATGCAGGCGTTATCATTCATAAGAGCCACCAAGGCTTTAAAGAGGTTATCCAGGTTCAAGATGGAAGGCCGGGGCAAAAGGTACTTAGGCTGATCGAGCAAGACGGCTCAGAGCTAGAAGTCAACGAACTTCTCTGGGCAATCGGTAGAGCTCCTGAAATCGAAAGGCTGAATCTGTCAAGCGTCGGCGTCGAGCTGAAGCAGAAAGGCCATGTTCAAGTTGATGAGTATCAGAATACCTCTGTGCTGGGTATCTACGCTTTGGGAGATGTTACTGGCCAGGCGGAACTTACACCTGTGGCCATAGCGGCCGGCCGCGCGCTTTCAAATCGGCTCTTCGGGGTCAATCACCCACGCGGAGGCCCTCATCTTGCCAACGCAAAGCTTGACTACACGAACATTCCGACCGTTGTATTCGCGCATCCGGAGGTGGGCACGATCGGCTTGACGGAACCACAGGCTGTAGAGAAGTTTGGCAAGGAGAATGTGAAAACCTACCATACCCGTTTTACGTCCATGTTCTATGATTTCCACCCTGCGGAGGAGAAGAAAATGAATCCAACAGAGTACAAGCTTATCTGCGAGGGGCCTGAAGAGAAAATCGTGGGCATGCATATACTTGGATTGGGTAGTAGTGAAATGATGCAGGGTTTTGGCGTGGCTGTGAAGATGGGAGCAAGGAAGAGAGACTTTGACTCTTGTGTGGCGATTCATCCTACAAGTGGAGAGGAATTGGTCACGCTCAAATGAGCCCTGATAGTATCTCAAAGATACACCCAAGAGGTCTTTGGGTAAGAAAAACCATCGGTACAGCAATTGTGTTTATATCGAATCTCTTCAGCAGCCTGACAAGCCATAGAGTTGTTTATGGAAAAGACAGTGCCATACATATTCATTCACTTCTCAGCGGCCGTTCCTGCAACTTATTAGTATTGAAGCTGCTATTCGCATTTATTTTAGCAGACTTCCTCACCAAGAAACATCGTTAGAAAACTATTCACATACTCTCGCTATCAAGTGGTATCTCATTGCAAACCGTTTCCATACATACAAATATTTACATCGCTCATGATACAAAAACCGTCGAGTCACTTCTCATCAATCATCATTTTCCGATTGTCGGACCTCCTTCCAAGGCTCTCCGACAATTCTTCGTTCTCCAGCTCCTTCGCACTTTTCCTTCCCTTCTCCAGCCTTTCAACCCCCATTTCGATATTCTCAATATGCATCCTCAGCGGAACAACCCCTTGGCCATCCAACAGCTCAACACCGCCCACCCTCTCCCTCAACTCTTCCAGTTCCGTGCCCATGCCCTGCAGTTTTACGAGCGTCCCACTGACATGTGCAATCGCATTTTGGCGATATGTATTAACTTGGTCCAACAATTTCAACTGAGAATCAAATTTCCCCAGCTTTCGTCTATTTCCACCAAGCATAGTCCATAGTTGCGAAAGCACCTCATCTTTCGATGCCTTTGCATGCAGGTCATCCCTTATAGCAATTCCGTGAATTACATCTAGCCGGTCCTCGAGGTTCTGTAGCAGCATCAGCAGTGCCTGCGCTTCTTCAATAAGCCTGAAGACCTCCTCCTCTACCTTGCGTGTATGCTGTATGTACTGATCAAGCAGCATGTCCTCGGTGAACTTGATCGGCTGGAATGGTTTCAGCACCTTGTCGCCAAAGAAACCTGCAATAGCACCCCTGCCAGCATCACGCTCCGCAATCCCATCAAGCACGCGTTTCGTCCAGCGAGCAGTAGCTAGAATGTTATCCACGCCACGTCCAACATGGGAGTTGAACCTCTGCAGGTCATAGCTTGCAATCCTTGCCGTCTCAATAAAGCCATCAAACTCCAGCCCTAACTCGTTTCGTGAGTGCAGCTGGCTAAACCGTACCACCTGCCTCAAATCTCGAATCCCAGTCTCCCCGCGCTTCATGTCTAGCGGCAGACTGACTCCGCCAGCAGCTTCTCGCAAGATTTCTTCGAATTTGTTCTGCACGCCCATCAATTCGTCGAATCGGACGGGAGGTGCGTCGTCTCCATCGTATTCGACTGGAAAAGAGGAGTGGCAGATGCCGAGATTGATAAAACGGACGCCTGGGACGCGGCAGATGGGAGAGAGCGCGGAGGAGACAGAATTGAATAGGAGGTTGCGCAGGAAAAGCAGGAGGCCAAACAGTACGTAGAGGGCTAGTAAAGCGGAAAGAGGGCCTTTGAGATATTGGAAGGCAGAGCCCATGATGTCGAACATCCATCTGAATATAGGTTGGAGGAAGTCGACGGCTAGGTCGAAGAGGTTTCCAGCACGATCTTGCAGCGTAAGTTGAGTGGGCCGTCTGCGAGGGAAACCATCGTCACGATACACTGGTGGTGGAGAATGCTTGCGCTTTGGTTTTGGTTGCTGTCGAAGTTCCTGCTGTGGCTTTTCGCCGTGAAACGAGCCATTCATGTTCCCATTCGGTCTTGATGGCATGATGAAGTCGGATTCCGTCGTACTGGATCTGGTATGCCTTGAAGATCCCTTACGAGGTGTTTCTGCTGGCTCTGCTGATCGTCGCGATTGCCGGATGAAGTCATCCTGTCTTGATCCTGACATAACAGGTGGAGGTGTATATTCATCATCTCCATCGCTTTCGACCACCCAGGAATCCGACACTAGTGGCTTGAGCTGTTTTCGAGCTGGAGTCCTCTCTCGTACCATGTTCGCGTAGGTAGAGTGATGACACCGAAATCTTTGGAGGATGATTATTCCAGACGTAGCAAATCTGCTTGCTCGATGGTTTCAGTTGAATGTGAATCTATCACTTGAAGCTCGCGTTCATCGGCAAAGAGATAGGCAGGAATCTCCTGATCATTCAGCAACGTATTGCTGGGACAATCATATAGCACGCGTTGTACCTCGGCGGTCGAGTGAGCGAGATACTCAGCAAGTCATGGTTACATGTAGGCGAGCAGGCTGTCCACTGTCACGCGGATTTGATTGTGTGTGTTGCCTCACAGATTCTCGGACGCCAAGAGTGACCAAACATATGACGTAGAAAACAAATCTAAAGCTCGCCATTGGCTGAAAGGCGAGGCGCGCTTTCGCGGAGGCAATAGGACCTCAAGCAATGGCTCCAGGGAGCTCAGGATCGAATTGTCCAAGGAACCTCCTCCCTCCTACATGAGGCTTCACTGGCTTCCAAGACCCTCTTCCTTTGCTCCTCCCTATTATCGGAGCCAAGTCTATGCTTCCTGGAAAACACGTCGCTGCTATTCCGATGAACAGGGAGGGAAGTCTTTGACGCTTGCTCGTCGACGCATTACAGAAGGTCAGATATCATTCACTCTTCAGCGCGCTGAAAAGGTGAAAGCTGTGATTGAGAAGAAAAGCAAGAAAAGCAAAGAAAGGTCCTCAAAGACGCCGCACAATGTGCAAGACCAAACTCGCAAACAGAAGACAGAACAGGCGCTTTGGTTCTCACACCCCTCGAGTCCTGGCTCACCCATTTTTACACCTGGTGGGACTTACGTCATTCAAAAGCTACAGGCCTTCCTTAGGGCTCAGTATGCAGAATACGGTTTCCAGGAAGTCATCACACCGCTGATGTACAAGCGATCCCTGTGGGAACAGTCTGGACACTGGGAAAATTACAAGGATGACATGTACAGCGTTCATAGTGGCAAACAATCATCTGACAAAAGCGGAGATAATACTTTTGGTCTCAAGCCTATGAACTGTCCAGGTCATTGCGTACTCTTTTCAAAACAACGTTGGAGTTATAATGATTTGCCAGTCCGCTATGCCGACTTCAGCCCCCTGCATAGGGACGAAGTCTCAGGAGCTCTCAGTGGGTTGACCAGAGTTCGCCGCTTTCATCAAGATGACGGACACATCTTTTGCAGACCGTCACAGATAGAAAATGAGATCGCTAGTTGTTTAAGCTTTACAGATACAGTGTATCGAACGCTTGGAATCGAGGACTATGAACTTGTATTGAGCACCAGGCCAGATAAAGATTTCATCGGCACACGAGAAGAATGGACTCAAGCTGAGAGACAGCTGAAAGACGCTCTTGACCGCTTTGGTAGACCGTGGAGGTACCAGAGAGGCGAGGGCGCTTTCTACGGTCCAAAAATAGATTTTATTGTCCTGGACTCCGTAGGCAAGAGTCACCAGATTGGGACCACACAGCTTGACTTCCAATTGCCCAAGCGTTTCGGCCTAAAGTACGCAGCACCCGCAAAGGTAGAAGGCAGTAGCGGGACCATGGCAGAGGATGGGATATCTTTCGAACCGGTCATGATTCATCGCGCCATCTTTGGCTCATTAGAGCGCTTCTTGGCCCTCTTCATCGATAAACATGACGGGCAATGGCCATTCTGGCTTAACCCCAACCCCGTCGCCGTCCTAACTGTGACTGACGATCAAGGCGTTCGTGAGATGGCTACTCGCGTTGCGCAGAACCTTAGGTATCCCATGAGCAAACGCCCTGATAGCGAGCTTGGAGATCCTTTCACCTTTGGACTTCCACTACCATTATCGGAGGCTGCGACATTCACTCCGGTTCATCTCAATACTAGCGATGAAACGCTGGGCAAGAAACTTGTCTTGACCAAGGACAAAGGAACTGGTCTCATTGTGATTATTGGGCAGAGGAATGTGAAAGACAACACAGTAGACGTCCAAGTCTCGGCGGTGTTGGAGCCAAAGAAAGTTTGGAGTGCTATTGAAGAGATTAAACCAGGCTCGCAGGCTCCTATCAAGAAAGATACAGGTACGGGCAAAGCCCGCGGCCAGCCCGGCGTGAAACTTTCCGTAGTTGAATTTCAAAAGCTTTCGAAGAATCTAGCAGATGCTTACATATAGAAATCTCTCAAGACTTCAAAATCTCTCCTCTATCCCCCCTTCAAACGTCGAGTGTTTGTTTAGAAATGCTTTTCTTTCTTGAAAGTTAGAGTCGCGAGTTACTCTGCTCCAGAACCTCACTTGACATGTCAGCGAAAGCGTCACAGAGGGATGATGGGGCAGCTGACCTTCAACTCGGCAATCTGCAATATGGCCTTTCCGAAGTTTTCGCCCTTTAGCATCCCGAGCAACCCACTCACCGCCTTGTCAATCCCAATGGTGACACTTTGCTGTGTTTTGAAACTACCGTCTGAAATCCACTTCGCCACATTCTTCTGGTGGTCCGCAGAGTAATTTGGTCCCATACCAGCATCACCAACAATGAAACCTTGCATTTTCAACCGCTTGCTAACAATAGCTGGCAAGTTCTTCACCCCGTACCGCTCTTCAGCGCTCGCAGCATTGTACTGTGAGATCATGCCACAGGCGACTGCGGGAAAATTCAGTCTGGCCTATAATTAACAAAAGAAGCAGGGAGATCTCACCTATCCTTCCATAGTTGTTCATTGCCATCAGAGCAGCGTCTAATTGCTCCCCACCAACGTTTTCATAGTAGATATCAATGCCTTTAGGTGCCAACCTTTTCAGCGCATCCGTGGCTGGTTCTTCCTTGTAGTTGAAACCAGCGTCGAATTGAAGATCTTTCGTGATGAAGTCCAGCTTCTCTTGTGAGCCAACACTTCCAATGACAGTCAACCCCTCGTGCTTCGCCAGCTGTCCAACTATTTGCCCGACTGCCCCGCTAGCGCTTGATATGAAAATAGTCTCCTCTCTCTTCGGCTCGCCGATTGCGTAGAATGAAGAGTATGCTGTCAAGCCGGGCATACCCAATGCACCCAGATAGAGTTTTGGATCAAGGTTGTAAGGATTATCAAGCTTTCGGATCATGGTGGACGCTTCCTGTGACGGAATAATAGAGAATTCCTCCGTGGACATCATGCCTGTGACGAGATCCCCGGGCTTGAACATCGAATTGGAGCTTTTCAGGACTTCTGCTACCCCAGAATTCGTAATTGGTTTACCCAGATCAAACGGCGGGGCATATGACTTAATCTCGGGCTTGCGCATCCGTCCTCGTTGGTAAGGGTCAAATGATACCTATGTGTTTCTTCAACCAGGAGGGGAAGACAATGGCGAAAGACGGGAACCAACGTAGTAATTCTTCGTTGTGACACCATTTTCTGGAGGCTCTGCATCTAGGTCGAAGCCTCGATCCTCGATCGCGAGGTGTTGCCCTTCAATGGGCCAGCCACTAGGGATTTCCTTGAAGATAGCGCCTTTGTTCTGAACCATGTTGTCGCGATCAGTGCGATTATTCGAGCAGACGGACGGGTTCAAGGGTATTGTAAGGACGGTTTGAATCGAAAGCAAGCTTCTTCGTGACTCCGCAGGGAACGAATCACAAATAAAGAGCACTAGATAAAGACCACGAATATTGAAATCGAGACAGTCGCATAACGATATGAGCGTGAAGGGAGGGTTTTAAGCATCAATTGATCACAAATACAGTCCGACACGTCATTGAAGTAGATCTTCTTGTCCCAGACTGCTTTGTAAATACACGCCGGAACCTGATCCGTTCCGAGCATGAGGCTGACGTGCTCCAACATGCCCAAGCACAAGCGTTCCAAGATAGAGGCTCGCGATGACTACCACCCCGCTTAAAGGCAGCTCTAGGTGGGTTTTGAGAAGATTAGAAATCGACTCATGGAGAGCAAAAACTCTACGTGAGTGTTGGCTTACGAATAAAGCAGGCGGAGAATAATTCTACACTCGAGGACTCACGGGACTGGCTGGGTGCCAGCCTCGGCACGGGCGCCGAGTTTCTCCGTCTCCTGGATCACAACGTCATCTTGTCTCGTGTAGTCAACCACTAGCGAAGCCATTGAGCTTCAACAATGTCAGAGAAACAATATCAGCCCATCCCAGGCGATCTTCCACCCTCCTATGATGCCGCATCCGCAGACACAAAGAAGTCGCCACCGAAAGCGCCACTTCTCCGCGCCCCTCTTCCTCTCAATCTTCCTCTGATCTCCTCACTCAAAGACAAAAGGGTAATCCTCGCCTCAGCCTCGCCGAGGCGAAAACAGCTTCTTGCTCAGGTACGGTGCATTATCTTTGCAGCCTTTGCGCCACCCATCATCTCTATTAGACAAGCTATTGACCAAGAGCGTGATTTAGATAGGTTTCTCAAAGATAGAAATCCTCCCCTCCACCCTCCCCGAAAACCTCCCCAAGTCCCTCTCCCCTTTCGAGTATGTCTTAGCCACCGCGCGCCAAAAGGCCCTAAATGTCTACACCGCCGCCCTCTCCTCCGAGCGCGAGCTCGGCGCCCCTGCTCTGGTCATCGCCGCCGACACAGTCGTCGTGAGCAATGGCGGCCAGGTGCTCGAGAAACCAAGGAGTGAGGGCGATCACATCGCTATGTTGAAGCGGCTTCGGAATTCCGTGTATCATAAAGTCTACACGGGCGTGGTAGCGGTTGCGCCCCTAGCAAGTTGTCGAGATCCGGGCTATTCGTTGGAAACTACGGTAGAGGAAACGACGGTGCGGCTTGGGCGTGATATTGGGGATGACATGTTGATGGCTTATGTGAGGACGAGGGAGGGGGCAGACAAGGCGGGCGGATATGGGATTCAGGGGATTGGGGCCATTTTGGTCGACAGGATAGAAGGCAGCTATGATAATGTGGTCGGATTGCCGTTGAGAGCGACGTTGGGGCTGGTCGAGAAGGTTTTGAGGGCTGCGGAAGAGGATGACTTGGAGGATGAGTTTGTAGCGGACGGGGAAGATGGTTAATTGGCTCTGTGGCCGAAATAGCCGAAATAGTGCGAATGATATCAGAAGTGCAATTTCGGGCATTATCAATAGTAATGTAAAAGCATATAGACGTTGAATACAACAAAGGTTTGCATTCAAGGCCCCTACCACAGCTACCTGGTCTTCGCTGGCTCTTTCACATATGCAACTGGACAGATCAAATGCACTTCTTCAACCCCTATAGAAATTTGCTGACAGACTATAATCTTCTTAGAGGATAGAGGAGGTAGTGTTAGCAACACTGAAGAATAGAAGAGTTTTGACAAATCCCCGTATCTCTCTAAACACAGTCTTAATGGTTTTGAGATTCTTCGTTATCGTTATATACATGCTTTAAAACGAGGGTTTCAAAGGTCGCTTCCTCGGGCATCAAGCCTTTAGATACATGCTATTGCACTCTCTTGTTTTTGTAGTTTCCTTCAATACAGCCCTGAGCCATCTTGTGTACCTTAAATCATGTCGCTTGTGGGTATCACTGTAAATGCGAAGTTCCATGCAGCGCTCAACGAATGGAGTGAAATGCAACTTTGCCGCAGCAGCCCTGCCTTGTATTACAGACTTTGGCTTGTTGAAAATAGCATGCCAGCATCATGAGCAGACCGAGGAAGGTTGATAATTTTGTAAATTAGGAAAAACCCCAGCCCCTAGAAGTCGAAAAAGATCCCACTCAGGAGACCCTTCAGTTTTGAAATTCCAAAAGAAATAGCCGTTAGCTCGCTGAGTGTAAACATCAAGCTGTGCCGTGATGTATCGTTGCGTATCTTTTTTAAGCTGATCGTCCCACTGGTCGATGTAATTTATGTTGCCGCAGCTTCTACCCGTAGATCCTTGACTCGTGATATAATTGCCTTCATAACGAGAGCCAACGCCGTAGCCGTTCAGAGCAGCCGCACAATCAGTCATGGCAGCGGACCATTCACCGACGATATGCCAATGGTTCACATTCGATACGTAGGTATCTGCGTTAGAACAAACGTAACCAACGTGTTCCTAAAAGTACATCAGTCAAAAGCTCGAGTCATTAAGCTTCATTTCACCCACATCATGCGACCATAGAACTTGAGTGTCATTGAAGACTTGATATTCGTGATGATCAATGACAACGCCTTGCCCATCGGGAGGGGTCAAGATATCATGCCAGAAGGAGCCTGGTTGGAAAGCGTCATGGAGGACGGCGGGTGTGTCGCTGACTGATCGAACAACCCCGTAGGTATCCTTGTAGTATTGCACAACCGGGTCTGTGCCACCTTCGATTTTTGTCGGCAGAGGCTCATTGAGAAGTTCGATGCCGACGACAACGTCCTGATACTCTTGCTTTGCGTACTTGTTCGCGATCAGCTGAAGGACAGCTCGCGTATACGCGATGTTACTGCCATCACCCCAGTCGACAGTTCCGTTGTGACCAGAGTTATCATACCCATTTTGTGATCCAGGTGCACCATGCAAGTCCACCACAACTTTCAATTTGGTTGCCCTCGCCCAACCGATCGCTTGATCAAGGTAATCGGCAGCACCTTCAACGTAGGGATCGCCGTCAAACTTTTTGAACGCCCAATCTACAAGAATCAGCTTGAGAGTATTCGTGTGAGACTATGATTCCAAAAAGCCTACATCCAATTGGTATCCGAACAGCGTTGAAGCCTGCATTATAGATCTTCTGGAAATCATCTTGAGTTGCCCATTCTTGCCAATGCTTTTGCAATATGCTTTTGGCTTGATCCGGATGGTTCTTGCATAGTGTATACTCATCAACAGTGTCATGCCCTTGGAATTGCTGGAAAATACTAGGCGTAATCCATCTGCCTGATGTTTAGCTACAGGTCCACCAAAAACTTATTTAGAGCTCTCACGGTTCTAGCACAAGCCACCCTCCGATATTGACCCCTTTAACGGTGTCTTGCCCCCACTTGAAATCAACACTTCGCGGCTTCAAAGGCGAGCTAGACCAATTAGCCTCGTAGAACAATGTCTTTGCACGTACCCATACCTAGCAACAGAGCCCAATAAGAGAGCGGTTAGGGTAGCTGGAAGCTTCATCATGCGGTGGAGTGTAGCGTGAAAAGGGCAAGAGGACAATAATAAAGAGGAGATTGAGCAGGAGAATCAAGGAATGTGATGACTTTTTGCGGAGTTCCACGTTTGGTGTCTCGATACGCGCTCCAAACTGAATGGTGCTGCCAGAGCAAAGGAAATCGATTCAGAGGGTATGCAAGGAACATAGGAGGACAGGCGGACGAGTGGTCAATAGAGTGAGACAAAGCATGGAACATTAATCGTGCATCATGGCGAGGCGCATACGAGAAAGGAGAAGTATTTGAGGAGATTCGGGCAAGAGTGGGGAAGGGATGCATTTCCCCTTCTGGTGTCCACGTGAGAGCATCAAGACACCAATACTATACTTGCTGTCATACGTGGCGACACCCAAAGCCCCGAAACCTGTCCAGAGGTCCCAAGGTCCCACGAAAGGGGCAAAAAGAACAAAGCTAGGACAGCAAACAGGGGCAACATGAGTGACGATTGATGATGCTGAACGTCAGGTGCTAAGAAAATCCGAAAATGCGGAGTCAGATGGCTATTAGTGCCTTATGCAAGATCCTTCATGAGTGGTGCCCGCCGGACGGAAGGCTTGTTAAGCAGCTTGTTAGCGACAACTTAAATCCCCCAGGGCCTTATGCGACGCAAGCCGAGGGTGTGACCCCCTAAAGCAGGCCGAATCAACTGCCGCTGAGGGGGTTGAAAGGGGGTGCTCACGATTGCCTAAGAGCATTTCTATTTATAGCAAAATCAATACTCAATGTTCCCTATTAACACGAGCATGCTGGCACATGTTGATGCATGCACATCGCAACAGGTCGATCTCTGCACGCTCCGACAAGACCAATGACGCCTTCGCTCAAGCAATATGCAACTGCGCGCAAGATCTTGTGCATGTGCTAATTGCACGCAAGCTAGCACCAGACTCAGATCATACCCATCCACCATCCTCAAAATTTCTACATTACCTCATGGATATCCTGTAGCTTAATGATCGACTTTTGTCGTTCATTCCTCAACACTCGATAGTAGTGATCACAGAAATCGGAGCATCCCATTGATGCCAAGAACTCCTCATCGTGCGTGATGATGATCAACTGGAAATTGGCTTGATGCCGGCGTGTCTGAATAAGATCATGTAGAGATCGTGCCAGCGCGTGAATATTGTCGCGGTCCAGATTCGTCGTCGGCTCGTCCAGTGTGATGAGCCCACAATTGACTCCAAAGCATTCGGCCAAGGCCAATCGGATGATGATGCTAGCCAACACCTTCTGCCCTGCGCTGCAACGACCTCGCATATCCATCTCCGCGTCTTGCTTTACCATACACACTCGGTAGTTGTACGATCGATTGCCCTTGGCGGATTCGTTGTCAGAACGGATCAAGATAGTGTCGACATCAGTGCCTTGATATGTCTTCTTCCAAAGCTCTTCAATGATACGATTAATTTCCTCCATTTTGATGCTGTGATACTTCATGATGGCTCTGAGCACAAATCAGCGTTGAGCTTGTAAGAAATTCTACACCTCACTTATCCAAAGCCCCTCCATATCGTCCGAGATCTTCGATTGCTGCTTTTGTAGTCTGCGGTAATGATCAGTCTATGCTGGAATAACGCCTGAGGGAGCATCGAAATTACCTCTACTTCGATATGTGCCTTCTTGTACTTGAAAGCCGCATCTCTAAAATCGGTCTGCCAATCTGCAATCAGCTTTGCCAGTTGATTGTCCTTCTCCTTTGCTTGACCTAGTTTGCCGGTCTTTTCGGTACTGTACTTGTTGAAGAGATTTTGCCATTTGTTAGCTTCATTCTGCCAATGATCCCGATCAGCCTCTGCGTTCTGAGCTTCTAGATCTGAGATTTCTTTCTGAAGAGTTTCCAGTTCTCGGAGACTATCACGGTACTCGAGGTTGTCTTGGATGATTCGTTTAACTTCTTCATGCCCTCTCATCTCTTCCGTGATCTTATTGATAGACTTTATCACGTCCTTCTGATCGTCCTCGGTCTGACGTATCTCTTGTCGAAGCGAGTCCATCTCTCTCGCACACCTCGCAAGATTGCCTGAGCCTCCCTCCTCTGCGAATTTGCGAATGATGTCCTCGGCCTTTTCAAGTGTGTGAAGACTGCCGGTCAGCTCAGATGACTCTGTTCGAAGATTGTTCTCCTTTTGATAACCTCTGGATTTCTTATCGTCAAGTTGATCTTGGGCAGCTTCCACCTGGGGCAAGATTTCTTGCATGTTTGCATCAACCTGCCGTATCCTGTCTCGTTGCGTCTGATTCAAGACGCTCAATTCCTCGATTTGTTTTTGTTTATGATCCTTTTCCTTGAGATCATGATTAGATTCCGCGATATCACTCTTCGCGTCCCTTAGTTGAAGCTCGAGAGAGCTGATGTTTGAGCGCGCGTTCTCCTTCTCAAGAGCAAGCTTGTCCTTTGCTTTCGCCAGGTGCCTTAACCCGTCATTTGTGCTATCAAGCTGATCCCGAATCTCATCAGGGGTCCTGGGAAGTCTCGTCTCACGTTGCTTTCTCTCCAGACACTGAACCTGACTCGATAGATTCGTAGCCTCTTCGTAATATCTTGCGATGTTTGCTACAGGCTTCGCGAGTGTGTCAACATCGGCACTTGCCTGCTCGTGCTCATTAACAGTAGCGTCATGGTCTTCGAGCTTGCGGATCACAGCATTTCTCCTCGAAGAGAGCTCCTTCATGTTGTCCTCCAGCTTCGGTATCTCACCTTTGGCCAGTCTATTCCATGTCTCATAGCTGATACCAGCATTCTTGGCCTGGAGAAGCTTCTTTTCCACCCTTTCTAGGTCCTTTTTGGCCTCAGTCAAGTCTTCATTCTCTTTCCCAACTTTCTCCTTCAGAAAGTCTACAAATTCGGCTTCTTCTTTCCGTTGGAACGGCCTAGTGCAAAGCTTGCACTTGTGTCTAGTCTCGGCCCGTTCAATCGCTTTCTTCCAATATTCTCTCTCGTGGCCAAAGCCTTCTAAATCAGACTTGATGATGTCACGGCCCGATTCGATGTCTGCGAGCTCAGCGTGATATTGTTCAGGCTCAACTTCTACGTCGAGGCGGATTCGTTTCTCACAAGCAGCGCTCTCCTGTTTCCCTTTCTCAAAGGTCTTCTGCAGAATGCTGAGCTCAAGGTCAATCTGCTCCAGTTCTTTTGAGGCCAGGGCGCGTTGGCGTTCAGCATTTATTAATGACTGGGTCCTATCGTTCAAAACCTTGTCGAATTTCGATTCTAATGTCGAGTGGTGCCACCCGTCGTGCAGCAGTATGTTCAATTTCCCCTTGTGGACGTTTGTGAGCCGATCGAGATTACGCTGGCGGTCAGCTTGTTCTTTTTTGACGTGCTCGAGTTCAGCCAAATTACCAGCTTGTTTAGTGCTTTCAATCAGCTCGTCATTGAGCTGCTTAGCTTTGTCCATCAGATCTCTTATATCCTTGTCATGCTTCTGGAATGCTAGGTCTCTTGACGCTGTCCGAGACTCATTGCGTACGCCTTCAAGGCTAGCTTCAAGTTCCTCCATCTTCGAGTCAAGGATGGCAATCTCGCCTTCGTCAACAGCCATGTTAGAGAGTTCGGACCGGTAGGCTTTGAGCTTTTGGTCGTTCTGCGAGATTTGCTGCTTTGATGCCCTGTGGTCTGCGTTTAAAGTTGACTTCTGATCATTGAGCTTGTTCAGAGACTCTTGCGCTTCTCTCACGTCTGATTCTGTTTCATTCCGAGCTTTCTCTACGGCTACCTGTCGTTCTTTGCATAGCTTACGCATCTTCGCCAAGAATTCTGCGATCTTGGTGTCATTTAGGTTGGTCTCGTAGCCCCGCACGTTATACTGCCGTGACAAATGCTGTACGCGGGTTTTTCGCAATTCGAGCTGCTCTTCATGCGTTGACTTCTGCTGCTCGTAACGGCCGAGTTCACTCTGTTTACGACCGAGCTTATTGCGGTAATCGTCAATTGCCTTCTCAAGGTCTCCATATTGTTCCTTCTGTTGTCTCTGGTGTTCCTGCCTAGTTTTGGCTCGTTGCTCAAAATCCGCAATCTCTGACCGAAGCCATTCATCCGACTCATTTCGCTCCTTAAGATTCTTTTTCAACTTGTTGACGTTAGATTGATGAAAAGAATGCTTTTGTTTGCCTAGATCCAAAGAGTCAACAACATTTTTAAAATTGTAAAATTCGTCCGTTGCTTCCTTAGTCTTCTCTCGGGCGTCCTGCGCCTTCTCATTCAACTCCCCGATCTCTTTACGGAGTATCTTGAGCTGGTCATCTAGATCTCTGGAATTTTTCTCTGCCTAGTGATATTCTAGTAGACTCATTGAAGAAGGGCTAAGGTTGAATGACTTACCTTGTCACCTTGCATCTTGACTTCTTTAGCAGTCTGTTCGTCCTTCACAAGCAAACGAAGTTTGTCTCCTTGGGTTTTGCGGAGCGCTTTGATGTTGTCTATTGCTTTGGTATACTTCAAAGCTTCGAAGATCTCATCGAATCTCTTTTTGAGGTGTGAAGGTTCGCTCATTGGCCAGAGGCTCTCGTCTTGATGGCAAAAGATGACAGATTCAAGTATAGCCTTTGAGACCCCGAGGTTTTCTGGCATGAGCAAGTCTAGTTCAGCGACTCGTGAGGACATTGATGTCCGTTCTCCATCTTTGTTCATTAACAAAGAGCCTTCCAGCGTCTTCACAGTTCGACTTGTCTTCTTGACCGTGAGCAGCATGCTGCGGTTCACTACCATTCTAGACTGGCTAGTACTGCTAAACATCATCCTTACCTGAGCCATGACTTCCTTTTCGCCACATAGCTAGGCCTACGTAAGCGATTCATCTCATATCTTTGCAACGGGCCTACCTTTGGGTCATGGATGAATGCACCACCCTTGCTGTTCGGCGGCAAATCACCGGTGGTGGCATATTTCAGACACTCGATGATGGTCTAAGATTGATTAGAAACAAAAAAAAAACAAAAAAAGAAGATTTCAATGCTGACAGTCTTGCCTGAACCATTCAGACCGACGATTAAGGTCAGTGGCGTCTGGAACTTGATAGTCTCGCTCTTGATGTTGTCGAAAGAACGGACTCTTGATAGACTTGATTAGCAACGGCCTCTCAAATTAGGATTCTATGCCTACCCCAAGATGGAGAGTTTCTCGAGTTTAGCTGGAAGGACTGGGTTTAGCAGCGGCCTACAAGCACGTTGGCTATCAAACTTACACCTAGAGCTTTTCATTAGCATATATTCCCCATGTGCCATAAAAATACATACATTTCGATCGACCTAAGTTTGCCAACCTATTGTAGGGGAGAGGTGGAAAGGGAGAGAGAGGTGAGGAGAGCTCTGAGACTTTTATAGCCACATTAGAACGAAGAGTGTCAGGCTAATGCCACTTCACGCCATGTACCGCATTTGTGTGTTGAATGGCATTGCAAACATAAGGTTACGTCTATTAAATGAGTACGCGATCAAAACTCTAATTGAGCGCGTTAGGGCTGGACTAAGCCGCTTCCTCTGCCTGCGGCTTTTTGCGGACTTTTATTCCGCCAAAGCCACTCCTGGTTGAACATCTGGTCGCATAAGAAATGCGATCAGCCCCGATGCCCACCTGCCGCCATGTCAATGTTCGAGAGCGGCCAAGGCGGCCTTCAGCCTCATCTAGGATCCCAAGTAAGCAATTCCGAGATCGATCGTCGATGCTTGTTAGCCTGACCGCCGACGCAGATGGATAGGATGGGAGGAGAGACGGCGATGCCGGATATGTTAGACCAGGGAGGGGACATTATGGATGGCCTAGATGTGGATATGTTGCCAATGCACTTGGATCTCAACCTTGATCCTCCCAGCCAGGGAATGAGTAACCACGAAGGCCAGCATAACAACCAGCAATCGCAACAGATAGAGAATGAGAATCATGATACATCAGGTGTCGGCGCACACATGTCGGGCGCCGGGGCAGGGCCCCTACCCACCGGTTTCGGCACTCAGACAAATGTCACTGGAGGAAGCACTCTGACAGATTTCACAAAGCGAAGAAATTGGTCACAGCGCGTATTGGAAGAGATGAAAGATTTCCTGCATATCTTGACTCCTGATGCCCGAATTCTCTATGTTTCACCATCGAGCAAGTCTCTCACCGGTTATGAACAAAACGAGCTGGTTGGGAAATTCATAATCGATTTTATTCACGTGGATGACAGCGGGATATTCGTTCGGGAATTCAATGAGAGCATAGCTTCAGGCAACCCACTGCGCTTTTTCTATAGATTTCGCAAGGCAGACGGAAGCTATACCATTTTCGAATCTCATGGTCATCCTCATCTAAGTTCTGACGCACAAGCTTTCGGGGTCAATAACGCCGCCGGTTTCTGCAGAGGGTTCTTTATGATGGCAAGGCCATATCCGACCAAGAATGCGAGCCTCTTGGACTCCTTCCTAGAGCATAAGATCGAAAACGAGCGACTGACCAAGCGCATAGCAGATCTGCGCCGTGAAGAACAAGACGAATTAGAAGCGCAGCAGAGGCATTACCAAAAGCATCAGGATGGGCATGGCAGCGTCACACCTTCCCAAACGCAGACCACAGAAAGTGGCACTCCAGGCTCTGCATCAATGACGTCCACTCAATCTAATGATTATAATGGCATGCCGCCACCTGCAAAACCTAGTGCTTCAAACACTGCGCTCACTCAACAGAACTTGGACGAAGCAAACGCAAGCTCCAAACCCGACAGTATAAACGATAAAATGGCACGATATGAGGGCGCCACTCACATAGAGACAATTGAAATGCTTACGGGGTTGCGTTACCGCGACGGCGAACGCTCGCAGGGTATCAGTACTGGAGACGCAAGCCCAGCTTTGATTAGAGGTGACGCAGGAATTGCAATCCCCATGGATAAGGACAATCGCTTGGGAGACAAGAAGAAGAAGCTCAAGGTAGCCGATGAATATGTCTGCACTGATTGCGGAACCCTCGATTCTCCGGAGTGGAGGAAAGGCCCTACGGGTCCGAAGACGTTATGCAATGCGTGTGGGCGTAAGTCACCCAAATTTCTTTCATAGAGTCTAAGACTAATGCTGCGCTTCACAGTCCGGTGGGCCAAGAAAGAGAAAAAGGAGCGAACAGCCCCGAAGCCTGGACAACCGCCATCTCTGCCCCGCGGCATTAGCAGCGGGAGCTGATGTTGCACATCCACAACTCATATCTTGACCTTACTTTTTACAGGCGTTCGATCTGGCGCCATAATACTACTCTCTGATGATAGGGCAGGTGTCGGCGTTACTGGCGCTCAATAATTCGGAAAAGTCATGGAGAGCAATTCGAGAGCCCCCGAATTGATAGCGTCTTTGAGTCTTGCTTCTGCTCTGGCTCTAAGATCGATCGGAAAGTGCGGCCTCTCTGCGTCGAACAAAGGCGCGCTTGCTCTGTTGCTCAGGGATGGTACTGCTTTTGAGGACTCATTGTTGTCAACTTGTGGACTTGTTCGAAATTGCGAACATAGACCGATCAGCCGAATTTATCGTGTTTTCCCTTAACTCTGACATCTAGAATCGCTTCGTGGAAATCACCTTGCATCCTCGCCTTCTTGAGTCGTCGAACTTCATCGTCTTCCAGATGTCGCCCTACCGCTCCTTCCAACTCCTTACGACTGATCCTCTCCTTCACCTTCTGCTCCTTGTGCGCTTTGTTCTTTGGCTTAAACCTCGCCTGCATCCGTATTCGCAGCGTGGATTTGAAAGATACAGATTCGGTGTCACCTCGGACCTCTAGGCCTTTCACTTCATCCAACGCGTTGAGGAATGTGTCTCTGACGGTCTGAACACTGAAGGCGCAGGGCACCTTGGGAGATGGGATGCAGCGAAAGGATTCCTCAGGAGAAATGGCTTCGCGATTTGCTGAGAGACTTCCAGTCTCGTCACAGCTTAGATATCTGTACATTGTCAAGATTTCATAGCCCAGAAAAGGCATCGAGTTTGAGTACCGGCCGTGATGCCCTTTGAAGCTAAACTCTTCTGTCCCTGCCACCTTGCTCGCGATCCAAACCTGGCGCACATCGTGGGGTTCTGCACTATTGGGATCCCCTTCGACAAGATTTTCCAATTCGCTGGTGAAAACCTTTCCATTGGCATCACACGCGATGCAGTATGGCGGGGAAGAAGGTAAAACGAAGATGATGGGACCACTGACGTCTGTCGCAGCTTCGGCACTCACCCAACCATCCGCTTCTGGGACATCGATTTGATGACTAGGCATCGCCAGTGCCTTTACGTCTGCTGGGTCATTGCGTGTTTCAGTTGAAGGAGCTTTGCGCTTCCTTGATTTCTTCTCGCCCTTGAATAATAATGGCTTTACCATGCTTCGGAGAATTCAATTTCTCCGAGATCTTGACGATGAAATCTACCTTACGGCGGACGAATTTATATCATCACCCAAGGCATTTAATCTCGGCCCGCACCGCAGAAAAGAGTCTTGGCCTGGAACCGATCCTTAGCCTAGAGGTAATAATGTACGGTGAACTACACAGGTATTTTGTTCTATATGGTCCGGCCTTGAATCTTTGCTCGCTCAGACAATCGTGTAGGCGAGGATGACAGAAAGAGATAGTGCTGCTCTTTCTGCAAGTGCCCATCTGCCTGCAGATGATGCCACTAGCATAGATGTGCACACAAGACAGGCTGTTACAGTCAGCCTAGCAGATCTAAAGAAATGTCTGATATTCATTTCTACTTCATTCACACAACTGAGCTAGTGATATAGCCACGGTCAGTCTCGATACTCTTGAAGCAGCATTTGGCCCATCCTCGCTTGGCATCTTGGTCGTAAAAGACCTACCAGCGAATTTTGTCAACCTTCGCGAACGCGTCCTTTCATCTGCGTCTTACCTCGCTAATCTTCCGACTGCTGAACTCGGTAAGTCCTATTGGTCATGCCATTGATGTTAGGCGATTTCTTTTATCCAAGTCTTGCAAAGTTGCCTCGTTTGCTTAAAGGTGAAAAATAGATCAACTTACCGACGCCTCCTCTAGCTATCTCAGCGGCTGGAGTCATGGCAAGGAGGCTTTGAAGACTGGTCAGTACGATACATTGAAAGGCTCCTTCTACGTGAACTGTGCTTTCTATAGTGGACATGACCTTAACCAGCAGCCACAAACATCGGCCAGAAATCATGCAGGGATGCTCGCGCCAAACTTGTGGCCCGCGGAGGAATCCCTACCGGGCTTCAAAAGCGCATTGGAAGACTTGTGTGGCTTGATCGTTGATACGGCTATACTAGTTGCTCAAACATGTGACCGCTATGCCAGAACTTGTGTTCACGATTATAAACCCAATCATCTTGAGAACGTCGTGAAGAACTCTATCACCACGAAGGCTCGTCTGCTCCATTATTTTCCCCCGAAAACGTCTACAACCTCGAACGAGGTCTTAGGTGACCATGGATCGTTAGCTGAATCATTAGCTGATGACTCCTGGTGCGCAACACACATCGATCACGGCTGTCTCACAGGTCTGACATCGGCAATGTACATCGATGAGGCAGCACACTCGCCCTGTCCCCGTGTTGAGCAAGGAAAGGGAAGCCTTTCCCCACTGCCACCACTTGCAGGTCCACCCTCATCTTCGACAGGCTTATACATTCGCGGACGTGAGGGTCAGGTTGTGAAAGTATCGATCCCCTTAGACTGTCTTGCATTTCAGACTGGCGAGGCGTTGGAAGTTATCACGCAAGGGAGGCTCAAAGCCGTGCCGCACTTTGTAAAAGCAGAGAGGAATAGCCCAGGTGGCATGAGTGTTGCAAGAAACACGCTTGCTATTTTCACGCAGCCTAACTTAGACGAGATGATTGACAGTGCAACTGGGCAGACATTCGGAGATCTATGTAAAGAAGTTATGCAAAGATTTCGATGAAAGCCAGCGAAACGGAATCAATCTAGCTGATGAGGGGTAATTGGAAGACTCTGTTCCATGGAACATTCATGAAGATGCCCTTTAATTTAATGTATGAATAAATCAAGTTAACTCAATGCATATTCTCGTTGTGATTAGCCTTACGACAAAAGAGTCTATTGTCATCAATTCGTACCCATTCAATGACGGCTCTGCACCCCAGTTGCGAGGGTCGTTCATTGAATGTTGTGCTAGCAAACGGTGCCGTGACTTGGACGACGATGTAATTTCGAGTCCATTTCTCGACCTTTTGTCCCCCCTAGCATCTCAGTGACCTTGGACAGTAGATGGCAGATTGATGGAAGGTACGTCGAGCTCAGCAGTACTCATTGTTGACACCAGATTTGGATGTGCTATTTGCTGCTCCGATTGCTGGTGTGTCATTTGCGAGATGCTGCTCGCACCAAGGCTGCCGAGCAGTTGAGCCTGGTCTACAGAAATTACTTGTGGAGGGCCAGATACTGAGCTTCGTAGTTCCTGCAGACCAAGAGCGGGAGTCAGTCCTCGTTCGGCCAATTCTTTCAACCACTGCTCCCACTCTGCATCCGTAGTCACCGCTTCGCCCCTTGCCCTCGCCGCTGCATTTGCTTCGGCACTAGCCCTCAGCCTCTCATTCAGTGACAAGCCAACACTTTGTTGCAACTCGTCCTCACTATCGTCTCCGGACGTAGGCTCTTCTTCGGTCATGTAAGTCTCATCTTCACTGACGTCTTCCATGTCTTCGTCCTCCTCGTCTTGCTTTATATGTGGGTTCAGATGGTGCACACCTCCAAGGCTTTGCAGATCATCAACGATCGTGACAGTAGCCTGAGGAGGCGGTTGGTAAGGATGAACCCCCTCCCACGTAGTATTAGGTATTCTCATGTTGTTCTCTCTTTCAAACTCATCCTTGGCCCATTTAGTGCCAACCCAGTTACAGAGGTGGTAGATTTCGCTCTCTGTTAATCTAAGCTCATCAAAGGCCTTGAAAAGCTGTCTATGGGCGTGAAAGTGTATGAGGCGGAGCCGATGAGCGGGTTTGGCATAGTCGAGACCAGGATATAAATATTCATGGTCCTCAGTCGGACCGCAGAAGCGTTGGCTCTCTAATCTGACTTCTGGAACAATGTATTTGTCAATATATCGACGCCAGTCAATGTCGCGAAGTTCGGCCTTCGGGGTGATCAGTCGCGCCAGCACCAGCTTCGAAATCTCAGGCTTCCGCATGATACCCCTGAAATCGATTTGACTCTCGTCCCCAGGGAGGGTTCGAGTCGTCAGGCCCGAGGGTCAACTCCTGAGCCGACAAGACCGAAGGCTATAGCTTGTGTATCATATGGTAGGTTTGTCAAGGTAGATAGATGTAAATACTCGCAACAGGCGATCCGAGAGTTACCAGTCTTGATCGTGCATCAATCCTTGAATACGCTTTCCGAGGCTGGGGATCGGGGTTCGATCGGAGGAAGGAAAATGACGAGATGGCTTGTTGACAGTTGATGGCAAGAGATAGTAGCCTACTCCCCATGCATTGGTTTCATGATGACTGTGTCAAAGAAGCTCGGGGTCTTGTAGAATTTGACTGGGTTGTAATGAAAATGTTCACACAATGTTCTGGGGGTGTGAGATCATGTGGGCGGGACAGAGTGAAAAACGGCAGCTAGAAACCCAAACGGGGGGCTTGCTCAGGGTTGCCTGTAAGCCTTGAACTAAGTACCTTAACCATAGAATAGGGTAGTTTACTGGTATGACTCGGACACTACGGACGAACCTTCTCTCCTACTATCATATACTTGAGTACTACAGGGCATTTAGACATTTCATGACACTGCACAGGGGAACAAAAAGAGAACACATCTTCAAGAACTAAGGATGATAAAAGGTACTACGAGGCTAGCTTTGATTGTACGGGCCAGACGGGACAACCCTAATGCCCCAACGATAGTCTAAAGACACAGTCAATCAACACATACCTGATGCTGTCTTCAAGCGATTCGTGGCATGACGCGAACGGTAGTGTGGCTTACCCTCTACAGCTGCAACAAAACACACTCTCGGAGACATCGAAATTAGAAATTCCGGTCTCAGCACGTCGTGACATACTATTCACACTTTGTAACAATAATAGAATTCCGATGTCAGTATGTGGGTACAATGACTACTTTGGCACATTGTATAACCGCAGAATGTTGGAGAGGAGCAAAATATTCGGTCGAGATTTATCCTTTGAATCGTTCCTCGCACATCCGATTCAACTCCTGCTCCGGGATTTCATCTTGATGCCGCCATTCTTAGCCTGTTTTGAAATCTCAGTAGCACCATGTCTACATTTGATGGCTATATGGAAGAATTTCCTGAAATTTCGATCGACTTTTTCAAGCCTCTTCCTGGTAAAAAGCCCCCACTGGCATGCTTCCTAAGCCACGCCCACAAAGACCACATGCGAGGGCTTGAGTCCTTCAAATCTCCGTTCATATACTGCTCGCCTGCTACACAAAATGTAGGATAACTCGAGCGCAGTTCATGCGGAGATGTAGACTAAACCCTTGTTAGTTACTTCTGAACCTCGAGACACGTGCAGATCGGCAGAACGCCTTTGATGGCATCCTCGAATGCAGAGTCAAGACATACAAACATTTGCGAAAGGTAGTCAAAACTATTCCCGTCGATATTCCAACCACAATTGAGCTTAGGCACGGCTACTCGATCAGGGTCACTTTGCTCGATGCCAATCATTGCGTAGGTGCTGTTATGTTCCTCATCCAAGATGTGTCTAAGACTGTCCTATACACTGGTGATATCAGATCTGAGCCATGGTGGGTCGAAACACTCACACGTCATCCTGTCATCATTCCCTATGCACATGGCTTAAAGACTATCGACAGGATCTACCTGGACACTACGTTCGCGACCAAAGACGAAAAGTATCGTCAATTCCCGTCTAAAGCGGGAGGTATTGCAGAGCTCCTTGAGAAGGTCTTCAGCTATCCTGCAGACACAGTATTCCACTTTCTGGCGTGGACGTTTGGCTACGAGGACGTCTGGCGTGCACTCAGTCATGCCCTAAATTCGCAGGTCTGTCAGAGTTGGCCTCTCAGCCTTGTACATAGGTCTGATTTGAAGCAGATACATCTGGATGAATACCGGTATAATCTATATCAGTCTCTTGCTTTCAAGAATGCCAATGCAAAGTCCAGTTCGAAATTGTGTCCGGACTCAAGCCATAATTTGAATCCATGTCACGAGAGCCCGGCACTTTCAGGCTTCAGTGTAGGTCACCATTCTCAAGAGGGTTGTCTTACCAAAAATGCATCGGTGCGCCTCCATTCTTGCGAGCTCGGGACGAAATGCGGCGCACTAGAGTCTCCTAACACTGTTTTCATACGCCCTATAGTGAGTCGTGATGTGAAGGGCCATATTCTAATAGAGCCTGGCGCTATGAGTGGCGGGAGAGATCCCACTGATGAAGTTGGAGCCGAATCAGCATTGCGAGATCGTAGCGAACAATCTTTGACAGGGACTTGTGTCCCAAACTCCGCCTATACGATTTCCAAGGGGGCGAATCTCAACAGCTCCATGAAGTTTCACCAGATTATCAATGAACAAGCGGATGGGACTGTAGTGAATCTAGGGGGGAGACAACGAGATGTGCAATAAAGGATGCTGAAGCTGGCGATGACGGCCCAAAAATCATAGTACGTAAGAGAACATAGTTCTGTCAATCATATAACTAATGATACTCTATAGAGGTTCCCATACTCTCGCCACTCATCGTATGCTGAACTCTGTCACCTCCTTGAAGTCCTTCGACCGCTCGATGTGTACCCGTGTACCGCGGATGAAAGAAGCTGGTCACAAGGAATGACCATGCAAAGTCTTTTCGGTCAATATTGCCAGCATGATATTCTGGCTTATGACGAGGAGATGAAAAACCGCCAACAGGAAGAATTAAAGACTGCGATAGATGTAGAACAATATATCGTTGATCCTGGCCGCTTACAATCGTCTGAACTGAGAGCTCATACAATTATCCAATCCTGGTCGATGGATAAGGATGGTCAAAGTCTCGCGAAGGCTAGTCATGTCAGATTGCCTAGCAGCCATGACAGCCCAACAGACTATACCCATCATAACCACCAGACAGCTCCAACGAATGTAGAACACATACTTATAGAACTATTCGAATCTTCATCCAGAGCTGTGGAAGTCCCAACCAACTTGCACGTGGAGGCAATTCGTAGCAATTTTCTTGATCGCTTTAGGGTACTATCAGCGGATAGGCAAAAACTACCCCAGAGAGCTACGAGGCCCCAACGAACCAGCATTGGAAGTCGAGAGCAAAGCAGGTTAGAGAGATTTGTCGATGGCCAGCAAACACAGTCCCAGCGCGGAACAGCAACAAGCACGCCCAGAAGATATCTACCTTCAGGCGACAAATCTAGCAATCGGTCGGACGACACGATAAGTGAGATTGCCCAAAATGTAGGGACGTGCGATTCTCTGAGTGACGCAGCGTTTGGTTCACAGACATCAGGATCTTCGGTTGAGGTTCGAAGGAAGAGGAAGCGGAGGAGAACAGTCTATGGGAGCGCGAGTGAGATACTTACTACGAGTAATGTGGAGTTTGGGATTATGTCTGCAGGCGAATTCCATCAAGAGGACGATGACGAGTTGTAAGGTGAGTCAGTCACCACGTACATTGACCTCCATAGGTATGAGATTCCGAAACACGGTACGCCCACACGGTGAGATGATTTCAAGAGTCGTCAGTAGAGACAGAGAACACATTTACATCAAGACCGCGAAGACCAAAAATAAGACATAATATACTCCCCGCATTCCCGCTGAAGTAGCAAGACTGCCCGAGCTCGTACTTTTACATCTAGATAGCAATTGAGGCATAGATCAGCATGAAGCTCTCCTGGGCAATTGGCGTTTGGCTACTGGTATCCTCACAAGATAATGCACAATCTCAAGGCAGTATCAATGATGTTTTACAGCTCTCCAGAGACAATGTTGTGAAGCATTGTTGCATGCCCGGCCATACATTTCGAAGAAATAAGAAATGTTTCCGAGCTGACCTAAGCAGCAAGTCATTGATGTTTCCGATAAGACTTTACAGCCTTTGTCATTCTTTCACGCTTTGATCTAACTGACCAAGACGATGCAACTTCAGTCATTCAAAAGACGTAATACCCCTGGGTCAGCGGCAGCTGCATTGCTGGTTCTGCCTTGCACACCATAGTATCCGCCTCCACGATCTAGAGAGGGAACTTAGCATATGTTGAGGCCGAAACAGAAAGCGGAAATGCGGCCGTCACTTACGTATGTTTCAGCGTTGACTTTCATCTTTGGCATGGCATCATTAAACTTCATGTCCAGCTTACTGATTTTCCTACAGTTTTTCACTGCTTCAACTCTCTTTTTCAGATTGTACGATGCTATTGTCCCTGTGGTGATTGATGCATTTGATACAAATGTGAGGGACGTAGAGGGTACGAGGGTCTATGGACATTAGTAATCAGTAATTTGAGGAAGGCTTGACAGCATTTCGGTGGACTTACTGCAAACATTGGACGCATGACGATTGGTTCTACGGTCGGTATAGAAGCATTTGGGTCACCCTACAGGGTGTCAGGAGGGTAAGCGGCTCAGCGTGATTAGGCACACGTACCATTTGCATATGCGAGATCATGCCGCCTTTAACAACCATAGTAGGCTTGGTGCCGAAATTTGCTGGTGTCCAGAGGACTAGGTCTGCCAGCTTTCCGACCTCAACACTGCCGATCACATGGCTCATACCTTGGGCAATTGCCGGATTGATGGTGTACTTGCTGACATATCGCTTGACCCTGAAATTATCGGCCCCTGTTCCTTCATCTTCCTTCAGCTGACCGCGCTGCAATTTGTTCTTGTGAGCAGTATTCCAAGTTCGCAGGATCACTTCACCGCATCGGCCCATGGCCTGTGAATCGGAAGACATCATACTGATAGCACCTAAATCATGCAGGACGTCTTCCGCTGCAATCGTCTCTGCCCGAATTCGAGACTCGGCAAAGGCCACATCTTCAGGTATGCCCTTCGATAGGTGGTGGCATACCATCAGCATGTCCAAATGCTCATCAAGGGTGTTGTGTGTGTATGGCCGTGTAGGATTAGTGCTGCTTGGAAGCACGTTCTTGTGTTCGACAACAGAAATGATGTCTGGGGCATGACCACCTCCCGCACCCTCTGTATGATATGTGTGGATCGTCCTGTCCTTGAAAGCCTGGATAGTCTGCTCTACGAAACCAGACTCGTTCAAGGTGTCGGTGTGGATGAGGCACTGAACATCATGCTCGTCACAAACATCAAGGCAAGTGTCAATGGCCGCAGGAGTGCTGCCCCAATCTTCATGTAACTTGAGACCGGCGGCGCCAGCTACGCATTGTTCTTGCAGAGCTTGGTGGCCACTGTCATTGCCCTTGCCAGTAATCCCAAAATTGACTGGCAACTCATCACAAGCCTTGAGCATTTGCTTGATGTGCAATTTTCCTGGTGTGCACGTTGTTGCACTCGTGCCAGCGCTCGGTCCAGTGCCTCCTCCGAGCATGGTAGTAACGCCAGAGGCCACAGCCTCATGAGCCTGCTGAGGACAGATGAAGTGTATATGCGTGTCGAGCCCACCAGCGGTTATGATTTTACCTTCCCCTGCAATTACGTCGGTACACGAGCCAACAATCATTGCAGCATCAACTCCGTCCATCACATCTGGATTTCCGGCCTTTCCAATGCCCACAATGATGCCATGCTTGATCCCTATATCGGCTTTAAGAATGCCCGTCCAGTCAATTACCAGGGCATTGGTGATAACCGTGTCAAGAGTATCGGCATCCGTACGACCACTAGCCTGGCCCATTCCTTCTCGTAGCGTCTTCCCCCCACCAAATTTGCATTCGTCGCCGTGCAAGATGAGATCCTTTTCGACCATGACCCATAGATCTGTAGCTCCTAACCTGACGAGATCCCCAACTGTAGGACCAAACATTCCGCAATATGCCTCACGAGTCATAGTGTAAGGGTCGAGTGAATCAAGTTCTGCATCTGGCTCGTCCTTGTGCGCGAAATTTGCATTTTCGATTGTCCGGAGAATGGCATCTTTCTTTGACATGTCTACGATACCAGGAGCAATGCAATTTCCGCCAGAAATGATCCTCTTGCCCCCAATCTCAACGCAAGTTACCGTCTTTGTGTCACCCGGTTCAAAGCGAATTGACGTCCCCGCCGGTATGTCAAGTGTGTATCCGTAGGCTTTGATCCGGTCAAACTCGAGCTGTGGATTTGCTTCAACGAGATGATAATGGGAACCAACCTGAATGTATTAGAAGTAGCCAGAAGCCAAAGGGGAGGATTCTTAGTAGACACCTGTATTGGCCTATCCCCTTTGCTAACGACTTTCAGGCGAATCCTCTTGCGTCCTTCAAGTAATACGATCCTACCATCCTTAACGGTGATCACAGCACCAGGCAATTCCGAGCAGTCTTGCTCCGAGGCATCAGGTAGCGTGAATAGATCCTCTGACGGAACAGGTAGGAAACTGCCGTACAGAGCCCTTTCAATATTTCCATCGTCCGAACTGACGGGATTGTGGACAGTCACTAGATACGTCCCAGAAGGAAAAGTTCCTTCAACCATCAGCTCAGAGAGGCTGGACACGACGGACGGGAGGACATGACGGCGTCCAAGCATGGTCTTTCCCAAGGACATAAGGTCCGCAACCGAATGACTTCCATCACGTATGAGCTGTTTGACGTTGGCTCTGAGCTCAGGGTCCGCAGGGAAGCATGATCTTTACTTCTTGTAAGTTGCTAGCAATCAAAGCCTAACAGGATCCATTAGCAAAGCCCATCACACATGTTACGCAGCACATTATGTGAGCGTACGGTAGCTTCCGCATGGTTCAGCTTGACACCTCTGGCAAGCCGTCGCTGCGCAAGAAACCCCAACTGGGAGGTGACGAGCTTATCAAGCTGCAAAGGAAGTCATTGTCAGTTTCGGCTGACGTCTACGAAAGTTGAGATCGTATACCTCCTTAGGTACGAGTTGCATTTCCAGATGCAGTAAGAGCGATGTGATGTATGCAAAATGTGCGAGAGCGTTTTCGAGCGACGGCACACGATGTGGGGTAGGAGATCCTTCCCCACCTCCCGCATGGCTAAGCAGTTATGGCTTCTGATAAGGCTAGATAGCCATGCTTGCTTTGATAGAGCAAGGTAAATATCAGCCCGCGGTTTACACCCACCTTATGCCTGGAGACGCTAGGTCCGAGACAAGGCTCAAGAGCACTGCCGTCTAGAATGAGGCCTTTACGGAAGAAAGGGTCGCGAATTTGATATCGCATAAGGCGATAAGAGGAAGGCAAACATTGCAAAGCTAAATCAATATCTCGATTTATAGAACCAGGGCATTCAATTACATACATAGGAGATCAGCTTCAAAGCATACACATTTACTGAAGGGAAAGCTCCGAGCTGGTGCGACATAAGGATTGAAAGCTCATATGGACACCCGCACAACCAAGCTTGTTCCTTAAGGGTATACTTTTTCCGTCCCAACCACTTGGATACAATGATGACGGTTAGGACTTAGGAGTCTGTGGCAGTGCTCTTCCGCTGCTTCTTCTTCTTCGACTTTTCCTCCGTCTTGGGGGGTGGTGCTGCAAGCTCAGCAGCTGCTTTCTTGGACTCAGCAGCTTCGGTCGCTTTGCTTCCTCTCTTACCGGGCTTCTTCTTCTCCGGACCTCTCAGGGCAGGATCGAGTACGGGCTCAGGCTCCGGAGCCGCTGCCTTCCTTTTGGCGGCTTCTTTCCCTACCTTCTGTTTCTTAGTGGCAGGTGGCGGCGATGGCTCCTTGAGAGGCTCGGACTCTTCGTCTGATGAACTGTCTTCTGAGGTCTCCGTATTTTCTTCGGCGACCGGCGCGTGCTGTGTTTCGATGTTTGTCGTATCCGGGATCTTACCAGTCTGCTTGTTTTGGAGATAAAGCCTCTTGGCCTCGGCTTCATCTATTTCCGGTAGTGGCAGGCCCGCCTTGTACGCCTTCATGAGCTCTTTATAACGCGCGAAATTAATGCCATATTGCTCGTTCCATTTCTTTAGCATTGACGTTAGCGACCAGGTAACACGTGAGCAGCTGAGCATTACCTCTTTCTCATTTTCGGGCATCTCGCGCCATCTTTTGCCTCCTTCATCCTGAACTTCCTTGGCTGTGTGCCCTGAGCCCATCTCATCTGCAATCATTGGGCGAGCGGTCTGAAGGAAGAGGAAGAACGGGGTCAGCGCGCGTTTAGGCGCGTTCTTGTCATGAGGAGCCCGCTTTCTTTTCTTTGGCTCCTGGGCTGTCTCAATGATAGGCGCAGGCGTAGGGCCCGGAGCACCAAAAATGCCATTGTCGCCACCGATGGGGTTCGGAATGTAGGCGGCAGCACCCGAGCCTCCTCTGCCGATGAGATTGTCGGTATGTGCGAGGTAGGAACGCGAAAGATCGGATATCGCAGACTGCAAGGTAGAGAGCCCGGCTACAACCTAGAACACTGCCGTCAGAATGAATTATGTGAGAGCGCAAAGTCGAATAGACAACGTAGCAGGTAAAGACGTCAATTACGCGTCAGAGAGTGCTGATGATTGAAGGATTAATCAATCGCGTTCGTGGAGGTCTGGTGTAAACATTGAAAGCGATGACCCAAGCGCGCAGTTTGTTGACATGGCGCGATCGGGCAGGGGGGAGAAGTGTAGTTTGGGCGCACGGCGGGGACTTACAGTGTTCCTGGTCTCAAGAAAGTCGTGGATGGTAATTTTGTCATCAGGCTTCTTGTTAGGCGCCATAGTCGACGATGGATATCGACCGCTGGGCGATGTAAATAGCGGTGAAAGCGGGAGGGATGGGGCAGCGTGAGGGTGAAGGTTGAAGGTTCTAGGAGCCAGATTGGGGGCGGTGGCCTCTTAAAGGTGAATGGGGGGGGGGCTGTACGGAGTAGAGAGCCTAGCGCTGCAGGGGCCGGCTTTGCAGGACGCCGAGGGCGCGCTGGGAGATTAGCGCCAAATCTGCGACTAAGACTTTTCCTGCCTGCCTAGAGTCTAATGGATGCGGCCGGAAAGGCTTATGGATGGGAGGCTTCTAGACCACATAACCTGGTGGTGGGGGTCAAGGCGCTTAAATGTTCCCTATTACTTAGGGACTCAATAGGAAGGCATCTGCTTCCGAGGCATCGCGATTTGTCGTCGGGTATTGACCTAGGCAGGACTTTGTGGTCTTGAAGTCTATACCCCTATCCTAGATACTAGATTAGATATTTTCAGCCTTGGAGTGGGATTCTATCTATAAAATATTTTCTTATATAATTAATATAAAATACCTATACTTTGTCTTTATAACCTATATATATTACTTAACTATATTTATAATAAGTTTAGAATAAGTTTTTTATTATTAAGGTTTACTAAAGAAAAAAGAAACTAATATTAAGAAAATAAACTACTTATATATAAGTACTAGCGCCTATTAGCTCCGCTAATCCTAAGCGCTAGGTAACTAATATATATACTTTAGTTAAATTTTTTATAATATCCCCCTTTAAGTAATTACTATTTTTAAAGTAATTAAAATCAAATTCTTTACTAAGTATTATATATAGTTATAAAAACTTATTTAGTATTATATATAGAGTAGTAATATTTAGATTCTCTAAAATTAATATATTTTAATTATATAATTTATATTTATTTTCTTTTATAATTAGTTATTAATTTTTAATAAAATATAATATTTTAAAAAAAATTTTACTACTTTATATATATAGATATTTTTTATATTAAATAAAATAAAAGAAGTTTTTAAAAGTAAGTATAATATAGATTAAAACTTTTAAAAGAATTTTTAAATAAATATAAGCTTAGAAACTATTTAATCTAAGTAAAAATAAGTTAAATATAATTCTAAAAAAGATATTAGCTCCTAAAAGAGAGTATATATAAATATAAATAATAATATAAATATATATAGCTTAGAGAATAGTAAAATAATAAGTAAACTTATTATAATAGTTTTTAAATACTTTTTAAAAAAAGTAATAATAAAGTTATAATAACTTAGAATAATATTATTAATATATTTAAATTACTTAGATAATTATTATTATTATTAAAATAATAGTTTACTATTAAGTTAATATTATATATAATTTAATACTTTTTATTAATATAGCTTAAAAACTTTTTGTAATAAATATTAATTATAGTTTTTAAACTACTTTATTTTAAGTTATTAAGCTTTTTTTATTTAATAAAATATTAAATTATATTACTATATTTAATATAATTAGAAGCTAGCTTAATAGATATAAAACTATATTATAATATAAATAGAACTATATCTTAGAAAGTAGCTTTTACTATACTTAGAAAATCTAAGCTTCTTATAACCTACTTAAGGAATATCTAGACTATATTAATAGTAATAAGAATTAAATACTTTTTTAATATAATAATATTTTTTATTATTATTATTAATCTTAGATAATAGAAAAGATAATTATTAACTTAATAAATATAATAAATCTATATAAAATATATTATAATAAGTTTATATAGTTAAAAACTTAAACTTATATATATATAAATTAACTTTTTTAATAATTTTAAATAGTTTATTAAACTTCTTATTAAGTTTTTTATTAGGATATTAGATAATTAAAATATTATTCTTTATTTAATAATTAAAGATATAAGTATACTTAGTATTTATATACTTTACTTAATATATTTAGGCCTAAGTTATATAAGTTATTTAATAGCTATTAATTATATTTATTTAATTATAAGTTTTATTTAGTTTTATATTTTTATTAATTATAAATAGTTTTAAGCTAGTTTAAGAATATTAGCTTTTATTTATAAATTAAAAAGTATATTAAATAAAGTTAAAATACTTATTATTTTTAATAAATTCTATAAAAGATAGTTATTTATTTTAATTATATTAAAAGTAAATATAAAATATATAAAAATAATATTCTAAATCTTAGTTTATATACTTTATTATATTACTAGTTTATAAATAGAAAGTAGTACTAAGTTTAATATTAATATTTAATTATTAATATATTTTATCTTAAAACTTAGAAATAAATAATTTTAAGGGATTATAGTTCTTAATAATAAGTTTTAAAATAATTATAATAGTTCTAGCAAGGCTTATATATATATAATTGCTTCGGAGCGGGCGCTAGCCTAGTTAGGCTTAGTATTATATATATATTTATTACTTTTATCTTATTAATTCTTAGTATAGTTAGAATTTTATTATTTTTCTAAATCTCCTTTTAAGACTTTAATATAATTCTAATTATTATTATTCTAAGAGGCTAAATACCTTTATTTATAATAATAGCTATAAAGATACTATTTAGCTATTAGTAAATATAATAGAAATATATAAATAATAGTTATAGATTTAATATATAAAATAAATATTATATTAAAATATAACTAAGTAATTAATAACTTATATAAAATATATAGGTAATATAGCCTATAATTAAGAGGAGGATATATAAGAGACTATAGGAAAAATTATATACTTTATAATTTATTATCTTTTTAAAGCCCCTTCTTTTAATACTTTTTTATACTTTAATTAGGATTTTTAATTAATTTTATAATAAGGACTTTAATATAAATATAGCTATAAATATATATATAAATAAAGAACTAAATTATATTATAGCTAATAAATAATTAACTAAGCTAAATATTTTATAATATATAAAAATATAAGAGGTAAAAGTTATTAATTATAAAAATAATAATATTAAAATTTAAAGAATTACTAAAGAAATAATAAATATATTAATAATATTATTTAAAAAAATTAACTAAGAAAATATATTATACTTTTAATCTAGGTAAGGATAACTTAGTCTTATTTTATAAAATAGATAGAGATATAGTAGATAAAGTCTAAGATATTTAAAAGTTAATAAATTATATAAAAAGTAAAAATAATATATAATACCTATAATATAATTAATAATATAATTTTTTAAAACTATAATTTTAAGAATATAAATTAGCTACTTATAAATAATACCTTTAATATAAAGTTTATTCTATTATAAGAAAAAAAAAGACTTATAAACTTAAGAAATTAATATTTTATATTAAAAAGATTATTATAGCTTTAAATATATAGAAAAAGAAGATATTATTAATTATTTAATAATAGGTAAATAAAATCTAGTTTATATTTATACTTTTTATAAGTTATATTAAGATAAGTTAAATAGTATAATATAATAAATTAAAATATTAAAAATAAAAGTAAAATATTTATAAAAAGGTAATAATAAAGTTTTATTACTTAATATTAATAATTTAAACCTAAAAAACTAAAAACTTTTAATACACTAATAATTAAACTATATAGACTAATATAGCTAATAATATAATAATATTTAAAAATAATAAATATTATTTTAACTTAGGTAAATTTAAAAAAACTAATAATTATAAATAATATAAGGTCTAATAGTTAAAATACTTATTTAAATTAATATATAATACTATATTCTATTCTATTAAGCTTTATAAAATTTGTTTTATTTATAATTACTATAAGGAGTTAGCTTTTAATATAGTTAAATTATAAGCCCTTATTAAAGTTATTTATTTTTACCTTAAGATTAATAAAGTTTAATAAAATTTTAATAATATATTTAGTAAAACTACTAAAGTTATTAAAGTAAATACTTTACTATATAATTTAAAATTCTTTATAAGTATAAGTAATAATAAAGATAAAATATTTAATAAATTTTATATATATTTTACTATAATTATTATACTTTTTAAGTTTAATAATTTAATAAAGATTTAAAATCTAAAGTATATAATTGATAATAAATTATATTATAAGCTAGCTAATAAAATTATTACTTACAGCTATTATAATTATATAAAGTATTATTATTATTATAATATTAAAATATAGTAAGCTAATAAAAGCACTAATAATAAGTTTAATAAAAAAACTATCTTTAAGCCTATCTTTAAAAGAAATAATATATTTAAGGTAATAATATATATTAATTCTTATTACTTTCTATAGATAATCTAATAGCTAAATAAAGAGAAGCGCTATTAAAAGTATATTAAAATAAAGTATTCCTTAAAAGATAATAATACTCTTTATAAAAAGGGCAAATAGCTTATTAATAATAAAATTGCTATTTAATTAAAGTTAATAAAAATAACTAAGTTAGACTTTATCTAAAAAGAATTAGAAAACTAGCTACTCTTAGGAAAAAATACTTCTAAAAGCTAAAATAAATATAAAGTAAAATAAAATAAAATAATTAAAATAATCTATAATTAATTTAGTTATTATTTAGCTATCTTTTAGTTATATTGACTTAGATTAACATTTATAATATAATAAATAATTTAACTTTAAAAGAGAATTACTTTTTAAAAAAGGTAATAGCTTAACCTATTACTTAATTAATATTAAAGCCTCTATAATAAGCTTTATTAACTTATCTTTAGTTAAAAGATATAAATTAGATATTATATCTTTTATAAAGCTATATAAACGAAAACTAGTTAATAATAAATTAATATTAAATATAATATATATAGCTTATATAACTTTTTAACTAAAAAACTATATTAATAAAATATAATATATAATAATAATACTAGGAAAGTTTAATCTTATCTTAAGTATATTATAGCTAAAACTCTATAATCTTAATATTAAATTTTTAACTTAATACTTAATATTTAATTCTAATTATTATATAATATATTATTTAAAGTATTATAAACTT